TGCATCTCAGTGAGGGTACCCGGACATCGGTACACGTGTAGTACACCATTCGCGTCGGTAGTGGGGTCTCCGAGGCGGTCTTTCTTCGCTTCACATATCCTCAGTATACACTTGACAATTGCTACAGAGTTTTAGGGATACCGAACTAGAGGCATAGACTATATCGTCACCAAGTCCAGTCCCAATCCCTGTGGAACTCGAAGTTCAGGCTTCGCAGCGCTAGCCCATGCAAGTAGCTCTCTGGCGGGCTGACTTTGGTATGACATATGATAGTTCCGGCATGTCATATTCACGACACGTTCGCCCTTCTTTGGCCCGCCTTTTCTGAAGAAGGAAAATTGTTAAAGGCGTCATGGATTACCGATTTTGCACCAGCGTATGGAAATTGCCACTACCTAAGTCAATACCGTAAGTTCGGTAAAAAAGTGACTCCCCATAGCAGATTCAATAGTACTGCCACGGGCTCTCGGCCACTTTCAACACTGACGATGTTCGAATTTCGAGCTTGATTGGATATAGATCATGTCTACGGATATTCGGCGCGAGGAGTGCAAAGACAAGCGAAGACCTTGAAACAGGAGTGGATAGGTCTTAGGAGTTGTGAAGACTCTTTCCGAACACCCACTTTGTGGAAAGGGCGAAAGATTTGGACCACTAGCGTTACAACGTCAAGCGATGTGCGGCACGAACACCCGACAGCTAGTGCCTCCATTTCCTTGCCAACATGTCGTTGCACGATCTACCCGAGATCGAACAGGTCCAGGCGATCTTGTTTAGCCGCCGCTATGTTCTAATTGGGTCACAAAACACCAGAATTGTTGCCTATAGCGACAATATGGACGCCATAAGCTTTGACAGCCATTGCATGGAGGCCGCATTGCCATCGTGGCGATTTCCCGACGAAACTGAGGGATAGGGAGCTTTAGTTCGCCGGAAAGATTCGCTTGCTAGCTGGAAGTACATTTAATTTTTAAGATGTCTACGACCATCTTTCTGGTCACGAAATTGAGTGCAGGAATCATGTTGAACGTCGAAAGCTCATATTGCCTACCCTCCCTTCCATCATGCACGAGGGAAGGCTTGACGTAATAATATGCCCATTAACTATGTACTTGCATCTTCAGATCTCCACATCGTGTTCGGGCCGTGATCCAGCTGCGCATGGGTCTTTGGGTCGATCTATCCAGAGGCTAGATTCGCGGCTCCCTGAAGGTCAAGGAGAGACCGTTCTGTTGGGTGATTTACGGGAGCCTGCTTAATCGATGATGGCTAGTAGTAAAAGAGACGTGTCAGAGGAGGCAAGGGGTCCCTATCACAAGGCACGGCAATGTTTCGGGATCTCTGGCTCGTGTTGCAAGGATCTGCTTCACCAGGCGTCTAGATGAGGTGGCTCGATGTATTTGAAGTACACTGTCACTGTCATTGAGTACCAAAATTGTTATTCGAAGAGCTCCGGGCTTTGAGTTGTTGCTCAAAGGAGAAGTCAGACACGAATCAATCAGAAATCGATACCACACTTAGTGGTGATGATCATTCAGCAAGCACCCCACGCAGTAGATGGGTGGAGAACTGCATCTGCTCTGGAAGATCATGGCGATGACACATTCTATTGCACAAAGATTAATCTATTGGGCGCATTAATAGAGATATGTGGATAAGATTGCCTTTTTTTCACAATGGCGCAGCTGTGTACATGAACTTTCTAAATGTAAGACGTGCACATTATAGACTCGTGCGGCATACCGGGGTTTGATAACAGCATACCGAGGATTCAGTTAAACTAAGTTAACGACAGTGACATGAATATGGAGAGCATGGCTCAGCACTAAATCAAGGCCATTTTCTGACGATGATGGCACCTGCTCTATCACTCCCAAGTGGAAGATCAAAATAGCCGGCCTGCAGGGCTCAGCAACTGCAAGATAAAGCAGCTTGTCTCGGCAACTGAGTCCCGTAGATCCGCCGACCATCACCTAGTTAGGACATATTGTGTTGGTAACACTATCTGGACCAAAAGGGCCAGAGACTCTGTGGCTGAATTAACTCTCTAGCACAGTTCATAGATTACATAACCCAGTCCCACAACACTAAAGAGTCTCTATAAATGTTAGACCACCAAGAATGGCCAATGCTTGCTACACAGCTTGCTTACATACCTGGGTGAGCGAACTGCTGACGATTGGAACGCCACTCATGGTGGAGGCTAGGAGATGTCAATTGGCGGACTTCGACTACCACAACGCCTAAGTGACCCGAATGGATGATCTTCAATCCTGCGGGGCCGAAGCTACAGCAGCAACTGCATGACTCCTGCAATGATCTTGAAAATCTCAAAGTCGGCCAAGCCGATTCTCAATCTGGTAAAAGGCCGTCCATGTAGCTGCGGGTGAGACTACAGTGACAGCGTGGACATCCGAACATTAGCAAAGCCATGCTCCTATCTCCGTATGGAAGCAAGTCTCTGACGAGCATGTAAGTGGCTTGAAAGCGACTTAAGCTTAGGGCTAGATGCAGCGCTCCTGAATGCAGGGAGGCCCAGAATGCGCAAAGCAATGATACAACATGTTATTCTCGGATGATAATCAGGACTGAAAAACAACACTGATCGAAGGCGAGGCCTAACAAAAATCATGAAAGAGATGAGACGCCAATACCATAATTTGTACAGTCTGTCTTCATGCGTACTGGGTTCGATTACTGGTGCTTGTTCAGATATTTGACATGATAAAGTGCGAGCTAGGACGGAATAGTCCATATTGAGGAACGGTCAAAGTTGTTCCAAGCCTAACTGCTTATGTTTCGACATTTTTTAAAAATATATGATCTGCGCTTACGTCAACCGCAAAAGTCAAGGGGGCACAGTTAATCGGCTGTGTGAGAGCTATCACCATGGACAACAGACCTTTCTGCTTGTAAGCTTCCAATGGACATTGCCACGCGGGCGAATGGCTGTAACAAATTTAGCTGTTAACAGGAGTAAGAAATTGGTGTTTGACGTATGTCGTCCGCGTGCGGTACATCGCGTGGTACCTGGGCTACGGGTATCACGTGCCTGGTTACATAATATCGGAAAGTGGGGAGCCCGACCGCAACCCTTCACCACCACCACAACGACACTCAAAACGACAATACGGAACGGGCGTATCCACAATGCTATCGCGACAACGATGAATCAACATTCTCTTCGTAGCGATAGTCTCCATGCACAAGTTGGCAGCTATTCAATGATAGCAGGAGCCGCAACACCATGTCCTACCCGGTATGAGGCCTCGTGCCTGACAAAACCCGACTGAGCTTGCAAGCCGTCTATTTGAGTGCTCGATCAGCATCAGCTAGCCGCAGTCCCACGCGGACGGTTACGCCACTGCCCCTCGATTGCAATATCTGCTCATTCAGATACCCTAGCGAGCTCGAGCTGGGTAATGCTCTTATACATTTAGCGAGGCGCTTATGATGCCTTCGGACCGTGGGGAAAGCCGGAACAGGGCTATAGAAGATCATGACATCTAAGATGAAGATCTTTCAGCCTCTCAATAAACACTCTGTTCCTTGTATCAAGATTCGACAATGCGATGGCTCCAACGGCTGACAGACCGCAGAAGCATTTCGTCAATGGCGCTTTTTTTTCGCGTCCGTGTTGACCGGGATGCACTACTCCTGCAAAAGGCAGACAAGACCACTCGCCTAAGCTTGACAGCTATTTGCTGTTCTCGTATGTAGGCCATCCTAAAGCGGCCGACCCGAACACTGGGGCTTCGCTGATCTTTTAGATCCTGCTAAGGGTGTTTTGCGGATTTCAACATCCCGAGACGTGGGCCTTACCTCGTGTTAGGTGTCTACAGTGAGCATCATTCTCACAGGCGTGCGCCCGGGCGGGGTCTCCAGAAGCTTGATTCACGCCTGTAACGCTGTGGCACCGGCATTTCTGCGCTTTAGACGAGGGATCGCTTAGAGATTACTGAGTGTCAATGGTTTCACTGCCAGGCATCTCCAAGTCTTGGCCCATCAACCTCACGGTCGGATCAACGCATCGCTTGCAATGGGTCGGTACGAGAGACAACCGTTCCACAAGCAATATCAGACACGACTCTTCAATTTGGAAGCATGCGAATAGAGAATCCTGTTGAGCTCAGGGTCGTCAATAGCTTGATTTCTGGTGTACCACCCTTCCTAGGACCCTGGACGGTTCGTTTGGAAAACAACATGAGCATGTTAGACGGCCATGGCCTAATCAATCCCAACCCATCTGCATGGATCTAAGCCTGAATCTGCCTGGTAAGTGCTGGAGTTGACATCAGAACACACAGACGCTGTCTATCCACCCCGGCTTATGGGAGGGGATCCGACAGAGTAAACCCGAGTTTGAGACAGTGCCCTTGCTACCCAGGTCCCCACGTCTCATCTTTGCTATCATCCGTGATGCATTGGCTCGATACCTCAGCCGCTGGTCTACACGCCTATCTTGCGCCATCTGAAAATAGGCATGGAAGCTTACTCGGCACACCCGGCCTCTGCACGCCATCAAACCTCGGACTCATGGCGGTGCCAACCAGAAATGGGAATAGTCCGCTCCACTCTCCTTCTCACGTCAATATGTTACTGCAGTACATCGTTCCGCAATACATGGGTTGTCACAAATCCGGTACGCACCGTGCATGTCATCGCGCGATCCATGCCATGCCGCTGTCTTGATCCTTATGGCTATCACTACCTCTTCTCCACATACATATAGGGGTACCGCCAATCCCCCAAGAGTGTCCAAGTTCAACCTGTCTCCTTCAGTCTCGTGGACTATCTTCTTCTAGAACAGTCCCCTACCCTTAACAAGGACTCCACTATAAGACCGGATTACGACACATTCGTTGTAACTTATCACCTGCGCCCTCTTCAAAGGTCGACATTATCTTCAACCTTCTCCAGCGAGATACCTTTGCCCTTGACACCATTGGTCCATAAGCTATTTCACTTTAATAATTCTTTATACCCATACCACTGCAATTATGAATCTACTCATCTTCGGAGATCAGACCGCCGACCAATATGCGCTTCTGCGGAAGGCGTGTACATGGAAGAACAACTCAACACTCACGACATTCCTCGAAAGGATCAGCGTCATCATTAGGGAAGAAGTTCAGAGGCTCCCGCGGACACAGCGACACCTATTCCCGAACTTCCTTAGCACTTGGGATCTTATCGAGGCATATTATGCAAAGGGATCCAAGGTTCCCCAATTGGAAAGTTGTATGGTGACAATAGCACAACTAGCACACTACATTGGGTGAGTTTCAACGACAATTAATTATTCTGCTTCGCTGACATTCTAGATACTACGCAGAGAACCCATCAGAACTGCCAAACCCTGCAAACACCAGAGTGATCGGTCTTTGCACTGGTTTGCTCGCAGGATCTGTAGTTGCGTCTGCACGGTCTTTGAGTGAGCTATTGCCTCTCGCTACTGAAGCTGTGCGAATTGCTTTCCGTGCAGGTACCTGTGTCGGGGCAGCGAAAGACGCATTAGAGCAAGCATATGATGCTAGGGAGAGTTGGTCCACGATTGTAACCAGTATCTCCGAGGACGCTGCACAGAGCGCTCTCGACGCATTTCACAATGAGCGACAAATACCAGCTGCGGCGCATGCTTACATCAGCGCTGTTAGCGTTATGGCTCTGACGATCAGTGGTCCACCATCCACGACAAAACGCCTATTTTCCGAGAGTAACGAGTTCAAGAACAACACTCGCGTACCGATTCCTGTCTTCGCACCATATCACGCCTCTCACATCCATAGCCAAGCCGACATCGACCGTATTTTGGACAAGGATGCCGTACGGCACTTGCAGCAATTCCGCCCTCTAGCCCTGGTACACTCTGCGACGCACGGAAAATGCCAGACTGCAACCACCACTCTTGAGCTGATGAGGATCGCTCTGAGCGAGATTCTGCTTGATCAAGTACGATGGGACAGCCTTCTCGGGGAGGTCGTTTCACAAGTGAGCGCTTCAGGCAGCGCAGAGTGCACAGTGTCTGCTATCGGCGTTACCAACGTCGCGAATAGCCTTGCTTCAGCCCTCAAAGCCGGTGGTCAATCCTCGATTTTGGTCCGCGACCACACCTCGTGGGTTTCCACAACCGATGACAGTCGTGGCCGCACTCAGAGTGACAAGATCGCCATCGTTGGCATGTCTGGTCGGTTCCCAAGTGCTGCCACTCCCGAAAAACTTTGGGAACTACTTGAGAAAGGGTTGGATGTCCATCGAGAAGTTCCACCAGATCGATTCGATGCTCAGGCCCATTGCGATCCTTCCGGCAAGGGAAAGAACAAGAGCCACACACCCTATGGCTGCTTTATCGACGAGCCTGGTCTATTCGATCCCCGCTTCTTCAACATGTCGCCGCGTGAGGCCGCTCAAACTGACCCTATGGGCCGTTTGGCCCTGACGACCGCCTACGAGGCTCTAGAAATGTCTGGATACGTTCCCAACCGCACGCCTTCGACCAACCTTCAACGCATCGGAACCTTTTATGGTCAAACCTCTGATGACTGGCGTGAAATAAACGCCGCGGAGAACATCGACACCTACTTTATTACGGGCGGTGTACGCGCATTCGCGCCGGGCCGGATAAACTACTACTTCAAGTTTTCCGGCCCGTCCTACAGCATCGACACTGCGTGCTCGTCTTCCCTGGCTGCCATTCAGTTGGCCTGCACATCGCTCTGGGCAGGAGACTGCGATACGGCTTGCGCTGGTGGTCTGAACGTGCTAACCAACCCGGACATTTTTTCCGGCCTCAGCAAAGGCCAATTTTTGTCCAAGACTGGCAGTTGCAAGACATACGACAACGATGCGGATGGTTACTGCCGTGGAGATGGCTGTGGCACAGTCGTGCTCAAGCGCTACGAGGACGCAATCGCAGACAAGGACAACATCCTCGGATGTATCCTCGGTGCTGCCACCAACCACAGCGCAGAAGCTGTTTCGATCACGCATCCTCATGCCGGTGCACAGGAGTTCCTCTACAACAAAGTCCTCTCCAATGCTGGTGTAGATGCTCATGACATCAGCTACGTTGAGATGCACGGCACTGGTACTCAAGCTGGTGATGGTATTGAGATGACCTCTGTTACCAACGCCTTTGCCCCGCGCCATCGCCAGCGACGTCCAGACCAAACGCTTCATCTTGGTGCTATCAAGGCCAATATTGGACACGGCGAAGCTGCTTCCGGTATCAACTCCCTTGTCAAGGTCTTGATGATGATGAAGAAGAACTCCATCCCCGCCAATGTTGGCATCAAAGGTGTCATGAACAAGACCTTTCCTAAAGATCTACTCCAGCGCAATGTCCACATTGAGACAACACAGGTCGCATGGCCTCGCAAGGGTGCTGAGAAACGCAAGATCTTCTTGAACAATTTCTCTGCCGCCGGTGGCAACACTGCTATCATCCTCGAGGATGGGCCATTACCTGACGCTCCCAAGGGCATCGACCCTCGCAGCATGCACACAGTGACCGTTAGCGCTAGGTCTATCGCCTCGCTAAAGAAGAACATTAGCAACCTCATGCAGTTCATCGACGAGAACCCAGCAACCACCCTGCCCAGCTTGGCCTACACCACTACTGCCCGTCGCATCCAACACAACTATCGAGTTGCTGTCTGTGTGTCTGACATTAACAACGTAAAGGATGCCCTGCAGGCTCAGCTAAAAGATAGTTACAGTCCTCTGCCAATGGTTCCTACCAAGACAGCGTTTACATTCACTGGTCAAGGCTCGCAGTATACTGGGCTCGGCCAAAAGTTGTACGAAGAGCTAGACACTTTCAAGGCCGACATTGATCAGCTCGATAATTTCGCGCGCCTGCACTCCCTTCCATCATTCCTCCCTCTCTTGACTGGTGCTGATGTCGCCACTCTGTCTCCAGTGGTCGTGCAGCTCGGCATGGCTTGTATTCAGGTTGCTCTTGCCCGCATGTGGGCATCGTGGGGAGTCACACCAACCGCGGTCATCGGTCACAGTCTCGGCGAGTATGCTGCTTTGCACGTTGCTGGCGTCATCTCTGCCAGCGATATGGTCCTTTTGGTCGGTCGCCGCGCTCAGATCCTCGAAGAGCAGTGTACCGCCAACACTCATGGCATGCTTGCTATCAAGGGCAGCGCTGAGTCTATCAAGGCTGCACTTGGCGATAAAATGACCGAGATCGCTTGCATGAACGGTCCTGAAGAGACCGTTCTCTGTGGTGCTGTAGATGTTGTTGCATCTACTAGCGAGCTTCTCTCGGCAGAGGGCTTCAAAGCTACAAAGTTGAACGTGCCGTTCGCGTTCCACTCTGCTCAGGTCGAGCCCATACTCGAGAAGTTCAGAGATGCCGTCGCCTCTGTCATCTTCAACAAGCCCGTGGTACCAGTCATGTCACCCCTTACTGGCCAGGTCATCCGTGAGGCCGGCATCATCGGCCCCGACTACCTTGCCCGTCACGCTCGTGAGACAGTAAACTTCTTGGCTGCTCTCGAAACCGGCCAGCAAGAGAAGCTATTCGATGCGAAGACTGCATGGCTCGAAGTCGGTGCTCACCCCGTCTGCAGCGGCATGGTCAAGTCTAGCCTCGGTGGTGCGCCTTGCACTGTTGGCTCCCTCCGCCGCAACGAGGATCCGTGGAAGACACTTTCCAACAGCATTGCCACTCTCTATCTTGCTGGTGTCTACCTCGACTTCGACGAGTACCACAGGCTTTTCAACGACGCGCACGAGATGTACACTCTGCCGACTTATGCCTTTGACAGCAAGAAGTACTGGCTCGACTACCACAACAACTGGACTCTTACCAAGGGTGAAGCATTGCAAGCCGCAGAGCCAAAGGCCATCGAGGCGGCGCCAGTTGAGGAGGCTCCTTCCAAGTTATCCACTACTTCTTGCCATAAGATTGTGCGAGAGGACCTCCATGCCAACTCTGGTACCGTCGTCGTACAATCCGACCTTTCCGATCCGAAGTTGAAGGCTACCATCACTGGTCACAAAGTGAACGGAACCCCGCTCACTCCATCGTCTCTCTACGCCGATCAGGCAATGACTGTTGCCGATTACCTTTACCAGCAGCTACGGCCTGGTATGACGACTCCCGGTCTTAATGTTTGCGCCATGGAGGTTACCAAGACCTTGATTCCTCAATATCCTCCTCCTGCCGCCGGCCAGCATTTGCAGATTGAGGGTAACGCGGATCTTGAGCTCAATCAAGTGAGCATAAAGTTCCGCACTGTAACGGCGGATGGCTCTAAGGTCCTGGTCGAGCATGCAGTCGGTGTTGTCAAGTACGAAGACATGAACATCTGGAAGGAGGAATGGTCCCGCATCCAGTATATGGTGCAGGCTCAGGTCGACTTGCTCAAACAGAAGCTCGAGACTGGTGCCGCCCACAAGGTCCTCCGCGGCATGGCCTACAAGCTGTTCAAAGCTCTCGTCACATATGCCGACAACTATCGCGGTATGGAAGAGGTCATCTTGGATGGCAAGCAGACCGAGGCTACCGCTCAGGTCCAGTTCCAGACCACCGCTGCCGATGGAGAATTTCTCTGCTCGCCATACTGGATCGATAGTTTGGCTCATCTTTCGGGCTTTATTGTCAACGCTTCTGATCACCTCGATTCCGAGAATTCCGTCTACATTTCTCATGGATGGGGATCTATTAAGATCGCTGGGAAGCTATCGCCCGAGAAGAAGTACCGCTCCTATGTCCGCATGCAGCCTGCTCCAGGTAACATCTCCATTGGTGATGTGTACATCATGGAAGGCAATGAGATCATTGGCATGGTCATGGGCCTCAAATTCCAGAACATCCCTCGCCGCGCTCTCAACATAATGATGCCTCCTGCTGGCAAAACTGCCGCTGGCCCCGCCCTGACGTCTGCTGCTAAGCCTGCGCCCGCTAAGGCGTTACCCGCTGCGCCCGTCAAGGCGTCAAAGCCAGCAGCTAAGGTCCTGGTCAAGCCTAACAAGGCAGCAAAGCTTGTCAAGGCGGTCAGCACTGGTGTCACAGCTAAGGTGATGAAGATCATTGCTGAGGAGACTGATGTCGACATGTCTGAACTCGTCGAGGACGCTGCTTTCGAGAACCTCGGTGTTGACTCTCTGCTCTCGCTTACCATCTCCGCCAGATTCCGCGAAGAGCTTGAGCTAGAAATCCCCTCTTCCCTGTTCACCGATTGCGCCACTGTTGGTGAGTTGAAAAAGCATTTTGCGCAGTATAACGGTGGCGTCACCATCGTCGATGATGACGGCTCGTCTGATACTACCGATGAGCCTTCCGATTCTTCTACACCCTATGGGCCTGCTACCACTAGCACTCCGCTTAGCTCGGCTCCTAGCATCGCCGATAACGATATCGAAGTCAAGGTTTCCAGCGAAATTGTCGAGGGGGAAATCAGCATCGCTCGCAAGCTCGTTGCCGATGAAATGGGCGTCGACGTCTCCGAGATCACGGATGACCTCGACCTCACTGACATTGGTATGGACTCCTTGATGAGTTTGACTATCTTGGGGTCCATGCGCGAGCAGACTGGCCGAGACCTTCCTGCTGACTTTCTCACCGTCAACGTCACTATCAAAGACATTGAGACTGCTCTTGGTATGCGCCCCCAGCCCAAGCAGCAGGTCAAGGTCTCGGCGAAGGTAGCTCCTAGCATTTCGTCCAAACCCCCTCAACTCGCCGAGGTGAACAAGAAGCTCGCCAAGGTGAACAAGAAGTTCGCCAAGGTCATCGATGTCTCTCACTTGCCTCCTTCCAGCTCGGTTCTGCTCCAGGGTAACCCCAAGGTTGCTACTAAGAAGTTCTTCCTTGTCCCCGATGGCTCTGGTAGCGCGACCTCGTACATCTCCATCCCCAATATTTCTCCTGACATGGCTGTGTATGGACTTAACTGCCCGTTCATGAAGTGCCCAGAGAAGTGGAACTGCGGTGTCGAGGGTGTGTCTGCCCTCTATCTCCAAGAAATCAAGCGACGTCAACCCAAAGGCCCCTACATCATCGGCGGTTGGTCAGCTGGCGGCGTCATGGCTTACGAAGTCGCCCAACAGTTGGTAAACGCTGGGGAGAAGGTAGAGAGCCTCGTCCTGATCGACTCACCATGCCCTGTGGCTCTCGCGCCGCTCCCAGGACGTCTCCATATTTTCTTCGACCAGATCGGTCTTCTTGGCACTGGCAAGCCAGGTGGCACACCGCCGTGGCTCCTACCCCACTTTGCTTCTGCTATTAAGAACCTCAAAGACTACGATCCGACTCCTATGGATCCGAAAATCGCGCCACCTGTGCTTGCCATCTGGTGCACGGATGGCGTGTGTCCGAACCCTGGTGATCCCCGTCCACCGCCAGGTGAGGGTGAAGACCCAGCGCCTATGAAGTGGCTCCTTAACAACCGCACGGACTTTGACGACAACGGCTGGGCGCAGTTGTTGCCCAAGGACAACTTTGAGTATGCTGTTATGGGTGGAAATCACTTCACGATGATGAAGGGTGATCACGTACGTCTCCTCCGTCCTGTAGATTGAAGGTTGAATCGCTAACATGTTCGCAGGGTGTCACATTGGGAAAGCTCATCAAGAAGGGCCTCAAGCTATGAGCCTTGACATAGATTGCATGCATCTCTTTTGTTCAAGTGTTGACACTGGGATGTCGGCGTTACGGGACTTTCCTTTTGTACACGGCATACCTTTCGTATTGGCGTCGGTGGATAACGGGTTGGCGTTGGTTGACTTTTGGTTTTCATGTTTCATTCGCACACCGAGTTATGACTTGTTCCTGTCTTCAAGCGCGCAATGTTTTGATGTTACTCGCAATGTTATTGCTATCATAATCGTTTTTCCTTCTACGCATACATGTTGTACATATCGTAATCTAGTCTCTAGAATGCCAAGGGTAATCCCTTAAACACCATGTTCCTTGACTGTAATTCCATCTGCATCTTCACTGAACGTACTAAATCTCCAGACTTGTGATTTCGACAACAGATTCTGGCGGGACATCACCAGCATCCCGAATCCCGCTTCTGTATTTTTTGAGATCGTACAACGCCCAGCCACGTTTTTCATCTAAGATCACCGCGCAACAAACAAGTGTGATGAATGGGGAATGTGCTCCTCTCCCGCCTCTCCGCAGCAGGTCTGTGCAGAACTGAAATGTCTCTGATCAACAGACCATACATGCCTGTCTATGCTACCACATTACCACGCATGTTGTCGCCCCCTGACCCATGCGGCCCATTCTCGCCCATGCTGCAGGTACGCACCCCTTGCAGTGTGAAGCGACGGGTAAACCAGCGCATGAACCTTATAAGCGATGCGGACAACACGATACCCGTTGACTCGCGTGCAGAACGGGCATATGCAGTGTTTGATTAACGCCGTCGAGGCTTCCATGCACAACGCATGCGCATCTGCAAGCGGCCGGAAAGCCAAGCCGGTTGACTGAACGGGTAGATCTGGCAAAGTGCCGGACGCGGGCCTAGCTTTCCAGGAGCCTTAATATATCGTATGGCGTACAGAGCATAGTGGAGTATAACGGGTACCATGGTACAACTCTTCATAAATCAGCATGTTCGCCTACCCAGGTCGTCCGTAATCAAAGGTCGCAAAACATGCCGAATACTACAAACAGGTTATCATTGAGGTAAGAAGGGTTCGCGAACGGCAGATCTAAGGTGGCGTGTTCGAGACGTCCATTAACTTTGGAACTATCCAGCGAATTGCTTCTCTTTTACTCAAATTCTCGGTGGAGGTAGTGATACCTGGGCTACTGGCATGTTCAATGCTCAATGCTGCTACGTGATCGTGGTTGCGACCTCGCTTCGACGAAAGCGGCCGTGGGTAAGCTAGACGATATGGAATCAGACTGCTCTCCTTGAATTGCTTTTTTCAGGAAGGACATAGCGTAGCGCGATGATGAATGAAGTCGGAGATTGCACACGTGCGGTAGCCCTCCTTCCTTAAAATAGTCGGCAAGAGCACCGAGCACTCGTCCCGCACCACAACTTGCAGTAGGCCTTCATTTAACACCCAGGTCCGGCATATAGAACAGCACTGATTCTCGCGTGGGCATGAACAGCGCTATGCTAATTTGAGCACGGCTTTGGGAAGATTCCACGTGATCGGAACACACTCGACCTTGTCTACCTCGCAATCTATGCAGGTCGCGATACCTTCATATTGGATGTTACACAACTTACTCGCGAGGCTCTTCCGAAAACGTGGCTTTTTGAACGTGAAACAATATGCTCAGGAAGCCTGCCTAGCTCCCTGGTAAGTTAACCTTGAAATTGACAAAGCCTTGCAATTTGATTAATGTCGGAGTCGAGATGAGAGTGGAGTTGTACTTCAGCGCGCCCGCTTGGGGATTTCTGATGTCCAGCCACAATGCGGTCGATTGCACTCCATGTGGAAGACAGTTATCTTCCGTATCGCGAGAGGGCTCAAACGGAGGGCCCTAAACGTTACCATTAGATGTTTAAGGCTATCTACGCGCTAGAAATCTCAGCAACGGATCTTTCAATTGGTATGCGATAATGGCTTTTGTGGATGCGGTGAACAGCGAGCTGAGCAAAGAGCGGTACGCTGATCAGGACGACCACTGCCTGAATTAAGCTTACCATTAAGGGACCAGATTGGTTAATCACTACGTTGATCAATATCGAAGAACTGCCTTACGGACGCATGAGCTGTTTCTGGAAATCGGCAGTGCCTGTTTCGAGATCTGCACTGCAGCTTTAGGGTGCAGTATAAAATGCATAGTCTACACCGATAAACCTACCAAGACCTCGAGTATATCTCAACTTAGATCAGAGCGACTGTTGGTCTCACTCTCACTCAGGCCGTCAGGTGGACGTGTAGAAATTGTGGGTACATCCGTCTTTCGTAATCTGTGGCCTTACAGGTTGCTCTAAACCGGTGAAGATGTAGCAGGCTAAAGAGCTGAAGATACTGCGCAGTCTGCAACTCCCAGCGTCATTGGATGAGGCTGTTTGAGATCCATAATACGGGATCAGCCTCCAATGCGCTGGCTGGAGACCTTGTTCGGCGAGGAAGTCCGCGAGGTAATATGTTCGGAGAAAAGTGCGGAGTGCCGAGCATGCAGCTGGGCCAACGATCTGACCGCACTGAGACACTGTTCATGCAGCCAGCGATCGCTTCCTTGCACAGCCCTTTCAATACATCCGCTGTTTTCTTTTCAGATGAATAAGATCAGGTTCATGTATCGATACACCATGCCTGCGAGCCGAGATGACTGGTTCCGGGGTTACTGCAATTGGCTGCGTTCGTATGGTGTCTCAGCACTTAGGGATTCAACATTGCTTCTTCTCTCGTATTAGCTCTGCACGAGGGCCGATCTTCAATAGTTTGAAGATAGAAAAGGGTGGCGCTGCAGCTTATCGCTCCCAGCGTGCGGAAGTGTCGCCCGCTATTGCGCTAGCTTATTGCTTATCCGTATATGCAGAGATGGATTCGGGTTGGGTAGAATAGGTCTTCGCGCCTGAGCTCGTGAGCTGTTATCGCTGTGCTGTGTACATTGAAGACAGGGTTTGGGCGTTACTTTGTCGCGTCGGGCGGAAGCAGACGTCAAGGCAACGCTGGTCGACTAGATGGCCCAGCGAAGAGAGCTACCGAATTCTTCGAGTTTTCAGGGCCAGAGTCTAATTGTAATAGTGATGGGTGAGGGACACATGGTATAGAGGTTGAGAGAAGCACAGTAGTGTGTCAAGTAGTGGACCTGTAATGGTGAAGCCCGCGGGCAGCAACAAGATCGTGCTATACTAGCTTAGGACTAGCTGAGTGGTCAAGCGAGCGGAGAGCTGCCAAGAGAGCGGGAGTAGCGGGGCACCTGGGGTGCAAACGCGTCAAACCCGAATTATCGAAGCTGGCGGAAGAAACATACAGCTTTCGCGCATCCTCGAGTCGTCATGGCTAGCGTAGCTAAAGCTGGAGAGTGAGTACTCCGACATCATCTAAATATCGTCTGACATGATCTAGCAGCAGCAAAGATGCTACCACTCCGCGAACCAACCCCCGCGGAATCCCAAATGCTGTATTCATCGATCGAGTCGAGGATTATGTTACCGACCGCTCAGAGGTGGAGAGCACCATAAACAGCTTCAAGGAGATGATCTCGTACGCTATTCCTCCTCGATCTACATCTGCCTTGTAGAGTATAGCATCTCACACGATGCGTTAGGAAATACCAATTCATGCAACAGAGCACACAACGCCGAGCCGCAGGACTCAAGGACAAGATCCCAGATATCCAGAAGACGCTTGAAACCGTACGGTTCCTGCGCTCGAGACAAGACGACGCCGAGCCTCTAGAAACGACTTTCGAGCTCAACGACACGCTGTATGCAAAGGCAGAGGTGCCGCTCACAGAGGAGGTCTACTTGTGGCTAGGCGCCAACGTCATGCTCGCGTATCCCATCCCCGAGGCCGAAGAGTTGCTGCATTCGAAGCTCGAGACTGCGAAGTACACGCTTAGCACGTGTGAGGAGGACCTAGATTTCCTACGGGAGCAGATCACGGTAGGCTCGTCACCAGCGTTTTGTATATGAGCTGTATGTGCTAACGTGAAGTAGACACTCGAGGTTGCGTTCGCGCGCGTATACAACTGGGACGTTGCACAGCGGAGGAAAGAGAGGGAGGCGGGAGAGTCAATAGAGGACAAGAAGGGCGGTTCGCCGAATGGATGATAAGCTACTACGCTCACCGAACCACTGCTTGGTACTGGACCATGATGTAAATCGAGAAAAGGTACAACGATTCAAGCAAAAGTTCAATCGTATGCTCCATACCCGACTTTAGAGCATCCTAGTATTGTTTCACAATACTTACCTCATATGCGTCAAGATCTACCCAACGCAGCTCAACCCTTCTCTCATTATCTATCACTCCCTTCTGTGCATGTGAAAGACATGCAATGCCCAACAAGTCAAACTCCTGAGATGAGTTTATCTCTTCTCCAAGACGTTTCTCAGTTCATGAGCAAATTGCAAGAGGTATTAGATGATGACGTCAATTTATACCGAATAGCTTCAATCATATAGACGAAGACGTTGGATATAACTCCGATTAGGGTGGGGTAGCTAGTATAGTAGGAAGCGCGGTATAGCTCTGTTTGAAGTAATATCACATCTTAATCCTCATCCCCGTCCTCATACTTCCCGTCGTCTCCGTACCCGTACGTCCACTAACAACACCAATGCTGTCCGAATCACTCCCATCATACGACCCGTCAGAACCCACATCATCTTGCTCACCACCCACGGCCCCCAACCCTAACGTACCCACCTTGAACACATTCGCACACCACTCATTAAATACATCGGGATCCCAGACGCCATCTTCTCTACCCTTGCCCTTTGTGCTCCTCCCCGATCCATTGGTGCTGGATATAGAAGGCGTGTACGATGTATCGAACCAGTCTTCGTACGTCTGGGTGACAGATTCCATGACGGCTGCTACGAGCATCTCGCGAGTGCGGTGGTCGGTAATGTACTCTTCCAATTTGGACCGAAGGAATGACGTCTCATGTTCAATATTCTGGCGAATCTTGCTCGTGCGGGCTGGTGCTTCCGTGGGCGGCACTTTTTTGTTATTCTTCGTATTGATCGGGGCCGTCATTCGAGCCACGAATTGTCCAGTAAAGTCGTTAATCGCTTGGCGGAGACGCGCGTCTACTTCCGCTTTGGCGTCAAGCATGTTCTCTACAACTTTGGGGATGAGCAAGCCGACGAGGTTGCGCGGGTTAAAGAGGGCTCCTCGGGCACGTAGCTCCCAAAAGGTGTTAGTGATGCTAGAGAAGTCGTAGTGGACGTCTGTTTCTGGCGTGACGAATTCGATGTCAAAGGCCACGATTTGTTGTTTAAGAAGGAGAAGATGTGAGACGAGGAAGAGGGCGGCATCGGTAGGGGAAGTGGATTTTGTAAGAAGCGTGCTAGCCTGTGTGAGGGAAACTGTGGTACTGTGGACGATGCGGTGGGCTAGGTCATCGAACACTGAGGACTATACGCGAAGTCAGTACTGTAGTTGATCTCCACGATATGTCGAAACGTACGTGAACAAGGCGATAGATCTTGCTGAGCAGCCATATAGCCTTTCTCAGGGTTGGATACCAATCTTTAAACGCAGCCTCCGTGTTAAAGTTGAAGCGGCCATCCTGGTCATCGTGTTCAACGACTGTCGGCGTTTTTGGCAGCAGAGGGGTTGGCGGGACTTCTTCTTTCGGCTGCTTCTTGCCAGACAAGATAGGTAGATTGGACTTCGCCCCAGAGATGGCCTTCTGCTTGTTCTTTGCTGGATAGTCGAGATCTTCCGGCTTTGGCTTGTACCTCTCAATGTCATCTCGGAGGATGGCGAGGGAGAGGAACACGAGCCGACTCTGAGCGTCTTCCAACGCGGGGTGCACTATGATAGAGAAGTCGATCTTGCTGGCGTCAATAGGTGCTTCTTCCTCATCCTCTTCCATGTATTGCGTTTGTAGCAGCGTACACAGTTCACAAAGTTTGAGGATCTGTGTTTCGTGGATTGTTCGCGGTCGCAGGTAGTCATACAATGGTTCACACATGGCTTCTAGGAAGTCGTATAGTCCGCCATCCCCTTCAAACCATTCGCGCCACAAGTCGCCTTCGCTGAAACAGAGGTCGCGCATGTAACTTATGCTACTTCGAGCGAAAGCTACCAAATCTGTCGAAGTACTGGGAGCTTGTGCAATGTCGCTGATCTTCTTCGTCACGATTGGCAGAATGAGGCGACCGCGAGTGGTAGAATAGCTTTGGTACAGCTCATTCATCAAGCTCTGATACTCTGCTTCTGCACCTGGCGCAGCTCCTGCGGGTAACACTGCCCGCTTTTGAATTTCCTGTCCGATAGTCTTGAGTTCTGGCGCACCAACGCGGAACTTTGCATACAAAAGTGCTGACATGGTTGTATCGTTCAGCTGCCTATCCGCTATTCTCTTGGCTACATCGGCGGCGATTTCGCGGAGAGCTTCGGTGAAGTGAACTCGGATGAGTGTGAGGGCGCGGGTGAGGAGAAGTCGATATCGCGAGCGGTATGTTTCTGCCTCGCTGTGCTTCGTATGGGCCTGCATGTACTCTAGACAACTGTCCAAATTGGCCAGCATGTCGGTAAACTCCTTGCCCCGCACGAACTTGCCTGCTCCTGGGGCATTAAGCCGTTTAGTCGTGGGCTCGAGGTATACATAGTAGCGGAGGTTCTGCTCCATGTCATCTGCAAGCTTCGTTATGCGCTTCTGGTCGTCAATCAAGCCTTCGCATTGTGTACGGAACGCGTTCGTCTGCGCCTCGACGACTTTGAAGGACTCGGAGAGGGAGGAGAGTATGCCGAGAGTTGACCACGTCTCGGAGACGATGTTATCTAGGCGGTTGCGCGTCATATGCAGCTGGTTCTGGTAAAGTCTACAGAGCTGCAATGAGTATCTGTCCACAGTGACTCGAATCAAAAGACATACCTATACTCGTCGTGACTGGCCTCGAGCAGCTCCTCATTGACCCCGCCATACCACTCGGCAAACTCCAACTCGGTGCTGATGTCTTCTCTTGACTTTTTCTTCTCCAGTGCCTTCTCCTTCTTCAAGTGGGCGCGTACCACAGTGTAGAAGTCGCTATAGGATTTGGCGCGTCTGGCCACGGTGGCCGGCGGAGGGCCATTGATGAGGCCAGGTGCCTCTTCTATAGCCTCTGCAATACCTTCTACGCGCTCGACGTCAGCCTGGCTCTCCTACAAATATAATCATCAGAAAACGGTCAAACGTACCCATGCAGCGGACGGTGGGCTTACGTTTGGCTGTTTGAGCAGAGACTCGCGCCGGCGATTCTTGCCCTTTTCTTGGGGCTTGGCCGCGCGAGGCACGAAGGCATTGTACCACGAGTCTCCCTCGTACATTTTGGCGCAGACAGGTACCGAATGGTAAGGGTGGGCAAGTTGGTCCCTTGCGTCTGCCAGAAACAACACCACGCTGGCGGCGCTGTCGGTCGTGGGGTGCAGAGCGCTAAGCCCGATTCGCGCAAAGTGGTCATGACGTTCTCCATGTTAAACCGCGAGAGCTATCGAGCCTCCCATTACCAATTGCTGCGACCCTTGTCGAGCATCTTAACGTGTTGCAGATGTTATTTCTCTAATTCCCCCAAACCGCACTCTCTTCGGAAGCTACTCTCTCTCGCCTTCTCCGCCAGTCACCACCTCATTCCACCACCATGCTGAGCAGTAAATGTCTCTCGCGCGCAACACTACAAACTCCGCATGCCCCACGCCTATGCAGAAACATAGCGACCAGATCACCGCGACCGCAGGTACGAACAGCGACACATCCTTACGCTCAACGGCGGCAGCAGCACTTTGTCCGATCAGTAGCAACCGTCACAGTGTTATGGGCCACCGCCACCGCATGGCAATGGTGCAGTGGACATTCAATAATAGGCGAGGTACATGCTGAAGAGCCACCACAAGAAGAGGAGGTAGTCAAGTTCGAGGCACCCCGGCGGCAAGCAACGTCGAGTGACGACAACAGAAATATCATCAGTTCACAGCACTTGCAAGTAGTAAAGAGCTGGGAGAACCCTGGCGTATATGCCTGGGGCTCCAATTCGGGCAAGGCCGTGGCACCCGATTCCGACGACAAGTTCATCAAGACGCCGAGGCGCATACCCTTCTTCGATGGGAAGCTGCTGCGGGATATCAAGTTAGACAGAAGCTTTGGCGCCGCCATTGATGAAAGGGGAGACTTGCTGCAGTGGGGTACAGCTTTCTCGACGGACATATCTGAACCCACGAAGACACTGAAAGGACAAAATCTCAAATCACTCACCATCTCACGCGACCGGATCATCGCCTTGTCCTCAAGTGGTGCCGTCTACTCGATACCCGTCTCGCGAGCAGAACAGCAGGATGGTCCAAAACCAGCGACCACTTCATGGATACCATTCTGGTCCACCGACTCTAATGACGTATCATATCGTATCCGTACACCAGAGAACCTAGGATGGAACGAGCGAGTGACACAGGTATCCTCCGGTCTTGAGCACGCTCTTATGCTCACCTCCGCTGGTCGCGTCTTCTCTTTCGCCTCTGGCACAGAAGCCTACCCCAGTAAAGGTCAACTGGGTGTGCCTGACCTTAGATGGGAAACTCGACCTGCTGGCCCTTATGATATCCCGCACGAGATCACAACACTGAGAGGCTTTCGCATAAAAAAGATTGCAACAGGTGACTACCACAGCTTAGTATGCGATTCCGCTGGGCGCGCCTTCACATTCGGTGATAACACATCTGGTCAACTCGGCCACCCTTTCAATGTAGAAGCGCAAACTGTTGATGCGCCGTCTCTCCTCCCAACACAGAGATTCGGAAACAACGCAAAAGTGGCCAACGTCTTCGCTGGTGGCAACACTTCCTTCCTCTCTGTCGAAGCAACAAAGCCTGACACCAATCGTGTCATAGCGGATACATGGGCTTTCGGCTTTGGTCTCACCGGTCAGCTTGGTATGGGCCGCTGGGTGCACGCACAAGCCGACCCCGTCAAAGTTCCCGCCCTTTCGGGCCTATTCGAATGGGATGAGGCCAACAACACCGCTATTCCCATCCGACTCTCTACCATCTCCGTGGGCGCTACGCACGCCGCCGCCATCATGGACAACGTCGCTAGCGTCGCCGTCTCCGGCAGAGCCCAAAAACTCACAGACAACGATACTAACTGGGGCCGCGATATCTTGTTTTGGGGTAACAATGAGTTCTATCAGATTGGCAGTGGGAAGCGTAACAACGTACCGACGCCATCGTATATCCAGCCTCTGGACCAGGTAGCAGAGCAGGAGAGAGCTGCGTCCGCAAAAGGGTTCGGCCAGCAATTACGAGAGAAGGATATGCACCGTTTCCAGATTACGCCGAGGAAAAAAGTCACGGTCAACGGAAGGTCCGTGGAGTTTGAGCAAAAGATCGAATGCGGAAGGAGTTGCACTGTCGTGTATTCTGCGGTTTAAGATTCTGTGCTGAGACACGTTCACTTCTTGTATATAGGTTCGACATGTATGTTATGGGCGCGGAAAGGAAAAGGAACGTTAACGAATTATAACATTAACCTCAAGGGTCTGGAATCTCCCAAATTACTCAAACAAATGAGAATTCAATTTTAGTAATCTATCACTTCTACACATATGGCCGAGTTTGAGTGCCCCAGCGTTACTTGCCTTCATTTGTTCAACGACCCACAATACTTCACCTCCCAAATCCTAAAGAAATAACTGTGCCTTTTGCACGCCTTCTCAGCATTTTCTAATTTGTGAACATGTTCACGATTGCGAAATTTGTCAAGTGGAGATGACAGATAGATATGAGAGGAAAACTTATTCCTCTACCAAACAATCGACAACGCGAACAAATGGAGTAACCGGACCTTTCCACCCTCATTATATCCCACAATGGCCCATCTCCTGCTAAACTATGTATGTCCCATAAATAAGCTTTCATATTATAATTGCTTCGACAACCTCGTGCATTACCACATCTCCCCCCAGCCCTATCAGCCCAGGAGCTAGCTCACTCCTTATGCCTTTGCCCACCACCTGTTCCTCCTTCTCAGGCTGCCTTTTAGTCCCTTTCTTCCATAGTATCTCTGCAAGATCTTCGTTCATTGCCGTAGCCTCTATTTCATTGCCCATACGGCCTTGCATGAACACGGCGAAATTATCTGCGACGTTGAGGGATTGAGAAACCAAATTTGCGATGCTATGTCTCATTGTCTCTGGAGTCACAGGGCGTTCGTCTCCTTGTACTGCGTCATTGGCATTCTCATTCTGGACCTCGTTCTCGCCTTCCGAAGCCTTGGTCTTGCGAGGTCCTTGGCGGTCCTTCTTTGAGATAGGTTTAGGCACATTTTTGCCGCGCCCAGTGGCTACCTTTTTCACGGCTACTTTCTTAACTTTAACAGGCACGTTTGATCTCGCACGTGGTGCTGGAGGTTGGTTTTGCGTGGATGGTATCACGGGCCTGCGGTGCCTTTTGCCGTGGACAATGTTCTGTCTATCTATGTTGCTGTTAATGGAATCCAGACGTGCAGGAGCTGCGTCTACGTATGGGGTCTGAGTCGTATTTCTTGCGCCTTCATCTTGAGTTGCAAACTGGACTTGGGTCGCGGGACCGTCTTGGGATGGTGCGGACTGCTGTATCTCGTCCCTTGCTAACGAGTCCGGGAGTACAGAATCGTTCGGCTGGGGAGCGGCCTGCTTACTGTTGCTTGCCATGGTTGAGTGTGATCAGAAAGGTGAAAACAGAAAAGGGAGACGAAGGAGAGGTAGCATTTCTATGCCGTCTCTATGCACAGTTTGCTAGACAAATTGCGTGGAATATGCCTGAATAGCGAGCAGTGCAAAGAGTTCCAAAGACCTGTATAGTCAATGTTTAGACTGTGCGTGAACATTCTCAACGTTTGACATTGGGGATGAAGGCACGTGTATAGGAATCGATGATTTCGGAAGCTGCCCTGAAGATGTAGAGGGTCCAGTTGATCAGCAATATCTCATATCCTGCTGTATATGACCCTTCAATATCCCTATAACGTATAGTACATTACTGGCACATTCTGTACAACTGCGCTTCCAAATGCAGAGTCCTTTATCACACAATCTCCTTTCATTTATTGGCCTCTGGTTTCGCCGGCGGTGTAGCGGGTGCTTTAGCGGTCGCTTTCTTCGCATCGTTCTGTTTTGCCTGCATTTTGCCCTGTCCGCTTATAAGGTCCAGAAGATGGTCCTCGGTCTTCTTGCCCTACCCTAAAGTCAGCACCTAAACCCTACATGCCCCAACATCTACAAACTAATCCCCGTGTAAAACTCACCTTTTCAGCATCTGCGTCCCACCCTCTACCAAACTTTGATCTGAAAGCTGCGAGCTTCCCTGCCTCATCCTCCTCAACGTTGAGCAGCTTCTGCGAGCTTGGATTCCACAACGGTGAGTTTCTTATATCCTTTGCGCTCTTATATACGGGCTGCGGATTGGTGGTGCGCAGTGTGAATGAGCTCCCATCTGATAGTGTTATGAGTTGTGTAAAGGTGTAGGGTCGCTTCGGCCGGCGGAGGAGTGTCGCGTGTCGTACTTGGCTCGTCTGCTGTATCTGAGGGTGTATCGATTGACGCAGCGCACGCAATGCGCTCATTGAGGGGATCGGGGTTGCCATTGGGAGTTGTCGGGGGTTGTGGTGGAGGTAGCGAACTGCACGATAAAAGTTGCGGAGTTGAAGCGGAGGTCTGGGCTACGAAATGAGCTAGCGGTTGGAACTCAACCTTCAGCGCATCATCATCCGCATATCGGTGTTGCTCTTTTTTCGCTCCTAACAAGCTCTGCTCGAAACAACATACTACTATCGTATGTAAAATAATACTAGACTGGGAGCTCACCACCAGCAATGGCGCTTTCTCAGCGCCCAGCATCTCGCTTTTTTGCGGCCTTCTACAGATGGAATTTACATACGCGTAAGGTTGGCTTGTACTCTCTACAATTGATGACGACTGACTCTTCACTAGAACCACCGCATTCATGCAATTTCTCCTCTCGATATAGTGCACAAGGCAGGCGACACCCTTCCAGCAGCTACCTACGACAGTACCACGCGACCCGTCTTCTCCGCCAGCAAGGTCAGCCAGAATCACAATTGCAGTGTGAGAGGACAGTTTCTGCCAGTGGAGACACTCAGGACGATGCAACAGTAGATACAGATCAAATAGTTGAGGGTCGGCCGGCTACTGCTACGCAAGAGGAGGCAAATACTATACAACAAGTCTCGTCCACAGAGGGTGAGGAATCGCCGACTGAGTCTTTCGAACCGGATCTAGAGCAACAAGAGCTCAAGGAGGCAGTTCGCGTCTTATTGCGCAAGGTGCCCAGCTCGGTGGCCATCATCACCGTAGAAAGTGTCGACCCGCATACCAAAAAGCATGTCCCTATGGGGGTTGCTGTTTCGTCACTGACTTCGGTTACTCTCGACCCACCAACCATTTCTTTCAACATAAAGCAGCCTTCGAAGACACTAGATGCCATTCGAGCTGCCAATGGCCTCTTCCGCGTTCACTTCCCAGGGGCTAATCTGGGAGGCGCAAATGTAGTTGAGCACTTCTGCCGCGGCAACCATCCCGATGCATACGATTTGCGTCTCAAAGACCTGAAGATCTTCGTACCCTCGGATTGGAAAGATGTGAGAGCTACGGTATCTCGAGCGCCGCAAATTTGGAATGACTCTATATGCGCAGCAATGGAATGCGCAGTGACTCACGAGTTTCCTGTAGCTGACCATGTCATCATTGCTGCTAGAGTCGGTAGCCTGGAACAGAAAACATTGAGGGATTTCACCATCGTGTACGTTGATGGAAAATACACGCGTTCCGATAGTACAATCGCTCCTCATGGTAGACCCAAGATCTCTGCGCAGAGCGAAGGCAGCTGGTCAGTGTGGGACTTTCCGTTGTTTCCAGGGGAGCAAGAGCGCAAAGATTATGTGGAGCATATCAAGACAACCATCAAGGACAATCCAGCCTACCTCGACAAGCCTGGTAAAGAAGCCTATCGAGAACTTCAACTTGAACTCCCCTATCCTCCGAGCAATTTTGGTATCAACATATTCAACCTTCTTGCGAAATGTAGGCAGGATGCGCGCCGCAAAAACTTGCCCCGGTTCAAACAGGAGACTATGCCTATCCTCTTTGATTTCTATGGAAGGCTTAGTCCTTCCACTGTGGATAAGATCTTGAATCGCGCGAGTCAATTTGTCAGAGAAGACCCTAGTTTTTTATCTCTGAACTACAGAGTATTTCTTGAGCATCTAAGTGTCAATTCCGGTAGTAGGGATTTTCTTCCTAGCGACATCATGACTTCCTTACGAGCGGAAGGGCTTGTTAGCGAGTTCAAGTCGAGCAAGAGGAGCCAAGGACCAAGCAGCGGGAGAAACTATGATATAAAGAAGCTCGAGCAAGTCGAACACCAGCTGCGAGAACACTTGCGTACTCTGACATATGGGAAAGCCTTAGACATTCGTTTCGAAGATGTCTTGAGGCTCCTCGGCGAGGACACGGCTGCGGCCACCTACTTCAAGAGATGCCGGTCGCGCCTCCTTGCCGAGAGTCATCCTCAGAAATATAATGATCCAAAAGTCGACATTGTGGGCGAAGTTACTCAAGAAGAAGCACGTGTGGTCCTGAGTCGGGTCATCACGTTCCTTCAGATCAGAAACCTTTTCAATTTCCGAAAAAACATCAACCAAACTCCATACGAGATGTTACGTGTCAATGGTGTGCATCCCACGATCACGGGAATGGACATCGAGTACCTCTTTGGCAAGATCAAGCACTTGTACTATTCAACACGCTTCTTCCGTGACTTTGCGGGAGCCATTAACAACATGCTGGAGCCTTGGTTCGACAATACGGTCAGCTGGGATGATCTTGATCAGCGCGTCAAGAACTTCGTCAAGAAGACTCCATTGCGGGCCACATCGTGGTCGAATAGGGACAAGCTTGCGGCCATGGGCCTCGACTGGGGAGCTACTGTCATGGTACCTGTAAAGAACATGGTAAAGAATCAGCAACCGCTCAATAAAGGCCTTATCCTCGACACACTAGTCGCTAAAGAGCTTAAAAACCACTATGGTAACGGCACAGAGGAGGAAAACCGAGGAATTGCCAAATATCTGAAGGAGGTGTACAACTTCGATGTTGATAGTAGACCAATCGCACGGGCGGCACAGAGTTCGGTAAACCGGTCCTCGAGCGACGATTTGCAAGAAGCCATGATGTCGAGCCTGAACATGGATCGCAGAAGCGGGCATCAGAACCTCTTTAGAAAACACAGTGTTGATCAGCGTAAGCAGCCCCGGCAAGAGAGTTCATCGAAGCAGAGTACGGACACGGAATGGACCAAATATTCACTAGGGGAAAACAATTGAGGTGGCATGAAGGGACTTGTACGAATACTCATAGCATACTTATGACACACTCGCGGCACCTGCTCGGCGATCTGTATTATATATCAAGAATTTGTGACACACTGCTTGAATGCATTCCTCAATCCCACGATATCAACATGTGCTTGAGCTTCATTAGGCGATGCATAGTTATTAGGCCATGGTGGCCACATTGTGAAATCCCTTTCCGGGTCCACTTCCATAATGTACAACATTTCATACATATCTTGTACATGGCTATAAGCCTAGCTGCACTTCTTAGTCAGGATCCGTCTATGCTTTCATGTCTGTTCATTCTCTCCCTAAGGTCGAATGCTACCAGAACTTGACATTCTTCTGGTACCAGTAGCTCCACGATCGCTTCCTCTCTTCCTCTTGTTTCCGCATCTCTTCTAACCGATCGTGTTCTTCTCTTGCTCTCCGCCGCGCCTCTTTCTTCGCCTCTATGGTTGCTCGTTTCTTCTCCATAAGCTCCTGTGCTTGTTTTATTCCAGCCTTCTCTTTACTCCGGTAGTATTGGCATACTTGATATGAGACGACCGAGACGCCGCACCATGTTGCCACGGCCCAATTGGAGGATACGCGTACCGGCTCTGTAGACAATGCGTTAGCTCTTGATCCCATAGGATGCGAATCATGTATGATGCATGTATGCTCGCGTGGAGGACATGGAAAGCCGTACTTCCTAATATGGCCGCTAAACTCCCTCCTGCAAATCCAGCCGCAATGCCTTGCAATTGACTGTCTCTTACACACGGTCGCTTGTGGAAGTTCAAATAATATTCGGGCCCTAGACTCCGCACAGCGTCGATGTAGCTTGGACCCCCTGCATCACTCTTTTCGCCGCCGGCTGTGTGTGCGGTGCCACCGGGCATTATGTTTGCGGGGGCCTTAGGGCGTGGTGGTTGCGCGGTGGCATCGACGGTTTCCCTTGTGTCGTCGGCCATGGTGGTGTGATGGGTGAGGCGCTGGGATATGAAAGAGGAGACGTAATCAGTGCTAGCGGCCGTTCGGTATGGATTGATGTGAGAGAGTGTGCTTGTGCGTCCGAGGCTATTGCTTGGTGTTCGAGTGATGAGTGTAGTCGTTTACTCTTGGGTGGAGCGGAATAGGCCCGAAAAATATCCATGATCCCATCAGGACAGGCACGAGCCACATGTGGCTTATTACCAATTTACCTCGATTGGGGAAGCGCAACGCGGTCCACGCGCAGCGCGTCGCGTACACCTTTTCCAAGCACGCTTCAACATTGTCTCTCCACAACACACTCTCGACCCCGAATCTTGATATACCCAATTCCTTTCGGTCCTTCAAACGCGCAAATGATACCCCGAATTGCTTAAATTAGCATTATTCTTCTCTTACCTCCTTTTTCTCATACAGCATGGCGCCGCGACGAGCAGGCCAACCCTTCCGCCGGGTGGGCAAGCAGGGCAACACATCCTACGGTCCACGGAAACCAAAGACAGTCGAAGCATCCTCCTTAAGAAGTACGGAAGCCACATCACAGAACGAGAAGCTCGAAAGTACACGCTTCGCCAACCGCATCGATGAATCCATGGGCTTTGCGCGCTTCGAGTCGGGCAAGAAGAAAGTAGGATGGCTTGTGAACATGCACTCGACTACCATAGAAGATGAGGACGTTCCAGGTGGTAAGGCGGGCGTGGACTACTACTTCCTTGGCGAGGACGGCGACACGTTCAAAGCGACACTCGAATATGATCCGTATTTCCTACTGGCTGTCAAGAAGGGTAGGGAACAGGAGGTTGAGGAATGGTGTCGGAGAGCGCACGAGGGGCTGATTAAGAGCATAAAGAGGGTGCAGAAAGAGGACCTCTCGATGCCCAATCATCTCACTGGATACAGGAGGACGTTCCTTCAGCTGTCGTTTGCGAATGTGAACGACCTCTTAGCTGTGAGGAAAGCGGTCAACCCAGTAGTGGAGAAGAATAAGAAGAACGTTAATGCTATGGATACGTACGCAGAGGTTGCTAAGTAGGTATCCTGACCATACTGGGACGCCCTTTATGCTAACAGTTGACAGTGGAGATGCTGGCTTAGATTTTTTCGATAACGACGATTATGAGTACGAGAAACGAGCGACGACCACGATTGACGCCAGCGATTTCATTTTAGATATACGAGAATACGACGTCCCCTACCACGTACGAGTAGCCATCGATAAGGATGTCCGCATCGGAAACTGGTACACGGTGGAGGCAAAACACGGCGTGATATCCATCACATGTATAGAGGACCGCCTCACGCCTGCTGATCCTGTTGTTATGGCCTATGATATTGAGACAACGAAGCTGCCATTAAAATTCCCGGATGCTGTCTTCGATCAAATCATGATGGTCTCGTACATGATCGATGGCCAAGGCTTCTTGATCACCAATCGCGAGATTGTGTCCGAAGACATCCAGGATTTCGAGTATACACCGAAGCCAGAATACCAAGGACCATTCATGATCTTCAATGAGCCAGATGAGAAGGCGTTAATAGAGCGCTTCTTCGAACACATCAAGGAAGCCCGACCAACTGTCATGGTTACATACAACGGAGACTTCTTCGATTGGCCATTTGTTGAAGCAAGAGCTAGTGTTTTGGGCATCGACATGTATCAGGAGATTGGGTTCAGGAAGAATAGCGAGGACATCTACCAATCTGATTACTGCGCACACATGGACGCCTTTTCCTGGGTCAGTCGAGACAGCTACTTGCCCCAAGGAAGTCGTGGCCTGAAGGCCGTCACGATGGCTAAACTGGGATACGATCCCGACGAGCTCGATCCCGAGTTGATGACACCGTATGCTTCCGAACGCCCTCAGACCCTTGCCGAGTACTCAGTTTCCGATGCTGTAGCCACGTACTATCTGTACATGAAGTATGTGCATCCATTCATTTTCGCCCTATGTAAGATTCTTCCACTGGGTCCGGACGATGCGCTACGAAAGGGTACAGGCACTCTTTGCGAAATGTTGTTAATGGTTCAGGCGTATCAGAAGGGTATCGTACTACCCAACAAGCACCAAGCGCCAAAGGAGGCTTTCTGGGAAGGTCACCTACTAGAGTCAGAAACGTACGTTGGAGGCCACGTCGAGGCCCTCGAAGCTGGAGTCTTCCGAAGCGACATTGCCTACAACTTTGCGGTCGATCCTACTGCCATTGATGAGCTAATAGATGATCTTGATGCGGCCCTCAAGTTCAGCATCGAAGTGGAGGAAAAGAAGAAGATGGAAGACATCACAAATTATGACGAGATCAGGGCTGAGATCGTGGACAAATTGATGCAGCTTAAAGCCACACCGAATCGCAACGAACGACCACTCATCTATCATTTGGATGTTGCATCCATGTACCCGAACATTATGACAACGAATCGACTGCAACCTGATTCCATGATCAAGGAGGCAAATTGCGCAGCCTGCGATTTCAATCGACCAGGAAAGACCTGTGATCGTCGGATGCCATGGGCTTGGAGGGGTGAATACCTACCGGCCAAACGCGACGAGTACAACATGGTTCGTCACGCTCTAGAGAACGAAAAATTCCCTGGAAAGTACGCGAATTCTCCATCACGGACATTCCAACAACTTTCGGAGGAAGAGCAGGCTACGTTTGTGAGGAAACGTTTGACGGACTACTCCAAAAAGATCTACCACAAAGTTCACGACGCCACGACGATTGAGCGGGAAGCGATTATCTGTCAGCGCGAAAACCCATTCTACGTTGACACCGTCAGCGGCTTCCGTGATCGACGATACGACTTCAAGGGCAAACAGAAGGTCTGGAAGGGCAAGACTGAAGCCTTGAAAGCAGCTGGTGCTCCTGCAACTGAAATCGAAAACGCCAAGAAGATGATTGTCCTCTTTGATTCCATGCAGTTGGCTCACAAGGTCATTCTCAACTCTTTCTACGGCTATGTCATGCGAAAAGGATCCCGATGGTACTCCCTAGAGATGGCTGGTGTGACCTGCTTGACAGGTGCACGAATCATCCAGTTGGCTCGATCTCTTGTCGAGCGAATCGGACGGCCCCTGGAACTGGACACTGACGGTATCTGGGCTATCCTACCGGCAACTTTCCCTGAAAACTTCGCTTTCAAACTTACCAACGGCAAGAAGCTGACCATCTCCTACCCGTGCACCATGTTGAACCATCTAGTCCACGCGCAATATACCAATCACCAATACGAGACATTAGCAGACCCACAGACCTTCCGGTACGAGAAGCATAGCGACAACTCCATCTTCTTCGAAGTCGACGGACCGTACAGGGCTATGATTCTACCGACATCGAAAGAAGAGGATAAGAACTTGAAGAAGCGTTACGCTGTGTTTAACCATGACGGCAGCTTGGCCGAATTGAAGGGTTTCGAAGTGAAGCGACGAGGTGAGCTGAAGCTTATCAAGAACTTTCAGGCGCAGATTTTCAAGTTCTTCTTGGAAGGTACTACGCTAGAAGAAACATATGGCGCGGTTGCGAAGGTTGCGAACAGGTGGCTCGACATCCTGGACACTCGTGGCGCGACTTTAGCAGACGAAGAACTCATTGATCTCATTGTTGAGAATAAGAACATGACCAAGACGCTAGAGGAGTATGGAACGCAGAAGTCAACCGCTATCACGACTGCGAAGCGTCTCGCAGAATTCTTAGGGGAGCAGATGGTGAAAGACAAGGGGCTGAATTGCAAGTACATCATTTCCAAGACGCCGAGAAACGCACCTGTCACTGAGCGCGCCATCCCGATGTCTATCTTTTCAGCTGAAGAGTCGGTGAAGCGGTACTTCTTGAGAAAGTGGCTACGAGAGGACCCCGGCGAGATGGATATCAGAGCGGTCCTTGACTGGGATTACTACCGCGAGCGTCTGGCATCTGTCATCCAGAAACTCATCACCATCCCAGCAGCATACCAGAAAGTTCGGAACCCGGTTCCCAGAGTGCCTCATCCGGAGTGGCTTGACCGGAGGATTCGCCAAAAGGAGGACAAATTCCAACAGAAGAAGATGACAGACATGTTTAGCAAGAAGGCACTAACAAATGGAGACGCTAATATTGCAAACAACAAGATCTCTGGTGACCTCGAGGACTTCGGCGCGGCGAAGCTGACCCAAACCCAAACACAGGTGAAGAAAGGCATTGTCACTAAAATGGTCGCAAAGCGGAAACAACCCGAACCTGCAGTGCCCGCTCAAATCGACCCGTACGCCGCGCTGCCGAAAGTCATGCCTTCGATCTCCGAGAACTACCCTGACTGGCTTATGTACCAAAAGCAGAAGTGGAAAATCCAGCGAGAAGCGCGAAAGCGACGGCGGCAACTGTTCGGAGAGAAGCCTGTTGATGCTTCGGACGCGATCGGGAGCTTCTTCAGAAATCAAGCTCAGCTCTTGTTCATTAGTACATGGCAGCTTGTCCAGCTACGACCGACAGAGACACCAGGAGAAGTGAAAGCTTTCGTGTTAATCGACAAGAAAATCCACACTCTTAAGATCATCGTCCCCCGACAGCTATACCTAAATTTGAGAAGCGAGGATCTTCCTGATGTCTCAATCAGCGGCTGCTCGGTGGAAAAGGTTGTCAACCATACCCTTCCAAACGGACATCCATCGATCCATCTGTTCAAACTCCAGATGTCAGAACAAACGTACGTCCAGGAAGCGAACATCATCTCCGCTCTCTTCAATCACTCCAGCGTCGAAGGTGTGTACGAGAAGCAAGTCCCGCTGAACATCCGCGCCATTCTCGACCTTGGATGCACCTGCACCTTTGACGAGTCACAGAAGGGCGTGCTCGGAAAGGGTTTGGAGCAGGGCTTTGATCTGTCAGCGTTGCGAAGAGTACCGACAAAACAGCCCTACCTAGCAGAGGCGCCGCTCAACTACATATACCTATATCATGTCAGCAGCGGAGATCGTAACATCTATGCCATCTTCTCGACATGGAAGAGTGATGCGCATATCATCATTCAAAACAAATCAAAGGACTCGCAAGGCATGCCAAACGTGGACCGGATTTATAGCGACGCTTTGCACAGAAGAATAGAAGATAATCATGGCGAGCCGTGGCAGACAATGATCGATTACCAGGAGGACATCCATTTCCGCACTACAGCAGTAACTACTAAGCGTAAAGCCTTGCTCGAAGTCGGCGACATGATCAAAAAGATGAAAGCCGAAGAAGGCGGGCCTGTTATCGTTGTCATGCAGTCACCGAATCAGGCTCTTCTCTCACATGACATTCCGATTCTGAAGGATCTGCCTATCCTGGCACTGCATCCGGATGAATCTGATAAGCAGCTGCCCCCACTGGGTTGGCAGTCGTTCATTGCTAAACGCCTTGTCGGGCACTATCTCGATCTCGGCTCCTGGGTCGCGCACCTTACGGAGCTGGCTCGTTATGGTGATATCCCCCTATGCAATCTCGAGAGCAATGACCCGCGGTTCCTTATCGATGTGGCATATGCGAGGCGTTTGCAGAAGGATCGTGTGATCCTGTGGTGGTCTGGCCAAGCGAAGCCCGATCACGCTGGGCATGAAAAGGATGATATCCTTGCGCCACTAGAGACGGTCGAGATGCCATCAATCAATAACGCTGGGACATATTCCTCGGTGTGCATCGATTTGAATTTACGCAATCTCGCCATCAACACCATTCTGTCATCATCCTTGATCAACGAGCTCGAGGGCGCAGATTCAGTCTCTTTTAATCCCGCTGCGCCTTCGTATGATGCTGCAAACGATGGAACCAACGTCATCTACTCCGACAATGCCTTCGCAAGTGCAGGTATCACCGTGCTCCGCGAGATGGTCAAAGCCTGGTGGGTGGAAGCCGTTCAAGCCGGCCACGGATTTAGCATGGCGGATGTTATGGTTCAACATCTCGTGCGCTGGGTCAGCAGCCCCGGCTCCTTCCTCTACGACCGGTCTCTGCATTACTATGTGCAGATGATGTCGAAGAAGACGCTCCAGCAACTGATGACGGACTTCAAGCGCGTTGGGTCGCACATCGTCTTCGCCAGTCCGAACCGCCTTCTGTTGCAGACAACGAAAGCGGAAGTTGGCAATGCGTACGCGTATTCTCAGTACATCATCAAAACGATCAAATCAAAACCTTTGTTCCAATTCATGGAGCTCGAAATTAAGGAGTATTGGGACTACCTCGTCTGGTACGATGAATTCAATTACGGAGGCAAGGGATGCAAAGAGGTCGTGGAAGAGGAGAATCAGACGATTGAGAATATCATGTGCTGGCAGCTAGCACAGTTCCTGCCGCCGACGATGCAGCCTACGTTCAATGACTGGGTCGTTGAGTTCATCGAGTTGATGCATGCGCGAAAACGTCCTGCTCCTGCAGCGGACGGCTCGATACCACGGACCACGCAAATTCCTCTCAGACCGTTGACAGTGGATCCTAATGAGCAGACACAAATCTTACCTAAGACGTTCACGAAACCTCTGTTCAGGCAAATATCGACCCTCTTTCGCCGCCAGCACACAGAGATCTTGCACCCCGAACTCGCGGCCGACTACGTCTTCCCACAGCTCCCTGGCTCGCATCTCAAGCTCCAAAACCCAGTGTTGCAACTTGTCAAGAGCATCATGCAGGTCCTATCACTTGACCGCGCAATCTCACTTGAAGCACGGATGCTGAGGAAGGAACTACTCAACCTCTTCGACATCCGGGAGTTCAGTCAGGAAGCGAGTTTTGCGAACCCAAGCGCTGCACTCGTTGTTCATAGCGTTATTTGCGATGAGTGCACATCCTCCCGTGACCTGGACCTCTGCCGAGATAGCTCACTACTTCCTCCTGTACTTCCTGGAGACGCGGATGCTGCGCCACCACCTCCCAAATGGAAATGCGACAACTGCGACTCGAGTTACGATAAGCTACGCATCGAAGAACAGCTCGTGTCGGAGGTGCAGAAGATGGTCCTAGAGTGGTGTACGCAAGACCTAAAGTGTGGTAAATGCAAACGACTGCGCAGCAACGAGTTCATGGAACATTGTGCATGCGCTGGAGAATGGGTTAGTACGAAAAACCGCGGGGAGATCAACAAGCGGCTCAGCGTATACGGTAGCGTTGCTGGCTTTTACGGCTTGAGGATGTTGGAGGCCGTAGTCCAAGAATGTTTAGAAGGATTCTAGGTTCGATCTTACTCAAGCTCACGAAGGGAGATAAGAGTGCCGGCGGATATGGGCGGTAGAACTGGGTGAACTACGGAGTTTGGCGCTGCTACGAATGGCTTGGCTGATCTCGGTTTGATATGGGCTTTTTTCGGCTTCTTTATACCACGGCATTTGAAGGCGTTTATGGCGATTAAGTGGGGTTGAGCTCCGGTTTGCGGATACCTTGTCTACTTTCGGCCCTTGCGTAAGTCGACGGCTCCATATTTCGAATACACGTTGTGTGATATCAACATCTTCAGTTCGTGCATTTACTCTGATGACACTGGACTTCCCATCTTAACAAGCTGAAGATTCCAGTTCGTGGAGGTCGTTGTGATAAGGTGTTCCTTTAACCGAGGGGCTGGTACGTCAGCATACTGAGGGACGTGGTGGGGTCGATCAACGGCATTGAGCACGCAATCTAGCCTAATTATTACAACAGGAACATGGTTGAACTGTCGCCATATCTCCATGGTAAGGTGAGGGGATCGGGCCTTGGTGGTCAGGGGTGCTGGAAGGTATATATGAGAAAGCTCGTCATACATTCGAAGTATTTTTCCGACTGTCTTGACATAAAGTCTCCACGAAGACCGACTTTTGGACGTAGTCAAGCATTGACATTTGTAACTACCTAACGGTTATTACATTCAGTTGATCTTTTTCTCATCTCCTGGTCTTTTCAATTGAAGTCCAACAACAAGTTCTCTTCACAATGGCGCCAGCCCTCACCTCCTCTGCGCCCACGGCTCCCCACGAGCTCGCCAGCAACCTCGAAAACAACACAGCCCCCAAATCCATCTTCCCCGACGGTATCCGCACATCAGGGCAACACGAGCCTATCTATGATCTTGTCCGCCCTTACTCAGATTTCCCCAAGGAAATCAAAGGCGCAACCGCGTGGGCAAAAGAAGAGTATGAAAACAACGCCGAACGCTGGACACACGTCTTTTCCGAAAACGAGATCAAGGAGATTAGCGATGCGGCAGACGCTTTCGTCGCCTCCGGCACGCCCTTGACGGGTATCTCAAAGGAGAAGTTCCAGCTCCCTGAGTTTTCCCGCTTTCTCGAGCCCCTCCGCAAAGAGCTCATCGACGGCAAAGGCTTCATTCTGTTCAAGGGCCTCCCAGTGCAGAAATGGGGCAATTCTAAATCTGCCGTTGCGTACATGGGTCTAGGCACATACCTGGGATACTTTGTCTCGCAGAACAGCCGCGGCCATGTGCTCGGGCACGTCAAAGATCTCGGCGAAGACGCTACGCAGATTGATAAAGTGCGCATCTACAGGACCAACGCACGGCAGTTCTTCCACGCCGACGATTCCGATTTGGTCGGCTTGTTGTGCGTAGCCAAGGCGTTGGAGGGTGGGGAGAGCGACTTGGTGAGCAGCCACTCGGTGTGGAATGATTTACAGGTGAATCATCCCGACGTGGCTGAATTATTAACGAAGCCCATTTGGTACTTTGATCGCAAGGGAGAGGTAAGTAAGGGCCAGCAGGGTTGGATGAGGACGGCAGTATTCTACCTCGAGACGGGCGATAACCCAAGAGTCTACTCCAAGTAAGTCGCCTGCCACCTCCTCGCTTATGCGAATACCACCATGTCGAAGTGCAGACGACACTAACACCTCTGCGTAGGTGGGATCCCTACTTTGTTCGTTCCCTAACTCGATTCTCTGACGCCGGCCTGATCCCAGCTCTTTCAGAGGAGCAGAACCGGGCCGCCCTGATTCTGGAGGAAACTTGTCTCAAGCTCGCTCTACACATGATCCTCGATATCGGCGATATCCAGTTCTTGTCCAACAACCATATCTTCCATGCTCGGACAGCGTACAAAGACTTCCCACCGCCAGCGCCGAGGAGGCAGCTCATGAGGCTGTGGCTCAGCACACCAGAGGAAGAGGGTGGGTGGAAGTTGCCATTCCATGATAGTAGGGAGAAGAAGAGGGGCGGTATTCAGGTCGATGATACAGCGCCTGTTGCGCCTGAAGATGCAGAGTAGAAACGGTGGGACGATGTTAGTGGCTGATGCCTGATCTGTACTTAAAATTAGAAATATTCCATAACCCAAACTTGAAGCCTTGGTCTCTGTTCTCACACGGAGAGAAAATGTATAGATAACGAGACGAGCGTTTGTGAGAAATTGGTATCACATCTTATTCTGCGCACTGCTGTACTCCACCAAACCCACAAACTTAGTGTGCCGAACGCCGCGCATGCCGTCTGAATTCTGCATGCCAAGTTCGATACAATGGCGATCCTATTGCGCATCAATTCTGAGCGTCTGAAGCGAACGGAGTCCCCTACCCTGTGTTCGTCTAATGTCAAACGCACAGGCGCCAGACCTTTCGCCTCGCTGTCCAACCTGCTTTTTGCAAATTTCAATCTTCAATCTTCAATCGTCCAAATCGCTGCTCTCCTAGAACCCCCTACCCCGGCCGCGGCCGCCACCTCGTCCACCACCTCCCCTTCCTCCACGTCCTCGTGGTCCACCCCTTCCGCCGCCGCGTCCACCAGCAGCGCCACCGCGGTCCGTTTCTTTCCTCGCCTTGTTCTTGGGCTTTGGCGCATCGTCGATAAGGAGAGTGTCGAGAGGTAATGAATCAGGGAGAATGATGTAGCGGATTGTTGAGCCGCGGACGGTCATTGAGTCGAGGGCTACGATGTCGCGGGATTTGGGTGTGTATTTGACGGCTCGGAGCGCGACGTTCATGAGGGGCGAGACGGAGGTTATGGTGCCGTTCACGATTGTGCCTGTGTAAATGTTAGAATGATCTCTGCAAGTGCGTTGAGATAAGTTTGAAGTGAGAAGAGAGCTTGCGCGACTAAAAGACAGACGCGCATTATAAGCCAGGAAATCGGGCGCCAAAGAATAGCCACTCAAAGGCGTCCAGCTGAAACGAAACCGATTCATGTGAATTGTACGTACCATTCTTGAGTTCGACTGTGACCGTCTCATTCTGGCATTTCATAAGGAATCTGCATGGCGGTTAGCTTAGCTCTACTCGACACTCAATGGTACTGACCGGACGAGCTTCATTTTGCCTATTTCAACTGTTTGTGACTTGGAAATTCAAATTGCCGGCTGCGGTATCGATAGATTGCGGGATCGTAGTCACGGTGTTGCGGCAGTGAGGGTCAACTTGCGGGGAGCTCTAGTTTGGAAATTGCGATCGAGCTGCCAGGCTGCACGGGCCGTGGTTTATCCGGAAACTCATCACGTGCTCGCACCTTCACTACGGCCCCGCTGGTTCAGCCGCCCTCTATTTGCAGTAATGTCGCTATGGATTAGACAGAAGCTCTGAATAAGTTGGTAGGTAGGCTTTACCTATCAGTTAGTCCATATTACGTAGAGGTGTACTATCCAACTAAGTCGCTTTCACTGCCTGCTAGCGCTCGGGATATCAGGATTGGGCAAGAAATCGAAGCGGTTGAGCTTGCAGTACTATATTTAGTACCTTCATCTATGACTATAGTGCTCAAGTAGTATCTTGATCATGCAGCCTAAATAATCTCGCTAACCTCTTAACTCCCTTTCACTTCTGACATTCCCTACCTTCACCACGTAGTAGACCGTACTATGTGTTTGCATACTGAATAACAAGAGGACGCCCCCACAGTAGTATAAATTCAATGCAGGGCCCAACAGTAAACGACGCTCTACCATTGTCTCAACTCACCATGTCTTAGTCTAGATTGCTTCTGTAGAACCCTCTCGTCAACTCTATCTTCTCTAGCTCTTCCCACATTCCAGTACTCTCACTCCGTGGCCTAACCATGGTCAAGCGCAAAGCACCTGCTACCGGTACTAGACACCAAAGCAAGCGCCCGAAGCCATCCACAACTCCCCAATCCTTCGTTTGGAGGCCAAAAGATTGGGATCTAAAGCGCGGCATCACTCACGAAGTCTCCTTACTCGTCAGTCGGATCGACCGCAAACAGCTGGTTGTAAAGAAAATTATGAAGATTAAATCAAATTCCGATAACGACCCTCGGCCCATTGAGATCCGAGCTCTTTCGTTACTACCTGACTGTAACAGGGTAGTAAACACCCTCTTCTATTCCCCTTCCGATCCTGATCCTGGGCGCGGGACGGCGTTCTTCGCACACTATCCCTTGGGAGATCTTGCGCAGTGGAAGGAGCGAGATTTCGATAGTAAGAACCACAAACCAATACCAGAGAGCTTCATCTGGCGTTTCTTCCTACAGATCAGTCAGGCGCAGGCCTTCGTACAAAATCTGATTGGTCCAAACCGCGACCAGCGAGGATGTATACTCCACCGAGATATCAAGCCCAAGAACATTCTCGTCGTCGACAACGGCACGACATATCCATCATTCAAGCTACACGACTTCGGCTGCGCGCTAATGTACCGGGAATCGAAGGCTCAGCAAGAAGCGCGCTGCGGAACATTCCACTATCAACCACCAGAGATTCCTATAATCAATACGACGGCAGCTGAGACGTGGGCTTTGGGAGCATGCGTCCACTTCCTCGCAACTGGAAATGCGCCAATCCAGAACTTCGGACAATATGCTGTCACACGATTCAATGAGAACCACAAACATCCAGATTCCGCGCGGGGCTACTCTTCTCCGGATCACTACTATAGCGCCCGAGTTCCTCGCCAGGTGACGCCAATCAATCTTTCCAGGGAGCAGCAGAGGCTACGAGGCATCGGTCCCGATAATCACCAATACAGTGATGAGCTGAATGCGTGGATGACACGGTGTTTAAGTCATTCTCCGAACACGAGGCCAACGGCAGATCGGTTGGTTAACAGCATGAGTCTCGTGGCCCGCGGGTTGTTGAAGCGTATGGGAGGAAAGACAGCTCTGGTGGACCTGGACGTAAAGTTCAGTGCCATCGCGTGAACCGGACAATCATCTTCTTGTAGCCCCCAATATAACGACTGCCAAGTAGGATGCCAGCGCCTCAGTCTGCGCTCTTCCATATCCTCACAATCACCAGCTTCTCCCAGCCTGCTTTGTTCCCACTCGATCCCACTGTCTCCGCGTTCCAACCAGAGCCCCAATCTCTAATACGAGCCTTCACCACCTCTGGTTTGTTCTGTGCGCACAATAGCACGTATGCAACTCCTCTTTCATCGCTCAGGATTTCCGGTACCTGTTCCAGCATTCTGTTCGTCACCACCATGCCATCTTCACCTCCCGCGTATGACAGCTGCAATAAATAAGAGTCCTGTTGGAATGAAGTAGCCTTTTTGCCTTCCGCAATCGTGTTGTAGTATTCATGGCGGGATAGGTCGGGGAGCTCGGCGGGTACATAAGGCGGGTTGAAAATGAACACATCGATAGAGTGCGGCCGAATGGCAGAACCCAAATCGCCATTCACGACGTCCAAAAAGACAGAGCGTCCGTTCTCCCTTTCCTTGATCGCATCTCGAACTGTTTGCGAAGCTGCTCGGCATGCGAAGCTGTTGATATCAGTCCCTAGTGTCAGAGTATCTTGTCGACCAAATATGCTTTGCGTATTCGCAGCAACGAAAGCTAGGACGACGCCCGAGCCGACGCCCACTTCGAGCACCAACGGTGGGGAAGAATTCGCATGTTTGAATCGGTCCTGTAGAAAGGAAGTTTCTGAGGGCGACGAGAGTGTGTCTAGAAGTAGGTACGAGTCTTCCGCCGGCTCGTATACGCGGTCGAAGCAGACGTGGGACGTCGAGGGTGTTGGTAACATAGTTGGAGGATTATGCGAAGTCGGGAAATGTTGCAGTTGGCCAATTGGGGAAGGCGGAGCTCGGGTAATGCCGAGGCTGAGGTCATCGCATGCTTTCGTAGTCAATTCATCATCACTCATCTTCGAGTTCATCATTCACAACATTCTTTATTCTTTCTATAACAATGAGGCCTTGTATACGACTCTTAGCTATAGCGACTGATGCCGGGGCATCAAGACCCTTCAGACCAGCCCCAGCGGCTTTATTACCACCGATACCTCTTTACAGACGCCTTCTAAGGTCACATCGAAAGCGGCTAGGCATAGAAGAACGTCTTCTCGGGGATCTGTACGTCAAGGCTGAGTTCAGAGCTCACAAAAACATCGACAATCCTGTACAAATTGTATGTCACGCTCATTGCAGCACCACGAGTATAGTATCAACTAACCCAACCAGATTGGTTTTCTCTCAGAGTGGCAACAGTACTGTCAAATGCTCGAGGGTGACTCTTGGAAGGAAGCCAAAATGGAGAAGATCAAGATTGACAAGATGAGTGGTGTGTTCAAAATGTTAACCCTCTGCTTCGCAATTCACTAAGTAATTGCAGATCAACAAATTGGGCAACTCTACGAACTCATGCAGGCGATTAAAAAACAAGCCGATGCGGATGCCGAGGAAGAGAAAGCCAAAATCATAGGAACTCTTGACAACAAGTCAAAGACCGAGTAGTGGTCAATATGTGAAGTCCCAATATGGCCATTGCACGCTTTAGGACAAACGTAAATTACTTCACGCTCGACAACGAACAAAAAGGCCCTATTGGATACTTCACATGCTACTCCAGAACATGTACTATAAATATCAGCAATACCCAAATAAGTTATGGACATCTCCTACGTCCACATCGCCTGGCAGCCTAGATTGTTTCTCTGAGATCAGTCACAAGCACCATCTCCCTCATCTATAAGCCTTCCAACATAACACCGCCAAGGGGCTTGAACGGCTGCTGGGAGCTGCGGGAAACTTCCTCCAGCATTGGAAATCGGTCTCCAACCTCATCCTCCGATTGTTCAAGATGTGTGGGTGCACACTGTACGACTCCCCAACATGCGGGCATTCCTGGATCTCCATGAGCCAGCCTTGCGGGTTCCTCTCAGATCTCCTCAATTGTCCCTATCGACAAACATACCAGACCTTGATCGCACCACACTACACTTGTCCTATGTGCAACGGTGGTTTCGCAGATCAAGAAACGATGGAGATGGTTCAAGGACCGTGGGGATGCAATCAGATGATCCGATATCACGTCGGTGGCAAATTTGCGATTCCTGGGCAATGGGGTAACGCGCCATTGATGTCAAGCGGCTGGGGCGGGCCTGCCATGACTTCTGGTGCTGTGGTGCATACGAATGGTTTCACGTACGACCACAGACTCACAGGGCCATATGGGCCTCGTCCAATGATAACCAATCCTCCAATGATTGCTGGTGGACCAATGATTTGCGGCGACTACGGCGCTTTCGACGATGACTACGACGATGACTTTGGTTGGGGTTTCGACGATAGGAGGCGGAGGAGGAGCAAACACAAGAGCCACTACAAGTATCGATACTCCACCAAACCTGTGACGAATTGCACGGTCATGTAAGCTTCAATAGGCTTGATGGAGAAATTTGCTAAGACATTTATGTATTGGGTAATGGCTAAAGGGAATTGTTCGTCTCCTCTGGGGTGGCTGTTCACCGGCTTATGATCGAGTCCTGCTTAGCGGATCTCGTCAATGTAACGCGGCAGCAGTACTAGTGAGCAACGGTCACGAGTCCTACAATGACATGTATATAAGTCTCCTCGTTCGCAGTGACATATAGCAAACACGCGTGACCAGCAAGGCACTCATGCATCGGGACTTGAAGTAGTATCTTTGCCGACGCCAGCCCCGCGACACGTCAAACATCGAAGCGTGCAGCGCTCAGTCTCTCGCACGCCGCTCCGTCAGTTCACACTGGCGCTGGACCAGGCTCACAGCCACCTACGTCCCATATCTACTATAATCATTAGTTTGCAACGTCGCGACGTCTATCTTTTCACCCGTTCAGTTTGCTAGGCAACAATATCGCGGGGTAGTACAAGGATAGCTGCATTTCTTCCTTCGGCTCGCTCCGTCAAGCAAGTAACGAACAACAACAAACACCGTACCCTTCACACGACAACATCGCAAACAATTCGTCAACATGGCGTCCTTTTTCGAAAACCTATGGCTCTCCATCTTCACCCCTGGCCCGACGCCCACACTCCTCGTCGCAACAAACGCCTCCTTCGCCGCCCTCCAGCTCCTCCTCTTCGCCATGTTGCTCGCGACCTACAGCATACACTTCTTTATCCTCTCATTCTTATGTGGAGGTCTATGGTGGTCAATCAACTGGTTTGCGGCTGAGATTCGCGCTGCGCAGGCAAAAGAGGAGGAGGCGAAGCGCATTCGGGAAGCACGCAGAGGGAAGGAGAAAGGAGCTACGGGTGACGATGGGGAGGCAATGGATACGGGAGATGATACGGAGGTTGACACCGAAGTCGAACAAAAATACAAACAAGCACCCAGGCCGAAACACAATACACCGCGTGCGCCGCGCCCGGAGACGCAGAGTACGGTGTTTGTTGAGAGACCCAGTGGAAGTGGAAGGGATGGGGCCCCGCAAGCTTCTTCGGCTGGTGTCAGAGAGCCTACAGCTACAAGTACCACGGGTGCTACGACGAGGCTTGCGCCACTGGACGATGCGCTGAAGAAGAGGAAGGGGTTGGGGGATTCGACGGGGGACCTAAGTACGGATAGTGAGTGGGAGAAGCTATCTGAAGATTCCGGGGATAGATGATAGACGTGTGCTGTTAACGCTTGTGGTTCGGACGCTCTTCCGCACGCTGATATAGGATCTGGGATACTAGACGCGTCAAACAAAGTCATGGAGATGTACTAGTTACCTGACCCACGTGAACACGCGATATGCTCCTTCCTGCCCTGCATATGTCATGTTCACACTGTCCGATAGGGCAATACAAAGTTGATGTCTCCATATACTCGTTGCTCCAGTCTCCTTCTGAACCAGGTCAACCGGTGTCTACCTCATGTTGCTGCCCAACCATGCGAGATGGAATGGCCGTGCTTGCCATTGCTCGGAATGCCCCGCAATACACCCAGCTCCACCCATCACTGTGTGCCAGGCACCAAGATTTGAGCACTCTCAGGCAACGCTCAAAGTGAATTGCACACATCGCAGATGAAGACGCGTCACCTCCACCCACATCGGTAGAGGTCTTTTTGGCTGTGCGAGTAGTTGACTCCTCGAGCTGCTTCCGACTACGCACCATCCCCCGCCATATCCATATCCACGACTTGCCTTGTCATGGCATCTCTCAACGCCCCTTTGAGCGTCGCAGACCTAGTCGCGCAAGCCGGGAACTACACATACAATGTGCACATACCCCTGGCAAGCTGGCTGCGCACAGCTAGTACTATGCAGAAAGAGGTGCGTTGCGTCATACCATGATGCATGCCCAAGCTCACGATTACAGGCCCAGGTCTACGAAGCAGAAGGCAACGACGCGCAAACATACTTGCTCCTATACCGACACGCCCATCTCGTCCTCCAACACCTACAGGCTCACCCTGACAGAAACAAGCCTGAAAATCGGAGAGCGCTCAACGCTGCCACGGCGACAGTCGGCAGTGATCTGAAGAAGCTTGAGGAGATCGCGCCCCGGATAAAGAGGAGACATGAGGAATATCAGGAGAGGAGAGGTAGACAGCTAGAGGCTGTGAAGTCGCTACAGGGGAAAGGCGTCAAGAACCTCCCACAGGAGCTCGATGGTCTTTCATTATATGATCGAGGGTCAAAGAGGACGTCATACGATTCGAGACCTACGCTTGATGCCCGTGCTCAAGAGAATCACTCGCTAGCTGCGAGACTGGCACAGAGAGAAGTAAAGCGGAGGGATACGGCGAGGAGAAGTGTTAGACAACATGGAGTATCGGAAGAGGAGGAGCAAGAGCGACGGACAGGAGGCACATGGGACAGTTGGCAGGAAGAACTTGCGCAGCAAGGCAATGCTGAAGATGACCTTTCAAATCAACTCCAGGAAGTCGCGCGTCTACAGCAGAATGGTCACAGCACTTCCTACATATCAGTAAGCTACACCTAATGTCCTTCTTTTCGATTCAGTACTAACAAGTGCAGCATCCAACATCCCAATCGGCGTCCGCATATCACTATCCTTCAGTACCACACAAGACGGCTCAAGAGAGGTGGTCAGACTCAAAGCAGTCGTCTACTACAGCACCCGCTCGACCTCCAAAAGAACATATATACAGATCTTCGGGTACACCATTGGTGCCTCCTCCACTGCCTCCAAAACCACCAACGCCTGGACGATTCGAGAACCCACGACCGCCACCGATACCCGGCAAAGTCTTAGAAAGCGCACCGCCACTTCCTTCAAAGGTCTTGGATCAGCGCCCGCTCACCCCCTCCACCGAACTCGACGAATTTACTTTCAAACCCACCGCCTACCTCGAGAATGGCGACCCTCTTCGCCCTGTTTTCCTGCCGTCCCAACTACGACAACAATTCCTCTCCGTCGCCTCCAGCAATACGCGTCTCAATCTCGAAACCTGCGGCATGCTGTGTGGGATCCTAAAATCCAACGCCCTCTTCATAACGCGGCTGATCGTGCCGGAGCAGACAAGCACGAGCGATACGTGTGAGACTCTGAACGAGGAGGAACTGTTTGATTATTGCGATAAGGAGGAGTTGATGGTACTCGGGTGGATTCATACCCATCCAACCCAGACATGCTTTATGAGTAGTAGGGATTTACATACGCATGTGGGTTATCAGGTCATGATGCCCGAGAGTGTGGCGATTGTTTGTGCGCCGAGTAAGGTGCCAAGGTATGTTGTTGTCCTCTTGCTCTCCGTCTCTTGTTGCTCTATCCACGATGGTTTGAGATGGGTAGTATGCTAACTAGAATTGTAGTTGGGGATGCTTCCGCCTTACCGATCCTCCAGGCAAACAAGCGATCCTAAACTGCACCAAGCCTGGTATCTTCCACCCCCACGACGTGGATAATATATACACGGAAGCGCTCAAACCGGGCCACGTGGTTGAGCTAACCAACGCGCCACTGGAGATTGTAGACATGCGACCGAAGAAGGAATTATAGTGCAATGGGCATCATGGCCGCGTGGTGGACTAATAGAGTTCTGGGATGGATCAATTCTGCATAGCGAGGTGTTTTGGTATCGTCGCAAGAATTCATGACTTAGAAGACTTTTGCATGGATCCTTAGGAGCATTTTGGCAGACATGAAGTGCCGAGTTGGGCACGAATTGCATATGCAAACGGCATTCCTTGTCATGTGGTCAGTGGAGATGTTGCCAAGAGATCAGTGAAATTTGCTCATCGCAATGAAGTCGTAGACGGAGTTCGGCAACACTTTGAAAAAGATTCACCGTCGGCCCTGTTCTTCGCTCATGCAGTAAACAGGTACTGGGACGTGAAAAATACATGACCGGCACGGATCCGAGGCGTACCCGGCACAACGGAATCAACCGTTGACTATATACGCAGCAACATAACTTGATTCATGCAAGAACAAGCGATCGTGATCGACTAGCGGTATCGGCCCTCCTTGCACGATCAGCAATGATACGTTCAAGTAACTCCCCGAAACATCATCTCCACCCTCAACCTCATCAAGGTCACGCTGATCCCCCCCAAAATATTCGGGAGATCGACATGGGTCAATAAAATGGTCGCAGGCGTGAAGCTGCGGAAGAAGTCCAAGTTCATCGTCTCGAATTGGCAAGTGATGTGGCCGAAAACAGCGCGCATGGCAGGACGTGTGCGACCACGGAGGGGCTGAAGCTTCAAATAAAGTTAGAGCTAAAGCTATGGGGGTTGGTGATGTTGTACGCGTCGAAACAGCGCTTTGGCTCGGCATGTTGGGGTCTTGTACTTTCTCGACAAAACCCAACCGGCAGTTAGCTGAAGAGAATATGTCAATGCATTAATTGAAGTAGAACTGCGAGCTGAAGATTTACATTTGGCCTAGCGTACTTGGCGGGTTGCTTGTGTTTGTGTCTTTCAAATTTTTGGCACAACTGCCTAGTAAACCAACATGATTAATGAAAGAAGATATCGTGAAAGGGCTGTGGTTCTGTCCCAGCAGCACGGAGATACGATACATGATACAGGGATCAAGACCGTAGAGTGAAACGTCCCGCCCATTGTGCAGACATCCCATCGAGCTGGTACCGAGCGCTCGGAGCGTAGCGCATGTAGTACCTTAGTCAGAGGAGCTACATGAAGGCCTAGAATGCTGGCAGAGGAGCAATTCAACACACCAAAGCTCTGTAAAATAGATGTCAGGGAATATGCATAGTGTAAAACTATCGTAAGCAAAGGCCCGACGTCTGAGCTAATTTGTAAAACGCGTTGCGCCGATGGGAGCCCGTTGCATTGGGCCGGCAATGACCGTATGGCTAGGTACATGGATACATCATGGCAAGAAGAGGCATGAATGTGATTTTTGGCTTTCTCAAATTCAAGTCCGGGGAAGTTGTTGAGTAGGTTAGTATCGCCGAGCTGTCAAATTCACCGAAAGCAAGATATCGTAGGTTTCGAATAGAAGGAGAGCGTATCTTTCTAGCCTAGTGCTAATCACTGAAGCATGTGAATTGCATGTCTCTGATCAAGCCAAGAGAGCTACTCATGCTTGCCACCCCCTGTAGACCGTCTTGCTTCCATACTTTTCGCCCTTCTTGAGCACCATGCTAGACCTGTACTCCGGGACATTGATCGCATTGACATAGCGACTGGGCTCAACGCAGAATCCCGAACGGGGGCCCCTAGCTGGCAAACCGTCAACAGCGGGCACATCGATGTATTTGCCGGTATAGAATTGGAAGGCTGGCTCGGTAGTTGAGATCTCGAGATGGATTCTGCTTTCAGGATGATAGAAAGACGCAACCTTGTTGAGAGGGGATGAGCGAGTATCGATGGGGATACTGCTGGGGTCGGTGTTGACGACGAAACAGTCGTCAATATCAGGTTCCTTCTCGCCTAGTGTGAAGCGTGTCTGGGGCTTCAGGCCTGGGTACTCCTCAATTGGTCCTGTGGGTATGTCTGTGCCGTCCACCACCTGGTACTTATTGGTGATCAGACTGACTTCTGTGCCAGCAATGGTAGATGCTCCGGTGAGGTTAAAGTAGCTGCGTGCAAAGTCAGCAAAGTCCCAAACGTGGGCCTGCTGCAAGAACTCACCTGTGGTTGGTCATGTTAATTGCAGTCTCGTCCACTTCATCGCCAACCAGTTCGGCTTCATATTCAATGTGCAACACGTCTTGTTGAGCACCATCGACCTGTTCCTTCTCTTGCACATACCAAACGCGGACCTCCACGGTACCGGGGTAGCCTTCTTCACCATCCACACTCACATACTTGAAGAAGGTGGCTTCTTGGCCGTTGCGGTTCACCGTGGACGGCCCTTCAAATTCGCGCTTTCCCCAGCCAAGGTTCCCGCCGTGGAGGGAGTTTGGTCCATTGTTGACTGGGAGCGAATACGACTTTCCATTCAAGTCATTGATTTTCGCATTCGAGACTCTGTTTGCGATACGACCGATTGTCTCGCCAAAGTATGGGAAATTGTACTGCTTGTACAGCTCTGCGGTCGGAAAGCCTTGCACAATATTCGTTCCGTTTATGGTAAACTTTTGAATGATGGCGCCCAATGGGAGGAAGGTGAAAGCCTTGGCGGAAGACATGATGCTAGTTGCCAGCACGGAAATGGGTTAGCTCGGTGATCGGCTTGCAGTCTGGCCTATAATGCTCTTATTAGTTGGATTCTCAACGCCTAGAAGGCAAGCAGGTGTGGTAGAGGTCATGGAGCCACACTCTTTGGCTTGGACCCTTGTGGTACTTGGTCAGGTCGAGTGAGGGGGTGGGGATGGGGTTCTACCAGTGATGTGCAACAGTTGGGTAGTGCGGGGCTTTTGCAGGGTCACGACAACTCACCTGAGCTGGTTTATTCCTCTTGAGCTTGACCAGGGACGGGGAAAAATCCAGAAACGTAGATGTTAGTCGCTATTTGAACACGGTTGCGAGGGCAATCGAGTAGAAGAGGACAGGTCTGAACGTCGACACCTGATGCATATCATTAGCCTAATGAAGTAGTGGAGCGCAGCAATTCTTCCGCCTCGTCCTCCGCCTCGTCCTCCGCCCCGTGAAGAACTAACAGTGGGAATTCATCTATGCAGTATGAATTCCGCCAAGTCGCGCGGGATGCCTAATAGAGGTAGTCCTTCACTTGTTCGCGAACGTCAAGTGGCAATGGGTTGGAATTTGCCTTGGAGCTAGGTACGGTAACGTGCGCGCTGCGTTCGTCGCAGCCCGTGCGCGAAACCTGCGCCGAGGGTGTTCTTCTCCAGGCTGCAACCACGGCTTCAACAATTCAAACATCACCAAGCGAAGTAGAGTATGTATATATATGGTACAATTCATTTACGACCAGGAAGACAAAAATTACGATCCACATCCCTTTGGTATGTCGTTCTTTCCGATTGTCTAATCCCTGGGTGCACATGCTTCATGTGCACCCTACGTCACTGTAAAGTCCTGAGCCATGGATTATCGTGAAATCAGGAGGAAAAAAAAGTGCCATCGATGCCATGTCGGGCCAATAACGCCAACCTGAACCGAACGCCGTTTTTGCACCTGTTCCAGAACGCTTAAACGCTAGACGAAGAGACGAATGATGAAGTGGAGAGGAGGCCAGACCAATCATGCACCAATTGGATTTTGTATGAAGGTGCTGAAGTCCAGCTCATTGGGGCTATTCCAATTTGGCATCATAGGGTCACTGGGGTTGATCGCCATCGTATCGACCATCATGGACTGATCGTAATTGCTGTTGAAGTTGTCGAATCCATACATGGGCTTGCTGAAGTCCACTGGCTCCTCCATCATGATGGAATCATTCATCCATGCTGTCCGTGAAAGGGCCGAGGGATCCAAAGCTCCACTGCTCATGAACGTGGACGAGGCCATTGGTGATTCTTGTTTTATCGGCGACACAACCTGCGATTGTCGCGGGAAAGGACTGTTCATTGGGGGTGTTGGTGGCGCAGTGTTGCGCGCAAAAGGGTTATCGAAAGCGAACGATCTCGTGGTCGGGGTACCGTTATACGACGATGAGGATGATGCGTGGCCGTGTTCCGAGTCTGAACTCACAGACCCACGTCTTCGAGTAACAGGAGCCCCCCTCTCAAGCAACTTCTGTTGCATCCGATTGCAGTCCTCCTCGAATCCCTCATAATTACTGCTGTTCTCGCTCGAAGGATGTAGGAGGTCGAGTCGCTCAAGAATATCGTGCGTTAGCGGGTGACCGCCAGACGCTTCCGGCAATGGCTGCCCTGGCCAACTCTCGCCATTTTGTAGGCGGCTGTACAATAGTCGAAGTCCAGCTACGAGCTGCGTCTGTTGTTGTTCGAGCATCTCAACGTATCTGTTTGTGTTAGCGTTGTGACGAGAGTACGCAGGTGGCAACACATACCCTTTGGGATATACTTTATCTTGCGACTTTTTCCGTTCGCCAAAAACGCAAATGGCATTATCGGCTTTACATCTACTGCAAGGGCTTGCTCCATCGCACTAGCACGATTAGATGAGGGACTAGGATTCGATGTATAGTCAGACGTACCTTTGACTTTTTCAATCGGCAACGGTCGCAAGCTTTGCAAACGCGCTTTCGGATGTTGTCGTGTGCCTCCATAGAATCCGACCTATGAGGAGACATTTGGAGCGGTGGCAGACGTGTGTATATGGGATAGATTGACGATGTTGTGGTCGGCTAGTGCTAGGACTAGGTGGTCGAAAGGTTAATGTCTTGGTGGATAGTGAAAGAGGTACCAACGACTTTTCAATGGAAGTGAGGTGGAATTTGGGCTCCTGAATATGGACATAGCTTGTGTGGGTAGCATGGCATTATATCTGTTCGCGTCAGAGGGCAGCTCCAAGCGGACGTTCGGCATTAACCTGTTGGCCTTTGGCGCAAAAGCTCGGTATTGTAATTTATAAAGCCCGACGACTCGGGCAGCTAAAACCCCTGTCCCTCTAACATTATCAGTCGGGAGCACGTTGGTTACTTTAGTCGACCTGCAGGGATACAGGGATAATGGCCCTGCGCCGACCTTACGAAGCCACTTAGGCTGGGCTCAGTTCGGCGGTATGTGTGTGACGAAGCTTGCGCGGAGTCGGCCAACAAGCGGACCGTTGGACTTCAAGAAAGCCTTCTCTGATCGCAGCCATCGGTTAGCGGCACTTGCACATCCACGCCCAAAAGCGTGCGGAGAAAGCACTGGCACACACACACACCCTGCCAGCCAGGCCTCTGAAGATCCATCATCAGGGACAAAGGACCAAATGGGCTCCATGGACACCTGTAGGCGTCATCATCATGGCTCATCCATCACTAATAACGTTATTCGAGCTGCTTCCTGGACCCCCTCCCATCAAATTGCTTCGGCCGAGCCGAAGGTCACTGCTAGCTGACTACTTCTCCTCAGTCCGAGCGATCCCCTTCGAAGAGAATTTGCTCTCTTTTTGATTTTAGACTGTCAGAAAATGGCTCGCGGCATTTTGCAAAGTGGAATGCCCGATGCTTTTAAACGCTACCAACGCGGGACGGATACAGAAGCGCGAGGCATGGTCGTGCCAATGTTCGCAGCCTATCGCCATCTTCAGTAACTCAACAGACGTCAGTAAGCCATGCACGTGCGAGACTAACTTCACTAACATATTTGAAATCCGAGATACGCATGAACATGTATGCGCTGGTAGCAAACGTCGCGATACACTCAGCGCATGCGTCTTTTACATCTGCTGACAACAATGGGGACATGACTCTCTTCAAGCCACAACCTTCGATGGAGAAAGCGTGAGATACTAGTCAAGCTCACGTCCTGTAGGTGATCCTTGCATTGCGCCCTTTCTGCTGCTTATCAATGGCGCACAGCAACACACAGCAGTGGTTCGCTAGCGCTAAGCCTCAAGTCGCATACGATTATTCTCCGTCCCATCAGGTATTGTTCGTTATCATGTTGCTTGCCTCGGCCATCGTGTGTGCCGCAGTCTTTACTCATCTATATTCATCCTCACGACAATTACCCTGCACTTCGCCCATTCCATTCTCGTCCTGGCTGCTCGCGAGGCATACTCCCTCTCGCATTTTGCGAAGTTGGAAGGGGAAGGGTGCACTAAGGCCTCGTCAGGCAACGGGGCTGAGACACCAAGAATACTACTTCTGCACATTGTTGCGAACTTTGCGCATTCACCGTGTTCTGTTGTGCCTATACGCGTATACTCTCCCCAACCTTCTGGCTTGTCATTAATCGCGACCAGCGAAACCCACTCGTTACGCGAATAATGGTGAGCGTTATACTTTACATCTAGCGTCAGCAATCTTTGAACCACATGTCAGCAGTCTAGGCGTAGAGCTATATCTCGTGCAACGCTCGCTGTACGCTATAAACATTGTATTATCCTCCTTGGACAATTGCCATAATGCAGGCCGCTGACAACGAGCCTGTAGATCAATGCCCCAGTTCCCTTAATATGGACCCCATTCGCTGTCTTTGCACACCTGTCTAACCTAGCGAGCGTGCTCGGCCATTTCCCTGGTATATACACCCATGGCTTACAAACCGATCAATGCGGGGTGGGCGATCACGCCAGTCGAGCTCTAACATGTAACTATCAGGCCCGAAGACTTTTCGCCGAAAGTAAGCCAACTCACTGATCCAGGGGGTAGTCTTTCTTTCCTGCTTCGTTCGGCATTGAATGATGAAGCCCCCGCATCGGTCCATGTATCGTAGAAAGAAAGACCCCAGACCGGTACTGATACTGAGGTGAACTTGGCAAGACTTCGGGCCAAATGCTCACAAGCATGTTTGATCTACTTCGTCGCCTATGGGGGACGAGCATTTGCCCAATCCAAAGGGTGAGGAAGGGCCGCCAGACGAAGTCGAGTTGTCTGCCTTAGTGCTTCAGCAACTCTTGTAATTGCTACATATCGATTAACGCTCCGCTAACGCAGTATCTGACATTGCCGTGTGTCAGCTTGGCAACCACAGGGGTATCAAGTTGAAGACGTCAACGACTACTTATTAAGTTTGCCTAGCCGATTTCCACGGCCTTACTCATCTGTGGGGCTGGCCTCATTGTGCCAAATGCATGATTCTTCCAACTATGAACTACGGAGCCTGGGCTTTGTTAATCTTGACCGTCTCTTGGGCTCGCATGTCTAATATCACACATGATTTCGACTGTCAAGAGCGACGCTATCTTGTTTCGCAGGCAAGGTTATATAAGCCAAGGCGCCAATTATTGACCGTATTCGCCGTATCAATACGGAAACCTGTCGGAACACTAGCCACACACGCCACAGGGCTTGACTGCCACGAAACCAACTCTTAACACGTATACGCGGGAACGCGAGCGTACCGAGTCGCCGAACATGTAAAATGATCTTCAAGAGTACCTTGATACACACACTAAATACGGCCGTATCACTCTATTATCTAAAGACGTGATTTTTAAACGCTCTTGGTCGATTGCGGAGTCGCAAGTTCAGAGTTCCAACCTCCGGACACCTTGGCCCATGGTCTTTCACGAATGAATGCTCAGGCAGTACGATCGATCTAGTAAGGATTGCGGCATCTTAGAAGACCCGTGGCGACAAGTCAGTCTTCCAGTGTGAACTAGAGATTTAAGATTGGATGCCCGGCCCCCTTCTCTTGAAGACCTCCTGACTGTCTAAGCCTCAGCCGCGACGTGGACATGAAATTCGAAAAATTACACGGGTGCGGGCTGCTAAGGCTTTCCGCTGGAGCGTCCAGGACGAAAACGCTCGGGATGCTCAAGTTACTCGGCGATCCGGACCATCCGCTTCCCGCGCCGAGGCTAGTCACCTTGTGAGCCTTCGACAACAAATGTTTCCGAACCCGACATTATTCGCGTGGTCAGAATACAAGACTAACATTTGGTTGTGTATCGAAAACCTATCCCTCGTTACCAATCTAGATGCGTTGACTGACTCAGATAACCTTTGTTACTATAAAATTGGCTTTACAGGAAGCATGACGTCGTTGAGATAGCTGTGAGGACCTATCATCACGAAAAAAGAGGATATCACTACAGGGTCCGATTGTTCAAGATAGGGGTAGCAACACGTCGCAGTTGCTGTCCATCCAGGGCCTCCTTGCTGGCCACATCGAAAATGAGGCGCAAAACATGAAATAACAGTCATCAGTCTGAGGCGAGTCACAAATGTGGTCTCCACAACAGGCCCACAAATTTTAGGTAAGGCTGAAAAGCTTCGATTATTTAACATTATACCCGCTCACGCCATATGCGCAAATGCGAGATTGCCCCGTTCACGAGGCCTCTCGATATTCTGGGGTTGTGTAAGGTATGCTTCCAGAAGAACACCTACTTCGGACTTTGTGCTGACACACCTTGCTACCAAAGATACGCGAGTAAGGACTACACTTCAACAACGGGAATAAGTCAGCCATAGACATCAACTACTTGATCGTCCTTTGCACTTGGGACATCGTCGATGAGCCTCGGCCGAACGCACATCCTGACAAAAACAAAGAAAAACGCTCACTTCGTACAACCTAATTCCTTTTCACGAGCATACGGAGAATGCATCACACATAGCATGTGATGGAACGGCTATACGTCAAAGGGGTATGATATCCGAAGCTTCTTTCCGTAATCTTCAAAGTGAAAACCTTGATGAGTATGGATCGCCCCGCTTGCAGCATCTCCACATGGTGGCCGAAGGATCTTTACGTCGCACACCAAAACACCGGACTAAACGATCCGACGCCTCATATCTGCGCTTTAGCCCTCGATTAGCGTCGTCGTGACTCTATTCGAGACTCTTCTCGAAATACCTAGGGTTCCCTTGAGCGGTAAATGTACATCCTCGTGGTGGCCGTTGATGTTGCGCAATGACCATGAGATCAACATATGCACATCGCTTTAGAGCGTTTTATGCTGGATCCTTATCAATATAACCAAGGTTCAAATTCCTTCGCAACATTACATCATGCGCCGCAAAAATGCATGCCTATCACTCAACAACACGCAAGTCAACCCACGCAAGACTGACTCAGCTCGCTATGAACGCATTATACGAAGGGAATCACACCCGAAGGAAGCACACCCCACATTTTAAGATCTGATACGAGATCTCACAATCTGCGTCTTTTAATTCGCGTCTTTTATACATCGGAAGACAGTCGGCTTCCAATTACTATCCCCGAATTTCCACTACCCGGTACCGCGCTGCCTGGTCTTTTTGCTACGTCACGTCTGTCACGTTGCAGTATTAGAGGAGAAGCGCTGGCTAAGCGGTAATTGCGCTGCTTACTTGATGTTATTTTCTCCCTAACTAGTTGTATAGACCCATCTCAGGTCAAGTCAAGTAAGGGGTAAATGTACTGCTATCTATGTAAGTATTCAAGAATGCTTTAACTAGCAGATATCGCTACTAGACCCTACATCTTAGAGCACCCTTCGTTGCATTGTGAGCACAAACCAAGAGCGCTACAGTCAACATATTATATGCGAGAAAACTCCGAGGTAAGTGTTCACTATGTAAGGACCCCTTTTCTATACTACTTCCATCACCTCACGAATGCTCAAGTCTGTTGCTCTTTTGCGCCCGAGTTTATTCCATGTCCCATTTCGACCATGCCTATTCTTGTTGTATGTATATTTTCTGAACATGCCAGCGTCTTGTTTCCATTCGCGTATCTTTACAGAGTTTTATATGGACAACAAGAAAAGGTTGAAACATGCTTCTGAACTAGTTTTCGTGTGTTGAGGAATGCGACTAGAACATTATCCCTCCGAGCTAAAAGCGGTAGGCTATTAGATTTTCACGGAATACTTGAAGATCTTCAGCCTGAAGAGTACCGCGCTAGCTAATAGGGTAGTGCATGAGCAAGTTTTTCAGGGGCGATGACGAGGCAGATATCCATACTAGCCTACGACTACCAGGTAGTGGCACAGGATGTATCACAAGTGTATAGCTACGAAGCACAAACGGAAAGGTCTCAGCTAGGTCGGGCTAAACAGATGCTCGAATTGCAAGTCGTTGTCGCATTCCAAGTGACAAACGACATCACAGAAGTTAACCCGCAGTCTCCTATCAACACTAGTACAGTACGTACTGCCGCTTGATATGCATTGCGAAGGCTCTCCAAGCCTTGCTAATGGGAGGCTCACTCAAGAACACAGTACACAGTTTCCGTTCGTTTCACCGCGTTACTTTTCCCGAGCTAGACGTTTCAATCCGAAAAGCAACCCCTGTTACCCAAGTTCAAACGTCACAATGCGCACAAGGCAACGACGAAAGAGTAGTTTTATACTCAAGAGGTCACGATTTCATCACAAGACTGCATGATACGCAAGGCTGCATGGTACCTAGATGGGAACCCTGTTTGTATCGCTCTATCAGGTGTTGCGTGTCTACGGCGAGGCTTATTTGCCGACTTTCGCCTAGAAAACTACCGGTAAAAATGAGCGCGAGTACCAACATCGACTGCTCATTATAGCGTCAATGTAATGCTTATGTAGCGATCGCAACGTAAATCATGCTTGTCGCGACAAGGAACCTACTTGAGAAATTACGATGATGCTGGGTGGACTAGTGTCACAGTCAGCGAGTAATACCTTATCTAGTGGGGATTCTGACGGGCTGCAGACCCTGTCTTGCTTCTTCCTGACGGCGGCCATGATGCACAACCCCAGATATGTTCGCAATCGAGCGACGCAAAAGGATCTTGATTGGGGGCAATCCGTCATCCTGGGTTCGAGACATGCAGCCAGAACTTTGAAATGCCAACGTTGAGGTACGAAAAGACGATGGAATTAGAAATGAGACCTAAGGAGCACGACTTACGTCAACACTCAAGCTAAAGAACAATTGAAAATACCCTACAACAAAGAACTCCTATATGTCAGTCAAATCGTGGGCAGGCATATTCGTGAGAAGTGGTCCTCAAGTCAAGGCTTTTGGTGCTTCTGCTTCCTCGTCCTCAGTCTCATTCGCGTAGTTGCCCCCGCTGATGTATGACTTCAAGAATCAATCAGGCTGTCAACAATGTCTCAAAACAACGATTCGTGCTCAGATTACAAGCTCATTTACCCCGTCCTCGCCTTTACTACACCACAACGAGTTCAACGGTCAATGTCAGCTTACACGCGCCAAAAGTTTAAGTAGGGCAGCCCAATCCAAGCTAGCCACATGCTCGCTAATTGCTCACCAGGCAATAACCGTAATGAGAAAGTGAGAAAGCAAATAGTAGAGTGTCGAAATGGGTGTTCCAGACGTGATCGACTCGTTGGTCGGTATGTGTTATTGAGTCGAACAGCGCACAAAAAGCGGCGATAGATAACGTTGCCATGCAAAAAGGGCCTATTACAGTACTGATGGGCTGCTTAGTACCAACCATTGACATATTAGGGCTGATTTTCTGATTCTACCCAACCACAGCTAAATGCCCCAGTATCCAGGCCTGCTGTGGCGGGACAGGCGAGTAGGGATGGCGACATCAAACTCTCGTGACTGGACGGTTGCAGCAATTTGACGATGCAAACGCAGCGCCGGATTACTGAAACCAGCTTTCCTAACCGTGTCGATGTCGTCAGCGGTCGAGTCGATGGAACAAGGCGCTCATGGAAAAACGACACGAGCGCTAATTTCTTCGAGAGCTGAGAGATAAATTGTCATCGCTTAGTGTGAGGGGACGGACAAAGACACTCGGAATAGTGATTTCGGGAATGAAGGCGGAAATAGCCTAAAAGGGAGTAGCGGGACGGAGTTACTGATGCGGAACTCCGCCGCTATTGCCTTGCGAATTCCAACCGTGTGACAATGCAGTCGATGTAGCGACGCTTGTAAGGCAGTGATTTGTGAAGAATAAAATGCAATAACTATTGATTGATGCTGTTGATGGAAATATGAGACGACTCGCAGAATAAAAGGTGTAACAACGAATAGTCTTGATTGACCAACAAGTCAAACGCAAGCCATGGATATCAACCATTACCAGACCGGACCAACCGAGCCAGCAGGGTATGTGCAACGCTATGCATCTAGTAAACAAAACGATAAGAAAATCTAAATAGAAAGGGAATCATAACGTGACCAGTACAGGAACATGCCAGAGATAACTGCCAACGCAGAGGAAAGTGCGACAAGGACAATGTTCTGGTTACTGCAACACCCGTCTTCGTCAACCTCGGATGAGTTGGAACTTCGAGCAAGGGAACGTGGTGGATCTTGCGCCTCCAGGTCGTGTGAACCATTCACGTTTTCCACGACGTCCGCTGCGTTCACTTGCAACGCGTCCGGAGCTGCTGGTGCCCCAAGACTCTCCAGACTCGTATAATGGTGCAGGACAGGCGTGGGGACAAAAGAAACTTGCCGCGGGGGCCTGCGCGAAAGAGCCTAGACAAAAGAGAAAGGTTAATTACGTTTTGCCTTTCTCATACGACATGTCTGCATCCATGAGTTCGGCTTCGAGTGCTGCGCGCGCATCTAATCCAGACGCAGCGTCACTCACATCTATCCCCGGTCGTGGCATAGCTTCTCCGTCTGGCATAGACTTCTGCCTTTTGAGTGCTGGCTCACTGTCGGTCATAGCGGTGATGATGACGCCGAGCCTGCTGGCCTCGCTCGGGTTTTCCAAGATCCATCGCTCGCGCCACCGTTCGCGAAGGACATCGTAGATGAACAGAAACTGATTCTTCGACTGCACCATGCCGGCTCGCTGATCCCTGAGCATCTCGACAACCTTCACGATCGGATCCTCATTCTCCGGAGTGGCATCTAGCGAGCCCTCTTCAAGCTCCTGCATTAGCCAATCGAGGGCGATAAAGGTTCCACTGCGCCCTATGCCTGCGGAACAGTGCACGATGCGCGGGTTCGTCGAGTTGTCTCCATTCTTTGACCGAGATATGTCCACAAGTTTCAGCATGGCTGCTCTATTAGCTCCCTCAGGCACCGAGAAATCTGGCCACCCAGCAAAGAGTAGATGCCAAATCTTCTTCGATTCACTGCCATCGTCCGTGGTCATATCTATCTCTCTGACTTGTGTCCTGGCCTCGTCATCGTGTGACAGTGACGCCAAATGCAGGTCGTGTATGAAGGCATCCTCAAACTCGTCATGCTCGTTGATGCGCATGTCGGGACTCGAAAGGGCCTGTGGAAAGTATGGGTGGCATTTCTCGCGATTCGCCTCGTAGGTCTGCGTGAGCATTACGATCACTGCCGGCGACGCATTTTCTTTCCAAACCATGCGCCAGATATGTGACCAGCTCTCAGCTTTGGGACCCTGTCCTGTGTTAGTCCTCAAACTGTCCTAACATTCGAGCCATCAAGCGAGCTTACCTGTGTCGCGATGTATCGCAAAGATGTTTTCGACTTGGTCGACTCCAATAATATTGGCGACGCGTTGATGTAATCAAATTGGCCCTCCGGTACTTCCAGATGCACTCTGTTTGTTTGATATGGGTCGACGTTAACGTACCTATTACGCAACGCATATTCTTCTCCAGTGCATCTTGCCCATTGACTTGGCTGGTCGGATCCTGTGGCTTGAGCGCTGTCCCTTAGGCGCTCCATTTGTGTCCATTCTAATCGATTCCATTTTGCATTCAAATCTACATGTCTCAAATTAGCCACTTCTTGCTTGTGTCCTGTGGGCAGAGTCTACCTGCCTGCTCTACTTGATTTCAGAAAGGCGGGGTATGGAGTCGCGTCTTGAGGGTATTGCTCGCCGTTGGCAGGCGTGCTCGGGGTCGGCGAAGGTATGATAAGGCTATTTGCGCTCACAGAGGGAGTGATGAAGGGCGTATTCGCGGCGGGCGTGTGGAGGGACGAAGTCGTCACAGAGCGCGTGCTGTCTCTGCTACGCGAGCGCTTGGACGATGACGGAGATATTGGAATCCCTGCGGTGGCCATGTCTTGGTCGGTCCGTATAAGGACGCCCTTGAGCTTCGCTTTGCGCCTCAAGGCGCGAAGTTTATGCAGTTTGAAGACGGTGGTGTCGGTGGCGGGTTACAAGGCTTCGGGAACTGGCAGAGGAGGAGCCAGAAAGTTTGGAGAGTGAATGTTGGGCGGTTGCGTGCAGGCAGTGGCGTGCAGGAGGCCAAGATGATAGGCTTGACGGCAAAGAAAGTGGCTAGACCGCAGGAATATGCTTCACTGACACGTGGGAACTTGGGGCCTTGTCCGATTCAATGTCGAGCGATCGATGGAGCGATTCCAAAGCGGGTCGAGGCCTGGTAGCGGCACAACGCACAGTTGCGGGAGTGCCAATGGCCGTTCTCAAGATGGAGTATGGAGGTGGTAGGGAATTGCTCATGTAGCTTCCCAAGCAGTCCGCTGTTGATACACTGGACCAACAGGCCAGCCTTCTTCTATCTCCCACAACCGCCCAGTCAGTCACTTCATCAGGAACCAGGTTCAGCAATGGTCTCGACAGAGGGGCTGCATGCAATCTGCGATGGTGGAAATGCCGGATCACAGAGAGGCCGAAGCGTTTGTTCGTTGCGGGCTTCTAGAAGACGGTGACTTGGCGAAGAGTGAAGAATGTCGAGGCGAGAGTCAAGATGGGAGAAGGCTTGAGAAAAAGAGCCATGAGCCATGAGCCATAAGAGGGCAAATATCAAACCAAAGCAGGCGTGACTGTCCAACGTCAAACGCGTCTGCATCGTAATTGCGGGCCTGGGGCGTTCTCTGTTCTGGCATCGCGCTGAAGTCGCCTTCCGCCGTCCCCACCCGAGGTTGAACCAGCACGCATCATTCACGCAACATCGCTCCGCCACCATCGCAACATCTGCGCGGGTCTAGTGCTCTTACGCGGCAACTGCCATCTCCTGTTGAATGTCCCCACAACTAGCATCATGGCGCCGTGGTTTGCACTATTCGAGGTAGGCGAATCTCTCAACCGAATAGAAGCGACCAACTTACATCTGGTCACAGGCCTGGGCTGTCGCAAAAGTATGTCAAACTCCTCGACACGCGTGTTTCCATCGCTACAGCGACTGACGGATTCGAGCAGCTGATCCGATCACCGGGGTTTAATCGAGCTGTGCAAAAAGCATATCGTAAGATCAATAGGCTACCGGATTTTGAGCAGAAGAATGGAGGAGGAAGTATGTCTCGTCCTCCACATCTGCAGAGGGACACAAGCTGACCGTGCTACTAGGAACCGGTCCCTCAGCCCTCGACCACTTTAAAGATGAGCTGAAAACGCAACTCCGAGAGCTCACCTGGCAAAAGCGCCCCCCGAAATGAACATTTCGATCGCTATTTACACCACTCTATTCCAGCCAACCCTTCGCGACGTTCGACAGTCGGATAGCTTGCATGCCTCACACATAACAGCTGTGACACCCCTGTGTTGGATTACAACGGCAAACGGTTTGCAACGACAAGCCTGGACCACGCTGAGCAGAACGCATACTACGTAGCTTGAAAGTGCTTGTTATCGAGTCATACGGCGACCATGGAGTTATATTCGCACCGGCACTCGCTGATGCCGTTCCTATGGATTTTTACCTCTTCTCGATGCAAAGATGATGTCCAAGGCTGCGGCAACTCAAGGAAACAAAAAGCTGGTTTGAGATAAGAGGCAATTTTGCTTGAGCGCTCAAGCCTTTTTGGTTGTTTATAATGATCATTGGAAGTTGTATCAAACCTAATGCTCGGGAGTGTCGTCGACTTTCGCCCGAGTCGATATATAAAAGTCATCCCCGGCGAGTTGGCTTGTCAATAAGTGCTCGATGGCCACTCCTCGCTATTCGGGCCGACGCTAATTATGCTACTTTTAACTTGAACCATGATCTTTTGGCATCGTGGAGATCCGCTTTTCATAGTATGAATGCATCGTTACGTCATGACTAGCAAATGCGGCCTATCTTATATGAAATCAACCCAAGTCAACTTCAACCAACATCAAGTCGCGACTTCGATCATTATCCACAATTTCCACCATGCCTTCAGCAATCGTCACCGGTGCCACTGGTTTGTTGCCCTCTATCTTCGCCCCGACACCCCCTAACATCACACAGGCATCTTGGGCCGCGAAATAGTCTTCGAACTCAGTAAGAATCGTAAACAATGGTCGACAATACATGCCTTGTCCCGCAGCAAAAAAGAGGAATACCCTGACAATGTCATCCATGATCACATTGACCTTCAATCCGGCCCGGACGACATGGCCAAGGACCTGAAGAATGTTCGCGGAGAGTATGTCTTCTTCGCCGCGTATCTGGCCCAAGATACCGAGCAAGGAGCTTGGGACGTCAACGGAGCCATGCTTCAAAACTTCCTCGACGCCCTGGTCAAGACCGGTGCAATCAAGGACATCAAGCGCATCATCCTAGTAACTGGCGCGAAACAGTACGGCGTGCATCTCGGCGTTCCCAAGCAGCCAATGCAAGAGTCTGATACTTGGCTCACAGACTCCAAGTGGCCGCCCAACTTCTATTACAACCAGCAAAACATCCTCCACAAGTTCTGCAAACAACATGGAACAGAATGGGTAGTGACGTACCCCAACGACGTCATTGGGTTCACGACAGGAAACTTCATGAACCTTTCTTCGGCACTCGCCTTGTACGCCGTCATCTCCAAAGAACTTCCTAGTTACAGCGGCCTCGTCTTCCCCGGCTCGCCAGACTTCTACACAAAGTTCGACTCCTTCACAAGGAGCACGTTGCACGCTGAGTTCTGCGCCTGGGCAGCGCTCGAGCCGCGCGCAGCAAACCAGGCATTCAACATGGTCAACGGCGACAGCGAAAGCTGGCAGAATCTATGGCCCCGCGTGGCAAACTATTTCGGCACAAAAGTCAAACCAGACCAGTTTGCAGGCGCGTATTCCGGCACGGAGTTTGTGAATAGCGACAAGTCCTCGTCGTCGGATTTGGCCCCCGAACCACCAACGACGGCTTTCGCAGATAGGGCTGGTTTGATTGGTACACCTGCGCTTGCTCAGTCCAAGGTGGAGCAGCATATCGATCTTGTCAAATGGTCTCAGCGCTCGGACGTTAAGCAGGCTTGGGAAAAGATCGCAGAGCGCGAGGGTCTAGATAAGGACATCTTCGAAAAAGCTACGTGGGGTTTCCTGGGCTTCGTGTTGGGAAGGAAGTTTGATCTTGTCATCTCTATGAGCAAAGCACGCGAATATGGTTGGACTGGTTACAGCGATACGTGGCATAGTCTAGAGGAGGTGTTTGGGGAGTTGAAGGAGGCGAAGATTATCCCGAAAGCTTAGAGAGAAGAGATGTATGTTGTTTGCACAAATAAATCATGCATGATTTGTGTTTCAGGGCTAAAATCGCGCCGAGTTAAATGTACTCATGGGTATCTCGTTGCCTGTATAGTATACAGTTCCGTCGACTTCCTCTAAAACTCATCTTGTTCCTTCGAGCTATCCTTCTTAGAAAACTGCACCACCAATGATGAATACCCTCTCCTCTTCTCTCCTTACCCACTGAATGATCTTATTCGCGCTTTGAGCCAGCGCAGCTCTCGAAGTGTTTACCGGGGCTACGGCATACAATTCGAATAGCGGTGTGCTCCATGCCAGCGCTATACAAGTCGTATTTGTCTCGTGATGGACTTTGAGATTGGCTGGCTTGTTGTGGAGGTTCGAATGGAGCTTGTTGTACAGATTTAAGAGCCTAGGATAGTAAGCACGTGAGGTCTGGATGTAAACACAACCCCGAAAGAAGCAGAAGAACATGACCACGAGAGATCAAGGAAGAAATGTGTGGGGTGTGGAGTTCACACGTACCTTCTCCGCTCCAACGGCCCTTCAAAGTATGGGGCATAGCTTGGCATCGTGAATTGCACATTGCCTCTCGATTTGTACAAGAAGTGTCTTAGCGGGCTTCCAGGCACGATATCTGTGCATTTGGGACGCCCCTGTCTGACTGCCGTTCTGATGGCGTCGATGGAGCCATTGCGCTGTAGATTCTGTGGAAGGATTGGTTAGCTTCCACACAATCTCATGCATACGATATCCTCTTTTTCGGGCCCGTAATTTTCTCTACGGTCACTGCAATAGACCGAAAAAGGACAACATTGGAGCAATGCAAGGTCATTAGATGATGGATCGGTTAGTCAAGTCGCGGGGCGGAGTTGCGAAAAGCCCGAGGCCGAAAACCGTGCCGCCATAGAGCGATGTACGAAGTTGAAAGCCGACCCGCGCGGAGATAAAAGCGGACGACTCACAGTCTGAGGGATTTCCCCCCTTCTGCGTTATCCAATCCGATAGGAGAATGCGATATGCGGCGCGACGGTGCTTGACTCACGATCCATGCATGCGAAGACCCTGGAATAAGGAGACTTTGTAAAGAAAGTGGTAACATACCTCGACCAAATCATCCCTCATACCCCTCAGCTCGAAGAAGCCTTCTTTTTGCGCGCTTATGAGTAGGATTGCCACCTCGTCATCGGCTCCATCACTAGTGCGAGGTCGTTCCTGCATCTGCTCCGTGGGATGCTCGAGATTCAAGAAGCTAACGTACATGTACAAGTAGCCTGTATTGTTGAAGCCAGGCAGACATAGTGGTATCCAATTCTCGCCTCCTCCCGCTTTGACGCTGCCCGCTTCGAAGAGCATGTTGAAGATCAAGTGGAGGTCGCCTGGGTGCAAACTATGTTTCTTGGGCCGCACAACCGATACGAGCTTTCCTGAAGCGACTATCAGGCCGTACAGGAGATTCTCTGAGCGTGTCTTGAGGAGCGTGTTGTTGATAATGGTACGTTGTGATTTGCGGAGCTTCAGACATTCTAGAGCAGAGAGGAGGGTTGAGGGTGAACCTCGTGTAAAGCCATCTGCGAGGGCGGAGAGCAATGTTTCAGTCCCCTGGAGAGGCCGACGCAGGTCGTAATTTGCTCGAGCAGCGAACATGCGTTCCATGCTCGGTAGGGTAAGGGTCGAGAGGATCTGCATGTACAGCGCTTCCAATTGCGCACGAAGCTGAGAGTCGCTTTCTGGCAGTCGAGTGATAGCGACCAGATTGAGCGGGCCTTTTGACATGACGACAAAGCGTACGTCTCCTGCGGTAAACCCTCGCAGCGTATCGTTTGTGGACTGATAGAAGGATATGATGGTCTGCACGACACCAATATAATTCGTAATCAGCTGGTCGTCACCATGCCGGCTGTAAATAGGCTTTCCAGCACTCGAGAGGATAAGGAAATGCTTCAGCTTTGCGCGCCAGTGTCCCATGACAGCTTCTATTCGCTACATCAGCAAGGACTACCTGTAGGTACATGATTTGTGCCTGACCTTGATTTGACCCGTCCATTGTCATCTCCTCGATCTCGTCAAACTCGTGATCAAAGGCTGCCTCGAATTCGGGGTCAGGCATAAACATGCCCAGCGCCTCCGTATCCTCAAATCTGTGCCCCAGCGTCCGTAACAGCACCTTCTCTTGTTCTGTCTTCTCCTCCTGTCCCATGACGTCGCCCAATATGCTTTCTGCGTCACCGCCTGCATCTATAGTTGGAACATAGCTTCGGACGCTAGCACTGTCGTCGCCATCGCTCAGGTTTCGAGAAGCTACATTTACACCTAGAAAGTTCCGTGGCTTCGAAGCGCTCGATGCCGACGAGTCATCCCTCGCATCGTTGCCGAATGCCTGCGTGCTAGCGAGCGATATCTGTGTTGTAGCTTTCGAGACGAGCTGTGGTCTCGACGGCGTGGAACCGTGGGAAGTCGAAGGTCGCGAACCAGATAGCCCAAGTTGGGGTCGTGGAGGAAGCGGTGGGGGCGTTCCCTCCGTTGACGGTAGTGAGAGTCCGCTTGCCGATGTCTTGCGCGAGAGACTGTGTATTATGTTTAGAGTAGGGTTAGTGAAGACCTGCTGTTCAGCTTGATCCCTGGACTTGGATGAAGCATTGCTGCCAGTCCTCTTCTGCGTCGGTGTAGAAGCAGCGCTCTTCCCCTTGGAAGCTGGCGTCGGTGGTTCAGTTTTACTCTCCTCCATCAAAGCAGTGGTGGTTGACTGTCATGAAGACAGCGACGTCATGTTGGTTGCGACATTGCGGGACGACTGAAGCTTGAGCGCCATTGATTGCCCAGGTGTGAAGTGGGTACTGTGCTCGATCACGCTTGGGCCCAGAACGGCAAGAACGTTGCTGTCCACCGCGCGCGGCAAGAGTTCGCGTTTTGCTGGACAATACCGTCAGTCTTTTCCAATTATCCATTCTTTCATCTTTTTATAGAATTCAAGATTTGCGACTGCGACACCGTCTGTCGGAACTCCACCAAGGCCTCCACACTTGGGTCACGCGCCGCAAATCTATTGTAGTAAACCGTGCCATGGTACCATCACTCCAAAACCCTCGCGACCATCACCATCAAGTGTTCCACGACCAATTGCACCTTGTGGCTTGACGTTTGCATCACAGTTTAATCGACGTACCCCTCATCAAGGGCGCTGACGCGCAGCTGCGTACTACAGCATTCTAGTTGCCATTGCTTACTATTCTTAGACGCCCCGTATTATACGCCTGGCGTATGGTACTTCCTCATTCGGTGCTTCATAAGACTATTTCGAGCTACCTTGAGTGAGTCTGCTGCCTTGGAGTGAGAAGAGCGGTATGCATGCCTTTCTATTATCAGCCTCGTCGTCGCAACCGGTGGAGTGGGACCAAGGCTTGGTGACACGTCAAGTCTATGTTTCTTGCATGTCATATCGAATCTAACTATCTTCACATCATTAACCTCATAAAATTACAGTCTATTCCCACCTTGATTTTTGTCCTCGCTTGAACCACATCAACTCTTATGTACCGAAGTGCAGTAAACCCGATGCCCCACGTCTCAACCTCAGACGATATAACAACTATCAACTACACGCTCGAATGGCCGTATCTTGAGAATCCTAGCAACACAACCTTTGCCGGCCCGACACAGATCGATAGATGCAGGTGTCCAAGCTCAACTCTTCCCCAGCAAAAAGATAAAGAATCAGGCCACATCTACACCCGCTACGAGTGTGTCGGGCCCGAAGTCCGCTTCCACCCACCAGAGGAAAAGCTATGGGTTCTCCAAGCGCCTCACGGACCCATAAACATGCTCCGGCCCGCGACGAGAGCAGAAACTGAACGGAGAGAGGCCATCCACAATGAAGCTGAACCCACAGTGTACGCAGGCAAGAACTTTCTCTTCCTTACTGGTCCATGCCCGCGGGGACGATACCAGGCCTACGCCACTCTACAGTTCCTAAAGTCGTTGAGCTCTGAGGCTAGGAAGAATTTCGATTGCCTAAGCCTCCTCATCCAACCCTACGAAGAGGACTGCTCTAACGATTTCTCCCAAAAGTCTTACGCTGAACTCGCAGACTATATAGTTCATCATATGTCAGGTTTTCGCACACTCTGTCTGAACATCTGGGACGATGAGATGAGATTACGGAGAGCAGCTAGCGAGTATAGCCTTCTCTTACACAAGGAGGATGCGAAGATTGTGGTGGGGTGTAGTTGGTGGAGAGGAGAAGTGAAGGAGTACAACAGTGTCAAGACGTTTCTAGAGGCCATGACTACCACGGTAGCGAGGGACACAAAGGGGCGAAGACTCGATCTTAGAGAGTTGAAGGATAGTATAGTGTGGAAAGAAGTTACGGAACAAGAAGAAGATGAGGCACATGAAGCAGATTTTGAAGACCAAGCCGAAAGTGGAGGTGAAGAATATGAAGGTAGAGGTTCAATAGGTGGCAGATGCACACACGCTTCCTCCTCTTCATGCGACACGTCCGGTGAGGACAAGGAACACAACAAGGATTCGGATCACGAGGTGGACTCTGGGGAGAGGCAGGGCCTCGAGAAGATGAGCGATGGACAAGGAGAGGACCTAAGGAAAGGGTTATGTAGTAACTATCAGGGTAAGAGTGAGGTGATACCAACGCAAGAGGACTATCTTTCAGACGATGAATGGACTGATGCGACGTTGAGTCCGGTCTCACATACTGGCGATGAGGAGGGAAGCTGGCAAGTGCTCTAAAGTCCTTAAAATTCAGGTATTATATTTAAAATCAATTTTGGAGAGTCGGCAACACTGCCGTTGAAGTGAGACGCAGATATGTGGTGACTTGATCTTCATGGCTTACCCTTTTACATTGTTACAATTTGCTTCAATACCACTTGTGAGTGACCTAGAGACTGCGGATAATTGGATGACATCTGGACAGTAGCTGGCAGGAATGGTTTGAGATGTCAAGGGAGGTACACGGGTAATTCGGGGAAGCTTATGCCAATCTTTAGAAAGGGCCTGTTCACCGCGTGTAAGTGAGTTGAGATCCAAGGTCTGGACTTAACATGCCGGGACGCCGCCTAGAATTAATATATCAAAACGTGCTGAAGGATAATGATAAAGCTTAGCCAAGCCTCTCCTCGTTCGCTCTGTGCCATGGCGAATTCACAGTTCCTCCTGAAAGACTTCTTCAGCCTTCTCGCTCTTTCCACCCAGCTCCCCGTCAGCCTTCTTCGCAACCCACTCATCCCGAATCAACCTCGCCACATTCTTGCCACTCAAAGCACTCGTCTCCATGGTGCTAATGAAGCTCTCAATTCCACTCGTGTACCACAATCCCTCATCGAGCTTAATTTCCTCAAACGTAACGCGCGGATACTCCTTTGGGTACGAATACCAAACCTTGTGGTATATCCAGCTGACCGCTCCATTAACATCGCCGTGCTCGGCTTCGTCGTCTGAGACATCGTGGCCGAGGATATAAGTGAGGATCTTGGGAGTGACACGCTCGTGGTTGAATATTTTGTAGATGTATTCTGGTCGGGGGGTGGAGGAATGGGGGTTAATTCCTTGATCCAAAATGGAGATGCTGAAGAAGCCTGGCGAACCGACATTGTCTTGTGGCTCTTCGTTGTCCGGGAGCGTGGTGAGAACGTATTGCGGGACAGGCTTGTCTGCGCCTAGATTGAATGCTTTCGGATCCAACCTAAAAGGCGATGCGAACAGCGTCACAAACAACTTTGTATATGGGATTTCGTCTGGAACATGTTCGGGGGCAGGGTCAATGACGAGGTCTGAATACTGTAGAGGCGCTGCAAGAATGACTTCGTCATATGTCGCGGTATGACCAGTGCTCGTACTGGTCACGTAAGTGCCATCCTCTTGTTTTGAGATTCTGGCGACAGTGGTGTTGAGGTGGACTGTTGCTCCTGAGGAGTCCAGCATGTTGGCGAAGATCTGCCAGTTCCCGCCCTTAATTTGCATCGCACCGTTCGTAGCCATACAGACCATTGTTTCCAGGCCGTGAATATATGGCAAGTTCGAGGCATAGTTGACGCGGGTACTACGTTTCCTTAGCATCTGAACTTTCTACCCGAACTGCTGAGCCTACCTTGCTTGGATGATCTCCTTTGCAAATGCCTCGCCAATGCCATTAGCCTTGAGATACTGTTCACCCGTCACCCCCGTAACCTCTAGCAGTCCCACTTGTTCAACGACATCACTCAGGCTTTTCCACGGAAAGATCGGCTCATCATAAATGGACAAGAACTTTCCTACAGCGCTCTTCATTAACCTGTTTGTCCATAACGGCGCGGTACCGTATCTCCAGAGCAACTTCGCTTTGTCCCACCAAGTATCCTCATCTGCGCGTGTAATTATGACGAACTCTTTTCCATTCCAAATTCCCAGGTCTGGGATCTGTAACCGTGTTGCGACATTGTGTTCTGCAGCCGACAGGTTGAATCTCTTCGCAGCTTCCACCATGATGTGATTGACCTCGACGAAGATAGAGCCGCCAAGCTCTACGGAAGTGTTCGGATCATCCCATGCGTTAACTGTGGTAGTTCGGCCGCCGACATAGGAGTTGCGCTCGAAAACGGTAATGTTCGTGGGGATGGATGCTTCGGTGGCATACTGCGCCAAATGGTACGCTGCGGACGAGCCGCCTGCTCCGGCTCCTACTGGATGTTAGCACTTTTTGCTTGTATGAGACTATGTTGCGGCTACCTATTATTGCAATGCGCTTTGCGTTATGAGCTTCATCTCTACTATTGAGCGCACCGGCGATGGGCAGCAACGAAATGACGCGTAACACTCGCATTATGCAAGTCTGTTGCTACTGTCGGAGGACAGAGCTATGTTATGAGGTTTGAAAGACGATCGAAGCGATCAAACAAACGTCAGAAGCTTAATCTCGTAGACCATAGTGGTATGGGGGACAGTTGGAGACGCAATGCATGGAGCACTATCGTAAGCATGAACCCTGTGAGGTCATTGCCCGGGCGCAGCCGATTGGTACATGGCAGTGGTTGATTCGCTTTATTATGGTCAATACATGTCTCCCTAGACGTGAATACACCCTCCTCGCGTTATGGCACCAATTTAGTATATGTTTCTGATCAATAGACCACAATGAACGCGTGGAGTGTATGGTCGCGTTTTCACGTGCTTAGCTCTGTTTAGGGAAGTGGGGCACGAGTCATGAACATGAATGAAATGAAGCAGTATCCTGCTGTTGAAAGTAGATTCTCCAAGTAGGTGAACGCCCTCAAATCCCCTCTGAACCACTTTAAAAGGATCAGACACAGCATAAACCAAAAGCTCCTGCTGCGCGCCGGACTCCTAGACGAGCTGCCACTCCATGACCCGTAGCAATCCCGCCCGTCCCCCCTCGCTGGTAATATAAACATCGTAAGATCGTCATGATACAAGAAAGAAAAGTCTTTCCGCGTTGCAGAATATCCAAGTATTACGATTACGCCGGTAGCGCCTTATAAAGCGAACTTCACCGACCGCCGTGCAGTATCCACGTCTTTAACGGGCATCTCCCTTTCCACTGTTGCTTCTCTAGAGGCCGCTCCGCCAACGCCTCGTCGCCTTCTTTCGCTGCGTTTTGCTCTCTCCTCGCGGGTCTGCCTTGCTTTCCATTCATTCAGCTGCTGTCTCCTCTTCTGCGACCTGGCGTACGCTATCGCTGGGGTCGGTTTGAACCCAATCCCGTTCAGACCCGTCCCATCATCGTCAGGATCAGTCGAAGGGTCGGCAAGATGACCCGTGATCTCACTGTTGTGCCACGTGAGGGACGGCAAGGGAAGGGAAGGTGACTTGTTACGTGGGCGGGGCTGCGAAGAAGACGGATCATGTATAATTTGTCCGTGGCTTATTGACGAGATATTTTGCGATGTTGGGCTTCCTGAAGATGATGTGAATGTGGTGGGTTGCGCAAAGGAAGTAATATGTGGCAATATGCGGGGTCGAGGCGCCTGAGGGGTTTCTGGTATTTCTCGGGAGACGTCCAACTTTGGCGTACCCGCGATGGTATCCAGCTTGTGAGATTTTGCCCAAGATTGCGACTTGATCATCTTTGTGTGGTCTTCATTCAACGACATGCTGCTGTCTACTCTCATCTCGTCCAGCTTTAGCTTCTTGTGTGCCACCTGGTCGAGCGGCGACATTGGAATCGCCGCAATCGGGACCAGCGTCATCCCTCGCAGCTGGTCGGCGACAGCATTCCTGGGACTGTCGGCGCCTGACGATGGCGTAGGATTGTCGTGGGGTGGTGTTGTTGCGCGACACAGCGTAGTGGTGAGTAAGGGTACAGGCGGGGGTTGATCGCGCTTGCGTTTGGGTGACGGATGGTGGAGCTGCGTAGGAGGCATGTCGCCGGTGAGCGGGGTGCTGAATTACATGAGGAAGATTGTGGGCAACAATGATGCAGGTGGAAGACGTGAGGATTACGGGGTTGCTGGTTGCTGGTTGCTGGTTGAAAGTTGCATCTCTTAATTGCCATCTGATCGCTGTTCTAGCGAATGTGGGGTCTCTTTCTGCACAGACCCGCCATAGCGGTAGGGCTGAACCCCTGCTTCACTGCATATCGTAAGGCGCACCGGCGGACACGGCGTCTCGCTAGTACGTCTCGATGATCGATCAACAATCTGTCATAGAGCCCTGGGGTCTGAACTGATCTAGTGAATGTCCTATTCAAATGCTCAGACATGGCTGGTGACCTGGCATTCACTGCATAGTGAGCTCCTTTGCAATGCACCTTCCTTCCCTGCCTGCTGCCTGCTGCCTGATTGGTGGCGTCTATGAGTCTACCTGCTGTCCTCGAACTTCATAGCTATCACCACTGGCATCAAAGTGTCTCTCTCCCCCCTCTGTTTGTGCGAAACCAAACGTCTAAAGAGCTCGTCCCTTGTCACGACCGGTGAAGAGCAATCCATCACCATCTTAGCCGCCTACGCAATTCTAAGAACATCACGCTTTGCTGGACACAAACAATTCCGCTCCTCACCATGCAGCAAGGGTCCATTCTCCCCTTCCTTCAGAAGGCAAAGTCCTCGAGACCAGACACCTCGCGACCTGGTCAACCTTATCACCCCCGACCCAACTCCAACAAATCCAAGTTCAAACCCAGCTCAACTGGACCACACCGTGGGCCCAACCGTCGCCGCAACATGCATCTCAAAGAGGTAGCAGACGAGACCAAGGTCGAACTCCCAAAGATACTGTCCGCCATCTCCAGCTTGAACGCTGCAGAATCATATGTCTACGATTTGAAAGATCTGGGTGCGCTCAGTGCAAATGACTGTCCCGGTTTCCTGTTACCATTCGGTGATGCCGATGCTGGGAAGAAAGGAACACGCATCCGAGTCTATGACATGGACACGTTCGATGTAGCACTACAGCTAGAGCCGACTTATAAAGTGTGTACCCACCTAGGCATGCCGAACCCGATCGTGCCCACCACATCAACTGACCATGCGCCAATGGACGAGGATTCGATAGATTGTAAAAGCAAAGATGACTCTGAGGAGCCAGCAAATGGAACTCCAGCCAGCGAATTCGAAGATGACACTACCACCACTCCACCGAAAGAGGACTCAGTCCTCAAGTCTGGAGATGTTGCCACGGCTAGGGGGTTAGAAAGCACCTTTGCCAAACGTACCGCTACCCCCATGACTTTCAGGGGACGTACCGCCAGACCCGTAGCAGTTCTGAACCTCGCATCTGAGCGTTCGCCTGGGGGTGGCTGGCAGAATGGCGCCCTCGCCCAGGAAGAGTGCCTCTGCTACCGCTCGTCGCTCTACCTCTCCCTACACAAGAGCTACTATCCACTACCCTCTTTATCCGCCATCTACACGCCCTCTGTGGTCCTGATAAGAGACGCCATGTCCCGCGGACACACCCTCCTGACTCCCTTCGAAGTACCTGCCAACCTACCTGTTACATCCGTCATCTCCATTGCAGCGCTTCGCAAGCCGCAGCTCTCGGAAGGCGACAAGACTTTCAAGAACATAGGACAGAGGGCCGAGACGAAGCGCAAGATCCGCATCACGCTACGCGTAGCGGCGCACAAGGGGCATACGAAGCTGGTACTCGGTGCTTTGGGGTGTGGTGTCTTTGCCAATCCACCCAAAGAAGTGGCAGAGTGCTTTCTGGAAGTGCTGAGGGAGAACGAGTTTCAGGGAGGCTGGTGGGAGGAAGTGGGCTTCGCTGTGCTTGATAATGTCAAAGGACCGCATGGCGGGAAGGATGGCGAGGGGAACTTTGGTATATTTCATCGGGTTCTGGATGGTCAGTTAGTGTGAGACATTGGGATAGGCGGAGTGGTTAGTATGTACTCGAGGAGATGATTGTGGACCAAAGTGTCTACAAGGAATCAAGGATGGAAAGCACTATGATGCGCAAGTAGTGTCCTTCTCGTACGATCGAGCGCTGTGAATCGATTCATGATGCCTCGACTAGGAATGGCATCATAATGCAGGTATATATGTACAGAAACGGAATGTCACATGCACGCAAGCTCCTCCACCTCACTCTGACCAACCATTACTACGACTTGAATGTCCTGCTCCGTCCAGGTACCTCTTTCTGCGCCCGTGGAAGCCCCTTCGGAGCATTCGTCAGCCCAGAGAATGGCGCAAAGCCAGCGGGCTTCTTCTTCTTATCCTTCTTCTTTTTCTTGCCATCTCCATCTTCAGCATGCAGCACAGTTGGCGCGTTCGCATAGTCGAACGCTGGCTCATCGTCATCCTTGGCAGCAGCTTGAGCAGTCTGCTCCTTCTTCTTCTGCTTCCTCGCTGCTTTCCTGGCCGCTTTTTCTTGTAGGAGAATAGCTTCTGGCGAGTCTTCCTGTGCGTCGAGCATGATCTCATCGTTGGTCATGGGGTCTAGTGCTGGTGTTGATAGTGACTGCACCTCTGGGGCATCGCCTCGCTTGCGCTTCCGGCCGCCGAGTTGTTTGACGACAAACATGTCAGTGCGCTGGTCTTCTGTTCTGTCTTCCTTGGGGACGAAAGTATGCTGCGGCTTCTCGGATTCTGGCGTGACTCTATTCCCGTCGGCAAAGATTTCTGCGGTGAGAGGTGGCAATGGGAGAGCGAGGTCGATGTTGACTGTTGGCATGCTTCCTTGTTGATACGCCGAGCTGTGAGACCACAGCTTGCCCCAAAAAGTGGATGACGGAGCACGGGTGGCGGGAATAGCGACGGTGCTCATAAGAGGAGCAGATTCAGCTTGAACAGCCGGAGCTGCAGGCGCCGGGGCTACCTTGTTTGGAGTGTCAGATTTAGCGGTCCATTCCGCTTCCTTCATATCCGCTATAGTCTTGAGTACATCGGTCAGCTCTGGGCCGTCCAATCCCTCTTTCTTAGCTTCGGTAATGACGTTCACGAGTTCATCCGCCTTTGCTCGAACAATGTGCGAAACATGCTGAATAGCGATATACAAAGCTGGTTTGTCTGTTGGTATCGCTCGAGCGACGGAGAACACGGCGTGATTAGGCATTATAAATGTCGGATTCTCGTCCTCTTTTCGGCTAAGATTGTCCCTCCACTTGTGCACTGCTCTGAAGACAGAGAACTGCTGGGGCGTGAACTGGGCGGGCGTCCGCGAGATGAGCTTATACCAGCCCACGGGGCCGAGGCCAAGTTTGGTGTCATATACAGGATGCTCATATCGTTGCAAGGCCACCTCTTTCGACTTTAAGAGCACGTCCTGTACTTTGTTGCGTTCGGGATCCGAAAAGTTGGACTTCTCGACAAGCTCATTCCGCATGTTGTCGTAGATGTACAGTAAGAAATGGGTGTCTGCTCGCGCGTACTCGAAAAGCTCATTGCCTAGCGGCCGCACTCTCCAATCAGCAATCTGGTATTGTTTCTGGGCCTTGAAATTGACGAATCTGTCGAGTAGATAAGCCAGGCTAGCGCCTGGATATCCGAGCGACCGGGCTGCATGGTAGGTATCAAACAGTCCAACAACATAGAGGCCGAGATCGCGCTGGAGCCAGATGATGTCCATGTAGGCGCCATGCAGAACCTTTAGGATGTTGGGGTCTGCAAAGACTTCATTGAGACATTCCAGCTTCCGTCTCCAGGGCTTGAGCGTGTCCACTATCCAGTCCTTGTCACGCGTGCTGATCTGCATTAACGACACAATGCCAATATATGACCGGTTGTCGTGATGTTCAATGTCGATGGCTATCTCTTTTGCAGTCTTCAATTCAGCCAGCATTATAGCGAGCGCTTCGGGTGTGTCCACAAAAGTGGCAGTGGTAGACTCGAAAGGCTGGTATTGCTGCGGTTCGAAGTGTTCATAGACATTGGGAGGGAAGTCGTAGGATTCGATCTCGGTTTGGTAAGGGTGTGGGTATCTGTAGTTCTGTAAGTATGAACAAGGGCCGTTGTTATAAGACATGCGTACTGTTCCCGCCCCCTCCTGTCCTTGAATTTCTTCATACAGTTCTCGAGCGATACCTTCGCGTGCGGTTTCGATGCCAACAACGGGCGGAATCCACCAGTCTCGTCGTTCTTCGGCACATGCTCGAAATTGAGCTGAGGCTTCGGAATAATTTTCTTCTCGGCGATGTTGGGGCGGGGCTTCACGGCAGCCTGTAGACATGTTAGATATTGGAACTTGATGAACGGGTCTGTAGCTCGTACCTGCTCGCCTATCGGACTCAATCGCTTGACAACACCAGTGTACTCATCAAGGCTGATGTCTGCCTTCTCAAGCAAGCTGTCGATAACATCAACAACCCCCTTCCAATTGGCGTCTACGGATTCGACGTCGGGTAGCTTGGGACCTACAGCATCCGAGCTCGATGCAGCATTTTCGAGAAGACGTTGCGCAAGGTGAAGGAGGCGCGCATTTTGGGCGTCGAGCTGTGTACCAACTTCCGGGTTTAGCGACCGCTGAAAGGTAATATCTGCGCTGCTAATACGTGAAGCCGATCGCGTGGTAGCAACGAGGGCTTGTGAGATTTCGGCCTGGAGCGTCTTGAAGGTGTCCATGGTAGATTTACTGCTTGCTCATTATTGTCGCGGGCTTGAGCTCTCGAGACTCGCGGCAACGTCTCTCTTCGATGTTGTAGAAATTATAGGAGAGTAAAGATTGCGCAGTCGCAACTGTTAGAAGAAAGAACCTTGGAGAAATTATGTCTTGGCACGAGCGCTTTATCGATAAACAGGCCTGTCGCGACCTTCACCCGCCACTGCGACTGGAACTTTCATCCGCTGCAAACGCTACCAACATGTCAGCGTCGTTAGCACCAGAATGCAACGAAGTAAAAGAGTGAGCTTAGAGGCCTCCGACCTGTCAAGACTGTCCAAGCCACTGACAGCAAGATAGACGATACGATAATTGTTTCCTAAAATGGTACAGCGAAAGTATGTTCTTTCTCTCCCAAGCACATGACGCAACGTTACTGACACTTTGCTTTCAACTTGCCAGAGTTCCTGAGAGGCACGGCAACAACAGACGAATGCAAACCCATATTCGATCAATATGAGAAGTGCCTATCGGTCAGTGACTACGCCAAGAAGGCGAGGCCATGTCTAACACAACATCAGCGAGTCTTGAACGAGCGAGGCATCGACAAAATGCTAAAAGAGGTCCGAGACGATAACAGAGAAAATGACGCCGAACATATGAAACCCGTGAGTCGAAGGGAAAATATACAATCCATAAGTAAGCTGCAGCTAAACAAAGATACAGAACAAGTAATGCATTTGCCGATACTATACCTCCTCAACTCTATTATCCTAGACAGTCTGGCGTCTGTTCTGTCATATATTGCATGTACGTCTACTTTTCATTGTTGGCAATGCACCAAATGTCAAACTTAGTATGCTATGAGACGAAGCTGACTCTGCGTGCAGTACATGCTTTCGAAACTTCAACAAGCATTGTGCCAGCGTCAGCAACATATTGAACTCTACTCATTTGTACTATACCCTCTGCCCGCATCTACAAAATGCTCTGAATCCCAAGTTGCTTATGGATATTGGGTTCCTGGAACACTAGCGGCGCTAGGTTTCAGTTAATTTCTAGTATGACGACATAGTCTAGAGCGCGTCAAAGCTACGCGCCTGGAGCTCATAACAACTTCAATTCATCTCAAGCTCTCCATCTAACCCCGAACGCCGCTATCTTGACCTTCTCTCCATCATGGTTAATTACCTATCCACCCCTGTTGGAAGCGCAGCTACGAAAGTTGGCCTCGGCGTTCCATTGCCTCTTCTCGCACCCGCGACAGCGACATGGGCGCTTCCTTTCGCAGCTTACTATGTTTTCTTGCAGAATCGCATTACTTACCATCGTATCACAACTGAAACGTAGGCGCATATTCTAATCAAGGCACAATAAAGTCGCAATTGCACTGAGAAGGGATCGCTGATAATAGCCAGGCTCATGGGAGACACAGCAGACGCCACACAAGGCACCCAGGATTCGCTCTACGTAGCAAACCGCGCGCAGCTTAACTTCGCCGAAAACGTACCTTTAGTGCTCGCAGTTGCAATTCTCGCAGAGCTCAACGGAGCGAACAGGTGACAAGATCATCTCCCACACGTAGATCTGTGGAGTTGACATTATGTACTAGAACATACATCAATTATGCGCTCGGTACACTATTAGCGTTTCGTATCGGACATGCTGAGTTTGGCTTGATGATCAAGGATTGCAAGGGCCTGGGAAGGCCTCTCGGGTATTACGGCACGCAGACGGTGCTATTGACATTGGCTGGATATACGGCGTATCTTGTCAACAATTACTGGCAGATCTAAGTGAATGGATGTCATCTTACAAGAGACCACAAAAAGACTAAAGATATACGGGTACCTAGGTAGTTATGGTGGGTAGTGCTTAGTATTTCCAAAATATCATCTGCTCTCTCATGTACTATGATGGCATTGTTGGTGTGTTATCTACTTCTAGAGTAAGAGCGTCTTGTGCTGTGGTATACAATCTGAAACCTAGGCATTACTTTGAATTTCAGGCGATGTTGAGCCTGCAGCCTTGTTGACGTAGCTGTGGCTTCAAGGTGCCAAGCCATTGCAACGGAGGAGAAGTGTCGCTTTCCAGAGACCCCACCAGATCGTTCAACCCACCCTATTCATACCCCAAGCTCAGCCATATTCGCCTTGACTCCCCCGAAACTCTCGGAACGCATAGTCCTCCTTTTGTGAACTCCAACACCACCAATTCCCCGGCGGCAGGATGGAGGCAGCATCTGCGCGCATGGCCGCCCGGAGTCGTTACGGCGTGTTCCCGGAGGCACCCTCATCGCCGCTACAACGCTTTATATGTAGGCGAGATCCAGTCGCCCTGCTCTATCCATGCACTAATACAGTAGCAAACAGTACAAGCATGCGATCCCCAGAACTTTGAGCCCAACCTTGCCCTCAATCTTGAAATTTCCGACTTGATCAATAGCAAGAAAGGCTCCGCGTAGGATGAAACCACTCAGCGCGCATATAACCAAGGACTCACGACTTCATAGGCCTCGAGAAGCAGCTGTCACGATTGTCCACTATGTCAACCACCGCAATCAAAATGTTGCCCTTCTCGCACTTAATGTACGGCCGCGCTGCCCTGCCTCAAGCGACACATGGCTTACTGTGTTATAGCTCCTCGATATCTGTGTCAAGAACTGCGGTTACCCTTTCCACCTCCAAATCAGCACCAAGGAATTCCTCAATGAGCTCGTACGCCGATTCCCAGAGCGCCCTCCGATGCACTCGTCGCGTGTCCAGACCAAGATTCTCGAGCTGATAGAAGAATGGCGGCAAACGATATGCCAGACATCGCGGTACAAGGACGACCTTGGCTTCATACGAGACATGCATAGGCTGTTGAGCTACAAAGGCTACATATTCCCGGAAATACGGAAGGAAGATGCGGCAGTGCTAAACCCGAGCGACGTATGTTTATCTAGGGCTGGATATTGAGGCCGGATTGCTGACACTATACAGAACCTGCGGTCAGCAGAGGAAATGGAAGAGGAGGAGCGAGAAGCGCAATCAGCGAAACTCCAGGAACTGATCCGCCGAGGAGGGCCGCACGATCTACAAGAAGCGAACAAGCTCATGAAAGTAATGGCGGGCTATGACACACGGAACAAAACAGATTGGCGCGCAAAAGCTGCTGATGAGGTTGGCAGAATCCAGCAAAAGGCAAAAATACTCGAAGAGATGTTGCAGGGTTACAAGCCAGGAGATCAAATCAAAGAAGGCGATGTCTTCGAGGTAAGCTAATCGGATACCGTGCTTAGTCGTTTCCTCGTTGACTGTAGCAAAGGAACTTGCCAATGCACTAGCAAGCGCACAACCAAAGATTCAGAAGATGTGCGAGGAGGATTCCGAGGACCATGAGGCTGTGGCGAAGCTGTTCGAGATCAACGATAGCATACACCGGACGATAGAAAGATACAAACTCATCAAGAAGGGAGATGTTGAAGGCGCGAATAGAATCCCCGTAGGCACCCTTGGACGCAGTGGTGCTGGAGTGTCGCAGGGCCCTAACAACACGCTCAATCTCATCGATTTTGGGGACCCAGAACCTGCACCTTCAGCAGCTGTGGAGGCTTCAGGCGCCTCTCAGCAACCTGCACAGAAGGGTAATGCTCTAGAGGACGACTTGTTGGGCTTGTCATTGAGCGGAGACTCTTATGGACAGTCGGGTAGCATATCATTAGGCGGTTCGAATGGCTCCGGTAGGCATCTTAGAAAAATGAGGTATACTGTCAATGCTAATTTTAACCAGTTTTAGGAATGTCTGGAATGGCCGTGCCGCAATCGCAGGCTCAGCAGAAGACATCTGCACAACAGATCAATGACCTCTTCGCATCAGGTCCGGGCCCTACGCCACCTCAGATATCGTCGCCTCCTCCATCTGCTTTCTCCCAACCTTCTGTACAACCAGCTCGGTCGCCAGATCCTTTTGCTGCTCTAGCATCAACGCCTCGACAGGGTTCGCCGTTTCAGTATCAGCAATCGGTCAAACCACCACATGCTGCACCTGCTTCTGTTGATCTACTGGGGGGCGCCATCTCCGCACCGACATCGAATTTGGCGCAAAGCAGCAGCAATGCTACGAATGATGACGAAGAATGGAACTTCGCTTCTTCTGTACCAGACACTAGCAAGGAAATAGTGGTGACCGACACCGACATCAACGTGCTCTTCAACATCTCTAGAGAAACAGACACGGCTCTCTTAATTCAGTCTCGAGTATCGAACAACACACCCTTACCTATTTCTGGTCTCACTCTTCAGGTTGCCGCGTCAAAGGTAAGCGAATTCTTTTTGACTGTTGCTCAACTCGATTTCACAACTGACACCCCATAGGGTGCACAACTTCAGTTGGAGCCACAGTCTGGTGTCATACTAGCACCTAACCAGAAACACGGTATCACGCAAAACATCTGGATACACAACGTCCAACGGGGGACAGGCAATAGCGTTAAGATGAGGTGGAAAGCATCTTATTCCCTCGGTGGACAGCAGAAGAACCAGATGGGGGAGATTGCGAGTCTTGGTGTCTCATAGCGGTTCCGGTCAAAAGTTAGCGGGTTGGGGAAATATTGGTGCATCTGCAGCGGCATTTTGGTGAGCGTTTGTTCTCTCATAGCCTAAGGGCTGTTTCGAGTTGTGGTAAGGGGATGTCTTCCGAGGTTGAAGATAGAAGATATGGGCAGGGGTCTGTAGATCACCCAAAAGACATCGCCACGATCAGTCTTGGCACTGGCACTAGCTCTCTATCGATAACATCGTGAATTAATTCATAGTTGCCCCTCCTCAACTATCCACCCAACTCGTACATTTCGCGTCTGCTACACTTCTTGCCAAACCTTTCCGATTCGACTAGGCAGCCTCTCAACTCTACCCGAAATGGTCCGCCACAAAAAGGACTTCAAGTCCAACAATAAATACTCCAACAAGCCAACGAAAGCGCGCGGCCCGCCTCGTCCCCGCCGCGAATCCGATGCTGACGAGGAGCAAGACGCGGCAAACCCTCGACCGGCGAAACCTGCATTCAAGGCTGCATGTTGGGATCTTGGGCATTGCGACGCGAAACGATGTTCGGGGAAGCGACTGATGCGGTTGGGCATGATGCGCGAACTACACGTGGGGCAAAAGTTTGCAGGTGTAGTAGTCAGCCCAAAAGCAAGGAAGATCGTGAGCCGCGAAGACAAGGAACTCATGGAACAGTACGGCGCCGCCGTGGTTGAGGCGAGTTGGAACAGGATTGACGAGGTGCCGTTTGGACGTATAGGCGGGAAATGCGAACGCCTCCTGCCCTACCTCGTCGCTGCAAACCAAACAAACTACGGTAAACCATGGCGGTTAAACTGTGTCGAAGCCCTCGCCGCGTGCTATTACATCTGCGGACACCCTGAGTGGGCAGAGAGTATACTGGAGACATTCAGTTATGGGAGGGCATTCTTAGATATCAACGCGGCATTACTCAAGCGCTACGCGGCATGCGAGAACGAGGAGGAGATTAAGAAGGCGGAGGAGGCGTGGCTGGAGAAGATTGAGAATGAGTGGAAGGAGCAAAGGCAGGAGGGCGCGGAGGAGGACGAGTGGGCGGGCGGAAATATGAACAGGAGGATTATCGACGAGAGCAGCGATCAAGATGAAGATGAAGAAGGAGAAGGAAAAGAGGACGAGGACGAAGATGAAATCGACCCGCGCAACCCATACGACCTCCCCGAGTCCTCGGATGACGAAGAGGAAATGGCGGAGTTGAGAAGACGCGTTCTCGCCTCGAAACCCTTTGCCAACCCCGCACCCAAAGACGACGAGGACGAGGATGAGAAGAAGGCACCAGAGCGCATACCTCGAACCGAGCCTGCGCTGCCGAGTAACTCCAAAGAGGCCAAAGAGGATGACAGCGATCCGCCAGCGGAGGATGCGGGAGATGACGAATTCGATAACTTTATGGCTGCACAGCCAACGACGGATCGGACAGGTATAACGAGCACGCAGAGATCGAAGGCTATGGACAAGACGTACAAAGCTACATTTTCGAGTGCGAAAGTGAAGGCACCGAGCAAACAGGGCTACTGATAGAAGTAGAAGTAGTAATAGTGCGAATATATCGAGCATGGCGGAGATGAGATGGATATGCTTCATCCTCATTATATCTTCTTGCACTCTGCAATGTGCTCTCTTCTTTACTTGAGAGATTCGTATTCTGTCTCACAGTCATCGCACCCAGCAGTCTATACGCCACGACTTCTACGTGTTCTCCTGCCTGCCTGCTTGTATGCATCCGTCCATACCCCTCCCCAACTCGGAACTTGCCAGTTTAAAGCAATATCATCATCCCCTTCACACAATGAGGAGAGTTACTTATTATGTCAATGCCGTTGTATGTCACTGTGTTTCTGGAATGAACGGGAAAGAAAGAAGAAAAGGAGAACGGGTAGTTGTGCCACTTTCTTGTAACAAGTTTGACTTTCTCAGAGGTGGATTTAGCAAGGTACTAACTAAATTTCTTAGGGTATTAATTGACATTTCAAACTCAAATTAGCATCTAAAGAACGACCGGGGAGGTCCAAGGCGGTGCATGTACAGAGGTCTTTTGTAGGACATACCGAGGACAGAAGAAAGGAGGCGGACAGGGGCAGGGATTGCTTTTCTTTTATTAGTCACGATGTAATATCTAAGTTAGGGAGAAGGGGAAGACAGCGCCGTAAGCACATTTTCCGGGTCTTATGTCGACAATAAGAGGTTCAAGTATTGGGGCTGTTAGAACGACCCTTTGTTCTCTCACAATCAAAGACGAAGGTTGTGTGAACCCCGTCAATTACTAAGGGTGAGAAAGCAGGATATCTATCTCCGCATAGGAGAACCTCTCAACTTCTAACTTCAGTATGATTAGCTTCTGTTTATCTGGTCCGACTATATTGTTAAGTCACACGATATAAACTCCACCTCCTTCTCTTATTATCTGTGCGTTAACAAACGATAGTTTTTTTTAATACCCCTACTTACCTTTTTAGAAGCTCTAACAGTCCTTTTCCGTAGATAATATGTTCAACCCACTCGATAATTGTTTGTCTCGTTCAGAGCTCCTTTAGCAACGAATGCTAGTTTGCCCCACTATTCTGACATATAATAAAAGTCTCGACCAGCTAATGCTACACATCTCTGTATATGCCAGCCTCGGTCATGCTCTAGTCGAGATGTGTTCAGCGAGTAGGTTTCTTGGATATCGATTAGGTCACTTAAATGTCTAATTGAAAGGTCTGAAGTGCTTGAACCTGCGTGAAGTCCGCGGACATTGAATCGCGTCGACGCCCCGAAATCTAACCGCTATCTAAAGTAGCAGACTGAGCCTTGCTTAATGACCATGCAGCTGGCTAGGTGTTGTTATATGACAGCCCCAGAGCGGCTCTCATCCGATGTTTTGAGCTGGGCGAACACGGTTCTAGAGTGAAAAACCCCCTTCGTTGTAATCTATGCCTAGTCATCAGATGTCAAACTAAGAGCATCACTAACAACATCACAGTATTGCAAAGGAGCTGACAGGTCTATGTAATGCTTTTCCGTTCCGTAAAATCATGGAAAATATGGATCCTACCTAAATGAGGAGGAACGAGGAGAGAACCGTCGGAAGGGGTATCGTAGAGAGAGAAGAAGAAGAAGAAGGAGAAGAAAAAAAAGCACCCGACCCGCCAAATTTTCTCCCACTGTGAAGACTGTCAGGCCTCTTTGTGTGCTGAGGCAGCCACAATTGCCGCATCGTCAGCTTAAATCGACCTCAAACCACTCCCATGATCACCTTTGCCGGTACCACAACCTAGCATGTCCCTCATTGGAGCCACACTTGCCGTTGACCATCGCAAACCCATAATGTGTGTTCTAGATGTACCACATGACCTCCTTGAGGCCACGTGCGTTCTGCATAGCCATGAGGGGGGCGATCTCGACGTTCTGCTTGGAAGAGGATCCAGTGGACGACTGCTGGTCGGCCTTGGACTCCTTCTTGCCAGAGGAGACGGGGTTGTCATTGAGATGGGCTCGAGCGCGGTCGGCAGCCAGGTGAGCATAGTAAACGGCCGGGTGAAGTGATACCGGAGTCGTGGATCGGACGTACTGGTAAGAGTGCTCGAAGATGAACTGCTGCAACTCTGCGGACGCCCACTCGCCTTCGTTGAGTATGCACTGGTAGTGAATAGGGCGAGCTGTACCCTTGATTGCTACATGCGAGCAGAGGTAAAAGTCGAACTCGAATGGATGAGTGCAACCGGACTCTACCAAGGTTCCAGGAAGAGGGTTGTTGTTACGGTCACCCTTGCCAGCGTCAGGGAAGAAGCGGATATGGTGGCGCTTGCCAGCAATGACAACGGTGAACTTGGGCATGTCTTTGCAGCCCAACTTCTTGAAGCACTCCTTCATGTCCTTGACCTCCTCTTCAAGTACAGCAGCATACTGTCCCTCAGATACACCATCTCGGATGTATAGTACGCGCTGAGGAGCCCTGCCCTGGCCGATTTTCTGAATCCAGTTCTTCACCATGTACCCGAAGTGGTTATCGATGTTGGCGGTCGTGACCATTTCCACACGGTTGCCATTGGTCTGCACCTCAGCCCAATACTTGACGAAATTCGGATCCAAGGAGACGGTTATGGCGGCGAAGGAAGCGGCCTCGGTGGATGCAGCACCTGGAGCGGGATGGGAGACGTCAGCACCCACAACCATGGTAGGAACTAAAGTTCTGGAGTCAGTTTTTGTCTCTTATTCCTTTTGCTCAATGAAAACTTACTTGAAGCGGACCTCGGAGCGACTTTGGGGATTAGCTGAGACTTCGTCACAGATGTGGCACCACCGAGCTTTGCGTTGACCTTCATACAGACATTCGAGATGTACTGTGGGGAGGCAGACATGACATGCTTAGCCTGAAGGACTTGAGAAGCCACGCCAAATCGGATGTCGCACGACTTCTTGATGCGGCGATACACATCGACGTTGCGGTCGTTGACGATGAAGAACAGAAGCATAGGTGGCATCGCGTATCTGAAGTATGTTAGTGGAGATCTTTCGCATACCACGACTGTGAAGGTAACCAGCATCACTTACCTATTGCCGGTCTGGTTCCACACCTTCTGGACCATCTCCCCACCATCACTCAGGTTGCCAGGACCCATCCAGGGCTTCTTGCCGTGCTGGGGATGGGCCACGATAAGTCCACCATGTCCCTCGTAGATTTGAACAAACTTCTGGGCGAAAGCCTCGACCGCCTGAACAGGAGGGCTGCCACGACCTTGGACTAAAAGTTGAGGTACAAAGTCAGTATATGTCTCACATGAAACTCGTATACCAATGTTACTTACTGCAGCAGATGCCCCAAGCCTTTACTGGGTGATCCTTGTTGTTGATTGCGAACTTTCGGCCATCTATTTCGAGTCAGTACTCATCATTGTGGTAGCGAGGAGGGGTGTGGGTACCTAAACGCCAGCGACCTGCAATGAGGTCTTGAGGCTTGATAGTGGGTTCCTTGGAGCCTGCACCAAAGTGGACGGTCGGGGAAGGAAGGATACGAGCCTTAACCTTGGCGGCGTTAGGGCTAACCTGCAGACCATAGTGCCTCAGGTACGGATCACTAGGCCAGTTGAGAAGGCGGACACCCTGCTGCACTGCAGCCCAACGATCCCGGGGGAGAGTAACAGCAAACTTTATCATCGAGGAGGTCTGCGTGTCGGAAAGCTTGATGTTGTATCGCTGGTTGGTGTCGATCTTGAGGACATCAATGGGCATATAGACAGGCCCCTTGCGAATCTTCTTGGTCATCCTCACAACAGGAACGCCCGGCATGCAGTTGATATTATACTTCTGCCTGAAGTAGCTGGAAACGGAGATCTGCCTCAGGCGCCGAGGATCGACATCGGGCTGGCGATCATCGGGATCAGGGAAGGTAGCCTCGTTGGCGTCCATGTTGACGAACTCGTCGATAGTCCACTGGGTCGGGGTTTTGGTATGGGTAGTAGAAACACCGACGCGCTTGAAACGACGCAGATCCTTCTTCAAGATGGAGTTCTTCCAGTCGCGCTTAGCCTCCTTGAAGCGCTGTGAGAATTGAGGAGGAGTGCAGTTGAAGACTTGACCGATAGCACGGGTAAGCTCCTGGGCGCGCCAGAAAGTGCCGTTGGCGACGTCTACGTTGACCGAGAGGGACTTCTGGAACCTGTCATCGAGGACGGGGCGAAGAGATGCGAAGACACCTTTGAAGGCCTCAATACCACCGCCAAGGTCAAAGCGCTGCTCGCCGCGCTGGAAGAACGACTTCTTGATTTGGGTGTACTGTTGAGACGGCCACTCGCGCATGACATGGTCGAGGAAGTTGATAGTATCAATGCACTCTGTGGACCAAGATGCTTGGCCGTTGAGGAAAGCTTGCATATGGTTGAAGTCAACCTGGCGAGTCCAGCGGATGTGAATCGTATGCTTGTTTCCGCGGGCTCCTTCCCTAGTGGGCCGGCCCTCTTCGGCATCGAGGTCGACTGTGATGCGGGTGTCTTCGCGATCAAGACGCTTGCTAGACCAAGAAAGCCTGTTGCCATCCCAGACCCAGAGGTTGGTAGGCTCGCCGAGGGCAGCCTTGACAGGGTTGGAGTTCCAGATCTTCTTGAGAAGAACACGCTTGGTGTAATCGCGAGCATCGCCGGTGTAGTTGAGCTTTCTGGTGTTAGTAAATAGTTCATGATAAATGTTGCAAGAGAAAACTTACATCGTACTGATGAACGACCGTGTTCGGGGTCTTGACGACATTAAAGGTGTTGAGCATGATGCCACATTCCCTGCCGTACTGGTTGAAGTTTTTGGGGCGATGCGGCAGCGCATGCGGGATTTCAATCTAGTATTCAATGTTAACATATGTACGGGTAGATGAAGATATTGAATGTGTTGAGAGTGATCAGAGTAAGTGTGCAGTACATGACAGAAGGTGATGATGGAAGAGAAAGGCCTTATATGCTCTCAATCCGAAACTGCACGGCCATACCGAGAGTGGTAGGGTATGAGCTCGAAGTTGTTTACATGGTAAGGCAGTGTGGAGATGGAAGGCGAGTATTTGCGAGGAAGTTTGCATGCATATGCTGGCCAGGGGAGAAAAGCGTTTGTACTTACACCACGAGCCGTGTACCAGCCAGAGATGCCAAGGAACTCAGATATGTTCTTCAGGTCGGTGGGCTTGGTGTAGTCGATGGCCTTGACGATGGGGTCGCGGTTGCCGTCAAGGCGAGGAATTGAACGCTGGGTGGGATCGCGCGAAGCCGATGAAGAGCCATTAGAAGAGCCCTGAGACTGCTGCTCGTTTCGGGCGTACTTCTTTGGTGGACCGGCCATTGCGTACTCTGAGCGGAATGTTAGCCTTGGTGCAAGAAACGGATCAGGAGTGGCGTGCAGCCACACGGCACGCGCGACGGTGACATTCGTACAATGCGAAGGCCTGATAGGAATGAAGTGGGGTACGTACCTTGATTTTTGACCTGAGTCCGTGAGGAAGATGGGTGTCGAGATGTCTGAACTGGACGGCTGATCTGCTTGAGAAGGGTTAGTAAGGCTGTTCAGAAATACAAGCTGCGCACGTGTGTGCTCACGGTAGTGGTAAACAGACAAGGGCGAGCGATTTGAGGTTTGAAGCGAGGTAGACGCACGGGAACCCCGTAGTGTGAGGCTGATTGGAGTGTAGTGGTGGAAGAAAGGACGAGGGTTGCGAGGTGATGGGAAAAGTGTAAAAGCTGAGATGTGGTGGGTGTGTGGATGGGTCACGGCAAAAGAGGCAAGTGCGACAGGATTGCCGTGGTAACGCTGAGCCCGGTGGCGCTGTGGAAGGAAGTGACGGTGAAGCCGGCTTCCAATGGTATGGTGCGCAAGGAAATACGGCAATGATGATGCTGAGGGTAGTACGTACCGAAGATGCTCAGCACACAGAGAGAGACTGCATGCAGTGGTGTTGACTACTGCGGTGACGAGCTTGCGAGACTAGCTCTTGTTATCGTAGAGAAGGGAAGTTGATATTGTTGTTGTTGCCGTTGTTGTTGGTGTCGTCGAGGAAGCCTTGGTAGCAGTGGAAGGGTTTGTAGTCGAGGAGGATAAGGGAGAGGAGGAGTGTTGTGGTGGTGGAGGAAAGTCAGTAGGAGGTGGGGATGGGCTGTTTATATGGAGGCTCTACGGCTCTGTATCGCGCTACGGCAGTAAGCGAGGATCATGCGGTGTACAATGAGGGTGAGAGAAGTAGATCTGAGGGTGAGAATGGTATATAATGAGGTGAGAATTAGGGCCGACGTTCCTAGACGAGATGATGCCCTTCTCTTACCTTAGTGAGAGAGCGATCAGACCGAGAAGAACTTCAGACGATGCCGCAAGTCAGGCACACGGAAAGGTAGACAGAGGTCGGTATTAGAAGACAAGGGCACCTCTTCGACAAAAGGGAGAAGAAGAAGGAGAGGGCTGAGCTACCAAATCTAGTGTGTCGCTGGTGGAGATTGGCTAGTAGAAGGGGACATAGGAGCTGTTCTTGAGCAGTATCTGGTAAAGAGCCCACAGTGTTCAACACCGATCTGGCCAACCATCAAGAACATCCAGGCAACAAGTCGGACCAGGATATCGGGGGAACATCCTCCAGTATACCTAGATACTCCAGAGAGACGACCCGAGAGCACCTTAGGAGAATAGTCTTTTCAAAGCCTTGACTCGATCGACATACCTCTTCCATGTCTGCTCGCAGCACACTCGTACCCCTGTAGCGTGCAGCTGTTCCAGAAGGAAGCTTCCCGGTTACTCCACTGTGGCATACCTGTACTCGTATTCAGTTCCTTTGCAAATGCCAAAAATTCACCTCCCCAAGGCTTTCAAATCCAGCGAAGTCCATGCCATGATACACCAGTAGGGTGCTGGGTGCCTTCGATTCCCGGTACGCGATGCAGCAAACAGCCAACATCCGACAAAAGCATCACCCAAAGGCTTTCGCGCCAGGGCACACCCACCGTGCTCACCTTCATGACTCTAAAATTGGATTCAAAAAGCACAAAAGGGTCTCAATATTCCAGAGAGGCATTCAAGTTAGTATCTGGGGGAAGTGGATAGTGGATTGAGGAAGGAGCATGTCTCAAGGGAGGGCGCGATGTTAAACCTCGCTCGCTTACATCATGCTTCATCGGCCAATGAACCTGCACGCTTCTACTTCTACTCATAACAGCGACATAAGAGTGGCACAATGCTCTTTTAAACTTCATGATATAGGTTGATGTGAATTGTGTTGCACTACAAGGATTCGAATGCCTCTTGCATCTGCTCTTGGGTTGTCCAAGTCTTTTCAAGTCGCTCTTGAGGCACAAACACATCACAAAAACACATGCATGACAGTTTTCAAGGACTGGTCGAGATTGTAGTATGAGATCGTTTTGCTTCTACACACGCGATGCATATAAATGCGTCACCTTTAACTTTGAACATATGAGGAGAATGGACTAAGGCCGACCAGACCCAACGCCACGCTCAGAAACCTGCCAAAGAGGTACTGCCAACCCAGTATCATTACAAAAATCCGGATTTCCGGCAATTCTTCCCATCTATGCATGCTTGCAGTCTTTTCCAAGTTTGCTGAATAAGGAAAGAATATATACGCCACCCTATGCCATTCTAGGAACCCAGCCTGCTTTCAAATCAAGCGCTTCTGATTAAATGATTCAAGAGTGAGGTATTGAGATGTACTGTTCTGTACAAATTCTCAAGGTCCCCAAGCGAGTCCACCAGGATGTGCGTGAGGATTCCCATACTTCTCCTGGATGCTAGCCAGCTGCTGTGCCGTCGTAGGTGTCGTCCCCCATCGCTGTGGTTGCAGTTGACCCTGCGCCGCAGGCAGAGGTATACTCGCAACACCCCTCAGCAAGTTGACCAGGCCCTCTGCCTTGAATCGCGTTTCTCTATACGTATGCGCCGGCGGAATAATGCCTAGCAAGAAGTTGACTCCTTGAGGCAGGCCGACGGGTGCACTGCCACCCGTCGCCATGTTCCGCCTTGCGGCATCCAGACGACGACCTGCGGCGCCTTTCAAGGGTGACTCGCCACGAGCGAGTTTGCGGGGTTGCGCACTGTCGTCTGCATCCTCGAGGGGGCGTTTCGGTGACTGGCCGACAGGGAGCAAGTTCCCGAGATGTGGTGAGTTCGTTAGGCCCGGGGATACAAGTCGTTGCTGTTCTTCTCTAATCTGCGGTGGTATAGCAGGCATCGGCTCCTCGACGGATGACATGATGGAAGGCATTACAGGCTTCATCTGTGTTCGCGGGGAGATGATAGGGCGGACGGTTGTAGGGTCGAAGGTCGGGCCTGCGAAACGCTGCGAGAAGCGGTAGAGTTGGGGATCCTCGGGGAAGAGGGTGGTCATGCGCTGCTCTAATTTTGTGATTTGAGTGAGCTCGCCGAATTGCGATTCGTACTCGTGGAAGAACACGAAGAGCGATTTTGCTCGGTGGATATTCTCCGGTTTTGCTGTCAGCTTTCCCACAACGGTTTCGAACACGGCGCGAGCATCTGTATAGGTCAGTACAACGCAGGTAGAATGTTAGGGAGGAACTTACTTGTTGAGTCATTCAGCTTGATCAAGTGCTTGATATACTCCAACGCAAACTGCTCATCCTCCGGGAAGAGTTTCATACCGCGCTCGAAGATTTTCTGTGCCGCCGGATCTTGGTAACAGTGATGCTCGATGAGTGCACTTGCGACGTACGCTTCGCTAAGCAGCTTGCCCTTCTTACGAGCCTCGGTGAACACACCACGGAAACCGGCTATGTCTTCCTTTGGGTTTCCTTTGCCTTGGACACGTCTGATAGCTCGCATCAGAGCAATCCATGCGTACGTGAGCGTCTTCTTGAGAACATGTGTCTGTGCATTGTACCCGGCAGAAATAGCCTGCAGTTGGGTTTGGAAAGCGTCGTCTTTTTCTTTCAGACGTCTCGCAATCTGGACCTCGTCGTCGTCATCTGCGTCATCGGCATTTCTCTGTGCAATTGTGCGGGCCGCTTCATCGGCCATCTTCTGTGCTTCAAACTGTTCCCTTGCTCGCGCGATCGAGTGCTCTTCTCTCTTCTTGACCTGTGCTGTAAGGTCGTAGAGAGTGTCCAAAAGATTCATGTAAGGCTCTCGTACAGCCTTGCCTTTAGCAACGACGCCCGGTTGGCCGTCTTCGAAATCTGTACGAAGCTCGACCTGATTAGCTTTCTTGAAAGCGAGAAGGCAGCTCTCCGGGTTGGCCTCGATGCCATCGGCCAAGAATTTGTCGCCTTCTGTTGGTAATCCGTTCTCGAAGCACCACTCGGCTGCCTCATACCATAGTTCTGACCAGAAGCGAAGAGGCATTAGAGCGCACTTATACAGATGTAGCACGCGTTTATTATAGAGGTCTCGGTCATCCGTTGCGCATTCAATAGGATCGCTCCTCTCCCAGTGGATCCAGTTCTTCCATAGTTTGACTTGATTCATATAATCCTCATGCCCATCGAAACCCGGCGCGGGTGGTAGTTTAGGCAGTGTAGTTCGGTTGACACCTCGCGTAATGTTATTATCGAGGACGTTAATGGCGCTTCGCGCGGTCATGTAAGAGGGCGACTTTTCCTGGAGATGTTTCCGACCCTGTGAATGACATTAGCACTTGACCATTCGTGAGCAGTAAGCGAGAAAACAAACCGTAGCCTTGTTCAAGCCCATCTCAAACTTGTCATAGTCTCGCCAGATCTCCATTGTAGCGTTGTGTGGAATTGAAACGGCCCGCTGATAGACCTTTCGTAGCGTGTCCATCTTCTGCATGTCTTGCCAGTTCGTGCCACCAAGAATGCCTGGCCCGGTCTTGAGCATCTCTATGTAGTCAAGCCAGAGCTTTCCAGCAGCGACATCAATACCGACCTGACCAAGCACGAACTCATACGCCTGAATAATAATTTGGCGGTTTTGGCCATTTGGGTCAGTGGTCAAGTTGTAACGACGGCGGATGAAGTCGATATAAGACGAGTATAGTGCCACATAGGGAGCTAGCGGCACGGAGCGACCAAAGATATGCTCCACCTTTGAAAGCTCGTCAAGCTCTGTCTCAAAGGCAATGTACTCGACCCATTGCTCGCCCTAGACATATTAGCGAGGTCACATGAAACATGATCCAATGGAGCTTACTGCTGTGGGGAAGACCGCAAGGAAACGCTCAAAGGCAGCTCGCGCATCATCGTGCTTATGTCGCCTACGGTGCTCCTCAATTAGACTTAACCACGCTTCGATGTCACCACGCGGATCTTCAGCAATGCGGTCTTCAAGGATGCCAACACGGTCCTGCGGAAGACGGGCCTTTGGTAAAGAAGCAGAAGTGGGAGCAGGTGTAGCTGGAGCAGCGGACTGGCGTGCTGAAGCGACGGTCAAGGGGTCTGGAGCACCTGGCTTAGTAGCATCTGGAACAGGCGCATTGCCATTGAGAAGACTAGTAGCAATAGAAGGAACAGGCTCTTGGACAGTGACAGAAGCAGAAAAAGATGCAGCAGCCTGATCTTGTGCACTATGTAACTGTACATGAGGTGTGGGAAGTGTATTGTTTGGTGTGTTTGTAAATGAACGCTGTGGTGATGCAGCAGCAGCTCCAGGAGCATTCAGCAGTGTTCCGCTCGCCGCCTTCGGCTGAGTAGCAGGCTCCTCGTCCTCGTCCTCGCTCTCGTCGACAAAACCACCCACGGTACGCGGCCGCTTCGACGGCGTTGGCGCAGCGGAAGCGTCAGCAGAAGTTGGCGCGGGTTGGGGCTGCAACCCAATCTCGCCCTCACCGTCAGCGGCAGGCGGTGGTGTGTTGGCTGCAGATTCTGGCATCGATGCCGACTGGTCGGACACATGTGGGGAGTAGGCCGTGTTAGGATCGTATTCCTCTTGATCGGCGGGCGCGTCGTTCGTTGTATAGGCAACTGAAGGGTCGTACTCTTGCTGCTGCGCCTGGAGAAAGGCGAGCTCAGCGTCGTCGGCCATGGCTGCAATTTGGGGAGTGTACTTGGCTAATCGTCAGAACTGATCGAATAGTAATAGAGGAGATATTTATTATGGATTGCGCACGTGTGGGAAGGTCGAAGACAATGAATCTCTTTGTCGCGTGTTTCGTCGGGAAAGAGCGTGCGGAGTTGCGCAAGGAAGCAGACAGTGCTTTCACGGCCTTGATTGCGCTTTTGGCAGATGCAAAGGCGGCGCACGTAGAAGTCGAGATGCGCGGAGGATTAGAAGGTAATGCGCAGTGCTCGGGTGGTGGTGGAGCGAGCGTCGCAGTGAGATGGGTAGAGGTCGTCGAGTTCGGCTCCGCGGTTTGTTCTCCAACGAGGGCAGCCATGGGCCTTGGCATCTGTGGCTAGTGGTGCTGGAGCTTCGGCGATGTCATCGTTCAGGTACCGAAGGCTCCATCAGCAGCGTTCACTACAGCTTAGGCTATTCACTCCCCTTTGCTTGACTATGGGTGGCCGGGACCTCCGGTAACACGACTCACTCTGAAAGGCGCATTTGTGGCTCCACAAATTCTATCCTCGCGCCTCCCATGTTTGGCTGCTAGAACAGCTACCTACCTGAAGGACTCGACTCGACCATACCACAAACATCCACTATGAATATTACGCTCCCACGGCCAACGGGCGGGCCCTCGAACTTCGGAGCGACCACACCTTCGCGACGAAATGAAGCCCGAATGCCGCGCTTCTTCAAGCGCCTCTTCAAGTTTCCACAAATGGACTTCGAGATGGCCATATGGGAGATCATGAGCCTAATAATAGCACCAAAGAAAGTCTTCAGACAGATCTACTACCATGTACATCTCCCCATATCCTTGAACTTTGCAAATCAGCTAACGGCCGCTGTAGAAACAAACAACTAAGACCTACCACCGACCCGACCCCTCCTTTACCTACCTCCTCTCCTTCTTCCTAACCCTCACATCCCTCGCCTGGGGGTTTGCCTACGCCAGCGGCTTCACACAGACGCTCCACATAACCCTCGTATTCATCTTCGGCCACTTCCTGCTCCTGTCCCTCGTCACGGCGACCCTGTTCTTCTTCCTCGTTGGCCGCCTCTTAGGGCCTGGGAACTCGTTGCTGCCAGGACGGAGACGGGGGTTGTATAATCTAGGCGAAGTGGAGGGAGCAGCGGGAAAAGAGGAGTTGGAGTTTGGGTATTGTTGGGATGTAGCAATTCGGGCGTTTGTGCCAGTTTGGGTATTTCTATACGTGGTGCAGTTTTTGTGCATGCCGTTGGTTGGCACGGATCACTGGTAAGATCAACCTTCCAAACGAAAAGAATGGTACTGATATAGCTAGGGTCTCGATCCTCCTTTCAAACTCGCTCTACCTCATCGCTCTCAACTACTATTTCATTATCACCTTTCTGGGTTATAATGCCCTACCGTTCTTGCACCACACGGAGCTCCTACTCGTCCCGATCGCCGTTACAACGATACTTTGGTTTGCGTCTTTATTCGGCTTCAACATGTCAAGGCATTTTGCGCCGGTATTATGGGCGGGTGCGCGGTTACGAAAGCATGTTTGAGCGTAGCATGAGGAAGTGAAAGAGAGTGTCAAGCGCGACGGACAATAGGTCTAGGCTACGATACCATGAGCTGTTTGCATTTAGTAGCATGTAAAAAAGAACGGGGGAGCTTTGAGACTTTTTGAGACTGAAGATACTTGGCATGAGACGTCCTGGGATGGGTGGTTTGGGTTTCGGGCTGATGTGACATTTCTAGCGGGCGTTTATTAACAGCGCGCATTTTGAGTCAAACTAGCCCTGGGCAAAAATCGGCAAGTATGTATTAGAACACTAGCCCGTGTAAAATTATATATATACAGTGAAGTTGTGTTTATATGCATATCCCTACATTCTTGATAACATCGTTGCAGGGTTTTGTACATGACCTATTATCAACACACATATTCTTACAAAGTCCTCTTCTCATGTTTCTCCTCGTAGCACTGAACCCGATCACCTATCTTGAAGTCTTCCCACTGGTCAAACGAGATACCACACTCGGTATCCTTACGCATTTGCTCGACGTCCTTCTTTTGGTTCTTGAGAGAACTAATAATGCCTGCGCAACTACATTAGCACTCGCCCGAATAGATAAGTCGAACTAGGGAAAAGAGTGCAAAACTTACCATCGTGAACAATCTTCTCACCACGGAGCACCCTCGCCTTGGTCCCTTTGTCAACCAGCCCATTGCGAACCTTGGAGCCAGCGACTTTCATTGTCTTCCTACCCCCGAGACCAATTTCAAAGACAGCAGCAATCTCAGCTTCGCCCGTGACTTTCTGGATGACCTTCGGCTTCAGCTTTTCGCTTAGCAGGTCCCTCACATTCTCCACGACGCGGTAGATGATATTGCTGTCCAGGATCTTGACGCCCTTCTCCTCAGCAAGCTTAGCGACATGGTTAGGAATTGAGGTATTAAAGTTGATAATGTGCCCTTGCGCATCGGCAGCGTGCGAGATGTCGAATTCTGAAGGCGGGCCGACACCGTGGCGCAGAATGCGGGCCGACACTTCTCCATTGCCGAGGGCAGAGATGGAGTCGACTACTGCTTCCACGGAGCCAGAGACGTCTCCTTTGACGATGAAGGACACGACTTCCGGTCCTGCTACCTTGGTCTCTTCCACTACCGCCTCTTCGCCATTTGCAACAGCCTTCTCAGCAGCTTCTTCGGCTTCGCGACGATCAGCTTCGAGACGGCGTGATTCGTTAATGGCATCCATATCGCGCGCCATCTGTTCTCTTTCTACCTTCTCGGTGCGAAGGTTAGAAACCGAGGTCGCTTGTTGTTCATGGGCTGCTTGTAGGACTTCGTCGCCGGCAATAGGCTGATCGCGCCAACCGTCCACCTCGACAGCTACACCGGGCCCAACTTCCTCGACCACGACACCAGCTTCGTTGCGCAAGCTGCGTACGCGCGTCCATGTCGTGCCGGCAACGAGAGCCGTGCCTTGCCGAAGGGTACCGCTGCGGACTAGGACGGTGGCTACGCGACCGGACTTCTTGGTCGTACCTTCCAGTACCCATCCTTCCACGGCTGCTTGAGGGTCGGCGCGATGATCGAGCATTTCGGAGAGTGTTGTGATCGCTTCCTCAAGCTCGGGGATGCCTTGTCCAGTCTTTCCACTAACGCAGATTGCTTGAACGTCGCCGCCGAAGTCTTCTATTTCGATACCGTGGCGACCAAGGTCGAGCTTGACAGCGTCTATGTCGGCTTGCGGCTTGTCTATCTTATTAATAGCAACAATCATAGGCACATTGGCTGCTTGAGCGTGCTTGATAGCCTCGACAGTCTGTGGCATGACCGAGTCATCAGCTGCAACAACTAATACAACGATATCGGTGACGTTGGCACCACGAGCGCGCATCGTCTCGAAGGCAGAATGGCCGGGGGTGTCGAGGAAGGTAATCTTCTTGCCATTCGCTAGTGGCACGCTGAATGCACCGATGTGCTGTGTAATGCCACCGAACTCGGTAGCAGCAACGCTCGTCGAGCGCATGTAGTCAAGAATCGTAGTCTTGCCGTGATCAACGTGACCCATGATTGTGACAACCGGTGGTCGAGCAGGCAGCTCGGCATAGACCTCAGGCTCAACTGCTGGTGCGGGGTACAAATCACCGTCATCCTCTTCGGCCTGAAAAACGGGCTCAAAGTTGTACTCCTGCGCAATGAGACCAGCGTGCTCCGCGTTCAGGATATGGTCATTTTGCACATCTTCGAAACCTAGCTCTTCCAGCTTATGCACGAAGTCTTCGACCCTCAGCCTTAGGGCCCCAGCAAGATTGGCCACACTAATGTACTCTGGTAGAGAAATAGGGACAGGGTCGTTCTTTGCAATCTGTGCAGCCTTCTTTGCTTCTGCTCGCATCCGCTTGCGCTCCTGTTTATTAACGCGCGGGCGATCATCTTCCTCTTCCTCGTTCTGTTGCACACGGCGACCCCGATAGCCTCCCTTCCGCCGCTCTGGCTCTTCGTACCGGTTCTTGACTTCCACAGGCTCGTTAAACTCGAATCGACTCCGTCGTCGATCTTGTTCCACGTTACGACCTCTCCGATCCTCGTTGTCCTGGACTTGAGAAGGCTTTTCCACTTGCATGCCACCCTTTTGTTTCCTTGCCCAAGCCTCTGCCGCGTCCGCAACTGATTCTTCGTGACGTTGAGATTGTGGTGGCCGGTACATTGTTTTTCGCTGTTGCTGGTCTGGCTGCTCACGTAGCGTCGGCTTCCTCGGACAGGCAGTGCTCATGTGGTCTATCGATCCACAATGCCAGCATTTCCGTTGTGCATCTGTGTCCTTTGCGAAGGGCTTAAATGGCTTCGACGGGCGACTGCTAGTAGTGGCGGTATCTCCTAGTAATTTGGCTATCTCGTCTTGATCTAGCATACTTCTCCGGGGAGCAGGCCTCGACACTGGCGGCGGTCGTCGCTCGTCCAAGCCAAACTGCGCGCGTTCCGGTTGTGGCTCGTTCCGCCGCCTCAGATGTGCAGAACCGAACGCTGGGGTGTTCACTTGCGGTCTTGAGTCCATGTTGACTTTAAATCGATTGTTTGGCGGAAGTCTGTATTCCGATGACCGCTCTTTGCTACCATCTCTTCGTCCCAGAGGGGCGAATCTGTCCCTGTTCTGATGGCGGCCAGGTGCTTCAAAGACACCCCCTCTGTTCATCGGCCTTCGTTCGAGGGGAGGCTGCCGTTGCGCTTGCGGAGCTTGCTGACCCAAGGATGGTTTCATTCTCTGGGCCGGTGACACATAGCCTCCCTGTGGCTGCACGGGTTGCGTGTATGGAGCGCTCGCCGCCAGCGCTTGTCGCATTCGCGCTGCCTGTGAGACGGGCCGGGCGGGTGGGTTCGCATCTTGGTAGATGATTCCTTCGGCTGATTGAGGGGATCTACTAGATGAGTTCAATTGCCTCCGCTGCGTCGAGTCTGAAGATGGGGGGAGCGTATGCGCAACTGCCAGTTGACGAGTGGCGCAAAAGATGCAGATGTCGCGGGTAGAAGATACCTACAGGACAGTTAGATATATCCTCATGAGAAGAAGCCATGGAGCAATCTCATTCTTACCCGAAGTCCACGCGCTCTTCGCATTGTCGGATGTGATGGGGATTGGATGATTGCGGCTCCGTCCAAAAGATTTGAGGGTTGAAGGTCCCCTCGACCGCTAGCCGGCATATCCCTGCCGATGACAACTGACCATGCCGCCACTGGTCCTCCTGAAGTATCTGCGCATATGAACTTCGTTCGTGTGAACATGCAAATCTATCTCACTACTTTACACGATGAGGAGCAAAAACATCAAGGTCTATTTCGGCGAGGGCAGCTATTTGTACGACACCGCAAATTGCGTCATTTTCATGTGTATAGTGCCTTTAAACGTAAGAGTAGAGTCGTGATTCTGAAAACATGTTTCAACCGCGTAATACATTCAAAGCCTATTATAATTAACAAATGTCCGTGTTAGTCCCGTGCCTCCTTCATCCTCACCCTGACCCCATCAGAAGGACGCTCTGTCAAACTCAGTGCATGTCTCACGAAGCCTACCCCACCCCTCTCCTTGTCCTCCCACGTATTCCCAATGCCCTCCATCTTCTCGTATCTCTGCACCAACCTTACAATCACATAGCCAGCCTCTGTGAGTGCAAATTGCTGGCCGATACATATGCGCGGTCCTCCATTGAACGGCAGATACTCCCACCCACTCTTCCTACCATCCCATCTGTCAGGCTTGAACTCATCGGCATCCTGGCCCCAGAGGTCTTTGCGCCGGTGCATGATATACACACTGTAGTCGACTTGCTCGCCTTTCCGCACATAGATGGGTGCAGTACCGTCTGGGCCGCCGCCGGTAGGGAGGGTAGTGTCACGGAGGGCGCGGCGGCCGTTGAGGGGGACGACGGGGTAGAGACGTAGCGTCTCGTTGATGACCCATTGAAGGTAATTGCAGCCTTTCAGGTTCGAAAAGGTAAGGGGTTTGGAATTTCTGTAGGTTCCGAATTCCTCTTGGATGATCGCGCGCAGTTTGGCGTAAACATCGGGATGCTGAATGAAGAGCATGAAGACGTATGAGAGTAGGGAGGCCGTTGTGTCACGACCAGCAAGGAGAATCGAGATTAGGTGAGAACGAAGTTCGATGGGGTTGCGAGTTGACTCAACAAGCGCGTCCAGAAAGACGTACCTTGGTTTTCCATGTGATGTTGTTTGGGTGGAAGTCTTCTCTTTTGAGAGCGCAAGCTGGACATAGTGGTCGATGAAGGTGTGGCAGCGGTTGCAGTGCTCCTTAAATGTCTTATCGTAGACAAGCCAATACCCTTCACCAAGACGAGAAGCTTTAGCGATGGTGTTTTGAGCTGCGTCGAATGAAACAGCGAACTCGTGCTCGCTGACGGTCATAGGAGCTTTGCTTGAAACATAATCGGGTAAAAGTGAGAGCTGGGAGTCTACGCTCTCGCCGAACAGGAACTCAGTCGCAGAGTCGATTGTCAAGCGGAAGAATAGCGGCTGCAGGTCGATAATGTCTGTCCATCCATCCTTGTTCGCAGGTATAACCCGCATCATATCTTGCACATGGCTCTCCTCGAGCTCGAGATCGCTCACCTGGTCTCGAGCAAACTGTGGTCTCAGCAACGCTCTCGCATGCTCCCATTCTTTTCCGTCTGTAGAGAACTGTTCTAATGTCAGCGACCGCTCCAACGCAAACATCATTCCACCAACAGCAACAGAGGCCGGTAACTTACGATGCCCCACCCAAGAAGGGGAGAAAAGTTTCCATTCCTCCTCTCCCCCAGTCCAAAGTCCTTGAATTGCGTAGCGAGTATAGCCTGGATGTTCTTGGGCTCCATGGTGAAGTAATTTCTAGCACCCATAAGATGCTGGTAGAACGTGGACACTGGTCTGCCCTTCTCGGCAGAGGCATCGTCAACACGGCCCTTGAGATACTGGGGTATGCGCTGTTCCTTATCCGCTTTCACGATCTTGAAGACATTTTGAAGGCCGAGAGGATCAATGCTTGCGATACGATGCGGTGGCTGGCATCCGAGCTGGCGAGCGGCGGCAGCATGCCGGCGTGAATCGAGAAAAGACGAGATGATCTTATAGATTATGAAGGACACGAAAGCCCATATGGCTAGCAGAATTGAACTGTGCATCTTGGAGCGTAAGAGTGGCGCGCAATAGAAGTTGAGAGAGGATTCGACGAAGTAAAAGGGTTCAGACCAGGGCTTCGCGTCAGTGAGCTAGTAGTCGCCTAATTGTTCACTCTTGAGCAGGATCCTACTTCTATTCGAGTGAGATTGATGTCATTTTATATGGATGAAGTATTAAGCTGCAAACACCCCGCTTGTCGGTAATTGCCTTAGCACACGGAAGCCGGGTTGACTCTTTGTTTCATAGCCCGCCTTGCATGGTGTGGCAGTCTCGACAACCGGACTCGAAAATCCCGAAAGTCCTTGTTCTGCCTAAGAAGCCTGTACATATGTAGGCATGCAGGCAATATCATCCTTCATCCTTCATCGCTACATCCATCTCCTACCTAGTTTGCCAGGGCGTCCGTCTCCTAGCAGCCTATGACGCGTGACTAGTAATCGGCTTGTGATTGCAAAGCGGCCGGGTACAATGATGTCTCCGCGCGGCCTACGACCTCATGGAATTTAGCAACCAAACAAGCTCATTCTGTTGTGGGTGCAGGTAGACGCGAATCGCGATCGTACGGGAAAGGAAGGTGGCACGTCGTATAACGGTGAGAAGTCGTGCCGATGTACGAGGCTGCTACAGGTTACGGTACCGGTATGTACCAATCGCCAAGAATCCCGAAGGCCGACTCACATGCTAGAGACAGGCAACAAGGAGGAAGCGGCCTGATAAAGGTCCGACGAAGATCATGAATTCACCCATCGGGCTCACTTGAAAGAAAACTCTATCGGCTGATACAACATGGATTAAGCTCGTCGCTCCTTCAAATATTGAGGCGGCCAAGAAAACACCCACTACACAACGTGGACGTCGACACTCAATTGCTCTATCCCTAACAAACGTCAGAATAAGGCCCCACATCTTCAAAGCGATATCTACAATAGCTATACAAAAGAGTAACAAAGCCGTTCAGCCTCATGTTACCTTGGAATGACCGCGGTTCAACCACGATCGCTCCGGAAGCGTTCCGAGCCGGAAAGGACGGCAGCTTCAACTCTGGCACCGCTCTTACCACTCGCTGTAGTCCGCTTTCTAATTGTCAAATATGGAATCCACAGCCCCTCGAACCCTTGGTTCTATATCACAACAGCAGGGTCCGGAGTCACCAAATTCCGTGAGTCATTGTACATCTGCTATAAGGCACGCAGCCGCAGCCTGAAGCCCTTCCGCACACTGAACTTCGACCGATGCTCATCTGTCGCTTGAATTCAACATCCGGTATCCTCGGCAAACATGGACGCTGGCTGGGAAGAAGTTGAGCGCATGGCAGTAGCCGCATCGACCGATGATGCTCGGCTGGCTTCTGAATACCCTACACCAGAGACCACGAAACGATGGAGGCGCCTCTTCGGTTATTCCCAGATGGAGGCCGTAAAGCTCATCGGCGATCAACGAGGGGACGGTGAGTAGAAACCATTCGAAGGACATCAGGCTACCCTGGACTTGTCTGGTCCTAACCTTAGCAGTCACCCGCGAACGCATCACTGACGAGCATTGGACTCTTATTAGAGAGGAGAAGGAGATCTTGGGCTACGACCGCGAGGCCTACGAGCACAGCCTCCAGCTTTCCCATGTGTTCAAGCGACAGAGCGCCTTAATTCCAACGACTGGGTCAGATGGAGCGATGATGTTGCTCTTCCGGCTCGGTGGTTTGCTAAGCACGCCGGAGAAAGTGAAAGAAGTTGCGGGCCTGGAGGAGCTGCCGGTGGTCCGAGAAGGAATGAGCGAGATGGAGATGGTGAAGTTCTGTGCTGTCGACAAGGAGGCGCAGAAGAAGCTAGAGGACTGGTTGACGCAGCAGTCTGTACTACAAAGGTGAGTATGATACTATTGTATCAGAAGGCATAGAGACTGGTGATGTCTCGAACCGTAACCTTCGAGGAATTCGCATGTAATGCAACATCATCTCTTTTTTCGCCTAGGACACATCGAAAATAACAATCTTGGTGGGAGCTCTCCCCCGCTGAAAGCTTGATCCCGTGAGACCCTACTTCAGTCACAAACCCCGAGAGAAGCGCGACCGAGAAGCACTTGGGGATGTTCCGAGGGTCGCCAACTACACAAGCGCTTCCTTCGGCCAAAAATAACGCAGAATTATCAAGACTGAAAATCATTTTCTAAGGCTCCATACCATGCATGACATCGTGCTGTAGTACAACTATGAGCTCCCGGTTGGAAGATCACGCCTCCTACAGCGGTGTGTCTGATGAAGCACAACTTCATCCGGGTAGTGGTCGTGATGACGAAGGAAACACTTCGCCAATCATGGAATGCTTAGAGCGAGAAATACAGCCATCGCATGCGTCGCCCTCGTCGTAGTAGATGAGAAATAAGCTTAAATCGAAGCCTAACAATAGCGATAGAACATCGGTCAGCATCTTGCAGGGCTGAGCCACAGCTGTGATCCAGCTTCGATGTAAGCTGTTCTAGCCACGTCAGGCTCGGAACATCCTGAAACGCTTATTGGAATATTTTTGGCGAATTCTAAGATCTGCTTGACCCAGAGATGTCCGAGTTTGACGAATGATTTCGAGTCTGGCTTGGTGTTTTCTCCTTCTCCGCAATTTCATTCTGTCATGGCTGTGAGGCTTAGCTGACCGTCTTAGGATTGAGCACAACAACCACAACGGCTTACCATCAGACGGCAGGCATCTGATCCGATGGCTATGTGAGATAATGAAGACTTCCTGATAGTTAAGGCAGGCAGGTTACTGACTATATAAGTCTGAGGGTATCTTGCTAGAATGCACTCATCATCACCACACTCACATCCATTTCAGCAACAACCATCTTCTTTTACTAGCTATTTCGCCCTAATCACTACTTCGTTCATCAATCGAACCAAACAATCAAAATGGTCGCCTTCACATCCCTCGCAGTCGCTGCCACCACCTTCCTAGGCCTCACACATGCTGCACCCGCCAATCCAGTCCGCAACACTGGTGTAATTCACCGTGTATTTGCAGGCTCTACCACTGAAAACGGCGGCCTCCACTTCGAGCCCCAGAACGTGGTAGCAGAACCTGGCGATGTCATGGAATTCCATTTCCTGCCCAAGAACCACACAGTGGTCCAATCATCTTTTGAAAAGCCATGCGAACCTCTTGCAGGTGGCAAAGGCATCTTTTCTGGGTTCAACTTCCGTACCGATGCCGGCGAGGCTCCGAAAGTGTTCACGTTCACGGTTCAGGACAAGAAACCCTTCTGGTACTACTGCTCCCAGACGGTGGGCGACCATTGCCAGAAGGGCATGAGCGGTGTCATCAATCAGAACTTCGACTCCGACAAGACGCTTGCCAAGTACAAGGAGAACTCGAAGAACACAGTTACCAAGCAGCCTTCTGCTGACCCTCTTGCTTCTCAGGGTGGTTGGATCCTGCCCAACAAGCCTTTGTAGGCGAAGAGGCGACGAGGAGTGGAGACGGATAAGTAGAGGCGACGATGGCATGATGTGTTGATGGGGTTGCATTTGCTTTGGCGTGCGTAGCGTTGGCATTTGTGTTGGCGTTGGCGTTGGTATTTTACTTAGATCATCTTCATACCTTCGCATCAATATTATACCTTCTTTTGCGTACCCGTATTATACTCTTCCCTCTTTTTGTTATTGCAATCATTAGCCAAGGTTTAGATTCTCTTTCAATCCTTCACTACCTTCAGCCTGAACAATAGGAAGCCCGTGCGTCCCTAGTACCGTGAGTTGAACAAGGACTAAGATGTGCACATGGAAACGAAGACGGATGACTTTGCATCTCTCAAATCAGAGAGGGCTATGATAAGCCTGCATCACGCGTTGATCGAGCGTGTTTTCATCTTCTATTCCCCCATCACGCGTTGACTACATCAAGCACACAGCTAGCCAGCCAAAGTATGTATCGTCCAATTTATTTACCTTCGCTCCACCAGCAGTAATTGCAGAAGAGAAGGGGGTAAGCAGACGCTCGGTTATGTTCTTCTTACCTCCATTTTCCCCTCCAAAGCATCCTCATTGAGTAAGGACGTAGAGTGAATATGAAGGGTTTTCAGTTTTAAGGAGCAGAAGAGGATGCGCCGCGCGCGAAGAGGAAAACCCAGCGAGGCTTTTCGGATGACTAAGAAACGCTAACGCTATCTAGCTAGCGGAGGATGCGAGCGAATTGGGAGTGGCGCATTATTGACGAGTTGGTGCAAGTGGGGCGGGGCAGGGCAGGCGTGCACATGGCGGGGCAGCGTTTTGTTGTCAACTGTGAGTGTGAGTGTGACTTTTACTGCAAGAAAATAGATAGGACATATACTTGCTTGTAGGAAAAAGAAGTAAGTCAATCCGGGGTACTGTGACTCTGTTGAGTTGTGGAAACTGACGTCCTGTAGCTCGACAGCGCCGCACTCTACGAAAGCAATCCCTCGCCCTTCGTCACCGAGTTTCTTTCACAGACGCACACTCCCCAACAACCCCTACCGAGTACTTCAGCCAAACGAGCACACGATACTGTGAGGAATTTCAAAACTACAATCAGCCTCGAAGAAACCTACTGCCTTCCTGCATCTCGAGTGCCCACGCCTGCTCGAGCACAAAGCAGCTTCAACATTACATTCCCTTCGACATCGACAAGCATAAATCAGATACATCATGTCTTCAGCAGGACGCGGTCGCGGCGGCAAGTTCAACAAGGTCAAGCGTGGAGGGGGTAAGAAGTTCTCCCGAGACCTACAGCCGCTCAATGCAGATGGCGAGGTCGTAGGCATGTGGGGTGTATGTACACGCTCTCCAATGTCAACAGATTACATAGCTAACATAGTCTCCAAGGAACAACCCTCAAAGGTCGACGAAGAGTCGTCAGAGGAGGAGTCCTCGGAGGAAGAGTCCAGCGACGACGGCAGCAAACCCGCGGCAGAAGAGTTGACGCGCGAGCAACGCCGTGAAGCCGCAAAGAAACGCAAGGCTGCCGCAATAGCAAAGAAGTCGCAGAGGACCCCCGAAGCAGGCGACCTCCCCACTGATTCCTCCGAAGACGAAGACGACGACATGCCCGCAAACCCCAACCACACTGCAAAAGCCCGCTCCCAAGCCGCTACCATCCCCGTTGCTGCAGACGCCGAGCCCGCCGCGGCTACCGCAAAGGGCAAAGGCAAACAGCAAGACCTGTCCCAGCTATCCCGCCGCGAGCGTGAAGCAATCCAGGCACAGAATGCCAAAGAGCGATATGAGAAGCTACACGCAGAGGGAAAGACGGAGCAGGCGCGTGCGGATCTAGAGCGTTTGGCGTTGGTGAGGGAGCGCCGGGATAATGAGGCTGCGCGCAAGAAGGCAGAGGCAGAGGAGCGCGCCGAGTTGGACAAGGAGAAGGCGGGGGCTTTGGAGCGCGAGCAGAGGAGGAGGGATCAGGCTATGGGCAAGGCTCAGCGTCTGGCCAAGGGTGGAAAGAAGAAGTAAAGCTCCCTGGAGACGTGCCTCTTTGGATCCGCCATAGCCATTTATCGAATGGGGCACGTCAGCTCTGGGAGCTGGCATTCAACGGCTCAATGCTTGCGTTTTGCATAGCCTGCGGATGGGTTTGGCCTTTTGGCAGCTGGAGTACATGTTCACGATCTGATGAGAGCCTTGGCAGGAGATGGCACTGCACGACCTGCGTAGCCTGCTGGATGTGTATGCGACTAGGAAAATCACTCATGGAATCCCGTGAACGACCACTTTCTGCTTCTTTTCTACTTGGTGCTTGTATTGCAGGTGCTACTGCGCCCTTGTATGCCCTAACAGCTCAGCCCACCGACATGGGCACTCTATCTCTGTTTCCTGAATCCGAGAACCATCAGACTGGACATGTATGTGTCTAGAGCCTTCGACGTTGGTACGAACATCTTGTACAGCAGCTGAAGGCCTTCGTATAGTTGCGCCCTTGACTGGACCCCCACCTCGGCAACGAACGCGAAAGTCCACGACTTCGTCATCACTCCTCACTATGTAAACACGGCCATGTCGCCACCAATGCCTCGCCTAGCGAGATTTTCTTTGGCGTTCTTATCCTTCGTATGCGAACGTAGGTCCGAACGTGCCGATAATGGATGAGCCGATTCCCGCAGCCGAACAGTCAAACTACGAAACCTTCCGTGACTGCCTGAGCGAACCGGTTTTACGAGCTCTGGCAGCACCAGTCGAAGAGCAAAAGCCGAAGAAAAGAAGACATGCGAAGAGGAGCTCGAAAAGCAAGATTGCTGGCGCTGTAGAGAGGGGCAAGGCGCAGACGAATACCAATGGCAGTGTCGAAGCGACAGAAGCCCAAGCATCCGACGCAGAGGACTTGGGAGACTTCATCGAGGTAAGCTAATTACACTACTATGCTTTGCAAGAACCATAATTTGACGCGAAAATAGTATCTAAGCGCCCTCATCTTCGCCTCCCTCCCCCCAGACCTCCGAACCCTATCCTACTCCAAGTACAAAGACTCTACGCGTCTACAAGATCTCTACACGACACCCCTCTCTGCATCAACATACACGCTCGTCCTAAACACCATCTCCCCAACTGTAATCGACAGCCTCGAATCTTACGCCCTCCTCCCACCCGCCGCAGACGCAACCGATCTACGAAACCTCCTCCTCCCCGTTCTCACAGCATACACTACAGCTGCAACAGCCCCGCCGCCTATATGGAGCTCGACGCGCACAACAGCGTGTGAGCTGTGTGGCAGAGATTGGGTGCCGCTGACTTATCATCATTTGATACCCAAGAGTGCGCACGAGAGGGTGTTGAAGAGAGGGTGGCATACTGAAGAGATGCTGAATAGTGTGGCGTGGTTGTGTAGGGCGTGTCATTCGTTTGTGCATAGATTGGCGAGTAATGAGGGGCTGGCGAAAGGCTTCTATACGCTTGAGCTGATTAGAGAGGGTGGGGTGGAGGGGGACGCGGATAAGAGAGCGGAGGTCGAGGGTTGGGTTCGGTGGGTGGGTGGTGTGCGGTGGAGGAGTCGGTGATGGGATATAGTGGGAGTAGAGACTAACCAATTCGTTGCTCTAAGCTGTAAAGAAAAGCCTTCCGAGGTTGGAAGGTGGTTGATGAGCGTGATACACATTAAGTACATGAGAGGGACGTGAAAAAGAGAAGAAGTGTAGATCAAGAATAGCTGAGGCGAGGCAACGAAGGACTATCACAGCAAAGCCTTGCAAAGATGGTCTCACTTCAAAAAGTAGTCTCGTACGAAGATCGTTATTCATTAAACTATCTCATGAAAATCAGACCCCAAGTCGGAGGAGGTCAAAGTCGTCCAACTGACCTCCGTCACGTTACGCCAAACACCACACGACAAATATTACAGCGTACACGGGAACTAACCCTGAAGCCCAACACCATATAACCAACAGACATGCTGTCAAGAAGCTCATTCTCGAGAATTTACAGTGGTGCGTCACTCAGAAACCCCTTCTCAACCTCATCAGCAAAGACGGGATAGTTTCGCCAATTCGCAGCCGCCAATTTCCTCGCCTCGACACTCGCGCGGACATGACCGAGAAACTTCTCGGTACTAGGATCACTCGTTGATCGTTTCAGGGTACCCGGACCCACCGTCGCTGTGGACGAAGAAGACATAGTGGCAGGAGTAATCGTGGTACTAGAAGCATTCGAGCCCGAACTAGTAGAACGAGCAGCAGACTTCCGTCTCGTCCGGTCTCTGCGCTCAAGTGTGCATGCTCTCTTCCTCCCCGTTGCAGATGGCTTGTTGGCCGCAAACTCTTTAGCCTCCGTCTCTAGTTTGTCTAGTCTGACGAGCATCTTCATCTCGTTCCTTTGTTGTTGCGTCGTCTCTTCACCGCTGGGGAAGCTTTTCCTCCTAAGCGAGGTAGCGAGGTAGTCGTGATACTCTTTCGTACCCATACGCAGCTTGTACTCGCTCAGCGGGCTGGGTGGCGAGAAGCGAATGTCGTATCCAGGGCTGGCGAAGTCAACGAGCTGGCCTGGATGGGCTTCTGTCGGGATGACGTTGCGGCGAACGAAGGAAGTTGTTGGGTCCTGAGAAGCAGAATCTCGACGTAGTGTAGCCGGACTTCCTAAACCACGACCCCTTGCACGCGCCACCAGTGCCGGTCTACTGAACGGGAACGTCAGGCTCAACTCGTAACCTGAAGAGTCGATGCGCTGTCTCTTGAACGAGTCTTCGATCGATGGGCTTGGGGGCGCGAACACTGACGAGATTGAAGTCCGTGGGCTGATTTGCGGTGTGCGATCACACGAGCGTCTACTAGATGCCATTTCAAAGCTAAAGTTCATGTTGAATACCTCGCTTGGTCGTCGTTTCTTGCGAAAACTGGTCATCCATCCTGTTGCTTTGGCAGCTGGGTTGAGCTTGGATGCCGGCTTGGACTCTCTGGCGGACTCGGGAGTAGGCACTGGTGTGTGTTGACGTATCTTTTGCATAGGAGCCACTGGCTTCCACTGAGGCATGCGCCGGAGGATATCTTCGGGGGATTCTTTTACAATCCTGACTGGTTGTGTGCGCTGAACTTGATTGTTGGTTGGTACCCGGTGATAACAAGGCCAGTCCTGCATGCTCGCCAGTTCTCGTGCAGCTGGGGCATTTGAAGATAAGTAGGCATCTCTTGTGAATGCGAAGTACAAGTCGTCTTGTGGTCGATATTCACGAGGCGGCAATGGGTCGCGGGGCCAGACAGCAGGACGTCCATTCCGCGGATCATCATGATACCCTGTTGCCTGGGGTATTAAAGCAAGCCGTGGGATTTGTGAATGATGGTTTGATTGTGGGGTTGGCGGGGGCGTGGTGCGGTCATATGGTGATGATGCCGGCATGGTGCTCGTGACTGGTTGGTTGTGATCCCGTGCCCACCACACGCAGTCAGTAACTGCTGGAATGTGTCGACAGAATGGATGGTCAACTTTATGAAGGTGAACGACTCTTGCAGTGCCGATTCGGTAATCCGAGGAGGACATGAGCTATAATGAGTGGATTGCCTAGCGATCGGTAGTGGATGTTAGCAAGTGTGGTAGAACCAGCATCACCGACGTGTGAATTTGGGATTACACTTCTTCGACTCTCTGACCGTTGAAGTTCTTGTGGGTTATATACTACGTCTTCCGATGCCCTCGACGTCTGATGGACATGATCCGATGTCCAGCTTCACGACATCAGCACGGTTGCATCAATGTAGGTCTCGCTCATCTCAGGCTCCGGTACTTTCATAATTACAAATGACCACAAACGGTGGGTTCTCTTGCATCATCTTCCCGCTCAATTGTGAATCTAGAAGCCTCAAGGCCGCAGCCGGACGTTGCGCCAGGCTAAACGGGACCCAAAACCCCCCGAGCGACGGGAGCTCGCCGCAGTGCGTGACGAGCCGTCCTGTTAGTTGACGCCATATCGTTGGCTCGGCGTCTCCGCGAAATGTATGTCTTCCGTGGGTGGGACTTGTGAAGAGCCATGGAAGAGGACAGGGGCTAGACCGAGATCGGCGGGCCAAAAGAAGTGGGTGACACGTCCAGGTAATGTGACGAACCGCCAGTATGATCGAGGATATGGATCTTTGCGGTTCGAGGGCGTACAAACTGTAGCAGTGCCATGGTACTGTGTCGCCAAGCGGCCAATGATCGCACCCGCCATTCTTTAAGCGTATCACGTCTAGAAGGTAGCTATCAACCGCCAGTACAGCAAGCGCAGCCAACCAAGACATCACTAACATCTCGCCAGATTGGTACGACGTGTCTAAAGGAAAGAGGTATCTGGTAATTCAGCCCTTCTCCCACTGTACGTTTAGTGGGAATAGAGGAACAAAGGCCTTGAAACTCTAAGACCCAGCGTCCCGAACAACACTCTCCCAAACACCCTGCCAGTCCGCCTCGCAGCCTCCATACCTAGCTTCAAATGTATTCATCGCCAGGTTCCCCAAGAACGGTCTGACTACTCTGTTGATAAGCTCCCCTCTTGCCATGTCCAGCACCGCGGCGTTTTCTTCCTTTTCCAACGCCTCAATAAGCGGGTCGAGGAACAGAGTCCTTTTCGATTCGTCCGAAGTCAAGTCGCTGCTGGTATGTAGCGTAACCGTAGGCGCAGACGAGTATTGCGACAGCACTTCACTAATCTCCTCTGTAAGTGACTGTAGTGACAGTGGCGTGCTAGGCTTGTACACCGCATCAATGGTATCAGTCACGAATAGCCATTCCATGAGTTGGAAGTCATCTGGATCAAGTACTACAAGCTCATCCAGTAACTTGCATGTTTGTATGACGCCAGAGTTGTTATAATGCTCCTTGTTCCCTGCGTTCGGTAAAAGCGATGACAAGGCAGATGTCAACTCGCCGTTCACGACAGGCCATAGTGACGCGAGATGGATTGGCGAGGTCTTGAGGATCATGGCACGCAACAGCACGATCACATCTGCACGAGTGGTCGATGAGGGAGACGACGCCGGTGTGGCCGTGAGCAGTTCCACAACCTTCTCCAAGATTTGTGGCATGTTGGGTGTGTATGCATCTTCCGGGTTGGCGAGAACGAGGAGCGCGATGCGTCGAAGCGTTTGCTGTGTTTTGCGATCAGCGTCCTGTCGGGCAGATGTAGCACCGACACCGAACATGATGCCAGCTGTTGTCGGTGCAGACAGTCGCGAAAGTAGCTCTGGCACGCGTTCTTTATCCGACTGAGTCCACTGTGCGAGAATGGGCAACCACGAGTCCTGAAGCAGGGGTAATGGCGTGTTGAAGAACTTTAGATCGTTGAAGGCATCGAAGATGTCCTTCTTTAGAAACTTGTTGCCTTGTGCGATCTTTGTTAACCCAAGTAGTAGGTCTAGCACACTCTTAGAAACGTTGTCCGGAAATGCTTTTGCGCGGAATGTAGGGCCGATGACAGATGTCGAAATGTCTGACACGACCTTTGCAACACGATCATTCTCTATGAGAACAGTGGGTAATTTTGGTACGATTGAGTTGAGAATAGAAACCACGTCAGTTGCTCGCTTCTGGGCGCGGCTTCCATTTGTGGCGGCTGAGGTCTCCTCGGTCGACGATACTTGATTGGTATCTTGAATGTAGCCCATTGAACGGGTTGTGAAGATTGCAGTCAGAATCCTTGCAAAAATATCCTAGACGAAAGGTTAGTATAATTTTTGTAAAGTTGATAAGATAATTACGTACTGCAAGCTCTCTTCTCATCCTCCGCTGCTCTCCAAAATTGGTGTTGTCAACCTTCTGGCCGATTACAGCGGTGAATTCTAGAAGCGTAGGTAGTATTTGTCGATGAGGGAGAGGGTTGGCAAGAACGTCGCGGAGAAACAGCGTGCAGTCTTGCCATATCTCATCCATAGCATCATCCTCCAAAGACTTTGTGTATTCAACGAGGAAAGCAACAAGATCAGTATCGGAGAGGTCCGAAGTTAACGTAGATAACCGATTGACATCCAAGGCACTAGGGTCAGTTCGGCTATACACTGCATTGAAGATAGCCGGGATGGTATGTTTCGGCATGGAGCCGTTCAGTACGTTCAGTAGACCAGTGACGACTGATTCTTGAACGTCGTCCTTCCTTGCACGTGCCCACAGGACTACTAGTGTCTCCAGACATTCCAGCGCTTCTGCAGCGAACAGGTGTTCTAGGATACGCCGAGCACGGTTGCGTAAGCGCAGAGATGTGTAGCCAAAGGATGAAGCCGACGTAGGGTCTTGGCGGCCCTGGTCCTGTCCATAGCCACCCCAGGACCATATAGCAAAGCACATTCGAACAGTATCCTGAAAGCAAAGTAAAACTGTGAGTCTGCTGTTGGCTGTTGGCGTACGCGTCGGGTTCATATCTGAGGAGAAAACACCAGATACTACATTGCTAAAGAAGCCTTGGGGTTGCTCAGGAGTTTTGTTAGCTGATGCTTTGGTCTCTTGAGTCATTAAACGTTCGTGTGCTTTAGCTAGAATTTGCTCTAGCCCGTTAATGAGCGAGACAAGCGTGGATTCTGGGGAGATGCTCGGTCTTGGGTCATCATCTTTCGTGAAAGTTGACTTTAGATTCTCAAAGGTGATGTTGATCTGTCTGCAGAGACATTCGACAAGAGGTAGAAGGTTTTGGAAGATGGTGTCGGCAAACAGAGGCAAAACCTCAATAAGAAACTGGACCCAGTCATCCAGTACGAGACGACTGGTTGGTGACGAAAACCCAAATTTGAGACAGTCAATAAGCTGAGGAGGTGGAGGGATAGGCGCCGGCTCGTAATCTTCAGAGTCTCTGTTCATGGCCAGAGACAGTCTTGACCGATGGGTTGGATGACCTGGGGTTTTGGGCTCCGACATTGGTTCGTGTCGAGACCGGGTGAGGCGTAATCTTAGCGCAGACAGTTCTGCCCCTAAAAGTAGCCTTTGCAAAGATGGCCCGGCTGATTTGAGCCTCATCATCAGCGGCACTTCAAGCTCAAGCTCTCTCAGTGGGGCTGCAAACGGACTTTGGTAGATTTGTGTTATAATGGAGACTGATATTCGATGCAGCTCGTGTATATGAGGCTCGACTTTGGCTTCTGCTCGATCAACTTGAAGCGAAAGAGTTTTCAGGCATGTATGCATGAGCCACTCCTGAAGTGTTGCTCGAAGTGATGATAGGTCGACCCAGGGAACAGACACCTCGGCAAGCGTTACCCAGGTAAGATGGGAGGGGTGTTTCAAAATGTTGAGAATGTGTTTGAGGTAATATAAACACTCTTTAGTGTCGTCTCTTTCGCGACGCGGTCGTTGCTCCTGCGTTGTCTTTTCAGGTGCCAAGCTGTTGGTAACTACTAAGCATTGTAACGACTGAATGTGAAGTACAAGGACTTCAAAGACCTTGTTCAAACTTGGTAGGTCCTGTAGCCAACTCCGCATGAATGTAGATGTCTCAGAGCCTTCCTCTGCAAGCGCGTCCAAGAGAAGCAGAAGCGGCCTTGTTAAGAGGGAATGAAAATCTGCGGGAGGTGGTGATGTTGGTAGTAAGCTATTGCTACTAGGTCGGCGTGCTATACTACCGCGTTTCTCTGATTGTAAGCTCAATTCGTGTATTGTGTGAGTCCACAGGGTCGCAAAACATCGACCACAGTCTGAGGTGCTAGTCGATGTAGCAGACTGTGAGGTACGTTCCACAATGATCGAGGAGATAGCAGCCTCCACTATTCGGCTAGTAGGTGCGATCGTGTGCAGCTGCAACATGCATCGAGCTGATTCGACGTGATACTTGGGCATCAGCGGTGACAGATATTGCCAGAAACAGCCAACTAGCGGATGTACAAGCTCAAAGAGCTGAGAAGGGGTAATATAGGGCTCTGAGGGTCGAGAGGTTTGAAGCGCTACTAGTACCGCAGTCAATGCACTTAATTGAGAGAAAGGGATATCCGTATAAGCGCCGGCGTATTTTGAAAGAACGTGATGGAAGACCACAGCAGGGTCAAACTCATCAATGGCTTTCAGCTGCTGTATCTTGAAGATCAGGTTGGCTAAAATCTTGGAAGGCATCTCGGCCGGGATGGACGAGCCATTGGACTTTATGGATGTTGAGAACATGCGGGATGCCTCGCGTAGAGTGAACTGACCGATTTGGGTAGGGTCAAAGGGGAGGTCTACCGCGTCCAAGCTTCCTTGAGAGTCCTCGTAGAATGTCCAAATCTGCTTGAATACGGTCGCTCGAGGTATCTTGATAGCTGCAGCAAGGCCTTGCTCCATAGCCTCATCGTATTTCAACGCCCGATCTGGTACCAGTTGAACAAGAGAGTCGGCGATTTCGACAGCGAGGCTCACGACCTCGGCGTCTATAGATGATGTACCGGTCTTCTCGAAGGCGTCATTGAGAGACGCGATTGTCGCGAGAATCATCAAAGGCATATGGTGAAGTAGCATATCCTCTTCCTTGAGGTTGAAGCGCGCCAGAACAAACTTCGCCAGCTTCATCCTATGTATAGCTTCGTCGCGCGGCGTAGCATCAGCCTGTAGGGATGATGTAACGAGATATATCAGCTTTCCCCATATCAGACCGCTATCAACGCCATCAAAGAAGGCACTGGCGCTTCTCATAACTTCCTCCACATGATCCCTTGGAGCGCCTTCACTGTAGGACTGAACGCTTTGTAGTGCGGGGAGGAAGACTTCAGGTACGATCAAGCCACCCACCTCCCATCGATCCATCAATGAGAGACATACTCGAAAAGGGCGGGCTCGCTCAGTGGGTATTATGGTACGTCTATTGACCATTTTGAGCACGCTGTTTGTCAGCGCCTCAAGGCCATACTGAGAGAAGTATGCAGCTTGATGGGTTGAAGCATCAGCGGAGGCATGGTGCTTGTCCGGCGTGGGTGAGGTCACATTCTCGCTGCCTTCAGAAGCCGTAGGCTCTGGTCCAAGGAACCATGCCCAGAGTCGGCGATTAAGGCTCATGTCCTTCCGCGACACCACTCCGGCGGCGGCGGCGACTAGTCGCTCCAGGTCCCCTTTGCTAATGCGCTCTTGTAGAACGGGCGAGTCAAGAGGTAGATGGCTAACAAGCAGATCAAGAAACCCTCGTTGTATTAGTAATTGAGAATCTGAAAGTCCAGATTCGAAGCATCGAATGAGCAGGCCTGGTTCTGGGGATACAGCTGCTTCAGCTTCGGCCGGCAGACCTCCGTTTTGTGTGAGAGTATTAGGTGGAGAGTTGCGGCGATTCGAAACGCCAAACTTGGGCAGGCGACGAACGAGGAAGGCTAGGGCGCCCTGTCTTCGAGAAGCGTTTGTGATTGTTGCTAGGAAGAAGCATTGCCAGAAGTGAGACGAGCTACTGCTGATCTTCGCATCTATGGCTTTGTCCGTGTTGTCCACCGCAGCTTTACGCAGCTTTTCGAGTGCTGACACCATGCGTTCGAAGTCCTCGCTCGTCTCATCTTCCAAGCCTGGGAGTAGCGAAAGTATGACTGCCTTCAGGGCCGGTCGAAGCGCAGCTCCATCGAGCTCCAAGATGTAGCTCTCGAACACGGATAGGAACAGGGGGCGGACGGAAAGTGATGCGAAGGACAGCACAGAGGCAAGGCCAGGGAAGTAGAGGTGGAGGTCACGGGCAAGGGCGTCTTTCTGGGCCTGTGTTAGCTCATGTTGGAAGTGAAGTGGGGCACATGCATACTCCGATGGTAGAGAATATGTAGCCATAGACTTCGAGTGCCTTCTGATGTACACCCGATGGCAATGCTGGATTCAAGCACTGCGCTAATCGCAGTGCGACAGTGTCGCTATGTGGAATGACTGGTATCTCGGAAGGGTGCGACTGCAGGGCCTGTACACGACGCCGTATAAGCTACCAATCGCATAGATGTGGTGACAGTGAGAGCCTGACCTTCAGCAGCCTTCCCAGGAATGAAATGTAGTCGGCCCATTCTTGCTGTGCGGTATCCCAGAGAGCGAGCGCGCGTTCGACGCCTGCCGCATATCGTCGAAAGCCTTTGTCTTTCTTGTACAACGCTGGAGGAGGCCCCATTAGCTCGAAGTTGGGCAATATATGCGCCAAACTTGACTTACGCTCTTCTGCAATGTTGCGCGAAGCTCGAGGGACAGGTGAGGAACGACCCGACCCTGGTGGAGAGAATAGCTGCAGATTAGCAGTGGGATCAGCCGACATGCTGTGTCTGGCAGGAAATAGAATGTCCGGAGTAGAATCTAGAAGCGCCAGACATGCTGTCCAAAGTAAAACAGCTAGAGTTAATGTCTGCTGCCTGTACCTAGTATACAAAGACGTCGCACTTAAGCACCCGGGAAAACCATAGGTCCGGCGCGCGTCTCCTTCACATGCCGATGACGCCAACAGCACACGACATGACCTCTGGACATACCACACACGGCCATGGAACCCTGACGACCATTTAAGCGTCTTTGGGAGGCGCCATGGATACCTCACACTTGGTAGATAGTTCCCGCAAGGCGTTCTTGATCGGCACGGTAGCTAACAACGGCAGCATGCCTCGCAAGGCGAACCACCCGCCCCGCAGATAGATAACTACCACCATGCCCGCCACGACCCTCCGCCGAACTACCCACCACCTTCCTACGATGATGCGACTGGATCGCCAGCTGCGCTGCTGCTGGTCGGGCCGCCACCGGATTATGGCGCCTTCAGAACTTATCACGACGAGTCCTCCATCGCAAGTAGCGAAGTGGAGGCTACAGACAGGTCGCTTCCAGAATGGGTTGGACAGGCATTGGTTGTCTTTGTCTTTGTGACTATCATATACGGCTTTTACAGAATCATCAACACTCCGGATAGCATGGACGACTTCCCTGGGTGAACTGGGAAAGACGCGACACCCCATCCCACCCCGCGCCTTACCAGCGAGCCATGAGCAGCATACTTCCGCCTCCTCTTCGAAAGCCGCCCCTGCCTGTCGAGCCTAGGACAGTATCTTACAATGGAGCAACGAGATCGCAATATCTCGCTGCGAGCAGTTTGGAGCAGACTGAAGGAGTACCAATGAAGCGCAAGGGACACACTCCGCGAGTCGCTACAGAGACAAATCAAACTGGGGAATCACAAGGCGAACTAGAGTAGAGCGTGGTCCACGACCGATTCCTCTGGCGGGAGGTTCTTGTCATCTAGTTGAGGGATTCATCCCAAAGAGCATCTCAGATACAAGGATCAAGAGAGTATAGCATATAAACAATCACCACCGTATCTTCAAAAGTCAGAGCTGTTGCAGCAATGCATGGCTTGCCAAGGAAGCTCTCTTTTCCTTTGCTAAAACAGTGAAACATGGGGGTGCATGCATTGTCACGGCGCGTAACCACCTGCATGATTGGCCCCCAAATTACAACGAGCAATCTGCAGGCGAATCTAGGCCCTGTTTATTGCCCAGCCTTCTTCAATGACTTGGTACAGGCCCCCGTCTGATTGATGTTGCTCAGGCGGTTTTTCTTCCCTTTTCTCTACATTGTATAATAGCCACCAAAAGCAACGGAAAATGAGCAGCTCATCTGCGCGGACGAAGTTTCGATCCGCCCTCGTTGCAGGCTCCCTCCTTACCCTTTCCTATACACCACAGTGTTTCGCGGCGACAGATAGCCGCGCATGCTACGACTCCAAGAACAATATCGTCTCACACCAGCCGTGCGTAGCACCCGGTACTAAGGCAGTTTCACACTGCTGCTCCACGATCGATACCTGCCTTGGCGACACGCTTTGCCTCAGCCAATTCGGAACACTCTACGTCGGCTCCTGTACAATCAAGGACTGGTCGGGGGGCAACCAAGGGCGCGGCGACTGCCCAAAGTACTGTAGCACTCAAGGTCTGGATATCGGGCTGTGCAATTTCACGTCACAAGGGTGGGAGTTTTGCTGTGGTGCGCTGAAGGGAATCGATGAGTGTTGTGCAGGACAAAGGTTTACGATTCAAAATACTACGAATCAATATCTGCAGCAGAGGGTGTGGAATAATGCCAACGGGTCCGAGAGCCCGTCGCCTTCGACAAGCTCCGCGGCAGCAGCATCATCATCATCATCATCATCATTAACAAGTTCCTCTACCAATTCGAGCCAATGTCCAGCGCCTGCTAGCAACAGCAGCATGGGAGCGCTGATTGGCCTTGGTGTTGGACTCGGGATACCTTTACTCATAGCTCTGGCTCTGTTGTCATGGGAGAATCGCAAGCGACGACATGCGGAGGCGCAAGCGCAACTGACGCATCATAGTGCTCAATACCAGGTGCACGAGGTTGGAGCAGGAAATGTCAAGTCAGAGCTGGCGTCCCATGAGCCGGTCCATGAATTGGCATCTGAAAGGGAAGGACATGAGCAGAGGTGGAGATCATGATAGAAAGCTGTACACGTATGACTTCAGTCAGATGTCAGTAGCAGGAATAGGATGCCAGTATCTGCTATGGCGACGGCCATGGAAAGATGTAAGGAATACCATGCATGGTATGTACCCGACGACCAGAACAACCCTTCAAACCATTTGTCCCGCTACGTTTCAACCAAAATACTTTCCGAGGCTAATTGTGATGGGCTTTCCAACACAGTGCTTTTTCGTGCGCAAGGCGGACTCCAACAAATTGGTGAGCGGTATACATGCTTGATCCTAGGCAGATCCTTGCGTCTTTTGCATACATACAGTGCCGACGCCTCGGAACATGGGACATTTCCCAAAGAGCGAGATTGTGTCAGCGGAAAGTCTCCGATATAATCAGCCTATTCTGACGGTTGTTGGATCTATGTAACCCTGCTGCAGGGCGTAAGAAGTTAAAAGATATGTTCAGCCGTCTAGACGGGAGACGTTACTACAAATTAAACCCCCCTTGTTGAGTGTTTCACGGAGACTAAGTGAGCAGCCACTTTTGCGTCTGAGTAAGAAATGCCACCAACACCCAAATGTTTCGGACAAGAACGCCCGACCCGTACAACAATGCATTCGCACATTTGTCCGCACGGCGCGCTACGCTGCCCAAGTTGAACCCAACCCACCCAACCCATATGCGGTAAGCCATCGTTCTCGCTCCTAACCGAATGAAGATATTAGACGATCCTGAACTATATTAGGCATTCTCCACCTCTCGACCCATTCTCAACGCTAGCTTTCACTTCCCGCGACAAAATGCAATAATCACAACAGCGCTTTCTTGCAGATCGAGATTCGGGGAAAGCGACGTTCCAAAGTGGCGAGATTATGAAAGATCGGCAATCTAGCGGTGCGGGTGGGGAGTGCACATCCATGCCACGGAGCCTCGTCACGAAGTGGAAAATGGTCCTAGCGTCGGTTTGAGTTGAAAAGTAAAGTCCCTGGAGTAACTGATTCGGATGGTAAGGCATGGATGGCTTGCTCACCGGGGAGTTGGTAGGGCACGCCGTCCGGAGGCTTCTCCAGGCACAGTGAGTGGATTAGCTCGGCGCGGGATGGTAAGGCTGAGGTGCATGGGCATTGTGGACGAAACCCATCGTGGCGGTTAGCACAGTACCATGACGCCGAGGCTAGGCCGTTAAGTCAAGGACATGTGACCGTTGGTGTGCTCACTCAATCAGACACCATGGCAGCCACAGAAGACTTCAGGATATGTACTACCGCCAAATGTTCTACAAATGCTCTATTCTAAACCACAGCTTTATATTGTCAAGCTAGAAGGCGACCAGGTCAAAAGATAAGTCTAAAGTAGAGAGAGGCACAAGAGCCATCATTACCAGCTTGCGTGTGACCAATACCCATACTTCCTCCTAGATGATTCTTCATTCAAACACCTCGGATTCGCATGATCCTCATGGGTTCCGCCCATCCAAATAGGAATGAAGCATACTTCTTCATATTTGCAAGTACCGCACTCTTTCCATGAGGTCCAGTTCAGATAATCCACCAGTTCGTCAACCAGCTCGAGTGAACGTGCTGCGCTCACTGATTCAAAAGACGAAGGTGGACTTGGCGAAGAGACGATAGATAGCGAGGTAAGGAGCGTATCGCAGATGTGATGCGTGATAGTATATAGTGTGCGATAGGCGAGAGATGTGGCGGATTGAGCTGAACTTGCAAGCGATGGGATGGTTTGCGCTACACAGCGCCGCGTTTCGAGTGTTGCATTCCGACCCGTGCCGTCGATGAATGGTTGCAATAGCGTCTTGAGATACACCTCAAGCGCATCTTTATCTTTGCGAAAATGCTGGTTAGTGTGTAGATACTGCAGCGTCTGGCTATAGCGCTGCACGACCTCATCGGCAACTGCCTGCCAGTTCTTCACCTCTTTTGCCTTATCCCAATCTTTTCGTAGAATCATATCCGTGACATCGCTTCTAATATGCACGAGCTCTGAATCCTGAACGTTCTGCAGCCTTGGCATAGGGTAATCAGACTGGACGTCGTTGTCGAATAGCCCCTTGACATTTGGGTACGCAAAGACGCTAACAAAGTCTTCGTAATCGACAGTTACGCGCTCATTGCCAATGCCAAAGTACCTCGACGTGACAGCCTTGGTATACGTCCAACCACCAAATGGGTCGTGTTTCCCCTCTCGCGTCATTGCCATGACGTCTGTCCTCTCCAAGTGCTTCTCAAAGTCGCAGAGGATGATTTCAAACCCGCCTTCCATGCGTAGAATCCCGTCGATCTTTCCGTTCCACTCCGTTGAACTGAGATTGCACATACCAGTGGCACGCTCAAATTCACCACCCATAGGACCTCCAGTGTCCGTCATATTCAAGAGCAAAGTGTCCTGTGTGTCGAGTGTGCCGTTACTGGTTTTGGCTCCGGACTGCCCGTCTACGTAGAGTAGGCGGAGTGGGTTTTTAGGGACGTAAGTATGCAAATACCCATATTTGGCATCCTGGTTTGAGCTTTGCAGTCTTAGAGGCCGTTGAGAGCCGGCCTTCCTATTCTGATAGACAGGTGATGACGGCAGTGATGGATCCGAATGTTCGTGATGAGGCGACGGATCATGAGGGTGATGCGGCGGTGGCACTGCTCTAGGATGCTCTGGGCTACCCGATAGAGGAACAATATGCTCCCAGTCGTCGTCTCCGTCACCTTCATCAGGTGGTGGTGGCCTCCACATCGGTTGTGCAAAGATCATCGCATGCTCAACCTCAAAAGCGAGCCATTCCATTCCCTCTATTGGTTCTTCTTTCCACGTGCCGTGGTAGAGTTGTGTGCCAGCTGGCACTGTTGCCAGGAAGAGGGACATGCCATTGTGGTTGAGAGACGAACCCCACTGTCGCATTGAAGAATGGATCGCATTGAAGACATGGTTCGCGTTGTGTGGCCTGGAGGTATCAAGACTTGCGAAAATAACAGAAATGAGACAGAATAAGGAGGCGAGGATGCTGGTAATCTGGAGATGCATGCTGAGGTTTCAAGGTCTACAACCCCATACAAGCAAAAGGTCTGGAGTGAGAGGAAACATGAACAGAGCCTGCGCAACAGCGCACGCATCCGAATTTTCTTCCACTGCTGCCAAATCCACAAGTTACGTGGCTTCGTCGAAGTGGTGTGGGTTGCACGCCCAATATGGAAAAGTCAATCAATCTGATAAGATCATCTGATTAGATTATGGCACCTGACTGGTCAGCTTTTTCGGCATCAGCAGGAAAATGGCACCATTGTGTGTCATCAACAGTATAGCTATCAAGACAGCGTCTGACAGTAAAAATACATATGTAGTGTAATCATCAGGCGTAGTTTTGCAAGTAGAATATATGGGGAAAAGCCGTGAAGCTGTAGAGATCTGCACGTCGTGCGAGGTCACCAGTGTTGATCGGCTTTTTCAATCTTTGATCGGCTTTCTCTGACTTTGACCGCTTTTCGGACCGATTTTGCATGCAAGTTCGATTCGAGGCCATCCGGAATTTCAAGGTTAACTTCATTCCTGATGATGAAAACATGTGACAGCTATTGAATTTTCCGTGTTGGCGAATGCGCGTGGATTGGATTGAAATTATTCGGTCCGACTAGCAGGTTGCAGGAACTCGCTTGCATGTACGTTCAATAAAGCCATTCAGAAGAGCGCATCAACCGCCCCCCAAGACACTAAAGAACGAATACGTCTAGCGTCGCATGCAGTCTTCAGCATCTCGGGGCGGAAATGGCTTCCGAGATTTGAACTTTGAGTTGGCACCTTCCTGGACGGTATGGCGGTGCCGCTGTGCAGCAAAAGGAACAGCCAAGCTTTCCGAAGAGTTTCCAGGGGTCAGCAGAATGTGACGATATTACTTTAGGTTAGTACAAGGTACGGCCCCGGGGATACCGCCAGCCTGTGGCGTTCTTGTCCGCATTGCACACCAACTCACGATGCTACGTAGCCACCAACTATGGAGCCGCATTATTGGATGCGATTTGTTGAGTGTGACTGTGAACCGAGTCACGGTTATTATTTGTCAAGTTTGAGAACAAAAAGACGATGAAACGGGAAGGATGAAGACGCTTTACTCGAGGCGCTCTCCCTGAATCTGGTGGATTTCCATGACTCGCTAAAATTTATACCCGATAGAATGTAGAATGGCGTGATGTAGAAGGGACAGGAGATGTCTACAGGTTTGTGGATCTTAGTTTCTATCGGAATATTGAAACTAGCGGGTACCACTTCTACGACTTTTGATCCGATTGCCGGTTGGATACGGTATAGTTGATCATCAGCGCCCAGCCCATACGTCATAGAAGGATTTGTATTGCTCTCAGGACCAGTCCTGAAACTTTGGCTGGTCGAGAATCCTTCCGTGTGCGGGGATGGTCGACGAGGAACGTTTGTAAAGGGGAGGAACAGGTAGAGCCGCAATGCCCCTCGAAGAATCAAAGCGTTCCAAGGCTTCGTGGCGCCTGCATTGGTTGTTGCGACACCGAGTAGAAAAGTAGGTCGAAATGTGCACTTTCCTGCAGCTCCAGAAGAAACGACCGTGCAATCTGACAAATTTAGATCATGGAATCAGGTGATGGGGGCCATTTGGAGGCGCATAGAAGTGGGGTGAAGAGATGAGGGTTCAACCTAGTGTGCAGCCCGAAGATCTACCCACGGTACGCTACTGTCGACCAACCTTGGAAGTGGGGAAGACTTTAAACCCGTGTGCGCTTGAAGTTCACTACAAGACCAAGTAGATTTATTCAGCCGTGGCGCAGGGGTAGAGTTCCCTGTCCAAGGACACAGCCGACATGTCTGCTATTCGTTCAGCATGAACAGCTACCGTCATCTTGGCTCCACAAAGCGCCAGTTGAAAGGTTACGCCAAGCGAGCCCAACTACCACTGTCGCGGCTTGCAGCCTTCAAAGGAAATTTAGCACGCGATTGTGTGACCAGTCGCCGACATGGATACCGCGTGGATGGCTGCTTAACGGCCGCGTCAACGGCATGGTGACAGGGACGCATGATTGCCGATGAGATGCCGTGGGCTTGCCGCTGCTCCGCGATAATAGCCTGTTGGAGCGATTCAATGCGAAGCTATGAACACCCCCATGATGTCGTTGTGCAGTGCACACTCGCTTGGGAATGAACAGCAACTATGCTTTTTTGTCCTGGTCATGGCAGTGAATATACCAAGAGATTCTGGTCCATGGGCGCAGAAGTCGCGATAGCCAAACCTGACGCGTCCGATCGACTTTTGTACACTCGCGGGATGGAACCGCTTGGGCGCCCATTTCTTCCACGCGTGTGACGCAGACGTAGATGCAATTGGAGGAGCGGTCCACGCTATCCATCCAACGTAAGATTCCTATTGATCCATGGCATGCAGGTCTGACTGTATGCCATGCCTGTCCCAGCTCTTGAGACAATCTGGCTGTTGTCAAGCTATTCCGTAGCCACCAACATCGAGAGCGGCCGCCGCGGCGCACCACACACCCTGAGTAATGACATAACCCTTCGATCCTCGATTCGAAACGTGCTGGAACGGAGAGGAGCCTGTGTGACATCCCGTATGATTGCAGGCGGCGGAGCGGTAATTGGCTTGATCGCAAAACTTTCCCCATCGTGCATCTCGTCACCTGTTCGCGGAGCATAGTTATCGCAGTGATGCAAGGTAAGTCTTAATTTGCGGGGACTGGAACCGGTTCCTAGCCACTCAAAAGGATGGGGCCGTCACGAGTCAGCCTTGTCTCGCGGACATAAGGCCTCCCACTAGACGGCCAGAGGCTCAGACCTGCATCCCGACCGGGTTGTCTGGCGGAACGTTTTGCCACACGAAACTCCGACTGACCCTGGAAATGATGATGGGAATCTAGGTTCTGTGTTCGGGAGTACGCCATTTCTTGGAGTGGGCCTGGGGCAAAGAGAAAAGACTTCACATCAGGAGAACGTTTAGATGGAAACGTTCTTTGTTCGAACGTCACTTGTGTCGAGCTAGTCTAGGCAACAGCGGGCGCCGCCATATGCATCTATCCACACAATATCCCAACAAAGCTTCTATTCGTGATATGTCTCTAGAAGATATTGAACGTCTCCACATAAATTGCTCTAGTCTAATAAACGCCACTGCAATGCGATGAAGAAAAAAGGCAGCTCAAAAGCTACGCCTGCTATTGCAGGTCTTGAACAACGCAGAATGCAAAATAAGGGTATCTTAAACGAAAGTGAAAGGGACTGTAGCGTAGGTACCCTGTGTAATGGTCATCTGGATGAGATCGACCTGCTTCATCCCCGTTGTGTGTGCTGTCTAGCGCAAGGCGACTGTAGTTTGCTTGTGAGTTTCCATGCGGTTTTGTGACGCAACTGCAAGCCTTAAGATGGGGACACTCGAGCTTCCCAGGCTTGACATGTGGGGCGAAAGGCTGTGTTTATACACTATGTTGAAGTGATCGACGATGTCCGGGACGCTTTCAGGTGTATTCTCTTTACGTGATCTCTCTACAATGAAGTGTGAGCGCAACGATCTTTGGTGGATAGAAAGCGTTTCAAACTCACCATATTGTCCACGCGACTGAAGACTCTGTCGCAACCATCCCAGTCGCACAATACACCTGGATTGTGCTTGGCCTCATGTCTTGCAAGATCCTTCTTACTTGAGAAGCCTCCTCCAGTGGACTGCGGGCAATCTGCGTGTCGACAGAAGAATGACTTTGTGTGTCGCTTGTGGTGCTTTCTGAGATCACAACCTCGAGTGAAGACTGCTCTTGATGTGCATCCTGGGTAGCCACAGCTCCACGTTCCATTCTTGTTGGGGATACCATACGCTCGAAGGTCTGGCGACGACGGTGACAGTGAGCGCGAGAGCGAAGGCGGCGATCTCTCTGACGGGATATTGGACGGCAGGCCTAGACCCGTAGAAGATGAAGCTGAGTGTGATCTTGACGGTCGAGGTACGCCATATGTTTGCGGAAGTAGACTCAGGTCGGGCGTCAGTGTCGATGTAGCTGTTATACCTGTAAAGGGAGGATACGAATACGAGGACACCTGGGGTATCGGAATGGATGAGGGTTGCGACGACCATATATTGTGTGGTGGATATGGGGAGTCCATGACCGGTCTGTAGTTGTGTGAAGAGGTATAGATGGCTCCATGTACTGGCAACGTCGTTGGCGGTCGGTGGTTCATTTGGTGCAGCGGTGGTGAATACATGATGCTTGGAGGCGATTGACATGTGCTGGAGGGGTACAGATGACCCATGCCATCATCAGGCGCCAGAAGTGCCAGCTCTGCCTCGTGGGAGAAAAAAGTCATGATCATGTAGTGCGAGGTTTCGGTGAGGTCTGGAGTAGTAGGTGATGTGTCGAAGATGTGATAGGAAACGGGTATTTGCCGGTCTTCTAATGGGCGTAAATCGAAGTATATGTGGGTTGTATATCGTGCCAGTGAACAGGTCAGTGCGCCCAAGCGGGAAGTCCAACAGATGAGTGGGAAGGGTCGAGTCTCAAGGCACAGGCCCACACTCTAGAGTGTAAGGATGATAGTAGAGATGCTAGTCCAGGGTAGACAGGCTTAGCCCGGGAGCGTTCTGGGGCCTCTCCGCAAAAGTAAGGCTGAGGTGTTAGACTCGTCAAAAAAGGAGTGGCGGGCAGTGGCGGTGTTGGAAATGTCTCGCAGTTGCTTGAGACAGGATTGGCCCGTGGAAGAGGGCCTTAAAAGACCAAGTTAGAAATTCAGGATGCAGAGCGACTACTCCTGTGGCATGAATCCCTCCCATGTAGATCCGGGGCGCAGACAGAGAAGAAGCTTATGTAGGCTCAGATGAGCATCACACTCAGGCTGCTCGTCCGTCAAAAGTAGTGGGACCAGTTGAGATGATCGAATGTGGGTAAGGTTGGCTCACGCTTGTTGCGCTGGCTTTCCCAAATTGATCCCGCTCCATCTGGCTCCTGGCCCTAGTTCAGCAAAGCTGCATAACCCGTTCACAATTGCGGTGGGAGCAAGTGAGCCTCGCGGCCCGGCTAGCTATCAACCCCTGCACAGTGAAGGTACCGCCATGGTGGTGACCAGGCTCTGCCTTTAGCGTTGGTGCGAAAAGCGGCTTACTGGGATCCGCCTGTTTGGAGAAGGCTTCACACAGACTGGCTTCAAACAAAATCCTTCCTTTGAGGCTTTCCCATGCCGCGCCCGGCTAACGGCTAACGTCGCATCGGTTACCGACTATCCCCCGGTGTACTGCATGCTTCTTCTGGACTTCTAAAGATACATGCCTGGAGATGGGCACAGTCTGCGACGATGGGACCCCAAAAGCAGCCACCTTGGACACTACAGTAAGACGACATCAGAGGCGGTAGCGCATGGGGGAGGCAAACGTACGCTTTCCAGGGCTTTGGAGATGATGGACAGTCGATCGCAGCACGGGAGGAGGTACAGCAGTTGGCTGTGGGCGGGTCGCTAACACCGGTTAGTGGTACTGTACTAATAATACCTGCGCGTGCACAGTCGAATTACGCCCGGCCCCGCGCCCTCGAGTTATTAGCGAGTGAACAGCCCTGCAGCCCTGTCACTGTCATGCCCTGGCCCCTAGCCTTGTCATCGTAGACACTTCATCTCTGCTGAGTAAGATGAGATTGTCTGCCCGTCACTGCCTCCCACTACTCCTCTATTCCACCGAAGACCGACCGCCCCAAATCAACGCCCACCGTTCCATACCTCGTTGGACGACCCGCGCTCGCTTAGGCGGTTATGTGCGGCGAATGTGAGAGGTGCTCTAAGTGCATTTGAAATCCACAGTTATCGTCATCGAATCGTTGCGTGCCAGAGGTTGAGCCTTGATGTACTCGAGATTGCTAACAAGCGAAGGAAGAAACATGGCCAACAGTACTGCGAGTCCAACAGCAAGTGTCGAAGCGCCCGGAACCTAATCGGTTAAACCTACTTTGAAATTAAAGTATTACGGTACGTTCTTGGAACCAAATGTGCCTTGATTGGCATGCACCGCAAAGAGACATTCTCCGTTTCTCCGTCGGGGTGCCAATGACATCGTGCGAAAGCAATAGGACTTGTGCCATGCAAGAAAGACACTACGAGACGCAGTTAGCGTGGCATAGAGAGCAGTTTGAGCGACGATCTTGCAGGTGCCATAAGTCTAGGCCAATCTTCTAGGCTGGGGTGATTGACTATCTCCAGTCAGATCAGGCGCGCGTTTGTTGTCGGCCTGCTACGTTTCCAATCGCAAAGAAATACTTGGTGACTCCCGCACAGTTGGGCCCGAGGTACAAGACTAGATGGAGGACAGGAGCACGTTGACAGGTGAGGTCGTTGGGCTCGACCGGCGACTGCCATACGCTGCCATCGCGCCTTCTCCATTGAATGTCCTACCTCAACATCATGAGGAGCTTTGACGGCCAATGCTACACCTCCCACCTGCAGTCCACGATAGGCCATGAAGTACGCAAAGAAACAGAGACCAGACTACTCCGCATTTGGCCCCTTACGCCTTTCACTGGGTAGCTGTGTTTCGCATCGCCCAGCTTGCTACGTGGTGCCAACGACAAGAGTGAGCTGCTACCCAACTCGAGCCGCCAACAACGGCTGCGGAAACACATTTCATTCGACGGCACAGGGCTGAGCCTTGGAGCTATAGCCAGCGCAATATACGTTGCGGTGCTTAGGGGAAAAGAAGGCTCAAGGGCGCCGTCTAACATCTATCAATGTCTACCACAGACAGCCTTCATCACCCAGGGCTAATACCAGAACACTAGACTGTGAGAAAGTGATACGACTCTGTATAGCTCTTCCTATTCCCAGACTTCTTGGTCAAACAGCAGTGGTGTGGTTAATCATGTGTCTGGCCCTCCAAATCTATCACTCAGACTCAACCGAAACACTGTAGCCAGCCAGGTCGCCTTTTAGCCGGTATTATTCAACTTGAAAAGATAACCGCGTATTTGCAGAGAACCATGTGCCAACATAGGTCAATAACACTAGATGTAGGTTCCCCCAGTCGTCCGCCCGACCGCCTTCCTTCAAAGCTAAGGCAAGACGTAGCCGAGCATACACTCCAAGACAACTTAGGAGATGCCTCTCGCTCAATGACGTTGCCTGGTTCCTTCGTGCTGCCAGGGAATGGAACGTACTTCGCCACTTGATGCTCGCAGCATGAATCTACATTGACGCATTCTCCAACATGATAATCACGTCACTAGCGACCCACAGCTTCATAAATTCTATTATTGGGTCTTTCGGCAGTTGGCGAATGGAACGTGATGAAACGAGGCAGTGTTGACTATAACCTACAGCCACGTCCTCTCGAACTCTGCCAAGCTAGCCTCTTCAAGACTACGCCATTGTCCACCATTTTACAGGGATGACCAGAAAACGTTGGATTCGCATTCAAATGAACAAGCAAGCTACGGCAGGCTTGCTCAAGATCCGAAATTCAGTGTGATCCTTCAACTGATCCTGCAGATCGCCATGACAAATTACAACGTCCCGCGCGCACAGCCCATAATCTAAAATTGGACGCGGCCCCGGAGCGATCGAGCCATATGGTCTCACAATTATTCGGGGACGTGATTATGGTCGATATCGCTAGAATTCTTGATGACAGAGGTCTCCATGTGCTGGGAGAACCCACAGCCTTCCACCTAATGGTATACGCCCTACTAACTGAAAAGTTCCAAAGAAATCCTCACAAAAACTCAGTTATTGACGCAAAGATATGATGTAAAAGCAAAAGGCGGTAGTATATCGCCAGTCACGTAAGTAGTTCTCGCCTATCATCCCCATCTCATAAGTTACAATGTTCACTAGGCCTAGTACGCCTGTTGTATCTAACTTATTTTCCACCGAACAAGATACAACGTGAGGCATACTGCCTATATAATGACAATGTTCATTGAATAGTTCTGATTGTGGCTCTACTTTCCTGGCAAAATGCGGAGACGCTATGGGGAGAACCTATCTACAGATTCAAGGTACATATTGCTGTACAAGTTGCCTGAACCGCGGGACCATATGATATCTTCTTCAAACGTCAAAAAAGACGATAAACGCAACTCATCGATTCTCGTATCTTTATCAAGCGCGATTTTCAAGTCGTTTACGGTATTTTATGTCTTCCTCTAAGTCAACATCAGTATTGATCCCATGACGCTGCTAGAGGGCCGAAGAACCAAGTATCACGGCTTTAAAGAAGGTTTCGATCATTACAGGACGAGGTAGGTAAATCATGGCCATCTTTTTTCATGGATGGGTGTCCAACATCGCGCCGGGCACTCGACAGTCTTTATCACTCTTTTTCTAACCAAATGCACCGCCCCCAAGCCCCTTCTACCTGTATCGCATGCCTTGATCGCAGCAATACTACATACGCATCTCTAGCTGACTTCATCTAGCCTCTGGTATGGGTCTTTCGGTTGCAACAGCCCTCTCCCATCGCCGACTAGACAAACCACATCCTCGACCTCAATCCCTCCACCGATAACTCTGTCGCCTCCTCTCTCAATCCCACGTTCCACGAGTGTAACGCAACAGACGAGGCAGCACTGGCTCAGATATTCGAACCCATCTTCTTCGAATCCAGTAGGCTAGACTTTCTCTTCGCAAACGCCGGGATAGCTGAACGCGCAAATTTATACCACCAGCAAGAAGAAGGCGAAGATGAACAGCTATTACCCATCGAGGGCATGCATACCCTCGTCGATGTCAACCTCAAGAGTGTCATCATAACAACATACCTTACGCTACACTACATGCGCAAGCCCCCTAGCGACACAGATAAAAGCATCGTCATGACAGCCTCTTGTGGCGGCCTGTACCCATCGTACTATAGCCCCATATATGCAGCCACAAAGCATGCCACGGTAGGCTTCATGCGCTCCATCGCACCCTTCTTCTACCACAAAGCTGGCATTCGGGTCAACGCCATCTGTCCCGGTGTGGTCAAGACGAACCTCCTGTCGAGCCAGGAATGGGCTAATTTCCCAGAAGAGTATTTCACGCCTGTAGAAAGGATTGCGGAGGTGGTGTGTATTTTTGTCGATGGCAAGGACGTCGGTTTAGGGAAAACTGGGAGCGAGGTTAAGGGTGGCATGGCAAGTATAGGCACACTAGATGGGCTGTTGATATTTCTGGGGGACATCATTATTATCGCGAGATGGTGCCGTATGCTGATGAGGCTATGAAGGCCTTGATGGGCTCGACCAACATCAAAGTGCTGGACAACGTGCAACCAGCATAAAGTTCCAACGCCAATGGTGGTGGCACGCTTCTTTGTGGCAGATGTTCTGTTGTTGACTCAGCGGGTTTTGAGTTGAAGAAAAAAGGTAAGCCTGTTGGAATCTAGGGCATCACCTGCTCGCATATATGCAACGCCCTCGCCCTTGGTATCTTCCACTTAGCCGTGCGCTAAGCAGCCCGGAGAGACTGTCACAGACTGGCACAAGCGATACAATCAAGGGTTAACGGAAGTATGCGCCATGGTTTGAGTCTTGAATCATTCAATTGTCGTATATATCCAGCTACTCAAAGCTGTTCATAACCACATGTCTGTTCAGACCCTTGACACTCCTTCCCATCCCATGTCCCTTGCCAGCCCTTATGCGGCGATAGTGACCTCGACCTCAACACCGGCCTCGATGTTGATGATGATCTGCTTGACGACCTCGGTGGGAGCGTGAAGATCGATGAGACCTGAACCCAATCGTTAGTCCAATCCATTATTCACCCCTCTTCGGTTCTCTCCAAGGATCAGTACTTACGCTTGTGGATGCGCATCTCATAGGTATCCCAGGTCTTGGAACCCTCACCGTTAGGTGTCTTACGGGTGGTGATCTTCAAGTGCTTGGTAGGCAGGCGGACGGGGCCCTTGACGCGGAGCTCCTTGTTCTTGGCGCGGTCGAGGAGCTCCTGGCAGACCTTCTCAAGCGACTTGACGTTGCGCGAGGTCAGGGTGATGCGGATCTTGTGGATCTTGGGGCCCTCGCCGAAGTCCTTCTCGGGCTTGTCTGCGCAATTGTTAGATACGGGCGCTCATCGAGGCGTATTTGCGCAGGGTTGACGAACTGTAAGACATGGTGTCTGTTTGGGTGGGTGGTGGTTTGGAGTGTGGTGGTATTGTAGGTGCTGATTAGAGCAGTCACGACCTGGATCCTGGATCGCGGTAATGTGATGACTGGAGTGGTTTTGCTTGCGACGACGTTCGTGGCATCAAAGTTTCGTGCAAGTCGATTTTCGATCTGTGCGCCAAGATTGCGGAGCCTAGTCCCAATCAGGTATGGCGGATGGGAGGGTCAGTTGCGCTCTTGGCGGGGGATGAGCCATTATGACTTTAGGACGAAAGACAAACACCAAAATTTCACCTTTGAGGGCTACTTTGCACATAATCGAATAAAACACAACGGTAGCCCTCATAATCGGCCGTCGGTTCAACACCACTGTACACGAGGAGAACATGTCGTTACCCCACTTCGCGCCATTTCCGGAAGCTGCACTTCGACGAAGCATTCTGCCAGACGAGTGGCATTTGTATCTGGAATCCTGGACCTCGCTCGCCGATCTATACCTGCGATTGAACGACGATGAATTCGTTCCGGGATCACTGGATCCCGATAGTTTAGCACCCTTTCTGGCAACTTTCTTCCACGAATTGGCCAATGACGACAATCTTGTATCACAAACCCTTGCGCTTCGAAAGAAGTGCTTTTTTCTGCTTCACAGACTCTTCTCACGGCAAGCTGTACCCATTGCTTTGCTCACTTGGCCGGTACTGTCGGACATCTGCCATGCGTTCCCCAGGAGCGAGCCATTTCACACCCTTTTACAAGGCCTATGGACACAGTTAGGTGGGGCTATTGAGAAGTCATTACAAACAGCAAAGACATCCTTGATCAGGAACTTGGAGTCAAAGCGACCGGAAGAGGCGCAGAGCACCTTGAATAGAATAGCCCCGCTTTTGAAAGTCTCGCCAGATGCAAACCTGTATATGCTTACGGGGTCTGATCTCCTGGATGCTTTGTACGATGCTTATCCAAAAGTACCACCTACCATGCAGAAGAAGTTGGCAACTTTGGCATATCTGGGGCTTACAGCGGCACTAGAAGGACCGAAGCCGAACTACTCGCTTCTCTCGGACCACTTGTATAGTCTGAAGACTAGCGAAGAACAAGAGCAAAAGAAAGAACCAGGAAAAAAGACACTTGTAGCAGAACTTGTCACCAACACACCACTACTCGACAAGATCAGAGATAAAGCTACTGCACCCGAAGCGGCAAGGGTGAAGAACACTGCGGCATCTCTCAGTGCTTTCCGTCAATCTAGCGTTGCTCGGCCCAAGAGGCTCATCCGTCGCAAGATAGACAAAGGTAAGAGCAAGGCGGGCGGGGATGACTCCGGGCACGGAACATTTGTCGGGGAAGTACACGTTCACCGTATGAGTATGATTAGCCAGATCCAGGATCTCTTTCCCGATCTCGGCGCTGGCTTCATCGTGAAGTTGTTGGATGAGTATAAAGAAAACATTGAAGAGGTCACTGCACATCTTCTGGAAGACTCGCTGCCTTCACATCTCACCGACGCCGATCGGAGCGAGAAGCTGTACGTCAATATGTTGCCACTCAACGCGACCTTGGGATTCTTCTTACTAAAAAAAACTTCAGGCCATCATCTACCGCGATACCACAGTCACAATTGCCACCTAGATCGAGTCAAACTTACGATCGACGCAACGTGTTTGATGATGACGAGTTCGATAAACTTGCTGTCGACACTTCCCGTCTTCACATAGGTCGCAGAGGTCAGGACCTCAACGCAGACAAGATTCTCTCCGACCGCAGCAAAGCGCCCGCCAAATCAGCAATCCTAGCTGCTCTAGCAGCCTTCGACTCAGACGACGATGAGCGCGACGACACATACGATGCAGAAGACGTTGGCGCTTCAGTCGACACAGCCGCAGCTGGCCCCGACGATGCCGATGCCGATAAGAATGAAGAGGCACTGTTCCGCGCTTACACCATGACCCCAGAACTATTTGGACGTGACTCGGAGACGAGAAGAGGCAAGGCACGAAATGCTCTGAAGAGCGAGATAGGTATGACAGATGAGGCAATCGAAGGTTGGGGCATCATGATCGGACGAGATCCTAAGAGGCTACGGCGTCTTGAAGCGAAATTTGCTACATTCGCGGGTCAGCAGCGCGAACTACAGTCAACGTCATGGAGAGACAGTCCTGGTGCCTCTGGCGATGAAGGCAGTGGGGATGGCCAGGGCGGTCGTGGTGGGAGGGGAGCCTTTGGTGGCAGAGGCCGCGGCAGGGGGAGAGGACGTGGCGGCCCAGGAGGTGGAAGAGGCGGTGGAAATGTTGCGGGTCCGGTGGATGACAAGGGAACGCAGATTGCGCGAGACCGGAAGGATGCTAACAAGGCTTCGAGAGCGAACCACAACCGCAAGGCCCAAAGAGGAAAGAAGATGGCTAGGGCAGGATTTTCGGGGTAGCCGATAGGATGCTATTGCGAGCATGTATATCAATGACACGTCACAATACTCGAACGGTCAGATCTATTTAAGCCTACTAGACCGCATGGTGAAGCGACGAGCGTGCATACTATATTCGACCACCTAGATACGTTAAACGAACTCGAAGATATATGATGACGACGGACAATCCTCCTTAGACTCTCCTTCGCCCAAATGACCCTGGTCGGGACCCATGCGCGAAAATCATGCGAGATATGGAGTCTCACATACAAATGAAGAGTAGCGAGACCGCCCCAGGCGTCGTCAGTCCTGTCTTACCCACCTAATACTCGCCTAAGAAGCGCACACATCCTGCATCGGCCTGCTTCATTCGGTCACCTTGTTGCTGAGTTGTCGCCTCCTCCGGCAGTATCGATCTTCAGAGGACGCTGCGAGAGTGTGTGGGTCCATCTTGCGTTTCACTTATAATCCTGCAGAGACATGCGAGCAAAGCGGTTTGTTTCATTAGAGCACAGGATTTGTCAATCTAGTGATAAAGACGCACGGTGCCGCATCAGTCTCTATCAGCTCTGAAGCAGTGGTGCCTTCTGTTACCCAACATCGAAATGATGAACACAGTAATCAATAGATCCTAGGCGCATGCTGACGATTTGTACTTGAGGTCTCCGATGACTGGCTAACCTTTTTCGTGAGTTAGATTACGATCCCTCCTTCACCGCCTCACTTTTGCCTACCAGACGAGCTCTTGCATACCTGTATTGTCTAGAACAACTGCCGGGCGTGCTTGAAACCCAGTTATCTGGCTATACTTCGTATGTCCCCGTCATAGGCTGATGTCTTCGTGACTTTGAGTATTCACCTGCCGTGTGAGTTTTGAAGGTGTGTTCAGAGTATGGCCCTCTTCCCGTAACAAGAATGGTATCTGAATGCTCAACTTCCGGCCCTGCAGTTTTCTAACGAGCCTTTGTCGAGGGATGCGCCGCTACGGCTACTGATAACCGAGAGGAAGCCTTCAGTACGTCAAGCAAGTCGCTGTTTTGCGACTCCTAGCATGCAGCGTTACTTTATCGAATTATGCTAGGGTTTCATTTACCTTTGTTTTTGCTTTCCCCTGGAACTGTTCTCCATCTCTACAGTACATTTGCAATTTCCTAGTTTAGCATTTTGCCAGCATAATCTCACTTCCATTATCGCTCGCCATCATCGTAAGAAGACTGCGCCACTTTTCTGACGAATCAATTACGCCTCCATTAATCAAACTCCGCAAGCATGCACCGACAGCGAAATTATCAAGCACCAGGCATCCTGTCCACAGGTCAACCCACCCACCGGGCCGCTTGTCAGGGCATGTCGTCTTACCCGTGTATTCTACTAGATTAGATGTGGTAAGGTTAAGCGAGCGGAGCTCTCTCCTAAACTCATGGTTGGCCCCATCAAGCGAAGGATCGTTTCCAGAAACAGGGGTGAGCGAGAAGGAGCATTTGAGTCGGGACGGTCAACGGCCTAGGAGCAGGGGTAAACGACCTCTCATCACCAATAGTGGGGAGTTGGATGATAACTGATGTGCAGGACGCGTGTATTCCCGTCAATGAAAGACGCAGTTGGCATCACAAAGAATCGAAACCCTGAGTATGCTGTGCGTGTTATTACAGCGCAGGTCTAGGAAGGATTGTGAGTCCTCACAAGGGCGAAAGAGGAATGTGCTGTGCCGTCTAGGTGCCTGGACCTGGTCTAAATCGTGATAGCCGCCGGCCTCGTTTTGCGTCGACTTCCAATACCACCCACTCGATGGTCTTAGAACACAACGTTCGCTTCGCCTTGCCACTATCCAAATGCAAGCTTACGTATTAACCGAGAGTTTGTTGGCCAACAGTAAAGGGATGGTATTCCTTCTCGCCTTCAAAATGAACTGCCTGTGGGAGATGACGTCTGTGGTGGGACGCGTACGCGATCGTAGACGATTTCGAAGACGGCGGCTGAGAACGCCGCTTTAGCAAGTTAGAAATGTGGACGAGTAGGGTGTTGAGGCATGCACCTAGTACATATAAAGTGTCTGGACTTTGGTTATCAGCTTTGTGGCTGCGAGGGAACACTTGGTCCATATGTAGCTTGACATGGATTAATTACCGGTGATCTATTGGTATGGTTGTTGCGCACAAGCTATAACAATTGTTCACTAGAGGAAAATGACCTATTAGAACAGTTTTAAAGAAGGAAACCGTGTGGTTTGACATGAATGTAGAGGAGCTCGACCTCTGATCTAGATATGCTCAAATCCGGTTTCATGTACAGCCAAGGAAGCGAATCCCTCCCTAAATTGTTTCATAAGGGATCGACTTACACGTTGAAAATGCAAAGTCCATTCCAGCGAACCCCACATCCGTCTAGAGCCAAGGTCCAGCCAAGCCAGCGTATAACGCCTTGCATGAAATAGTCCGAAAAGTAACGCACAAGCAGGGAGCCCCAAGAGAGACAGCTATCCTTCCAATTGCATACTCGCTTTACCCGGTCGTAATCGTATTCGTACTAACAGCGCGAATCCCGTGCGCTATGTGTTCTACCTCCGACCCGCAACGTTCTCTCCTAATAGGAACAGCCTATCTCGCTTGTTGAAACCACAAACGGATACATAATGTTGTGTCGGGAGAACGCCGGTGATTAGCGAAGTGTTGATTATGGTCAAGCTTGCGCATGAAGTCGTCTCAAGTTCCTGCTTTCGAGCCTAGTGTATCGTGAAGTCGTGAATCGTTGCCGCACAAGTACAAGCATTTCAGAATCAACTCGGAAGAGCGTATTACATGGCCGCGAGGTCGTTAAGCGCATAGCTCAGATCGCGACGCGCTCCAAGCTCATCGCTCCCAAAGTGTGGTCGGTAGTGATGCGCGACAATGCATACAGTCGCTCTGTATACCGTGTACCTTCTGCAGTTAGCATCACATTACCATACCAAAATGCTGAACACTTACATCGACATCCTCGCTTTGACTCCACCCATTTTGATAGGGCACTCTCCTAGCCCCTCAAAAAATGCCGCACTCCCATCCGCTATGCCACCAGTCATAAGCGGATCACCCCAGATGACGTGAGAGAAGCCCACGAGACCGGTAACTTGCTTTGTTGTCTCGTCAATGAGGACGTTTGTCGGGTCGCATGCATGCAGAGCTACAAGGCGCGGCTCTTTGACTTCTTCCAGCAAGTGAGCGTGCTTGCCGACATAGTACCGGATACTGTCGTAGGGAACGGTAACGAGCATATCTTCAGCATCGCGTAGTGCGGCTTCGAGTAGTGCGAGGAAAGCCTCACGCCATGAGTCGCTGCCTTTCTTGGCAAATACACGGTGTGTCATGCCGAACTGCGTTGCTGACAGTCCTGTGAGAGCGCGAACGTGAGTGCCAAGTGTTCGGTCAATGGTATTTCGCTGGCTGGCTGTGAGATAAGGCGATAGGTCGGAGAGTCTGCGGCCTGGAATATAGTTCATCATGATAAAGGGTGAGCCTAGTGGTCCACCCTGCTTGTCATACTTGATGATTTGGGGAACAGGGATCTGTGTGTATTCATGGAGTGTTTCGAGTGTTTTACTTTCAGTTTCTAGCAAATGCTTTTCGTGTCGTAGTAGACGAGTGTTGTGTGATGGAGGGCATTTTATGACGAGTAAGCCGCTGTCGGTGAGCTTTGTGAGGTAGACTTGATGGAGCCGCCCTTGAAGATGCTCTGCTTGCTGGACCGTGATCCTGGAGGAGCGGAAGACAGTACGGATGGCCTTCTGTATGCTGGGAAAATCGGGCGTAGCAGTACAAGTCCGTGATGATGCCGACGAGGAAGATGACGAGGAGACAGTTGAAGAAGGGCGAGTAGGCCGAACAGAGTATGTACCGCGGCTCATGGCGACAACAGGATAAACTGCAACATCTAACGGGGGCAAGTGCATCTTGTATGATTTGTATGGGACCGATAGCATAGGCGAGAGGGGAGATTAAGCGAGAGCGTGACGGCAGAGGGCTTGAGCTTGTTGGCTACTGCATGTTAGGGTCGGTCCGTGTATTTAAACTACTTTCATGTTGGACAGATAGACGTCTGAAGCTGATGACCTTCCCATCTAGCAGCTGGCATTTGATCTGATTACCGCTTCATCATGTCCGATGGTTCCATAAGATCAAAAGCATCTCTACGTCGACCGAGAAACACCGAGTATCGTCACTTCCAAGTAGTACCGACAACGGGCTTCTCTAGCGGTCATGCTTGGTGCATACGCTGCCAACGCACTGCAGCGCGTCTAAAGAGTCTGGCCGTAATGCAATATCAGCCCCGGCTGCGCCACGAGGTATATAAAAGGACATGTTCGGCTAAGTAGCCTCGCAGAAAAGTAATTAGGCTTGCAGCCACAGAGCTTGCAAGTAAGCGCTGCGTCTTTGACGAATTGACAGCAAGGACGGATATGGTCGCGCGGAGCGACGTGAGAGGCGTCAAATATGTGGGAGCGGCGGCCTCAGCGTTCGTTAAGCATGACCAAAAGCAGTTAGATGCTCCGAGGATGTATTCGGCTATTGCGCACCCTGATTGGCTACCTGGCTTTGGGAACAAGCCTGACTGCGTGAATGGCACATGGCAATGAAACCTGAAAGATCGGTGTAAAAGCCTGTGGGCCAAGTTCGGATCGTGAGAATGGAGCGTGATGATCAGCACAGGGGTCACCCAGGATGTAGAACCGGGTTCACGCGGGAATAGGAAGTCGCTCATTTGTTCTGCATTTCGATGCATTCTTTTCACCCTTCACCCTGGGTCCAGCCTGTCGAAGAACGTCAAGCCACCGACGCCTTTGCATTCATCCGTCTGACCCTGCCCAAAGTAGGGCTCGTAAACGCGATTACAAGCCGGAGTAGTCGCCCGGCAATATGGAGACGAACCGTGGTCGTGCACTATAAGTGTCAGGTCGGCCCTTTGGCAGCTGTTGTACCCCTGCCACCGTCATACAAGACTCACTTTGTTTCCCAAGTGCGACCACACACACACAAGCCACAAAATTCCAGTCGGAGGATTTGTTGTTTGCGGAGATCTATATGCGCCCGGTGTCATAGCTAAAGGAATATTGACTCTACGCACAAGATCGGTTGAGCAGGCCCTTGCTTCAGTCGTCTTCTTTTATTTTGGCCGAATCTTTCGACTCCGAGTCCTTGGCGGGCACCGTCTGACGGAGTTCCTCGAGATTGAAGCGCTTGAGCTTCTCAAAGTCAGGCCCAACGACGCTCATGCCCAGAACATTCTATTCGTTGTAAGCATCTGTCAGGATCGGAACGGTCATCAATGCATGATCGGCACGTGCGATATCGTACCTTGTAGATCTCCACGAGGATGAGGAGATCATAGCCATTAAGGTCGACCTTGTGGCCAGGGCCAACCGCTGCCGCGACTGATTTGATGATCTCGTCTCTTGTGAACTCCTTATTGTTTCGTATTGAAGGTCGGATTGCGAACTTCGTCACGATGCATTAGCAAGCATCCTCGCACCACTAGGCTGGGCCATCAGGTAACAACTGGCGTAGCCGAAAAATAGACTCACCTTTTTCCCCGCCTGATCTGGACCGTGGAAATGGGGTGCAAGAACTTGTTCGGCAGCGGTCTCAAGACCTTGAATGGTGGCTTTCTCATAAGCCGTAATGGGTGTAATTCGTTTCACATAGCGAAGGTTCCTGGGCTGGGCGCCATCTGCTATGTCTTGGCAAATCCTGTGAACGAAAGAGACGGGCTCAATAGGCGAGCGTGTCCGAAAAAAGATCACTTGGGCAAGTCAGCATTGCCTCAATGTGAGTTGGTCGGACTTCCTCACAGCATTGGGTATCGAGCTTGACTGATGTGAACAGGGGCTTCGTCGTTGGCTTGCGAATATCGGCAAGCTCCTTGCTGATTTCAGCTTCGATATCCCCTCCTTCGGAATCAGAATCGTTGTCTGCTGCCGCCTCATTGGTTGCCCCATATAGTTTGGCAGCATACTACAATTCCGTCAGTCTCTGGCATATCTAGGTCGAAGATATTTCGACGATTCGGAGAGGTAAGTCTAACCTCTTGGAACAGATCCCGCAGGTCGCCAATGGATTTCGCTTCTTTCTTCATCGCACAAGTGGCCCATATGCCCGTATCGCCGGGTTGAATTGCTTGGGGTCCAGCCTTCCTGCGGGGCATATCCCAGTTCTTTTTACCCTGGCACCTGAATCAGCATCATGAGGCTTACTGCAGCTGCCGAACGATAATGGGATCGCGAGGCCAAGACATCATACTCCCATGGGTAGAATCGTGACTGCTGCTGCGAGAAAAAGAACTTACCTTGGCTTTTTTGTGGCCGCCTTCATGTCTTTCGTCCGGCCCAGCCTTCCGCTTCGTGCCGGAATCCTCCATTTTCAGCGTCTGGACTATGAAAGTACTGCGATGTGATGAGGTGGAGGTGTCGAGGGTATGGTGCGTAGATCTTGGGAGAACGCCGGAGGTAAAAGAAACTAAACCCCTTTCGCTTACTAGCGCATCTGGTTTCTCATCCCCGCCCGGCGCCTTGTCCTAGCCTTGCTCGAAACTCGATCTCACTTTATTGCACTGCGTACGCCCCCGGATAAGCATATCGGCGAACTCGATAGTCTCGCATCTCGATGATGTGATCTGAGACACGACACCATTTCGATTACGTCTTGCAGCAAATATGACCCAACGCATTGGAGCCTCTCGCTGGTCCGATGGTGATCGCTGCCACGATCCTGCAGGTCTCATGTCAGGCGCAAGCCGGTCCATACCACGGACGATGTCAGATCGCCAGTCACGTCTTCGCTTGGCGTGAACTTGTTTTACAAGACGTACAAGTGCGCCCGGAGATGGCTTGTCCCAAGCGTTCGGTTCAGCTGTTTCTTCGACAGCACAACTGAGGATGTGGCCGTGATAACCGCCACTGAGTGGGGGCGGGGAGCCAGGTCGCGTTACAAAAGTCATGGGATTCGAATGCTTTGCGAGACCTCTCGGCGCGCCCACGAAATTGATTGGTATGTAACGTCTGAAGCTGCGCCCGTCTGTATCAAGTTGCGAGTCCGAAGGACTTCGGGGTAGATGATTCGGGACAGGCGTGCTGGGATGATGTAGCCTCTAAAGCAAGCCGCTGGCAATCTGATGCCTACCCCGTGCAGCATTTTGTCAGCCTCTCGTAAAAAATAGAGTCCAAAATCTTTACTACCGTGCAGTAAGATGCCTACGGCAAAGGCGGGCGATGTAGTTCCCGTCATGTTGGAGATATAGGTAAGATCTAGGCACAACCAGGGTAGACACTGGGGAAACGTTTCCTGTGTTCCCCCTCAGTCATCATCAAACATACAATAGAATACAAGCTCTCTACGCCCATTAAACTATCCTAAACGTCTTCTACTCTACAGGTCCTTGCCTTACTATACCATACCGAAAATACTTGTTGTGATTACTCGCTGGTGCCTTGAAAGGCCAGTCCCTATACACACGAACAAGCTCTTCAATCATCTCTATAGTCAGCATCCTGACCCTTAAGTGATGCATCAACAGTCTCCCTCCTTTCTCCGGATCTCTCAAGGTCGGACAATCCTTAACGATATCACTCAAACCATGCTGCATCTTATCCAGCGCGTGACTAATGCTCATCGCAGGCTGCCGGTAGAGACCATAAACGAAGTCTTGCACCCATTCGAACCAGTCAAGGTCCTGGAAAGCGGCTTTGGGGATGGGTTCGGCGGAGATGAGAGAGAGTCGATTCTGGGGCCATACTTCCAAGGGTGACATGATGAGAGGTTCAAAGGGGCGATAGTCCCATTGGAGACGTGGGTAAGGGAGTGCGCGCATAGCGAGGCGGTCGTCAGTCTCTGCTAGAGGTGTAGATGCATAGTTGAGTGCAATATTGTCGACGCCGCGCTGCCAAGTTTGATCTAGGTCCTCTAGCTTCTTCATCAACGAATCCTTCTCTGGCCCGTCTCCCATCTCGAGGATCTTACACTCAAGATAATATAGTGCCTCTCCTATGTCAGCAATGGCTTCAACGTCTCCCTTGATCTTAAGCACGTTCCAGATATTTGACCGCTTTTTAGAGAATTTTGAAATCTCGTCTTTGGCAGGATGGTCCGTGAGCTTGGGTTTGGGCACTGCTTTTGTCCCTGGAGCTGCCATCACCTGCTCCAAGTTGACCTCTGGGTATTCGTCGCGTATGAACTTTTCACGGTCATAGTGCTCAACAAAGCTCTCCTGCAGCAGCCCAGCCGTTGACTTGCCCGCCAGCTGTTGTCGGTGGAGGTATTCTTGTATAACGCCACTACGAATTACGCCAGTACTCTCGAACGTTTCTTTGAGGTCAACGGCGAAGTCGTACATGAGTTCACGGCGGTGGGGTGGAGGATCCATGCCCTTTTTCCTCCCCGCCTCCAGGGCGCGAATTGTGCTCTCGATCTCGTACTGCGGTTCGCGGGCGGTAGAGCCTCTACCAAGTTTACGGTGGGTGCGCTCAGGGTTTACGACCACGTTTATATCATGCGTCATCTCCAGAATGCGATTGGCCTTCTGCATACCGGACACTGATTCTGCAATCATGCCACTGAAGTCATCGCGCTGTACCCATAACAAAGTTCGAACCAAACCGAAGGCATGGAAGAGATCATGCGAGGATGCGGCGGAGGTGAAGTGGTGGAATAGCTGTTTCGCCATGGAGTCGAAGCCCAGGCCTGGGAGCCGGGGATCCCATACTAGAGAGCCCGTCACTAGTAGCGTATTGTTATGTTCTTGCGCCTTGGGATCTTTGGCATCTCGACGAGTTTGGTGTGGGAAGACTCCATCGGCGACCATGGTTCTGTACGTGTCCAGCTCACATGGATCTTTCACTATGAGCGAGTATTTCGAGTCGGGCGCAGTGAGAAGAGGATCGAGAAAGGATTGAAACCTGTCGTGTCGCGGTTCGAGGAGGACATGGCTTCGCGGCTGCAGAAAGTCGTGAAGCTTCCGTGACCAGAGACCAGCGCCTGGGTTGATGTCAAGGATGTCGCAGCCCTTGTGCTTCTCTAGCGTATGCCCAATATACTTGAGTACATCGTCTACAATTACAACTTATCAGCGCCCACTCTGAATGTATGATCTACACCTCCAGGATTCGACGTACCGCATAGGTCTGGACTTACAATCTGTGTTCTAACGTGACCACTAGAAGATAACGACAGGCTTGATGTAGAAGGCCTTCGCTTTATCTTGGGTTCTAGGCTGGGGTGTATGACTTCGTTCAGGGCTAAGCTCAACGGAAACTTCTCGCTTGTCTGCAGCTTTTCATCTGACCAGTGGACCTTCTGCCCTTTCTTGCGGCCGGTGGAACCAGCATGTTTATTAGTCGCGAACCGCGTCTGGCTCGGTCGTCTGATTGATGCGCTTGGCCGACAAGTTATGCGCGATATTGAAGAGCGTATGCGGAACATGAAGGCGTGTTGGGGGCATCGCAATGGGTCCTCTTTGATGCCGAAGATCCCAGGTTCAGATGTTTCCGAGGTTGCCGTAGGAGACTAAACCGCTTTCAGAAAGCGCGCCTCACGTTCCATGCCTTGCACGTGCCTACGCCTCTACAGACTTTACATCTTCCCGGCACTATTATCATAATGCTGAAGGCCAAGCAGAGACCAACTATAAGTTATGATATTATCGTTTTCATGATCTGAAGTTAGCACTAATGTTGCTGCACTAAGAATCGCAGCTCTGAATATGGAAGGTGGAATCCACATCTGCTGATAAAACCCACAATATCGCCCATCAAAAAGTTTGCTGTACCCTTCTTCTCATTTTTTATGGCTGTCGAAAATACGAGCAACATCCTCATCATAGGTGCCGGGACATGGGGCTGCTCAATCGCTCTAGAGCTCGCACGCCGAGGCCACACAGGCATCAAGGTCCTGGACGGCAGCCCCTTTCCATCAGCCATCTCCGCAGGCAATGATCTCAACAAAATCACAGAGGAAGCAAACGAGCCGTCTGAAAATGATAGCGATGAGACCTACTTCTGGAACCGCATTACCCAGATAGCCATGCAAGCATGGACCCACGATCCACTCTTCGCTCCCTTTTACCACGAAACAGGCTTCATCATGGCCGCTGTAGGCGACAAGGCATATGAGCGGTGTGTTGAGTACGCAAAAAACGAGCCTGCTGATCTTGTACCCTTGAATTCGAAAGAGGACTTTCACAAGACGATGCCCGAGGGTGTGCTACAGGGCAATTTTCCCGGCTGGCACGGGTTCTGGAAGCAACGTGGTGCGGGATGGGTGTATGCGAGCGGCGCAATGAAAGCTCTGTATGGTGAAGCGAGGAGGTTGGGTGTCCAGTTCGTCACAGGCGAGCTGGAAGGAAAAGTCGAAGAACTCATCTTGACCTCCGGTCACGATGCCGTACTTGGTGCCCGTACCTCAGATAGCGTCATACACACAGCTTGCAAAACTATCCTTGCAGCCGGCGCAAACAGCATCAATCTCCTCGACTTCAAGAAGCAACTACGACCGACGGCCTGGACACTCGCACACGTCCCTCTATCGGCGGAAGAAGCTCAGCTCTATCGGAACTTGCCAGTCCTGTACGGTGTAGACCGCGGATTCTTCATTGAGCCAGATATCGAGAGACATGAGATGAAGATCTGTGATGAACACCCAGGTTACATCAATCTAGTCATAGACAGCAATGGCGACACGCATTCGGTACCCTTTGCGCGGCGTCAAATCCCCAAGGAAGCGGAGACACGAATGCGCCGCCTCCTCTCTGAAACGACACCACAGTTCTCCGGGAGGAAATTTAGCTTCGCGAGGATATGTTGGGACGCCGATACTGTTGATCGTATGTTTCTAATTGATAAGCATCCTGTGCTAGAGAACTTGGTTGTAGCTGTCGGAGGTTCGGGTAACGGCTTTATGGCATGCCCCGCCATCGGTATCTTAGTTGTAGATAATCTCGAAGAAGCGGGCCAGATCGAGGAAAGGGTTCGGAAGATGATGAGATGGAGGCCTGAAACTAGTGTTCACAGGGATTGGTGGGACGCCCAGGGCCGATGCGGTGCTGACGGAAAGGTCATAGACTTCCGAGATGTAGAAGAATGGACAAGCATATGAATGGGACTGGCGCAATATTTCAGCATGGAGCCCCTCATCTATTAGCAAGTGTTGTGAAGGAGAGTAAGGTTAGTGTCTTGGCGGACTGGAGTATACATAACTGTTATTGCTTGATGAATGATCTGCATCTCATCTTAAACATGTCTTCTGAGCCATGGCATCAAGCATTGAGTTTCAAAAACTAGTCATTCTGTCTACCATAGCAATTCCAAGTGATGACGTGGCAATATTTCTCTCGCGCGGTGGATACTATAGATGTCACTATTTGTGTATGTGAAACCAATAGATATAATGAGCGTACGTGTAGAAGCTGGAAGGAGACTGTATAAAGTCTGAAACGAGCAGCGGCGATTGTGACCATGTAACACATTAGATCAAGAATGGATGAGAATCAAGGCATAGTCATGGGTATTCCACTACTGTGCTGTTATATATGAACCCCCCTCACTGAAAAGGCAATTGTGACCATGTAGAACTACCTCAGCGTTTCTCAAAAGTTTCAAATTCCGGCCTCTCCTTCCACCCGTTCGCCAGACCCGATTCATAGTTCTCTACTGTGCCAAGTTAGCCCCAACGATCCCCACATGAGCAGAAGTAATTGCTCACGCGTTGAGAACCACCAATAAACCTTGTTAAACCCATCATACACTCCCGAATTCGTGCCCAATGTGCTTCCCACATACCGGAGGATATCCACGAGTTTGGGCATCTGCATATCGACGGATACTCCAAGAGCTGGGTTGTTAGGGGAAGGTTTGAATACGGCCATTAGGGCTACTCCGGTTTCAGGATGGCCGCATAGTTTGACGGGGTCCATGCCTATGTACTCCTTGCACTCCTCGGAGGACTCGGCCTTTGGGAAATCTGTATTGTAATATCTCGGGCTCATGAGCAGGATGCAGCCTTTTGTGTTGTACGGGTCAGACATTTGGGCAGGTGGTAGCGTGTGTGAACAGAGTGCTTAGGATAAGGTTGGTTTCCACGAATTTTAAAAGCTTCGTACGGTGAGCTAGAGCGATGAGAGTTATATAGGAAATAATGGAGAGGAGTGTCATAACGCAGTGCGTCATGCAAAGTGTGTGACTTGTCGATGGCGCGCCCACGAGATTGAGCAACTGTCCAGTACTTGAACCCCTTGACTATGATATGGCTAAAGTACTAGTCGACGCTAAGCCTAGAAAAGTAGTTGTTGCCTGTTATGACTTGTAGCCACTATGAAGACTCGTGGCATTGTGACTCTACGCATACGCATCGTATATACCCAAGATTTGAGTGTTCGTCTGTCAATTTTAAAGTTCGACGACGGGCTTGTCGGGGAAGGAGGCTCGAGCCCGGGGACTATACTTGCTCGTTGGGCCATAATGCCGATCTTACGATCGTGGACAAGTAATTTTGGGTGTTGAGTGTTTGAGTGTTGAAGAGCAGAGTGACGTCGAGGAGGCTACTACTAACTGGGCTAGTGGTCCGTACTTAGCGTGAAACTCGACGTCGAACCGCATCTGCGCGCATCCAAAACCATGTTTCCTTTTGCCACCTTATCGACACCATCAAGGTTATTGTCTAAGCCGAGGCCGTTGAATATCCGACAATTGCTCACTTACGTCATCGCCCCTAATTGCCGCATCAACACACGTCACGGGTGCCCCACCGGCTCGACTTTTCCCTTTCGGATGTGCACGCTTATGTAGATACATCACAAGCTTCACCTGAACGGCATCGGATCCCTTTGCCAAACCCCACGGGCCGCCTGATATTCTCATACTTGCAGGCATTATATGTCGGGCCCCACCTCGAATCCAGATTGGAACGGAAGCGGCAGTTCCGCCTATGGCACCTTTCCTCGACCACGACTTAGCTCCAACCAAAGTCGCACCAGCTATGATAGCTCTACTGTACATAGCAATGGCGGCGATGTATCACCAAAGCGCATGCCCTCAAGACATATAGAGTTTCGCAAGTACTTGAAACGACCCCATCTCACCGAAAGCCAGCGTACTCTAAGTGATGCCCTACGTGCGGCGAAGAGCAGAGAAGAGCAGGAAACTTTGCTGCCAGATGATGATCATGCAGGCTCAGATGGGTGCTTCAATGGAGTAGGCGAACCTTTGGGACCCAGGGATGTATTTACTCCTTATCCGCATTCAAATCTGAAAGTGTACTATAACATCCACCGGTAAGTCAAATATTTCCACTTGAGTGATGGTAGCGACGCTAATCGCGTTAGAATACGACGCCTGATTCTAGCTGTGATTGAGGATCCATATACGACGGAACAACTCAGGGAACCCCGTATGAATATCCTGATTGTCAAGCCGCTTGTTGATCGGCTGTACGACGAAGAAGACATATCCATCGTTTACTGTCTTCTCGTCAATCGGATGCAGTTCTTACGAGAACAGCAATTTCAACAACATCACCGAACTGTTGACCTCACACGCGCCAATCTCTGCGAGCTTGTAGCTATGAAAGTCCTGCGACGACACGACGAGGAAAGCACCGGAAAACCAGGCCTTCTACACCTAGCTCAGATTCTCGTAGCTCCATTCCAGCCATTCCAAGGTGCACCCGACGAGCGCTGTCCACCGCGACATGTCTCAGAGTACCAGGGCCAAGGAGATTACGAAGGTAAACTGACTGCGCTGGAAGTCGCCATCGTGTCCGAGAGTAAGGTGTTGCTTAGCAGCTCAGGGAGTCAAAAAGTCATTGATGCCGTGTACCGCGGACGTATCGTGTATACCCCAACTACATTCATCGACATCATTCCTGATCACTATAAGCACAAACCAATATCGCTATACGATCCTCGGAAAGCACCGCTACTAAATCAATACCGTCTCATGGTGCCAAGGACCCGCAACATCATCGAAGTCGTACAATTCATCATACTGCTTGCTTTGTATAGCTGGTGTATGTCGGTGCGGAAAGATCATTTTCTTACCAATGCTGAGATCATTTTCATATTATATGGTGGTGGCTGGGTCCTGGACGAACTGATATCGTGCCTAGAACACGGATGGGAGGTACACACACAAGAGCTCTGGGCCTTCTTGGATGTCACTTTCGCCGGCATATTTCTCATTTACTTTAGCATGCGTGTCCATGGCTGGGTAGTTGGCAATGATGAAACGGGCAGGCAGGCACTCGACGTTCTTGCCATCGCCTCGCCAATCCTGTTTCCACGCATCGCATTCAACCTCATGCCGGAGAATATGCTCTTCATTGCACTACGAGCCATGGTAAAGGAATTCACTGCGTTAAGCCTCATTGCTATCTGGTGCTTCGGCGGTTTCTTGCTCGCTCTGAAGTGGCTGAGCATCAGCAATCCCGAAGTCGGCTACGAAGACTCGCCAAATAGCATCACCATCTCCAAATGGATGCTTTGGATTTGGTTCGGTCTAGATGGCCAGGGCATCGACGAAGCGCCAGGATTTCACGAGATCCTCGGTCCCATATTGATGGTGATATACGCTTTCATTGGTAATACGCTCTTCCTCACAGTCCTGGTCTCCATACTCAGCAACACATTCTCCAAGATCGCTGCCGATGCGACCGCCGAGATTCAATTCCGACGCGCAGTCCTCACTTTCGAAGGTGTAAAATCCGACTCTCTCTTCGCCTATCGCCCACCCTTTAACCTCCTCGCCTTCGTCATCCTACTCCCCCTAAAGTTTCTTTTGACACCACGCTGGTTCCACAAGATAAACATAACAGCAGTTCGCGTCCTCAACTTCCCGATTCTCCTCGCCATTGCGTATCATGAGCGCGCCGCGCTCTGGAAACCCTCTCGCCGCCAATCTCTTTCTGGCCCTGGCCCATCCAAACGCTCAACGTGGCTCTTCGATTCTGATTTCTGGGGGAAATGGAAGCGAATGAGTCCGCATGCTGACTTACAAGCGGTGTTTGAGGAAGAGCCGCCTAACGATGTGGTGCAGAGGATTGAGGAGGAAGATGATCTTGAGGATGCAATCTTGGAAAATAGCTTTGCTGCGACAGCGGGAGCGGACAGGAGGAGTATTAGCCCTGGGAGTGCAATGACGAGGAGGAGGAGACTGAGCAGTGTGTGGCCGGGTTCGGCGTCGTAGGGTGTATTGAAGTGTCGATGGTTCATAGTTGTGGGCGCACGCAAGTCTGTATAGGTAGTTCAATTCGTCATAACCCGATACTCTGTATTGTTTAGAAATTGCTTTACAAAAGGAAAAGGCTATCATAGATTTCATGTTACTTCCTGTGAGTGCCGATCGGTCCGCTTAGCCCCTAACCCTTATCAGCATGCTATCCGCCAAATTCAGGTTCCACATCGGCCATTATTACCCCCAGCTTGTTGCAAACCCTTACCCCAACATACCCCAACATACCACACCCTATAACTCAACAAACTCAGTCCCTCACAATCTTTAGCTTATTCTCGGCATATGTACATTCGCGCCCTACAATTTTCGAAGCAACCCGTCTTTCGCCACCGTTGCTGCGCGACCGTTAGCAATTATCCGATAGGGAAAGGAAATACAAGCGAGCGGACATCCAAAGTCCGGCATACAGTAGTATATCGAGAACGACACACTACGAAACAAACATAGTCATCCGTTTACCCTACAGCACATCTTTTTCACCTTTTTTGAATAAATATTGATAATCTGTGCGTTGATCGAGCCGTCAAGGACACTCCATACATACCTTTTACAAACTCGCATCACGCTTCAGACGCCGCATCTGCCAAGACCAACGTTCCTTGTCGTACTTGGATAACCGAGAAGATGGCGAACATTATTCCAGTAGCGAACTATCCGCTCTCCTCGCAGGCGTCCTTGGCAGCGCAGTATGTGGGTAAAAAACTAGAAGACCTGCCCACACCCGCGGTAGTTTTGGACCGCGCCATCGTCGGGAGGAATTGCGATGCTATGCTGCAAGTGTGCGAGAAGCTCAATGTGGGGTTTAGGGCGCACGTCAAGAGTCACAAGGTATTTTCTTTGTTCAATTTATCTCATGTTTGCGCTTTGGAGCGTTGAGTGTGGGCGATATATTGATGAACGGGGGCTAATCAACAGATAGACGTGTGAGCTTTCTAAGCTTCAAGTGGGCGAGACTGGGCCCGCGAATTTCATTGTGAGCACAGTTATTGAGGCCGAGAACTTGTTGCCGTATTTGCTTGAATGTCAGGCAAATGGCAGAGAAGCGAGTGTAAGTCGCAGTGGAAATCACTTGGATCATATCCTCGTATCTTGCTCAACAATGAATACGTGGACATTTAAGTATAATTAAGGGTATCATAGTATCTAACATGCACAGGTTCTTTACGGCGTGCCCATAGCACAGTCAGCTATTCAGCGCCTACTGAACCTGGCAAGCAAACTTGCTCGTGGCTCAGTTAATGTTCTCATTGACAATGAAGATGCCTTCTCGAAATTCAATGACCGTCTCGTATCGAGCGCCAGTAGCGTCCAGATTGGCGTCTTCGTCAAAATCGATACCGGGTACAACCGCGCGGGAATCAAGACCGCCTCTCCCCACTTCCGTGGCCTCGTCGAGGCTGTCGTTTCCAAAACACAAAACCCGGGACCCTTCTTGCGAGGCTTTTATTCTCATTTTGGACACTCGTATGCCGGATCATCAGAGGATGACGCTGCGAATGGGTTGATTGAAGAGCTGACCGGGCTCGAAGAAGCCATTTCAGCAGTTCCGTCGACGCATGTCGGAAAGTTGGTACTGAGTGTAGGCGCCACACCAACAGCGACCGCGGCGCAGAATATGCTGTCGGATTCGAGTTCGAGTCCACGGGTCAAAGAGTTCCAAGGCGTCCTGGAACGACTGCAGAAGACGCACAGAGTGGAACTGCACGCTGGTGTGTACCCGCTGCTGGATTGCCAGCAGGTCGCCACCCATGCACGACCGTCTGAGGGGCGGGCGAGTCAGGGCTTCCAGCCTCTTTCGAAAGACAATATTGCCATTCGGATGCTCGTCGAGGTTACGAGTGTCTATGATGAGCGCGAAAAACCCGAAGTGCTCGTTTCTGCGGGATCACTTGCCATAGGGCGCGAACCGTGTAAGAGCTATCCGGGGTGGGGTATTGTGACACCGGATTTAGGCAACTCTAATACATCGTCCATATACGATGAGCGTGGCGAGAAGACGGGTTGGATCGTTGGGCGGATAAGTCAGGAGCATGGGATTCTGACGTGGGAGAATGATAGGGAAAGGTGTAACCCGCTGACCGTTGGCGACAAGGTGATGATTTGGCCGAACCATGCTTGTGTGGCGGGCGCAGGCTTTGGATGGTATTTGGTTGTTGATTCTGAGCAAGGAGGGGATACGGTCATTGACGTATGGGTGAGGTGGCGCGGTTGGTAAAGCATTGCTCTTGTATGGACGGTGATATACGAACATCTTCATCTTCCTCTCATAGTAGGTTTATTGCCCAAAATTACAATGCTTCGCACGGCCCTTGACGATCTGGGATCGCACCACTCCTACCTTAATTGTTCTCATTGATTGGGATGCGTGATGGGCGCGGCTCCCCTCCCTGCTTTCGGGGCTGATGCCTTTCGATTCGGCGGTGCTAGCACTGTCGGCGTAGGTTGAGTAGGAAAAGCTGATCTAGGAACTGAAGGCGAAGGATACACGAGGTGACTATTCGGTGTCTCCCATTTCATATTCTGTGCATAAAGCCCGATCGCCTTGACTTCGTTCAAGATGGAATTCAGCGTCTGTGTATGCATGCCCGACTCGTGAAGAATTCTGTTTTGGAAGTTCTCGCGATCTTGTCGCTGTCGATCGTGGAAGCCCGCCGATGAAGTCCGCCATGTTTCTTCTCGCTTATCGTTTATGTCCATGGCTACACGTCTGCAGTCCTCGACCCACTTGATCTGAGTGGATATGAGCTTCGTCTCATGCCGGATGATGTCAGGCACTGTAGCATTTTGTTCGTCGCGGTCGGCGCTAGGGGATGGAAAAGACGCCGCGGGTATCGTGTGGTTCCCTCCTACAGAATCGCGAAAGGGCTCTCGTGTCTGCCGTATGTGCGATTGTTGATGGTCCAATTTGCTCATCCCGTGCCGTTCTCCTTTGACACGTCTCAACAAGCGCTGGACATGGTTGACACATTCAGACGTGTCTTCTTGTATATCTTCTCGCAGTTTCACGAGGAGGTCATTGATATCTTCCTTGGTGATAAGCGGCTTGATGTCCTCGTCAACTTCGATGGCCGGTTGCTCGTTTAGAATATTGTCATGCTCGTCCAACTTCCTTTTTTTCCGCGACACCAAGTCTCTCTCGAGCTCGGTATCTGAAGCGTGTTTCGTTAGCTTGTAGGCTGGTGATACAGGCGCATTGATAATGCCATTGGTTCCTTGGTGAGGTTTGAGCGTCGCCTGAACAGTAATAGGGTATTCCTTGCCGTCTTCGTCCGGTACAATGGCGAGCACGAAAGTCTGGGAATGCAGGGCAAACTCCACTGTGCCCTGCGCACTCGCCCAGGTGCCATCACGCTGGTCGAGCTTGCGCTTGAAGTCGTTTATGACGTCCGCGATCTGCTGCGCCGTCGCAGCAACTAATGGATCGACAGTTTCATTAGCAGCCTCGGCACTTGGTGATAAGGGCATGGCTAGATTGTTCATCCGTTAGAAGCGGCGTCGAGAACAACGGCCAATTTCCTACTTCGTTGCTGGCGGATACATTGCAGAGGCTAGGGCATAAGTGAGGGGGGTTGGCGCCCTCGGATCTCTTTCTACCGAGAGTAAAGGCAGGATAAAAGGCAGAACATCACACATTGATCTTTGATAACGGCTCGCAGGGTCAAAGTCAAATCGTGTTTGCGGTCGGTAGCCCGGGATATTTTCTGTGGCGGCGGTAGATCGCTTCCCCGCCCTGATTGACGACACCGCGTCGTCTCGGGCCCTAAAAGGGTCGGGTGCTTGTGCGCTGCAGCGCCATGCTTCATCCGGTCAGGTCTCCTGCACGCTGCAAGCTCTCCTGGCGAGCAGAAACCCCAGCTCAGTTGGCAGATCCCAGACCGACCTGTGACCTGATGACTGCAGCGAACTGAAGGGGCTCTTTCGAGCGTTGGGTGATATCCAAGCTTCTTTTTTCCGCATGCTCCCACGCACTTCAGCATACCATCCCCCAGACCGCCAAACCTCGCAGCGACATGCGGACCCCCGAGCTGCGCTGCTAGAATAGCCGGTGTTCGACTGAGTGTCTTGTGCTTATGCACAGCCTTGAGCCTTGAATTGCGAGTCTAGGCTCGGGTTGGTCTGGGAAGTAGCACGATACCCCCGAGCTCATAGTGACATCTCGGCCTTCGGGAGTGCACTACGGATTGGGTAACTCGGGGTGTACATCTGCCATGGTTCCTTTTCGACGGTTATCGCAGAGAGGCAGACGCAGCTTGGAACACGATCGCGACGCCTTCGAATGGCACGACGAGCGCGACGAACACATCATGACGGCTACGTTTCCGATCCACCCGCTGCCATCCATGCAGGCGCCCTTTGAGGAATCCATGCTCGATGCAACAGGCGAGACAGGGCATGTGCCCTTCGTGAACCCGAAGAAAAGTGTCAAGACTCGGCAGCTATTGTTGTGTAGAGATGAGGGAGCTGCAGAACCCTCGTGGAACTTCACATACAACTGCCATTGGAGGAACAACCCAAAGGGCAAGTTCCATCCCCTAGTGAAGACAGTCACCCAGATCGTCTTTGGCCTACACTTGTTGCACCAGCATCTGGAGAAGTCGGTCGCTGATGTTGCGGATATTCTACTCAAGCATGTCAACGAGCTCGACAGTTTCCTGCAGCGGGCGAACGAAGACCTCGAGAGTAGTCTGAAAGATATGCTATTCAGGCACAAGTGCTTGAAGGTACCTATGGAACACGTAAACGAGTTCGATCGACTCCTCGAAGACCGCGCCTATCGAGCTCAACTACTCGACGGCAACGTAGTTATCGAACGCACCATTGGGCGCATGTCTGAGATGCTGAACGACTATCTGATCGATATAAATACCTTCCAAGAAGCGAACCAAAAGCTCGACCTCTACTTGCTCGACATTGGTGATGCGTGGGCATATCACAACGAGGATGTTGGGAGGATATATTCGGCCATGTGTGGCAATACCGGAGGCTGGTCGCAATTCTTGCAGAGCTTGGTTGCCAAAGCAGAGAAACTGGGCGTAGTGCTTGTGCAAGTGAGCAGTTACTGCAACGAAATTGAGAAGCGGTGTGGCGCTGCCAGCCGACGTAGCATGGTAAGGACGCCTCGGCTTCATACTTGGATCCTGTCCATCTTGACAGATTGTGTTTCATCCATGGACCTGGCTGACAGTTATTAGATCGCAACACGAACCTCATCGCGAAACTCGTCCAATTCGCGCGACAATGGGCGCGGGTTCCGTAATGTTGCGAACAACAAGCCTCTCCCAACAACTCCGAGCGAGCGACCGCCATTCATGACATCGCCAAACAATGGTAGCGCAACTCCTCCCGATACCGAACCTCCCCAGCGGTTTTCTCAAGCACAAAAGCCCAAACCTCAGCTCCAGCCAGACGTCCTTCATACATCCGACTGTACCGCAGATACCCCAAAACGAAGCGAGGAATTCGCATCTACATCAGCAACCTTGAGTACTGACGTAGATGTACGACGCCAGACAGCGTCCAAGCAACCCGAGTACTACCACGAAGCCTGGCACAGCGACGACCAACGTGGCCGCGCCGCACCACAAGTAGACTCCGGTCGCACGAGCCGACTCTTTGGGCATCGGCGGAACCTATCTAATAAAAGCACAGAAGAGACATTGTTAACGCCAAATCGGCTACCCACCAAACCAGACGACACCCCACCTCTGACTGGAAAAGACTCGGCGTACTCGTCTGTATCTGGCGCTTCGGGTATGTCACCTACGGTTGCGTCGCCGCGATCGGCCTCGTCGATGTCGTCAAGACAGACGGCGCAGTTTGGGCTGTTTCCGAGTCGGAACCTTACGCCCAAGAGCTCTGTCTCGGGGCGACTGGGTGCTATGTCTCCTGCGTTTGGACCGACGCTGCGCTCGGCCAAATCTGCGGAATCGCCGACTGGTAGTCGCCCTACAACGTCTATGAGCAATTTCTCGGATGCCAGCTCGAGTAAGCGGTTGAGCAAGAGGAGTAGTTTTACGAGCTTGAAGAGGCTGTTTTCGAAGAAGAAGCCGGGGGATATAGATAGCATTGCTGAGTGACGTCCCTTCTCTGTTCGTTCGTTGCCTTCTTTCCTCAAACGGCCTTTTGTCTTGCGCCGTTAGGTTATATACCCCTTTGATTGCTCTTCTCTTCTCTTCTCTTCGTTGAGTGTGTCTATTAAACTTCTCTGTGCACTCTTCTGGCGGCCACTATTCGTGGCTCTCTTGGGTCGTATACCGCCTTTTTCATAGCCGTAATGTCATGACGAACAATGTGTAAAGGGTCTGGATAGTCTATGGGTACTGCACAGGGGAATCGTGGAAGGAAGTGGAGGAGAGCTTCGTTGCTGGCGTACTGCGTCACGCCTGGGGCTGCGAAATAGGGAGGGTGTTGCAGGTATGGGAAAGGCGCTATGCGGCAGGTAGGTAGGCGTACAATTAACCGGGCTGCGATGCCACTGGCTTTCTTTGCATCGTCTCTATGTGTCTTTCCAGATGATGTTGGCGTTCCTTCGCCCCGGGCGGGCTGTAGTGGAGGCATCTTCTTGCCGATGCGGTCGGAGGAGGGAGGCGCGACCGGCGAGGAGGACAAACATCCTCTCACCAAGCTCCGTCTTTCTCTCCTCCCCGCTCGGCATCCACCTCTATCCTCAACAACCCTCTCGTTTTTTTGGCAGAGAGGTTGGCGAGCATGGTGTAGCATAGCAGCCGCTATTCTGGTCTCTCTTGGATACCTGCCGCCTCGCAGCATCTTCCTCTCTTTTGCTCATAGCAATAGCCTCGCATCTTTCTGCAGCACGAACAAACACACGGTACCCGCGACAGCATCACCTTCGCCCACGATAACCGCACCACTCTCGTCTGCTTCTCACGCTGAACAGCAGGCTCACGGCCGCATTGGCACCATGCTCGCAGACCGAGATCCGAATGGCAGCGGCCGTACGTCGCGGGCCTCCAATATGTCTGCTATGAGCCGAGCAACAGGTAAACATGTACACGGGACGGGCAGGCCTGACCTACTTCCGTCTGCTGCCCCCGGCGTCATGTCCATGCTCCGTACCTCCACAGAGATGGGCAACCTTGCTGGCATCACGGGCGATATGTCCAGCATAGGCACCATGCCTCGATCTTCGCAGCGGCGGGGCGCTTCCAGCAGACTCTCGACCACTTCATCGCTATCCAATAACTCCAGTCGAACGAGCAGGCACCATCGACAGTGGCCTTCGTCATCCTCGGCCGCACGACGCTCCTTGACGCGCGAGCACAACGTACCTCAATACGTTCCCGACACCCTCTCACCGACCATGATGAACATACCAGGCTCGTCTCCACTTGTGCCCATGCGGCGCGATAGGGACTCGCATCGCTCACTTTCGATGACCCATACGATGCAGCCAACCTTCAGACTGTCAAGCAACCGATCTCTAGGTAGCCTACGCCACGATCACATTCAGCGACCAAGAAGCCCATATCACTACCCAACGAGACTTCGGAGGCCTGGCCATCGGCCTACTTCACCACCCTTGAGTGATATCAGCAGGCCACACCCAGGACGCCAGTACGGCCACAGTAGCCAAGGGCAGCCCTACTACCCAGGCCAGATGAGATTGAGGATCCCATCGGATACAAGCCTTGGCCATCAAGAGCGAGCGCATAGGATGTCTCGTCGTCCCAGCCGTGGCCCTTCACCAGCCTACTATTCTGAGCCGCGACCAGACATCCCACCTGTGCCGTCGATGTACCAGCACCACATGGCTGTAGAACAGGCTCGCATGCTACACAGGTCTACCAAAGGATCCGTTTCCAGTGGCTCGACGAACTTGCGTACCGATTCCGACACGCCATCGTCTGACATGGCTCTACCACCAACGCCAAAGGACAGGACGTCCATGGAAGTGCTCATCAGTCCGAACGGCACTAGGATGATCTTTGACACTGTGACCGGAGTCCTAAAGGAAGAGGTCGCCACTGGACCACTTTACTACGACTACAGCGAACAATTTGAGCAGGAACACCTCACTGAGCCTGAGATAGACCCAGCTCCGACAGGCTTCGTGAACCGCATCAAGACCATAATTGAAGAGCATGGGTCACCAGTTGAGCTAGGCTCAAAGAAGACTTGCACTCAAGAGGTCAAGGTTTCCATCGAGGTTGTGCGTTCTGGTGTTCCAGATCTCGTAGAGCTCCCTGCTTCCCCTGTACCTCGTCGCATCACAAGAGACTTGATCCTAAAAGCAATCGAATCAAGTTCGACAACGGGGAACATGGAAGCGTCGATCAAGTCTCCAGCTCTTAGAGCTGATTCCGGAACTATTCATTCAGACAGTCTTCCTGTCGCGACTCATTCGTTGATCGAAGAAGAGACCGAGGAATTGTTGCACCCGGAAGGGGAGTGCAGGGATAACCGCCACAGCATCTTGTCTCAGACCGGATCTAGCGTTTTGGACTCTTCGACCCTCAACTTTGCTGTTCGATACTCGATACCCATGGCCACTGGTGCAGGATTTGGGACCGACCAAGCCCCTGAACTTGGCGGCGAGCCCGCTGTGCCAGCTAGTCCTGGACTAAGTACTGAAGATGGTATGTCGGAGTTGTTAGCAGGATACCAGCATACTGAGTCCAAGCAAGAATCCGGTGTGTTGCCACTAGCCGGGGTGGCTCACAAGACAGAGAGGGTATCGGAAGAGCATATGGAAAGGGGAAGCCATGACACCCAAAAGTCTTCCGATGAGCAGTCCTTCAAGTCTTGTACGCATCGTACGAATCCAGTGTCAGAGCCAGCGTCACCTCTCTCGGACCAGGACCGGGACGCGAAGTCTTTCATGTCAGCTACCGATATCTTGCCTGAGCGGGAGCCGTCGGTCAAAGGGTCGGATGGTCGCTCGTTCACAACTTGCAAGAACGCTGACACCCCCGATCGTGCAGCGTCTATGCCACCATCGAGACTGCCATCTTCCAATCTGGCCAATTCAATTCCGCATCATAAGAGGCCAGTATCCGAGATGTCTTTGTCGAGTCCTCCTCCTACTATACTCCGCAAGCAACCGCAGGTTCTTCCTCAAGGTTCCGGCTTCTCACTTGTTATTGGTACTGGCAAGCTGCTGGCCAACTCGAAACCGAGTTCGAAGCAAAGCGCAGTGTCGATATCAGGCTCTTCATCCACTCTGAGCATTACGCAACAACCACCTCCCATTCCACCGCGAGAATCCAGCTCGTCGAAAGAAGCCCAGCGCTACCAGGCTGTGGCCTCTTTCTTAGTGCGTCAGCTGCCATCTCGTTTCGCTAAAGGGCGAAGTCCAACGGAGGATGAAGAAACGCCGAATCTAGATGCTGACGACCAGTCTATTTGCGAGCCAACACATGACACCTTAGAGTCCAGTAGTGTTGCGTCCTCCTCGCAGCTACTCTTAGGTGTCATTAAGACTCCGCAGCAGGTCGACAAACAGGAAGTAGTCTCCAAGGAGCTGATTGCTGCGTCCATTTCGCCCAAGGAATTCAATGCATGCAACATTCGTGGTGTCGGTCCGTCTCCTGCTCCGCGCCAGCATTGTTTCAGCAGCTCGTCTCCTATTATCCAAGAGCCTTCGTCCGTATATTCGCCTCAAGACGTCTCTTTCCACTCTCGTATGCAGTCTTCCCCAGCTGGCGTTCCCATGTCTTCAGAGCATAACCGCCGTGACAGTCAGACAACAACCCACTTGGTCTGGCATGGCGGTCGCCGGTCTCTCAATATTCCTTCTTCTGTGAGCGCTAGTGAACCTCGTCTTCCTTTACCCAGTGTTCAGGAGGATACCACGACCGATCTCAGACTGTCTGGATATAGGTATCCTGGTCCTTCGCATTATCTTCCCGATCTGAAAGAGGAATCGCACGAGGATTCGAGCCTCAATACTAGTGCCAGTAACCTGAAGAACTCCCACTTCCGGTTCCCATTCGGTGGTCCGTCTGGGGTGCGCGGGTCCGTCGACGATGCAATTGTTTTATCCGGGGGCTCGTCCACGGTGTCGCACCGGCGTAGTGCTCTGGGTAGTGTTCTCGGGCAGACGCACGGCCTCCCTTCGATGCAATTCAGTCAGATGAATCTGTTCGAGAAGTTGAATGAAGAGCTCGGGCTGCGCTATCCACGGTCGTTGGAAAAGCTTCCGAATGAATTGCAGGTTTTGAAGGAGGGTTGCCCGCCAGGGTCGGAGGTAGTCAGAGAGGCGCGTGAAAGGTATCGAAGCCTCTTCGCTGAATTGGACGATGAGCTTAAGAAATCAGGAGGATCGGCGCAGCCTACAGCAGTGCTGGATCTTATTACTTCGCAACGGGCCTACTCTCCCGAAATGCTTGCGGCGGAGGTTGATCAACTATCTATTCCGTCAGTTGGAGGTCTCACGCAGCGCATTTCCGAGTTGATACCGTCGTTGAGGGAGTACTACAAGCTTGGTGAGCAGGGCGAGTTCGTTGAAGAGGAGGTGATCATGGAGCACGCATTGGAGGAGATTCACGAGGTTGGCGGCCCGGCGCAGAAGCGCTCATCGGCTCGACTGCGTCCTGTTCCTGGCTCTCCGAACATGGTTGTCATTGACGATGCCCTCTATGAGGAGCTCACCGGCAAAGACAACGAGAATGGTAACCCAGGTCGCCAGGGTGATGGTGCGGAGGAACTTGGCTCCGGTGAAGCTGGCTCAGATGCCAAAGGCAAGGACGGTAACGTGACGCACACACAAACAGCACGCCAAAAGGCTCCCCTCGCGGAAATCAAAGCACCAACGCCAGCCTTTCTGCGTCCACGCTCCCAGACTGTCGGACAACAAGAAGTGCGTGCCTCGTTCGAGTCCAATTTGTCCTCGAGGAGGTCCCTGAGGTCGTTTGTCTCTACGCCTACAGCAACCGATACGCGGCCTTGGAACTTCGACAAGAACTACCCGTGGGCAACAACAACAATACCCTCCGTCGACATTTCACTGCCACCTCTAACGGCAGTGAAACACTCACCTCGCCCTGGGCCGTCACATCTTCGCAACAGGCTGTCTGACGCGTCTACTTCAAGCTCATTTTCATCTGCAAACACAGCTACGGCCTCGCCTTTTGGCACCGCTTCTGGCAGCAACGTACACGCACGTCACCATCGGTTCAGTATTTTTGGCCGTACCGGCGATCAGTCTCACGCAGTGGGCGAACGCTATCCAACGTCTGCCTTGACACCGCCTACGGCCATCTTCCGCGATCATTCTTCTGCCTTTGACACGTCGGACGACGAGGAATTCAACATATCCCACAAAAGCAAGCTCGGACTCAGGAATCGCTTCTCGTCTGCCCGCAACGCCACACTTGACAACAGTACTCGAGCCGGACGAAGCAAGACCAATCCACTCGAGCTCGCGTCACCCGAGTCGACTCAACAGTCTACGACTTCAATCCTCCAAGATCGTGCAGGTGAAACCAAAGCCTTCACTGCAAATCACCGCCACACCTTCCGCGACGCCGAGGGCATGCCCGTTGGCACCTACCATCGCAACAAAATCATCGACCATCTGAAGAAGTGGTGGCACAAGGGAGGCAACCTCATTCGCAACTTATCTCGCCGCAAACGACCAGACGCTACTACCGTCTAGTCACCCACCATGTCCAACACTCAAGAGCAGGAGCGGGTTACCGCCTTCGCCCGCGAGATGACCTTCGACGCGCTGTTCCGTCGCTTCTGGATTGTCTATAGCGACAATCCTGAGCCACCTGCACCGCCACCCAACACGCCTGCGCCGTCTCCTCCTCCTTCCCCTCCTCCTACGCCCCCTCCTACGCCCCCGCTTGCGGAGGAGAACTGAGTGACGCCCACTTATGGATGGTATCTACTACTGGCTGGTATATTTCTTTGCCGCTGGATGGGCACTAGGCCCTTAATGATTGCATGTACTTCTAGGATATCGGGTCTTGGTGGGTTCATAACTGGATGATAGTCACTTGTCTATAGCTAGCTAGCAGTGGATAGTAATGAAAGCCGACTATCTACACTCTATTCTCAGACCCCTTGTAGTCGCCTGGCTACGGCACCATCCTGCTAACATGTGATACAAAGTGTTACAGAGAAACTCAGGCTGGTATATGAGAGTTAAGATGATAGGTACGTGAGGCTCTGAAGGTAGACAGCCTACCTTAAAACAAAGGGATTAGCAAAGTTGCAACTATGAAGAAAGCACTTCTGTCGTACAAATATCAACGTATCACTCTTATTCTTGCACCTCCTGTATTTCTACAGGACTATAGTACTCTACTATCACACAGATATACAAATGTCATGAAACCCTTCAAGGAGTAATTAGGTTGGAGGTACGTGGTCATATTATAGAGCGAAAGGATTTGGTAGGCGACTTCAGAGAGTTATGTAAGAGAGTTAATGAGCCTTGGCTGTCGAGGGTGAGCGAGGCAGTGGAAGTAAGGCAGGTATAAGTAGAGTACACGGAGGTGCATGCCCGACACAAGCAGATTTAGGAGGTCGGACGATGGGACCATGAAGTGAGTGGGCGAGTAGTATTCGCGCTACACGCTCACGCATTTGGTCAGTCAGGGAGGGGGGGAGGGGGGTTTCTTTTCGGATTTGAGCCCAATGCAGTGGGGTGATGAGTTTCCCTTGGGCTACTTCGTTGTGGAGACAGTGGCGACAGCGATGATAATGCAATAGAGAAGCCGAAGTGGGGAACGCTGTAGATCTACATGTCCCTTTGCAGAAGCTCAAAAGCTCTAATTGACGCAATCTGTCTTCGTCAATATCTTCTTTACGCCCTCTTCGATCTCTGCCTTGCTCAAACTCATTCTCTTAATTTGACACGGGCTTCCAAGATTTGTCCTTGGGCGCCTTATCATGTCGTACGTTGAGCAAAATGCGGCACAAGCTCATGGTATCGGCATGGTCTGGAGCGTCGCCTCGGTCCGAGCGGGACCGTTGACCGAGGCGACGCTCCCGGAGACCAAAATATCAACGCGGCAGCAACAATCACATTGCTTTGCATTGCTGACTTTATAAGAAAGTCTGGACCTCGGGACTCATGCATCTCGCATTGATCTTGACTCACGGCCTCTCGTTCATCTCTTGATTTTTACCAGTCAGTCGGCACACATCGAATGTCCGCACGGATGGACTACTGGTACGCACTCTGCTGCGAGTAATATTCTTGGCACAAGGGATTGCGAATGATGGCGCAAGCTATCTCTTAACCCTGGGTTCCGATCAGCCGGCCTACGCTTAACTAACTCCATTTGGAGCGTGCGCCGTGCGGCCTGACGAAAGACGGGACGATATGTTCAGGGAGCGGGATGATAGGGAAGTGGGTACGCGGGATGGATGGTCCGGGATTGTGCCGTTTGAAAAAGAGTGCGTGAGAAAGAGCGCAATTTCAAGGCAGAGTGATGGAGAAACAAGAATTCGATCCTAGTGAAGTGGGGAGAAATCGCGACCAGGAAATCGGAGAACTAGTTTAATTTTTTCTGCGTCGCAAAGTATTCCTGCCAGCAAGAAGTACACAGCAGATCTTGAGCAATGGCTCAGAACTTGGGCTTCCAGCTTTCCCCCTCTTTTTGATTTCTAGCAATCATCTCCGACTTGATGATGGTCGTCTCTGTCTTCCTGATTTTGCCCATTTCAGGCGATGACACTATAGCTCTGTCCGAGTTTGCATCGCCCTGCCACCCCGCTTCGACCTGCTCATCGCTTCCAACACTGATGCTGTCCTCCTCCATGCGATCATACGTCCTGGTACGCTTTGTGTTGATGGTATTGAGCTCCGTTTGATTGTGCACTGAGTTATTGCCATATGCTGTACCGCCGGCTTTGCGACTGCGACTGCGGATGGATGATTCTCCGATGAGATGCGGTGCGACGTGCCGGAAGAAGAGCCGCATAGTAGGTAGGCAGCCAGTAATGATTACGAGGTTGGCTTCTATGAGACTATACTCTTTGTCAGATCTAGTCAAAAGCCGTATTTTTAGGGTGAAATGGGACGTACATCCAGATTCCTGGAGTCACAATGGCCCAGGTTTGATCAATAGTTTTCAGCATGGGGAAGAGGAGGCCGAGGCGTACAGCACTGGTAACGCATGTCCTGTGAAAGTTAGGCTAATCACTGTTACAGAGAGATGGATAGAGTCTTACGCAGAGCCAACCCCAAAGATGCAAATCAAGCCCGCCTTCTATATGAGGCACGGAGTTAGCATTTGTCTCAAAATTACTTTCTTACGTGATTACTTACCTGCACCTTTGGCATCTGTAAACTCACAATCATCGGTATTGGCAGCACCAACAATGCGACGTCCGTGAGCATGTTAAGCACCGCAGTAGCCATATACAGCGGCGTGCGATTAATACACGTGCCCTCCGTAATTGTAACGTCGAAAGTCTTCATGAAGGGTGTGCAAGTGAAGATCAGTGGGAACACGAGTGCAATGTTGTAGCCGACAACGAGGAACATGTTGGCGTAGACGCAGAGGCGGAACCAGCGGAGGTGCGAGAGCTTTAGGTAGAAGAAAAGTAGGGAGAACTTTGCGCATGCGAGGAATGGACAGTAAAGAATACTGGCGACGCTGATGAGCTGCTCTGTAATTAGCGACATGGCGCCTGTGGTGCTTGTCTGATACTGACGTTGAGGGCTGTGTTGACATCATGGCCAGTAAGCTCCCAGATATGGATACCTAAGAATCCTCTGCCGTATTGATCTTTTGAGGAGTCAGTATCTTCTATTGTGGGGTAGCATTGCAGAGGTCACTTACAAAGTATAACAGTCTGGATGGCCACCGAGAAAGCCTGGATAGCAAAAGTAATATTAGCCTTATTGACGCTTTTACATGAATGTCGAGAAGCGTATTGTTGCGTACCCATGAAACGATAAGTACTCCTAAAATCTTGTCAGTCGTCACTCCTCGTGTACCATGAGGTCTTGAGGAGTAAGACCAAATGGGCGACTTACCGTCATCGGCTGAGAAGTTCCTTGCCAGCGCAGTCTTCGTGAAGATCCTAATGCCCATAAAAGCCGCAGAAACAGCCATACCTACAACTCCGAACCAGAAGTTTGCCGCTAGTCCTGATCTTTGCGGGTTCGCGAGATCCACCACATAGCCCTGTGGTGCTGGAAAAATCGGCTTGTCCATATCCATTTTGAAAGACCTTGGATGGCGAGATGAGAAAAGTTGTAAATCGTCGTAGATCTCTCAGTGATAGTGGAGAGAGGGACAGCATTATGGGCAGGACGTATCCTTAGTATGCTTGCCCACCTGTTTTTCCGTGTTTCAGGGTAGCAAGGAAATCGCTGTTGCATATCCCGCCATACTCTCCGCTCCTTCGTGTATGCGATTGGGTATCTGAAAAAGTGGACCAATAGCACAGTTTCCCACTCATTAAAGTTCGCGGTACGCACATGGACCACACGGCTCAAAGTCTTCGCGGGAAGTACAGTAGTCTACAATCCTTCGTCCATGCTACGCAAGCCACACAAAATATGGTGAGCTTGGCACTGCGGTGGCGACCGGGGAATCTGCTTAGCCGAGATACGCGTGTGAATGCTCACTTTTGGTGTTCCTGACCCAACCGACCCGGGCGAGTGGCCACCCCTAGTCATTCGGAAAGTAGGCATTATTAGCGACTAGCGCAATGTGCCAACCGTAAATCTGCTGTGCCTAGTGGCGTAGTGTAGCTATTCGATATCACCGCACAAATCAGATGAGATGCTGATATGCATGCAAGGAGCCGATGGCCTGCATTGTACCCAGTGTCGAAAGGATTGCCTGGGATTGCGCCGAAGCTATGAAGAGAGTGGATCGCGACTTGTCTGTTCTGGACTGGAGGTGCAGCGTAATCATGCAAAGCGGCTGCTGTGATCGCGCTGCCATGGGATGCTTATAAACGACCTCCTCCCATACGGTTTGGTTCATCGTCATCAGTTACTCGTCTCTGGTCTTCTGTCATTCGGGATTTAGTAATTGCTCCTCGTCGTAATGTTTAAACACAATTTGGCGCTGCTTGTCGCAGCGCTAGTCCCTTTTGCAAAGGCCCAGAACGAGACAGCTGAGGCGGCTGTATCATTCCTCTTCCCTGATTACTGTGTATGTCCGCCATATTACCTCATAGCAGGTACACAGACTCACTAGTTCACAGTGCACCGTTCTCTCCTTGAGCCCCCTTAGAGAGCGCCTCCTCTTTCCCGGCCAATCCGCCTTCGAGTCTCGCGTCCACTCTTACTTCGACATCAAGCAGCAATCCTTGACACCGAATTGCCTGGTACAACCAAGAGACACCAAGGAAGTTGCTCTTACTGTCAAGATCTTGACTACCGCTAGTATTTTGAAGCCGTGCAAGTTCGCTATCCGCAGCGGTGGGCATACTCCTTATGCCGGCGCCTCCAATATCGAGGATGGCGTAACAGTGGATTTACAGTACCTCAGCGCAGTCCAATACGACGCAAAGAATAACCTTGTTAAGGTTGGACCAGGTGCAAGGTGGAATGACGTGTTCACTACCCTGGAGCCCCTAGGCGTCATTACGACTGGTGGACGTTCCTCGACCGTAGGTGTGGGTGGTCTTACCCTCGGCGGTGGCATCAGTTACTTTTCCCCAGAACACGGTCTAATCTGTGATAACGTTCTCGAGTTCGAAGTCGTACTTGCCGATGGCCGCATCGTCACCGCTAGCAAAACACAGAATCCCGATCTCTTCACCGTGCTCAAAGGCGGCAACAACAACTTCGGTATCGTAACCAACTTCAAATTCGGAACGTTCAAATACGACGGCATGTGGGGTGGCCTAGTCGCCTACCCTGAGTCCACCATCCAGGACCAATTCAAAGCACTCATCAACTTTTCGAACAACATCGACAAGAACCTCAAAGCCGCCGCTATTGTGATGCCGGTATATCAGAGCGCTGTCGGAAGTAATCTGATTCTGAATACTTATGATTATGCTGAGCCCGTGCCGAGGCCTGCTGCATACAACGAATTCTTCGCCATTCCTGGTAACGTATCAGACACCACTGGGCTCAGAAACATGTCTTCATTGGCGGTAGAGTTAAAGGGTGCGACTACTCATAGGTAAGCCGAAAAATATCATAGATGAAGTTGTGCAAGCACTAAGCGGAGTTCTAGCGTATACTTTGGGACACTCACTTTCGCAAATGACTTGCGCGTCATGACCGAAGCCCACAATATTTTCAAGGACGTGTTGGCAAACCTGAAGGCAAAGGCTACCGGTGACTGGGGGATTTACGTGCTATACCAGCCCCTTCCCCCAGCGTACACGAGAAATAGCGCCGCAAAGGGTGGAAATGTTCTCGGATTTGAGCGTTTCAAGGATCAGGTCCTGTGTCGTAAGTCTTCTCACATCTTATTCGGAACATTTCGAGACTGACTAAATACTATAGTCTACCAGCCGTACATCTCCTGGCAGGGAGCCCAACAAGATGCGCTCTTCCAAGGTGCTGGTGCGGACCTCATCAACAGGATTCGCGCATATGCCGAAAGCATTGGTGCCGACAACCCATACCTGTATCTTGATTACGCGGATAAGACACAAGACCCACTAAAGAGTTATGGCCCAGAGAACGTCCAGAAGATGAAGGCGGCAGCGAAGAAGTACGATCCCCATGGTGTCTTCCAGAACCTTGTGCCTGGTGGTTTTAAAATCTCCAAAGTCCAGTAGATGGCGGAGATTAAATGAGATCAGTCGTGACCGGTTCTTTGTTGTATATATTGACACCTCGGATGTAAATACTACTGTGACATCTTTGAGTCCCTCGCTAGTCCTCAAGTTCCAGGCTTGTCTTCCAATGACAGCAGATTTTGATCTCCATAGCCGCTCACCTCACAAACGAATCGTGATAGAGGCCTCGGGTTTGCTGTTCTGTATACTAACAGTTACAAGTGTGGAGTGGCACCTTGGTCTCGAGAGGTTTGGGGCTGCTGGACCTGGAAGCCACTTTCAGTGTGTGAGGAGAGTGAAGGAGCGATGCGTAACACGAGATAAGTTGATAAGCCTATCAGGTGCCTTGGCGTCATGTGATTGCGCGTCGCCGCGCTACGCGAAGATCCTCTTATGGCTGCGCTGCTTGACCCTGGTCAAGTGCTATAGTACTAATTACCTGGTTGATCTGATGGAAAGGCCGAATATGGGGCTTCTCATAGCTGAATGGGGGTGGGACACCTAGGTAATTCCATAGCCCGATGCGGTTACCCAGCAACTGCAAGTATTGAACCTCGCTGAAGAACACTTTCACCACAAGATTGCACCTGCCATGCGCGAGAGAATGGCTGTTCGCTATCGTTGCCTGCTAGGCAGCCATTGTTACAGCGACACAGCTTGTAAAGCAGCTAGAGACTACATCATTTTCCATAACTTCATTCGTCGCCAATTAACCACACATATCAAACCGCCACTATCATGGACCCCAACGATCCTCGAGACTACTACGCCGATCTCGGTCTCCAACTCGGTGCCTCGCACACATCTATCAAGGCCGCCTTCCACACCCTAGCAAAGCAGCACCACCCCGATAAATCCGGCATCAACGACACATCGGAGTTTAGACGTGCCCGGGAGGCATACGAAAAACTCACTGATGCGTCGTACCGAGCCAAGTACGACAAGAGCTACTGGAATACAAAGTTACACACCGATGGCCACACTGATGTCGACGGCGATGGCGACGAAGGGCTAGGCTACACTCGAACGGCACAATATGAGCAAGAGCAGGAAAGCAGCAGGCCGCCCTCGCCTCCGCCGATGAAGCCGTTTCGTAAACCAGGAGAGCCAGGCTGGCTGTACTTTACAAGCAAGACGTACCAGGAGTGGCAGAAGAAGGATGCCGAGCACCACGCGCGTCATCCGGAGCGAGACGAAGAGTAAGTTGAATACATCGTGCTTTCAGGCAGCTAAACCTTGGATGCTTCACTGACATGCGGTATAGGAAGCACGAAACTACGAACCCCGGCCACACTGCCCACGGCTTGACGGTCCAGATGACGTCCCATCCCGCCGCCAAGCAGCGATGCACGAATCGAGCGCAGCATTGGCGAGGACAAGTAGCTGGGATCGATTACTGCGTCTTCTGTATGGCACAGACGAGGGGAGGGAGCCGGTGTCCAGGATGCGAGGCATTGGCATGTCAGAAGTGTCTCCAAGAGGTCGTCGCGCTGGAGCGGAAGGCGTCTGGAGGACTTGGTGCAAAGGCTCAGTATCGTTCCTCGGGTGGTTAGACGGAGTGGTGAAGGTGGGGGCGTGGCAGTTGTGGAAATCGAGGTTCTTCCGATCTCTTGGCTACGGGGCTGAGATATTTCTGTCGCAGGCGATCTGTTATTTTTCCCCGATGGAGATGGCGTTAGTGGAGGCACACTTGGAGTGCCGTTCATCGCGGTGTCAAGACCATATTCATGTCTTGAGTGCGAAACCCTGCACATCTACGCCGTTGATCATGTCCTGAAACAAAGGAAGAATGCTTCGATATCATTCAACATTCCTACCGACATTACCTAGCGTATTTTAGAATTTGCTTTAGTGTATGGAATAGTTGATGCGGAAGGTGCGTATCAAGTATTGACAAAGTGAAGTGAACAAATTGACACGAGAATGCTACGGTCATGGGTGTAGAAGCAAGTGGAAAAGAAAAGACTCTTCATGCTACGGATAACGAACATGGAGTATTTGGAGAAGAGAGAAGGACTGGTCGATTTGGTCACGAACTTGGTGGCAACTTTCCGAAGCTACTACTTTCACTTCCAAAGCCTTTGACTCCATCTTCCTGGTTCTCATATTCCTGGCCGAAGCCATGAGCTCCCCATTTTGGACTCAACAAGATATGATCAACTAGCTCGAAAGTACAACCATCATGGCCGCTATCAGGAACTTCAAGTTCGATGACTAGTCGATGAAGAATAGACGGGCTAATGAAATTAAAAAATGTAGAGCTTACAAGACTAGTCAAGCACACTTCTCGATGCGGAAATCCTGGGCAGCCTAGTAGACAGCGAACTTCACTCAATGAGCTCTTGCGTTTAATGGCCGATCTGGAGATCCTCGATACTGGTGACTTTGAAGATGGATTACTCCCTCATATTTATGCTGCGCGTAGGGCTTCATACCAGGACAAAAGGGGGGATTCATACTTTGCTGCGCCGATGACAGCGCCGAGGTTATAACGTTGGCCTCTAGCATTTATCGTTCTGATAGTCTACTACTTTTCATTTAGGCATGGCCAGCTCACGTCTATGTATCGGGATTATGGCCATGATAGCGATATTTTTAAGAGGGAGAAGCTCCTGGCTGGTGCCAAAACATGGTGAGATGAGCAAAGCAGCGCTCAAGTTGGTAGCGTATACCTAGATACTTTCCTCTCGCGAGGAAGGCCACTCGTATATATGGACTGTAAAGACAGACTCATTCTTTATCGCGGGCGCGAGACTGTCAGCAGCCGTACCGGTATGTCAGCTTCGGAGAGACTTCTCCGTGTTACAGCTTATTGCTGTCTAGACCGAAACTAATCCATCAACCGGAGCTTGTACATTCTAAAGTGGCTATGCCGAAGGTCTGCACGGGTGCGGCGATGGGAAGTGGGGATGTTTGAGGGCCCCTGGCTGGGAGGGAGTCAGGCGCAAGGTGGCCAGTTTTAGATATCGTCTTCGTGTGAAAGGTGGTACCGGTATGTCTCTAAGCGCGCGACACCGTCTTGCTGAACAAAGACGATGGATGCCTCGGACTCTCGCTCGCCAGTCGACATATCTTGGGTGGCAGCATGGTGCGACAAGGAGCGAGACGTGGGACTGGGTCACCTAGTGTAGCAAGCCGATTGACGCCCGGCTGCACTTGTCGCCGAGGCTGTGGCCCGGACTCCACTCATCCCTTCGACACACGCGTCGTGCTCCACATTTCAGATACATAACAGGTGTCGCTGCACGTGCACATTGACACGCAATGGGGGCCAAGGCTGTAAACAGAAACGACGGGATGCCCAGCAACGGCCGATCCAGTCGCTGATTGCGATCTGCCGCCGTTACACGCCGCGGGACGTGAAGCTGCGTCATTCCATCTACCCGCAACATCGCCCATCACTATCCGCGACATTGGTATCATCATCCGCTTAGCGCTGTAGACTCTCGTGGGAGATACTGGCCCATCAAGCACATTCGGACCTCGCAGTCATACCCATCTCACCGACAACACCCGACCCCAACGTCTCCCCAAGTCTAGGGAAGGATCTAGTTGGAAACTACCATCATCCATCCCAGAGCAGCGTTCCAAACATCAACATGGATCTTTATCGAGCCACCTTTGTCGGGTCACTTCTGCTCAACAGTGTCGCTTTGTTTCAATCACATCGCACACAGCAAGCAGAGATCTCGAAGGCATCTGACCCAGATTCCTTCAAACACCGAGGTCGATCAGAAACCGACAGAGAGAGCCTCAAGAAGCTGAAATGGCGATTCTTTCCAATCTATCTGCTAGTCAACGCTGCCGACTGGCTCCAGGGACCGTATATCTACCCTATATACAAAGGTTTGTTCTCAACCCACGACTCTATGATTGCCACTCAAACTAATGATGCCGTAGATGAAAAAGGACTTCCAGAAGAGACGGTCGCATTCCTCTTCCTGATCGGGTTTGTTTCAGCGGGCATATCGGCGTCCTTTGCAGGAACATTCGCCGATCGATATGGCCGTCGAACAGCATGTCTTGCCTACTGCGCAATATACTCACTCTCATCCGCTGCACTATTTACTGATAGAATCTCAATACTATTCATAGGGCGTGTGCTCGGGGGCATTGCTGGCACGCTGCTGTGGAGCGTCTTCGAAAGTTGGCTGGTCGCCGAGTTCAATCAACTCATGCTGGAAGATTCTGAACCTGACCTTAGTGGTATCTTCAGTACAATGACTACCTCCAATACATGCGTTGCAATCGTCGCAGGCATTGTGGCTGGGTGGCTGGTTGATAGAGCTGGGACGGCAAAAGCACCTTTTTTTGCCTCCATCGTTTGCTTGATCTCAGCCTTCGTCGCCATTTCAAGATACTGGGTACACGACCCAATTCTACCCTCTTTGGAGGGAATTTTGCTAACATTCACAGGGAGAGAACTATGGATCTAGCAATCGCAGTGCCTCTGACCACACGGCACTCCTTCAGCAGGAAGAGGCTGAGCCATCAATCGCAGCACCTTCACCTCTGCGCATGATTCTACGCGGTAGGTCGTACGCCCATGCATTCCAAGTCTATGCGCTAATGATATTAACAGATCGCAAGATTCTCATTCTCGCATTAACCTCGTGCTTCTTCGAAGGCTCCCTGTTCTTATTCATATTTTTCAAATTTCCAGCACTGAAGCTCAGTCATAAACTATCAGGCTCAACAGACGGTAAGCAGTGTCACATATTTGCTCATTTACCCGTTTTGTATAAATTAACACCAAGCAGAACTTCCCTTCGGTCTCATATTCGCTATCCTCATGTGCTCCATGATGTTCGGCTCGCTGCTTTACAATCGCCTCTCCACGTCCGCAACACCCGTGCCGGCACAAAGGATACTCACCGGTGTGCTCGCCCTCGCATCGTTATGCTTCTTTATTCCTGGCCATTTCCGAGACGAGCGCATTACGCTTTGGTGCTTCTGCATCTTCGAGCTGTGCTGCGGGGTCTACTACCCGGTAATGGCGTCCTTGAAGGGTAAGCTTATCGATGACGGCTCGAGAGCGAGCATATACGGAATCCTACGGATTCCGCTGAATGTATTTGTTGTGCTTGCCTTGAGCACTACTACAGAAGGTAGGCTACAGTTGCTATTCGTCACCAGGAACGCCCGACTGACATCATACAGGCGAAGCGCATCGCGATACGGTCTTTACTACCTGTAGCGCACTTCTGGTTGTAGCTGCAATCGTCGTTCATAAGACTTTAGTATAAAATAAGCGGCGCTTAGAGGGACCAAGCCCGTATATGCGGGGCAAGAACCGGTTTTTAGATAATGATGTTCCTTGCCCACAGCTCAGCTCCACAATACGACCAATGACATGATACTTGGCGATGCCTTTGTTCAGGGTACTGGCCAGGTGCCGCCCCTGAACCCGCTTTATTATGATTCAATACGAGCATGACGCCCCTAGAGTGACCCACATCCCACCCCCGCATTTCTCAAACGCAAACGGCCGACACCTGGGAAGCGGTAGTGGTCCGCGTTTCACTAACCAAATCAATGAGGCTGATCATACGGGCAGTGGAGAATCAACAATTAACAAACGACGCGTCCGCAACGAACCAAGGTAACTTGGCAACGTTCCCGCGGTGACAGATCCCTGCGTTGTAAGCCGTCACGTTTCGCTTGGCAAGTCATTGATTGATCGACATGTCCCAGTGTCAGCGCACGCCTCGTGGCCGTAACGTGTTGTCTTTCTTTCCACACTTTACGAACCCGTCTTCAAGACCTTTGTCCCGATTCAACTCGGCAAGGCCATACTATTACTACCGTTGTCGGCGAGGCTATCACTCTTACTACCATTGTTCACTCTCACCTAGAAACAGCTAGCATGTCTCGAGGAGGTAAGTCTCTCTCCTGTTTGGCTGTCAGAATGTTTCTCACCATATACTCAGTTCGAATTATCACGGTCATTGTTATCGTCATCATTCTTATAGTTGCGTTTAACAACGAAAAGACCGGCGGCACATCGTTCCCGTACCTACCTGTGCTACCATCACGAACGTCACCGCCGACCTCGGCATTTTTACAATCATGGCTCGGCGAGCGAATGGCTCTGTCAGAAAAGGCATGGCTAAAGAGCGTTGAGGGACGAGATCAAATGGCCGCTCAGCACCCCGATTACCCCAAGATACCTTTCTATCCGACGGACTTTCTAAAGTACCCCTACACAATTTGGGACTTCTTTCCCGCGACGTGGACGTGTCCGCATGATGTTCAGCGCGTTGGCAGACTAGGCGACGGAGGGAAATGGGTATGTGGCATGAGTGTATACGAGTCGCTCTCCGCACCAAAGGCTACACAGGAAAACGTTGAAAAACGCGAAACCGCATTCAGCGCCCCCGACGACGGCCTAGTCATCTACAGCTTCGGCATCAACGCCGAATCCTCCTTCGAAGCTGAAATGCTCGAGCGCCTACCTAACGCGCGGATATGGGGCTACGACTTCTCCGTGTCAGGATGGGGCCCGCAGATCGCTGCGAAGTACCGCGACCGCACCTTCTTCAAGAAGATCGGCTTAGGCAAGGCGGATAAACATGATAGCTCGCCTCCGTTCTGGACACTTCCTAGCTTGATGAAATTGAACAAGCACAACTACATCGACATTCTCAAGATCGACATCGAAGGCAGCGAATATGATGCCTTGGACACCATGATGGACGCTTTCGATAACATGCGCAGCGCAAGCGGCTCCTCTGTCCTACCCATTGGCCAGGTTATGATCGAACTACATCTCGGAGATGGAATCAATCTAAACGGTAGGGATGGGGGTGGTAATGTGGACTATGGGCGGTTCAGCAAGTGGTGGGCCCGGCTGGAGAAGATGGGTATGCGACCCGTATGGATGGAGATCAATCTTTTTGCTATTACTTTGGGGAATACCAAGAGTGATCCAAGGTGTACGGAGTATGTGTGGGTCAACGCAAAGGATAAGAAGAACGTGCTTTGGAAGGTGTAGAAGAAGCTCTTGGGGTTGGTGCATTGGGGGCGTACGAATACCATGTATGCATCTCCGGCGTTTAGAATCATTTTGAATGGAAGAGTCACGGCTATTGGAAGTGCGGCAAGCAAGTGTGACATTTACTAAGATGACATGCATGGGCTGATATGCATGGCATGCCTCATCGGCGATGCATGCCGACATTGGATCACCCCACTACCGATTCTTCCTCCAGTCAGCACCACAATCTACCGCCACCGCCAGAGGGGAAAGCAGACAGTGATTGATTGGTCAAACATTCAACGGGTACCTACTTACAGGTATTGCACTCCCACAATGGAAAACTCAAGCATAGCTACTTGTTGAAAAGCGATCCACACAGATGCAATGTGAAGACAACAACACATGCCATGTCTATTACCGTGTTCAATTGTAATCACTGCTCCTCCTGACCACTCCCATCGCCCGCTCCACTTCCAAAAACTCTATCGATCCTCGTCGCCCTCTCCCACACTACTTCCCCTTTCGCACCCTCGCTATCTCCGCCTCGTTTCTTGAAATACAGTATCCGGTGCTGCGGAATGAATTCCTCGTCTGTTTGCTCAGTCTTCCACTTCTCGAGACCCGTCTCCCTCGCACCCAGGAAGCGATCTTCGTACCCGATGATGTAGTCAGCGGGATCGAGACTCGGATCCCAACGAAGGCGGTTGAGTACGTCAGAGGCAGGGCGAAGTTTGGTTGATGAAAGCGGTGTCGAAGTGGGCTTTGGGCGTTGAGGTATCGTGCGCTGTATAGGGATATCGTCGTCGGCATCGTCGTCCATGTCTTTCTCGTCGTCGGAATCAGGTTCCATTTCCGCTGCGTAGTCACCCCACTCGCGATCATCGAGGCGTAATTCTTTGACCTCGTTTGATCTTGCGAGAGACGCACCGACCCAGCATATGCTTGAGTCGTAATTCTTCTCATCGGTCTTTAGTTGTGTGAGGAAACGATCAAGAACCGTGTCTAAGGATTGCTTCGCGAGCTGTTTGTCATCCTTTGAATTGGCTGCAACAGCATTTGGGTTCGAAAGACCAATTAGGTAGCAACCATGGTACTCGTTGCTTTCGGTTGGGTCAATTCTATGGCTATCAGTGAAACGAGCAGGCCAGATGCGGACTTGGAGTTCTGGGAGGGCTTTATGAATGTCTGGTGCTATTAGCAATGAATGTGAAGCGATCGTGTAAATAGACTAACCAACAACAAGTAGTAGGCAGCGTGACTCAACCCATCCCACCAGGCCCTTTCCTTTCGCTAGCGTGCGGCCCCAGAACTGGATATCGATCTTCACATAGCTGCTATAACTCTTCAAGAAGTCTGCTGTCCCGTTCTGCACACCTGATGTTGTGACCGAGACGTTAGATGATCGAAAGAACTTGTCCCAAGTCGTGTCACTTTCAGACAACCGTTCATCAGCAATCTTAAACTCTTTGATTAGTGTCTGCATCCCGGGAACAGTGTGTGCAACATTAGAATTGGGGGCATGGAAGCCTAGGACAACCATGGGCTCTTTTACACTACGATGATAGCGTGGCTTCTTCTTGTGGAAGAAGGGGTCATAAACCATCTCGTTCGTCCAGTCGAAATTCGCATAGTGGTGGAAGAAGCTTGTGACGAGATCAGCAGGGCTGACCAATCCAGAGTCGTAGGCAATTCGCTTGTACACCCATGATAGCATAAGGGTGATGTGTATGCCGCTGAGGTAACCGAATCTAGAAGAGTAAATTCCTCGTTCAACGGCCCAGAGCTTGATACAACGGTATGCTAAGCGGAAGGTAGGAAGAGATGGAAGGGTACGCTGAATGTAGAGCAGGTCGCGATAAGGCTTGATTTTGCGTAACGATAGCATGGAGAGGTTGAAGATCGGATCGGATGCCGGGAGGTTACGGAACTCAGACCATCTAACATCCAATCAGTCTCTATCTTAATAGGGTCACACATTGCTTACCTCTCAACGACTCGAGCTGCTGGACAATATTGGAGGTCCATCGCTATGCCATTAATGGAAAGCTCTAGCATTGCTCCGGTTTTGGCTTCCACCTTTCTTAAGATTCGCACTCCTTGGCTCTCTGCTTTTACAAGGCGTTGCCGTGCTAGTTTGAAGAAAGTCTTGGAGCTGATAGTGCCAACGCAAAGACAGTCGATGTCGGACTCTGAGTTCCACACACCCAGAGCGTAGGAGCCGACCGGGACTATAATCAACGGAATATCAGACAGTGTTGGATCATCCGCACCGAAAGTGCCGACAACAACTTGCTTGAGGAGTGTAAAAGCATCTTGCCGCTGGCGAACTTGCACCTCAAGTGGGAACATCCCGTGAGCTGCAAGCGCTTTACCGAGAGTTGCTGAATCTGACAAACTCCCAATGGCTCGTCTGTAATGGACGGGAAGCTGCTCCATTGTGCAGCGATCATCCGAGCTCCCATCAGCCATACCATCTAGGACTCGAACGACTGCTCTGACTCCATAGTGATCACTAGCGACTACCTGCACACCTTCTACAACTTCAGGTAGACCGAAGTGGTTGAAACTACTAAGACAAAGTGTTTCTTGTGGCCGAACTAATATCCTGTCATAACGTTGTGGTCGATTGGTAGAAGTTCCAGAAGTTGCTGCTGCTAGCACATTGTTTCTTGGGTCGAAAGTCGCACCCTCTTCCCCCTCGAATAGTTCATCATGTTCGCTCGTCGCTACTTCGTCCACTCCTTCGATGCGGGCAATGGACCAAGTATCGAGCAAACCCACGTCTCTGATCTCAGATTCTATCGAGGAAAGGACAGCCACCGTCTGACTTGAGATGGATTTGTCCTTGAGAGCCGTACCGACGCTGTAGGCTGAAGTGGTGGTGTTGAAGTCACCAGCAACTATCCATGGTTCGGTGCGGTGGTGTTGGTTGAGATAACCTGTGAGATTCCTGAGCTGGGCGTTTTTAGCGGCAACAGAACCGTCGGTCAGGCCGCAGGTCAAATGTACGCCCGCAATGACTAGGTCTTCCAGGCCAGAAGCGCTTGACTTAAGAATTCCGTGAAAGTGTGCAACCAGAGCACCTTTGTGTCTTCGATGAAATGGAACCAAACTCCAATTGAAACAGCGGTTGCTTAATATGACGATGTTCCGCAGACTGGGCAAAGGTCCAACTTCCGGCTGACTAGGCGGTGCATGCGAAGTGAATGGATATCTTCGCTGCACCTCGTTATCGCTCAGCAAATATGAGAGAAAATCGTCAGAAACTTCTTGTAGAACTATAATGTCTGCCATTGCCGCGTCGGAAAGTATGGTCCTCACTAGCAGTGAATCGCGGTCACGGGCTGGTGGATACTCTGAATCGATGAAGACGTTGTAGCTCGAGATCGTTACAGTAGTTGACTCGATGTCATTAAGCTCCTCTCCCGTACAGACAGACCACATCTCTTGCTCTGAGTTGAAGTAGAAAGTCATTCCAGGTTGCACTTCGCGACTGTGGTCTTTGCCTCCGTCCTCGTCGAGTTGGGGACTGGACAGACTGAAGGCAGAAGGGCGAATCCGAGTCTCTTCGGTGCTCGCCATTGTCTGTAATTCACAGTTGGTTCGCCGGTGTAAATTGTTGGAAAGAGAGAAATGAAAATGGGTATCTTGAACACGCCAGAAGCAGATGTTGACAATTGATGCTACCACGCTTGTAATACAGAGAGCTTTACTTGTGTTATATGTGAAATCAAAGGGATGATCGATCCACTCATTTCACTACAAATGAGCCTATTGTCCATATGGAAAATGTAGTATGACTCCTGGAGGAACGTCCTCAGGCGCAGGCTGTGTGAGCAAAAATGAGTCATTTGCGCTAACGGGATATGAACGCTGCGCCACATCCGGCAACCTCTCAGAATGTTCAATGCGCAAAGAAACCGAGCGAAAGAGTGTCGAGATGCGACAGCAAGGCACTCCATGGCGATGATTGTGACGATCGCAGAGAAGAGATTGGGATGACCACTGAACGAGCAGGCGAAGACTCGTCATCACTAGTCCGCGCACGATGCAGGTTAGGCGCACTGCCGAGGCAGTGCGGCCCACGCTCCTTCTCTACAACACCATGCTTCAACATAGTTTCTGCTAACGAGCATGACTGAATTATTCGATCTACCGACTGAGTTGCTGTTTCAGATAATACACCTTGTACTGTCTTCACGACATTCCGTCTCACCGAATGGTCTTCGTTGCAGAACAGAGTGGAAGGGCACCCGCCGCAACGTCACCTGCTGTCCCAGCCGAGAAACCTTGTGGACCCCCAGCGCTCTCAACTTACTCCTCGTAAGCCAAAGACTGTACGCAGAGACGATGCTGTATCTGTCGAAAAAACCACAGAGCTTCAAGTTCGACGTGGCGGTCGTGAACAACCACTGGATCTGGCCGACTTGGCGCTCAACACCCATAAGGAGTAGAAGCCACATCCTCGACAGAGTTGACATCGAGCTCATTCTATCCTGTTCTCAAGATGAGCGAAATTTGCAGACGCAGTGGATGCTACAACCTGAGGATGCCTGTGCCGACACCGAGCTAGTACTACTACTCTGCCAATTCATCCTGCTCGAGGGACCTCTCGTCACCCACATCAACACTCTCAGGATCAACATTGACACCACTAGATATGGTAACGGGAATGAATTGATCAGCCTGGAGGAAGTCCCGCTCCGAAGAATAAATGGTCTAGCGCATCTTGATTTCGATAAACTCTATCCGATAGACTATCACGTCTCGTTTGCCTTTCTTCGTCGGCTTTACACGCGAACGGGAGCCATGCTGGAGGCCTTGCAAAATAACCCTGATATTGAGCTACCTTCCCAGCGCATTGGCAAGGTGTTGTTCTGTATTGATGGAAAGGTTTTGATGCAGATCGACGTCGCGAAACATGTGGCTGGTTGATCCCGGATTCCGAGGATGTGGGCAGCCTACCAAGCTCAGCACCTCCCATGCTTGGATTTATACCCAATCTACGCCGCCAACACGACTGTGATGATAGAGTGCTTCTGGACTGCGAAGATTGTACGGGTTTGTAGCGCTAGTACACGGTGACGATTTGATGAGCGGTGCCATAAAGCAGGGAACTCAGCATATTATGACAACTCATTGGCTTAGCTTTTATGGCACGTACCTCATCAGGGTTTTGATTACCTCATCAGGGTTTTGATTGGAACGGCAAAATAATCTGGAAAGCAAGTTGTTGCACGACAGCTTGCATCCAATTGAACTGGCCCTCTATAACTAATCGCTATTCTCGTCGTCAACTTCCAAGGTTGTAGGAGGCTGTAATGTTCGAACTAGGGCGCCAGGAATAACCTGGAATATTGGTCGAATCCAAGCTCGAGCTTCACAAGAACCAAGGAAGGCATCACCACTCCGCGGGCCCAAACTCTGTTCCGCAACGTCCATGCCGACTCATCGGTACCGTGTCCCGCCTTTTGTGCGAGTATGCAGGTGTTGAGGGCTTGACTGTGTTCAGATCGGGAAGCGGAGCATGATAATCCGTGTTGTGTCAACGTCTCGAAGGTAGCCATGGGGATTTACAGAGCTAAGAGGACGCGATTCTCCGGTTCCAGGAGTATTCCTCACCCGTTCAGGTCGTAAACTACGGTTCGCGTAGCCTTTCCTCGCAGAATGGCTGCACATGTCCCACCCAAGGTCGAACCTACTCGCTCGTCGTCATTGTCAGCAGCCAAAACTCGACGTTCTTGTGAAACACATAGACCGGGTGTTCAACCCAGCAGCATTTGCGGTTACCTCCCGCGGAAGGCCAACAACGCTTTTGGCATATGCATCGCGCCCAAAAATGGAACGTTTGGATGCTTTCGTTTGTGACGTATAAACACGTCATCACGTGAAACATTGTCGAGCTTAGCCTACAGACAGACTCAGCCTCATAATTGGCTGTGGCGTCACAAAAAAATATCAGAATACACGGTTCGAGTTAGTTGTAGGGATGTTGTAAGCTTCTGGCTTTGGCAGCCACGTGGCGGTGACGGTCAATGACGGTGAGAGCACAACAGCAACACCCAGCGCCCATTCCTATAAGATTACCTTCTCCACGCACTTATCAATCCCACAATTCCACCACTCGCTTCTTCGTTACCCAAAGCACCGAAATTCTCACATGATGGCGCGCCATCACCAACAGCCTATCGACGGTCCGGCCGACTACCCAGTCGTCGACAAACGCGAGCAGACCGGGCTGCTCACACGCTTCGTACCTGCGTCGCTCAAGAACGGCAAATTCTACCGTCTGTTCCTCCGCCTGACGCGTCTTCTGCAATTCCTTTCCTCCGTCATCTCGCTCGGCATCTTCTCTCAACGCATGTTCAAAGTCTACCGCTTGGTCAACAGCATCAAGACACGCCGCGGTGTCAATGGCGCGTATGGTGCAGTTGAAGGTATTCTCGCAGCTGCCGTCTTGTACACCTTGATTAGCACGCTATTGGGTTGCATCAAGAAGAGTGCCAATCCCGGAGGACGAGGTCTGCGCTGGCTCTGGGTGCTACTTGATCTTCTATTCGTTGGAGCCTTCATCGCAGTAACTGTCCTCACCCGACCCAAGGGTGGACTTGCTGGCGCCAGGCACTGTTATAGTCCAAAGCGCCTTACCAACGGTACGACCCCAAGCACTGTTACGGGCGAGTCGGCAAATGCGCAGGACGACTCTTGCAACTTACCTTGGGGCACATTCATTCTGGGCATCATCAGCACGTAAGTTCTCTTAATTAATCCCTGCTAGTTTAGGTTACTGATCAGTTGATACAGTCTTCTCCACGCTATCACCGCCTCCTTCCATGAGATCAAGGATCACCGCCGAAGGACCAGGATCGACCATGAAAAGGCTGTCCACGAGCAGCACGCTCGTGGTGAGGTGCCGCTCGAGCACAACAACGTCCGAAGTTGATGAGATGAGAGGCACTACGATATGGGCGCTTAACTAGTGAGAAAAGTGATCGTTTAGGATCTGATACTGAACTACACCCATCTTGCAGCGACCGTGCAACAGGAGGCGAAAAGGATTGGATTTCTTATGTCAGAGATACCACAGATAGTAATGCAGAACAGTAACATGGATGCTATGTTGAATTTAAGCTTAACTCTAGCTGCTCGTTGCTCTTTTCGGTTGTGCCATGCGGAAGCTAAGATCAAACGCCTCAAGCTTGGTAACACCCTTGCTAGTCTTGCCCTTCAGATCTTCTCCAAGAAGCCGGACTGATATGCTGCTCCTGGTCGACTATGGATGACATCGAAATGTATAGCATGTGAGGTCAACCAGTCAGGCAGCGGAGAATGACGTCATTCTAGGCAACCAGAGTGCACAGCCATTGTGCAACACGTTGATTCTTTATGTACGACAAATGGAAAATAATACTGAGCAGATGAGAAATTGAGATCTCATACGGCAAGTCATTAGGAAATGTGAGGATCTTGTGAAAATACTTGAACCTTTTTGCCCACTATAAACGAGTAATAATCAGCCTAAATCGACAATGGGCTACATACGTCAAGACGACCTAGCCATCTCGATATATGCAATCTATGGGGGTGCCATCTACCAAGCACTGCTATACTCTTAACACACGGCGAGGATTGTAAGTTCAGCACCTAGTTTCCAAGACCCAAATCCGGCAGACATGGTCGACCAGCAGCCCTTCAATGTCCTCGTCTTCAGCAAAACTTCTGGCTACCGCCACAGCTCCATACCTGCCGGTATATCGTCTATCCACTCCCTCTCAGCACAGACTAAGCTCTTCACCGTCCACGCCAGCGAAGATGCCTCTATCTTCACACCGCCGACACTTGCCCGCTACTCTGTAATCCTGCTGCTACAGTGCATTGGCAACATCTTTGAAGAAGAGCAGTTCCAAGCGCTGAAAAGCTTCGTGAGAAATGGAGCAGGCGTTGTAGCGATACACGGCGCTGCGGCGGGGATGCCTGATGATGATTGGTATGGGCAATTAATCGGCGCACACTTTGATATGCATCCCGATGCCGAACCCGGCACTATCCTCGTCGAATCCTCCGCTCGGAATCACTACATTGTCGCTGGTTGTGGTGAGCGACAAGGCTGGATGGACGAATGGTACAATTTCCGCACACATCCACGGGACAATTCGAACTTGCAGATCTTGCTCAAGGGCGATATGAAGAGCTTCAATGGCGGGAAGATGGGCGATGATCATCCGCTTGTGTGGTGTCAGGAGTTTGATGGTGGAAGGAGTTTCTTTACTGCGTTGGGGCATTTTGATGAGGCGTATAGAGATGAATGGTTCTTAAAACAGATCTTGGGGGGCATTTTGTGGGCAGCCAGACGGGAGAAGGATATGGATGGGGCTACTACGAGTGGTTGAGTGTGTCAGACGAATTCTTTGGCCCATGGTAATGCAGGGGAGAGGTAGAGAGGAAACTTCTTACGTTAAGACAAGTATTATCTCTGATCGAAACATTACCCTGCTCACATTCCCTAGCGATTTGATACGGCTTCAATCTTAGAATGCAGTTTCCTTATGGCGCATGGTTTTGCTGTTACTTTCGCGTCGCCAATCAGAAAACCCAAATCCAGCGTACAGTAGTTTTTTACCTGTTCGCTGGTGAGTGCCTCATGAACAGCTACCTTGGCGCCTCCATCTAATCCACCTGTCTTGGCCCCCTCTGTTTGCTTCAGCTCCTGCAGCCACATATGGCGAGCATATGAAGGACTACCAGGGATACGCCAGGTTCGAAAGCCCTCGACCTATCATTATTCCAAGGCCCCTCTTAATAGCTGCATCTACGCTGCGTGAGGTTATGCTTTGGTCGATCACTCCAGAAGCGGCTTTCTGTTCATGACTTCAAGTTTCTCAGCTTTGCAGCGCTTGAGCAGTTCATCAGCAATTTAGCGCTTTAGTTGTCGTTGGAATCGAATTTGAGGAATCAGTGTGCTTTCCGCAAATGGCTTCACCTAGGTCCGACGGTTCAGGAGAGAATAAAGGCCGCATTAGATGTAATCTCTAGCCCGGGTGGATGTCTTCAAAATGCGATGCGCAATTCGGGAAAGGAATTGCAGATTCTTACGCCAGCTGTTACACTATCGACCCCGCTGATTGACCGTGGCCACAAGGCTGAAGCGCCCGCCCATGACCTACAAGATAAAAGTCACACGCTCGCGACGCTTCCTTCTGCCTCGTATCCTTGCCTTGGAGTTTGAGGTTTTCTACGCTTTTTTACGACAGCAAGATTGCAATGCATCGACACATACATGATCCAGGATCTGGGTATCCTGTAGCATCTTTCTCCGCCCCAAAGCCTAGCCGCAAATCCACAGACGACTATCACGGAGTACCGACTAGCTCTCGGAGAGGGGAAACCTCGCCCCTAGAGCGTGAATCTCATGAAAATGGGTGGGACATGGCGTATCTTAGACATGGGGCACCCTTCTGACTGATTATTGGTTAGGTCAACTCAATCCAATCGTATCCAGACATCCACATACCCTACGATAGATCACAACCATCGAGGTCGATCAAACACACATACCGAGAGAACAAGTAGTGGAACAAACTGGTATATGAGATGGCTCTTCGCACAAAATCACATTAGCTGAGACACACAGGTCACCACGTAGCAAATCGCGTGAACCAAGCGGACTGAATAGTCGCGTGAACTCTTTTGCTTCGGCGCAGAGCGACGAGACTTGTGATGAATGTCATAAAGCGGACCCAGATACCTCGTTCTGCAACGACTGTAATGTTTATCTTTGCACAGATTGCTGGTCGAAGCAAACGGCTCATCGGACGCAACGTCTTGCTCGAGGTGGAGCGCGTCATGAAAAGACCAACATTTCCTTGGCTAGAAAGATAAACAACGTATTAGCACCTACTAGCGATCCTCAGGAGTTAACACAGATGCACGAAGACGACGCGCAAACCTCTTGGTTTGGTTAGTCAGTGCTTCGTATAACCTTTCTTTATATGCTAACATCATAGGTATCCAACGACCGTTAGACGGCAACACCCCCACCTTTATGGATTATGGTCGATTTGCCCATCTTCTCTCGACCACAGTGGAAGAATGGTCTTCTAGCTTTCAGCATATACAGTCCAGTAGAGACAATCGAACACCCAGCCTCGTATCATTTGTTGGACAGACTGGACATGGGAAAAGTACCCTAATCAAACTCCTGATTGACCTACATGTTGTTGATGGCCAAACCTTCTGTACCCCTGTAGTCGGTGCTCCAGGCGTCACCGATCCCACATCCGAGGATGTTCATCTCTACTCGGATCCAGTAACGGCAGTGTGCGAAGCTCCCATCTTTTTTGCTGACTGCGAAGGCCTTCTTGGAGGGGAAAGAGAGCCTATAAGTGCGAAACTCAAGCGAACACTCCACAAGGCTGCAAAGTCGACTTCTCTACCTACTCCTATCTCCGAGCGTGAGCTAGCCTGGGCGGACAGTACTAGTCTTCGCAGCAGGCAGTTCGCAGTGACAAACCTATACCCACGCCTACTGTACACGTTCTCTGATGTCATCGTCTTCGTGTTGAAGAATCCACGGTAAGTTCAACTGGCCTTGTCGAGTCTTTCAGACGGTGCTGATTGATGCTAGAGCTATCGAGGACGTGCTGGAACATTTAGTCAACTGGGCCGATGCAGCACTAGAGATGTCCTCCAACCAACCTGTCCTTCCACATGTGATTATCGCGCTCAATGCGTCCGAGAACAATATCGACGAGACGCTATGGGATCCAGACATTGCTACGTCTGCAATCCTTGAGTCGATGTCACGCACGGTTTTTCGTAATACTACATTTAAGAAGTATGCCCAGTTTTGGAGAGAGCGCAAGCGACAAATCGAGACCGTGGAGCAACTAATACGATCATATTATAGCTCTATCAAAGTAAGTAGTTCTGTTCAGTCTAGTTATCCTACATCACTAACTATTATAGGTAGTCCGCATCCCTGAACAAGGACGGCCACAGCTCATCCAGACCCAAATCAGAAGATTGTATGCGGGCATCTCTTCTGCTTGCGAGAAAGCTAGAAATCGCAAGGCCGAAGTCCGCATGTTACTAGACGCTGAGGAGCTACAGTCGTATCTACAAAGCGCATTCGATCACTTCGCCCGATCACTGGATCACCCATTCGACTTTGTCCAAGCTTCATTCTCCAATAGCCCAATCCCCCTCGACTTTGGTGGTAATATTCTCAAGCTCGCAATCAACCTCATGCGTGTGTGGGAAAACCAAATAGATATTGAGGTTATATTCCAGGAACTTAGCTACATGGTGGCTTCTTGCATCATGCTTGACTCTGCACGCAAGAAAAATTTAGGTATGATCCTATATATGAGTCAAATGTAAAATTATAACAGCTGACATTATTCACTAGGCGTGGCGAGGGATATATTCCCACAGTATCTAGAACATCTAGATGCTGCCTTAGAGAACTTCTGCGAAAGCCATTGGCCCTGCGAATATGTAGAGTCCGATAGTCACTTAAGATGCGTCAATGTTAAAAGCGGCCACGGAGAGAAAGGCCATCAAAACGCAAGCGGCAAGATCTTTGCTGATGGCGCATATGAGTCACGGCGAACATTCGATACACTGCAAGAAGAGTTCGCAAACAACTGTTTCTTTCGTCTTCAGGAACTACTGGACCTCCTTCGACAGAAAAGGAACGCAAGAAATGATGAGATCCAGGTTGCGGCTGAAATCCACCGGGATGATGTGATGGCTTGGTTCTACCGCCATGTTTCGGGCGATGGAAGACCAGGGCGATATAACAGTCATTCGGTTTGCTTTTGCTGCTTGTTAAGGCCTCCTGAACATGCGCTTCCATGCGGGCATGTATTGTGCACGCAATGCATTATGATCTATGGTCATCCGCGGCCAGGTAGTAGGACCGAGATCCAGATTGAATATTGCCCGTTAGAAGTGCAGACTGTGCGAGCATCCCAGCCATGGAGAGTCCATCTCAAACCGGATGCAGCTGGAGTCCGCATTTTGACATTGGATGGGTATGATCACTCGTCCGAGACTACAGTTCGAACCTCTTTGCTGACAGTCCTGTTTAGGGGTGGCATTCGAGGTATTGTCGAACTGGAAATTCTTCAAAGCTTGGAGAAGGAACTGAACGGTAGGAACGGGAGGTTGCGCATTCAAAGCTTCTTCGACCTTGTGGTCGGTACCAGGTCAGTTACTATCGTACCACTAGTTTAAGAAGCCCGCTTATACTATTCTTCAGTACGGGAGGATTGATAGCCCTTGGGCTAGTAGCACGTAATTGGTCTGTGGGTAACTGCATCGAAAGCTTCAAGGAGCTATGTCAGAAGGCTTTTACACGACGCACTGGAAGCAACATTCCGCTTTTTGGATTCTTGGTTGACAGTTACAACCATTCAAAATACGAAACTACTCCTCTGCACGAAGCTTTGCAGGTCGCATTCTCCAACGATCAGTATCTTTTCGGAGGTCAACGGTACGATCAGAACTGGATCTCACCGGTGAAGGTTGCGGTGACTACAACACTCTCTTCTACTTCACCGGTTCTGCTTGCGAACTATAATCGTCGATGTGATGATAAATGTAAGGACAACTGAGGGCCTCACCCATGTCATGTGCTAATCATGTAGTATCTTACCAGTTCCAGCGCGCGGAAGGTGTGGACACAGAATTGAAGACATGGGAAGCGTAAGTGACTAGCTTATCAAGTTACGGATGTATGCGTCACTCCGGCTAAAATTACTAGCGCTCGAGCTACATCAGCAGCACCTCGCTATTTCAAACCGTTCCATCACGAAAGCTCGAAACAAACATACTTAGACGGTGCACTCTATTACAACAACCCGATCGGAGTAGCGGATAGCGAATGGAAACTCATATGGGGATCGAATCTGTGCTCGCATCCTGACATTGTGCTCTCACTTGGAACCGGATATGACCCACAAAAGCGTGAACGACCACAACGAAGCTCTGCGGTTCGACGAGGAATATTCCGTAACGGGAAATTCCTTCTGAAGATAGCAGCCGATCACCTCCAGGATGCTTTGGATTGCGAAAAGACATGGCAAGAATATACTAGACGCCTCCCGGAAGAGGTTTCACGATCACGGTTTGTACGCTACAGCCCGCAGCTGATCAAAGACCTCCCCGCTTTGGACGATGTACACCGTCTCGATTCACTCCAAGAAATGGTAAGAGGCTTTCTATCGGAAGATGCTGTTAAATTTCGGCGTCTAGCTATGCAACTCATAGCAACCAGCTTCTACTTTGAGACGGAGAAGGTGGAACAGCTTGCGCTAAATACAGCAACAATTACAGGTAAAGTAGGATTCGTCGTGCTTTGAAGACTTGGCTAATTCAGGCTCTGAAGGGCGCATCTTCTGTCGGTTTGCGGAGGGTTCGTTAGAACTCGAAGAGTTGGGCAAACGCATCCGTGAGAAGACTGAGTACGACAGGCGTCCTTTCTTTTCGGTGCATGAACATGGCTCGCTAAAACCAGTCAATCACTACGACCTCGATTCCGATCTCATCCATGATATGACGCGGGGTAGATTTGGCATGCGTACGCTGAGGATCAAAATACACAACAAGCTCTCGGAGACGGAAATATGCTTCTCTCTCAACTCGGAGCACACCTATACGATTAGCGGCTTTCCGCGGTGTCTAGTTGACGATGATAAGGAGAAGACGAGTAAGTGAAACCCCCAGGCTAACGTCAAACAGTCATTGCTTACATTAAAAGGGACTCTGAATCCTGCCACGGTCAATGCACGCCGGTGGGCTGGACGCTCGAGCAGCAGGAAGTACCACCAAAGTCTATGGCAACCGCCGGATCGGATGGCCACTGATGTTGGAAGGACGATTTCAGACTATAGTGACCCTGATCATATCATGGGTTATGCCACAGTTGAGCAGCTTCAAAGAAGCGCTTCTTACTTCTCACAAGGAAGAGCCCTAGCGGTTGAACTCGATAGTCGACCGCTGCCGAGATATGAGCTGACGGCAATATCACCGCCGTGTGAGCTTAATAATCCACAGCCATGGCTGTCGGAGCTTCATACGCCTAAACACGAGATCCTCGATCCTACTGTGTCACAACAAGCTCGAAAAACACATGAGGTAGATCAGAAAGAATCACCTGCTGCATATCAATACCAAGACTATAGGCCGCCTCCGTCGGTTGTCTCGTCTTTGAACGAAGCAGTTGAGCTGCCACCAAATGAACTTGCAACATGGATGCCAGAAGATCAAATTTCGGCCGTCGCAGCGATATATTCCAGTACCGAGCATCCTGACACTTGCGCTGGTGCTGATGAAGGAATCAGCGACTTGGAATCGTTAAGAGCAAACACAAACCGAATGAAACTCCGACGACAGTCCACTCAAAGATACACTTATGTTCAATTCGAAGAGAACTCGAATTTGATTGTATCTGCGGGCGAGCCAAAGGGCAAAGAACGCAAGACGCAATTCGAAGGGCAACACTTTGATCCTCCTGAGCCCTGTTCCTCAGAACCATACGTGCAGTTTGCAGATTTGTCGTTGGAAAGACATCAAGCGACCGGGGACTCGACATCATCGCAGCAAACCGAGGGAAGGTCTCGTCCAACGTCTGACGAATACGAGGAATGGCATGATTCGGAGGAGTGGCTAGAAGGGTATACAATATGAAGTTAGGTTGCTGCGGCTTGTAGCTACCGATTAGTTCTTGGATAGCAACTCTGGCTAGGAATTTTACCATAGTGTCTTTGCCGTGTGCGTCTAGATGCGAGGAAGATAGGGATAGGGCTGCTATTCTTAGGTTTATGGGTAAGACGGACTGTTTATTTTGAAAATGAAGGAGACGAATATGCTTGGAAACGAGAGTTAGTGAACAATGATAGAAGAAACGTTTTCATTAAGGTGAGCTTTGATTGCCCCGTTTACATTCTCTAGAGCACGTGAGTAGACTGTGTTGAGAAATAAGACTTCCTTTTAGTCTAGTTCTGTAGCATTTGAGCGAGACCACGAGTACGAAAGTACCGCCAGGATCCCGATCGTCCAAACTACTAGTCCTTTTCCATCATTTCGCAACGACTTCGGAAATGGGAACGCGTCCCAGGGCGTACACAGTCTTGAGAAAAAAATACTCCTGATTTTCAGAAGTGGCCAACAGCGTGTTTGTGTAAATGCCTCTACCGGTTCAGCATCGAGTTTCTAGTGTAGAGGGTATATTACTTACCTAATTTCCGAGAACGGATCAAGGTACTGGGGAGTCCGCTTATATATTGCCGTCATCGTTGGTCATGCGTAACTTCTTTAGATAGGTAGAAGCATCCGTGACCATCTTACGCCTACCAGGCTTCTTACGATCCGCTAGCATGCCTAACATGACCCTGTGAAGGAAATCAGGAGGACAATGTTCTGGGCGACTACCAATAACCCAAGACAGTTCCGCGTTGATTACATAGAGATCAACGAGGAGTCCTCGAATCGGATCTAGCTCTGTGGTTCCGTCGTATATGTACTTTATAGGTTGGAGTGTCGGAAAAGTTCGCCAGCCATTTTCGCGCACCCTACTGGTGGCCTCAACGAAGGCAGAGATCAGGGTACCCTTAGCCTCGACATCCTGGATCTTTTCACAGAAGACGTAGAGTTTGGCAAGAAGTAAGTATTCTTCATTCGAGACTTTAGAAAGGGCCCCCGCGAAAGCTTTCTTGTCGTCCGCTGTGATAGTGGGTACTTTTTCATAGATTGGGAGCCGTCCCTGGTAGAGCAGTTGAGCATAGCTTCCAAATACTGCAGGTTCATCTTCTGGTAGTTTGACGCTTCCTTCTTCTCCTTCAAGCCATTGGAGGCTGCCATCTTTGCCATACGAATTCAGCGCTTTCCGGAAGAAGCCAGATCGACGTGTGATGAGGTCTTTGTGGACAAAGAATGACTTGGAGGATTCGCCTTCATCAACAATAACTTTGACGGTGGGACTTGCGAAATAGCTGGGAATTTTCAGTATATTACACGTGGCTTCAGAGGGGAATCACATACTTGAGAGTGCCATCTTCGTTTACGAGCATCTGGGTAGTCACAGTTGGGATTGAGGCGTATCTGCTATGAATGATAAAAGAAAAAGGTTATACAGTAAGCCTGGATAGTAGATATAATATATATGATTACGTCGATACTTCTAGAATGAGCGCGCTGTTCTGAGCTAATGTCCAACCATGGTTACATATCAAACCCTTTCGCCATTGATGATATGATTGACTGTTGACTCAGCAGGCCTGCTTTGGAAGATTCCAAGTAACCACAAACATATCCGCACTCAAAGTATAACTCTACAGACCAGTGATAGCTCAAGCGGCAGAGCTTTTCCCAGCAAGCATGCCTTTATCGAACGCCATAGTCGTATTGCTGCTTAATGATTCTATTCCATAAGGTTGAGGTTCTGAGCAGGGCAGGGTTGTTGGTAGTGTTGCCCCTCTTTGCAAAAGTTAGAATGGTCGTAATGAAGGTTTTGTATACGGACAGAAAGGAACTATAGGTGCTAAGTGTGTCAATTACAGGCAATCCTGTTCGTGGACTCATGGGGATGTTCCCTGGTTCGCTGTGGCTTGGCCTCCTACCGTTCCATCCTCGTAGCAAACCCATACATTTACTGCACATGCCTTGAAACGAAAAACCAAAATTTGTATTGATGGCTACCGCCGGGAGCTTACACTAGATCGTGGCTGATACCTATACACGCTTTTGCGCCGAAGCAACCTAACGCCAGTAAACCCAGTATACAGAATGAAATCCGTGCGCCTCGAATCGAAAAGTCTCAGGGGCTCCAACTTGATGCTCCAAAATGGATGTGCCCATCGGAGGTTGGGAATACTGTTGTCCATATCGTTTATACACTCTTCTCTTCGGAATCCTCGTTAAGGTTCCAGTCGATACCGCCGTCCTTTCCGTAGCGCTGCACGAGCCACTCGTTACACTTGGTGAAGTGATGGCAGTCAAACTGTACTCTGTTAGCACCATATCTACCACCTTCGAACCTAGAATACTCACGAATCCCCTTGCCGCACTCAGTGGGCTTGGATGCACACTCTTCAGGATGAGATGCTTATCTGCTGGAATGCCCTTCGTCTTGTTCTGGGCGGGCGTCCCCCAGGCTAAGAATACAACACCATTACTCCTCACTTTAACCACAGTATCAATGACCTTCTGCGTGAGCAGCTCCCAGCCTCGCCCTGCGTGCGAGTTTGCTTCACCCCTGCGGACAGTCAGGCAGGTGTTGAGAAGCAAGATGCCGCGTTCTGCCCAGGGTGTTAGGAGACCGCTTCTGTTGGGAGGAGGCTGGTAGTCGGGGTAGTCTTTTTTGAGCGCCTTGTAGATGTTTTGGAGAGACGGGGGCGCGGGTGTGGGCGGACGGATCGAGAAGCAGAGGCCGTGGGCTTGATTGGGGCCGTGGTAGGGGTCTTGGCCTGTAATGACGACCTTGACTGTGTTGAGGGGTGTGTGTCGTGACCTAGCCGTCCGGTCAGTATCACCGTCACCCAATCTCGTCTCGTGAAGGATTGGGCTCTTACCAAGAATACACATCCTGCATTGGTGGATATACCGTCTTGCCACTCTTCAACTCGCTCTTCAAAAACCTCTTCAGGTCTAGAAACTGCGGGCTGACAAGCACATCCTTGAGATGAGGCAGCCAGCTCTCATGCAGCGTATCAAGCTCCAATTGCAGTAAATCTCTCTGCTCATCGGTGAGTTTCGCGGCCCACGCGTCTTTATCGAACTTAGCTGCAGCAGCAGATTTTGCCGGCGCGTTAGGATTGGGTTTGGGCGCGCTGAAGAAGGCGGTGATGCTGCCGTTTACTTTAGGCTTCTTAGTCGCGTCGGCGGCAGCTCCCGCAGCTTTGCGCTTGAGAGACATGGTGGCTGTGGTGGCGATTAATTACTCGAGTGGAGAAGAGATAGGTGGAGAAAAGAGCGGAGAAGGGAGGAGATATGTACGTGGAACTTACTTTTGCTTTTTCCAGCTCTAGGCAGTCGTGAGGCGCGACGTGAGGCCAAGGCGATAGGTCGAATCCCCTAGCCATTCACCATTGGCTACACGCACGCGTTGCGCCACGTGACGGCGCGTTTCGCGTTCCACTACGCGCGATGATGTCACAGTCTATCCTGACACACAACGACTTAAATGGCAAGGATGTGAGCAGGCTGAAGCGGCAATGCATCGAGATGACCGTTGTGATGGCAAATAGAACGGGACAAAGTGTTGATCTGCACTAAGATGCCTGCCCAAACTGTAGGCCTGGATTGTTCCATACAAACTGTGACGTATGGTTGCCTAGCAAAGCAAACAGGGGCGCGTCGCAGGTGGGAGGAGGCATAAATACACTCACCTCCAGCTTGAACTGTCTTTCTTCTCCCATCTCTCACATCAAAGCCTTCAACCTCAACTCCAACTCCAACTCCAACTCCAACCCACACTTCAAGACTCAATCAATATCAACATAATGGCCTCTACCAACCCCGCCAACTTCGCCAACCTTCCCAAGGACGAGCTCCGCGAGATCGCTGCTAAAGGCGGCCACGCCTCACACGGCTCTCCTGAGCACGACGAGGTAAGCACACTAGACATGAGTCTCTTCATAATGATGCATACTTATTGCACAATAGCCTGCCCATGCTGATCGCAACCCCGACGGCACCTTCACCAAGGGCTCTGAACTAGCTAAAGAGCTTGGCTCCAAGGGTGGCCATGTCGCTCATGAGCATCAGGTTGAGAAGGCTGAGACTGAGGAGAGCGGCGTAAGTCATCGTCTGACACGAGTGATTGTGACGCGAAACTGACTTACTGATAGCGCAACCCGGATGGCACGTTCAAGGAGGGTAGCAAGCTTGCTCATGACCTTGGCGTCAAGGGTGGACATGCTTCCCACCAGCAGTAAGAGTCTAGTGCGTTGAAGCCATGTGGAGGGAAATGGAATCGAAATCGAAGCCTCGGCTAGCGATGGCAGGAAAACAACGGATGGGTAACGAGATAACGAGTCAATGAAAATTTATGTTTCATGTCATAGCTATTCTTGGAGTATCCTGCAGACTCTACTTCCCCTCGCCCTTCAGATGTCTTTCTTCGTCTCATCTCCAAGCATCCTCTTCTCCACCACATTAAGCAAGCCCCGATAGTCCTCGGGCCCGTAACTCTTCACGCACTCCCTAAGACCCAGCAGCCCTCCCTTCCTCTTTCCTGTGAATCCCAGATCACCCAGTAAAACGTCAAAGTAGGGCAAAGAGTCGAAGACAAGATCTGGGAGTGTTCTGCCGTAACCCATTGCACCTCGAATTGCGCAGTATTGGGTGTCTCGAAGCGTCTCGGCGCGAATTTGTTCCCCAGACGCGAAGTTCAATGTGCCATCAAAGTACGATGTGATCCAGAGAGATTGTATGTATGCGCAAGAGAAGCTGCCGAGACACATGAGTGCGCCGGCGATAGCAACGGAGCGATCTTGCAGCATGGCTGGCGGAACTATGAAGCGGTAGAGACGGTAAGGCTGCTGATTCTTATCCACTGCCTGGTCCTGCGTGTATCGAAGACTAGGGTCAGGGTGGTGCGTTCGGCCTGTGTCGCGTTCTCGGAGGTATGGGAATCGCGTGTACAGCTCTTCTTCCGTCTTCTGAATCAACTTTTCTTCGTCGTTGTCGAGTGGGCTAGTGCTGGGCATCCCGAGCTCCCTCTCCAATCCGTCGGGTTTAAACTTGAATGTATTCCCAACCTCCCACCCCGTTGCACACACCACAGCATCAACTTTTATCTTCTCTCCACTCTTCATTCGCACTTCCCTGCCTTCTTCCAAGCTCTCAATCTCATCAATAACAATATTGATCCTCCCTTCTCTTACCAGATCGAAAAAGTTGGTGGAATAGTTGTGAATACTAAGCCCATTACCGACCTCAAAGGCCCCCCTCCACGGGCGTAGTTTCTTCGTCTCGGGATGCTCATTGAGTTTGTTCAGGGCGATTGCATCCTCACCAAGAATGTTCCAGAATGCACCGGTGATCTTGCGGCCTAGCCACGTTCCCTGGAGGAAAGAGCGCAGCCAGCCTTCGATACCGCTCGTCGATGCCCACGGACAGGGTGACATGAAGCCGAAAAAACGCGTAAATACCAGCTTTTCGAGCCAGAGCGTGAGTGGGGTGACGTGCGAGGGTGTCATCCACATTGGCCCGTTGCCGGAGGGGCGGATGAGGATTGTCGCTGAGGAGGAGGGCTGTGTCGCGCACGCATAAGCCACATCCCAGGCTGATTTACCGCTGCCAATTACCAGAGTGTGCATGTTGGGTTGGACAATTTCCTTGAAATGTCTTGGGAAGTCCTTTGAGTGTATGACTAACGGGTCGAATGAAGTTGATGTTGAGTACTTTGGGATGTGGGGTTTGTTTGTGCTGCCGACTGCAATGATAAGCTTCTTCGTTCGAACATTGAAAGGATTGCTCGGCGTCGATGAAGAAGAAGTGCAGTGCAAATTCCAATCCTCGCCATCCTTTTCAATAACGCCAACAACTGTCTTCAATCTCAAAAACTTGGTAATTCCACTCCACTCCGCGAACGCATTAAGATACTCCAACACCTTCTCTGCAGGTATATGCTCGCCCTTTTTAACGCCAAACTTCTCTTCATCCATGGGGAAATCAGGGTGCGCATACATTCCCCACTGGTTGTTTGTTTTCAGACCAGGGAAAATGCGATGAGGAGCCCATGGCCCACCGATGGCAGGCGATGAATCCAGGATTAAGATCTTGGCCTCGGGGTGGAGGCGATGGTAGGTAGATGCGCTTGTCAGGCCATACATGCCGGCACCTATGATCACAAGCTCTGCGTCCTCCATCTTGAGTTTAGCTGCGTTGGATACGTGATGTGGTTTAGGAATCACTCGGTGAATGTAGCGCTTGGTGCGGAGATATCAGGTGAAGGTCGTAGTTCTGGTCTATGGTAGATGACACGATAACCCGACCAACCTTTTTGAATCATGGACATTGGTGTGCAGGGGTGCGCCCTGGATAAATCACCTGTGGGTCACTTGTTTCTAGAAATAGGCCCGGATGCAGACGGAACGTATTACAACCTTGACCTACACTAGATAATCGAATAAGCACGAAACCCCCACTAAGCATGACAACGCTACTCCCTGTCGGACTTTGTGGGGGTAACAAACATTCATGCATTGCACTTGTCAGTAGCATGATACGGAGCAGCAACGAGATACCGTCCGTACTATAACCTTGCCTTCACAGAGCCAACTCCTGCCTTGACTTGCACTGTGCCTGAGGAGTCGGTATCTACCAAAACCACAACACCTTCCTGCGCAGTGCTGTTCGGTTTTAAGAATATCTCCTGGCAATCTTCAATCCCTACATCATTTGCAAATTGGACGGCTACAAAATCAATCGATCGATCGCCGATAACAATCATAGGCGCATGCCATGTCCCCGCCCCATACGTGACAGCTTGGCTCCCCGTCGCCACGAACGCCCTTAAGTTTTTGAGATCCGGCAGCCCCGGCCCTTTTGGTCGTGCGGAGGGATGTAGTCGTGAGAATAGGGACGGTGGGGGCGTTGCTTCGTTTGTAAATGGACTTGGTCGCGCCCTTGCAAACATATCCTTGAAGCTTTTCTTTCTCTTAACCATCGGTGTAGGATACGGCGGTGGTCTGTCCGAGTATCTGCTCGAGGCGCTTGCAGGCAGTGTAGGTGCGACAACGACGAGGTACTGTGTATGCCTGTCCTGTTGCGAAAGGCCCATTGGGATAAACGTCTGGGTTGTGAACGGGTGTCGCTCCAGAATGCCAATGTCAAGAAGCTGCCTCTCGTAGTCTCCGTTTTCATCCTCATCATCTTCAATGTCCAAGTCTCCCCAGGAACTTGGCAGACTCATGCTCGGCTCGTGTGGTCTCATCTCCCTCGGTTTGCACACAAACATATTCATGACAGCCTTCGCAGGCTTCTTGCTCGGGGCAAGAGTGTACAGATTTGACATGTGAGTGACATCGAGATACTTTGTGGCGAAGCCCTGGTTTGCGGGGACGCTGTCTGGGGGTGGTATGCGGTGAGGGACGGGGAGCTTCGTAGACGGCGATGTTGCGGGGTTCTCGACGACGGTGCCGAATTGATTGAAGGCAGTAGGCGTGAGAAGTTCGATTGGTATTCGGATCGAGGGTGAAGGCATTGAGGCCGGCATTTTGGCCGTGTTGTAGAATTGGGCGGTTGGGAGAGGAGCGATTAGAGGCTATAGTGCATGTTGTAGGGTCGATGCGCGCCTACTGTAGAGTCCGGGAGCTTGGTTCCAAGGTTGGGAACGAGGGCTAGGGAAGATAGCGATAACAATTGATCCAAGGCCATTATTCACACGTCTACAGCATGAGCATTGTGCAGTCAGGGGATTGCGCATCTTGACTCTTGCATATGTGGTTCCTACAGTGATGCCGAGACTGGGTCATCGACGGCATGAGCTGGTATGAGCTGGTTGCAGCCGTCAAATTCTCCCTTTTGAAACAACGGAACGACCAAACCAATTTTACCACTGCAATCGTCTCAATCGGAAGCAAGCATTACATTACACAAATCAGTGTACCAAGTTTAGTAATAGATAAATGGGCAGAAAGAGAATCAATGCGCCTCGATGGCATAAAAGCATGTGACTGCCGCTCGGGTGAGGCTGATGTCACAGTCAGCAGCTGCAAAGCCACGGCCCGCATTTTCCCCGAGCACTAGCGCGTGCCCACGGCGTTTTCTTTCTACCTATACACGCTTCTTGTTCACTCTCCTGCGCTCGTCACACGGTCACCCTTCAATTCTCTGACCCGTGTTCCCTCCCTTCCTCCCTGCCGCCCCCCGTTGTCTGCTGCGTGCGCCCCACAGTCTGCCTTTGGCCCATATAAAGTTCCAGAAATACGTCACTCCCGCACCGCCAACACACATCAACCGCAGCAGTTGAGCCAGACTCGCGACCACCAGCACCTTGCCCCACGTCTACTTTGTTCTGAATACTGTGGCTTTGACTAGTCATGGCGATTCCCACACAGTTAGCTTGTATGTACCGCTCGAGTAGCTGCTGAGAGACTAAGCCGACTCATTTTCGCAGATCGCACCTCCAAGGGCATCGGGCTCTTCAATGCTGCTCCCGTTTATGAGCCTCTGCCGGGGTTTGTACGGTATGGTGCACGCTTGTCTTTCCCGCGATTCCGACGCTAATTGGTGCAACAGACCCGAAGGCAATCTTCGCTGCTGCTGTTACTCACCCGACAGCAAGTACTTTGCGTGGGCGTCGCCTGAACAGTAGGCCTCTCTGATCCACCCCATAGGAATCATCTAACTTGTATCGCTGCGCAGGGTTTCGGTAATCGACGCCTCGGCCGGCCACGTCATCACTACCCTCCCCACACCGAACGTCTTCGAGCTCGGCTTCTCTCCTTTGGGAACATACATCATTACGTGGCAGCGGCCCTCGAAGGATGAGGAGGGCAATGCTGTAAAGAATCTGAAGGTCTGGAGGACTGTGTCGGACGAAGCTGAAGACAATGGAGAGCGTCCAGTTGTCGGCGAATATGTACAGAAGAATCAGCAGGGGTGGAACCTGCAGTACACTTCTGACGAGAAGTTTTGCGCACGCGCTGTAACAAACGAAGTGCAATTCTTCCAGTCAGACGACCTGCGGAACCCCTGGAACAAACTCCGTGTTGAGGGCGTAACCGATTTCGCCGTGTCACCTGGCAAGAACCATTCAGTTGCAGTTTTTGTCCCGGAGCGCAAGGCAAGTACTTGACCTTCTGAGTCGTGGAATCCCACTAACAGCGCACAGGGTATGCCCGCTGCAGTCAAGGTCTTCCAAGTACCCCAGTTCGGTCAACCCATGTCGCAAAAGACTTTCTTCAAGGGCGACAAGGTTCAGCTGAAGTGGAACGAGCTGGGCACCAGCCTGATTGTTCTGGCCCAAACGGAGGTCGACAAAACGAACAAGAGCTACTACGGCGAAACGAACATGTACATCCTCAGTGCCAACGGCACCTTCGACTCTCGCATCCAACTTGACAAAGAGGGCCCGATCCACGATGTTTCCTGGTCGCCAAACTCGAAAGAGTTCGGCGTCACCTACGGTTACATGCCGGCAAAGACCACCATCTTCAACCAACGTGCAGTTGCTCAGCACAGCTTCGACTTGGGCCCGCGCAACACCATCAGCTTCTCGCCGCACGGTCGTTTCGTCATCGTTGCAGGATTTGGCAATTTGGCTGGCGACATGGACATTTATGATCTTGAGAAGAACTTTGCGAAAGTGTGCACGGTCAAAGCCGCCAACTGCACTTACTGCGAGTGGAGCCCAGACGGGCAACATATTCTTACAGCAACCACTAGCCCGCGTCTCCGCGTCGACAACGGCGTACGGATATACCATGTCAGTGGGGGGCTGATGTATAATGAAGAGATGACGGAGCTATACCACGTCACTTGGCGACCACAGCCGACTTCCTCACATCCTGTCGAGAATGCTCTGAAGTCTGTGCCGACGCCCCATCCCTCGGCTCTTGCATTTCTCAGCACCCAGAAAACGCCATCTAAGCCTGCCGGTGCTTACCGACCTCCTGGAGCCCGAGGAACCACTACGCCACTCCTGTTCAAGCGGGAAGACGAAGGTGGTGCAGCATATACCAACACTGGAGTTTCTTCCACGAACGTTGGCTTCCAGAATGGGTTCGGAAAGCCTCGTCGCCGCGAAGTACCCGGTGCAGAGGCTGCAGAGACGCTTCCGCCTGGTGCTGCCCCTGGTGGTGGCGTCAGTTTGACTGGCGCTGTCGACGGTGATGGAGAACTGTCAAAGGCAGCACTAAAGAACAAGAAGAAACGGGAAGCTAAGAAGGCCCGTGAGGCCGCCGACAAAGCCGCTGGCCTCGCTGCTGACGGTATCAACCCCCCGACGGGACCTGCCAACGGCGGCCGAAGTCCGGAGCGTCGTAATGATCGCAGCCAACAACGCAGTCGTAGCAAGAACGGAAATGAGGGCTATGGCAATCAAGCAAGCCGAAGTCGTAGCCAGAGCAATTACGGCCGCCAACCAGGCGCCAGACAAGAGGGCAATTATCGACAGAACCTTGGCCAGCAACCTCTTCAGCGCGCTGGTTCTGGTCAAGCCCCTCCACTTCCGCCTCCGATTCAAACCGAGAATCAAGGTCCAGCTCCGGATCTTACTGTAACGAGCCCTGGCGATGCGAACCCTCAGGATAAGAAGATCCGTGGACTTCTTAAGAAGATGCGGGCTATTGACGAGTTAAAGATGAGGCAGGCTGGTGGCGAGAAGCTGGAAGATACGCAGGTCAAGAAGATCGGCACCGAGCATCAGATCAAGAAGGAGCTCGATGGCTTAGGCTTCACTGGTTAATTGCGGCAAAGTTCATTGGCCCTTTAGTTGCAATGTGCACGTTTGCACAAATCTGAACCTGTCGGACGCCTCGGCGCCTGTACCACGAACTGTTTGCGTCGTCACACGCTTCGTGCCAGCAAGCCAGAAGAGCTTGCGTATAGGAAGAAGAAACTTTGAGGGAATTGGAGGCAAGAGAAGTGAATTTGGATGCGAGTGAAATGTAGTCGGTATTCATTGCTACTACCCAAAAATTTGAAAACCAGTTCTTCGTTCATGATAGAGACACCCAAGATGCAGTAGGTTGTCCAACGCCAAATTTGCAGATAAACCCAAGGCCGCTGTCGCATATCGCTCAGCAGAACACTCGAATAACGAAGCTGAATTCATATCTTCAGTCCCTCGAGCGCGTCCCCTAACACACCAACCTCTGCCTTTGTTGTCTTTTCCTTTTCAGCCTTCACCTCTCTATATTCCCTCGCCACGGCCTCCATCACCTTGCCCATCCGTGCGTCTTTCCCATCTTGCTCCAACCGCTTCTTAACGCGAGAGAAGTTCTCCTTGACAAAGACCTGATACGCGCTCTTCTCCTTCTTCCCGTCCTTCCCAACAGCGGCACTATTCCCGCTCGCTCTTGGGGTAGGCTTCGTCTGCGCCAACCTCCCCTTGCACTTTCCACAAGAATGCTTGACCGGATCCACGGATTTGGAATGCCGTTTGAATTCGTAGCCGCACACGACGCATTCCCAGATGTACTTGTATTCGATCTGATACGAGTGCTTCGTGGTGACCTGAACGCCCTTGTGGGTAAAAGCCGCAGTCGCTTTCGCGCCCCAGGCCTTGAATTCGGCGCCGTGGGGGTTGTTGCGCACATCGCTGATCATGAAGGTGGTTAGGTGGCAGAACTCGTGGGCGAGGACATTGTAAAGGCGTTCCTCGTCGTCGATGACCTTCTCCGCGAGCTCGATGGAGCAGTGGTGGCGGATGTCGATGCGTGTGTCTGTTGGAAGGGGACCCGTGCGGGTGCGGATTTGTTCTCTGCGCCAGTTTGCGCGGCCGGCGGTCGTTTTGAGGGTTTTGGACCACACGAGCTTGATGCCGCCTGTGGCTTGGGAGAGTGTTGCGATGCGGCCTTGTGATATGGTTGCGTCTAGGTCGACGAGGAATGCTTCGGCCATGGCGTGTTTGCGTGTTGCAAAGTCTTTGCGTTGGGCGCGGATGTCTTTTACACTCAACTCTGCGTCACCATCCTTAATGTTTGTCTTCTTTTTGGTGGGACTTCGAGGTGCAGGCGCAGGGTTCTTCTTTCGAGGACTTGTCGTGGGACTCTCGTACCCCTTGTCTTCGTCGCTGCTGTCTTCTAGTGCGACACCTTCCATCATCTTAACAATATCCTCTCTCCATTTCTGCTTCTTCGGGCTCACCAAGAGCTTGTTCGGTGAATGTGTCTCATTCCACATATTTACTACTTCCGGGTTCCAGAACGCATCTAAGCTTGGCCTCCCATCTAAATGAGTCGCTTTTGGAACAGTCGGTCGCTTTTTAGACGGACTGACGAGTTTAGACGGACTTGGAGGCGGAAGAGGCGGTGTGGAGGGGCGAGAAATTGGCGGCGCTTTGCGAGGAGAGCGAAGTTTGGTGGGTGTTGGGGAGTATGTGAGGATTGCTATAGGGCCGTCTATCGCCGCGCTTGTTGGACGCGAAGATGCTAAGGATGCCGTCCGGACGTGGGTTGGTGGCGGGAGTATGACAGACGTTGGCGCTTCAGGCGAACTTGTTAGATCGATGACTTCTTGTGCCCAGCTTGAGATTGTGCCGTGGCCTTTTCTGTGTGGTGGTCGAAGGGACGTGAGAGATTGCCCTTCCTTTTCCACGCGTGGCTGTTCTACTTTGCGTTCGGGAATCTTGAAAGAAAGTTGATGAATGTGATTACACACCTTCTTCACTGAGCCTTCGCTTTCATCCTCTTCGCTGTCAGATACTAGGCGCCGAGACCGTGGTTGATGCCGCCTGTTCCTGACAATTACGATGGACTCGTCATCTCCGTCTTCGTTTTCGTCTCCATTGCTGATATCTGCCACCTGGGCCTCTTCAGTCTCCTGCACGCCATTGTCATCATCTCTACACAACAGGCTCGTCTCCGCCTCTTCCTCCGCCTCAGTATCCGGCACCTTCTCCTTCCTCTCGCTGTCCTTACTCCTCGGTCTCTGGGCAGCCTCCAGTGCCTCGGCTTCTCCAACAACATCAATTCTTCCTTTCTTGTCCTGCCTGTTCGCCAGACTCTTGGCCAGGCTCTTCGCATACATCAGTCGATGTCTCTTCCCAACATCGGTATCCGTTGTCCCACTGCGTACCCTCCTTGCGCGTTGCTCCTTCTGCGGACTTGCTATGCTCGCATCGCTCAATCTTGCGAGTAGACGGCTGTTGCTCTTGACCGGTCGTAATACACGTTGCTTGCGCGGGCTGAGCGCATTCGCTGTTGCAGTGGGCTTGGAGACCAGAAACGACTCTTGGGTATCTTGTGAGGACGAGTGGGTGTATCGCAAATCGCGCCGTGAGCTTTTCGGAACAAGCACTAAACTCTCATCTTCTTCTTCCGAGGAAGATGTATATCGAAATTCGCGGGTTGTTTTCCGGGGACTCGTTCGCGTCGCTCTCGGCTCCGTCGTCAACGGCACCAAGATGGTAGGTTCATTCGGGCTCGGTTTGCGCAAGCGCGCCATGTTTGCAGTACTCAATCGTGATATCTAGAGATATTGGCAAGGTGTGTGTGTGCAGTTGGCCTAAAACAATACTTTCGCAAGACTGATGGAAATAATGTCAAACTGTTTGTTTTTGGTTCGTTGGCCGGGATACCCGACATGGCGCACGTGGCGGCCTTGCACCACAACACCAATACTGTGTGCACCGTGGGCCAGACAGTCCCGATTGATACACTAGTTACTGCTATGCCATAAAATCTATGCATAATATTCATTTCTCCGTTAACTAATCGATAACCCTTAAACATCTTAAAAGTAACAGTCTGTACTAAATAGAGACAGCAAACTCATTCATAAGCGTAGCACGTCGGCAAACTGACTCTCTACAAATTCGACTCGCAGATTTTTGAAGTGCGAACAAAGGCAGTCGTAAATTGCATGCTAATACCGTCACAAATACAAGCCGAACCAAACCAAATGGCCCTTGAGTAAAATCCGTGGAGAAATGCTTCCAGTTGCCATACCTTCCAAAGGCGTTCAATCCTCTCATGTCGCTTCTTATCCTCCCCAAGTCTGATCCCTTGTCTCTCATCAAGCGTGTCTGGGTATTCATTCTGCTGTATCTACATCCCCAGTCGCTAGCTTTGTTTTCATCCTATTCTCGGTTTGTGCATTTATTTCTTGGCCTCCGCCGCCGCCTTGGCCATAGTGTTGAGAGCACTGCCGTTCTTGAACCACTCAATTTGGCCCTCGTTGAAAGTGTGCGCAAGCTTGATGTCGAAGGCTTTGCTACCATCAGCAGGGTGGACGGTAAGAGTCATCGGTTGGCCAACGGCAAGCTCAGTGCATGCCAGGTCAACGCGGTCGTTGGGACCAATCTTGTCGTAGTCGGCCGGCTCCGAGAAGGTAAGAGGAAGCATACCCTGCTTCTTCAAGTTGGTCTCGTGAATACGAGCGAAGGATCGGACAATGATGGCAAGACCACCCAAGTGCCTCGGCTCCAGAGCGGCATGCTCACGAGAGGAGCCCTCCCCGTAATTCCAATCACCGACGACCACCCATCTGACGCCGTTCTTCTTGTAGTCACGAGCGACATCGGGAACCGCGCCGTAATCGCCGTTCAAAGAGTTCTTGACCTTGTTGGCCTCGCCATTCTCAGCGTTGATAGCTCCGATAAGCATGTTGTTGGAGATGTTGTCCAAATGTCCACGGTACTTCAACCAGGGACCAGCCATGGAGATGTGATCAGTGGTGGTCTTGCCCTGGGCCTTGATGAGGATGGGCAGGTCCTTGGCGTCCTTGCCATCCCATGCATTAAAGGGTGAGAGAATCTGGAGACGGTCAGAGGTAGGCGAAACGGCAACGGAGACACTTGAGCGGTCCGCCGGGGGAGCCTGGTAAGTATCCTGTCCAGGATCGTAACCGTTGGAGGGAAGACCTTGGCCGGATGGTTCCTTGAGCAAGAATTCGTTGCCATCAGCATCCTTAAGCTTGTCGGTAAGAGGGTTAAAGTTGAGGGTTCCTGCAATAGTCATCGCCACAACAAGGTCAGGCGAAGCGACGAAAGAGTGAGTCGCGGGGTTGGCATCGTTGCGACCGGTGAAGTTACGGTTGTACGATGAGATGATGGAGTTGGCAGTGCCCTTCTTTACATCCCTACGATCCCACTGGCCCAGGGGGCTGTTAGCCAAAAAAAAAATAGAATGAATGAACAAGTGTGACTTACCAATGCAAGGTCCGCAAGCGTTGGCGAGAACCATTCCGCCAAATTCTTCAAAGGTCTTCAATTGACCGTCACGCTCGATGGTTGCCTACAAAATCAGTATATGTCTTGCAATATAGAACCTTTCCTTTTACTCACCCGAATCTGCTCGGAGCCAGGGGTGACAGTGAAAAGGGCCTTGGCCTTGATACCGTGGGCCATGGCGTCTTCGGCGATGGAGGCAGCGCGGCTCATATCCTCGTACGAAGAGTTGGTGCAAGAGCCGATAAGACCGACCTTGAGCTCCTCGGGCCACTTGTTGGCCTTGACAGCCTCCTTGAACTTGCTGATGGGGGTGGCTAGATCGGGGGTGAAGGGACCGTTGATGTGGGGCTCAAGCTCAGAAAGGTTGATCTCAATGAGCTGATCGTATTCAGCACCCTCGTCCTCGCGGAGCTCCTTGGCGTATTCGCGAGAGAAGTCACCGATATGTTGACGCTTGGTGGCGGCGAGGTAGTCGTACATGCGGTCGTTGAAGGGGAAGACAGAGGTAGTGGCACCAATCTCGGCACTATTTGATTGTCAGTTACTGTTCTTTGTTTCATCCACAGATGTAGTAAGATTTGCGTAGCCATGTTTTGAGGGCCCGCGGAGGACTTCGCAGACTTATCCATCTCATGATGGAAATGGTAAAAGTAGGCAAAGTACACCAGGGTCCCCAACAGCCAGTCTGTAAAGTACGTACCCCATGTTGCAAATTGTGGCCATGCCCGTGCATGACAGGCTCTCGGTACCAGGACCGTGGTATTCGACGATAGCACCGGTTCCACCCTTGACGGTAAGGATACCTGCGACCTTGAGGATGATGTCTAGATTTTATGTTAGCGTACTATTCCTCAATTGTGAGAGATTCGAGGCCCCGCGAAGAACAAAGCTGCGCAGTCCTCGGTAGCCTCGGATAAGCAGGTACGTACCCTTGGGCGTAGCCCAGCCAGACAGCTTGCCAGTGAGTCGGACACCAATAACCTTGGGAGCCTTCAGTTCCCAAGGAAGACCGGCCATGACGTCGACGGCGTCGGCACCACCCACACCAATGGCCGCCATGCCAAGACCACCCGCATTGGGAGTATGCGAGTCGGTGCCGATGAGGAGGGCACCGGGGAAGGCGTAGTTCTCAAGGACAATCTGGTGGATGATGCCAGAGCCGGGTTTCCAGAAGCCAATGTTGTACTTTGCGCAAGAGGTGGCGAGGAAGTCGTAGACTTCCTTATTGATGTCGTTGGCACGGGCCAGATCCTTTGCACCGCCAATCTGGGCCTCGATAAGATGGTCACAGTGGACGGTCGAGGGGGTAGCGACGGCGGGCAGACCGGCTGACATGAACTGGAGAATGGCCATCTGGGCGGTGGCGTCCTGGCAAGCTACACGGTCGGGGCGGAGCTTGAGATAGCTCTGGCCGCGCACAATCTCCTGCTCATGGGGGTCGTCCAGATGCGAGTAGAGAATCTTCTCGGCCAGGGTGAGGGGCTGGTTCAAGCGCGCGCGGACAATGTCGAGGTTCTCGCTCATCTTCTTGTAGTTGATGTAGTGGCCCTTCTCCCAGTTGGTCATTTCGACCTTGCGGGACAGCGGAGCATCGCTGACGGTGGCCAATTGCCTGCGCGAAGCAAGGCTCTGGCCAATGCGGCCGAGCCTGGAGAACCTCTGCATCGTGTATGGTCTGGGGAGGATGGAGTGGAGAGGAGAGGAGGAGAGATGGAAGAAGCGGATAAAAAGAAGGTCAGAAGCTGCCCACAAAGGTTGGCCGATAACTAATGGCGAACAGGGCGGGTGTGATTGGCTGTAGGGGGCTGACTACACGGCACTGGCACTGGAGGGCTGCGGAATACCTCGGCGCGCAAAGAAGACAACCCGGCAACTCTTTCCCGCTGGTCCGCTTGTTTCACGTGATGGCGGCAATTGTGTGTGTTTATTGAAAATCGCGAGTGTGGGAATGGACGGGGCGGCCAGCTTGTATTTGAAGTCTTGTAGTAGACCTGTGAAGGGAGCTCTGCCCGTTGCGTCATGCTTGGTCGCCACTATCCCCAGCACCCCCGCCGTGCACTTTTCTTATTCGAGTGCAAGAGGAGAGATAACACAGCCCTCTGAGCCGCCATGGTTGCACTCGAAGCCGCTGGGCAGCAGTCTGTCCAATTCAAAAGCACGGCAAGCGACGTCAGCCCGTTGCATTTGGCTAGGGCTAGATCCGAGGCCAGCAAAATTTTGTGACCTGCAGACACTGTGCACGGCCCGTCTGCTCTGCACGCCAGCCAGTCTCCACTCGACGACATCCTCGCCATACCGGGTGCCGAAACATTCACCCATATCCCAAGCACCCATTGCCGACGGCCGCGGATCCAGCCCACCATGCCTGCCATACGCGGAGAGAAGTCCAAGAAGAAGACGCGCCGCCACACGCGCGACCTCGACCAAGTCCACGCCGACCTGCGCGACGAGAAGCATCTCGCCGAGTTCAAGGATGCGAAGCCCATAGAGGACCTGCCTGGCCTGGGGCAGTTCTACTGCAACGAGTGCGCAAAGTTCTTTGAGAGCGACGCAAATTTTGGGGCACACCGCAAGGGCAAGGTGCACAAGCGCAGGTAGGGACAGTCGCTGTTGGTAATGCGTGCCATGCTAATCGTGGACAGGGTGAAACAACTCCGCGAAGAGCCCTACTCCCAGAAGGAAGCAGAGGCAGCCATAGGCCTCACCACCGACAACGGGAAACGTGCGACAACACGAATGGACGTCGACGATGGCGTAGCCGCGACAAGCTGAGGGTCCTGACGCAGCATGGAGGAAGTTGTGTGTGGCCACAGTGGGCTACAGTGGCGTTGCGCGACAATCTAGGAGGTCCTTTTACCCAGGGTCTGAAGGAATCACTACAAGCATAGGTGGCAAAGAGCACTCCTACCTAGAGAGTGTTTTATGAGGAAGCATTTGCATGGAACGGCGTTCAAAATCTGGAAAACGGGCATATAGAGGCACAAAAGTTGGAATGATACCCGAACAATTCAATCCCTTTCTCACGAAGTACATATGATTCATTTGCTATTTCTTATCAGATTTAGACAGGTCATTGAAGGTGTGAAAGCGTAGACGAGATTTCATCAAATAGCACCATCAATATCAAATAATAAATTGAACATCCCTCCTTGAATATCTTCGTGTTCCTTACAAACTTTGAGCAAGAATTTACCTTTTTTATTTGCCCCGTCAAAATTTAGGTACCCATATGTTGTGTTGCCTGAAGTTGCCTAACCGCTGCCTACACGCCTGTACCATCGACGAACATCGAAATCCGCAACATAAAAACACACCCAACGACCATGTATTTCCAATAACCACAACCCAGCACCTGCCAACCCTTCCTCACGCACACTAAAGAAGAAAATGAGCTTCACAAACACGCCCCTCTACGGCGGCGCAATCACCGTCGACCTCCCCTCCGGCTTTGCCGATACCTCGTAAGAAATTAACGCCCTCCACTATCCCGCAGCCTTGCCATGTTCCGTGCACCCCCAGCAATCAATCCCCATCTCAAAATAGGCACGCCCCGTTACTAATTCGCTCAAACTCACAGGCAAATCCGACAAGTCCCCGACCACCAAGAAGTCTATCTCGACGCCGAGGGCTACTCTAGCGTGGTCGTCGAGATCCTCGAGTACGTGCACAAAAGCAGCGATGACGAAGCGTTGCAGTATCATTTCGCCGATCTGGTTGACGGGACGGGTGATGCTACGACGATTGTGGAGCAAGGGCGCGCCCAGCTGAAGAGTCTGCCGTAAGTCAGCCATTACTTTGTTGTCTCCTTGGGTGGTGTTTAAGGAGATGGGTCACGTGCGATCCATCTTCACGCCTTACCCATCCGTACTTTTCTTACATGTTCATTCACTTACCTCCTATGTATGGTATGGTGGGGTACGTACTAACTAACTGAACGCAGCAACGCCCCTCTCCTCACGCTCACCTTCATTCAAACCCCTCCCACACCCAATCCTAACCCCCGGCGCAAGACGCCTGAGTTCACATACATCCACCTTCTCCTCCTCCGTCTCAAGGAGCAGGCGACTGATCTCATGATCACAATCAACATCCCGCATTATGCTGGGGAGTACCAGAAGGCGGCTGAAGAGGGTGGCCAAACGCAGCTCATGAAGGACAGCGCGGCTTTGAAAGAGAAGGTGCTAGAGAGCTTTGAGATCAAGGAGTGGGGGCTCTTTGAGGGTTAGAGGGATTGAGAAGCGTTAGGGAAGGTTAAGGGTCAACGGAGATTTACTAAAGGAAGGAGATGAAATGCCGAATTCAAGTGCCAGTTCAAGTGGCTCAATGAAATGGGATTAGGACTAGATTACGAAACATCAAGATACAAATAGAAGCGATATAAGTCTCCATTTCATTGAGTCACATTTCGAATCAACATCACTCGATATGCTTATATAACCATTTTACATATCAACGAACAACGCATCTGCGCCACCATCAGAAAGAAGGATGTCGCTCGTCAAGCTTCCCTTGACCCGGCGAACGTTCTTGGGACACAATGCAAGACACTCTATTCCTCACCCACAAAGCGTGAGAGAGAAATTGGAATAGAAGATTGAAGAGACAGCAGTATCAAGCGTGTGCTGTTGCGGTGAGAAGTTGGTATTCAAACTCAGTGTTGAACATGGTGTCAATTTCGCCATCTCATTGGTTGAGCAAATCGAAAAAAACCCTTGGATATATCATCGCCTCTTCCACTACTGCATGTCTCGTAGTAGCCTCAGCCTGAACGCCAAAGCTGTTGTCATATACTTGCAACCCGCACCTCCGAGTCCGAGCGATATCGTGATAACAGATCCCTTGCTATCGTCAGTCTCTCTACCCATACTCAATTATGCCCATATTGCGCGACTCGATTTAGCCGTCTTCTCAGTTCCTCTCTTGCAGTGGGCGCCCGCTCATCGGCCCCAGAAGAATCAATACTCATGCGCGACTGATCATGGAAATTACCACCGGGGAGGTCGAGGTGGCCCATTTGCGGAACGCCGCCAAGTCCCTGACCAGCAGTAAGGAACGGCGATGGTGGGAGGTCAGCGAGGTTTAGACCGGGTTTTATATCTTGCATGAGTGCCGGGTCTACTGGCATGTCGAAGTCGTTGCCGGCAGCGTACCGCGGAAAAGGATCATGATGTTTCGCAGCTTCAATTTCAAGTTGATTACTCGGTGAGTCTGGAAGACCCGGTGGTTGAGACGGCGGATACTGATTCGGTGGACTTGGCGTAAGAGATGACGGCCCAGTGTTTGGGTGTAGATAACCCGAGCGCGTTTGGTTCTGGTTTAGGTGCTGGTTCTGCCGCATAGCTGAGAGACCCTTGTTCATTTCGCTGCATTCCGGACAGTTACGGATGACCTGACTGACGGTTTCCTTGATGCGGACCCAGTGGTAGAGCTCTGCAATAGCCGCAGTGGTCTTGTTGATGCCACCATGAGATTTATGGTGGACCTCTCGAGCAATTTCATACTGCCTCTGAGCATCCGCAATAACTTCCTTACCCTTGAGCCATAGCTTCTCCGGCTCGTTGTCTGTCGCAGGAGTGAGCTTATAGTGCGTCGCAGCACTACGAAGGCGACTCTTTTCCGCCCTATCAGCACCGTTGGGGTACTTTCCGTTTTTGAGATAGAAGCGAATCTTGTCAAAACGCTCTTCCGATACGAAGTCATCATCTGTGCCTAGATCGCGGCCATAGATGATAGCATCAACTAACTCGCCTGGATATGACTTCAAGTTTCCGCAGCCCTTGACCCGGCCGATTCGCTTGAAGCCTAACGCATCCCATATGCGGCAGGAGGCGACGTTAGTCTCATATACGAGGTTGAAGACAGAGTATGTGTAGCCCTAAGAGGATCAGCGTATGCTTAGTGGATAGCGAAAATATGCCTACCAGCTTCGGTGCCCAATCCAGATATGTCTCGCCCATCAAACGCCCCACACCTCTGTTGCGCGATGCATCTGTCACCAGAAACCCCCCGTTGCAGACATGACTGGACCTGCCGGGATAGTTCGGCTTAATGTAGAAGCTTCCCAGGCATTCGCGCTCCCAATCACAGCCTCTACGCGCCATCTCGTGTAGTTCACGCCCGTCCTGTATCTCGCCCAGCAGCATAATGGCACCAAAGACACCGAACCAGTACGGACCGAAGTTCTCAAGGGCCAGCGGCTCGACCATGGGATACGTATCTCCCTTCTCAATCTCGCGACCTAGCTGGTCACATAAATACGCTAACAGTGTGAGCGGTACCTGATTTGGCGCTGAGAAGGGTATAATGGTCGCGGTAGTGACGCGGTCGCGCAGGGTAACTTGACATGGCGCGATGCCAACGGGTAGCGGGCCGCCAGGCGGGGGATATGGGATGTCGCCAGAGGTCCTGAAGATGACCGGCGCACTCGGATCGTCTAGCATTGCAGGCATGCTGGGCGATTGAGGGCGGCCGTAGTCACTATCCAGCGATTAGTGTTGCGAAGGAGAAGAAGTCATATCGATGGTGAAAAGCTTGCGGCGCGGCCACAGCATGGCCGCGAACGCGAAAGACCGGCGCCATACTGACGACGTGCAACCTGAACTTGTACTTGACGAAACCTCGAAGAGCATGTAAGACTTACCATGCAGTACCTGACGGCCCTAGAGATGGTCAAGCAGGATGAGAGATACTGCCGTGACGGTGCTCGCGCTGTGTGCCCTGCTGGAACAACAGGAAGGGCCGCTAACTGCTCGGTTACAAGGCCAATCACAGCAAAACAGCCTCGCCTTCCACCTTTGAAGCTTAAATCAGACCAACTTGGATTCGAAGATTAGCTATAGGAATTCTGGAGTCCTGCTGGCGCTGTTGAGTGGTTGCAGAATCAGACCTGAGCGTTGTTACACAGACCATTTCCAGTGGGAAGGCGCGAACCAAACTGCCAAGCTAGGGCTATTCAGCCTTAGCGTGCACCGCACGGGAAGATGCTACCTATGAATATCACGCTTTCATTGCGATTATTTCCCTTTCACCCTCGGCCTCTGCTAGCTTTTCTTCACAAAACTGAACTAGCAGACATCGATTCATTGCTATGAGTTCTCAGGAACAATCCTCTCAAGCCACGCGCACAGGTCTCTTAACTCGGGACCACTCATAACATGACCCATTCCCTCATACTCCTTCAGTGTCACCTACTCCTCTTTAACCCCATACCCATGCAAAGTTTCATAACATGACCGATGGTACCGCTTCGGTACAAGCCTATCACCTGTTCCCCTTGCCAGGAAGATCTCGACATTGTCATTCACCATCTCCAACAAGCCTGCCTCTTTTCTCAAAGCTGATATTCTCTCCGATAGTGGTAGATACCCAGACAGCCCGACTAGACCGCCCAGCTTTCCAGCGTATTTAGAGACGAGGCCAGTGAGTATGGCCATCGCATGCCCCTGCGAGAACCCTCCCAGCACAATCCTACTCTCTTGGAACCCCTGTTGGACCAGGTCGTCGATCAAGGTTGTCAGATACTGCACCGTAGCTAGCATGCCCTCCTCGTCTTCGTCTTCTTCGAGTTCTGGCCTAGAGGGCGGATAAGGAGACAGTCGCGTCGGCAGGTACTAGGCACTAGTCGCTAAATCTCGATTCTCGAGAGCGTTAGGAAGAACCCAGGTCATATGTGGCAGCTTGCCCGCTGCTTGGAATTGGCGGGCGATATCTACGAGAGGCGTCAGCAGTACGGGAGGATGGGAGAACATAGAGGATGAGGACACACCCTCCACACCTTCTGCTTCGTCGCCAAGCCCATGGACAAATACGAAGGCTGCAGAATTAGAGACATCCGTCGGTGGCGTGGAGGGCTTTATAATTATGGGTGGCCTGCGTTCTGTCGACATGTTCAACTTAGTAATAATATATGTGAAGAATTCGATTCGACGGCGTATGCAAATATCATTCCAAGTCAGTGGTTCCTTGATCTGACAAATGTTATGGGAAAAGGACAAATGAAACAAAGTCTAAAGACAGCATGTTTGGACGCTAGATGCGATATTCGGCTACATGGAAATGCAGTATTGAGATAGTCCCAGATGGTTGCTGTACGTACCCCGCAATAATAATCGGACCCCCGCATGCAAGAATGCTGTTCGACGCGTCGACACGTGAGATCGCTTCATCACTCCCGAACTTCTCTACATCTGCCCTCTTCCATCTTCCATTCCACACACACAATGCCGCACGTCGAAGTCCTCCCCAATTCTTCCGCCGCAGTCGCACCAGGCTGGACGTACATCGTAGATAGAGGCTACGATCCCTCCAAAGTCGCCATCAACCCAAAGAACAAAAAGCGCGCCGCAGCAGCACCCGGCGGTCCACGGGGCGAGAATGAACTCTCGGCGCGACAGCAGACGGCGATTGCGAGACGGATAGCGGAGCTAGAGAGGGATAATGATCCGAAGCAAGTCATTAGTATACCAGGGAAGCCGAGTATACCAAAGACACAGAATGCGAGGAGGATTATACAGTATCAACGCCAGATCAAGCATTGGCTTGACGATGAGGAAGCGCAAATTGCGCAACATCAACAAGCTCCTCCGCCACGCAGCGCAGCGGCACAAGCCCTCAGAAGGCAGAGTGCTTTCCCGTCTATAGCGACGACACCTCGAGAAGCAACACCAGGGTCCTCCTCACTCGTCCCAACAACATCCCAGTCTGCCTCCCGCCTAGACACCGCATTCGGCGACGACGCTCTCCTCTCCATCGACCGCTCAATGCCGCCGCCGCTTAATCCTGCTGAGCTCGAAGCTCTTCTCGCTGTCCCACCTCTATCCTATGCTGCGAGCCATGCTGCCCCGCCACCCGCGGGCGGGCCGCCGCAACGACAGTTCTGTGATAATTGTGGCTACTGGGGAACGGTCAAGTGTCGGAAGTGCGGGGCCAGAGTATGCGGTTTGGAGTGTAAGGATGCACATGAGGCTACAAGGTGCTTGAAGTGGGCATGAAGACACGTTTGGACATGTTACCAAGTTGGACATAAGGTCGCCAAGATACCCAGCAATCGTTTGAGTTTATGCCCTGCTTCGTTACGTGGCACCTCCTCGAAACTCAGTATGTGAAGGTCTCGTGTACGAGCTTCTCGCTCAGCTTCCACAGCTTCTCGACATCCTCGGGTTTTTCTGCAGTCGACTGCACGTCATCAGACAATTTTCCATTCTCGAGATATGCGCCATTGAAACCATCCAGCCTCGCATCAAACGCAGCAACAACATGCGTAGCCGCGCACTCATCGAGACTCCTAAAGTCAAATCCACGATCCCAGCCAATCTCCTTGTCCTTTGCAACTAGAGTCGCCAGATCGTCATCTGTAAATCCCTGTGGAGCCAGCGACGTGCCCAGGGCTTGTCCGGGATGTAGACTATACGCCTTCAGCCCCCGAGGGCCCAGTTTCTCCGCAAGTGCTTTTGAGAACAGTATGTTTGCCGTCTTGCTCTGCCCGTACGCCTCCCACTCATCATACGCTACTCCACCCGAGAAACTTGGATCTTCGAAACGCACAGCGCTAAAGCGATGCCCGTCGCTGGATACATTGACGATTCTGGGTGATTTGGAAGCTAGGATTTTCGGCATAATAAGGTTGGTGAAGAGGAAATGCCCGATGTGGTTACTGCCAAATTGTAATTCGATACCTTCTTTTGTAGTGCGGTAGGGGCCTGCCATTATGCCTGCGCTATTCACAAGCACATCAATGTGGTCTTCCGCGTAGCTCAAGACTTCTTCAGCGGCGTCCCGAACCAGTTGTTGAGACGCGAGGTCCAAAATCAGGACGCGCGTTACGACATCCGCGCTTTCTGGCGTGGCTTTGATCTTGTCAACTGTAGCATGCACTTTTGAGGGCGAGCGTCCGGCGAGAATCAGCAGAGCGGGCTTATGCTTTGCGATTTCTTGAACGAAAAAGGAGCCTATACCACCTTGCGTTACGCCTGTGGTGAGGACGATTTTGCCGGCTATAGAAGAGGCATTGTCGGCTGCGATGGTGGAGGCTAGAGCGTTTCTGTGATTGTAAGGGATTGGTGAAGACATTCTGATAGTGAAGAGGCTTGCGAGGTTCCCGTGCGCGTACTTTCTCCAAATGTGAAAGTGGATAAGGCTCAGTCAAGCACAGGGAAAAGAAATCTATATTTATATACACACTGTAGCAAGATATACGCCTAAGGCAAGGGTTTAACCCCAATACCAAATCGGACTTTGTGCAGCTATGATTACTTTCGCCTTGCTTAACTCCGCTCTTATCCGGTCGAGATCCGAAATTCATCGTCTGTAGGATCCACGCAATCCATAGTATTGAGTAAGATATATGAATTCAACTCGGATCTTGGTAATCACGCCAGTTACCATGGTGGAAGTGAAGATTCGAGGCAGCAGGACGATGGGTTACTCAATTGAGACTGCGAGAATGTGACGTCACGATCTAGGCTTGGTGCATATATTTGCTGTACCACGAACTCCTACAAACCACCATATACTCTATACGAGCACGGTATCAATTATAGCCGAATCAGTGTGTTGCAGCAGCGTATCTGGCCTCGTCCAAAGCTTTCCCGCCAGCGAACTTGGTATCTACAGCATACCGGTCCAACGCGTCTTGCGAGCCGAAGTACTGCGCTATCTCCTCGACCAAAGAAGCAACTCCAACCACTTCGTCCTTTGCATCCGGTGATGCCTCCTGCAGAGAACGTGATAGCCGCTTTAGGGTCTGGATTTGTAGCTCAATGCTTTGGAGACTGGAGTGGATGATGAAGCCTATGGTCTCAGTCGCGTCTGCCTCATTCCTGCTTCTTGTTAGCCTATGTTGAAAGGATCCTTTTTACTTTTCTTACCGGTCATCGTCTTCATTGTCGAACATCGTCTCATCGTCTACCTCGGGCAGTGCTCCATACTTGAGGTCCTTCGGCTTCGCTTCCGAACATACAGCATTCAGCTCTGTTACACGCTCGATCAAGCGATCCAGATTTAGTGATGCAGCTTCGACGATCGTTCTCTTCCGTGAGTCGATCTGGGCCATGCTATTCAGACCTACAACATGAGCCCACACTTGTAGGTCGAACGCGTATCCCTTGACCTGCTCTGCGATCTTTGTAAATGTTAAGTCTCGTGCATCTGCTGCCTCGACTTTCAGATACACTGCGCATGTCGTGCTGACTTGGGCAAGCGTGTTCTGCAGTGTCGCGTACTGGTACTGCAGCTGCGGCTGTGCGGTGGGAGATCTTGGACTTGCACTAGGACTCCTTCTGGGTGTTTGGGTAGTTGTATTTGAAGACGGTGGGTTGTCTTGGTGTATCTCCACCTTAATACTTGGCCTTTTCTGTTGTGGCGGTCTCCGTGGCAGCGCTACCTGACTTGGTAGTACAGGTTCACTGGTCAAGTCGTAGTCGTATACTGGTCTCGGTCCGGGTCGAACTTCTTGTACGTTGTATTTTGACGAGGATTCGTCCTGTCGCTTCCCGGTTTCTGAGTTTGAGCGATTTCTCCTGGTGTTAGTCTCAAATATCGGAACGCGGAGGCGATCAGATGGAGAGGAGTGCTGTGGAGTCGAAGCTGATCCATATCGACCGTCATGGTAACGCTTCATCTGTCGTTCGCAGTCACGCCTGTCGAACTTGACTTGCTCTTCCAGATGGTCTACATATCCACCTGATCGTGACCGGTGGAGGCTAGGTTGTCGTTCATTCTCATCGACGTCAAGGAACACAGACGAGTGAGTTGCCATTGTGAGGATGCGTTTTCGAGAGGTCAGGAGAGTGTTGACTGAAGATTTTGTTCGATAGATCCTCTCAAAACTAACTCACTCCCAAGAAAAAGGACTGCGCCCGTGATTGTGGCAATGTAATGGTGAATGTCGCCTTCGCAACACCCTCAAATTCAGATGACCCTGGCAAGTGGGGTCCGAAAACTGAACCTAAGACCAGAAATAAAGGTGGCTCACATCATTTTATCAGTGTTACGCAAAATTCCCGTCCAGGCAGCTGAATATCGATGATTTGGGGGCCGTTGGGGGCGCAGCAACGTCGAACGGTAACCCTTGACCTAGGCCGCCGTGCATACAACCACCCAATCCCGCCACCAGACCCTACACCAGAGTCGAGAAGCTGATTTTTGCATAGTTTCAGCCTCCAATTTTTACTAATCATGAGGCCATTAGTGATGGCTCTTAAACCGCCTCAGCCTAATCATCGGCCCCGTATCGATTCGATTTCCCTTGGGTCTGCTTATTCCTCGAGCCGCGACAAACCCCCATTAAGTTGAGCCGAGCTCTTTCCCAGTTTCTCGAATTTGGAGCTTTGTCTCAAACATTCATTTGATGCATCTAGTGTTCACAAGATGCTTCACTGAGTTGAGAACTTTTACAACCATCCCTCCTTGGACGATTGTGTACCCGCTTCGACCGAGCAGGCTCAACTTTACGTTCCATTCAGGACTACCTCGATCCTTGCCGAAAAAACCATGGCCGAAGTCATAGGCATCGTGTCTGGTCTCTACACAGCAGGCCAGGCTCTCAAAACTCTCACACAACAAACACACAAGTGGGGGCGTTTATCCGACCGTCTTCTCGACGTGAGAATGGGATTGGATGTCGCCAAACGTACCCTTGAAAGTTGGCAACACAAGTACGACATCCAGACTCGTCGACCGATTCTTTACATGCAAGTCCTCTTTGGCAAGAGGGGCTGCGAGAGCCTTCAGACTATACTTGGGAGTATCAAGATTACGGCTCGAGCCATAGAGACTGATGTAAACAAGGTGATTGGGCAGGCGCTGAAGGTTCGTTCGATCACGATATACCCGGAGGAGATGCAACCCCCTATCAACGAGGAGCTCGTAAAGGACTGTCTCAGGCGCATACGGCTCAATATGTCCTGGTCACGCAAGTTCCACTACAGCGTACTAGGGAAAATGGAGCACCTAGAAGGACTTCTCAAAGGATTGTACGTGAAACTCAACAGCCTGGAACGACTATCAGACTTGTGTCTGGAGAAGGAACACCCGGACATTTTCTCGGAAATCAAACGCCTGCCAGGCCGTAAAGTGATTCTCAAAGTTGGCGAAGGTCGGATGGATTCGGTGCAGGGTAAAATTCTCGACGCACTTGCTGGGCGAAAAGATGCCGAGCTATTGCATCGAGCTTCTGGTGAGGGAAATAAGGTTCATATCGGCCTGTCGGTTCCACAAATCCATAAGCGGGACTTTGCCTTCTTGCTGAGCCTCTCCGGGAGTACACACGAAGTTCTCGTCCATCCTGTCAAGATCAAAGCTATAAATAACCCTAAGCGCATACAAACTGACTTTTCGACGGCCATTCCGCCTCTAATCAAAAAGGAGCACACTGAGTGCTACATGCTGCCATCAGCATCTACCTCCGCTGGATTTGAAGTCAGAATCCCACCAGCGAATCTTCTATCCGATCTCGAATACAAAGATTCCTTGTCGACCATTATACGCGAGCAAAACGCATTCCTCGGGTCGCAGATTCTCTATCCTTTAGACCAGAGCGCAATAGCAAGCGGAATCGCCCAAGGCTGCTTTCGCTTGATTGGAAGCCAGTGGCTACAATTCCTCGATTGTAGTAACATCCGCTGGAGAAGGACGAAGGAAGGGAAATGGACCAGTATGTTGACCGTAACGCCCGGTAACGCATCCGTCACCCGAACATTGGAACAATGTCGCAAGACGAATCAGCAAAGACGAGATAAACGTGACCTGCTTAAACATATACAAATCTTCCGCATCGGTCTCGTCATGGCCGAACTCGCGCTCAAGTCGCCCATCTCATACATCGACTATGATGAGGTCACTAATACGATGAAGCTCTTTTTCAACAACGGCATGGAAGTCGACGCAAATCGTATCGCAGCGGAGGTACAAAGTAGGAGTAACGAGTTCTTGGGCAATATGGTGTTCTTCTGCCTCAACGCCTTGCAGGATCAAGATGCCATGTCCGACAAGAGCATAGAAGGGTCGTATTTCAATGAGGTTTTGAAGAATGCGGAGCAGCTTGATGCGCAAGTTAAGGCAGATAGAAGTGGGGCGAGTATGCCGAGGTCGAGCGGGGGCGGTAGCTCGAGAGATGTGTTCTACTGAATGAAATACTTCAAAAAGGGGTAGTCGAAACTCCAGCTAGACATCGAAACGTTGATTGTAGATGATCGTTATGTAGCTAGCAGGATGTTTGCAGGAAAGTAATGGGTGAGGTGGCGCGCTGATGCTATACTCGAGGACTTATTTTCATGAACAATATATGCGGACTTTTATAGAATTGTAATGAGCACCCACCCGCATGAAGCCCTATAAGTAGTGGATTGCATCGTCGAGTGAATGTGAGGTTAGCACATGCTCGTGAACCGTACTTCGTATCCAGGGTCCACCTCGCGACAGGGGTAAACACTCGCCACTTCGCCGCGACTCCCGAGCGCAGCATACGAGGTCCCTTCAGCTCGCAAATGGCATGATTCGTCGCAAGGCAAGTGCCTTCTATCTTTATTCCTTTTATTAGTCTTCTCTCTTCATGCGCATACATTGTTTTAATCCAACATGGCCCTCTTACGGCGCTACACCCTCTATACGGTCCTCGCAGTGTTATTCGTTTACTTGCTTTATTCATTGAGCTTCCCTTACGAGATTGATAGCGCGCCTGTCTCCTACCCCACCGAGAGCGAGAATCCGAAGCCTCAAGAGGCCGAGGAACCTCAGGAACCTCAAGAACCCCGACCACAGAGACTGTACACGTACAAGCCGTTTGACTGGGCGGAGGTTCCTTTCAAGAATCGCATCGAGTCCCTCACACCATTACCGACCGGCGCGCCGAAATCGCTGCCCAAGATACAGTTTGCATTCAAAGCAGAAGATGCAACCGCCAAGCATATCAGGGAGACAAGGAGGGAAGAAGTGAGGAAGCAGTTCTTGAAGTGCTGGAGGAACTATAGGAGTTATGCGTGGTTGCACGACGAAATCCGCCCGATTTCTGGAGAAGTGACGAATCACTTCGGCGGGTGGGCCGCGACCCTAATTGACGCGCTCGACACGCTGTACATTATGGGCTTTGAAGAGGAGTTCGCGTCTGCCATTGCAGACATTGAAGCGATTAATTTTGGATACACGGACCTGGACAAGGTGAATGTATTTGAGACAAACATCCGGCATTTGGGAGGCTTGTTGGCAAGCTACGAATTGAGTGGGGAGAAAAGACTCTTGAACAAGGCGAAAGAGGTAGGCGAAATGCTGTACCATGCCTTCGACACACCGAACCACATGCCCGTCACTCGCTGGGACTTCCGGAGCGCTGGGGAGGGCAAACCTCAAATCGCAGAAGAGCAGGTGCTTCTCGCCGAGATTGGTTCTCTCAATATGGAGTTCACGCGCCTTTCTCAACTGACTGGCGACCCTAAGTGGTATGATGCAGTGACACGGGTGAGCAAGCTGCTGGAAGAACAACAGAGCAAGACAAAGCTACCAGGTTTGTGGCCTATTGTGGTGAATGCACGGAAAGCAGACTTCAGCGAGGATAACGGATTCTCGCTCGGCTCAATGGCGGACTCGACATATGAGTATCTTGGGAAAATGTACGCTCTTCTGGGCGGTCGCGACGCATCCTACAGGAATATGTACGAAAAAGCCATGGAGACAGCTGCCAGCCACGCCCTGTTCCGCCCCTCAACGCCCGACGAATCAGATCTGCTCATACCAGGCTTTGTCCGGGTAGAAGGCTCGACGGTGTTTGTGGGTCCGGAGATGCAGCATCTAGGGTGTTATACCGGCGGCATGTTTGCGTTGGGCGGAAAGATGTTTAAGAAAGAGGAGCATGTCAAGATTGGGCGAAAACTAGCAGATACGTGTATTTGGGCCTACAAAGCCTCACCCGCAGGAATCATGCCGGAGGTCTCGCATCTGCTCAAATGCGCAAACACCACGAGCTGCCAGTGGGATGAGAAAGCATGGCATGATGCGGTACAACTGAAATCAGATGAGACCAAGGAGAAGGATCCTCTGCAGAATATCGCAAACTTGCGTTTACCGAGCGGCTTCACGGCTATCAACGATCGCCGGTACCTCTTGCGCCCCGAAGCCATCGAGAGCGTATTCATCATGTACCGCATAACCGGCGAGCAGCAATGGCAAGCAGCAGCATGGGACATGTGGACTGCCATTCAACGGTCCACCGACACTGACATTGGGAATTCAGCACTGTTGGATGTTTCAGCAGACTCGCCACCGCGGATAGATTCCATGGAGAGCTTCTGGATGGCCGAGACGCTCAAGTACTTCTTCTTGACATTCAGTGAGCCGAGTGTTATTAGTCTGGATGATTGGGTGTTCAATACCGAAGCGCATCCGTTCAAGATACCGAAACCGTAAATGTGAATGAAGTATACTAGGTAAAGGCATTGTTAGGCATTTTGATAGATATGTTAATATTTAAGCTATCGCTTTATGTCATGGGTTATCATGTCAGTACATTAATCTTAGTTTCCAGTTTAGATTAGGATGTGCACCTTCTCTTTCTTGTTTGGCGTCGGAGGAGCTCGAGCCATCGATGACGGCTATTATAGAGCCTCTAATTGAAGTAAACATATCGCTAAAGTAAATGGTATCTATCGCTTTGTGCATGTCATTTACTTCTTGCCTTTCTTTGTAGCCGGCATAAAGCGATCAAGATTCTCCGCGAGGTGCCCATTCTCCGCCAACATCTCCAGCCACCTCTTGATGACTGGCCCGCAGTCGTACCGTCGCTGAGTAGCCTTCTGATCTTCTTCTGCTTCTAATTGTATTTCCGTTAGGATGCTAGCCGCTAGCTTACTCAACTCCTCGACTAAACGGGTGCGGCGATCAAGCAGATCCGGCAGTAGCTCTCCGTCAATCTTCGCCGCGACAGCATCCGGCACTGGGTGCTCTGGTAGTTGCTCTTCAACACCGAGCATCCTGGGGCTTGGTGGTTCTTGGTCGGCGAGTACGAAAGATTTCCATTCTTTGTCGACTGCGTTTAGGCGCGTCTCGAGATGCTGCATGGTGTTGATAGTGAGACAGGCCTTTTTACGTAGTGAAAGCAGAGGGGACTGTGTCAAAGCAATGACGCCGTAGTCATCGTCTCCAGCAGCCATCAAGACGGCGATCGTATCGGAAGCAGCCGAAAGCCATGTCTCCCCCTTGGTGACATCAAAGGTACCCAGGCTAGTTGGTTGCGCATCGAGGCCGTCAATCTTCCAGACCTCGTTGCCTACAGGCACAAAAGCGATAAAGTGATGAGCGTTCTCTGTATACCCTTCAGCACTATCGTCCGTCGCTACAGAGTCGGCGGAGGCGCGTCGGCTCTTCGATCCTTTCTTCGTAGTCTTCTTCTGCTTTTCGTTCTTCAGTCGTTCTGCCCTTTTGACCTTGTACGAGAGAAATTTGTCGCTCTCCAGAATGTCCATTTCCTTGGCGAAGGAATTATGGATCTTCTTCACGAAGTCGAAGCTAGCAAGAGCCTCACCGCGTTGAAAAGGCGTCAAATCGCGGGTGAAGTCTTTGAACTGATTAAGATGCTCGCCAATACCCACGTCAGCGTTGTTCATGAGGATGTTGATCATAGCGAGCGTCGCACAGCTGTTCTGAGCTGGCAGTTGATTGGCGAACCACACATGAGCGGGACACTCGGTGGCCTGATTCGCATTTCCAAATTCGCGGTAGTTGAAGAGCAGAATTAGGCCGTAGATGGGTTGCGGGAGCATCTCCAAGATTGTAGGATCCATGGCGAAGACTTCACGAACCGTGACACTCTCGACGCCCATCTCGCGGAGAATGACAGAAAAATAGGCTGGCTCGGACTCGATTTCGCAAAAGCCCTGCCATGTCTCTCTATTGACCTTGGTCTCAGGATGATTAGGAGTGCAGGGGGGGCGCGGCGCTGGCGAGTCGCCATTGCTGGATGGATCAGGTGGTGAAGAATCTTTAGGCTTCTTGCTGCTTGGCTCGTCGGTGGGTGACTCAGGGAGTGCTCTCTTTTTTGAGTTTGGCGAGGCTTTTGTCGCTGGCTCGCCCGAGGACGAAGCACCATTGGTGATGCTGGCATCTTCTGTGACCACATGGACCGTGTTATTTGTAGACTCAGCTGAAGCTGTGCCAGACATGCCTTTCTCGTCCAAAGCTGACATGATAACTGAGTTGGATGAAAAGAAACCCGAGTTTTCAAGTAGACGAATGTCAAGTAAGTGACTCAGGTATGAACGTGTATGTGGAAGTTTGGAGACTGCAGGAAAGGAAAGCAAAGCAAACAGGCATGTTGGAGAAGTTGCGTAGGCCGTAGCTCGGCAGTATTCAGCCTATTGTGTGAGGTGACAATAGGAAGCGAGCACTCACGCAGCCTGTTTATGGAAAGGTAGCGATACATAGAGAACGGCAAGTCGGAGGTTGGCGGTGATACTACGGGGGTGCTGCACGTGACGGCGAGGTGTAGGCAGAGTCGCGCTGATTGGCTACAGCGTCAGCCCTACGATCTTGTCGCGCCCGTCGCGTAGGTGAAGCTAAATGTTTTGTTTGACGGCTTTCACGCCCTACACTACAAAGAGCAACCCAACACTGTGCCGCCCGACACTCCCAACCCGAATACACTATATCGAGACCTTCCCTCGACCCATGAGCAGCCACGACATCACAGACATCAACCTCAGGGTGCGATGAACGGCACACCACAAGTTCGACGAGGCGTGGGTGGCTTTCCCACGACACCGCAGAACACACAGCGCTCCCCAGGCGTACGCAGCCCGAATGGCGCCACACCGCGACCGAATGTTCGATCGCCACTACCAGATCTCCCGAGAGCGCCTGTGCAATCGACTTCAGGGCCACTCATACCCGCGGACATACTCGATCCAGCGCAACAGCGCTTCTACGTATTCGCTCTCTACATTGCCCTGTGGGCATACCGATCGTATGACTGGTATACATTAGCTGTCGAGGAGGATGAGTCTTTATGGCTGTGTCTGAAATGGTGCTTCTTCGATATGCTGTTCATGTTTGGGGTCCCACTGCTGGAGATTCCCTGGTTGGAATGGAGCAATGGCGCGGCGTTTCTACTCTTCGTCTTCCACGCAGGACTGGACGTTATGCTCATGTTCAGGATTGGCGTACCAATCCAAGCATGGCTTGTGGGCCTAGTAGGGTTTTTATGGGACAGTGAGCTGGCCATCAGCGAGCGAAGCGTCAAACCGGGCGCAATCCTGCATAACGCCTCTCTCATCTTGGGCAAGCAGATCATCAACATCTTGCCTGAAGGCTCCGCGATCCTCAACCCGGATAAGCAGTCATTCTGCCTAAACTCGACCGTCACCCAGCTGGAGATCCCCATCCGGATCAATCAGACAGAGCCTGTCGAGATGGAAATCCTTCGCATCGATATCGATACCAACGTCAACGAGACCATAATCGTCAAGAAGAAAGAGCTCAACAGCATGTTGAAGAAAGCGAGAAAGACGTCCAAATCCTCAGACCCAGACGATCCGTTGACGCTAGCATACACTGTGAAGAAGCCCGGTTTATATCTTCTGAGGAAGGTAATGGACCAGTCAAAGCTCCTGGTGCGACCGCGCCAATCAAGTCTCATTGTGGCTACCTGCCCACAAGCTCGCGTGAAGCCTACGGGCGGCAGTCGTTGCCGGAGTGATCTATCCAATGTTGCACTGGAAGTTGAAGGCACGCCGCCACTGAATATCAAGTATCGACTCACCGTGAACGGAAAGCCTCGAGGTGGATCTGAGTTTCAAAACTTACAGCCAGAAGATGCCATCTCGCCATTGTCAAAGCATACATCACAGGCGCTTGTCAAGAGCGGACGCGAAGATATTTCGTGGGCCCGGCCCCAGAAAATCACGGTGCCCCTGAACGAAACACTCTCTACAAGTGGCACGTGGGAATATGAAGTGGAAGAAGTCCAGGACGGACTCGGCAACTTTGTGAGCTTCGTCACCGTTGACGACGAAGAACGCCCGAAAGCCAAGACTGCCGGAATTCGCCAGTCTTTCCACGTCCATGAGCGCCCCAAGGCCTTCCTAAAAGGCTGCAACCCTCAGAGCCCACTTCGAGTCGCAAAAGGTGATATTGCTCGCCTCCCGGTCTACTATAGCTCGACTGGAAAACATGCTATTGACTCTGTACATGCGATCGAGTACCTGTTCACGCCTGAGGCGGACATTGTCACAGATGGATACCATAGTTCAAATGCCGAGCTCAAGAAGCAGACCGTAAAGACCGCTCGCGAGCAGCCGCTCATCAAAGAGGCAGGCCTTTACACGATCAAGACGGTGTCGACTGAGTTCTGCGACGGCGAGGTTCTTGAACCCACATCATGCCTACTTCAAAACCCACCCGAGCCGGAGCTTTCCATTACCAGCGAAGACATCGTCGACAAATGCGCTGGAAACCCAATCGGTCTCCGCGTTACTCTTGATCTTGTTGGAAGCCCACCGTTCACCATCACATACTCCGAACATACACAAGGCCGAAAGAACAGGAAGGCGCCATTGCAAATTGCAAGTCTTCGTAGCACGATCGATTTAACTCCGCGGGATGCTGGTCACTACAAGTATATCTTCGAGTCCATTAACGACTCAGTCTACAAGGAGCGGCCACTAAAGAACCTCGAACTGCAGCAAAACGTCAGACCTTCGGCACAGGCACACTTCGTCGAGAGCAGCAGACCTAAGCAAGCTTGTATCGACGACTCAGTTGAGTTCGATGTTGGATTTGTAGGCGAGGCCCCCTGGAAATTGGAATATGAGATTGTCCGCAACGGCAAGCGTGCGAAGTACTCTGTTGAAACGAACGATGAACATTATACTATCAAGACCGACAAGCTTAGCAGCGGTGGAGAATATGTTGTAGCTCTCACAAGCGTCAGCGATAAGGCGAACTGCAAGGAGTTTTTGAAAGAAGAAGCGAGAGTCAACGTACGCCATGAACGCCCCAAGGGATACTTTGGCCACATAGAAGGCAAGCAAGCGGTCATGGCTCTGGAAGGCCGGCAGGTGGGTCTCCCTCTGCGGTTCACCGGAAACGGACCTTGGAGGCTGGAGTACGAGAACCTGAAAACGAAAGAAGTCAAGAAGGAGACCTTCCAGAATGCCAATTCATACCTGGATGTCAAAACCGATGGCACATACCAGCTTCTCTCTGTCAAGGATTCTGTTTGCCCTGGCTTGATCGACGAAAAGGCTAGCCAGTTCGATGTAGCATGGGTGGCTCGCCCTTTGCTCAGTATTTCAGAGGGTACTGCTGTCCGTGAGGGCAGCAAGTACATCAAGGAAGCTGTATGTGAAGGCGACGAGGATTCCTTCGAAGTTTCATTGCAAGGTAAGTTCAAACAATGCTCCTTTATGTAGCCTATATTAACAGGATTTCAGGAAACGCTCCCTTCGATGTGGCATACCGAGAAGAGTACAAGGATAAGAAGGGCAAGACCGCCTCAGTCAAAAATAAGGATCTTCACACCGCCAGCGGATCCGCGTCGATTCGATCAGATACCACAAGTGCTGGTACATATGAGTACATCTTCACGAAACTCGCAGATGCTCGGTATGACCATTCAAAGAAGCACTTCACGCCTCTCACTGTCCAACAAACGGTTCACTCACGTCCGGGCGCTCGCTTCGACAAGCCTGGAAAGACTTACAGCTATTGCACCCGAGAAGCAGAAGGCGAAGAAGTCATCCCCATTACCCTCGAAGGTGTGCCGCCATTCCATTTGGAGGTAGAGATTAAGCACCACGGAACACCCAAGCCGGAAATCAGTGTGCACAAGAACATTCAAACGAACAAGTACGACCTCAAAATCGAGCACCGCAAACTCCACCTAGGACACTCGTCGATCTCTATCCGCAAAGTCCGCGACTCGCGCGGCTGTGTCTTGAAGCCTCCCGCCGGCGGTTCAAGGGTGCAAATCAGTGTACACGACGCGCCTACTGCTACAGCTCTCGAGGATCGTACTGATTTCTGTGTGGGCGAGCGCCTCTCCTTCGCCTTGGGCGGTCAAGTCCCGTTTACCGTCTACTACACCTTTGAAAAGAAAGAACGCAAAGCATCCAACCCGGGTACTACATTCCGCCGCCTTGCCGAACTCCCAGGTACCTTCACAATCACCGGTCTTCGCGATTCAGCATCCGAATGCGTCGCTTCTCTCGAGCTCACCAAGACCATCCACCCCATCCCGTCCGTTCGACTGTCGGGCGGGCAAGTGTCAGAAATTGACATCCATGAGGGTGGAGGAACGGATCTAGAGTTTCAGTTCTGGGGCACCCCGCCATTCGAGTTCACATACACGAGGAGCACGAATGCGCACAAGGGGAAGAAGAGCAAAGTTTTGGAGATCCGGACTGAGACTAGCTACGAAACTTTTATGAAGATCCCCGTGCAGGAAGAGGGCACGTACGAAGTTGTCAGCATCAAGGACCGGTGGTGTAGTTTCGCGAAGCCTGGCGAAGTAGAAACCAAGGCGGGTAGCGGGAAGCTGTTAACGTACTGAAGGGCTGGTGCATAGCGATGTTGGGCTGACCTGAATAACTTTTGTAAAGAACGAAGGCGTAGACAGAAGATTTGATGTCAAGGTCAATGCGAAGATGAGAGGAGACGACTTGCATTTCAGCGGCGTTAGCGTGTATTTTGGATCGTGGGTCTGTTTGCTCGGACCGATATCTCTCTTACTTCTTCTTTTTCAAGGGGAGCATCTGTAAGCAGCGAATAGCATGTAATTACCCAATTTCTGTTCAAAAGTGGCTCATTTTGGATCTGCAAATGCATTGACACCATATGTGAGACACACAAAAGCGTGTCCATGAATCTTCTCGGTTATTCGTATAGGTGTACATGTAGGTTGTACAAACCAAACGCCAATGCTCAGCGAAGCTCCATGCAGGTATATATTATAACTAAGGCCCATGAATCGGTTCCTCCTATGCATTTCGGGTAAAGACCGGGCGGATAGGGACATTGCATAAACGTAAAAATGGAGATCAACGACCAAGGGGTTCTCAGTCATCCGGATACTCGTCGCGCACGTTATTCACAAAGCAGTGGTCCGCGTCGTCCCAACGTTTAAAATGGCGGCCCGCAAGCTTGAGTATAGCTTCTGAAGGGCGAGTGTTGGGCTCGACAGGTTGTATGTTTTCCTCGGCGACGTAGCGGACGGATTTATCGCAGACACTTTGATTTCATGTCAGTACACGAAGCCAAGAGATGTTGGTGAAGAGTTCAGGACGACTTACAGTACGTGGTAGAAGGCTTGGTTGCGACCGTTGGGTAGGCGGTCGACGCCCATGTTCTCTATCCATTCCTCACCTGCGTCGCATGCTACGTCCCAACCTGTAATCACGCCTTCGTAACTATATCGCTTATGCTGGAACAGCTGGCCGACTTTAAAATTTACATTCACGGTGCGATCAGTTCTATGAAGAACAGGCTTTTTCAAAGCATCAGCATGACGCATGCTCTGCACAAACTGCAATAAGCGATGTCCCTCAGGCTGGCCGGAAAACATGGGTACAACGTAACGAGACAGGAGTGTGACATCCCATGGGAAATGCGTTTGGAAGTGCTCAAGTAGGTAGGGTAGGTATTGACGTCGACGAGTGGTGGTGCTGGAAAGGTTCGACGCGTCGTCATTGGGGCCGAGGAGGAGCATCGCCCATATTGTTGCGTAGAAGGCGTTGTCCATGTCTGGGTACGCATGTAGCCAACTCGCCTGAATGCCTCTTACACCAGCTTCAGTTTGGCGAATCGTCTGTACGGAGTTCATGATGTTACGCGCTGTACGCAAGACCATTTCCCGTGTAGTCGTGTCGGAGAGGAACGTGGCGTGCTCGGTGGTCGGAACGCCCATGTCTCTTAGGACGCGCTGTAGATCGCCTTGTTGCACTTCAGAGGACGAACGGAACGGGTCGAGGTACATGTGATCCAGTTCTTCTGAGCTGGTGGGCTTGTACTTGCCGTCGAGAGTGTAGTTTTTGGGTGCGTAGACAAGGGTGTAGACGTGAAAGAGGAAGCCGCATGGCCGTGCATCGAGGCCTAGTCGTCGTGCTACGGCACAGTATATGGCGACTGATATCAGTGGGAGGGATTCGTGTGTTGGTGAGCGAAGGACAAGGCCAATGAAGGAGTTGCAGAGGGCGCGATATGATGTATCCGGCACGCCCTCGAAACCCTGATCGCGAAGGTAGGTTGCTAGTGTCGAGGCCTTGATCCTCGGACTCAAGTCGCCGAAATCAGGATACTCTTCCAGCACGCCAGTCGCATAGCGATCGATATCCTCTGAAACGACATGGTTGTCGACATCCTCGCCCACCCTTGCAAAGACATCATACGCGCCCAGCGCTCTCTCAATCGGCACATGCTTGCCATGATGCAAGTCCTTCCAGACGTTGATAGCGATCTCGCGATGTATACGCTCCAGCACGGCATTCGCATAGTATCGTCTTGCCAGTACGTCTTCTGCATCATCGGGACACGCGCATTCCGTCAGCAACGTCTCTTTGGCATCATACCCAAAATCCGCAATTTCATTTATACGCCTGATTCTTTCCTGTTGCGTCGCCACAATGGCATGCAGCAACTCCCTTGTCCGTCTCTCGATGGTGATTTTGGAAATGAAGAGCGAGCGCCAATCGACGTCAGAAAGCGGGCCTGAGAACTTGGAGGCGATGTTGTGGCGCGAGTCCCATGTCTTGAAGCGCGTGTAGCAGAGGTGTCGCCAGATTATGGGTGCGTCCGCTGTAAGCTGATTGACGAGCTTGTTTGTTTGTGAGACGGAGATTAGGGAGTGTGGGTCAAGGTGGAGGAATATGGATTCGAGGATCTCGGTGGGGAGGTCTGTGAAGGAGGGGCGCGTCGTAGTGGCGTCCATTATGGCGGCGTGGATCTGTAGATATCTAAGCAAAAGACTTGAGCCTGTGCGAGTATGAAAACGTACTTGGAAGAGTGAAGTCTGTCCAAGGTACAGTAGCAATGGCGAGAGAGAGCTGGGGTTTGGGTGACAGCGCGTCGTCACTCGGAGAGCGATGATGTCGTCAATGTTGGCAAATGTCAACGATGCGGGCGTGCATGGTGAATCGCCCCACCTCGGCAGCTAAGGCCGCGATACTGCACCTCGAGTGTGGACAACTGGTATACCTTTTTACTTCAATTCTCTTTCTACTTATTACATGTATGTGCAGCAGCACCCGGCCACTTTGGTATTGGTCATCTGCCGTCGAGTCTCATATCAGGGCGCCAATCTGGAAAGCAGTTACAGTTTTGCACCACTAGATGCTTGCCATTATTCACTAATTCAAAGTCACACTGATACATTGATACACGAGCTGCAACTTCTGAGCCTCTTATTACAAGGCGGGAGTTTACCGTGTTTCAAACATTGTATCATCGTATGGATTCACTGATTCAGCGCCTTGCTTGAAGATTCACCTTGGCACCATGGTCCGGCAAGCCTTCGGATCGCTGCGGAAATGAGACGTCAACGCCCTACAGCACCACCATGAACCTATCGTGAACAAAGCAACCCACTGCGTTCAATCATGACAGTCAGCTACAAGCCACCGATGCCACAATCTCACCGAGACGGCCCATAACTCGTCCGGATCGCCCAAGGCCGTTGCCGAAGCTCGCTCTTGGTGAGGCCGGCCATCTGCAGACCACAGAACTGGCGCACTAAACTGACGTCGATGCCGCTACCCGCCGCTGCTGCTCCATAAACACCATGACGCCCTAGAGAACGGATATTTCGCCTGACTGACTGCTCTCCTCTTCCTCACATTACCTTTGCATTCCTAAATCCGTCTTGTTTGCAACACGTGCGGATCATGGCGGACCTCAGTAGGGTCGAGTCGATGCAGTATCCCGCGGGGCATCTCTCTCATCTCTCCGACAATCAACAAGCCCGCCTCGACGAGTTCAAGAAGATCATCCAAGAGGCAGGCTACTGGACGCCTACATCGCCACTAAAAGCAGCCAGCCATGACGATGAGACACTGCTGTATGCTCACCTTCTCCAGCTTGTTGCGACGTTAGCGGGGGGGCACCGCTGACAGCTTACAGGCGCTTTCTGCGCGCGCGCCGTTTTATCCCACACGAAGCCTTTAAACAGTTCAAAGACACTGAGGATTGGCGGAAAGATAACCAATTGAGTGAAATCTTCAATACAATCGAGGTAGAAGAGTTTGAGCAAACGCGCCGTCTGGTACAAAATTCTGCTCACTTTGGCCCAAGGCTATGTCTGACAGCTTCGCGCAGTATCCCCAGTGGCTCGGTCGACGCGACAAGCGCGGCATTCCCCTCTTTCTTTTCGAAGTCTCGCCTTTGAACACAAAGAACATCTCTTCGTACGAGAAGCAGCTCGCCAAATCCAAGACGACCCTACCCAATGTTGCGACCAAGAATATCCGCCTGTTCGCCCTGTACGAGTCCTTGACACGATTCGTCACGCCGCTATGCTCCATGGTCCCTCGCAACCACCCCGAGACTCCTATTTCACAAAGCAACAACATTGTCGATATTAGTGGAGTGGGCCTGAAGCAGTTCTGGAATCTTAAGGGACACATGCAGGATGCTTCAGTCCTGGCGACAGCGCATTACCCAGAGACGTTAGATCGGATATTCGTACGCTCATTATGCCCAAACGCCCCATCGTGGTTTCAAATAGAAGTATATTGCTAACAGTTTCCACAGGTTGTTGGTGCACCCGGCTTTTTCCCCACTGTTTGGGGCTGGGTCAAGCGCTGGTTCGACCCCATCACCGTCTCCAAAATCTTCATCCTCTCCCCCGCCAACGTCTACCCCACACTCTCCCAATATATCGACCACGAGAACATCCCCAAGAAGTATGGCGGCGGCCTCGATTTTGAGTGGGGCAGCATGCCAAACATCGAACCCACCATCGACGCGCAGCTCAAATGGGAGAACCCATCTATACTAGATGGGAGGAAAACGTTCCCTATCGGACCAATAAAGTTCGAGCAAGGACTGAACGGAGAGATGCAGGCATGGGGCGTGGGTAGTGAGAGCGGGACGCCAAGGAGGAAGCTCGTATTTACGATTCCGAACCCTGTGGGCTACAAGGACGGAGATTTACCAGCACCCAACACGCCTGCATTCCAAATTGGGGACCCTCTTACGACGGTGGGCACGGCGACACAACCACCCGACAGCGTAGTCGACGAAGCGAATATCGATACGCCGCCGTCTGATACGGATTCAACCCCATCCGAATCATTGACAACGTCTGCTACGCCCGCGTCATCGACTTTGCCTGTGAGAGCAGGGACAAGTGAGCTAAGGTATGAGCAACAAAATTACACACATGCTGCCGGTCAACTTGCCGACGGCACTCCCCACGCTGCTGTAAACGACCACGGTCACGGCGATAAGACAGTAACAATAGAACCCAACACCGTCGGCCAGGCGCCCAAAGAAAAGCCCCTCCCTCAGCCAGAGCAGCCTCCTGCGCCTGGATACCTCGAACAAGCTCAAAATGCTGCTGCTTCGGCATCTGCTACCGTCACATCAACGGTCGGTGGCTTGGTCGGCGCCGTGACGGGGAGCAAAAAGGAGGAGGAGAAAGTTGAGGAGCCCGTTAGATCAAAGAGTCCGCAAGAGTTGGAGATGGATCGCAAGATTGATGCGACCAAAGACCAGAGTGTAGAAGCGTTCTTGAGGGATCAAAGCATGAGTAAATCGTAGGCCATTTGAATCGTGGTATTTCATTGAGAGGATTCACATATCCGTAAGTTGTAGACTGTTGCATACAGGCATTCAAAATATCTACGCATTTTCCAAATTTTAAGATTGACGTGGGGCTCAAATACTGAGGTTCCTGAAGACTTTGTTCGAATGCTGATTAGACCTAGCAATTTGTTGTGATGAGGATATGTAAGTAAGAAGAGAGTTAATAACTCTAAATGGGAGTTACTATATCTCTCTTATGTATGCTTGTATTTCCACATGATGAAAGATTCAGTTAGGGGAGGTTAAGTGATTGGATTAGAGGGAATTAGACTAGACTATATTAAGATACAAAAAGAAGAGTTTGGAAAGGGTGGGATTTGAGACAATTGGAGGATTCAAAATGTCTAGTAAGAAGCGTACTCATTGTGAGGGAAGGGATAGAAAGGGTTCACAAAGAGGGAAGATTGTAGTAGAGAATGATTCAAAGTTATCAAATGCAACCTATCATGGTCAATTGTTCTCCACTTTCAGCGATTTTATGCAGGCCCTCTAGGTGCGGTCTAATCGCCTCAGAGCATTAGGTTGTGACTTAACATAAACGCAGAACCGTCTAGATGTGCTTGGAAATTGTACCCTAAATGATATCATAGCAAAGACCAACTATCCCAAGCTTCATCCAGTCCTCACCGCTGTCTTATTAACGGAGTGTTACACTGACTTGAGCGTCTGGAAAAGCTACACCGTATAGTCATAGTGGTGGCCCTCGCAGTACAACCTTCTTGACGCAAAGCCTGATACTGCCATGTGCGGGCCTACCTATAGTCAGCTTACTGGGAGGCAACAGACTCCTAACTCGTAAGATTGGGTGTGTTTTGGAACGTCCTTCGTTGCTGCCAAGTCCGATGATGTTTTGCCTCCTTTCCTGTCTTGCTCCATCACCATCACTGTTACTACTAATAGATTGTTTTCCCTCCGTGTTTGCAGACCGAAGTCCAGTTTTGGTGCCCTCCGCATGCTGTGCGACGTCTGTGACCAGTGCCAATCTCCTTTGTACGTCGACGCTCAGCGCCGGGCTGTGCTTCGTACGTCCGGCCTGTCAGCCCATGCAACCTTTCGTAGCACCGTTGTGTTACCGGGTGTAGGCGAAAACAGCGCTCTGGACTCGCGACCGGTGAAAGTTGTTTTGTGCCTAGGTTGTGAAACTGGTGACACGTGTGTGCGTGGACCAAGGTGCATGGTTCGGGTATATCGTTCCAGGGTAGTGGCGTGGGACGGTGCTGGAGCGGGAGCGGAAGGAAACAGTGGAGAAGAGTAGCGTGGCAAGCTTATTTCGAGGTTGCGTGTTTGCAAATACTGAAAAGATGGAAATCGTCGATGCACTCGTAACGAAGTAGGATGTGAGTTTTCTTGTTGGATGCAGCGCATGATTGTTAGTGAAGATAAGAACAAGGAGGGTTATGGTTGGATATAGCGCACGACTATTTTTCATGGATTAGAACAAGGAAGATCCATGTTGGAACACACCATTCTTTCATGGAGGTAGGACCAAGAAGGGTTCACGTTAGATGCAGTGCACAATTGCTTTTGCGTAGAACAAGAGTAAGAAGGAATTCGCAAAGGGGATGCTAGTCATATAATAACTAGCTCAGGGTATAATTTATACTACAAGAGCTACTCCACCACAATCAATGCAGCATCGTAGCTCAACATTACGTTCTACTCATCCACTAACATCATCTCCTACATTACCATTGCACGTATTCCATGTCCAACCATTGCGCGTAACCGAAGCAATTGCGCTTAAACGGTGGAGATCGTCTCATTCTTGCCAGCGACATGCTGAGTTGCGAGAGGAATCTCAATGTTCTTCTCGCCAAGGTTCATCTCAGCCGCGAAGGTCGAGTGAGGCTTCCACTTGCGGGAGGTGCGAGGAGTGCTCTCCTCCAGCATCTTGTCGACCTGCTCGAGGGTAAGACCCTTGGTCTCCGGGACGAAGAAGTAGGCGAAGAGGACTACAGTTATATTAGCGACATTCTAGATCAGAATTGCAAGATTGATGACTTACAGGAGATGCAGCACAGTCCGCCCCACATGAAGAATACATTGGAGCCCAGCTTCGCGGAATCCGGCCTGTCAGCGACCAGGTAGGGGGTAATGACACCGATGATGCAATTCCAGAACCAGTTACTAGCGGTGCTGCAATCTATTGTTAGTATTTTATCTGAAGAAGCAGAATCAACATGTGGGTTTACTTACGATAATCCGACACCACGCGAACGGATGGTGAGAGGGAATATTTCGCCGATAACGATCCAAGCGGCAGGACCCCAAGTGGTAGCGAAGACGGAGATGTTCAAGCAGATGAAGGCAATCATAGCCCTGGTAGCATTGGGGTTGGCAGGGTGGTCGGCAGTGTTCTTGCCAGCGGTCGCGCCAATGGCACCAACGATGAACTGCATGATGACCATACCGGCAGCGCCGAAGATCAGAATCGGGCGACGTCCAATCTTCTCAACCATGATGAAGGAAGCAGGAGTGGAGAGCACGTTGACGAGGGTGGTGACGAGTCCGATCAGGAAGGGGTTGCTGATGGAGCCGAGCTGCGTGAAGAAGACGGGGCCAAAGTAGAAAATGAAGTTGATACCGGTCAGCTGCTGCATCATCTGCATGCAGATACCGAGGATAGTACGACGTTTGTTGGAGGCAGGGCTAGTGATCTTGCCCTCGAAGCAAGCCATCCAGGATCCAAGGTAGCTGGTCTGGGGAACAACGGACATCTCGTACTCGTGGTTGGCAATGATTTCAGCAAGTTCGTCCTGAATGTACTCAGAGTCGAGAGGCTGGCCACGGACGCGGCCAAGAGCATGTGCAGCCTTGTCGAGCTTGCCCTTCTTGACCCAGTAACGGGGGGATTCGGGAAGCAGAGCGAGACCGGTGGCGAGAATGATAGCCCACAAGAACTGGACGGCAATCGGAATACGGTAGGAACCAGTGTCACGACGGTTCTGGGTGGCGTAGACGACACAATTGGCGAGCAGGATGCCGATGGTGATGCAGAACTGGTATCCAGCGACAACGGCACCACGGACCTTCTTAGGAGCAATCTCGGACATGTACCTGGAGGGATTAGCAGGCGCATCTTTGGGGAGCACTGAAGCTTGACATACAGAATGACAATGGCGGAGATGAAACCGACACCGAAACCAGCGATCAGACGACCCGCGACCATAACACCGAGCCCGGTAGAGGCAACCTCGAGGATGCCACCAATGCAGAAGATGCCGCATCCGAGGATAATGGTAAAGCGACGTCCGATGAAGTCAGCAAGATCACCGGCGATGATAGCACCGAAGAAGGTACCGGCAGACAGAATAGAGGTAGTCAGGGACTGCTGCCATGAGGGGATGCTGAAGAACTGCTTTCGGTATGCGACGACTTGTGCGTCCAGTTTGCCAGCGCCGGGGAACTTGACGTCTGGGTATTCGTAGCCAGTGTACTGGTTGATGAAGAAGTCCATGTTCAGGACACCACCCATCCAACCGGTATCATAACCGAAGAAAATGCCACCGAAAGCTGCAAAGGCAACAATCAGGTAGGCACGAACGGTAACAGGCGCCTCGACGCGATTGATGTCAGCTGTGCCGGTGACGGCGACAACTCCACCTCCAGGCATGATTGCGAGGTGTCTTGGTTCAAGGTTGATTAGAAAAGTAAAAGATGTGGGCTCTTCCAATCAAGAAGAGGAGTCCCGTGCAGCAGTAAAAAGAGGAGGAAGCTGGGGATGTCTGCGAAAACACGATCAGCAATGCGGGATTCCCGAGCTTTTAATATCGGGTTTCCTGCAGCAGTGATACTGCAGCACGGTGCGCGCGTGTGGCTTTCTGGATAATGGGTACAGTAACATTGCACCTTTCAGCCTAAGCCAGATAGGGCTCCTACTCCGCATCTTACACTTCTGGAAGGATTGCTGCCACCCCATGGGCCGCCCATGACAAGCCGCCCCCCGGGTGGTGGGCTCATCTGAGTCTCCCGCTGGCACGCGGCTGAGACTGCTTCTCATCGAGATCGATCCTAGAGTGATGACCCTCCCATGTTCTACGGTGCGATCAAACCTCAGGCTCAGGGTGTGTATGCATCGCCGCGCATAGGTGACCGGGTCGCTTGATCAGCTACAACAGTTGGTCCGGGATACGGATGGATACACCTGGGGGAGGCCGTGAAACCCGGGGCGCCAAGCTCATGCAAGCTACACCCGCAGCCAGTCTTAGCGGGCAAGACCTGCAGATTTTTCTTCAATCATCCTTGCAGAGAGCCAAGGGGGCCAGATAGTGGGCGAATAAAAGGGAGATGGCCCCGTGTAAGTTAGCGCTAACAGTTACCCTGGTAGCCAAGGACGCCCTCATCCACGGTTTCCTTTTGACCAGTTGCTGGGCCGACCTTGGTATCCCTTCCGAGTTCATTATGGACAAGGAGCACATGACCGTAAATTTAGTTAGCTCTGTCCTGGTGACGGTCGGCGTCTGTCGCGAATGCCGAAAGCCACATGGCGCCGGTGTTTTCTTATTTTCACATTGTCTTGGCTCGGACACTTTGATCAAAGGAACAAACGATCTCGCTTGCAGAAGATGCCTGATATATTCGCTCTCTCTAAGAACACGGTCCGACATGTCCAGATCCATCAATGCAGACGGTTATGCAGCGCTCGGAGCAAGTCATGAGGCGTGACAGGCGTGTCCCGCCTTGACCAGCATGGTAGTGCGTCGAGTGCATCTCCATGTTTACTGGCGGGAAGGCAGTTCAATACCGCTGTGTATGTTGATTGGTCCTCTGCGTCTCTGTTACGCCAGGATCAGGAGGAGGTGACAGGAGAAACGTTTCCAATAACAAACAGCCGTGCCGAATGCTGGAGTACTCGCACGCACCACCACCAGTAGATCAGCATTAGCTGGGAATCCTTTCTTTCGCCTCCCGTTCGTTGCTATGCACTAAGAGCTCGATGCAGCCGCCTTGGTCTTCTCCTTGAACGGTATACGGCCAACGAATTCGTGGTGTTCATTTAAGACTGGTGGTGGCGTTGGCATTGTTGTCACCTTTCCTTTTGGCTAGCCACAGCCGTGCCGCACATCTGGAGAACCCTGTTCTCAGGCGTGCTGTCGCTGCCTGCAGACACCGGAGCGACAGTGAACGAATGGCAAGCTGTAAAACGCTAACCGCTTTCACATGCATGTCACCAGACGCCCTCGATGTCTGTTTCTGGGGATGCGCCCGCCATTGAACGGGGCCCGTAAACGCGATGCTACACTACTTCGCGCCGCCTCATGGCATCAGCAGACAATCCGCCCACCACAACAACGGTGGAGCAGAGCGTGCTGCAAGCCACTAGTGTCATAGAGCCTCGTTGTCTGCTTGGTCCCGCGGTTGGTGACTATTCAGGTCTGGATAATTTGTCAGTGTTTGAGGGTCCAATTCTAGCGGGTGCGCTGGTGACATGTAATCGCTTCGCTATTGATTCTCTCAAGTCGAGGACAAGCCTTGCACAAAAGACCAAAGACGTGCCAAAACCTCCACGGGGACCCGGCCAGGCTTCTGAAAGACGCTGGTCCGCGAAGAATCGGTTAGCGCCCGAACGCGACCTCGGGATGAACGAACGGCAATCCTACAGGGACATGATTCAGAGGCTCGGCTACCAAATGCTTTGCAAGAGTCGAGAAGGAGTGAGAGGTCCACTTGGACCGTAATTGGCAAAAGCTTTGTGAAGCTAAGTGCAAGAAAAAAATTCTGCGACTCAGGCGGGATAGGCAGTCGCCAGCTGTGCGTTAGACGAGCAGCGACCATTTTAATGCGGCATTTCAGCCAAACGAGAGCACTTGTGGATAATGCCGTCAGCAAGACGGTCCGTCATCTTGCGAATCGCTAAAGCGACATCTGCCTCTAACAGATTTGCGTCTTGATGCATCTCATCAATAGACGTCCGGGCGTGTTCGAAGAGGGGTAAAGTCTCGAACGAAGGTTCCATTTTTCTTCTCTCCACTTCCGTCTCCTGTAGCGTCTCCCCATATCCCATATCGACGGAATTGTGGGACACGGAGTACTCGAGTCATCTCCAGATGGCGGGACTATAGTCTACCCGGCTACTTACTCATCCTCCACGCGAAGCCCCACCTTTTCGGGTGACACGACGATGCGCATGTAATGCGTCTTAGCACGTGAACGCGCCACGCTGAAACCTTAGTACTAGCGTGGGGACGGCGCGTTCGAGTAATTCCTGACCTCGCAAAGGTCTGCTATTGCGACACACCTGATTCTGCATCTTGCTCTCTTCGCTTTCATGCCTAATCTCCGCTCTGTGCACTTCTCCCAAGCACATATGACCTGAGAAGCAAACCCTCGCCGACAAGACATATCGTACTCTACATTATTTGAAGGAAATTAGAGCCATGATAACTACGACGTCACGCAAGCTCACGCTTTGGAGGCCCAAAGCTCATTTAGGGTTTTGCAGAAGAAACAGCTACTATATAAAAATAGCAGCCTGAACGATTATGGCCTTCGACGGTCTCGAACCATTGGAGTCATTCGTTAGCTGCCACAGAAGGTAGAGCGCTCCTTTATCCGAAATGAAGAAAGATACAAAAAAGGAACATCAAAAGCATGCATGACCTCACAGGCCACAATAGCTCCCCTGTGGGGCTTTCTAGTCTTGCTCGTACCTTTGTACGGAGGAAGAGAAACATGCACAGTTTCAAGAGTTATCTTCTACACTTCCAGAGGAGCAAACCACGCTTCCAAGCAAGGAACTGATGGTTTGGTTCATGCGTCCTGTGCTCGTACCAACCTCTCACCTATACCATATGCTAAAGTGTGGCCAAGCCAATCCAAGTTGCTACCCAACATATATTACATTCTGAGATGCTGTATCAACGAGCAAGACTAAGGGTCACCGATTGTCATCGCCCGCGTCCATGATCTTGACCCGGGTTAAGACAGTGGAGGCAAAGTTGACGTGTGAGGGAAGAAGCGTGACTACAATCTTACATCGTCATAACGGGTGTGTGCTGAGACAGTCTTCACTTGTCGGACTCAGGTAACAGAGACCATGAAGGACTTTGAAGTCGCAGTATTAGCACTTGTCTTGAAGACGACCCAAATATGATTCAGTGTGTAGAGGTAGACATCTATAAATATTATTTATCTGTGTTGCTAAATGCACTCCAACTCGACCAGAATCTACAAATACTGCACCACAACAACGAGCAGACAGTATCTAACCACCCCCCAACGCAATCACACGGTGCCCCCCTCTCAGGAGAGATCATGGCAAACCTCATTCGTGTGGACTGGAACACATGTTGGGTCTGCAAACATCAGAACCTCTCTCAGGCTCTAATCTGCGCAATTTGCACAGCCGAAATACCGCCGAGCAAAATTGGTCTCAAGAAATTGACTTACTGCATCTATTCGTTTGGCTCCCGCGCAACAAAGTTCTGCTGCGTGAAACTCAATGCAGCCCTCCTCGACGATGCCGTTGGCGCTTTGCAACTTCAACACGACACGCCAGTCGTTATACGCGCTGGAACAAATCAAATGCAGGCTATACTGATCAAGGATACCAACGGGGAAATTCGGTTATCAATTGAAGGAGTGCCCGACAGCGTAGCTACAGTGCCCCCGCCTGCAGGCAGCAACAAAATTGCCGAGTTTCGGGCAGCTAGCAGACATATACTAGCTGCAGATCCGGATCAAACTCCTGGTAAGACCCTCCCATTCCAACCGTGATATTAAGATTCCTTCTCTAAGTCTGACTAGGATCTGGACTGTTGCCGTTCTAAAATATACGCCTATCTGTCTCTGCTCCAAGTTTTCCTTTGCGGTCCGATGGAATGCTTTAGCTCCGAGTCCCACTCCTTCCTCCTAATCAGCCCTCCAATTGGTTTACATTCACACCAAGCCGGGCGCATCCAAATGTCATGAGACTCAGTGTGCGCAATAGGGCAGCACCTCCACGTGCTGATGACGTTTTCGACAGGGTCGAGGATTTTGCTTACAAACTGCTCTATATCAAGGTCTGGGTCGAGCTCTGCCCAAACAATATCAAACAGTTCATCTGAGTCTTCACAACGCAATGTTCGTACGTAGGATGCCCAGCGCTCAACCCACCAGGGATAGTATCCGGAAGATTCCCAGTCGATGATTGCCTCGATATTCCCGTCGTGGACCATAATGTTGCCAAAGTTAAGATCAGCATGCGTAAGGACATATGGCCCCCCATCTGGAAAGTTGTCCTTAAGCTCCTGTAGCTTCGCTTCAATGACATCTTTGTCGTCGCTATTGAGTTTTTCGGAGTTTGAGAGGCCAACTCGAAGCTCCTCAGCCATACCATCAAACCATTCTTCCTTAGTCTTTCCAACTTGCTTGCACATGCTTGGCGGCGCACATTGTCCTATGATGTAGTCCATGAGAGGGCTCCCATCTATCCGCCGAGCAACCGGTGACGTGTGCTGGCGTAGTTCTCGGAGTGCTGCTGTGACCTGTTGAGCATAGCCCTGCTTTTCTTCGGGAGACAGGCCTTTCCATATATTGTGCAGCGGCACTCCTTTAGCTCGAGACATGACCGTGAATTGAAATGGGTCTCCTGGTTTGCCATATTGATGCATCTCCTTGACCAGTGGTATGTTCTGAGTGCCCTGTTCCTTAAGAAACTGATAAACCATGTAGTCGTTACCCGACATCTTGTCTTTCGAGCGATCCCAAAGTAACCAGTCATTTCCCATAATCCACAAACCGCTGTTGGTTCTCGTGTGGAGAAGTCGAAGCCGCGGTAGATACGAAGTGCAGAGTTCGTGGTATGAAGTCCAGCCACAAGCTCGGCATAACTGAAGAGTAGTGTCCCCTGCATAGTGATCTACGCCTTTCAGCTTTTCTTTCTCCTCCGCGGTCAGAACTCCTCCTTCTGGACTGAATACAGCATTGGGAATAAGATCTTTAGGATGGAAACTAATATCGTAAGGCGCCATTTCGAAGTGCCGACAACAGTATTTGGGGGGGAAATGTATAATCCTCTAAAAAGCAGACTCAAATTATTCTCATGATCGCACGGTTTTTGTATGTCATCTGTCTTCAATGAAAACTAATGCAAAGCGCAATTTCGCGTTCTGGAAAGAATTTCGCAAACGGTTAGGACATCGTGGTATGGAACAAAGGAATTTCTCAAAGCGTAGCCCTGTTCGGGCCATGATTACGCAGTTCCTTACGTTAATTAGCCTGTAATAAAGAGTGTTGGACGCATATCGACTGCTCCTTGTCTTGATAGCACATTCTATAATGCAAGGGCTTTTTACGAACAAGGCATGAGGATATACACACGAATCGAAGGGGGCGTCTGTGGTATGGAACAAAGGAACTTCCAGAGGTGCAGCCTCGTTCGGAGTATGGCTGTGGAGTTCCTTGTACTAAATTAAACCTTCAACAAAGAGTGTTGGACGAAAATAGAGTGCTCGTTTCTTGGATAGCCCATTTTAGTATGCGTTCATGCTAAGATTCAAGTCTTGGAACATTTCTTTGCCAATACGTTGCCCTTTGTAGGCTTTAATCTATTCATTGTTTGTAGGAAATTCGCTTGGCTGCTGCTTGCCGCTACTTTCAAAATCAGTCTCGACATTTTGTGGAGCCGGCGTTACATCACAAGAACTATCTGAACTGGTAGCCGCCTAACCTAAAAGCTTAAAAGAAATTTTGGCTATAAGTATGAAAGGATACCTTGAATGCATTGATCATAGACATTTAAAGGGGTACAAAAGCGCGCTCGAAGCCCGGTATCCAGATCTCAGTACGTATTACATTCACTTAATCCACCTTACAGGACCTTTACAGAATCAACAATAGCTTAAAAGGTGATCCTGGGGCGTGGGCGCTTTTGATTTTCTATGTGACTAGCAATACCACGTCGAGCAGTCTTGCTCAACTGCATAATGCACAATGCACGAGCCACCAGAGTTGAGTAGATACATGGGCAAAAGTTTGGGGGGTTGGCGAGATAGCTCTGAGACTGATCCAAATTGCTAAGGGCAGAGCTGATGAATCGATGACTTCAGTTCATGGCAGAGATGCGGTGGAATAAGGTGAGGTGAGTACAATTGAAGTTGACCTCTAACGACGACAAGCGCGAAACCAGATCGGTTGGTGTGTTACACACTAACTATCCCGCTAACTTTAGCGGTTACGGCACGATCGAAGGCATCCGTGGTGCGCGCGGAACCTCGCCTCCTGCAGAGCAATGATCCTTCTAGTTTCTCCTAGCGCTTTTACAAGCTGCTTGATTTGTAATGTTGACGTACCTCATTTGCTCAACCCATATATCGTTGTGCGAAACAATAGATACCGTGAGAGAGCCGGGGCATTGACCTGTTCCATCTATTGGAACAACCATAATGTGTGCAAGCGTATTCATGAGCTTGCGGCGTTTTAGAGTTGGAATATTATCATCTGTAAGTTGAGCCGAACAAAAGCCAACCTAATATCAAATTTTAGCACACCGGGCACCCTCTTACCGCAGTTTTTCAACCCAACTACGTGAGATCTCCCACTCATAACACCGTCGAAGTACACCATCACCAACATTTCAAAGTACAATGTCGCGATTCTTGTTAATCTTTTCTCCTATCCATTCGTGTGATAGTTTCTGTGGCGGCCCTTCACGTGGTGTGGCGTCTATTCTCATTCGGGTTCGCGAGGTTTGAAGAGTACCATGGAACAAGTCCTGGTACACTACGGAAAATTGCAGTGGCCTTGATGCAACAATATCAGATTCAGATTCAGATTCAGAATCGGATGAAATGATGTGAGTCGGTTTATTATATGTATGTATATCATGCTGATAGGATCTAGAATCATGCGCATTGCTTACTTTTCTCCTGCTTCCCCCTTGCCATTGCATTCATGTTGTGTGGTTCGCGTCGACATAATGACTTCAACCAAACCAACACACAATGTGCGGTGACGCGAGACCTCATACGATCTTTACGAAGCCGGTTCTTTACTACATCAATATCGCATTCGACATGTCACGGCATAGTAGTATGCCTTCACTTCCGAACATGAGATATGTGAGTATGGACTGTGTTGCATTGATTAACAGTTGTTAAGCTTCATCTGCTCCTGGTATTCGGTAACGCTAATACCTAGATAAGATTGGGGTAACCATACATCAACACTCGAAACCTCCGCATTCGCTCAATGACGGAAGCCAAATTAGGGTCCTCGAGCGGGGTCACCAGCCATGCTAAATAGTTTTGCGGCAGTCAATTTCCACGAAACCCTCTACGGCCACCAACAATGGCGAAGAAGCTCTTGGACGAGAAGAACTCAGGAAGAACTGAGTCGTCAGGCTCCTCAAACAGCAACGTATCTCAACGAGATGCCGAAGACCGTCTTTCGGAGGAGGATCTTCGCAACCTGCGACGTGTTCCTGGGAAGATACCGTGGACCGCCTACGCAGTCACTGTGCTAGAGATGGCCGAGTTTCTGTCGCTACATGGCACTCTAGTCGTCGGTCAGTCGCACCCAAACACTACTTTCGAGCTTCATTGACGCAAGAAATAGGCACCAACTTCCTCCAATGGCCTCTTCCCGCAGGCTCATCCACGGGTGCTGGCTTCCAAGGCCAATCGGGAGGCTTGGGCTTGGGGCAACAAAAAGCAACCGCTATCAACATGGGTTTGTGACATCTTCCTGAGGAAAACCGACGTAGATATGCTAATTTTGTGCACTAGCGAAATCGCTGTGGATAGGTACAGCACCATTGCTCGGCGCGTTCGTCGCGGATCAATATCTTGGTCGGTACAAAACACTTCAATGGGCAAATTTCGTTACCATTGTCGCTCACGTGGTTCTCACAATTGCCGCGTTGCCGTGGGTAATTGTGCATTCCTCGATATCGCTGGCCATTTATTTGTTAGGGATTTTGCTGTTAGGGATTGGGTTTGGCGGTATCAAGTGAGTACATGTAACAACACAGCACATGGAGACTACGCTGATCTTGAACCAGGCCTAATATCACGCCTTTACTACTAGAACAACTTCCCATCACCGACCTCAAACTCTCAACCGACAGAAAGGGACGACGCGTCATTCTCGACCCTCAAGTAGCACGCTCCCGGGTGCTCTTATACTTCTTCTCGTTTGCCAACATCGGATCCGTCGTGGGCATGGTATCTATGGTGTACTGTGAGAAACACATCGGTTTCTGGCTTGCATGGACTGTTCCCACAGTTATCTTCCTGCTCTGTCCATTGATACTGTGGGTATTTCGCGGTTCGTATACAACCGCTAGTCCAGAAAGCCCCGTCTTTGGGAAGGCAATGAGACTTTTAGCTCTGTCGATGAAGGGACGGTGGTCCTGGAATCCAATCAGGACGTAAGTTTAGGTCGCCTTCGCAGGACGACGACTTGTGTTTAACGTGTTGCGTAGGTATCGTAGCATCCAACAACCTGACTTCTGGGACCGGGTCAAGCCATCGAACATTGCGAATTGCCCTACGTGGATGACGTTTGATGACTCGTGGGTTGATGAAGTGAGATGCGGGGTACAGGTTTGTAAAGTCTTTTGCTGGTACCCTTTATACTGTACTTTCATCCCCATGGCTATCAACCATCCATTTACTTACAACCAACAGGGCCAGCCGTCCGCCAATTATCCTCAAACTTAACATCCCAAGCGGCAACCTTGAAACTGAATGGTCTCCCCAACGACTTACTCGTCAACTTCAACCCCATTTTCTGCCTTATATTTTCTCCCATCTACGCACACGTCATATACCCCGGCCTCGCATGTCTTGGAATCCATCCTTCGCCCACCACACGTATCAGTCTCGGCTTTTTATCTACTGCAATTGGCATGGCCATATCCGCTGTAAACCAACACTTCATCTATGCGCACAGCTTGTGCGGCTCCCACGCCAACCATTGCATCGCAAACCCCGCTGACACCAAAATATCCGTCTTCATCCAAGTCCCCGCATACGTTTTCATTGCGAACGGTGAGGTCCTCGCGTTAGTGACGGGAATGGAGTATGCGTATGCAAACGCACCCAGCAATATGCGGAGCTTGGTCATGGCGCTTTTTTACTTCCCGATTGCATTGGGGTGTGCACTGTCACAGACTCTAGTCCCGCTTAGTCGGGATCCGATGTTGGTGTGGAACTATGTTGTTGCTGGGGGGTTCAGTGCGGTTGCCGCTGTGGGTGTTTGGTGGTCCAATCGGGAGAAAAGGGAGAAAGGAAAGAGCTAGGTACGTTAGGAGATAGACATTAGGAAGAAGGGCTGATCGAAATGTTGCAAAAGCTCTTTAAATGTGTCTCTGGAGGAAACTTGCGCCAACTGTCTAGTTGTCTTTTAGGAAGGGACGTGCTTATTAGCGCACTTGAGATAGTTGCGTACTGTGAAGGAGTCTGCAGACAGCGTTGAATGGAGCTTTAGCTAAAAGGCCGTTCGGAACCCAATCGAGTGAAAGGCTTCATAAGCGACGCGCCAACTGGATACGCTCCAGCGTCCCTGTGCGTACCCTTGCACTCATCACGTGCCTCGCTCCCTTTGCGCGACCTCATCAAAACAACGCGTCGAAATCACCGATATTTGAAGCGCGCAACGTTTGAATTATGAGTTGATTTTCGTGTCTGAGACGATAGCATAACGTCGTAGCTACCCTTACTCCTTTGTCGGGAAGAATATCCCGAATCGACTAGTAAACAAGAGAAATTCCACAGTGACATACGCGCCCAAACGCCTAGCCAACATGATATACCGACAGAGATGAACACCCGATCCTATCCTGTACCATGCCCATCCCGCGTCCCACCAAATAGCTCCGGAGTTGTAGAGAGAGAGAAAAAGGGATATCACGATACAAGCTCATGCGGCGCGACAGAGCGACGACCGGAAGAAGATCGACGCGTCGACGCCCACCACATGACGCCAGTTTGAGAGAAGAAATCAACAGGAAAGAAGAGCAGAACGCCCAAGAATGAACGCTCATGCTGACTTCCTTGGTGCAGACTTCTTGGGTGTCGTCTTCTTCTTGGGGGTGGTCTTTTTCGTCGCAGCCGCCTTCTTTGGTGCAGCTTTCTTTGTCGCCTTTGGTGCAGCAGGAGCCTTGGTCTTGGTGACGCGACCGGACTTGGTCTTGCCGAGGACGCGCGATACTTCTTCGTTAACGGCGGGGGCTGGGGCGGCGGTCTTGCGGGGCTTGCTGGCGTTGGCCTTGGGCTTAGCAGCAGCAGCAGCCTTCTTGGGGGCGGCCTTTGCGGCTGTGGCCTTCTTAGGCGCCGCCTTCTTGGTAGTGGCCTTAGCCTTCTACGGGGGAGTGGTTAGTGAGATAACTAGAAAGAGAGAGAGTTGGACGAACAGTAGTGGTAGTCTTCTTTGGTGCAGCAGCCTTCTTCTCAGTCTTGGGCTCGGCCTTCTTGGTGGCGGCGACAGGCTTCGCTTCCTTCTTGGCAAGCTTTACGGGACCAGAGGTACCTATATGACGCGTCAGCAACGTTCAGACTGAAGTTATTGAAATCATAGTCAAACGCGTGCAGGAATGTGTGGTCGGTCGTGTGTCGCGACATTGGTGGCGTGAACGACTTACCCTTGGGTTGTGCAAAATCGCCCTTGTCCTTGCCAGAAGTGATGGCACGGTTTACGTGGTTCCTGAATGCGGTCTCGCTGAGGTTACCAACCTTGTTGTTGGCCTGGACATATTTCTGAATGGCTTGACGGCTGTTTAGATGCGGGTCAGCGAGGGCTCCCAGGCGCTTCGAGACGAAAGCATGACGTGATGCGACAACACCAAGCGCTTCTTCTGCATGGGGAGACTAACCTTGAGCCGTTGCGGTCCTTGAGCTATATCGTGCACAGAGCATGTCAGTGACCATATTCTTCAAGCCGTAACGCGTTTAGGGGGCTGCGTTGTGCTTTGCGCCCCAAGTTGGCGTGATGGCGTCGCAAGCCCAGGTGCGGGGCTCACGATGCGCCTGGGAGGATGAACTTACGTTGATGATAGCGTCTTTGACCATATCTGGTAAAAACAGTCAGTATTGGCCTGCGAACACGATGCGACAGACGCGCTCGCAATGCGACGCGGTTGCGTCGAGATAGGGAGCATGGAGCGACGTACCAATGTAGGAGCCATGGGCAGGCGCGACTGCAGCGCCCTTCTTGGGAGCGGCAGCGGAGCTCTTCTTGGGCGGCATTGTGAATAGTAATTGTAGGTCGTTTTAGACGCGATACCGATGCTTCCAACGAGGGGTCAAACGTCGAAATCGATAGGGAGATGGATGTTGTGGAAGCGTTCGGAGTCGATGGGGGATGGCCTGCCTGCGCGATTGGGCGGGGAAGGTGCCTTAAGTAGGGACGCCAAAACGACCGGGTGCATTCAGATCAACAACAAGCGACACAAGTCGTCCATTCCTATTTAGGAAAGATTTTGTATTCTGCGGCCATTTTTGATCTCGGATTAGACTAATGCCGCCTGCTGGCTGGACGCGGCGCGACAGCTGTATGGTTCTTTTGTCGGGTATGTCCCGAGTCCCGCTTCATCCCCCCATTACCTTTCATCTTCGTCATGCTCCCCTCCACCCATGACGCTTTTGGCCTGCCGCGACACACTGTCAGCTACCATGCCTAAGGGGCAAAGAAACCAGTTGACTTCGTCGTTTTCAGTTCTACTAATTACTCGTGCACGTAACCTAGAATTGCTGCCGTTGCGTATCCTCGAACATGGACGGTTGCTGCAGAATCCGCGCCTCTGCGCGACACCTGGTAGAAGAATGACTGCCTCGAACGCCCGGTGCATCTAATGGATCATTTCAGACAGTGGACACTTGCCGGTTACCCCTCTCTTATTTCTGTCTTCCAATCGACAGGTCCCGTATTTCCAAGTTCCAAGTTGTGGGTTGGTGTTTTGATTTCTCGCGCGTCGCGCCCTTCCCGGACGCTGTGGTGTTTCGCTTTTGCCTCAACACTTTCGACCCCACCCACCTCCATTCCCTCAGCGTATTGGTGAAGGCTAGAGGGCTCATTCTGTTCGCAGACGCTTCTTCGCTTCAATCATCAAACTTTTCACTGCCACTTTTCCTGTTGCTGGTTTGTTCCTCGTCACTTTTCATGACGTGTCATTCTGTATCAGGTGAGACTGTGATCACGCGCTCGACCCAATCTTCTTTCAACGTTGTCTCTGCCTTGGGATCCTGCGTTAAACTCACGGCTCATTTACAGGCTGTTGGCCATGCCTCGTCCTTTTAGGATACATCATTTTCGAACTCTACAGGCTGGCTGGTTGTCCGCTTGCAGCCCAGAGGGGGCGGTCATCGCTTAGGTCGAATCCGGAGGTCGCACTTCAAATCGTCAACCCCTGAATTTGATGGCTTCTTGGTTGAGATATCAATGTCCCTCTTAATTAACAGACTATGGAGATATAGAAAAAACAAAACTATTAACGAAGTAACAGGTGTTCACTACAAGCCAAATCCCGAGGCAACTCAAGACGCCGATCCGGTTAACTCAAAACACGCTGTGCTCTCCATCTGCACATCGTACCACATGCACCAGTCTTCCCCATATCCTTGAATCAATAGGGCCAAACTCCCCGAATCTTAGTTTAGGCCAATCTATTCGATCTTCGCAAAACGTGCCTTTTCCTCTGGACTTTCCGCAACCTTGTCGATCGTCCACCTCCACAATTCTTCTTGCAATTCTTCCTGTTCAGCCTGCTTGCTGACACAATGCTCCCCCCTCTTTTCAAAGTATACACCTTTTTTACCTCGGACCTCGTTGCCGACTGCCAACCACGCCAGATTTTCTCCGCTCTCCGATGCCAAGTTGATGTTGCTACTGACCACCGCCCTCAGCAACGGAACAAGTCGAGGCGCTACATTTAGGGAGAGGAAGCGGACAATCCACGATGCGTTGCGTGCGAGGTTGGTAGGGAACATTAGACCTGGGTCCAGCGCTACCACGGTCTTATCGTTGTGACTGGGCTGGGACGCAAAGTGTCGGCCGAGTGCGAGTGTCCAAAGCACATTCGCAACTTTACTAGTTGCGTACCTATCCCGCCCACTGCTCCCCTTGATAGCCTCGGGCTTCGGATATGCAACTTCCTCCGGCGTCGTATATGCGGGTGATAAGCCCCACTTCAACGAAGGATCGTGCACGCCGCTGCTCACGATCACGACTCTTGCGTCGTTCGTCAGTTTCGACACTAGTAAATGGAATAGTAGCGCGTGGCCGAGATGGTTCACGCCGAAAGAGGCCTCGACTCCGTCCTGTGTATATTCAATTCCTCCAGGAAACTGTATGGCTGCATTAAACACCAAGGCTTGAATGGGAGGATGGCCTGCGGTGTCCCATCGTGTGGCGAATTCGCGCACTTTGGCCAAGGAGCTGAGGTCGAGGGGCATGTATATGACGTTGGACTGGTCCAGTAACTTGTTGATACTGGCAGCCGCGTTCTTGGGATCTGTACGAGAGGCGATAACGATCAGGGTTGATGGCTGTTGCTTGGCGAGACTGAGCGCGGTATGGTAGCCCATGCCCTGGGTTCCGCCCGTGATAAGAATCGAGGTTGCGTAAGTGGACATGACGGTTGAAGTTGATGAGGTTGCGCAGAAAAAGAGAGTAAAACAATATCAAGTAAACACTAAACTAAAGAAGCTCAGATGTTGACGTGTAGAGGTCACTCCTGTTGTAATCGAATACCCAACAATATGTGATGGCTCTTGATGCTCTTTATACACCGTCACCCCCTTTCCGTATCCACTATGCTTCTTTGCTCCATAGAATCTTGTCCGCGCCACTGCAATGATGCGATGCAATCGGACCCTAACTCCTTCACCCAAGCAACGCGGCGCCATCTTACATCAGTGGTCCACCGCATTCAGCTAGCGTTGAACGAGGTTATGCTGCTGATTGGCTGTGCCGGGGGAACGTTGTACGTCTGATCATAAATGATCAGATAATCAGGCGGAGAGAATCCAACCGGCGCACACTAGCACCGTTTTATCAGCTCTAGTCTATTGCACCTCGAGCATTAGTGACAGTCAGAATTTATTGACACCTACAGTTATGCCTTCGTTACTTTGATATCTAAAATAGTTCTTGTAATTTATAAAGGATGCCTCTTCGCGGGTAAATCTTGGGGGAAAGGTTGTTCAACGTCTCACTTCATTGTCCTCGCATGTATCAAGGGTGCAAGAAAGGTTGAATCATGTACAAGTGTTGAGGTCTTGTTGTATAGGGAAAATCTCATAATCATTGCCAATATCCTCGGTAGTTTTTAATTAATAACGTAGTAAAGCCTGATGTTGCACCGCCATCACAATGTTATAGGCAGGCGATATTTAGAAAGAATAACGCCCGACCCAATGCAATCAGACACTAACAGTGCCTACCCAGTATGTCATGCTCTTGATGATAATCACCACCAACGCCTTGCTATGCACTATGAAAATCAGACCTCGACCTTGATACCTACATAAAACCTGGAAACAGTCGATGGACGCGGAAAACCCAATGTGTCCGTCCATATCACCGATTTGGTGGTGCAACTGCCTCCCCCCGTTGTTCAGTATAGCAGTTTGACCTCGCTTAGGTCTATGCTGGGGATCCGGCAAACTGGGGTGTAGGAGGGACGGTCGTAACAGGCGACGCAGCCGATGCGTCCCTGAACGTATCGCTCTGCTTCTTCTGGCCGTTGAGCAGGGGGCAAAGCCTGTTTAGAGATCGTTAGCAGTAATTCCGTGACAACGGGAAGAGTGTGGAAGCTATGCATAAGAGTCGACCTTAAGTCGATCGTAGAAAGGGGAAAAGAAACGCTCTTGCCTACGCACTTTTTATTGGTTTTGATGTGGCCAACTTCACCACAATTCGCACATTTCCTTGGTGTTGCACCACCTTTGCCCGGCCCGCCAGTGCTACCACCCTCACCAGTCTGACTCTTATGAATCCCCTTTGCCTTCTCACGGCCCTCGCGACGCTCAATGTTGCGAGCGAGACGCGCGTATTCGGCTTTCAACTTCGCCATCTGCGCATTGTCATATTCTTTATCGCCGGTTGGCTTAATCTCGTCGATACGCATATTTAACAGGCGCTCCTGCTTCTTGTGCTTGAGGTAGAGTTTGATCACTTCGGGGTCAGTGATTACCTCGACGACTTCTTCGTACTCATCGTATTTGTTCTTGATAGTGCGTGTGATTTTGAGTTTCTTGCCACGCGTCTCGGCATTGCTGTTACGAGAGAACTGGGACATTGTGTCATCGTCGGCACGGAGGACGGCGGCGGGTGTGCCGACTTCGGAGCGTTGACGGGCAAGGCCGGGTTGCGTGGTGGAGTCGACGTCGACATCGTCTTCGACGTCTGAGGGCGGGTTGGTGGCAGAGAGCGAGTCTTTTTGCTTGTTCCAAATGCGCTTGATGGCGTTCTCGTACATGACCTGCTGTCGCTGGACGTTATAGCTGTGGCCACCGAGCTCTTTCAGCTTTTTGGCGTCGACACGATCTGCTGCGCTCTCGCCGATGTCTCTGAAACCACCCTTCATGGAGACCTTGATGAAGCTGAAACCTAGACCCTGACCGGTGGGATCGCCCTCACCATGGAGCTCCAGCATGGCCTTACCCGCACAGGCATTCAAGAAATTCTTGGTGGTGTTCCAGGGTGCCAGCTTAACATCAGCGTTCTCGTTGTCTTGTTCTTCTTCATCATCCCTGATTTCATTGGACTTGATACCAGCATCTTGAAGCTGCTTGTCACCAGCATGCATTGAGTCGATAAGACAGACATCTTCCGGTTTGATCCAAGTTCGTAGGATAGGCTCCTCGGGAATAGTCTCGCCTGGCACTGGTTCCCATGTACCAATGTCCTTCTGATACTTCATGATCTCCCGCATTCTGGAACGGTTCTGGGCGATCTCGGTTCCGGGAAGATGCTGCTTGATCATCTCGTTACTGACCCAAGGCTGCCGAGAGCTTCTCTGTTGGCCTCGCCTGTATAGACGGAAAGCGAGCATCTTCAAACGCTTCTTCGACGCTTCGGTAACCTTTCGAGCATGTGTGCCAGGCACCTCCACTGAAGGGAACTGTTGGCCCACGACCATAAGATTCGGAATGTTTCGCATGTAGTACCTGGGGCCATTAACTCCAGTCCAGCTTCTGCTCACTAGAAAGTCGGTCGACTCGGGTTTATGCTTGAACACAGGAGCTCGGTACATGGCGTTGTGAAGCGTCAAGACTTGCTGACCTGGTTCGACTTGGCCGAACAGGGAGAAAGGGCTCTTGTCTTGCGGTAAGAGCACTGAAGTCTCTCCAATGCCATCGTCTGGTTTAGGACGTGCAGTATCGTCGTTGTCTTTGCGGCGATAGTAGTTGAGGATCTTGACACCCATGCCGAAGTTAGACAATGTCGTCGGGTATTCTTCTGCGTACTCAGCAAGGAGAAGATCCGAGTTGTCGCCAATATTCAGATCTTCGGCCGTAGCAAAAGCTTCGGAAGGTTTGAGGTTTTTCTTGTGCTTTCTCTTGACCGACTTGAGCGTGGAGATGCCAGCCCGCTCACCAGGCTTAAACGTGACGGTAGGACGGTGGAACGACCGTAGCTCGCGATCGGAAAGTAGAACCTTGTAGAAGGGATATTGCAGCTTCAAGGCGGGCAAACTGTGCTCAACATTCATATGGCCAATCGTACTACGAACCTTCTGTTGGCTGCTCTCCTTGAGCGCGTCGTACGCCTCGTCATTGGAGATGTTGTACCGCTTGAACATTGGATTCGCAAGACTACCGCGGTTGTCACGCTTGAGACCAAGACCGGTAGTCCGAGGCTTCTGGGGTTCTGCGCTCGGTTCCTGTACATCGAGCAGTAGCCGTGGATCGTTCATGTCTAAGAGGATCTTCTTTGAAAGTCTAGCAGTCTCAAGCTCAGGGTCATCCCAGGTGGGCAGGTCCATGTGATCGTAGACTGAGAAATGTATGGACTTCTCACGGCTTCCGAGCTTCCGTTTCTTGTTCGGTGACAGATGCTCCATATCGATATCCTGCATGCTGTCGTCCGGTGTAGGAAGCTGCTCGCTGTCTGATAAAGTCGCCTCACTTGTCTCATCAGGAAGATCCCAATTTTCGCAGGCGATGGTGAGGTCATTCCACGAGACATTCCCAATTTTCTCGCGCTCGTCGAATGTTTCAAGGTTCTCTAGCTCCAGCTGTTCGCCGTTCTGGCGGTCTTCCTCGGCAGCGGTTGTGATATATATTAGACCGCCCTGCTCTTCCTCCTGTTGCCGCCCGGTTTTTGTGGTAGTTGTTGTTGGAGGCAGCCGGAAGCTCTTCTCTTGATCTGCTGCGATGTCGAGGCTAAGCTTCGTGAAAACCATCGGCTTGGGTGCTTTTGGCGGGACTTTAGGAATGTAAAACGCGCGCTTTCGAGGTACCAAGCTGAAGAAACGCGGGGGTTTGTCGGGCTCGAAGTTGGGCCACACTCTCTCGAACTCTTCTCTCGATGTCTTGGGAGGGGGCGGCGCCTGATCATCCTTTCCGCGGCGTGCTTGCTCGAATAAAGCCATTTGCTCGCGCAACTCCGGGTCATCTTCTTCTTCCTCCTGTTGTGCGGTACCGTATGGGACATGGCGAAAACCCGAATGCGCCATACCATCGCCAGTGTTATTCGCGCCGTCGTGTCCAAGTCCTTCAACAGAATTTCGTGGCTTATCCTCATGATGTGAGTGTTCCCGCACAGGACTGGTGAGACCGAGATCATTATCGCCAAAGAGGTCGTCATCTCCAAAGAGGTCATCCATTCCGACGTCTTCATTGTCAAGCCCATTACCGGAGTCCTGCAGCGTGGTTCCGCTGAAGTTTTGAGCACCCGAATCGTCGCCGTCATCAGAGCCGAACTCCTCGTCCGGCAAATCGTCATCTCCGATGTCCTCAAAGTCGATCGCATCGTCCGCCTTTTCGCCCACGTCGAGTGGGCGGTTGTTGATAGAATCGAGAAAGTTCTCACCCTCTGCGGCGCCCGCTTGCGCTTGCGCGATCAGTGTATTGAAGTCAACGTCATCTGGCGCAGCGCCGCTGTTCACGGTCGGGGGAGGGTTACGATCGCCGTCCATGGTCGCGTGCGGCATCGACGAAGTTGAGAGATTAGGTTGATATTACGTCGAAAAGTTGAATCGTGCGCGGGTATAGATATAGTCGCAGAGTGCCCACCGGCGAAAGGTGAAGGCGCGCCGCAAGGCGGGTGAGTCGCTGAGGGATGCGCGTGCCGTCATTCACGCTCCCACCGTGATTCGAGAGCTTCAGAATAACATCTATAGGGCGCTCACGAGGTCGAAGAGGTAGCCGAAATCTTCTTTGGGGCGTAGTACGGAAAGATTGCCGTCGTGGTGTCGATATAGCCCGCAGGCACGCTGTCGTGTAAAGGCGATGGAGGTCGTTGCTGGCTCAATGGCCGCGGCGGCGTCACGTGCACGAATAGCGGCGCAAGGCTGAATTCACTTGAAAAGTATGATTTTCGTTCGGTGACTGTATTTCATCAATTATTTGAACCCGGGAGATATATCCGAGTGCAATATTTCCAGTGCAAGCCATTAATATGTAGTTCTTGCTGCTGTGTGCACCTGTGCTCGCTCTTAGGTTTTCATGTCATCCTCGGCGGAAATGGATAACGCCACTTGCGCTTTACATCTCCTCCATCACAAATCATCACCACTCAGGCGTCAAATCCCAATACATGCATAGCTGGTTCTGATGAAGGTCTTGTTGTAAATTCGAGATTTGACGCGTTGAAACCCGATAATAATAAAAGAATTTGTCACATAACAACAATCCTCTTAGAACGAACTACAACAAAGGTCGACTGTAATGTGTAGGCACTCAAACATTCATATTGATTGCACTAGTCTAGCAGTTTCCGATAGGAAACCTGGTCTACCTTCTTGTTCTCGCATTACGCAGCCCCAGTCTATAAGCAAAAGCAGCCTATAAGACTTCAACGCGTTCCGTGGGGAGGTTTTCCATGTCCTCGACACCGCCTGCCGACCTTTGAGCGCATTCTACCATCTCAGTCTACAGTAAATCTCCTTCCGGCACCTGGGAGGCATCGAAGTCCCCAACTTCATTACCATTGGCCGCCTCGACGACTTTTTGACCCTGATCATCTCCATCGTCCTGATCGTTCCTCGTATTCTCCCGAAGCGTACCGTAAACTCGATCGATATTCTGGTAGTAGTACTTCTCAATAGTACCTAAACCAAGAGACCACGTGTACTCTGTCTCCAGCTTGTCACGGATCGTTTTGAAATCCATCTTCAGACTGTCTCGCCACACCACGATACAGGCCTTCTTGAAGTCTATTGAGTTTTGCACCGGATTACGCTTTGCTTGGAGTGTATCGTGGCGTGCAGAGAACCTGTTGGCCATTCCGATCTTGACTTGTAGAGGATTGGGTGTAGCAGTAGTAGCAGCAGCGTCTTCAGTGCCCTCGGCCTGAGCAGAGACCGAAGGCCAGTTGACTGCGGGAACAATATCACTGAGTCGGGGAGCTCGAGACTTCCCACGTTGAAGGACGTTCTTACCAAGCGGGCCAATCTGGCTCAAAGGTTTCGCACCAAACTTCTTCGTTAGGCGCTGGAGGGATCGAATATGACGCCTTCGCACGGCTTCAGCGGTCATCTTGTCCTGCGGGAACATTTGATTATGTAGGCCTGCAACCCTTCCGTATCCTAGCTCCTGCTCGTCGCACCAATGGATGATGAGGCTGTTGCAGAAGTCTTCGGTTTCGCCAAATGGGAGGTTAGCTCGGTCAGGTACCGGCGGGATCTGACCAGGGACGAGACCAAGGCGCGGCGGCATGTTGATTGCCTTGATCGATTGATAGGGGAGTTTGGCCTCCTCTTGATCTGCCCTTGTGCGCTTCGCAGTAGGCTGGATTGGGGGTGTGATGCTACCATCAGCCTCACGTTTCTTGCCCTTGGGCGTGGCCAGGGCGCGAGGATCCTGCTTCGTGACCACGAAGCGTTTTTCCTTGCGGTTGACGCGACTGGGCTTCTCAGGAGGCGACGGCGTCGTGGTTTGGGGCGTGGAACTCTCCGGCCGGGACACACCCAGCAAGGCGAACGCATCTTGCGAAGATGGAAGCTTAGGTGTCAATATCGGTGTCGTTTCTTCCACCTTGATACCACGTTCGCTCTTCTGGTTATCGTCATCCTCGTGGTTCTCGTCGTTGTCGATAGTGTCGCCAAACTTGAATCTATCGCCGTTGTCGAGGCTCTCGTCGGAAGCGCGAGAAGAACCCATTCCGTCAATGACTTCGTTAGGAACGGACTAGCAAAGACGCGAGGCGGTCGAAGCAGACCTGTCCTTGCTCTGTCTGTGAACGAACTATTGGAATAAGTCAAGTGCTTGTGGATTGTTATATGCTCCCTTGGGCAAGCGTTGAACAAACCTACGGTACAGTGCTGGGTGCCGGCTGTGAGTTGTGATTAAAAAGTAGAAAAAGGAGAGGGGAGTGTCAACGAAGTGGTGGCTTCTAGGCGCGAAAGGATTCTGATAATGGTGAGGGAGGGAATGGGGCCCAGTTCCTGAACACTCGCCAACCTTATCCAGCTACTTTCACATTCACTCAAGGGATACCCCGTAAAGGATGAGCACCTCGCATTGTTGCGAATTAGGGGGAATGGCTATAGGGAACTGACTAAAGAGTGAAAATAATAACATCAACGAATAGTGCTATAGTGCATTGCTCTCTTAAAGTACATCTACAGACTGGCGATAGCTCAAAAGGTGGTCCTGGGACGTAGTCGCTTCTAAAACCCCATTTGAGCATTGCTACGGTACGTGTAGCGAATGTATACACAGGACATCGAACCGTTATTGACATGATCAACACGAAACACTATTAGGTGAGCGTGCATTATGACTTTGCTATAAGGGGTACTCGTTGATTTTTCTAACGACCGTCTCGACCTATCCTAGAAAACTCAATGTAATCAGAAACATCGCCGCACTGAAGTACCTTTACTAAACCAGCAATGGCTTAACTAGGACGTAGGCACTTTGTAAATCCTCTTGTTGAGTTCTTATGCGGGCCGGCACTACCTGCACTATATAACAATTATCAACTATCACGCGCAACAGTCGGGTACTTGATAGATGACATATTTATATGTTTCGGTTCATATATACAAGTAATGATTAAACACCTATATGCCAAAGCCCAACCGTTATATGCAAAGGAGTGTGAAGGAAACGCTAAAGCGAATATGTACAATATTGCAGACCAACTAGCCCAATCTCCTCTTTACATGACCACTTCATAAGCGCTCGCTTACGACCTCTCGGTGTAAGAGCAGTCAACAGGGGCATCCTCCTTGAGAGCCTTGGCAGCAAAACCAACACAGTTCTGGTTTCCACCGGGCCTCTCGTTGATGTTCAACCACACAGTGTAGCCGCCCTGGGGCGCATCAGGGCAAGCCAGGAAGCCGGTGTTCTGGCCGAAGACGAGGTTGGAGTTGTCGTCGATGGTGAAGCCAGTGCGCTCCGCGTTCTTGCCTGCGCCCTGCGCGCCAGTGGTGTACTGGACGACACCCTGACCCATGGCTGAGCGGTCGACGTACAGCTGCTGAGGAGGGCTTCGGGCGTTGAGGTAGAGTTCGCCGGATGCGAGGCGGAAGGAAGCGTAGTTTACAGGCTGGGAGCAGGATGCGTTTTGAGATGGGGTGTTGATGTAGACTGATATAAGTTAGTATGTTTTACATGCAGTGATTTCACCATCAGTACTTACGTGCACCGTTGGCAGCTTGGATGCTGGAGTAGTGGATGTCAGAGCCGGAGCGGATGGCCATGATGCGGAAGACACCGCCGTCTTTGATGTCATGCTCATTGGAGGTCTGGGCGACGGGAGAGGCGGACACAACGGCAGCGGCCGAAGCGGCAATGGCGGCGGTGGTGAACTTCATGTTGGTGGTTTGGTGGTTTTGGTGTTGAGGATTTGAGTGTGAGTATGGAAACGTTGGAAGAGGTGTCTTGATGGTAAGGTGATGAGTTTGGATTGTGATGATATTCTTCCACAGAGAACGAAGTCCAGCTCTTATATACACCTTTCGATCCTACCTCGTATCCCTTTCCCAACGCTACCTGACCCTCTCAGCCTGGTCGGCATAACGAGGCTGGTGGGCCTCGGCGGTGTGACTGTATGATACCATCCATCTATTCTGGACACGCTTGGAAATGAATGGACGTGCGCCATCCCCGAATTCCAACCCTGGCTTTGCGCGCCGGTTGTGGCGCGATCCACTCGAGTACGAGATGGCCCGAAAATTCCGACTGTGAATGACAGCGGAAGGCGATCTATTGCCGGATCAAAAAGGTACTTGCCACGACGAAGGACCGATTCAGCGTTTCAGCTTGGCGACCTAGCTGAGGCTGGCTACGGGATTACCAAATTAGGGGTTGGAATGTGCTGCCGGGGTGTTGCCGATATGCCCAAGAATAGATCACGCTATTGTCTTTCAAAGTGCAACGACAAAAAACATGGGGATGGACGACAGTTGCCGTCATATCTCGTGTTTTCTCCAGCAATTGGGTCACCTGCGCGCCCCTCTTGTACTCATCACCAGTCCAAAAACCTCAAGCCGCCAATGTGAGAAGAACAAAGATACCAGGAGTCCCAAAACATCGTCGCAGCAATATCACTAAACCTGCGAGGTACAACTTCATTAGCAGCTGAACATATCGGACAACCGCGCACATTGAACGAATGCGGCTGTCGTAGCTTCGCATAACCCTAATGTTTGGTCAAGGAGGCAAACCGGCGTATCCGCTCCACTCAATTAATTTTTGTGACGTACTTGTATAGGTAGCAATTAAAGTGGGAGCCGGCAAATGCCGACTGCTACCTCAGGTACACATTCACAGCACAAGCGCGCTTTGTTTGTTGTTGCTAAAGGGGGGCATATAACAAGCTGGGTGCAAATGCATGAAGAGTCCAGTTCTACTTACACTGCTGCAGTTGGACAAGATGAGTTGCGATGAAACATGTCTAGTTATTGGGGATAAATGCATAATATTCCACAGAAGTTGTCCGTTTAGTCAATTAAGTGTACAAGCTAGAAGTAGAGCTTCCTGCGCCATATCACTCTCATCGCTGCACTACTCATGTAAGCCCGACCTCGTTTTCAATGCATCACCCAAGTGAGGATATCTGCAAATGCAAGCCTGTCCACGCTGTACACATGCTGAATCTCGCCAGTCCCTTCCAGTGGTATCCAAACTCAATTACTCATCCAGATACCCAATCTTGCAAAATTGATTCAAACTCCGAACATCCAATTGCGCAGTAAGCAACGCACCAAGCAATGTTTCTTTCCTCGGCAATATGTCCGATTTAACCTTCCATGTACTTCTATTGAAGTCAAGAATCTCCATATCATCCTCATCCTCGTCGTTATCGTGATTAATTTGGCCATTGGTCTGTACGCCTTTGACCAACGACTCGCCACCCTTGCTCTTATCGCCTAATCTTTTCAGCGTACTCAGCGCGCGATGAACAATGAGTTGAAAGCCCTCTCGGTCATGGTCCATAGGTCTTTGGCCACGCTGGTTGGGCGGCGGAGGTGGGGGTTGGATAGCCGCGTCAGTACTAGAGAGACTCATTGCGAACTTGAGTAAGCTATGTGCCCAGCCATCTTGCGACTCCAGCCAGCTCCGACATATTCCACTTTCCGGTCCAGGGGCTAGGCTGGCGAGAATGTCTGCGGCAAGCATGCCCTGCATCAGATACGCTTTCCGTGACTCCGCAATACGCGCTTCGAACATGCGGACTTCTTTGGGTCGTGGTTCTTTCATTGCGTACATGCGATTTTCGATGTAGTTGCGATCGGGTACGACGGAGATGGCTAGGGCGAATGAGCGTGTTAGAAGGTCGTAAGCGGGTATTGAAGTTGCTTCATTGACGAAGATCTGCTTGTAGTACGTCCGGTTGGGGTCGTCGCGAGCAAGTAGTTTTGCTAAGCTGTCAACGGCGGATGGGAGATAACGATGGATCTGCGGGTTGAAGGGTGTGAATTTGACCGGTTCGCTAGGGCGAGGACAAGGGGCGAAAGCACACAGGAAATGAAGAACAGCATACGCGTCTTCGCGGGAGGGTAGTACAACCTTAGCGCTTGTGTTGGAGAAGAATGTGATCACGTCCTTCATGAAGTCGAAGGTGTTGATATGTGATCGTAGAAGCAGTACGCGGGTCCCAACAAGCCGTATGAAATTGGCGAGAAACTTGAGTACAGCAGGGCTAACGAGGGAGTCATGGTTGACCTCGAGGAAAGAAAGATTTCGGAAGATTGTGGTAATGGCAAGCAACCGGTCCGCAGTTCGGTCGAGGAGATACGCCTGTGTCCCAGCTTCTGGAAACTCTTGCAACGTTGCGGCCTCTGCGCGACAATGATGTAAGACGTCCTCATACGGCGTAAGATCCAGAATATCTGTAACCTCGGGATTGTCGTTCCCAAGAATATCCAATTGGTCTTCCGCAAACTCGACCAGTACATCCGTTAGGTCCTCGCAATGCGATAGATTGAACTGTACAGTGTTGTCGTACGTAATTCTTGTGAGTGTGTCTAACGCAAGTCTAGTCTCGGCATGAAGTCCCGATCGAAGACTCATTGTGAGAGCTCTGATATCGATAACGCCCATCTCTGGCAATAAAGGAACGTTCGGCTTGTAGTTGGTGATGGTGTCAATCATGTTCTTGAAGTTGTCTGAGTCAAAATCTAGACCGCCCCAGGTATCCTGCGTTCGATACGCGGGTTGGTATACTCTGGTGCCATCATCTTGTTCGATTACTGGTTTCCGCTTCTCAGGTTCCTCTACAGCAACTGCAGCTGGCTCCGAGGTGGCAGCGTTTTCCTCCTGTTTTAATGGTGATGATTGTGTCTGACTTGACTCCTGTCCTCGAGTGGGTGTTCCTTCCAACTGCCGGCTCAAACTCTTCCGGGCGTTTCCGTCAGGCTGAGGTGTGGTGCCGTTGACATTCGGAAGCGCAGCATTACTTTGTACCGGCGTCGACTGTAGTGGCTGCGTTGAAGGGTCGTATTGCTGTTGTGGCTGTTGTGCCGGCGGTACAGATTGCCGTTGATGTTGTTGCTGCTGTTGCTGCTGCTGCTGCTGTTGATGATGCTGCTGCTGCTTCATCGCTTCCTGAGATCGTTGCAATTGCTGAAGGTATTCTTGCTGTGCAGATACGTTGTTCTGTTGTCCCGGCACAGTTGGCCGTGTTGGTGACATCTGTTGACCCATCTGTCCCATGGGTCCCATCTGTCCTGGCTGCGGTACGGCTTTCATCTGTTGCTGTCTTTGCATAAAGGCATTCTCATAGATGCCCAAATTTGCTTCATATATAGCGCGCAACTCTTCAGGGGCGCCGGGGAATTGCTGCGTGTTTATGCTTATCATCTGCGCAATTCTTGACCAGGCTTGCGACTGCGTAACGTAGCGATGGCCCTTGTACCGCAATACTATTGCGTACAGGTTCTGGAGGTTGATGGGGCGACCGGCGCACGATGGCTGGGGATTGAACGGCCGACCATGCTGAGCCATCAGCGCACCAACGTTCTTGATGAACTGCTGGAACTGATGGTGAGGATTCTGTTGCTGTTGCTGTTGCTGCTGTTGCTGCTGCTGCTGCTGCTGTTGTTGCTGTTGCTGTTGCTGCTGCTGCGCTTGCATCATGTTCGGTTGCATGCCAAGATGTTGCATTGCGCCGGGCATCTGACCCGTCTGGTGTCGCTGTTGTGCAGCCATATTGCTTGCAGCCAGGTTTCCTAGCTGTTGCTGTTGTTGCGCTTGAGCTTGTAAACGCATGGCATATTGTCTTTGCGCCTCCTGCTGTCGACTCTGTAGATTCTGCGACAGTTGGACTGACTGGACCGGGAACTGCCCGCCAGAACTCGGCGGGAAGCCTTGATTCATGGGTGAACCTTGGAAACCCATGGGGGACATCTGCGGCGCATGGGGGTTTTGCGCGGGCGAGGCGGTCTGCATTCTCTGGGGCCCCAATTGACTAGGCGCAAAGTTCTGGTTTTGCATGGTGGGAGAGGGTGTGTGGGTGAAGGCCTGCTGCTGCTGGAAGCCAAACTGGGCTTGCTGCGACGGGGTTTGGGAGCGGGAAAGAGACAGGGCGGCGCCGGCGGAGTCGCGCTTTTGGGGTATCGACGACATTGGATAGGATCGCGTGCCATTCATCTGGGGGTTCACGATTGCGCTTGGGTCGATGAAGCTCGAAGGATCGTACATGCCATTCTGGGGCGATTGGAAGTCCATGATGCGCGGCTATCCCGAGGGTCTGTAGGCGACAGTCGAAAGCGTAGGAGCGCGTCGCGAGGGGGGTGACAGTAGGGCGATGGGCGTGCGCAAGTGCATTCAAACCACCTAAATAGCGACCCGTCAGCAAGCATGTTGATGTTTAGATGAACGCGACAAAAGTCGCCGTACTCGGACGAGGCGAGGCAGGCGTAGGATGGGCACGCAGTGGGAAGACGGAAAAGTGAGAGAAAGCATACCGCGCGACAGTAGACTCAGGCCAACGCTATCTGCTCATCAGGGCCGTACGGGAAATAGTCGGCTTGGGATGCGGTCGATAGCTTCACGTACCGCAGACGCGCTTTGCGGGCTATGGTTGATGTGAGCGGACAGCAGAGGGCAGATTCGCCTTAGTCAGCCAGCCTCTAAGCCTTTCCCGGCGTCACGAGACTGCCCCAGCAAGCGTCCTCGACGTCTACACAGCGCTGCAACACCTTGACAGCAGCCGACGACGACGACGACGACGACGTCAAAGCCAAAACAAAATAAGCCGCCCTTCCGAAAGCAGGCAACGTCACATAGGGACCCCAAAGACGCGTTCGCGCGTTGCGACAACCAGTCGAGTGGCTGCGTTGCCGGCATTCACAAGCCTAGCCTAACTCAATTCGAATTCTCCGGGTCATTTGGCCGTTGTGCCACGGAAACACACATGTCTCTCTCCACTTATTACATGACCTTGTTCCTGCAGACATGGCGCGTTTGTTATCTGGAGCTGGACCACAGAGTGGGCGAAGACCCAGACCGATCGACTACCGTCTCACCCACCCGAGCCTAACACACAAGCACCTCCTCTCTTTTGACACTTTATTACTCGTCTTGGGGATTCTTTGACATGGCAGCCTCTGTAGATTCGAGCGTGTTGAAAAGGCGCGACTAGTATGCCTGGGGCAGCCCCAAAGTCCTGTTCCGCCTCATTGATAGCCGACTTCGAAGGCTGTACAAGGGCTTGGGTCTATTCATTAGTATGTTGGCGAGCCCGACTCTGCAGGGTGCCAGAAACGGCTTGAACCCGGCCTGTTGTGTGAATTCAGTGCTGGTAATCTCAGTGCAGTCTGATTGGGCTCCCAAAAAGAGCTGTCGACCGTCTCAAGAGTGAATCCACCTATCTCGTCCTGTTCGCCAGGTGTGCTTCCCATTGCGGTGATCGTCGTTGCACGTGATATCGGAGCTTGGGCGTTTCGTATCCCGACGCCGCCTTCCATGAGCTTCGTCAACATTGCGACTGACAAGCAGCGCACCCACACCGTCCTCGACAGCCAGCCTCCAACCAACAACGACAGCATCCCACTGACTGCAGATCCCCTTCGCTTGCCTCTCACGAGCCTCTCAAGAAACCATCCGCCATGGCTGACGCCGCCGTCGAGAACCCGGCCAACACAGTCCCGCCGCATAAGAAGCAGCTCCCGTCATCGATACCAAACTTCGATACGCTAGAAGGCTTTTCGACAGAGGGGAGCGACGACTATTCCAACTTCAAGAAGCTTCAACGGCAATTAGAGTAGGTTGCCGTGCGCCCGTTTGCCTGAAGCAACGCGTGGCTAACCGTCACAGGTACATTCATCTCCAAGAAGAGTACATCAAAGATGAGCAGCGGAGTCTGAAGCGAGAACTGGTGAGGGCGCAAGAGGAAATCAAGCGGATTCAGAGTGTACCGCTGGTGATAGGGCAGTTCATGGAAGCCATCGACCAGAAGTACGTGCCACGCCCAAGACAGCGCTTCGTCGCAAGGCTAACAAGCGCAGCACGGGCATCGTACAGTCGTCAACTGGTTCAAACTACGTCGTCCGGATCCTCTCGACCCTCGATCGCGAACTCCTCAAGCCCTCGTCATCTGTCGCCCTCCACCGCCACTCAAATGCCCTCGTTGACATTCTGCCCCCGGAGGCCGACTCCTCCATTGCCATGCTCGGCCAGGACGAGAAGCCCGACGTCACATATGCCGACGTTGGAGGTCTAGACATGCAGAAGCAGGAGATACGAGAAGCCGTCGAGCTACCCCTCACACACTTTGACCTATACAAGCAGATTGGTATCGATCCCCCACGCGGTGTGCTGCTCTACGGACCCCCAGGTACGGGAAAGACCATGTTGGTCAAGGCCGTCGCGAACAGCACAACAGCGTCGTTTATTCGTGTAGTGGGCTCCGAGTTTGTGCAGAAGTATCTTGGTGAGGGCCCGCGTATGGTTCGCGATGTCTTCCGAATGGCGCGCGAGAACTCGCCGTCCATCATCTTCATCGATGAGATTGACGCGATTGCCACGAAACGTTTCGACGCGCAGACGGGTGCCGACAGAGAAGTGCAGCGTATCTTGCTCGAGCTGTTGAATCAGATGGACGGCTTCGACCAGACGTCGAATGTCAAGGTCATTATGGCGACGAACCGCGCGGATACCCTAGATCCCGCGCTCCTTCGACCGGGTCGGTTGGACAGGAAGATCGAGTTCCCATCACTCCGTGATCGTCGCGAGCGCCGCCTCATCTTCTCAACAATCGCGAGCAAGATGAGCTTGTCGCCGGAGGTTGACCTGGATAGCTTGATTGTGCGTAACGACCCGTTGTCGGGTGCTATTATTGCGGCGATCATGCAGGAGGCGGGTTTGAGGGCTGTGCGGAAGAACAGGTACAACATCATCCAGGCTGATCTGGAGGAGGCATACACAAGCCAAGTCAAGGGTGCTGCTGAGGCGGACAAGTTTGACTTTTATAAGTAAGCGAGTCGCCTACGGGGGCGGGGGGAGGGGAAATAGAAGGAGTGGCTTTGTACACTATGATAGACTTGGTCTCACGGGGCGCGTATAATGACCTGCGAGCCTTCATAATGCGTCAGATCCCCAATTCGCAGTGCAGTTTGATGGATGTCTACCTTGTAATACCTTTAAGTGACCAGTCAGTCAATCACGAAATGAAGACGCGAAAGTAAAAGTATGAATATATTCAAGTGATTCCATCTATCTACCCGATAATCGCCCTCACGCCTAGTCCAGTCCAATCCAGTCCAATCCAATTCATCGCACTCGCCATGTCCAAACACACTTCCTCGCTCACCACACACACAATAACGCTCTACTACAAAACCGCCATTATCGCCTAAAGCCCCCCTCTCTACAATCACCAATCGCTATCCTACAAGGAAGAGAAATAGGCGCACACGCTACATACACACAGAGACGAAAGAAGAAAATTCGAGGCTAATCTAAGTTTCCACCCACGATGTAAGCTAGAACGAAGAGAAAAGGGAGGAAGGTTGTTATTGCAGGACGTTCAGGCAATACACAGCTAGTGCTGAGAGGGAGAGAGGGAGAAGGCTACATGATAACGATGATTTGAGCAAAACCCCCAAAAAAAGAAAAGAAAAATTGGACAACAGATGGAAACAAAGGAGAAAATTGGAGTGAGCAGCATCAAACCCCGCATAAAGCGGTGGATATCTTTCTTGCTCATGGTATCATGCATTCGCAAACGCAGGGAAGAAAACATATGGAAACAAGCAAAGGCCCAAATGCATGTGCAAAAATGTAAAAAGAGCTCCGTGTATGACAATGAGAAGATAGGCGGACTACACAGAGTGCTCAATGTCGTGCACCTCCAATCTCCTGGCAGACGGGTATAGTTCAGTTGACGTGCAGCGTAGTCTCCAGTGGGGTACGCGGCAACTCCTTATTCCGCGCCGGACTTCTCCCCCTCCTCTCCTTTGGTGGCGTCGGCGGTCCAGAGTCTCTATTGTTGTTCATATAGGTGTCGTCTTTCGGGGGTGTGGGCGGTCGTCCCTCACTACTTGCTGTCCCTGAGTCCTTTGGAGGCGTAGGTGGCGGACGGCCATGCGATTGGTCTCTTTCCCCGGACCTCGACCTCCATCTTGAGCTCGAGTTGAGTTGTGGAGGACCGAGGTGAGTTTCTTTCAATGGTGGTGGTAGTGGAAAGTTCAGGGTTTCATTGCCGTTGGCCGTATCGTCGGATGCACTGCGGTTACTTCGCCCACCTACGCTTGACGATTCACCGGCCTCTTCGACGACGGGGAGAGTAGTTCCTATTTCCCCTCGCTCAGCAGACGGACTCCTTACGGCCCTCATCTCACGGTTTGGTACATCTTCCTCGCTGCGTCCACGCTGTCTCGAGCGCTCAGCTTGATGCTCCGCCTTCTCCATGACTTTGTCGGTGGACGACCGCGACACCGTGTTGATGTTGTGAGTCGAATCACGGATGGGGTTTGCGGCTTCTTCGCGCTTTTCACGGTCCGCTGCTTCACGAGTCTTGGTTACGCCGCTGATGAACTTTACGAAGCGGTCACCGTAGCGCTCGGGAGGGATGGCAGAGATTTGCGACTCGGTGTTTGCGAGCCCTTTGAAGAAATGCTCCATGCGTTTAACGATGGAGTACTAGTAAAAGTTAGCTAACTCGTACTTTCAAGACTAGGCGTCGCGAAAGGCTTACGTGTGTGAGACAATCGATGATGCCCAGGTAGTAGATTTCCTCCCCAGGGGCATCGTCCTCGTGTGTAGCTCGGAAGCCACCATCCTCGGAGTAGAAGTAAAGGTTCCTCTTAGCATCTTGTAGCTCATCCGGCATCTTGCTTAACGTCTGCTCCATGGGCACCGGCTTCTGTGTCTTGACCATTTGTCTCAACTCCCTGGCCTTTCGTGCGCTCTCTAGCTTCGAAGGCGTCCGCATGAGCTGGTTAGGCTGTGGATCCGGTGCTTCCTCACCTCCTGGTGAGAAAACTTTCAATGTCTTGTCGCGTAAGTTTTCTTCGTTGCCCTTCTCCAAATCGTGGATACCAATGAGAAGCGAGTAATCCATGATGTGGAGTTTTTGTAGAAGTTTCACGTCCTTTTCCATCTGCTCAATGAACATGTTCTTTTTGGTCGGCCCAAACTCGAGGTGCAGATTTCTTCGCAACCAATTGAGGTCTTTGAGGGTTGCGCGTGGGTTCGCGGCCAACTCCTCTTCCTTGAAGTCTCGTCCAATAGTCGATCCCTTCAAATCAAATGTAGTGTGAATGTCTCGATGTGGGGGAAATAGGTTGTTCATGACAACGAAATGGATTTTGCGTCCATAGGGTATCTTTACGCGATGTAGGCCGTAGAACTGGGAAAGAAGCGTGTTGGGGTTCTCTTGTACGTGGTTGTAATAGTCCTTTAATATCTTCCGAAGGAACTTGTGTTCAGCGTGATGGATCGTTTTGATGATGTATTTGTAGTCTCGGGAGAAATAGAAGAAGCTGCCACTCTTGCCGGGTGAGCCGAGCTCGGAAAGAATGTACTTGCTCGTTAGTGATACGAGGTAGTCGGCTGGGTCTAGCTTGAAGGTGGAGCGTAAATGGCGGAAGACCCATGGCGCATAGTCTTTGAACTTGAAATCATACTTGGCAGAAGGCGTAAGCTCGTTGCCAGTTATGTCAAACGAAAACTTGTGCTTCGCATCGAAGTCGGCGTCGGTGAGCTCTCGGTCCATCTTGGCGTTCGTTCTCGACACGGTGAATCGAATCCCTGTTAGCATGTTGTAGGCTGTTACCCAATTGACATGGTTCTGGTCCACCTTGGTTCCCACTACTACGCGGTCATCGTCGTCGTCGTCCTCTTTCCTCTTCCTCTTACTGGCCCGCTTCTGTCGGATGTGCTCTGCCCATCGCGCCGCATCGTCGTCTTGCGGTACCTCATCCAGGTGCATATCCGAGTTTACAGACCGCGTGGTTCTCCGCACCAGAGACATGGAGCCTCTCCGGCGTTGCGGCGTGCTGGGCGAGAATCTGCCACTTGCGCTGACGACGTCGTCGGTGTTATTCTGCTGTTCGCGAGTGCGGGAAGTAGCGAGCTTGGGCACCTCCAGCGTGTGACGCTGCTGCAAACGATGGGGATGCTGTGATGGGGCAGGACTAGTGTGGTTGAAGGCAGCTGGAGAGGAGACGCGGTACGGTTGGGTGGGTACTTGTAGGTTTGCAGCCGTCTCGCCTGTCTCAGGCTGTGGTAGCGAGGGCGGGGGCGAGGTTGGATGGGGGATGAAGTCTTTGCGGGCTTCTTTGGTGCCATCAGACGAGTTGAGTTGCCCTAGCTGCACCCTGGTTGTGCCACCGAACAGGTCTTTGGTCTCGCTGCTGTATACCGAGGCGAAGTAGCCGTCGTCTCTCCTAGGCGTCTCGTTCGAGTTCCCGCGGCTATTTGGTGACTTGCTGAGGCTCTCGGAGTCGCCGTAGTCTCCTCTACCGCGCGCTGAGGGGCCCTCTTCATGTGACAAACGCTTCTCCATGCTAGACGGCTTGGTAGGGCGGCCGTTGGGCACAGATTGCATCGAGGTCCCATTGGGCAACTTGACGTTCATCTTGGTGGTGTTGCCATTGGGAAGTGGGCCCTCCCTGTTGTCCCTTGTTGCTGGCGATCTGTCTGAAGGGGAGCGCGCGGAGGTAGTGGATGCTGATTGTCCGAATGCGAAGGAGGCGAGGTCATTGTTGTCTGAAGCATACGAGGGCATCATCCGAGACTCATGGATGGTTACGCTCATCAAAGAGGCAGCCTTCCCCGAGAGCTGCGGAGGAGGGGTGGAGGAAGCGTGAGAAGCCAGTGTTGGGAGGTTGTGGCTGATTAACGCGGGAGCAGAAGACAAAGTACCGAGGCGAGGCGAGGCAGCGGACGAAGAGGACGGCTGAGAGCAACTCGGGCGGGCGGGCGTAGGGGTGGTAATGCAGTGCAGTTGGGGTCGCAAGAATGGGAGTGTGATATGCTCGCGGAGATGGAGCGCAGACGATGCTCAAAAGTCCCAAGACTTGGAATCCTCGTCAGCGCGGGTATCCGGTGCAACACGCTTGGCGCCTGGTCTGTGCCGATTATTGCATGCGCAGAGAGTAACAGAAAACAAGTTGGGCAGCCCTGATCTTCATTCAAAAGGGGACGATTGCAGTGCAGCTGGCGCCGTTAGCACATTTATCGCGCTTTTTTTTATTAATTCCCCAGCGTGTGGTCAGCGTCTCACAGCCACTGCAGCAAGGCGACTCATCGACGTGCTTGTTCCCAGGGGAACTACTCGGGCGCCATCACAGCAGGAAATTGGATCAGCTGGATTAGGAACAGACGGCAGCCGCCCGTCAGGATTCCATGGAGAATTCCAGAAGCCGCCTCCATTCAGGCGTTATGCTGTGGTGGCTGCCCCGGCTCTCTGTTCCTAAAAACAATTCGTCCCTCCATCCTCATCCTCCCCAGGCGGCCAGGCCTATAGCCAAAACAGGAGAGCATACACTAACTACAGGCACACCTTGTCCGACTACGCTTATTACCCTGCCTGCCCTGCCACAAACGTCGCTCGGAGCACCGGGCATGAAGGGAGCCGCTGGGCTGGCAATTCATCTTAGTCCGACACGACGCCTGCGCTAACGCGTCATCTGTCGACCTGCGCCACATTCTCTGCATACGGGTTCCACGCTCTATCGTACGACGACGACGCTAATCATTGTATACATGCGAGCTGTATTGCTCGTCAATAGGGAATAGGCGGTCTGAGATAGCGACTCCACGACAAACTTCAAGTCCCCGCATGTCGGCACGCCGTTTCCCGTGCATAGGCCCTGCTTGACTCTTGGGAAATACGTCCTTTCTTCCCGGGCTACCGGCCATGTTTCGCTCCTCTCTCATAATAGCCAAGTAATATATACACAGTACCTACTTCTGGCTCTCTAAACACTCTCGCCCTCGACCACACATCCCCCCATCCCGTACCTCTGCTGTGATGAGAAACTAACGTATGCTCGCTCACAAGCTCGATTTGGAAAATTTGGCTGTCCGTCGGATCAAGTGGTTCAAAGCTTGATCAGGCACAGCGGGTACCCTGTGTGTGTGGTCCGATCTTCATTTCCCCATGGACGTCGGGGGCGGTAACAGACCAGACCATCCCATCTCATCTCATCTCACCCTCGTTCAATTCGGTGCTGTTCACCTGAAGCTAGGCTAACCACCACTGTCTTCATAGTATTCTTGCTTTTACTGCCATGTCCTTGTTGCAGCATTTCCTTGACCTCGTCGACGGCGTGCTGCCCGATGCGAGTTTGCATCACCGCCCATCCACGGTTGTCTTTTTCCGCGTCGTGGGCAGAGATCCACGCTTTAGCATACAGGTTGTAGGCGATCTCTAGGCCTCCAGGCGATCCAGCAGATATGTTTCCGCCAAGCCACCAAGGGTTTTCGACGCAGTCGAAGGAATGTAGCAACGCGGTCAAGGGGAGAGCTGCCTCGGACACAAGATGCGAGGTTGCGTATGGACGAATGATGTCGTACGAAACGCCATGTGGCGAGTAAATCACGGACAGGGTCTTTTCGCGGTCGTTATAGGGGGCAGGCACAATGGTGCGAGGGGAAGAGGCTATCGTCATGGGTGATCCTGGAGATGCGGGCGGGCTCATGGGCAGGTCGAGATAATGTGCCGAGTTTCCCAACGAGAGCACCGTGCATGGAGGGCGGTAGGTGATGCCAATCGCATGGTGTACTCCAGCAATGTCTCGTTTTGCGGGCATCCATGTCACTGTGACTTGACCGCATGATCCTCGTGGCGTTGGTGGTGGCAGTACGATGCGATAGATGGACTGTGCATCTCCCTCTACGTACTTTGGCAAAGCGTGTACCAGTTCAGGGCGGAAGTGCTTCCATGACCGAATCTTCTTGGCTGCAGGCGGTATGGCGAGGATGGTCGACTCGCAGTCTGGTGGCAATTGGCGGAGAGTTTCCTCGTGGCAGTGATCTGGCTTGTGTTGGGAGATGAGGATCAGGTCTGGTTCATGGTCGAGCTCCTTGAGATGGGAAATGCATGGTTGTGCTTTCTGCTCCGAGATGGAGAAGATGGAATTCAGGATGATTGACGGGCCGACCAACCATGGATCGAGCAGAATGGTGAAGGAGCCCGGGAAGAGGCCGGGGGAAGAGAGTGGGGCGACGGGAGGGCTGAAGACGAGGAGGAAGCTCGTGTCACCGTTCAGCGACTTGACGGACAGAGACATGTCGACTTGCACGCAAAGCGTACGGCGTCGACAATGTAGAAGGCATGAGGAAGAGAAGAGAGGAGAGGAGAGCAGGCTTGGGCTTGGGCTTGGGGATAACCTTGGAAGCAGAGGCAGAACGTCAGCCTGCAACGGTGTGGACGTTGGACGACGCCACACACGGGAAGAGCAGCAGGTCTACGCGAGAACGGCAGCGGCAGACGAGGGAGGAAGTCGCAGACGAAAGAGGAAGTCGCAGACGAGAGAGGAAGTCGCAGACGAGGACGGGTGGTGGTGTGTGTCGATAAGAATAGAACAGCATCAATGTCTCTCTCCAATTCCCAACAAACAATTTCTTTCTTCATTCTGGCAACTGCTTGATCAAAACATTCTCCATGGCCGCTGCGCTGACTTCTGTTCGCTTTCTATTTGCTTCCCTGGTCGCCTCTTTCGTCGCTCTGTTGTCGCGGACTCTCGGCCGGCTGGCTGTAGCTAAACACACCCATCCGTCACCAGCACTACCGGGTCCCACATGTGCGCTCACTCAATCAAGGGAACAGGAAACCCGGCGCCGCCAATGTCGCCGGCTATGGCGGTCGCGGATTGGAGCGAGCAGCGAGAGGCGTGGAGGGTGGAATGTGTAATGCACGGCCAGTCATATGCCTGACCCGGTTTTTGTCCAGGAACAGCTGAGTGGGAGCTTGGGAGAGCTTTGCAGCACCTGGGGCTCCGAGCTATCCAACGCAAACGAATGCACAGTCAATGCTTCTGCTTTCCAGTAAAAGTGCATGCAGTTCCCAGCCTGTCTGCTCTGCTGCTGCTGCTGCATAATCCATAGCCAATTTGGCCTTTTTGTCAGAAGTTTCGGCCGGCACAATCAAACAGACGTCAAAGGGCAGTCAGTCAACCCCGCGCTACCTCTAACCACCACACCTTACACCCCTCACCACGCTTCCGCCGCCCACGACAGAAACCCTCTTCCAAGCTCCAGCTTGGCCCCAAACCGCATGAAATCTACTCGTCCAAACGTCCCAACCTCGCCTGCAGCTCGCTGATAGCTTCTCGTGCCTGTGCCTACCCTCCTGCAGCTTCCCTCCAGCTACCCGCCTCCCATTGCTCCGCCCGCACCTCGCACGGCCCGACGAGGATAGGATTAAATGCTGGCCATGCCGCCCTCGCGCGCGCCGTTAACTGGGACCTTCTCCGTCTCGGACGAGAATCATGTCGTCGTCTGCCCCCTTCGCAACCACGATGCCTCGGCGTGCCGGAAGCGCTGCACTGGTGTAAGTAGTCGTGACGCCTCTGGAGCTGCAAGGCGCAAGCTTCATCACTCCACCGGGCAGAGCTTGCTAACACAACATGTGCAGGAGAAGAGGTTTAGATCTATGCAGGAGCACATCCGCCGTGCAGTACGTCTCCCACACCACATAGGAAGCATGTGAGACGCATACTGATTCTCTGCTCCAGCATCCGGAATACTACATAGCCAAGTTGCCGGTACGTAGCGTCCATGTACCCTCAAAGCGAAGCCTGCGCTGACCTCGTCCCTATACTTGCAGGCGACAGAAGAGTCATTCACCTTGATGGTCAATACTCCGCCACAAGAGCGCCCTCCTCCACCTCCACTCGCGACGAGCTCGGCAAACGCACAAGGTTGGTCGCCACCCCCCTCGGCAGCGGCATTCGCTCACAATGGCAAAGGGTACGGAGGCGAGGAGCTCAATGCCTTCTTCGAGGGCGACTACAGCCTGAATGGTCCTCGCACATCCGACGAACTACGAAGACCTAGCTTGCTGCCAGCTGCTACCGCTGCCGCGGCTCTCGCATCGTTACACAACCACCGCGCCGAATATGACTGGGATTCAGATCCGGTACGGAGCCATATAGCAGCTAACCCGCATGATGCCTCGCTAACAACGGCTGTGATCAGGATGCGCCGTCGGAGCCAGAGTCGAAGAGCTACAGACCCCGCGCACGATTCGCCCCTACCCCCATCGAACAGCATGTATCGACCGAAGAACCCTACTACACATCTACGTCGATACACCGCGAACTGCTACCGTCGTCGCTCGCGCAATCGCCCCCCGGACGCTCCTCCACGCTGCCACCAGGTCGCTCTGTAAAGCCAAACAGACCCCGCAAATCGTCAGTAGGGCAGAATGCTCGCAAGGGAAAGCACGAGCGGCAGAAATCAAAGGACCATAACCGTAGAATGAGCTATGATAGGAAAGCATTCTCTGCCGAGCCGGCAACCGCTGCAGCCATCATGGGCAAGCGATGGGAAGACCTAATCGATGCCGCAGCTTCAGCAACCGAGGAAGATAGTCGAGACCTCACTCCGGTCAGTGCAACGTTCCATTGCACCTTCTTGAACTAATCGTGACAGGTTCCGCAATCACCCCACCAATCCCCGCATATGATGAACAGCCGGACGTCTCTCCCGCCCTTTTTTGCTTCACAACTCCAGTCGTACACTGCGTCGCCGCTGCAAAACACCTTGACACCTCCGCCGCCGGACATGTCCGAGCTACAGCCCTTTCCCTCGGTTGAATCTTCCATCGAGTCGGCAGTGTCTGGCCAAAACTTCCACATGCCTACCCACGGCCTCTCGGACTCGTCTCCGACGTTTCCATTTCCCGTGCAAATCTACTGCGCCGCTTGTCGAAAGCTATCCATTCTCAGAGACAGCTATGCTTGCACCGAGTGTGTCTGCGGATTATGTCAGGACTGCGTGGATGTTTTGATCAGCGAACACACTCGAGGCAGAACACCGAGATGCCCCCGGTGTAATGCCATTGGCGGCAAGTTCAAGCCTTTTCAGCTAGACATCAGATGATTCAGCTTTTGTTTCCTTTTCGTCTCGGATTATTCAATCTTTTCATCATTACCAGGCGTTGTCCACCACGATCTCTTTCTAGGCTTTGTGCCTTGTTTCCAGTCATTCGTAGACGTCGCCAGCACTGCAGGCCAGATGGCGTTCTTGTTGTTTCGCGTGGGATATTGCATAGACTTTGAACAAAATCTGGGATGGCGTTTGGTTTCAAGCTGTGTCGAAAATACCCCGCTTGGGTATAGGCACCTTCTGAGTCGAGGTTGTGCATGGAGATGGATCATGTAGATGTTGCTTGTCGAATGCCACACATTTTGAGATGTGGCGCATCGCTTTACAGTCTAAACATAAAACGTCTTCGATCAGCACTTGACACAGCTTCGCCGACTCACAGCCTGTGGTTGTGATTGTCTACATTGGGGACAAGATGCGGTGAGTCAGGCGTGGTTTGGCGTCGAGGTTAGTGTCTGACTCGACTCGGGGTTCGTGGGTGCAAGCTCTGATGTTGCCTCATTACTACTCTACCTGCAACGGTGGACTACTCGAACAAAACAACTTCGTATCATCGAGTCGAGACACGCAAAGGCCAAAGTGCCGAACAGCCCGACGTTTACGAGGTGCAATTTTAAAGGGTCTCGTTTGCTGTGGATGCACTTCGGCACATGAAGGTCTCGGTCCCAGATTACCAACGGGTTTTTTTCTATTCTTGAAACGAAAGGGGGCCGCGGAGCAGCTAGTCGCTTCGTATCGTCGTGAACCACCACCATCGTCGATTGCGAGAAGAGGATACTTTTTCTTCCGGGGCGACGGCGGGCCTACGGTCAGAAGAAGAAAAATTGAATTCTGAACGCGGGAAACGTTTTGGGGTTTTCGTGGGTAGTGTGACTCGCGCCAGACATCTCATGACCTCCCTCCCCCCTTTCCACGTTGCGACACCCAATCGCACGCCTTCCATTCCACAAACATCAGACTTGCGCAAGGCCGAAGCAGAAAGACTGCCAAACTGCAACAACAACAGGCGGTGAGGGCTGTTTTTTTTTTGCCTCCACAAAGCGGTAAGATAATTGGCAATTGTGACTAAACTTTCCCGCCGCCCCACTATCCGTCTGTACCCACGTGTATGGCCATCGTGGCTTTCCCAAAAGGGAAGAGGGGGAAGACCTCGTGTCCAGGTCACAAATACACATGGTTCTACGGACCTTACTTCGGCGGGAACAGCACCGGGCCCCAAATGCAGGGGAAATCTAGGTCAAGGTGACGCAGCAGCGACAAGTTGCTACAGGTACAAACCACCAAGCAACCCTAATCAAGTGATCGGCACTGTGCAAGTGCAGGGACCCCCCTATTTCAGTGGAGAAAGCGTGCGGTCTGGAGCGTTTGAAGGCCTGTCTCGAGCTTCCTACCCTACTGCGGGATTGTATTGAGTTTGGACTTGGCTCTTGTGGGGATAAAATCTGCATTTCTAGTCTTTTTCCCGGAAGATCGAAAGGAGCGTGGAGGATCGTTTTATGTGTGTGTATATTGGGTGACTTGGGTATATAGGGTGGGTTGGGTTCGTGTTTCTTATTTTCCTTTTCTGATCGCTTGTCGTTCGCTCTCGTTCACTTTTGTACATCCCATCTTCACATTCGCTTGCGCTTGGGATTATTATCACGATAGCTTTCTACGATTACTACGATTACGATTATAATAACGACTACCTACTACTGCTACTACTATAACGATACTATACTCTACTGTACTTGGTCAACCTGCGCAAAGAAAGACAGACAGCTATCAATCCATAATGCCACTTCTACGCACCCTCACCACCAAGATCAAAACCGTCATCTCACCCTCCGCCTCGCCTACTTCCTCGGCCGAATCTTCTCCGACGTCCCCACAAGTCTCGTCCTTTGAGGTGGTGAATGGCCGGAAAGAAGGAGCTATGGCTATCAAGCGGCCTGAAACGTACCCAAGATCAGATTCCTTCATGACAGACGCGTCCAACGCGTCCAGAGAGAATGTAGATTATGCGGAGAAGAAGCATAGGATGAGTCGGTTTAGGGAGGAGTTGGATGTTGGGTATGAGTGATTTGAGCATGCCAGCGAGCTGGTTAGGTATGTCTAATGCGCTCCTTCTCTCCCTGATACTCTACAAATGCTAATATGTCCGTAGCTCTTCACAAAATATGAGCTTACGCTCCTTCGGCTTGTACCTCTGCCTCCGCATCACCTTGCACCGGCGTCGCGGTTCCGCTCTTGGGCGGTCCACGGGGCGGCCCTCCAGCTTTCGGTGGTGGCGGTAGTACGCTGCCCTTCTTTGGCGCATAGTCCTCTTCCAGACTCTTCTGTTCGCCCTCCTTGAAGTAATCATCCAAGCCACCGCCCTTACTAGGACTTACCACCGGATGCGCTCGTCCCTTCCTCTTCGGCGGCGCGTTGCCTGGCGGAGGTGGGGACTTGGACGGCAGTGCCAAATTTGCTGGTACGAAAAGCTCTGGCGGTGCGCCGATTTGGGCAGGCGACAGGTTAGCAGAGGATGAGACAGGTCGCTTTTCATCGAAAGAAGTCGCCCCGTTGTCGGTGGAGAAGAGAGTTTCTCCCGGTGCTTGTGGTGGCTCATCAAGGGAAACGGGAATGCGATGTAGCGCACCGAAGCCGAGGACGCAGCCTAGTGCTCCCTCGCCGCCCCAGTTGCGCGATGGAGTGATGGTGACGGGTCGCGTGACGTTGTATTCGTGGTTGTACACGTACAGTCTCAGCGGGCGGTTTAGAAACTACATCTCGTCGCATCAATTTAAGCCCTTTTCAAAACCATAAAGAGAAAAAGGGATCGACGCACGTCTTCAACCAGCTCACCTAGCCCGGATTCGCCTCGAACAAGGCCTTCGGGACTCCCGATGACATAGTCACCGTACGGCAGTAGACCTGCTACGTCGGCCGGAGAGTTGGGAATCACGTCGAGGATGTGCCATACGTCTTCGGAGACGGAGAGTGGCGCCCATTGCAACGAGACGCCGAGAGTGGGCTTCTCGGCGGGGATGTTTAGATAGACCTCGCGGATTTTTTGGCCCTTGATATATGGTTAGCTTAAATAAGGGCATATGCCAGGCAGCATTCAAAAAATCTGGGTCTATTCAATAATTGCAAGCGTGACATTTTAACATGCGACCTGGTTAGGTTGTCCGAGACGCGAAGTCGCTCGAAAATAGAACTGACGTGACAAAAATCAATCAATCAGCATAACTTACCTTTGCACTAAACACCCCCAAGCTGATCGTGGTACCAGCAGAATTCCTAACCTCCGTTGCGAAGAGCGAGGGATCAGGGTTATCCTGCATCATCAGCAAGCATCCTAGATCCCATTACCACCAGCCCAATAAAGCGAAAACCTACAATAGTCCGCCCGTTAATCCCAATCACAAAATCAAACCACGGCTCCAGCGGCACCTCCTGATTCGCGTTCCTCAGCACCTGGAAGCCATACACGCCATTCGTAGTAGACTGTTGATCGTCCAAAGGCGCGGCGTCGAGCTTGGAGATGAAGCGATTCAAGACGCCAAACATGCTGCCGATGATGTGCGGGCTTTTGGGCGTCGAGGAGCGGTGTGACGGGTCTGGTGAAGTGGGCACACGGGTGTTGTTGTCGATCGAGGACAGGTGTTGAGGCTCGGTGGTTGTGGCCATAGCTTTGACGGGATCGGCGGAAGGCGCTAATGCGCGCGGCGGATGGAAGGTGTTGAAGCTGCGCACTTGCAGTGTAGGGCGAGAATCTATTTCTGATGCGAGCTTGAAATTCTCCGTCAAAGTAAGAGATTGGCGCTTTGAACAGATCTATACTCATTCCACGTTGCGTAGCCGAACAATTTGGTCAGGCAGTCGCGCTCGGCTTACGCTATACTCAAACTGGTTTGGCGCTATATAGATTTCAATGTTCCCTTCTATCAACTACGTCCTGTTGCTCGTTTCTCCCACCTCACCGTGAAAAGAGCTATTGAAAAATAAAAGACCAGAGAGGTCTTGAAACAGTTTAGACTTGGGAGAGGGCGCGAGAGCGTGCGGTGCTCTACCAACATGGATGAGAAACCGAACGAGAAAGGCATCAATCAGTGGATGCACGCCGACCAGTTCCCAGAACACCTAAAAAAGTAGACATGAAGCCCAGCTATCCTACACACACGCATATATATATATATATATATATATATAGTTCGAATGCTAATACAATCCCTGTAGATACTGGTTTCAGCGCTTCAAAATCTGGGAACAATACGACAAAGGCATATGGATGACCGAAGACGCCTGGTTCGGCGTAACTCCCGAACCCATCGCAAAGTCAGTCAGCTCATTCTGCCCACCCTCTCCAAACTCTCCGTCCGAGAAACTAACATTTTGTTTTCCCCCCCAAAAAGTAAAATCGCAGCTCACATAGCCGAGTCGGCACCCAAAGACAAAACCGTCATTGTCGACGCGTTCGCCGGCGTAGGCGGCAATGCCATCGCCCTCGCCCGCTCCGGCCGCTGGGAGCGTGTCTTCGCTATTGAAAAGGACGCCAAGACGATGAAATGCGCAAAGCACAATGCTGAAATCTACGGCGTGGCGAGCAAGATCTTTTGGCTGACGGGCGACTGCTTCGAGGCTATTAGTCGGTTTGCGGGACAGAAGAATGTGGTTATTTTCGCGAGTCCGCCGTGGGGAGGTCAGTATCCTTTTCCTCCTTTCTCATTGTTTGTATGTTGATTTTGGCGGTAGGAACCGAGTACGGCGCAGAAGACGTGTTCGATCTGACCAAGATGGAGCCGTATAATCTGGATACGCTGTACAAGAGCTTCTCGCGCGTTAGCAAGGATCTGGTCCTGTATCTTCCGCGCACTTCGGATCTGAACCAGATTGCGAGGTATTCACAGGAAGGGAAGAAGCTTGAGGTAGCTCATTATGCTATGATGGGCGCGAGCAAGGTATGCGGCCTTGAACATGAAGAAGAAGTTGAGCCAGATGCTGACGCGATTGTAGGCTCTTTGTGTATATTTTGGAGACTTTGATTTTGAGATGGCTGAGACAGAGGCGCTCGAGTAAAAGGATGAAGAACCTGCTTACATGTCTTATGAAAATAGGGAACAAGCTATGGACATGACTGATTAATTGGTTTAGATATGGCTTTCGTAGTCGTCTAATACCAACAACAAACTTTCTACTGTATGTTTCTAACAGTTGTTCGCCACGGAGTGTCAACATTGAGAAGAGGTTGTTGAGATGAGTATTGTATTTATTACTACTCTGGTATTCCAAGTCTATTCAGTATCTAGTCTATGTCATAATCATTCATGCATCAATACACATACACCTATTCGGTCTTAGCATTGGTCCTCGCCGCCGACTCACACACGGCCTTCAACGCAGCCGGCGCGTCATCCCATGGCATGACCAATTCGACAAACCTCATCTTCTTGGTCTCGCCGCTCGAGAACTCCTCATCCTTGAAGAGGTTCTCCACCTCCTCCTTGGTGCTGACCCTGTATGTCAACACACTGCCCTCTTCTGCGCCAAAGACCCTTGGCAGCTCCTTGTATTTCCACTCTGGGACGTCGTTGTACGGGTCCTCCATGCCGTGGATGAGGCGCTCGATTGTGTAGCCGTTGTTGCAGATGACGAAGATGATGGGGTTGAGCTTATTCCGCAGCATGGTCGAGACTTCTTGGGCGGTGAGCTGGAAGGAGCCGTCGCCTGTGAAGAGGATGGTGCGCTTGATGTCCAGTTCTTTGGCAGCGAGAGCAGCACCCTGGCAGGAGCCGGTGGCGTATCCGATGGAGCCCCAAAGGACTTGGGAAATGGCGTTCACGCCCGCGGGGAAGCGCGTCTCCCAGATACCAAAGTTGGAGGTGCCGGTCTCGGTAATGATGACGTCGTCCTTCTGGAGCCATTGGCCGAGGCGTGGCCAGAACCAGGCATGTGTGACTGTGGGCTCGGATGAGGAGACTTCTTGCTGGGGGATCTTGTTGCTGGGTTGAGGACCGGCCTCAATGTTCAGCCTTCCGAGCTTGGCTGTGACCTTGGCAAGAACACCGTTCATCCGCACACCAGGGTATTCTGAGTAACGAACCTTGACTCCATAGCTGTGGAAGTCGATGGTGTTCATCTGCGACATGCGAATTGTGAAGCCCGCGGTGTTGAAGTCAGACTTGATAGCACCGATGCTAATGACCAGGTCCGAAGACTCTACGCGCTCGCGAACTCCAGCGTTGCTGCCGTTGCCGGCATATACACCTCCATAGTTAGGGAGGGTCTCGTCTACGGCGCCTTTGCCCATGGGCGCAACAAAGGTTGGGATGCCCGACTTCTTGACCAAGTCATGCGTCTCCTTGAGTGCTCGGTGTCGGATCGCGCAGGCGTCGACCAGGATGACGGGGTTCTTTGCGGCTTGGAGGTACTTGAGCACGACATCGACGACGTAGTCTTCAGCTTCCTGATCGTTGGGCGCGTACTTCAAGTCCAGGGGGGTGTTCAGTCTGTTGCCGTCGATCTTCTTTTGCACCATGTCACTGGGGAGGGAAATGTAGACGGGCCTCGACTGCAGATAGCACTCGCGAATGGCGTTGTCGATCAGCGTCGCCGCTTCATGCTGATTGTTGAGCATGGAGACAGCACAGGAGATCTCCTCGGACATTCTTGAGAAGACTGTGAAGTCGCCATTTCCGAGTGTGTGATGGAGTAGGGCTCCGTTCTTCTGCGAGATGGTGGATGGGTATCCGACGATGTGGACGATGGGGACGTATTCGGAGTAGGCACCTGCAATGGCATTGACCGCAGAGAGCTCACCGACGCCAAAGGTGGTGACGAGGGCGGCGATGCCCTTGACGCGTGCGTAGCCATCAGCCGCGTAGCCTGTGCATGTGTGTTAGCGATTGGATGCCGGTAGCTGCCGCAAGCGAAGGCGGAAGCAAGGGTTCAATGGCTTCACGTACCAGCATTCAGCTCGTTGCAGTTGCCGACCCACTTCAAGCCCACCTTGGGGATGTAGTCCAAGGCGACGAGGTTGTAGTCTCCGGGCAGGCCGTGGATCGACTCGACGCCGACTTGTTTGAGTCGTCGGAAGAGATACTGGCAATCCGTGGTCAGCAGGAGTAGTAGTAGTGGTAGTGAGGTGTGTCAAGCGTACCTCAGCAATGTCGATTGGGTTCTCAATCTCCTGGGCGCGGAGATCCTGCTGTGCCATGATGATGATGTCAGGTTGGTAGGATGGTAGAGGGTTGGGTAGATGGTCAAGATGTGGTGTTTGGATGGGCGTGGTGGTTGCTGCTGGGCACGACTGGCTTTATGGGAGCAGGAGTAGGTTGTACTGTAATGTAGCTATGACCTCACTCCTCCGGTCTTAACCGGCGACGGTGTTGTTGAACAGCACCACAAGTAACACGACGCGCGCAGTTTTGGATGCATTCGTCGCATCTCGGTCAGCTCACATGGCGTGACCTTCAGGATCTGCGTGGTTATTTGATCCCGGCTCCATTTTTAACGGCTGGCTATCAGATCTAGGCGATGTACGAGTTGCGAGGGCGGGCTTGCTGCTTCAGTTTTTTTGCAGAATCTTCACCGAGTGTCCAGAGTCGCGAGACACGCGCAGCCGGGCGCAGGATGCCATCGAAAGACACGGGTTAGGAGAGGTGCATGTCTGGGAAAAAGTGGGCGTACGAGGGCAGAGTGGATGCCAGGCCGGGCCGACTGAGCGATGCCGCATCCATGCTCTGCTACGGTGCTATCTACTATCCTGTTGCCCTGTTGTATCGCCTGCGAGTTGGTCGTCCACGGCCGCAGTCATGGATCGATGGATGGTCTTGCGAAACGGACCTCATGGACACGCGACTTTTGGGAATTCGGCTGAGGCCATCTCCGCAGCATAGGAGAGAGAGAGAGAGAGAAGTCTTCCAGGGGTTTGCCTGTTTCTTACTATATATCGACCACGACACCACAGAAAGAAAAACTAACTTGATACCCATTGCCCAGTGGAGGCACGCAGGCAAGATTTGGTGGCTCATCATCATCGATCAGCACCTTGTCCGCTGCTGTCTCAGCGCTGACCCCTCCCCTCCCCTCCCATCCCATCCCATCATATCTCCTCCCCTCCCCTGCGCATGAGCTGGCAAAGAGTACAGCAGTGCCAGAGACTCATCAACCTCCACGGCTGGCGGCGCTTCCATATCCATATCCATATCCATATCCATGTCCATGTCCATGTCCATGTCGGCTGCTGGTGTGCTGCGGGTGCGTCCGACAAATCACCCTCCCTCCCTCCCTCACCCATGGTCCGTGCCCACCTCCACCACCACCCTCTCAGCCAGCCCGCATTGCCCGCGCGCACTCCATCTCCGCCCCGTCACTGACCTGTCGCCTCCCTCGTGTGCTATCTGCTCATCGCTTGCCTTGCCTTTGCCTTTGCTGAATTGTTCCGCCCGTGTACCTGCGTTGCGTCTTTGTTGCGACGGGGCCAAGCATCGCCATACCTCGAAGCGCCCACTCTAAGCGCAGGCGCCGCGCTTCTCTGATCTGATCTAATCTGACCTCTCTTGACCTGGACCTGTCTTCGAGACAGAGCCATCGACACCGTCTCCTCGACAGTCTCATTGTTCCTTGTAGTCCGCCGTTGCAACTGTTTCCGCCTAGTGCAGTTGCCCGCTAGCACCCGCGTCTACCTCCGCCCGCACCCAACGTCCGTCGCCAACGCCATACGAGACTGGGCCGAGCAAAAGGAGCCCAAGACGTCTCGCGAATTGAGCGCGGCGACTCAGGCCTGTGGACAACACCTCAGCTCTAGCGTCATGTCGTCATGAGCGCGCTGTGTCCTGACCCCAATCGAATCGAGGACCTCTCTCACCCTCGATTGTCGAGTAGACATGCCCACAGAGCCCAGGCAGCGGTCCTCGTCCAACATTTCAAACCCATCAGATCGCCCAAGTCGTCGCGGTCCCCCAGCGCCCCTATCGACTGCTCGTCCGAACCACAACCCGCCGAGCCATCTTCTCCTACCTGAGAATCCCACTGTCGCCTCTCCCCCCTCGTCCCTCCTCACGCCTGCAGGCAACTTGAGCTCGCCATATCCTTTGCTGTCGCCGGGAGGCGGTGCCCAGTCTACCAGTCCGCGCGGAAGAGCGCATACCGTAACAGACCCACAGGCCGTACAAAGACAGCAGAGCTACCTCCAGCGTCCAGCCATGCATCAGTACATTCCGCCTCCTCCGCCGCAGCCCTCGTCGACTCCCTCGGGCCATATCGCCCTTCCCCCTCCACCTCCAAGACCCTCGGGCTACAACAATCTCGGCGGCATCAACATCCCACCTCCTCCGCACTCGAACAACTGGGGGCCGCCGAGACAGCAGTATCCGCAACAAGGCTACGACCCCAGCCTGTACCGCAATTACCATGGCGGCAATCTTCCGCCTCCCCCCGGGCCTCCACCCCCGCAGCAGCAGGAAGCTCCCTTGACTTCGGCCACATACATACCCGGAGGAGAATCGTTTGGGCCGGGCGTTGGCATTCCCCCGCTGCATACCTCAAGACAGTACGCGGAGCCAAGCTTTTATAGGGATGACAACTACCCGGCGAATAATGATGGCTCAGCGCAAGGCTTCTCTACACTTCATGATAGCGTGCAGAATGTGCAGTATGGTGCCAACGCAGGATTCAATGTCCCTCCGACACCCAGTAGTCGCAATCACCTAAACATACCAACCGAAAGAACCCAAGGCTATGACTCGCCCGGGCCGCCTACAGCCACCATGCAGAACCCCATGCTGCAGCACCAGAGTAGCGTCTACCACCGCCCTGATAGTAACGGCACAACCCCGATATCACCCCACGATGCATCCGCACAATGGCCCGCCGAACGCGTACAGCACTGGCTGGCAAGTAATGGCTTCTCAAGCGATTGGCAACAGACGTTCAAAACTTTGGGCTTGGAGGGGTCAAGGTTCCTCGACATTGGCCGCGGCCATGGGAGCAAGGGTAATGTGGCTATGATGCATCAGGTCATCTTTCCACAACTGGCAAAACAGTGCACTGCAAGCGGGACCGGTTGGGACCAGAACAGAGAAAGAGACGAGGGTCGCAAACTCCGCAGACTTGTTCGATCCATTGTCGAGACGGGTATTCCAGGCAACGCTCGAGCACCGCAACGATCCGATACTGGGTTAACCCTGGGTAGCGCTGGGACAGAAGGCACCGTCGAGAATTCACCCTATATGAGCACCCGCATGGATTTTGGTTCGACGCCAACCACCGCTGGAAACGGCGAGGAGAGCCCTGGACGCCAGCTGCTCGTCCAATCGCCTGGTGCAGGTGCGAGTTCAAATTTGCCTAGGCGCATATCGACACAGCGAAATTTCACGGTTCCTGGTCTTGGTCCGACCCCTGATTTCTCAGAAGGTCCTGCACGTAGCGCTTATTCCAAGGAGGTATTGCGAGATTTGGAGCCTAGGTCCAAGAAACACAGTCCGAGCACCTCTGGTGATTTTGGACCGTCGTCGCTGGCTGCTGGAAGCTTTCGACAGGCAAGCCCGCAGCACAGCCCAGCGCTTCCGCCGGCTCGTCTAGCTACGAATGGCGGGCAGCTCAGCGCAGGTCTGAGCAATTCGGCGTCGCGTTACTATACACACAATCGTGGTAACAGTTCCGAGTCCAACCTGTCTACTTTTGCGAATACTGGCTCAGGACCACCCTCTGGGAAATCCTTTGAAGGTCGATCTGAGAGTCGCAACGAGAACAGGAAGAATGGTCACGAAGGCTCAAGACCTGGCACAGGGATGGCGCGATACGACACAGGAGACGTCCCATTGAGCGCCAAAGATCATCACAAGGGCTTCTTCAACAAGATCATGGGTAGGGAGAGGAAGAAGGATAGTCATCCGTCGCCTGATGATACCAGCCTAGACTCACCCACCAGTCCAGCAAGTCATCGCCACCATGCTAATGGAGCTATATTTGGAAAGTCTGGCATGAACTCGAGTGAAACCTCATTGAACGAGCGACCGCCTTCGGGACGATCTGCGCAAGCGGACTTGGAGAATCGAGCGGCCGGTCGCGGACAAGGTTCCAAAGGGGATGACCGCAAATTTGCGTTTGTGACGCCGGATGGTTGGAACTATCGTCTGATTGATGTGACGAATGTAGACTCGGCAGCCACCTTGCGAGCTGTATGTTGCGAGGAATTAAGCCAAGGTCTAAGCTTGATCCCCGGCGTGGAGCTGCACCTCACTTTACCCGGCCAATATGACCATGAAGAACCCCTCTCTGACTCCAAACTGCTCAAAGCTCGATCCCACCTGGGTAACCGACACGGAGAGCTCAAGATCTTCGTCAAGATTCCTCAAGAGGGGACAACTGCCACTTCTGCCGGACTAGGTGTCTCGCTTCCGCAAACAGTCGGCAAGGGCTTCGACGAGTCTACATATACCCGTCTGAATGCTGACTCCCAGTTGGACTCTCCTGGTGGGAAGTCTGGCGAGTCTACACTAGTTCCTGACAAGAGCGCAGCTTTACGCGAAATGGCCAAGAAGAACGAAGTGACACCTGATGCTGTGGCAGATCGACTACATGGTGTTAACAGGTCTGCAGAGCCATCGTGGGGTACAGGCGATGAGATGCCAGAGCAGGAACGCCGCAGACTACTGGAAATTGCTGCGGAAGAACACCGGAAGGAGAATAAGCGGAAACATGACGAATATGTGAAGGGCCGCATGCACAGAATCCAAGGACATAGTCCCGATTTGAACTCCGCATCAAGCGACAGTGTTGGCTTCCGAAGTAAGCATACGGTCGATTTTGACAAGCCACGTAGGTCTCCATATGAAGATGTTAAGCGGCCATTTGAAGACGCCGAGGAGCGGAAGAGCAAGCAACTAGTGCCTCAGAGAGCGCCACCGCCTGTTCCAGCTGACACGAGTACTCTACTCAAAGCCAACTCCCTATCCAGGGCTAAGAATCGAGGATCGTGGCCGGAAGGCGATGATGCCCCAGTCAAGCGACGATCAACCGAGTCGCCATCAGACAAGCGCAAGGCGATCCCACAGGGCCCAAGCGGATTGTCTGGTATCGCCGCTGCTATCATTGGAGCTGGTATGGCCGGAGGCTCAATAGGGGCAGCAACCAAAGCCCCTCCAAAGCCTCCTCCAAAAGATAGTGTGTCGCCCGAGAGTCAGCGCCCCTCCGCGACAGTACTCCGGGACAACGGATTTGGAGCTAGGACCGGCTCTGGTAGGAATAGTCCAGGTTCGTCACCTCGTAGCCCCGGCGAGTTTACAATGAGCAAGGGTGATGTGCCATTCAGAATACCTGACTATGTCGAAGATCTATTAAACGATATGGCACCTGAGAAGCCGAACCTCTCTCTTGAGATGCCGACTCCTAAGAATCCCGCAGTATCGAAGCTGAGGGAGGAGCGGTCCAAGTCGCCGGACCTAAGTCCTCATTCAGCGCAACCTCCTGCCACTATGCTAAGCAGAGAGTCGTCTAGGGCATCGGTATGGGGTCCAACGCATGTCTTTGAAGAAGCCCATGTTTCCTTCATTTCCAAGTCGCCCAACCTAGATCCGGTGGATTCATCTGATGATGATTCCGACGACGGACTGTTCGCCGCACCGCTAGCACGCGCTGGCCCACCTACTCCCGTGAAGAACGCACCGATTGCACGAAGCAATTCGCGCAGTCAAAGGCCCAATCTCACGCTCAAAACACAGCGGTCCAGGGTGGAGCTGAACAAGGTCGCAGAAAAGTCAGCGGAGCCTAGTGCAACTGGTGATCGCGATTCCCAGCCAAGCGATTTCCCCCCTGAATCGGCAGCCTCTGCAACCTGGACTGACTCTCCAGATGAGTCGAACAAGTTCTCGCGCCGCGAATCGTTCGCTAGCGATGTTTGGGCCAACCGTCCGCCTGCTGAGCAACTTGTGGATCATCTCGACGAGCTCTTCCCCAACGTCAACCTTGACCAGCCGATGCTCGAAGAAGAGGAGGCAGATGCGTCTAATAATGCAGCGGGTGAGAATCGCGCTACAGCAGCTGCCTTCAACGAAGGTGTAGCTCCAAGCCAGCCCCTCACCCGAGGCAAGGCTGGCTTGCAGTCTATTGCCCAACGCAACATGAGGAAGTCGGGCGTTGGTCTTGGGCGCACAAAGTCTATCCGTGAAGTCGTCAAGTCACAATATAAGCCCCTCGAGAAGAGGCCTCTTCCAGGCCAGGTGCCTGCCGGCGCAGGACCATCGCGGGTTGCTACACTTCGTGGCGGTGGTGATATTGTGAGGAGGAAGTCGACCAAGATGTTTCACGCCAGGATCGAGCAAGTTAAGCCACCACGGGGCTCACGACTCATACAGCTTGAGACCATACCTCAAGATCACCTTCCTCTACCGTCACGCCAACCGACGTTCAAATGGATGAAGGGTCAACTCATCGGCAAAGGAACATTCGGCCGCGTCTACTTGGGTATGAACATCACAACCGGAGAGCTCATTGCCGTGAAACAAGTCGAGGTCAACGCCAAAGCGGCTGGCTCCGACAAAGACAAGATCAAGGAGCTAGTGAAGAGTTTGGACCAAGAGATTGACACGATGCAGCATCTCGACCATCCCAACATTGTGCAATATCTGGGTTGCGAGCGCAAAGAATACTCGATTTCGATCTTCTTGGAGTACATCAGCGGTGGCAGTGTGGGCAGTTGTATTCGCAAGCACGGCAAATTTGAAGAATCCGTCGTCTCGTCGCTGACGCGGCAAACCCTGCTCGGCCTCTCGTACCTCCACCGCGAAGGCATCCTACACCGCGACCTGAAAGCGGACAATATCCTGCTCGATCTCGACGGCACGTGCAAAATCTCCGACTTTGGCATCTCCAAGAAGTCGGACGACATCTACGGCAACGACGTAACAAACAGCATGCAAGGCTCGGTATTCTGGATGGCTCCGGAAGTCATCCGTTCGCAGGGCCAAGGGTACAGCGCCAAGGTAGACATTTGGTCCCTCGGCTGCGTGGTGCTCGAAATGTTTGCGGGCAAGCGGCCGTGGAGCAAGGAGGAGGCCATTGGCGCCATTTACAAGCTCGGCTCCCTCAATCAAGCGCCGCCTATTCCCGAGGACGTGTCTAGGGTGATTGGAGTCGAGGGCCTTAGTTTCATGTACGATTGCTTCACGATTGATCCGACGGAACGCCCCACGGCCGAGACCTTGCTACGTGCGCCGTTTTGCTTTAGCGATCCGAACTATAATTTCTTGGATACCGAGTTGTATGCCAAGATTCGGGGCGCTTTTCAGTAGTGGTTTTAGCCTTTCTTGGGTGGTTGTGTTTTCTATTCTGTTTTCTATTCTTTTCTTTTGTGAGTTGAGTGAATGAGTGAGTGAGTGAGTGAGTGAGCGAGTTCTACGTATAAAGAGGTCATATACCCAGTTTTTCCACGCCAATCACAGCGACGCCTTTTCTATCTTACGGCTGCACAGAGAGGGATTAAGTAGTTTATATCGAATGATACCATTTGCATTTGCAGTTTCTTCTTCTGACTGTGTTTAGTTTTGTTTGGGTGTGCTCTGTACTGAATTGGAGAGAGAGGAGGAATGAGAAGGGTGAATTAAAGAGGAGGAATGAGGGCTGCCGCGTGCGATTGGGTTGTCGCTGTGCTGGTGAGTAGTGAGTGATTTGATGTTTCATCGATGACGAAATAGGCAGTCGACGACGTTGTGCAGGATTCTTTTCTGCAAGATGAGTTGTGGTTCTTTGCTCGTATATAGCACGAGCTAGAGGAAGACCCAAGACATATCATTGCTTATGCATACTATGAATAGCAGGACAAGACGCGTATGCGTAGATCGTCGTCGTCTGGCTGTACCGTATCACGTTACTGGCGTGGTGTGCCTGCCCCTGACGGCGTAAGGCTGTAGTGGAGTTCACGCCACCAATAGTCGCACGACAACGGGGATGCGCGCGACTGCACTTGACCGTGCAGCCAATACTACTGCTGATGAGGAGAAGGGACGAAGAATCAAATAGGCAGGTTGTGTAGGACAGAGAGATGGCGTGAGGTAGGTGAGCTGAAGGAGAGGCATGTGAGCGTTGTATAGGTTGGCTGCGATGTAGCGTTCATGGCGAATCGGATACGAGATGGACAGCGTGCCCAGATACGAGGGACGGCTCGGCGCTATGGATGGTTCTCTGCAATGGGCGGGCGGCACGAAATTTGAGTGTCGTTCCTCTCGTGTCATGGCGCAGGCTACTATGAAGGCTACGGTTAGGCCATAAGCATGATAGTTGGTAAGAGTATAGGCCAGGCATGTCATCCCGAGCGTACCGAACAAAGTCTGTAGGTACACGGTACTGCCGAGTTAGATGCGCAAGCTGTTGGGAAAAAGGTATGGATCGAGCAACATTGCAACCCACAAAAGAGTGGAAAGGGTTGACGTCAACTCAAGCACTGCCGCCATGGGCCGACTGGGCGGATGATTAGAGGGACTCGCGATTGAGATGAAACAGCGACGTGCAAAAGAGAGGGAAAAAAAAAAGAATGGGGCGAGAAACGTTGATTCAGGTGTCCCGAGCTTTGGGTTGGTGAAACACGGCGGCGTTGTGGTGGTGCATAAGGTTGGATCTGGTCGACAAGCGAGGAGCCGAGGAAGGAAGTTGCAGACGGGGGTGGGCGCCTGCCTGTTTGGTCCGGAAAACCAAGCGGTCCATGTGCGGGTGGAGACGAAGATGCCTTCCTTACATGGACAGCGAGCGGCACTGCAAGATGAGGATGCGACAGTCGCTTTTGCAATGCGTACGCCTCCCTTGCGTGTTGTTGCTGTTGTTGTTGGTGGTGGTGGTGAGCAGAGTGGATGGACACAATTAGACTGTCAGACTGGACTGGACTGGACCGTATAGGGGAGGGAGCTGACTGTGAATAATAGTTCCTTCAGCGGGGATGAATGGCATGGCTGAATGAATGCTAACTGCTTGTGGTAGACAGGTCTTCCACTCCACCTGCTATGCCACGTTCCTGTCTCTCTCTCTATCTCCATCTCTGTCTCACGGTCCTGTCGTTATCTTCTCTGGTCCATTCGAGTCGAATAGGTTGCACAATTACACGGGCACGGTGGGGCTTTATCTCCAGCGTACGACACAGGACCTCAGGACCCTGGCGCGACAATGGCATGGCTGCTCTGGTCTGGCTGGTCGGCTCCAAACCATGGGCCTGCAATGCCCCCATTTGCCGCGAGGCGTCCTGTCTGCTTGAGGGCAAGTCAGGGGCAACCTCCCGCAGATCTTTGGTGGGCCCCTGGTGGAGGCTCGTTTCGGCATCGTCAGGGGGCGCTCTTCAATTCCCCACAACACTCCCCCCCTCCAGCGAATCAACACCACCACACGTCCCCGACACTGCCACCACAGCGATGCGCCCACCTGTCCACCGCTACCGCTTCTACCGCCTCGTGTCCAAATGGGTGACGACCGCGACCCGCCCAGTCCCTCTTGAGCATAGGCTTGGAACCGCATGCTTCGATATATGACCCTGCCAACTGCCCGCCCCTGCCCTTGTACGCCAACCCTCTGATTCCTCCCTCGTCCACGAGAGGTTTCTAGACACCGCCTTTTTCTCTTTTAGACCTGTGGAACTCTCCAAGGTCGTTACGCTCATTTACAAACGCATCGCTCTTGACATTCCTTTCGTCTCGGCGCCTCGTCTCCGAGTCGCTTTCTGTTCTGCTTCCCTGGCTTAGGCCCTCTTGGTCTTTTTTCGAAGAATACTCTAGCAGCATTCGACAACATGGCAAACTTCAGCAAGCCCCAGAGCATGATGACCATGCTCGTCGCCCTGTTCGCCCTCCTCCAGTTCACCGTTGCCTTCCAGCACGGCGCCCACCACCACGCACATCGCCGCGGAAATGATGCCATCAAGATGCAAATCGAAGAGGTCGCTGATGCGCTTGAGAAGCGCCAGTCTGATGGCTTCACTGCCATCACCGGTGTCTGCACCGCGGGCACTCGCTCAAACGGTGCTTGCAATGGCATCAACTCGGCCCCCCGCCTGGAGATTCGCCAGCTGAGGAACAACCAAGACCAGTGGAACCTGTATCTCCTGGGCATGGAGAGGTTCCAGGCCAAGGACAAGAACGACAGGCTGTCGTACTACCAGGTTGCCGGTATCCACGGTCGTCCCTTCCAGACATGGAACAACTTCCCCACTCCTCTTGTCAACCAGGCTGGTTTCTGCCCCCATGCTCAGACTCTCTTCGGATCCTGGCACAGGCCCTATCTTGCCATTTACGAGGTATGCGAGAATGCCCACTTGTTACACGACGCATGCTGACAATTTCTTTAGCAAGCTTTGTACCAGAGCATTCAGGAGGTCATCGACGACTTCCCCTCTGACGAGCAGGACCGCTTGAGGGACGCTGCGTCCACTCTTCGTATGCCTTACTGGGATTGGGCCATGGACCCCGGTCAGAACCAGCCCGTTGTTCCTGCCCTGATGCGCGACCAGCAGGTCACCGTGAACAAGCCCGAAGGCCGTGTCACGATCCGCAACCCGCTCTACTCCTACAGCTTCGGCGACTCTCTTCCCGATGAGATCGGTGGAGGCCCATGGAACAGCTGGCCCATTACTCTCCGCCGCCCGGTCGGCAACCCCACTCGCAGCAACAACAACGAATTGAGCGCTCGCTTCAATGCCCAGCGTGTCTCTCTCCGTGACCGTGTCTTCGCTCTCTTCTCCAGCAAGCAGTCCTGGGGCGAGGCCAGCACTTCGCAAATCGGTGTCCGAACTGACCTGTCTTCGAGCGACAGCTTCGAATCCGTCCACGACGCTGTCCACAACACGGCTGGTGGTGAATCCGGTGGCCACATGTACTACCTCGATATCTCATCCTTCGACCCCCTCTTCTGGCTTCACCACACCAACATTGACCGTCTGCTTGCCATGTACCAGCTGATCGTGCCCAACACCTGGGTCGCCAACGGCAACATCAACCATCCCATGGCTCAGTGGAACCAGGGCGAGGCCAAGAACGGCAACACACCCCTGAAGCCCTTCACCAAGGACACCGCCGGCAACTACTTCACCAGCAACGATATCCGTGAGACCCGCGTTCTTGGGTACCATTACCCGGAGACCAGCGACCGCTCCTACTCCCAGGTCGCTCGCGCCGTCACCAACCTCTATGGCGGTGGTGCCAGGACTCTGAGCAAGCGTTCGACGGACGAACAGACTGGCCAGTACCTAGGTCGCCCGCTCAAGGAGGGTGACTACCACACTGTCGTCGAGATCATCGCCAACAAGTACTCTTCCGGCTCCTACAACATCCACTGCTTCGTCGGTCAGCCAGGCGGCAACTCCACCCAAGGCAACAGCACTGCTCCCTACCCGGTTTCAAACTCCACTGCTCCCTACAGCAACAGCACCGGTGAGGCCGACTACGACCCGTCCACCGACTACACTCAGCAGTCCAACTACGTCGGTTCCTATGGTGTCCTCGGTGGAATGAAGCCCAACAGCCACAACTCCACCTATCCTGTCATGACCACTGGTACTCTCCCTCTTACCTCCTGCCTCCAGGGCAAGGAATTCTACGGCGAGCTCAAGTCGCTTAAGCCCGAGGATGTCGAGTCCTACCTCGCAGAGCATCTGCACTACAAGGTCGTTGGCGTCGACGGCGAGATCAACGCCGATGACATCCCCGATCTCCATATCTCCGTCAAGTGCACCAAGGTCAAGCCTGCCGCCAACGACGGTGAGCTTCCTGATCTCAGCGCGCCGTACCAGAAGCTTCCCGAGGCTACCAAGAACAAGCCCGCCGGCAAGCCCTTCACCTACAAGCCCACTCCCATCGACATTCCCCTGCCCGAGGGCCCCGAGTACCAGGAGTCTGGCAACGGCAATGGCAAGCCGCCCGGTTACCCATCCACTGGCGTCTTCCCCTACCCCACCCTTCCATGGGAGGAGCAGGGTTACTGCGCCACCAAGCAGACGGTCGAGTACGTTGACGAGAAGGGCAACCTCCTGTATGCTGAGAAGTATTAAGAGGCTCGGTAGTGAATGAGGAAGCGGAGAAGGGAAGGATAGCATGAGTTCGGGGCTGTGCATGTATGCATCTTTCTTTACATAATACTTTCGCAATGTACATTGGCATGAGCTTGTTTGACAAAAATCATGGGATACCCCAGGGGCACCTCGCCCCGCAACGTTTGAGGGCGTTATGACCGATTATTTATTTTGTAATCTGACGTTTTTTACCTACTGATTTACCATCATCGTGTCTCGCTCACATCCTGTGCTAAGTTTAGGTTCAAGGAAAGTCAAAAACGTCTCATAAGCGTTACTACAGGATTTAGTTACGATTTCGGAGCAAACATCCCAGCCGTGCGCGCATTGCCGACTAACAACCTCGATAATTCATTACATCGCAAAAAGGTAGATGAAAGCTTACACAGTCTTGCTATAGCGGTACAATGCTGACAGCCAGATTTAGACGGGCCGTACTCTAACTTCTTAGGCCAGCAACGCCATGTCTTGGACAACGTCATTGATATCCTGAAAACAGACGTGAAGCGAACAAGAAGACCTGCGCAAGAGCCTTATTTACACCCCCGACTGCTGCGGAGTAATAGAGAAAACACTATTCTCACCACAATCAAATATGTTTGGTAGATCCATTCTGAGTTTTGGCGCGTTGCTCGCCGCCGTCGTTGCGCAGACTGCACCTGGATTCCCAATCAAAGCGTCGGAAGAACTAAGCGTTAACTATGGCACGAACACGATATCTCCGCCGGGCGAGCGCGTTCCTCGTAACGGTATGTTCATGTATTCCTTCTTTCTCTAGCCTCACATGCGACGTTGTTCCTTCAGATGAAGAAGAAGCAATACCACATCTACGAGCCAACCCTCTAACCTCCATAGACACCGCCCTGCCTCCCAGTAACATCACCATCCCAACATGGCCAACCAGGGCGAACAGGACCCAGCTCGCGGTCCTCCTCCTAGTAAGCCCAAGACTCATTTAATACAAAAGTAAAATCGTAGACGATATAAAAACTAACATCCCGCCCTCCCCAAAGGTTGACCTGGACGTCCCCCGCAACAACACACGCGTCCAACTCCTCCACTGGCTCGCAACAAACATCTCCATCCCCGCCGCGCTGGCCCCTCCAGGCCGCCAACTGCAACTCAGCCTCGCCTCCAACGACACAAACCCAGACGCAGTGCCGTACCTCCAGCCCTCGCCGCCGCCCGGCGACGTGCCGCACAGCTACACGTTCGTCCTGTTCGCGCAGCCAGCTGATTTCGCTCTTCCGGTGCAGTACGCGAATCTCACGGGGAACCGCGTGGGGTTCAACACCAGCCAGTTTGTAACGGATACGCGGCTCGGCTCGGCGGTGGCGGCGAATTGGTTTACCGTGCAGAATCTCACGGGGACGCCTACGATGACTTTCCCCCCTGCGAGGGCGACGGAGACCAAGGTCGGGCCGGGGAATGAGGAGCCTTCTGGTGTGCCGAGTCCTGGTGCGGGTGTGGCTTTGAGGGGTGGAGGGACGGCGGCGGTGTGGGCTGGGGTTGTGACTGCGTTGTTTGCTGGGGTGGCGGCTTTTGGGTTGTAGAAGCGTTGGTATAGCAAGTGTAAAACTAACGACGGCGATGGGCTGAGTAATTCAACCTTCTGTGCTCTCAAGCAAAGTGTAAAGCGACTTCCTATATTGTTCTGAAAAACAAAGTCTTTCGAGATGTTTATTATCGAGGTACACAATCACTTTAGTGCATACTTGATATGCATAGACGAAGAAATGAAGGATATAGAGGCGTTGTAGGATGAGGAGGTCCAATTGCCAATCGGGCCGGAGTAGTTTTAACAAGATCCCGCTGCGCAGACTGATCCGTCTTCTATCTAATATCTACACTCATAACTTACACGTTATACACTCAAAATTCACCATATCTTGCTCTTAGTTCGCTACGTCTTCGTCTCTCTCAGGCATTCCCGCCCTTCCATTGCACAACTAGCGCTTTCCGCAGCTCATCTTCCCTCTTGCCAAGCACGTTGATTCCCCTCTCTACACAAGCGCGTTCTACCTCCACTTTGTTCAGCGCGGCCCATCCGCCGTCTCTCTCGATCAACGCGTCGTCTTTCCACAAATAGCCCAGCCGCTGTCCGACGTTCCTTTGCAGTAGCCATTTCGGAGGAGTGAGGTAGAGCCAGTCGAAGATGCGCGAATGACAATTGTACTGCGCAGACGTGAGTAGAAGCTCGAAGGGCGACATTGACTCCAGGTTGAAATTGGCAACCGCTGCGCCTGGCATGACTTGAGCGTTCTTCTTGAAGTCGGTGGATTCAGAAGTTGTAGGTAGAGTACCGCCGGCGCGTCGGTCTTTCATCATGAGACGCGTGGAATCCAGCGTGACTCTCCTCAGTCGCTCCTGCCGTATTTTCTCGATTTTGCCCAACGTTCTCTGGACTTGGCTCGGAATCCGACATGCCTCCGGAATCACAGGGGTGAGGTAGATGACTATGAGAGGTGTCCATTCGCCCATGCACAGCATCAATGCAGCAAATGCCGGCAACCGCCGTACATCCTTTTTGCTTCGTAGGACAATCTGCCATTCTGCGCGAGTGAGGACTTCACTCATGTCCTGACCCGAGGACTTTGCTGCCTTCTCGCGCAGTTGCTTTGCGAGTTTCGCCGTTTGCCGTACGTGTGAGATGCCGGTTTTGTAAAAGCTCAGGTAGCCGCGACCAGCTGCCCACAGGTAAGATGCGATATTTTGATCTGCCTTCCGTGCAGGTATATTGATTTCGGGCGCGTACGTGAAGAGCGGCGGGTTCAAGTTCTCCTTCGCCTTGACAATGGGGACGGTTGTGGAAGCGGTGGACGGTCGTTTAGCGAGGACGGTTGTAGAACTGGACAGTCCTGGAGAGGCGCCATGTTTTGCTGGTACGGATGTTTTCGCATCTTTCGCATGTCCAGTCGACTTCGCCGGTGGAGGAGGCATTCGGCCATAGCTGGGCTTTTTTGCTGGCGTAGCAGAAGTCGATGCATGACGCGTCCACACTCGGTTTGTATTCTTGTCTTCTCTTAAACTACTCCGCGAAGCGTCTTGCCATATGTGATAGCTCAGCGCCGGTGCAATGGCGCGCAAATGGACGTTGCGACGGCATTGAAAACTCGACGCTGCGAGGTTTGATCGTACGGAAACCGTGAAGGTCGAGAAGGTCGGCCGTGGCTTCATGGCAAACAAGGTGAAAAGTGTGAATATGCAGAAAGAAGGGAATAAAAAGGAGTGACGAAAATTGCTGTCTCGGTGTATTTTGAAATATGTGACGTCTCGATTCGCTGTTGTCAGACAAGACCGAAATGCTGCCGCGGACGCCGCGGACAACGCGATGTCATCACACCTCGCGCAAACGCTAGACCAATACCGACACGCTAAGAAGCTTCACGCGTCCCCGCCAACCTTCGTCCGTGTAGTGGAAAGGGAGCATTTGCGCCATGTCAGTGCAATTGGCGCGAGATCAAGTCTGCATGTCATAGAGATTGTATGGTGAAATCCCAACTTGTGTTATATTCTCATCCGCCACCCTTTACCAACCCCTCTTTCTCCAGTAGATACAGAAACGCAGAAACGCTTCAGTCAAAAGTACACACTTGCTCGCATGTCGCTCGCAGGGAAAAATACATAAAACTCCAAGCACATGCAAAACCCAAACTGAGGATTATATAGCCAGTGACGCCTCGCAAAGCCGCATAATCCGGACAAAATTTCTAGTCGAGCTGTTGAAGAACGCAAGGGGAAGTTAACGCCGAAGAAACGATCGAAAGAGAGAATCTCTAGCGCCTCGATTGAAAGTGAAGAAAGCCAAGCAAAGAAGGGCACACGGTTGTCGGACGTAGTCGAGCTACTGCATCCAAGACAGAATGCACCGTGGCGCTTTATGAGCTGGGTAGCACAAGCGAAGTCCACGATGGCTAGGCTGAGACGAGCGAGTACCCGAGAGGGGCGTCATGGAAGGCATGATCAGGGCCATTCGAAAAAGGTGTCCGGATTGGCTGAGACATGTCATTGTAATCATCCACACATTCAACGCTGATACTGGGCAAGCTGAGCCATGATCTCATTCATGTCGGGAGTAGCACCAGCCTGGGTGGGTGCCTGAACGGATGGAGCAACTTGCTGCCCTTGACTGGCGAAGAAAGAAGCTAGCCCTGGGAATTGGTTGCCCAAATTGGCCAGATTTGGTTGGGCTGGACCACCAAACCCAGGGGTTTGAGCAGGGCTTGGAGCTTGGGCAAGTAGGCGAGCAAGGTCGGCGTTGAACCCTGGGTTAGGGGCAGGTTGCGGGTTCTGGGGCATGTTGTTGCCAGACATGGCACTGAGTAGCTGGGATAAACTGGCAGGATCAAGAGAGGTGATGAGGTTAGAGACATTGGCTTGGCTCGTCGGTGCAGGAGGGAAGTTGGTCGTCGCCGGTTGGCTGTACTGCGGTACATTCGGGGTAGGAAAGCCGTAAGACGGCGCTGGCGGTTGTACTGGCTGTACTGGCTGTGACTGACTCTGCTTAGCATTGCTGACAAGCAAACTGGCAGTAGTAGGGTCAAGGTCGGCATATTCTGTAGGAGTTAGTAAGTTGAGACAAAGTGAGCATGTCTTCATACCATTGAATTGAACATTATTGGCCCCACCACGTCGATCGAAGATCTGCACGCTGACCTTGCCCTTGGATAAGCCCGTCGTGTCGAGTCTCACAATGGCCAACACTCCCTCGAGAATCTGCCTTCGAACAACAGCCGGCTCAGGAAACCGACCGCTAAGAATGAGGACGTTGCTACGAAGGTTTTGGGAGCGGAAAGCGTCTTCTACATAGCGGATGAAGTCCCTGTGGTCAAGTCAGTTTCATTGCAGGGTCAAATCACAGCGGAATCGCTGAGTAACAACGTGTTCAAGGTCAACATACCGAGGCAGACTTTCATTCAGAACCAGTATCTGAATGTCGGGTACTTCATGTGGCAATCTGCGAGGTAGATCTAAGCCATCCTCGGTGTAGCCTCGCCGAGGGGAGGGACTTCGATGTCTTCGAGGTGGTGTCCGTGATCTGCTACGGTATCGTGTGTCAAACCTATCGCGACTCCTGTCTCTTGACCTCATTCCTCGAGAAGGACCGCGTGGCGACGGAGATCGCATGGGCCGGTAGTCATCCCGATCGCGAAAACGCCGTTCCCTATCTCGAGGAGACAAGGGACTCCCGCCATATCGACCATCCCTGGGTGTTGGTCCTGTGCCACCTCTAGTATAGTCTGGCGAGCGCGAGCGGCGTCGGGTTCCGGTGGGTTGCGGTTCAACCTTTGCTTTTGTATTCCGCTGGGGCTTGGAGATCTCGAGATCTGCCGTTGTTAGTATCGTGTCGATGGACACAGGGGAATGGTCACACTCACGCATCTTCCGACCACGCACTGCCTGTCCTTGCTCTGCGTCCAGAGCCCGACGACATGACTCAGAGTCTAGAAATTGAACAAATCCATATGCCTGCTTTATCGATATCTGCGCGAGCCTGCCATGGCGGTAGAATCGATGGAAGATGTCCCGCTTGGTTACTTTCTCTGTAGGAAGATTACCTAACACATGTTAGATGCGTCACAGTCATAGACGGGCGTTGCGCTCACCAATGAAGAGACGAGAACCCATCGGGAACTGGTCCCACTGTCCCTCTGTCACGAACTTCCTCTCCTGGTCTAGGAACTCTTCGTACTTTCTGTTGATTTCCGGTGGCCACCGTATATCCTCATCGTCGGGTGTCTCGCTGCGCTGAGCTAGTTGTCGCTGACCTTGGCCTGGAGAAGTTGGACTCTGAACTCCAGGCCGCGGAACAGTCGTAAAGTCCTGTCTCTGCATATTCAAGGGCGGTGCTTGACTATTGCCACGCTGCTGGGTAGTGGGCGGCCTCTGGCTATACGGATGGAAAGACCTGATATCATCGTTCGGACTATAGTTGGAATGCGTAGCAGACTTGTCCTGCGCTGGAGGTCGAGGAGGAAGATTTGAAGTCGTAGACAGGGAAGAAGCTGACGCATTGGGCTGCGACTGCGCAGACACTTGAGAAGCATATTGGCCTGAAGGCGCATTGTTGGTGGCAGGTGTCAAAGAGTCCAACAAGGCTTGTACGTCAACACTGGTGGCTGCATGCGCCTCAGTCTGATAGTGAGTGCCTTGGGTAGACTGGGCTGGCGCTAGCTGGGCAGCATACGCATTGTCATGGGAGTATGGGTACGCAGAGTGAGGGTCTTGACCAGAGGCGTGTGGCGCGTCACTGGCAGAAGCGGCGCGCGACTGCTGCTGAGGGGTGAAATTGTGGATTGAAGGGGTATCATGCGCCGCCCGCGTACCCACGCTGCCACCGAACGCTGTTGACTGAAAGAAGCCTGCCGGCGCACTGCCTCCACCACTCTGTAGCTGTACATTCTGATAGCTCGACGGGTTGGACTGGTCGGCGAAGTAGGGCGTCGAGGAGAGGGTGTTGGGTGTGTGCGATTGCGGAGGGTAGTGCGAGGCTGAAGTGGTACTGCCGTTACTGTTGTCGATGGGCCCAGTGAAGTTCAAGTCCATCTGCTCTACAAGGAGGGGAATGTTGGCAGGCGAGGGGACGTTCTGCGGCTGGGGCGACTCTGGCGTCAATTGTTGGTGGCGGATGTGCTCTGCTTCTTGCGGTGGGCTGGGACCGGGTATCATATATGCTAGAGAAGCCAGGCGCAGGGCCGGTACACGGATATATGGGGGATTGCAGGGCAAGGGTCAACTCAAGGCATAGACACAGCACGCCGCCGCGACAAGGACGGGAGGGCTGGATGTGGTACTGGAGGGTGTGGTGGGAGCTGGATGGCGGGGTGGTGGAGGAGGTGGTGGTGTAGTGTTGGTGATGCTAGAGGAAGGCGAGGTGAGGTGAGGTTAGAAGCAGCACTGGTCCACTCAGCAGCCGCCGGACAACAAGTACAGAGGCGATGTGCGGGGAAGGCGGGCTCATAAAAGTGGCGAGAGGGATGGAAGGAGAAGGCGGGCAAGCGTCGTGCAGCAGATGTTGGGACACGCCGTGTGAAGATGATGCACAGGCCTTTGAGTGATGAGCAAAGGCTGAATGGAATACTTTTGCTGGCGCTCTAGAACCTAGCCCGCGCACGTGATTGGATGGTGTGTGCCTCTTAGTACGAACCATGTTGCGTCTTCCCCCGATTGGAGACGCCTCTCATCCTCACTTTGATCCTTGGAAAATACTAGATAATATGCATGCTCTCCGCTTTCGCTCCATCCTTGCACACCCTACTTCCGTCACGAGACTCCCGCCAGCAGCAGCAGTGCATCGTCAATTCACCTTGTTGACTGCGAGGCACATCAGCAACAACAGCAGCAGCAACAACAACAACAGCAGCAGCAGCAGTGCAAATGACGACGAGCTCCAGGCGGCACGCACATGGCTTGCGAAGCTGCATGCAGAGGCGATCCCTCTCAAAAGCATCGGCGAATTGAGCTTCAGCAGGTCGTCCGGCCCTGGCGGACAGAATGTGAACAAGTATGACAAACTCACGAAAAGTACACGGCTCGCGCCCATACTAAGCATGCCCAAAGAGTCAATTCTAAAGCTACTTTGAGAGTGCCCCTGGATGCGTTGCTGCACCATGTCCCCACTGCTCTCCATGGCCACATTAAGCGATGCCGTTATGCAGCCGCCAAGTCCAACACGCTCCTAGTCCAAGCCGACGACAGTCGAAAACAGAGCGACAATGCCCACAGCTGCTACAAGCGTTTATATGAAGCAATCGTCGAAGCGGGGCACAACGCAGTGCCGGCCCAAACATCCGCGGAGCAGGTGCAGCGAGTCAAAGACTTGTACGTTCTTCAGCCTATCTGCCCGACGACCCGACCGCTGACAAGCCGACAGACAAAAGTCGGACAACGAGCGCCGCCTAAAGACCAAGAAGCAGCAAAGTGCTAAGAAGACGTCAAGAAGAGGCCGGGGTGATGATTGATTCATGATTCAAAGGCAGCGCTCTGCGACACCGGTTGCTACCACAGTAGCATCGCTTCGCTTGGCCGTCCAGGTGACGTGGTCCGACTCGGCCTCATAGCACACATGTCACGATAAGGCGCTTGTAGCCGCAGCGGTGTAGCTCATGGCGCTCCGTCTGATAAGACATGTCAGAGATGCTTGGTACCCCTAATTTGCTGGCGAGGCTGCCCAAACCCTTCACCTCTCCAACGCCGAGTTGAGCTTCTGCAGCTCTTCATTCGCAGCCCAGTACTTGATGCTCGCCCGGATCACCGCCTCTGCATCGTGCCTCCTTCCCTCTTGCTGCAGTGATCTGGCCAAGCTGGCAACCTTATCTCCAGAACCTTCACCGTCTTCTAGCGCTCGCATATACTTTCGAAGAGCTACACGCAGCACTTTCTGGAGAGCTGGATCCGCATCCGCGGATAACCGATTGAGAGATACCAACTGACGAACAGCGACTTCGGAGAGCCGGACAGACTCGCTGGGATATTCCTGGATGGTAGAGCTTATCAAGTCGAGCGCGTCTCCCAATGCAGGAGGGAATTTGGGATCGGCAGGGTTGCGACCGAATAATTTCATGCGGAACCTGCAGATGGCGGTTTCTATAGCGAAAAGCGAATTCTCCTGTAGGTAATCCAAGACATGCTGCAATATTTGTGGTATGCAAGGTAGCTGGTCGAATTCCGCAAACATGCCGAAGAAGTGCTCCGCAAGTCTGGGTTTGCCTTGGAACTGCTTCATGGCGGAATCGAAAATGGCGAGCGGAATTGCGCCAGTGAGCACAGGCGCAGCTGCCAGATTCTGGAGGGCCACCTCATCGACGCCATCGTCCTGCTTCAATGTCGGATTTACGTCTTCTGCTGTGATTTCTGGCAGTGCAATCATATCCACATCCTCGCCCTCGTCTGTTTGCTGTTTTTTGGTGCGATCAATGTCCAGCCCCAGGATCTTCCTCCGCCCTGCAATCTTGCCAACGTACATGGTCTCCAGCTTGGCGTACTCTAGCCACAGATACTCCGAGTTCTTGCAAAACCTCAGTCCACGCTGCATGTAACTCCGCGCATTTGTGATGTCCGCCTGCGTGTCCATGAAGTAGTTGGCCGCGTAGATCCATATGTCTGGCTTGGTGGGATGCAGGCGTGCGACCGATGTGAAGATGTCATTCAGCCTCTTGTATGCCTTGTCCTTGCGCGCGAAGTCAATGTACTGCATCCAGAGCGTCAGGTCGCCCGGGAACTTCTTGGTTGCGCGGTTGTAGAGGAAATAGATGGACCGCTGTCCAGCACCCTTGTACCGAACACCCAATCGTTTGATTCGTTTTCGGCGGAGCGCGTCGGCATTCTTCTCAAACTCGATGTATCGCAGGTAGTCGGAGGGATGCGAGCCGCGTGCATTGATGATATGCTCAAAGTCGGAGCGCTTCCTAGCTATTGAACTTATTTCTTCCTGGGGACCATTAGCAGACGCCTTGATTGCGTAGACAATTGCCAGCCTACCCTTGTGAAGATTTTCTTGCGCTCAAGCTCGTTCAACTCTGTCGCCGACTGCTCGAGGTAAAAACGAGCCTTGTCACTTGGGCCTGCCATTGTCTGCGGGGTGGGAATAAGAGCAAAGGAAGCTTGCGATGGAAAAAAAGTTGTCGGTCGAGAAGACTGCTCGCCTAAAGTTGCTCCTGCCGATTGGCGCCTTGGCTTACGACGGTGAACCCTGACTGACCTCCGCCAGCTTCAGGAGAAACGCGTGCCGTGTTTCTGCTTCCCAAGTCTCAATTCTCAACGCTCTTTTGCTTCTTTCTTTTTCTTGGAGCGGCGGGGTACCGAGCCACCCTTCAGAACCCATTTCATCATGGCTTTCAAAGACAAAGAAGGCGACACCGTCGCATCGGTAGGCGCTCGTAGATCTCACCTCCGACATCTCCGCATACTCACAGTCCACAGTTCAACGGCAAATGGATATCATATTCGCACACGCTTATGGCATACGGTAAGCAACCATGGCAAATCACCTCATGATTCTGGGCTAATTCCAATTGCAGCTGCCTTTGTCGGAGCCCTAATTGTCGGACTGTACGCTGTCACCCCACGAATGCCCATCGACGCGACTGAACACCCACAGATGGCTCCACTACCACAAGATCGTACAAAATGAATTCTACGTCAGTACTCGAGGCTTCGCAAAGCTTCAAACCGGCTGACCATGATCGTAGGGCTATCCCGAGGAATGGTTTCCCTCCGTCTCTTCGACCATCGGAGACCGCTATCCCGAGCGCTCCGTCTTCATGCTGTTCATTGCCCTTACATCAGGTACGCCTGGCGAAGAAACTTACAGTGGTTCATATTTAACAATATCCAGGTCCCCGCTTCGTATTGGTCGGCCTCTGGTATATTTTGACCAACCGGCCAAACTCGTCCCTCCCCAAATTCGTCGCCGGCGTGGGCATATTCCGAACCCTGACATGCGGAGGTTGGACATACGTGACGTCGACTGATGACCACGACTGGCACGACATCTTCATGATTTCATACCTCGTAGCGACACTCCCATGGACACTCGGCTGCCTGGCTTTGAGCCCAGCGAACCCAACAGCCATCAAATACCGGAAGCTTTTCGCTGGATCCTTCTTTGCGACTCTTGTGCCTCTGATCTACTTTTTCATTCAGCACAAAGTGCATCGGGTTGCTGGAGGTAAGTTTGCGCTATCCCATTACGCTATCTATGCTAAAATCCATCCAGCATACACCATCTACTCATTCTTCGAGTGGGCGCTTGTACTGCTCGACGTAGCATTCGATGCAGTTACGGTAGTCGAGTTCCAAAATTTCGAGGTTGTGATAAAGGATATACGTGGTGTATCTCGCGTGTACGTCCCAAGACTCCCAAAGTAGATAGACGCCCCTCACGAATACAAATGGTCTGCGAATATATTCTGATTTGTTGTGTCCTCCAGTGCGGGAAACAGGTCCGTATCCGACACTATTCTTGAGAAAGAGTAAGTCTATATCGAAAGTCCAGTGAGAATGGTTCTGATTGCGGTCCAGGAGAGGCAAGGAGATCGGCGCGACCTTTTCAGGTGCCTTCTCTTGGCTTGGCTTTCTTCATGCTGTAGCAGACGTCTACAACGGGGTAGGTCGAGTCTTTACCCCGTCGAGATCCTGTAACTCATGGTTTTTGTAGTTTGTATTTTGGTCCATGTTGACCTCTCTCGGAGTATGCGTATGGTGTGAGTATTCGCCTTCTACTCTTCTTATATACACGCTGACCCTATCTAGATTTCCCACTCTGGCATATGGGCATCTCCGGTTATGAAGCCATAATTTTGTGCACACTCTCCCCATTCTTCCTAGGGATTAGGCCACTTCGCTTCCTTGTTACTCGCTACACATGGTTCTTCCATCTGCTATCACTCCCAGGCCTTCTGGCGTTTCTCGCAAAGTCTCCCGAGAACCGCCTGTTCTCCGTTGGATTTGGCCTTTCGATGTCATGTCTCTCTTGGGCCGGTACTTTCTATGCAGAACGATCTCAGCCACATCGTCTCGAGGGACGTATCTCGGCATTCTCACTGGGTCTAATAGCTTCCAGTGTCGCCAAGTTCGCTTTCTGGACGAACAACCCCATCTGGCCGATCATGCATGAGCCAAATGGTGGCTGGAACAAGACCGGCCTGGTACTGGCTGTGATTGCCATACTGATATCAACAAGATCGACAGCCAGCTCCGGTGCAGATATTCCAGCGCCAGGCCCGACTAGAGGATCTTCAGTGTTTGCAGGCTTTGGTCTCGCCGGTCTGTTCTTTGCTATGCACTCGTTGCTTTCGGACTCGAGCACCATGATTTCATGGGTCTGGGAAGGATATCCTGTCCGTGGCCCGCTTGCTGTTCCCCATGGTGCTTGGACTTTGCTGGCCATGGGCGTTGGTCTTAACATCGGACTATTTGCTCCAAATCTATCTCGGTCATGGGCTTTCTATGGTGTGGGCTCCATTGGAGCTGCTGTATTGACCACCTACAGCCACTGGAGTGGATACTACGGCGCCCTTGTCCTTGCCGTGTACACCATGGCTGCCGCCCCAGTGCTCATCACTCATGCTGCCCGCCACTCTCCCGGCAAAACATTTGGCCTTGCTTTCTTAGTTTACAACCTCATGGTCCTCTTCCACGTCTGGGTTGTCGCCTATGCCTTCGTTCCTGGCGGCCCGCTTGTCCGCGAACGCACCGATTGGGTCATGACCGCTATGATGCTGCAAATCGGCGCAGGGATCTTCAGCGTCTCAACCCAGTCACCCGCCGCAAAGACGTACAAAGGCAAAGCCGTCATCACCGCAGCGTCTAGTAGACAGCGCTCGTATTACCTTTATATTCTCGGCGCCATTGAGCTGCTCGCTATCGCTACCGCGTACTTGCGGTTCCCCTCGTACGACTACACTCCTTATAATCCCGAGACCAAATCGATCACTGCGGGTATCTGGACAATCCATTTCTCCTTGGATAATGACATGTGGTCGTCGGAATACCGCATGCGCGATCTCATCAAAGAGCTCGAAGTCGACGTCATTGGCCTATTGGAAAGCGATCTCCAGCGCATCATCATGGGTAACCGCGACACGACGCAGTTCCTCGCCGAAGACCTGGGCATGTGGGTCGACTACGGCCCGGGACCCAACAAGCACACCTGGGGCGCCGCATTACTCTCCAAGTTCCCCATTGTCAATTCCACACACCACCTTCTACCAAGTCCCGTTGGCGAACTGGCGCCCGCGATCGAGGCCACAATCGACGCGTACGGCACCCTCGTCGATGTCTTCGTGTTTCACTCGGGACAGGAGGAGGATCCCGAGGATCGCAGATTACAGTCTCTGTACTTGGCGGAGAGAATGAAGGCGACGTCCAGGCCAGCGATTCTGCTGAGTTATCTTGTTCTCAAGCCGGGCGAGGGAAATTACAATACCTATGTTGGCGAGAAGAGCGGAATGAAGGATATCGACCCCACGGACTGGGATAGGTGGTGCGAGTACATTCTCTACAAGGGTCTTAGGCGTACGGGTTACGCTCGAGTTTCTCGACATACCATCACGGACACGGAACTACAGGTACGTTTACGTTTTCTCTCCTACTTGGTCACCTACTGGATCTGTGCATATGCTAACGCTTGACAGCTCGGCAAGTTCGTCGTCGATCAACCCGAGAATGGGCACGAGTTGATTCATGAGAGCCAAGTCCCACCTGGCCTGCGCTTCCCAGATCTCTTCAAGGGTGAGGGTGTTAGAGGTCATAGGTACCACGTTTTCGACGAGCCTAGGTACTATGCTTAAAGTGGTGGAGGGAAATAGGGGTTCACACTTTGAGAGACGACATTGGAGAATTTGGACGTGGTCGCGAATTGTACAGTATGCACGAAGAAATCAAAAGTTATGTGAATGATCATTTCTCAAGTTTCAATTGAGGGCACCCCAATTCGCGTCTATAAAAGTACAGCCTATTCCCGCTGCTGTTGCCACCACTTAGCCCCGGAAACACAGAGCTCCTATGGAGCTCACACAGACGCCCGTAAACATGCATTGCATTTGTGCGAAGAGGCTCGCATACCTATCATCAGGCCTCGGAACGAAGCCCGTCCGTACTTTTGATCATCAGCCATGCGCCTTCGTCAACGTCCCCCCGTCATGACATCCCCAGAAGCCGCCGCTCCTACTTCACCCCCCGTCGAGATAGGCCCCAGTAGTTTCGCTCAGTATGCTCATTTGGCTACGGCAGCACTCAGGACCTGCGTCCTAAAGAAGCCGCCCTTTGTCCGCTCGATAACTTGTTGGTAGACAGACTGTGGTGGGTGGTTCATGACGACTGTGCCGGCCTGGTAGTCGATCTTGGCGTCGACACGTGTGTCGCGGATGAGGTTGACGATCCACTTCTCGCCCTCGTCTTGTGAGAGGCCGAGACGCGTTGAGAGGTCCCTGACTGGCGTTAGTACTGTAACTCTACATTGATGGGCTAGCCGAAGACTCACTTGATGTCGATGCGCTGGTGAATCTTGCAGTAGCTCTCTGAGATCAAATGTCTCGCCGCATCCACAAACGAATCCGCCGCACCCAGCAAGAAGAAGTCGTTCTTGAGAATCTCCTCTGTCTCGCTCAACTTCTTCTGCGCCTCCTCAAAGTCAAAGTCAATGTACAGCGCCTTGATGAAGTCCGTTACCGGATCGTTGTACTCGTACCCTTCCTGCCTCACAATCCTAATGAGGTCCTTGAGCTGCTTCTGGTACTGGTTCGAATTCCTTCCCTTGTTGCGACCGGTGATAACGGCAGCGGCCAGGTAGCGCAGGATCCATGGGCAGTTTGTCTGAATGGTGTTGATGTATGCGGGGGAGAAGAACATGTCGGTAAGTGCTTCGCGGGAGGATTCGTGGTTGAAGAGGGGGAAGAGCGACCAGTGAAGCAACCAGGTGCGGTGCTGGAGTTGTGCGAGCGGGTTGTTGAAGAGGCGTGTGTCGATGATTTCCTTGAGCTTGTTGATCTCTTCTATGGCCGAGTCCCAGTTTACGGAGAGGATCTCGCAGGCGAGCTTGCCCCAGGTGGCTTCACGCTCCTTGTCGCCGTCGGTAGTCTACGAGACGTTAGCATGATAAAAACAAAGATCAATATGGTAAAACCCACCAGAACCCTGAACCGGTACAGCAACTCAGCAGCATGCGGGTAGACACCGCAGCTGTACTGGAACTGCCCAAACTCATACAACTGGTTCACCATGTCCACCTCGACACCATGGCTCTCCTTCAAGTATGCCAAATTCTGCACCTTGTCGCTCCTCAGGTTGGTCACCACGTTCTCGTCGTCCAAAAGTCCCGAGATCTTGCTCGTCTCCTGCTCCAGCCGATCGCGCGTCTGCAGCACCTGGTCGCGCTTTTGCTTGTACTCGTCGGGCATGTCGTCGAGGTCGTGCACTTCCTGGTACAGCTGGCCTACAAAGTCGGTCATGTTGGTGGACTTGAGGAGCTCGAGAAGCAGCTTTTTCTGGTCGAGCGGTTGCTCGGCATCTTCGTCGCTGGAGAAGTTGAGGAGCGGGTAGACGAGATGGCGGTCGAGGTTGGGCATGAGCTTGGGGAGGAGGCTGTATTGTGCGGCGATGTCGACGCCATCGGTCGCTGAGTCGGCCATGTTGGGTGGTTGGCGCGGTGCTCTGTGTGGTCGAGGTGAGTGCAGAGGTGGTGTTGCAGCGGGCGCGAAATTCGCTATGTCGGCAGCGGCGGTGGTGGGGTTCGCGGAGGTGAAGGGAAAAATGACTGTGCGTAGCGAGCACCCCTGCAACGCTAAACTTTTGGTGTTGAGCCGCAAACCTCGCTGCAGAGGCTTATCGACATCAGCACAGCAGCCGTGCCGTTCAGGTTCCATTCCCTCTTCCTGTGTATACTGTAATTCATACTGTCGCAATGCCTCGGATACAGACTTTTGCCCCGCTGTTGAGGCCACTGGCACCTCCTAGAGCAGTCGCATGCCAGCAGCACATGCGCTTCTCGACCGCAACACGACTATTCGCTGATCGTATGCCTCTCCAATGTGCCTTTAGTTACATCCCATATTAACAGCTGTTACCAGAGACTCCTTCAACAGCGACAGAACCCCTCAAACCCGCTTCGGACCCTTCTTTACCTCCAAATGCATCTCCTGAGGCTCCCTCAACACCCCAGCAAGCCCAGCGCGCCGCCGACTTAGCAACAGCTGAAGCCATCACCGAGTCGGACAGCGCGCAACCGCCAGAGCCCAAGCCTACACTTCCCTCTCAGCGACCCAGGGCTACGAAGACCAAGACCGTTGAGCCCACTACCCCCAGCCTTCCCAAAAGTGCCTTCCAGCTCAACAAATTCAAACCCGAGTCCCGCACACAAAAGGAGATCCGGTTACGAAATGCGGCAAAAGCTTCGCCCGCGCAACGCGCAACCAATATCGAGCTCCCCCCGCCAAAGTACCACATCTCCCGCTCCGCCTCCAAGAACCTCCCCATATACACAGACTATAAGCGCGGTGGCAACCTGCACCTGACAACCATACGGAAAATCACTGGCGATCTGTCTGCGTTGCGGGACGAGTTACGCGTGTTTCTGAATAAGAAGAATGAGGAGGTCACGATCAATAGTTTGACGGGGCACGTCATTGTCAAAGGGCATCACACGAGCGAGATTGCCGAGTTTCTGAAAGCACGGGGTATGTAGGAGAAACGAGGAGACTCGAGTAGAAAGAGTTCGGAAGGACCTAGTAGTGCAGATATAGCCTCGAAGGAATAGAGCAGAGGATTGACAATGACGTAGCGTTTGTGTATCATATGTATAAGAGCTAGCATTGGCGGGAATCGATGAGCTTCAAGAATTTGCAAGTGTATGACGTGTATGTATAGGGAGACATGATCAGTAAAAGCCGTACGCATGTTCATGAGCAAGAGAAGACAAGCACATGAGAGACTACTTTTGTATTATCGCCCTCGAAGATCGAACCCTCGTATGGTCCTTTGTTTGGACCCATAGATTACGAAAGACCCCATATGTTGCCCCGAGCAAGCTTTATCTTTTGGCCTGTCAGGCAGACTCATCAGAATCAAAGTCTACGCAGACCGGAGCTTCCTCCATAGCCGTGTTAGAACATGACCGAGAGAAAATGTACTATGTTGTAATTAGTAGGTGCTCAAAATGAGAATGAAGATAACTTACTGTGATAGAGCTAGTTGTTTGCGACATCATCCTCGACCTCGCGTTTGGCGGAGGCGGAATGGGGAGAGCAAAGAAGCCAGCACATGTCCGCCACGCAACGCCGTATGCAACCGATAGGAGAGCGCTTCTCGACATTGGCTGAGACAGAATAATGAGAGCGCTTCTCAACGTTGACGGAGGCAGAGTGGGGAGAGCAGAGAACCCAGCACATGTCCGCCACGCAACGTAGTATGCAATAAAGGAGGGGAGAGCGCTTCTCGATGTTGGCGGAGGCAGAATGTGAAGAGCGCCTCTCGATGTTGGCGGAGGCATGGGGAGGTAAGCAAACAAGGAAGCACATCTTGTCCATGCAAATCATTTCGCATGTATTTCGTGGTTGAGGCGGTGGAGTCGGCCCGGCAGAGCTCTTCTCGATACCGCTGGGGGCGCACAGCGTGATGCACATGCCCTGATCGGAGTCGTTGCAAAACTGGCGGCAGCCCTCTGGTGAAGCCTGGACATCTCCATCCTGGGCCATCACTTCAAGGGTAGCGAGGTGGGCGACTTCTTCAGTCTGGCCTTGCGCCTGGCACTCTGCATAGTAGCAGTTGCGCAAGACACACACCCAATGGATGCAACGACGCTGTCCGCCGGCTTGAGACTCATCCGTGCCCTCCATCTTGATTGCAACGGTGCGATTGTCGAGATCAGCCTCATTGATGACGAGCGCGCCGTCAAGGTCCTTGGGCATCTCGGACTCATCTTTGAGGCACATGTGGCGGCAGGTCGCATCAAGGCAGGCGATGATGCAGTATGACTTGGCTTCCTGCGTCTCGCGCTTGACGTCGATACCAGCCGTAAACTCATACGACTGTGGCACGGCCGGTCCGCAGGCCTGGCAAGCTTGACACTATGCACTTGTCAGTCACTGTCCTCTCACCGGGTCTCACCAACCCCGCGCAGTCGCGAAAAGGCGGGCTAGATGAGTAAACATACCTTGTCGCCGTAGTACTCGCAAACGAAGTCACGACAGAAGTCGGCGCCTTCATGACGGTTCAGGCAGCCAGTAAAGAAGGCATGGCAACCAGTCTGGCACTGGGCTGCGCTGGAGTTGATGACATTGGACGCAGACGTGGCGGCAACGAGGCCGACAAGGAAGAAGAGCGCGAGCATCTTGAGAAGAGTAGTCGCGATCATTGTGACGGTTGTGGTGACGCTGTCGAGATGCAAGTGCTTGGTGATACACTGTGGTGGGTTGAATGGGTGGAGGTGAGGAAAGTGGAGGTGAGGAAAAGAAGTGGACAAGTCAAGTCGAGGCCGAGCGGTTTAAGAGCTTGGAGGGCGGCGTGACGTAGAGCAAAATAGAACAGCATGGAGCAAAATAGAACGCCGGAGAAAGCGCGCTGGTGAAGGTGAAAGTGAAAAGAAGGTGCGCTCCACCGCTCTTTCCAAATTGGACCGAAGCAACAAACGCGCAAGAGCAAGCACGCAACCTCAAAACTGGCCATGGAAACGCATACTCCCAGCCTCAGAATATCAGTAGGAGTCGCACTGGAGAGCCCATAGCATGATTGTGGAAGCAATGTCATCCTTCGTCTACCAAGTTGTTGATATTAAAGTTCTCGTGCAACACATAAAACCCGCAAGCCCTCACCCTTGGGCTAGGCGAGGCTAGGCGGCATGAGAGTTATCCACATGATGCGTACCGAATCATACAAGTAGAAGGGTAATCCCAAAACACCTTTGAGAAATTCACCAGTGCTTCACTTTCTTACCGACCCTCTACAGCAGAACACTACATGTGGCCAAGCTCCATCGAGCTTTCATAACCTCGGAAAGCTATCGCATCACTCTCGCCGAATACAAAGAGATGATAAATATGTAGATTACACTACAGTGACAAGGGTAAGGGTGTATCATGTCTACAAGCACAAGATCAGCACCGTCAAAGCTACGACATCGTCGTTTAGGGTCCCCGACACGTTTGCAGATGAATCCTTTACAAAAGGAAAAAGATAGTGAGAAGGTGAAGGCTAAGATCAAGAAGCGGAACGCGCAGCTAGAGTATGAGAAGGACTTGGTTGAGAGAATGTGAAGGCAGCCGCGATTAACATGTGCGCAAGGTTAGGGAAGTCGATAAGAAGATCTTGAGATAGAGGGGAACATTGAAAAGAGTTTGCGTTGAGGATTCAGGATTGAGTACGTAGCTTCCCAACTTCATATTTTGAGGAGCTATTCAGTTGCTTGGAAACCAAGACGTAACATGAGAAGATGGAAGTGAAGGAAAGGGTAGCCGACAGGGGGCTCAAGAAGGAGATCAAGGTCGGTGAGGCCGGTGAGGCTAATGGAAAAAAACCTACGTGAAAGAGTTTATACTGATCCTGGAAGAGACCTAGCTAATGATGGATGCAACAAACGCGGCACGATTCACCACCCCAGCAGCACCATCTGCGACATTTAGCCATCATAAAACGGAAGGGAGCGGATAAGGGTTGACATTGCTATGACGACGCGAGACCACGCTAGATGTCAAACTCATTGTCTTGTTTCCAACAGGTCCTGGAATCTCTCCACGGTCCTCCTTGCTTGGTGCCATGTACAAGTTCTAGGGTCATGTAATCGGTCTACAACTAGCATGTCTGCTGTACAAAGAACCTGCATGCCGAGTTCTTGGGTCATCTGAAGTGAGATCGTGCCATGTATCTGGGTCAAGCTACCCGCAGTGCCGTATTAGACATGATTGGTTCGTGGAGACATCGAGATAGCGAGGCGCTATGGCGTTGCTGATAGCTGCTCAAGACACAAAAGAATACCTTTCATAGTCCTCAAAAGCTCCTCGTAGACCGGGACGTAGGCTGTGCTCCTTACCTTGAGCTAGCGGTGTCACTTCAGGATGACCAAGGGCCGTTGATGTTTCTAGGTGGAGGTTTCGCAGTGGTAGCTGAGGACTCAAAGTCGACGGTTACATTTAGCCTACACGATAAGGAAGATGTAAGGTCGTGAACACGGCCGCAGCTGAATTCATCCAGTGCCCAATATGAATGAGCGGAGTTTTAGCTCACCACCGATACGAGGAACACCATAAGCGAGAACGCCGTAAGCCATGTCTTCCTGCGAGATGGAGAGCGTGCAAGGCGCGGCATATCTGGGGAGCCGTTGAGTAACGTAGGTGCCAACCGTGGAGCCCCAGGTCTGGAGCCATTCACCTCTGGCTTGAACAATACAGAGTTTACCACGTTATCTTTCTGAGCGGCGGTACGTTGAATAGCGGCTAGGCCAGCTAATGCAGGTGGTCCACACACATGTATTGAATCTTGAGATTGTGGGATTCTAGGGTTCGCGCGGATGGTCAGAGAAAGCGGGAAGCCTAAAATCATGGGGTGTGGAGATCGGAATTTGGTTGGACGGGAAGGAATCACCGGGAATGCATACTGTGGAGGGTATGCCTCACATACCCCCCAGCCGCTGTTTGACCCGCGGAGCGGGAAAACGTCGTACAATGCGGCTGGAGATTTGTGTTTCGTGCAATCGAAGTGATTAGTGTGCGTCAGCCTTCTAGATGGCTAAGACCTTGTAGACTAGTTAGGGTTCAGTCGGGGGGACTCGAAGCGACCGGGAGGTTTGCCCGGAATAGATGGATATGTGCAACGTGTAGTATTGCTATTGATGAGAACTACTAGCCTGGTAGCATGTAGAGTGCCGAATGCAATTGTGATCGTGCTTTCAAGTTTGTGCCATACGTGTTGGACGTTAGATCCACTAGCAAAAGATCCCAATCTGCGCGTCTCTGCACATGTTGGACCAGTTTTTTACATTGTGTTTGAATGAGATTATCTGGCCTACTTGCTAGGGAACGCAAGACAATCTCGGTGAATTTCTACATCAGCGGCTGGCTTCGCGGAAAGGATGAGCTTTTGCGAGCTGCCGTTGAACACAGCGTACGCCGGGATAGTTCACTAGGGGTGGAGGTGGCTGCAAGATCTTGCAGCCAGATCCAAATGCCCAAGCTAGCGTTGGATCTTTCCGCTCCGCTTAATAAGGGAGCTTTCGGCATATGGGTTCGGTGGTTGTAACCAATCCGGCTTTACGTCACTTTTTATGGAGTGTGACACAAAGTGACTTCAAAACGTGGACCCTGCCTCCAGTCGAGATGTGGCAGAAGCGTCGTACATATTGGAGAAACTGCGTTGCGCGACAGCCCTAGCTGACCAATCCTAACATTTCCATCCAGTGTCGGCCGCAGAGGGTGTGATCTGAATTCTGTTGCGAAGTCCATCAGCGTCAAGTAGACGGGGATAAAACGGGGATAATCTGCCGGCAAGGACCTCCACGGAGAGAGACCATCCGTGACGAGATCTCAGATCCAAGGCCCAGCATGGGGAAAGGGGGTTTGGTCATGATCGGTTGAGGTGAAGACAGGCGTTAGTGGCCCAGTGATTTGGCAAGAGGGCGGCGGGAAGGAACGGGCGGCGTGGCGCGGCGACCGAAGGAGACGAGTAGCACAACTCTGTGTGACGTCGGTGGGGCTCGGCATCACAAGAGTCCGCTACGTGACAAAGAAAAACATGGGGGTCTAGGGAGGGCTCTAGACAAACAGTGTTTACCAAACTTGGTGTCATGCTCATGGTAGTGTCAAATCTGTGTGGTAGGTGCCCAGGTGGGACGGCGACTTGATGGCGTCTGGGAGCTCCGAGCACGTTTCAAGCAGATCGGGCCTAAACCGGATGCAAGGCTCGCGTATCTTGAAGGTTGTGTTTTCTGATCGGGGCCCCCATGTAAATGGACGGCAAGGTAGCCAGCGATCGACCTTCAGGGCAGATTTGCTGCACGATTAAACCCCGACTTTTTGCAGACGAAGCGAGGCGATCGAACATTGGGGACTGGCGGACAACATGGTGGAGGTCTGCTCGTCTCTTCTCTACTTCTGTGAGGTCAGACTGGATCTAATGCAAGCGGTGGTTAGGCTCGATATCAGGCCATGGATAGTAGGGAGACGGTGTGTTTCCTGTGATTTGCTTTTTCGCCCTGGCTCAATTTCCTTATTCCCTGTTGTTCCTTTGAGGCGTCTGTACTTGGGAGCTGTTGAAGAGACGCCAACCATGTGCCCCCCCCGTCATAATGAAGGCCTCGGAAACTCTTTCAACCAAGCCATCTCGTTTATCGTCGGGAAGGTGCCCCAAGATCCTAGCGTGCTTCGATCGCCATGTTGGCCAAGCAATGTGTGAGGCAGTGTTGTACCCGTCCCAGCCTGTCCCTGTCCGTTGCTTCAGAGACGCCGAGGCGCGACGGAGCTATTGAGCCTGCGAAGTCGCTAGCCTCAACCAGCAGTTCCCCTCTCCACAGTGCACACTCCTCCCAAATTTCTGAGGTGGCGGACTTGGCCCCGGGGACTCTCGTTGGTCACCATCAGGAGGAGGCCCTCGTCAAGCCTCCTTTCCTCTCTTCCGCTCACGATCGAGGAAGCTGTTTGCTGAATTCCTGCCTCGCTCGACTTTCAGAAGCTGTTCGCTGTTCGCTGTATAGTGCTTGCTTTTTCCGCATTGCTACACACAGACAAGTCAACGGACTCGGCGTCGCGTTAGTAACATCGCTTGCAGCGCTCGATGCGCAAACTGTTTACCACAATTCCAATTACCCAGTCTTGGTTCGCCCCGGCTCCAATCAGGCTTTGCTAAGGCGCCACTTAATGTTTTGTTCGGGTCCATATCCCAGCCCACATCGAATTCTGTGTGCATCGGCAAGCCCACGACGCGTTGTTCGATCGCCCGCCCCCAGTAACAGGTCCACTGCCCATCGCGGCTTCGTCGCTTCAGGCCTCGCGGCGTTCGCTGGCGCTCAACTGTTCCTCGATCGCGTATCTGCATCTGGCTTGCTGCTGACCTGTCCCCTGGCTACGCGGTACATGAGCTGTTTAGCTCCGTTGCTTTCGGCCCATCTTTAGGCCTGCTCAGCCCTGAGATTCCGTCGTACCTAGTCGACAGTCGCCACTCTTCCCCTCCTCCTGTCCTCCTTAGTCTCCACGCCCGCTCCTTTTTCATCGACCGATCTTACAACCTTACTCTCTACCTACAGCCTGTCGTTGCTAGACGACTGAGTGCTCCGTTCGTAAGAGAAAAAGACACTGTCCAAGACCTGTCAGCCTTCAGCGACCACACTGCCACTGCACACCTGCCACCCTTATTTGTCACCTACTTCAACCGATTGGATTTCACCATGCCGGCGGAGCGTCGAACATTTACTGCGACCAGACCGGTCAAGACCGAGCGCACTCACGAAGAGAACCAAGAACGGTTCGTTACCTCTTGTCGTGTCAGATTGGCTTTGTATACTGATTCTGTGCAGTGCCTACATCGCTGCATCGCGACGCAGTGACCGCAGTCTCGAGGCGCGCATTGAGTCTGCACGAAGAGCTTCTGAGATCCATAAGAAGCGCACGGGACGTGCCTTGCGTGTGACTGAACAGGATGTCATCAATGAAGAAATGTACGAAGAAGAAGACGATGATTTGCCTACGCAGTACCAGCGGTTGAATGCACATCTGCACACTACTTCGGTCATGTTCAACAAGAAGCTACACGACTACATTGCGACACAGCATGGCGTCAGAAACATGTTCATGTCACAGTATCAGAACCCATCCTACCAGCAGTTTGGTGGTCAATACCCAGCCAATGGTGGATCCTTCCCTCAAGCGAACAACTGGATGAATCCACTCATGCTCCCACCTCAGCAGTTTAGTTCTACTACACCCCAGAATTTTCAACAGGCGCAACCCTTTAGTCCCACTAGTGCCAAACCACAAGGATCTCGACAGTCTCCGTACCATATTCCTCAGCGTTCGCAGTCCCATCAACGTTCTCTTTCCATCCAGCTACCTCAAGCGGCCAAGCCTTTCGATCCGTCTGCACAGCAAGCAAACAACGACGTGACTTCACCGCAGGGCGGCATGAATAGGAGAGTATCTTTACCACCTCGAGATGGACAGTTGCGTCCTACATATTCGCGCTCGCCCACTGCTCAATCACCTCAGAGCGCATCACCAACTGCAGGATCAATCAAAGAGGAGCCGCGTTTACAGAGCGATACTAGCACGCCCAACTCGTACATGTATAGCCCAACAGCCTATCCCATGAACTCACAGCTGTCGAACACGAACCCTTTGACTATGTCACTGCCTCCCGAGTCGCAGCAGTTCATCGGTTCAGCACTTGACCCAAACGATCCCCGAACTGCCATGTTCATGTCGGGTAGCGACTCCCTTCCTCAACCCTTTGCTCCTACCTATACTTATAATCCCAATTTCTCGAAGCCGACAAAGACTGGTAACCCAGGAACCCCGACTGGCACGGCACAGACTTTGTCAACTGGAGTGGGCATCAAGATGGAACATGGTGTTGACGCCAATCCCCCATCTTCGATATCAGATGGCTTTTATCCCAACGACGCATTCTTAACACCTGGAAATGGTGATTACAATGCGTTCTTTGATTTCCAAGGCGGAGGGTACTCCCAACTTGGCGAAGAACAGGTTACCAACGATCAACTCGATGGCTCCAACTTCGTCAACTGGGACTGAGGTTGCTAGAAGTTCTCATACTCGTTCTGATAACTTATGCTCGAGCGCAATGCGTTTGGGATTATTGAGGGTAAGTAACGGGCACTCGCTTATTTATGATTTTTGCAAGGTTTTCATTATGTTCTTGGTTAATATGTACCCGATACCTACTATCCTTTTTCCTAACGATGTTACGACTCCGGGCGTTCTGTGGAGTTGCTGGCGCAGATATGGAAAATAACCAGGGGGTAAAGACATTGCTGTGTCTTCTACATTGGCGCTTTAGGTCGCTTTGATGGCGACATCTCCCCTCCCCATAGTATTGGGCTATGTTGTTAGCTACGATATAATTAATAATTGTAGCGGCCTTGAATTGGCTTCCTGCTCCCAATCTAGTTACTTGTTATGCAGTACTTGACGTGTGCATCCACGACCATAACGCTTCGTGCATTACAGCATTACAGCATTACAGCATCGGAGCGAGGAATGAGATCTTCCCAATTCCTACTTACGAGCTCGGACCTCCCCCTCTAGACACCGTCGCCAGAACCTCGATTAGGACTTATAGGTAGTGACGACGGAGCGGGCCGTTCGAGGGAAGCGTGGCACGGGCATAGTGAAATGACACAGTAGACGACTGCCAATTACGCGCACAAGCTTGCTCGCGCCACAAATGACACGCCTGTGACAGACGCCTCTGTTCAGGCATCAGTGAGTGGCTACGAGTAGCTATTCTCGAGGGAGAGTGGACAAACATTACACACGTGATGATGCTAGTGTAGATTTGAGCTAGCACTTCTGCGTCACGCAGCATCGCACAACTCATCAATCCCAACGGCACAGAGACAACCTATCCGCATCCCTCCGGCTATTGGCAGCGGCACGTTCCCCATTCGATGCACTGTACCCCAATGCTCCAGTCTGTAGTCCTCGAATCCAGAGAATTTTGGCGGCTCCTCCTGTCGGAATTTTCCCGTGCCATTCTGCATCTGTGCACCGTGGCAGAAGCAATTTGGAATCTGCTATTTCGAGCGATGTACAGGTCGCCCATAGTGTGAGTAGCTTGGACCTCGCTTGGACCTCAGCTTCGCACTTTGCTCAAGGACTGCGCTCTTGACGCCCCGGACACGACATAACTTTTCATCGACCAAATTAATGCGCCACCGATTTGGAATCAGTTTTTTAAAGGAACATTTGGGACCCATCCAACAGAGACCTGAGAAATTTCAGCAGTCGTCGCTGCTAATAATTATCCTGAAGAAGCAAAACCTGGCCAGTTTATGTGCAACACCAGGTAGCCAAAGCCCACTTGGTGGCGTTTGCGAGTATCCGTTTGTGGACTTTCTTTTGCATATGTCTGGCCCGGGTTTCCACAGACGGGCGACATGTAGAGGCTTCTGTCATGAAGTTGTCAGCCGTCATCGGGATTCTGTACGACTGTCATCACAGGCTTGGGGTTCGCAAGTCAGTCGAACATGACGACTTCAACTACGCTACCTTGGACATGAACGACATGGATTCATTACCTCGCAACACCACTTTGCCTAGAATGAGGGCAGTGTAAACTTTGCCACTCTCAACGACGGTAGGCCAAGTTTCGTAGTTATCTCACCTCTAAGCTTTTCTGTCTTCGTCTTTTCTTGCACGACCCGTGGCGGCGACCGTGTCGTTGTGTAATGCTGATAGCCGTGTGTTATTCTTGTTCCCGCAATTGCTTCCCCGACTCAACTTTGAAACACCAGTTTCAATGTTACACTATCAATCTATCCGGAGTGACCATGAGCGTTCGTCTTGAACTGCTCCATGGCGTCTTGAACCATAACGACCAACCAATCCGATGACCATCCTTTTCACTAAGGATCCTAAACCACTGCAAGCTTGAGCGACCAGGCCAACTACACGTACCAAAGACTTGGAGGCGACACGGAATATGCTAAAAGAGTATCTGTTCCAGGAATATGGAAGTAGGGACGTGTCAATGGGAAGCAGGATGCCGTGTTGCATTCCCGTGTTTGGTCCCAGCGGAGTACTGCTCATATTGAACGAAAGCTATGACAAGATCATGGAATACTACTGTTGCATTGGAACATGAAAGAACCACGTATAAAGGCCTTCCTGACATCTTTGCTCCAAGGTAAAGCTTCTCAGCTGTAGCCGTGTCCGCTTCGACACTTTCTCTCGTTTCTTTTGCTTTCTCTTCTCTTTCCTTTGGGACTACAATACGTATCCGTCATCCACCGCCTACCAATCATGAGGTTTACCACCTCCTTCTCCTTGGTGGCTACCTTTACGCTCGCCGCTGCAGAGCGTATGTCATGTAAGCTCCTGCTTGTTGCCTATCCTCATGCCTGCTGGGCTGTATATGCATATGCTCTTGCGTTGATTTACACCCCTATCGAAACCATAATACATAATGACATGATTACCTGACCATATATCGTCTAGGGCATGTCCCAAACCACGTCAGGCTTCGCTCCTATTCCCCGCCTCCGCCATACTATCCGTCTCCTCACCCCATCACGAGCACTAGTGGTGATGGCGTGTCTTACACTCATTCTCGTGGCACTGGAGTCTCGTTTTCAACTGGTGTGTCATTGTCAACCGGCATCCCATCGAGCGCTACTATTCCGACCTCCTCGGATCTGAATTCGACAACTCGGGTTCTATCTACAGTTGTCGACACCAGTGTCGTTACCATCACTTTGACAAAGAGTACAGTAGAATCCACGAGCATACTCGTCACTCCAAGTGTCACGTAAGTCATCACTACTTGCAATGTCAGCCTTTGAGGTGAATAGATGTACTAATATTCCGCCACTTAGTGCTCGCAGTTCAACGAGAGCGACCACGGATACGTTTACCGATGCTACGCAGTCCAGCTGGGATCCCAACCCACCGTCATCCACTCGCGTTCCACTATCCACGGGTGCTTCTTCTTCCGGAACCGGATACTCCTCTCATTCTCTCCCAGACAGTTCAGCACCTTATGGCAATAGCACAAGCTTCTCTCCAACCACCCGAAGCACAGGGACTGCGCCAGGATTATCCACTTACACTTCTACTCTCACGCATATTGATAATGCCACGACCTCGAGCTACACGCCAAGCCCGCCAGCCTCAACGGATGAACCCAAGTTCAACACGACTCTTGTTGTTATCTCCACGTCGGTTCTCACGATTACGCCTCTCCCCCCGTTCCCGACGAACAGTTCTTCGATCGTACAGACAATCACCGAACCTACTGCTATTTCAAGTAGCCCTAATGCCACGTCAAAGGCGCCCAAAACGTCCTCTGGTTACAACAGTCCACCACCTGTGTCTACAAGATACGCTAATTCGACAACATACCCCTCTACCCCCACGCCATCGACTACGTCCTACACGTACTTGTCTTCTTTGAGCTCGACTGTAGGATTGCCTTCGATCAGCGTTAGTTCGTTCTCCTTGTTCACTACGGTTTCTTCTTCCTCGAATACTCGGTCGTCCAGCGTAAAGTCACCTAGCAGCAGCGCCTCTACTACCAAGTCTACTACGAGAAGCTCCACCACTATATCAACTTCCAGCACTAGGTCTTCAAGCACCCGCTCTGCCAGCTCGAGCTCGTCTAGCACCGCTCGCTCTTCCAGCACCCGTTTGTCTAGTACCCGATCATCGTCCAGCCTGTTCACCTACTCTCAAACACCATCATCTTCATCTCTCCTTGCCTCATCGACCTCAATCACCTTCGCCAGTACCACCACTAGAGACATCGGCCAGACAAGCACCGACGCCACCGCCTCCTCCTGGCCTGTTCCATCCGATAGCTGGTCCTCATCTCTATCTACCTCAGGCTCCTATGAAGGTCCCAAATCGTCAAGGGACATCCCCAACACTTCAACAGACGCTACCAGCTTCAGCTTCGATCCTAATACAAGTGAACCGGCAACGAGCTACAGCCATAGTCAGACTACGTTCGAAACAAGCGTGAGTAAGACGAGCAGCAGTGAGGGACCATGGAAGAGCGAGACGGGTGGATATGGACCGCCGCCAGCTCCTACGTTTGATTCGGCCACCGAGAAGGAGAAGTTGGTCAAGAGGAACATGGTAAGTTGCGGCTCTGCGAGCTGAGATGAAGATCGCTAATCTGTGTTTGTAGATGGGCATGTGGTTCATGTGATAATAGCCAACGCGGTTCTGGCAGAGAGAAAAAAACATTAAAAAGCGCCTACGCCCCAGGACTACCTGTTAAGCTATCGCCAGTCTGTGGAGGTGAACTTTGAGTGTCTGGCGGGGAGAGAATATAGTGGTTGGATCTCATGACCTTTCATAGCATTTCCTACTATTTTCTTTTCTCTACTCTCCTTCATCATAGACATCGACTTGTCTTTCCTTCCTTTCACATCTTCCTACCTTGACTTGACTACCGTCAATGCGTCTGGAATGAACTCAATTTTGTAAACAAGAGGCTACATGTCCACAGCAGAATACAATGCGTGTAGTCTTTTACAGTCCTTTTGAGACAAGTCGTGGCATCACGCGTGCAAAACACCACCTGGTTCAACTAGACCCACTCCTAAGTCCTCCCTGCCGCCTCAACCGCTCCCTCCGAGATTAAGGCTTAGATCTAGGCTCCTCCGTAGATTCTAGCGTCTGCGCCAGCTGCGGCTCTTATATTTACGCGACCGTGCTCGTTATGTGTTCTCTTGCGTAATCAGGAAGGAACAATGGAATGCAACTGGGACAAAACAACACGTGAGTTAAATGTATCTCTCATTTCATTACCTAGCGACTCTTGCGACTTCCAATGTCGTCGTCGTCGCTATAATCTTGCCGTCTGTCTAGTCTAAAGAGACCCCCAACCCGCAAATAATGCCGCCAGCAGGGAAGCGAACACGCCGATTGATGCCAGAATGCGCCCCCGAAAAAAAACACCCAAAACAAACACCGATTCTAATGCTTCATGTATAAATAGGCTCTATCATGGAGCGCCTGCTCATTGCCCGCGGATATGATTGAACTCTTCGTTGCGTTGATCGTCGTTGATCTGGTCGTTATAATGTTGCCTTCTGCGGCTGCATGCCCCAGCGTTGCAGTTCCTCGTGGGACTCGACCCATTTCTCATCGTTCCCTTTGAAGACAAAGAGATGTGGTGTCTTGCTTGACTTGGCTCGCATTGCGCTGTACATGTCGGCGCGGGAGTAGAGTGCCTGTCGCTGTGCGCGGCAATGGCCGATTGTGTGGTCCATGAAGTTTGTTGTCACGTTCATGGTGGTGGTGGAACTCATCATAAGGTAGGTGTTGTGGTTTGTGGTTTGTGGTGATGAGATGCCGAGGCTCTTGTTGGTTGATGGCCTGATGTCTTGATGTATTGATGTGGATTGATGTGATGATGTGTTGGTACTGATGGAAGAAGGTCTTGGGAAGCGCTACACAGATTATTTTATAGAATACGCTTGATCAGCGGACCGTGCTGATCGCGTTACCATGCTGCTATCAAAATAACTGTTCTACGAGGTACCATGAGAATCCTGCTGCGGTGAGTGTCGTCGCGCGTGTTGATCCGTTGGCAGTGGGGTGATTCAGGAGTGGCGCCACTCTCGCCTCAAGATAGCGGACCACGCCGAGACTCGACGAAATGCTGCAGACACGAGAACATTTTACAAAGGAAGCGATTTAAATTATTAAAGTCGACTGAAACGTATGCTGAGTAGTGCGTAGCTACGGGTATCCTAAATTCCAAGCAAAAATGATAATGGAGGGTGACAAAATTAGCCTTCCGCACCCCTGTCAAGGGTCACGGGTCGTAACCGATACGCGAAGAGTTCGATACGGGAGGGGAGGGAGGCTGTGATGCTTCCAGATAGCGTCTCTTCGCCTCCGGCAACTCATCACCACCCGCGTGACGGCGCTTTTGCGATGAGATTGCCGAGTCGATTTCTATTCCTTCCGGGGAAATGACCTCGTCAACGCTCTGCTGAGATTGCTTCTGCGACTCCCTCTCCTCCCTCCTTCTCCCCAGGATCCTCTTCCATTGCGTGATAACAGATATAACGAGAGTGAGACGTTGGAAATGTGTGATGGGTGGCGCAGGCTTGATTTCTATCCAGTCAATCTTTCTCAAACCAACCATGGCCTTGTTGTGGAACGCCTTGCTCAAGGTCCTCGTCATGAACTCGATTTGCTCCTGGTTTAGCGACGCATAGCTCAGACCAAAGCGCAGCGTCAGATAACCCTTCGGTGAAACCCGGTATGTCGACTTCTGTAAAACACCTGCCTTTGGAGGTTTTAATGGTGCGAGGAGAATGTGCTGCTCGCTGTGGACCCTTGACCAGAGCTGAGAGGGCGTGTCTGTACGGCGAATGTCCAGGTTAATGCGCTGGTTGAGACGAAAGGTGGAGAATGGGCTCTCCTTGTGGTCTTTGAGGAGCTCATCGAGGGCGTCGATGAGGGCTCGCGTAAAAGAATATTTGCCTGGGGATGCGGTTGTCTGGTCGATAGGGCATGCGCTTAGCAGTTCAAACTTTCTCGTGTCGCGTTTTCCGGATTTGACGAGGTTGCTCGAATAGCAGGTGTCGAGGATGGTCAGGACATCGCCCTCGACCTCTTCGTCCCTCAATATCTCTTCCGCCTTATTCCAATTGCAGCGAGCATCTTTGCTAAATCCCTTCCCTAGCGAAGGGTTTATGGTCGCCGCGAGCTCCAGGTACTTCTTGTCGTCCATATAGACCCCGTGCCCAGTATAGTAAATGATAAGGAGGTTATGGGGCCCATCGTGATCTCGGACGAAGTCGCTGACGTGGCTGTTCAATTGATGCTGTGGTTTCGATCGAACGTTGAGTTCGATGGTCTTGGTATCGTAGTGAAAGCGGTCGCGAAATAGAGTGTCGAGTTCTTGGGCCTAGTCGTTCGTTAGATTGCGCTCAAACGCAGCCTCTACCTGAACGTACCTCTTGCGCAGTCTTGAGCTCGTCCAGTTCCTCTGCCCACTTAATCAACAGCACCGCAACCTTGGAGTAACCATCCGGCAGGTTCATATTCCTGGCTATAGCCTCGTCCCACCACATATGCATTTCGGCGGCTTGATGCTGATGTGCGACATCCTCAGGGCCTAACTTGCGCTGCACGATTGGCTCGGCCGCTGGCGTATAAGAGCCATCCTGCTTGGACTCGTCTTCTATCGACTGAATCCGTATGTCGGCATGGACGACCTTATTCTTGAGCGGGTTCGCATTGCGGGGAGCAACGTCGGCCGTCATTGCATCCACGATGCGTGCCGTCGTGTTTGTGAGGGTCATTGGTCAAGGACGAAGCAAGGCTTCAAGGCTGGACGTGTTCGCAGGACCCGGCCATGATGACGGATATAGTTCAGAGCGACTTTCAGCCCCCAGATTGGGTGGGACACACGACACGGCCTGAAGAGCGCGGAATTGTCGAATGCAAGCCCACCCAGCCAATCAGCGCTGGGCAGTCTTGCAACCATCCCACGGTTTGGGGGCTGAAATAAGCCTCCACCATCCTCTAGAACTACTTTCTGTCAGATTGGACTGGCATCTTGCTCGCGCAACTATGCAGAGCGGTGCTTACGTCGAATATAGGGATGACTTATGATAGATGGCCCCCATCGGCCGCGGGCAGCAGCGAAGCGGGCTGTTGTGTGGTGTATCGCAACGCTCAGCTACCATTTCTACTCCTGCGGCTGTGCAAGCAAATGAGCCCCTCTGGGATTATATCCGGTCACGATTGCGCTGCCTAGGGCTGCAGCACCTAGATAGTCGCGGAGGCCTGCATCAGCAAAGTCTCGTATAATAAGTAGACAGCCTTCTCGTCCTCGAAAGCATTTTGCACAAGGCTATCAAACTACGACGGCGTATTTCCCGCTTCACCTCTTCACAACATGTTCGCACACGATCTCGACGTCAGGCCCGCTACAGAGGCTAACGTAAGTCGACAATATTGAGACCTTTGCCACAGAATGCTGACCGAGAGGCACAGATGCACTATGTGGATGAGCCCTGCGAGGACGCACTTCCTGACGTGAAATCTGGTATGAGCCTAGACGCCAACCCGGCCATTGTAAGTGCCTCGTCCTCCTCTACGCGGCCTGTTCTCATTGACAAAATTGTTAGCAAAGCGCTCGCTTCTTCAAGGGCGACATTGTGCATATGCCGCAATTTCTGAACGGGCAACGGACCAAGGGCTCCTTCATAGTGGACAAATCACAATACAATAGCCGGGGAGGCTACGTCGAGTACCAGCTGCTCGACCCGCTTACCGGAGGGTTGCATAAGAACGGTGCCTGGATCCGAGAGAAGGAGCTGAAGATAGAGAGGCACGGCTGAAAGTGCTACCCTAGTATGTGGCTGTGTTGACCGGAAGTGCAATGACTAGGCAGATGCGTTGCTCTGTGACCAATGGTGCGAGGCGTCTAGGCGTCCCGAGCTGAGGCCTTCATTCAAGGAGGGCGAAGCTCATCGTTAACCTCTTCCTTAACTTAACTAGACGTCAATGTCATCGGTTGTCGCGTTTGCACAAAAACCTTTCGACTTCTTTCCTGCTCTTCTTTGCTTTCCGTGGGTCGCGCTTAGCTATCCTTGCAATGGCTTCACGTGCAATGACCGGCGATACCTTTACTGATGAGAAGACACCACAATCGCCAGTGTCGCCGACAAACACAGACGCCACATTGAGGGGCGACGCTGTTGATAATGATAGTCATTCGACTATACCACCCTCATTGCGGCCCCCATTGCAAATCAACTTATCGGTCGACCTTGAGAGTGCACAGCCTCGTAGGTGATTTCAATTACTCATTTCGGCCCCCAAACCCAGTTGTAATGTCACATCAGCGCCAGCGAAGGATGCCAATGAAGAGCTGGTGCTCAGGGCATACTTAGCGGCTAAAGTCAGTGTATCAGCACAAGGACACCGTGCGCGGCAAATTGGTGCCGCAGTGCTTATGAATTGGATGAAAACTGAGACGAGAGCAGAGAATGAGAAGAAACGACCGAAACTCCTACATCGGATTACAGGCCCTTTCAAGTCCGAGCCAGAGCCAGAACATGTCCTTGAAACCAGGACAAGGAAACGTGAGCGCTTTCAACAATTTCAACAGTCCTCATCACTCACGATTGCTAGTTGAGAACACTCCAAATGGCTTTCCTCGCCTTGCAGCTTTTCAATCCAGTGACGCGAACTTCTCATTATATCGATCATTTAGCTACTTGCACTCCCGGGTACTCTTAGACCTGCAAGATGAGATCACCAGTTTAGAAAAGGAGTTAGACGAGATTGACTGGAATGACTTTGATGAAGAGCCAGACCGATTGAAGAGTAGAGAGATTGACATCGACAGAGCAGACGGTGAAGAGACGACGCGGAATCGCAGACTAATTCTACGAGAGATCAGGGAGAAGCTGATAGCATATGGTATGTTTGCTTTTTCTCGATTCCCGTCCCTGTACGCAATCAAAACCACACTTCGAACCATTTGCGGGGCTAGCGGCAGGGTTTAGACTAATGCCTATGTTAGATGAGGTCCTTATCAAAGCCCGAACCCTCGAGTCCTTTGGGAAACCGTCAAATCGCAATTACCGTAGTGTACGGCGATACCACCACAGCTTAAAACCACTCATGGACGCTGAAATGGACTCTATTCGCAGTAAAGAAGATATTGTCTCGTTGCACAGCGGCCGTGAGTGGGCAAAGTTCGACGGCGGTGTCGAAACCATGATCGAGCAGGCTGATCGGGTATTGAAAAGGGTGTTCAGGACAAAGACGCCGCCGCTACAGGTATGTTTACCATTAACGCTCGTGGCGGGCCTGGCAAAGTCGGCGTCAAACTGAAGCTAATGTGTGTACAGAAGTACTTCCGAACGCCAGAGTTACAGGAGAAAACGTCAAACAAGCACATTTCCTACTATAGCAGCTCTCGCATCGACAAACTGGTTAACATCCTCATTACCTTTATAATTTTTATTCTACTAGTCATTCCTGTTGTCACCATGTACCACCTCACTAGTACTGCCACGCACGTCGAGGCTATTCCTACCTCTTCCGACAATAGCACTTCCGCGAGCAAGAGTGGTGCATCAGGGGGGACGGGGACAGTCGACAACAACACTAGGGACACGTTCAATGCTGTAGGCGTTTTGGTAGTGTTCACGCTCTTGTTCAGCTCGGCCATGAGCTTGTTGACGAAAGCGGCGAGACACGAGCTTTTTGCTGCGAGTGCAGCGTATTGTGCAATTTTGGTGGTGTTTATTGGGAACTTCACGGGGCCGGGAAATTGATACGGTAATGGCAGTAATGATAATGAAACTTATGAAGCAAAAGTCTGTTGATAGTGAGTGCCGTTTTCGCATTTCGACTATGGTGTCATGCGACAGATGCGCTAATGTTCATGGCCTCTGCCTTTCCCCTTTCCCGTTTGCGCCGGAAGCATGTTTGACATTCGACCGTGTTACGCTACTCCTTGCCACTCTGATCGTTCAATGACTCTATCGACCATACCCGTCTTCAAACGAACGCGCCCTGCTCGCTCACACAGCCGAGGAAGAGCTCTCCATTTGCTATCAAGCTCTTTTGGCTCGCTCGGGCCGCTCAAGGTGATTTCGTCCGTACAACAATACTTCGAATTCTCAAAAACCAGCTCTTTGAATCGACCCTCTCCCGGCAAAGGATGAACATCGTAGTTGATGTCAAACAGTATAATCAAGTCGCGCACTACGAGTATTGGGATAGACGCGAAACGGTCGGTTGCAGCGGCAATAGACCTAACCAGAGTGCTCGTCTGGATATATTGGCCTTTGGCGCTGATGGTGTACGAGCGCAGACTTGAGTCCATTTGGATGGAGTCGCCCGCTGTTTGCGATGGGATCAGATCGAACGTTTCGGCTCGGCTGTCGAGAACAGTGTGCCAGGAAGTAATGTTCGGGCAGTAGACTGCGAATCGTGAGATGTCGTGGTATGATGGACTGAGTGTCAGGTGCTTTAGTTTTGGTAGATGTAGAGGCTTTGCTTTTCTCAGCGATGTGGGCTCTTCTAGAAATCCCTCGAAAGAGGCGGTCAGTACAGTCAAGGTTTCCAGCGTTTCGTTAAGTGCGGTTGCTTCGAGTGCCTCCTGGATGTACTTGGATTACTGTTAGTTCTCCTTTTTTCAGTCTAATAGATCGGGTATCGAAAGCTTAGGAGGAATTTGAAAATACGCACTTGCATGGGATCATACATATCCTTTACAATGACCTCCAAAAGAACCATGTGCCCAACTCCAAACCGAAGCACTTCGGACCCTCGCGTTGCCTCGGGCAGACATATGAGATGTCTGAGGCGTGACGTCTTGCGCAGTATGGCGAGCACCTCGCTGCAGAAACTCTTGGCAATCCATTGACAACGGTCGTAGCATGTTTGGTTGATCTGCCTCAATGTTTGCTTCTCTGTGATGTACAGCTTGCAAGTATTGAACGCCAGGCACGTAATGTGATTGCCAACATCCGCAAGCCCTACGAGGTTGGTCAAGTTCTGGACACTCTGCTCCCTGCACCCCGTTGGAATATCACCAATAACCGCCAGGAAAGCTTGCGATGCTCCTGTGTTGACGCGCCGACTTGTTAGTCGCAGATTGTAGATGTCGGTCCTTTCTGCTTTAGACGAGACCGGTACGCTTACGACTTGGGTCCGGCATATGCGCGGAAGCAAGTACAGAAAGATTTCTTCGCGCAACTCGAGGGGTAGAGTCTCCATAGCGACATCGGCAGCAAACGTAGCTTGGCGGTTTAGTATGTGTATAGCTCAGCGTGCAATCAAGCGTGGATGAGAGATTCGCAGAGCTGTGCGGAGGGCGGGTGCATTTCCTAAGATGGACTAGATCACCGTTCCAACCATTGGTAATCCTCCGGACCAACGTGCGGCTCGTCTCCAAGCCTCATCTCAAGACTCGGTCATTCCAAGGTTGTCCGCTTGATTTGCTCAACACCAAGACTTTGTGGGCACAAACGGCATATGCATGTTGCTGCCAACGCTGTGAGTGGTTCGCCCCTGAACTGCTTCGGTGCTTCCCCACTCTTTCCCCGCAGATCACTGGGAGGTTTCTCGGTCCGACCCAGGTACTCCTGTCATTCCATGCCGACAGTGCGGGCACAGCTCTCAATCGGGTAATGGGCGATGCTTCTGTTGTGGTCGCGGATGGGAGCGGCTCTGTTGTCGGACCGGCTGGGAAGAGTTTAAATCGACGATGGACAATATTTAAGACGAGACGAAGGCCCTAGGAGAACCATTACAGCCCCTCGACTTTTTCACGGACTCTCAGCTCTCCAGCCAAATCTTCCTAATCGAGATGGTGGCCCTCACGATCGGAGCGACTGCAGCTCTGTTGCTTGGACAGGCATCCGCGTATCACCAAGAGCGCAGACAAGTTGGTTCCGAGAAACATACGGTTGTCATTCCAGGAGCGTCTTCGTACAATGGACTTAACCTGATCCCGCAAATGGGATGGAACAATTGGAATGCCTTCCATTGCGATGTCAACGAGAGCTTGCTGCTCACCACAGCGCAAGACATGGTCGACTACGGCCTTCGAGACTCAGGCTACAACTACATCGTGTTAGACGATTGCTGGGCTGTTGGCCGGAATGAGAGTGGCTACCTAGTTGCAGACGGTGAGATTTTCAAGTACAACCGCATGCCAAATGCATGCTCATTTCATTATAGATTACAAGTTTCCCAGCGGCATGAAATCGATCATCACAAAGATCCACGCCCTGGGCTTCAAATTTGGCATGTACTCGTCCGCCGGCGTGTTAACCTGTGGTCGCTATCCTGGCTCTCTGGGGTATGAGAAAAAAGATGCGGATCTCTGGGCTGAGTGGGGCGTCGATTACCTCAAGTACGACAACTGCTTCAACCAAGGCCAGTCTGGAACGCCTAAGCTCTCCTTTGACCGTTACAAGGTCATGTCTGATGCGCTCAACCAAACTGGGAAAGAGATAGTGTATGCCATGTGCAATTGGGGAAATGATGATCCATATGATTGGGCATACAGAATCGCAAACTCGGGACGTATGAGCGGCGATATTTACGACTCGTTCAACCGGCCTGACGACCGCTGCCCGTGTACTGAGGCAGCGGGATGCGCATGGCCTGGCTTCCATTGCTCTGTCATGAATATCCTAAATAAGATGCCTGCCATCACATCTCGCACAATGTCTGGCTATTTCAACGACATGGACATGCTTGAAGTAGGCAACGGCGGCCAATCTGACTCCGAGTATGTCGTTCACTTCAGTATGTGGGCGATCAACTCTTCACCCCTCCTCATCGGCACAAACGTCGGCACGCTTTCTCCAGCCAACTTGGCTATCTACTCGAATCCTGCCATCATTGCGATTAACCAGGACACATCAGCCAGTGCAGCGAAGCGTGTGTGGCGCTACACCACCGACCCAGACGAAACGGGTGAGGGTGAAATCTCGCTCTGGACCCGCTCTCTCAGTAACGGCGATCGTATCGTTGCCCTTCTTAATGCAGCCAACATAACAATGAACATGAACGTCACCATCAACGAAGTTTTCTTCGACGAGCGCACCGCAGGCGCATATCGCGCACCACCAGAGTTGTCGCAAACCTGGGACATCTACGACTTGTGGGCCAACCGAATGGGCGAAGCTGAGGCGGCGGCGATATTGAATGGAACGAGTGTGGAGATTCCCGCAAATAGCACGACTCGTTTCAACGCGACTGCTTCGACCTACGCAAAGGGTGTGGAGAGTGCGCATCCAGCGCTTATAGGTAGTCGGGTAGGCACGCTCCAGCCTAGTGGCACGTTCACCGCCGAGATTGCGAGGCACTCTGTGGGTGTGTATAGGTTGAGATCCAGGGAGGCAGCGATGAGAAAGAGGGACGAGCTTTGATTGCGTTATTTCACTAATTAGACAATTGTTTGACTCTCACATAGACTGCTATGCAAGAAGTTGCCTCTCACGTTTGATAGTCCCATAATACCTATCCAACCCTTTAAGAAGCTCTATTATATACAAACAGTATATCGGACATCTTTCACAAATCTTTCCATTTGTTTAGCCCACTATACGTTTCTATTCCTCACTTTTACAAATAACCTCACATCGTTATTTCCTTTCTCACCCTCGTGGAAGCCCCAGCATTAAAGTGAAAGGACCTTTCACTTAAGAAACTCCTACAAAACATATTGTAGGTCCTTAATCGACGGCGAGGGTAGCTACTAAAGGAGTAGAGGGAGATGAGCTGAAGGAGGTATAGGCTAAGTGGGAAAGTATGTGAAAGCGGAGGTAGATGGGTAAGCTGAGTGCGCAGCCGTTGAGCTCGCATTCAAGGTAGCCGTTAGAGGACTTGCGCAAACTGAACCAGTAGTCCTATGATATCGTTTATAGATCGGTGAGCTCTAGTCTGTATTCTCAGAACGGACAAGGTGGTAGTTGAAGGTCTTCTCATTGCCCTATAGATGAAAGTCCATTCTGCAATCGCTCACAGTTCAAAATACATACCTAAGTGTATCCTGCTATCGCAAGCCCTTGAACTACATTCTTACAGCTATGAGGCCGTAGAATATTCAGGAACAGCCAGCCTCCACGTGAATGTTTGCAAGGTGAAAGTAGCTCACTTCACCCACCTACGTCAGCGCGTTTGCGCTGAGCTCCCGCACACACCCACACAAACGCATCTCAATTCCCTAGTCTTGCCAACTACATGATCATATAGCTATCTGTTGTAGGATATATATTAAATATTCTTAAAGACTTTCATTAAAATCAAAAGCGTCCATGTGGCCTGTCGGGTGCCCGCAAGAAAAGATTGCACCCGATAGAAAAGAGCCCAAGTTCGAGTCCTGTCTTCCTCTGCGGTTCTGCAGGAACAAACCCGGGGACCTTGCCTCTCCTTGTGAGTTGCCTGGTTAGCCTAGATGTTACATCTACTTCTTTTTTTTTATCTTTATTTATTCCTATATGATATCTTTTGTCTTATATTTGCTCCGCTAAAATTTACGAGTATAGACGCTATTTAGGCTTTTATATGCTATAAGAAACAAGCAGAGTAAGAGATATAGATTAGTTAACGCCTTTTACTATTGTAGGCAGTATTAGCTGTTCTAATATATAGGCGTATTTCCAGTTGTTAGTTACATCTCGCAAATCCAGACAGCCTTAACCTGATGTAGGACTGGAAAGTGTTCGTTTTGCCAACAAGGGGTAGTATAGTTATCTAGGAAGTCTGTTTATGCAACCTGGCACGGGTTAGGTCTTTTGTTTACACTAGTCTGGGTATCAGCTCCTCCCTCAAGGCTGAGGCAATATAACTAAAGGGACATTGGTCAACTCTATCAACGTCTCTAAGATTGCTATGAGAAGGAGGGCAATGTTTACAAAATTCGTGAAGTGGTGGGCAGCCCTATGTCTGGGATATCGTCTTGCGTATCTCTAGGATTTCTATTCATAGCCGGCAGCCTTGCAAAAGGCGGTGAATCTATGTCGTTCGCTCGGAACTACCCTATGTTTGGCACGCGTCACTAATGAATAGAGCCTCCGCAATGGCACCGAAGCATGCCCGTCGGGTAATACAGGCATCTTGATTCGTTGGGATCCGGCAACCTTAAATGATTCAAAGATGCCGACTCGACACAAAGCCTCTCTATGCTCTAATGCTGCATTTTCAATATACGAGTAACATGTTACAAGCGTGCTTGCACGACCCCGCTTTCATATTGCCGATAACGTTTGCACCCAATCTTGGTACAGTGGACGACTTGAGACGTAGAAGCGTATTGTTATCTCACATCGTTCGGCCGACACCTCGAACCGCGGGCTAGTAACTCCCTTGGACGCAAAGTAGGACGTAATTCTCAGAGATTATACTCCACACTAACTACATACCCCTCACATGATAGCAAGGTAGTCGGCTATGCGGTCTACTCCTAAGCCGCTCGGAATATCATAAAATGGGATGAGTATATAACATCACCTCTCCCGGCTTTTGGAAAATTTCACATATCGTATCCCAAAAACCTTACGCCTGGGAACACATGACTCAACTCATCCGACGAGTAGAGCTTGCTCACAACAAGCCGATTATTATCTTACTTGCGCTGCTAACTCATCATGCCCTCCACACTGGCGAGTGGGATAATAGATTCCATATCTTCCTAGGAATCTGGACGCTCGCATTTAGTGGCATCGCTGCTTCCGAGTACATGTCCGATGAACGCGTCAAAACGGTCGGTGCTGTTATTCAAGTCACAGCAACCACAGCCGTGATTTACTTCGCGACTTTGGCAGCAAGCATTCTGCTTCATCGGGGGTTCTTCCACCGTTTACGCAAGGTAACGTCTTTCTTACGTCCCAGAGTAAACGAACGTCGCTGAAATAATGTCAGATCCCTGGCCCGTTCCTCGCACGCTTCTCTAAGCTCTATGGCATCTTTGCTGGCGTCCTCCCAGATTTCCAGTACTTCAAGTGGTGCGAGAAAATGAAAGAAGAATACAAGACGGATGTCATCCGTACCGGGCCTCGAGAAGTCACTGTCTACTGTGCTGACGCAATTCCTCTCATCCACGGCCCGATGTCAAGATGCAGGAAGGGCCCATGGTACTCTGGCTACACGCACGTCGGAGGTGATTCGGCCCACACCACGCGTGACAAGGAGGAACATAAGCGACGACGCAAAGCCTGGGACCATGCCTTCAACGCGAAAGCACTTCGAGAGTATGAGCCGCGCCTCAACCGGCATGCAGTTGCGCTGATGGAACAGTTGAAGGAACAAGCTAAGCAGCCATCTGTTTGCTTCACAAACTGGGCCAACTATTATAGCTTTGATGTGATGGGGGACGTCGGCTTCAGTCGTAGCTTTGGCATGGTCGAGAAGGGCGAGGAAGCCGACGTCATCAAGCTTTTGCACGAGAGCATGTCTCCGCTCAGTGTCTTTGGGCACGTCAATTGGGGACTAAATCTACTTACACGAACCTCGGTGGGCGCGAAGGCTTTGCTTGAGCATATTGACTGGACATCAAATGTTCTCAAGGAGCGAAAACTGGTATGTAACTTCCGGATGTTGGGTGCTATGATTGAGCTTACGGCGGATAGGTTACACCCAAAGAGAATGACGTATTCTCACGGCTCTTAGATCCAAATGATGACAAGATCACCCCGGAAATGAATGCTGACTCACGATTGCTGGTTGTGGCCGGCAGGTGCGTGCAAATCCCTAGAACATCAGATATGCGTGCTTATACCTGAAACAGTGACACTACAGCAGCGACTCTGGCCTGGATCGCCTACGAGCTTTGCAAAAACCTAGAGGTGCAAGCCAAGCTCCGAAAAGCCATCGACGCAATCGAGCCTGAGAAATGGCATCTGGATGTTGACGATGTTGCAAACATCGCTTTCCTTGACGGTGTGATCAATGAAGTTCTGCGGCTTCATCCTGCCGTAAGTATACTCTTACCCTGTCAGCTCCCACGCTAACAAAGTCCTTACCCAGGTCCCTTCAGGCGTTCAACGCGAAACTCCCCCTGAAGGCTTAACTCTCCCCAACGGCACATTTTTACCAGGCAACGTACACATCTGGATGCCTATCCACTCTATACAGCGCGACCCCCGCTACTTCCAGAAACCCCTCGACTTCATGCCCGAGCGCTGGACTGGCGAGCAACCCGATGCTGTTATTGAGAAGCGCGCGTTTATGCCCTTCAACACTGGTGTGTACAACTGTGTGGGCCAGAAGCTGGCAATGATGGAGCTAAGGAGTGTAACGGCGAACTTGATCCGGTTGTTTGAGATGAGCTTCGCCGAGGGGGAAGACGGCAGCACAATCGAAAAGAAGACCCGTGACTGCTTTACAACAAATGTGGGAAAGCTAGATGTGAAGCTTACGCCGCGGTACAAGGCCTAGATAGAAGTATCGGAGCAAGAGCAGGTACTTCACCCCGGCGCGTCGCGCTTCTTTAGCCCTACATATACTGTTATTGCTCAGCTTAACCTATATTTATTAGTGCATCTTCTTTACTCTTGAAATCTCATCTTTCGTAAGGGGGAGAAATGGATTGATGTCGTGGAGTCTCAGCCAGAAGCTCCTACCTGCGTGCGTCCACTGCGAATTAAACCACTAGGAAGTCATTAACGCTACAGAGAAACAAATAAGGGATGAAGCAAGGCGACTAATAGCTGGCAACTGCTGCAAGCATTCATTACTATCTGTTCTGGAGGCTCCCAGTGGCTTCTACGAAGACGAATGACCTGCATATGGGAGGCTGAGGTGACCTTCGGCTATCTACCTATACTGCACTCATATTGTGCCCAGGAGATCTTAAACATACTTTTACCTTGATAACTCCTCTTCCCTGGGGCGATGAAATGCCCCGCGGTCTTATATCCGTTACGCGGCTTCTAAGCCTCAGACAGGCCCTCATCCTTCAAAGCATACCCGGGACTATTTCTCAAAGCACTGCATCCTACTCGATTTTCGGGACGACAGTGGAGGAGAACGGTGATGATGATGCATGACAGATGTCCTTGCCATCTTCGGTTCTAGTAGTTTAGTGTTGGCCTGTCGAGGCCCGAACGCCGATTGCATCTTCATCTTCCGCAGCACCACTAGATCAACAATGTTAAAGTAAGGCCTGGATGTCTTCAGTCATTCTGTGACAGTCGCACAATTTATTATGGCCTATCCTAGAGGCCTTCAGCTCTCTTTACATAGTCTAATAGCCTGACTTCGACACCCCAAGGACACCCTCAGCTAGTCACCGTCATCCTTCTCACAGTATAGCCTGGAGGCCTCTAGCATACTCTACTTCTTCTTGCAGGTGATGTAGCGCGCGCTACGTGACTCATAGCTCGTCCGATCGACGGTCTTCTGGTTGTCCGGACCCCAATCATTCCGAGGCCCATCGTATGGCTTGTCGGGTGGGTCTGGCAGGCTGTCATCGCGGTCCATTTCCTCCAGCACCTCGTCGATATGCTTGTAGCATGCAGAACACCTGCTCCAAAACCATCTATTCCAGTAACTGCAGGTCTTGCAAAGCCAGTCTCCTGAGAATTTCCCTCCCTTACGACGTGGGATGCCTTCTCCTTCCTGCTGCACCTGGTGGTTATATTCGTCGTCGTCTCTCAAGGCTATACATGGCCTGGCCATCTCATCTTTGCCGCGCTTGCCTCTACAGGTGCGCCAGAACCTGTGGTTCCAATACCCACACGAGCCACATTTCCAGTCACCACCCAAAGGAACATATGGGCCCTTCTTCTTCTTATGGTGCTCATCTGGTGCGCGTTGAGCTTTCCTCTTCTGACCTTGTTGTACCTTGGCTTGGTTTTCCAGGAACTTCGGGCATGGCCTTCCAGGATGGAAGTGCGGCGACGCGCATATACAGTTGGGATCATCCGGACCTGTCATCGGATCGAAGCGGATGGGTTGCTTGACTGAAGGGGCGACTGGAGGTGCGGGTTTTGTGATAGGCGTGGAAAGAGCTTTTGGCTCAGGCAGCTTGGGTAGATTGTCCCTCTTCTTCTTCTCGTCATCCTCGGCCGCCTTCTTCTCCATTGCCAGCTCCATCTTCCTCGCCGCCACTTTCTTTGCCTGCTCGACCATTTTCTTAGACTCCAAAATTCGCTTCTTGTTCTTCTCGACATCCTCGTACCATTCCTGCAATTCCTTGTAGGTGCCTTCGAAGTCATCATCTTCGAGAAAGAGAGAGCACGCAAAGAGGCGCATTTTGGCCATCTGCTGCGCGGTTTTCGTTGTGCCCTTACGCCATCGGATCCTCTCCTCTCTAATCTCCTTCAAGTCATCTGCTGATATGTGCTTGCCCCATTCAATTCTTCGTGTCGCGGGCGTACCCTCCGTATGCTCATCGGCCTCGGCAAGGGACAGCGTATTCTCATGCGCGGGCGCCATTGTGAATTGACTCGATGGCGAAGTATGTGAGGTAAACATTGAGTTGAAGTTGTAGAAGGCGGGGATTTTACGCGTCGGAGAAAGGTTTTGTGGGCGTCAGAGCGCGTTTGTCGTGCGTGCCTTTCACCGTGAGGAGAACAACTTCCCTCAAAGCGGGGCGTAAGAAACCCGACACCTCGAGAGAGACCTCACAACATTTAGCGGACACAGTAGTAGGCGTAGTTTGCCCTAAAGGGCTACTATCAAGATGAGAAAACTATGGCTGGCGCACTGAAGACCTCTAGCCGGGCGCATTGAACTATACGAAGGACGAGCGGAGAGGGCGAGATGGTTCCACCCAACACGCAACAGCTCATGGGCTAATGTTACGGGAATGGCGAATGTAATTATATGGGCATACAACACTCCTTGATTCATCCTGAGTAATCGCCTCGCAGTGCCACACTGAAGATGCGCATAACGCTTCTTTGTCGTCCGGCACCAGAAAAACATCATATGAACACTCGAAGTATCAAGGCCATAGAGAACATGCTCACCCCTCGCGGAACGGATGACCACCTACTTCATCCAGCTATACTCCGGCTCAGGCGCAACCTTTGACGCATTCGTCGCGTTCTCCTTCCTCCTCCAACATCCAAGATTCTCAAGTACAACGGCGAGGCTTATTCACTGGCTCACCGCGCCGTGCACGGATGTCAATCTGCGACGTCCCTTGAAGCTTACCATACGAATGAGCAGCAGGGCTGTATTACCTCTGCTTGATGGTAGAATAGCGACCTTGAGTGTCATTTTGACTCCGGTGTAGGAACACTGATGTCATCGAACGTCTTGTGCTGTTAACCGTGGAGGTGAATTAGCTGACCTTTCATGTTGATTCCAGCGGCGGAGCTCAACGGGGAATCATAGGCCAGAGGCCATGGCATTCCTGTAGTTGAGTGAAATTATGTGCTTTACGGTAGAGGAGTATTGGCTGTAAATTGATATAACGGCCTTGAAGGAACCCTTAATATTCAAGGGGGCTGAGAACGAGCGTGTGAAAGCTCTGAGTTCATAGAGTATGCCTACTACAGGCGTAGGATTTCAGCTCATACCCAAGGACGAGTAATTTGTAACTAGTTGCTGAGATAGTATGATGGCTCACAATGCAATGCATACCTACACACTAATGTAATGGCCTCCTAACATCTCCTCACTTGAATTACCTCCATAGACTGACCATAGGTCAACAGGTAGGTCCAGGGTGTAGACGCTTTAACTGCTTTTCTCTAACAACCTTTTGCTACGAGATTTATACGACCCAGAGTAAGTAATACCGAAGATTTGTGATGACTGGTAGTGAGCCCAACGCTCAAATCAAGGAGTCCAATGTCGTACCTAAGACGGATAAATAGTAGTATTACTAGTTGAGCCAAACACCCAGCCCTCTACAGAACTCCAAGCCGGGAATAGCCCAACCCCAAAATCTTCCATGCTCAAAAATCAAAATCCATAAACTCCTCCATGAACTTCTCAGTCGCTTTCGCCGCCTCCGCTTCCTGGACCCGCCTTGTTCCGTATAGCGCATCGATGATCCGCCCAAACTGAACTCCTAGCACATCAACGCACCGCCTTAAGTTCACCTCTTGACGTTTCTCTTCTTTCGCCTTGCATACCTCCAATTCTATCTCCTGAGCTTTCATCAGACAGCTCAGCCTTAGATACTGTATCGTAGTGCTGTGAACGTTCCACCACCCATCGCTCGTAGGCACGCCTGCGCCGTATGGACCGACTTGAATCTTCGGGAGCGAGAGCCACTCTGCCTTAAGATAAGACCCAACGCCACTCTGTGGCATCCATGCGCGGTGTATCGTCGGTCGCCCTGTTTGAGGTTGCAAGCTTTCGTAGACTATGTAGAAGCCGTTTAGAAATTCGTAGAGAATACCGATCTTGTCGAAATTGACAACCCCAGAGTCAAATAGAGGAACGTTTACGTGGAAATATGCTAGCTGAGGTGTAATGACGTAATCTGCGACCGTAGTATAGATGTCGTTTTTGTCGGTCGTCCTGGAGGATTCGCCAGATTCGACGGCGACTGCAGGCTTATAAACGAGACGGCCGCATCGCCGGTCTTTCGTTAAGACGGTGTCATTGTCTTGCGGGGCTAAGGTTTTAGTGCCGATGCGTCCTTTCTTCGAGTTGAATCTAGCGATGAGATCCATGTTGACGTCTGAGAATGCGGTGGAATTGAGCAAGAATGTGGATACTGAGTTGTCATAATCTTTTGAATCGAACAGAAAGTCATCCTCCATATCCGCCATGTTAAAAAGGGAAGTTGCGAGGTTGAGGCCGTACTTGCTGATTTCGTAGCCGGAGTTGGAAGGGAGTGACAGTGCTGTAAATTAAGTAGTGACAAAGTGTGTTCCGGTACCCACAAGTCATAACAAACTCTGGGTGAAATTTGGTTGCTGTTCCCATCTTGAGGGTATGGGAGTTTTCCGACATTGAACGCACAAGTGAATGCGAGGTGAAGCGCGAGGGAGCGAATCAGCCCAGGGAAAGGCAATCCGTCGGCTTCGTAGCGCAATTAGTCATACATCTTGGTCGTACGCGCCAATTCTACTTACTTTCACATCATTCTACTACTTTCAAGTTGAGGGTTCCTCAACCCGTCGCTATGGATTTCAAGCACGGTTCTCCCTTAGCTGAGCCAACCCCACACACCATCGTTGAAGATGTTAATGCTGACATTTGGCGGATATGTTGGGAGCTTGATGAAGCGCGGATTGTCAGCAAAGAACCAGCTAGTAAGCAAACTTGCGTTGGCCGCTTTTATCCCCTTATAGTTGGAGGCATGGGAAATTAAACAGCGCGAACAACAAGATGAAGCCCGTTGTTTCTAACAGAATGCTATCGTATGTGCCCATCATCTAAACAGCCACGACACACTGGCACCTAAGACAAGAAGAGCAAACTTTGGATTAACCTGCGACCAAAACCTCCTACCTGCCATGGGCCAATATTGGGGATCACAGATGCGAGAGACATCCTCGCCATGAGCTCGACTTCCTAGTCTGTAAAGGCTGTCGTGTCAACCACTACATACAGGAGAACGAAGGCTTCGATCGCTAGCTTATTATGGCCCGAGGTGCTCGGATACCAGTGTGTAGAAGCTGTGCGGCGGGGGATGTGGAAGTGTATGGCGTTGGACACTAGGAATGCGTCTGTGATCATCAATGGAGCTGCTTCTGCTGCCGCGAGGCGGAGCTAGGAAGACAGGCTAAAACGAGGAAGCATAGCGATCGCGAAGGAAGGTGCGGCGATGCGCCGAGGAGGGAAGCTTGGTGCAGCATGTTGATTTCTGCTTGTATTTTCGGAAAATGAGAGTGTATGCTGCGTCTTCTTGAGGAGCCTACGCACAAAGAACTCCTCACACGTTCATTGCATGGTGTGGTTCCTTAACACTTTATTCTCCGCCCCCACTACGCGGTTACTAGGTCTAGAGCGCCTCGACGAGTCGTTCAGGATGCGAAGGGAGCGTGAGAATCTGTGAAACCAGGGCCCAGAACCAAGCTCTCAACCTAGCCAACCACTGCAGGCTTTCATATTTGTGCCAAAGCTCGAACTATGCTATTACGTGCTCTTTCCCTCCCCTACGCTAGTACCGCTCTTGACTTCATCGTCTTTATCCTGAGGGAATTGTACACCCATGAGCTTCATCATGTTACCTGCTGGACCTGCCATACCAGCCTGGTTTTTGAAGGCTTTCAGCATGTTGTCTGCGAGGTTGTAGTCCTCATCTAGTATGTCGTCGTCGTCGGTCTCCTCACCCTCCTCGTCTATCTCTTCAAGCTTAGCCTTCCCCTTCCCCTTATCATTACCAAGTAGACCTTGCCCGGATTCTCGACTATGCTTAGGGTTGACATTCAGCGCTCCGTGGCTGAAGAGTTCGGCCTCCATCATATCTGTCAACTTCTGAATCTCATCGTCTTCTTCTTTCTCGGCGTCTTGTGCGAGGGCTAATTCGCGCGCCTCATCAGTTAAAAGAGCTTTCTCGGCAGCGGAGAGCGTTATGAACTTCGAGTAGGCAGCTTCGTATTCGGCGAACTCTGCGTCCGCTTCTGCATCATCGGAGTTGTCGTTTGAGGCTCCTCTTTTGGTCTTGACTTTGGGAAGGGTGGAATTGGAATCGGTCTTGCACTCAGCGCCTTCGCTGTGCTCTGAATCACTCTCCTCAGGATCATCCCAACCACGTTCCGCGGCATCGGAGTCATTGTCTTTGTCCATGGGATCTAGTCCGCCATCAGCGCCTTCGATGCCTGTTTCATCGTCTGCGAGGAACGAGTTAAAGCGTTCAACCATCTTTCTGAGATTTTCCTGTGCAGTTTTGTCGCCAAATGCCTCCTTCCCGCCCCCTTTCCCATCCAACTCCTTCTCGAACTCAGAGAAGTCAATATTCAGCCACCCTTCATCGTCGCTTCGCTTTGGCCAGCTGTCTATTTCGGCGTCTGTGGGGAGTGTGTCGTCACCGTTTTCTAAATCTTCAAGTAGGAGAGCAATCTCACGAGTTGGCTTGCGAGAGGCGTAGAGAGAGTGGGAGATGAGCATTTGTATGCCTGCAGACATTTTAATGCCCATCTCCGCTTTCTCCGATGGTTTCCCAGATTTGGTAAGAGTTTCGAGCGCGGAGTCCCACGATCCCGGCGGAGACCATTGTTGGCCAAGGAGTTGTGCATAGAGGACTTTCGTAAAGCGGACACTTACGTCAACGAAATCTTCCGGTGGGAAAGTCAAGGGTGTTTTGGACTGTTCTGGCTGCAAGAGGCGGACCGAAATGGGGTCGCGAAGATAGAAAGCCTCCACAATCGCAGCGATATACGGTGGACTAATATGCAAGATATGCGCAACCTTTCTCGGCAAAGGAAGCGTGGCGTGATGCTGATTCTCCGAGATAGCAGCTGGATACCCGTTCAAACGATGAAACGCCTCCTTCTCCACCTTCGGATAATGCTGTGGCCTTGCTGGCGTTGCCTCTATGATCTGCAATGCCTGCGACCGTTTCAGTGGGGCTGGCTCTTCATCTTTACCCAGCGGTATGACAAGTAAACGATGATTGCTTATCCAGACCCTGTTCTTAGAAACTTCAGGGTTCAACCAATTCGGCAGGGCATTCGCAGCTTCAATGAGTAGAAATTCGCCATCGCTATCATATATTCGTATCCACGCGTCCTTGAACTCTTTACTCAGCTCTTGTAAGAAGTAGACAATGAGCCACTCGTCCGCCACGCTATCGCCGTAGTTCGTGCGTCCTCGGAGTAACCATCTCTGTTCTTCTCGAACTAGCTCGAGATTGATGGAGTCGCGTTGCCAGATGTATTCTTTGAGAAACTTCTTTTCCAAGGTGCTGAGAGCGCGCTGGAAAGTTTGTAGACGCTCTCGTGTTTGGATGTCGGAGAGCTTAGAGTCGATGATGAAAATGATGTATTCGACGACATCGTCGGGAAGCTTCTTTGGGAAGCCGTCAAAGCCTTCGCCGAACCATTTGAGGTCATCCTGTGGGAAGTCCATCTCGGTAGGAAAACTATATAAGAGCCGCGATAAGGGATAATCAGACTAGAAAATATTCTATGAAGACTTGACTAGGGGTGCTACTCCGTTCACTCTTGTATGTTGAGTAGTGGTTTGCTGATCCTTCAAGTGCGGCGCAATGTGGTGACGCACTCTATGGTAGTATCAATCGTACTCTTGCGCGAAACAAGCACAAGAAAGCCTTAGAGATCCGGGAAGACCTTCGCTGTTGCGCGAAGATGAAAAGTGAAGAATTCGAGGCTGCAGGCGGCGACATCGTAACATGACTGGCTGGAGTGACGAGACTCGGCGCTTTCCTTCCCCGGCCAGTGGCGCTTTCCCTCCGGGTGTGGCCCAAGCGCCCAGCGTAAACAAACACCCGCGCTATTGGGAACAACAGTAACGCATACGTGCTTCCTCCCACAGCTGAGGTGTGCTCGGCCAACGACTACATTTCTTTCGCTCATGGGATAATAGAGTACCTATATACCATGGCGCACTTTCCTGAAACACCTCGCACCGAGGCCGGCGACATTACGCGCATCACGAGCAACGAGCACTCATTCAGTATGGAAGAGTCGTTTCACGCACCAGCGGGACGCGATAGCCTTTTCCAGAAAATGAGCGGCGCGCGAACACCTCGAAATCCTCTTGCCGCCCTGCGCAACCCTAACGCGAAGAACGAGTTTACCCCCATGCTAAAGAGCGCAACCGCAAACCGGACACGCCAGATCAACGGCCTGCTCGACGGAAAAATCACCACTCCCGCCGCGATGAAGCCCGGATTTCAGATTAGAGATACGCCGCTGCCCGAGGCCAGCACCTTTGACGTGCAATCGAGCTCATTCAGCGAGTCGATCGACGGCCACACACCCGTACTAGACCCTAGCTCAAGTGCGATGAGCACGCCCATGGCGCTACCAAGGAGGGCAGAGGGTGAGATGGACAATGGAAACGGTAATGTGCTCACCTTGAGGGAGCAAGAGGCTCGCCTCGAGCAGATCGACAAGGAAAATTTTGGCCTCAAACTTAAGATTCATTTCTTGGAAGAGAACCTGAAGAAGATGGGCCCAGAATTCAATATCAAAGCACTAGAGGAGAACATCAGCCTCAAGTCAGAGAAGGTCACAATGTCGCGAGACCTCAAACAGTACTCAAAAGACCTCAAGGCCGCCGAGAGCGAGCTGGACACATACAAACAGCAACTACGGGAATATGCTGAGAAGGTCAAGCGACGGCATGCTGACGAAGGCATGCGCGAAGATATGGACGAGCTCCGACGACTAGCAGAACAGCGCGCTGGCGATATTGAACGCTTAGAAGATAAATTGGAAGAAGCCAGGAGTACCAAAGACGAGCTGGAGAAGGTTAGTGCCGAATTGGAAAGTGCCAAAGCCGAGGTTTCCCGAAGGGACCAACTGCTGGACGAGCAAGAACAGGAGATGGAAGAGCTCGAGAGCAAACTGAAGAATGCGCAAGGCTCGCAGTCTGAAGATCTCAAGGACAAAGACCGCCAACTGAAAGAGCAAGTTGACCGGATCGCTGAGTTGGAGGAACAGCTTCGGTCATTCAAAGAGTCACAGGAAGGAGACTTGACCCATAAGGAGCGTCAGTTGGACGAACAGAACGAAAAGATTGAGGACCTCCAAGACCAGCTCCGCTCAATCGAACGATCTAAGGATGCTGAGATTGATGCTTTGCAGGCGAAGCTAGATTCTGCCGCAAATGGGAAAGATCATGAGATGCGCGACTTGGAACAACAGCTTGATGAGGTTGAACGGGAATTGGCAGCAGCCGAGGACCAGAAGCGGCACGAACTCTCCCTAGTCGAGGAGCGCCTGCATTTCATGGAGCGTGAGAAGGATGCCAACATCAAAGAGCTTCAACGACGGATGCAAACCATACAGAGTGATAGGGATGCCGAATTGGCCGCTTTGCGCGAGCGCTTGGAGCTTACAGAAACGAAGGGTGACGGACAAGTACAACACGCCCAACAATCTGTCCGTGATGCTCAAAAGAAGGTTGTTGATATTACCCGGGAGAAGAGCTTCGAAATTGAGCTCCTGCAATCAAGGGTCGACGCCGCAGAAGCCAAAGCTGATGAGCTCGACGACTACCGCAAACAGCTACATGATGCTACGCAACAGATCACGCGCCTGCAGCGAGATGTGTCCGCGTATGAGCAACAGTTGCAGCAACTTAGACGAGATATGGACCAGAAAGATCGCGACCTGGAAAGCTCGAACAAACTACGTCGGGAACGCGACGATGCCACCCAGGAACTCACCGGCCTTCGTTCAACATTAACGAGTAAGAGCGCTCAAGTGGAAGCTCTACACAAGACGTCGCGAGACCGCGATGCTCTTTCCCGCGACTTATCAGACCTCCGCCGTCAGCATGACAACCTTTTGTCCAAGATATCAAGTAAGGAGGAACAAGTTGAAGTACTACGGAAAGGCAACAATGATCGCGATGCATTGGTCGCAACGCTACGGCAAGAGCGCAGCGACATCGAAAGCGAGATGCGCAATTTGCGCTCCGCAGTGTCTGGCAAGGATACGCAGATCGAGGCGTTGCAGAAGATTACACGTGAAAGGGATGCGCTTTCACGTGACCTATCGAACCTGCAGTCATATTTGCAGACTCGCGAGCGCGATATCTCAAGCCTGCAAAAGAAGATTGAGTCGCAAGAAGCCACCCTCAACGAGCTTAAGCAACTCAAGAGCGATATGAGCGACCGTACACGGGAGTTAGATACCGCGCGGCGCGCCATCGCCGACCGCGATGCTGAACTCGATGCTTTGCGAAGCCATGCTCACGAACCAGACACGCAGATCGATGTTATGCAGGATCTTGTCCGCAAGCGCGACGACGAACTGGACAATCTGCGTGACGAGTTGAATGCGCAGAGGAGCCAAGTCGACACCCTCCGGCAATTAGCAGAAGAGCGTCTTGAGGCTCTAGAAGAGCTGAGGAATACCGCAAGCCAAGAGAAAGATGACTTCTTAGCGGAGATCGAAGTTCTACAAGAAGACGCCGACGAAGTTGCTGAAGAGAAAGCATCACTCGAAGAAAAGATTACTGTACTAGAGTCGATGATCCGCGAGAAAGAAAGCCAAAATGGCGCTTTGCAGTCCGAATCGCGAGCCTCTCAGCGTGAGCAGAAGGCTGCGCTTGAGAACAAAATTCGCAATTTGGAATCGCGGATACGAGAGAAGGATGTACAGCACCGCAAGCTCCAATCCGAAGCCAAGGCTGCACAGCGCGAGCAGCGATCATCTTTGGAGAAGCGGCTTCGCGAGCTGGAACTTGAACTTCGCGAGAAGGACTCACAGCTACGCCTTCTTCAAGCGTCTGCAAAAGCTATACAACAAAAAGCCAACCAAGATGCACTTGACCTAGACGAGCAAGCACAGGTTCTAACAAACCGACATGTCAAAGAAATCAATGGCCTTGCGAAACAGATTCAGTTCCTGCGTGCCCGTTGCTCTCGCGCCGAGGCGTTCCGAGAAGCACTAGGGTATCAGAAGAAGTTCTTCTTGATGCAGATTCAGGTTTACAGTGAATGGTAGGCCCCCCTTTCCCTTCCCTTCATGACCATCCTATAGTTCTCTTCTCCTCTCGTCGACGTACTTTGGGCTAATCTATCTATAGCAACAAGGGAGATCTTAATCTCATCTCCCAAATGGGCATCACACCCGATATCACGGTTCATGAACGACGCCCTACACTCAAGTCAGCGGCCTTGGCTGTTATTGCGGCAATTCGAATGCAGAGACTAGCAGATGGGTGGGCCCAAAACCGTAAAATCCATGATCAGCTGAAACAGAAGTTGGAGAGCATGAGGAGGGCTACCGGTAGGAGGAGTGGGGGCCTGAGGATTGCTCGGTAGCATGCGCAATTCATGTAAGCAGATTGTAAAGGCCAGCTTTGGACGGCGTTTTGGTTTGGGTATCATTATGCATAGCTTGGTGTTCATCGTTATTGGGTTTGGAGTCATGGTTTGACCGGATTGCAGCTTTTTAGCGCCGGGGGTTTCGCCATTAAACGAATCATGACGGTACATGCATGCTAGATTGTGTTGATCGAGTACATTGAAAGCTATCTCGAAGAGGAAGGGGTATTAATCGTCGTTACGTTTATATCATCATGTCTTCCAAAACATTGGTGATCAAACCGTTCAAAACTTTCCACAAGTTCCACGCCATCTGATTGAGAACAAGGGCACTCCGGCAGCGTGGTTCGACCCATCTCGGCCTTTCGTTCTACCTCTATGGTCTCTTACGTCGACGTTCTCGACATGCCACAAACACCGCAAATACCAGCATCTCCAGCGTTGACGTACTCGCTCCCCTCACACGCCTTACTCCTACACTGCCAACTATCTGGTAGGAGACTTGGATTCAAGACATTGGAGCACCCGCCGCAGGTAAGAGGCTCGTCACCGTTGTAGAAGGAACACAACGGGCAGGACATAGACTTCGCTGGGCGTATGGTTTGTTCCCAGTCGGGTGAAATCCGTGAGGCGGCTTCGGGCTGATGTTTCCACTGCTCGTTGAGATGAGCTTGTGTTGATGAATGAGGAGGACGAGGGTCTGGGGGATGATTGAACGTTGGTGCCGACTTTATCTGATCGGGTCTGGCCCTCCTTTCGTTTGACGTGACTTGCTTTGCGGTTGGTTTAGGTACTTTTAGGGTATTCGAGCGGTTTGGAGGGAGCCTCAATGATTGATGCTGTGGTGCGAAGCTCTGAATCTCTTCCAGCTCCCTCTTCGCATTGCCGTCCTTGTCGTCTTCATCCTCGCAGATCTTAATCAAAGCGCGACCTTTATCGTCGAGCATTTCCTTGCCATCCACGTCTACCGCTGCACCCTCTTGATCGCCTTCGACAAACTCATCTTCTGTTTCGCTGTCTGATGGTGTTTCCTCCTTCTTGATTGTGATGTCTTCTTTCTTCCCAGTGTCAAAGCGCGCCAGTGCTGCAGCAGCCCTCAGATCTCGACCGCGGGCACTCCCTGCTACTCTTGGCTTTCCTTTCTTCGGTACACCACCTTCAAGCTTGACTTTGGTATCGTCGTCTGCCCCCAATGCCTGACCACCAGCACCAAACTTCTTCAGTATGCGCCGCTGCTTCTTTTCTGCATACGATAGAGTCGGCTTGTCCTTGGCCCCTCTCTTCCTCTTCTTCGCCCTCCTGCCGTATGTGCCACCACAGAGATGCTCAGGCACATCAGCAACATCTCCCTCACTCATCTGCACTGCGCCCGTGAGCAAGTCTTTTCCTCTGCCCCACAGCCCCTCCCCAGTATAGCCCTTTCCCCAGAGTGCCTTCAAGTCCACGGCGTACTCATCCCTCACCTTCCAGAAGGCCTTGCTATGATTCATCTGTTTGCAATGCGCCAACTCATGCACCAAAACCATCTCGACCATCCTCTGCGGCAACCATCGCCCACTTCTATCTCGCAGGACTAGCTGTATGACCTCTCCGGCGTTGAAGTTGCGGCCGACGAACTCGGTGTTGTAAGGGAACTCTTCGAGCGCTTGTACGAGGATCATGTTGGACTTCATGAACGGGTAGCATATTGCGGCTACACGGTTGAGGATTTGTTCGGCGACGGGAGAGGTGGTGCCTGGGAGGGGCCGGATGAAGTTTATCAGGGCATTGGGGCGCGACGTGCGCTCGTTCAGGCGCTCGAAACCGAGGGGCATCGTGGGGGTGCGCACATGCGGCCGTAGGATCTATTGGCGTAGCTGCTTCGCGGTACCCTACGCGTCCGAATGAGAAGACCTGTATAAGAGCGTAGGGTGTGGGAAGGGCTGTTGAGCCCCTCTGTAGTCTAAGTGAATTGAGAGTGGGTGGCAACTGCCTCAGACGGGGATAGGGTCGGCGTTACTGACGCGCCTCAAACGCGCAGTCACACCTTTTAGTCTTCACACCATTTCTTTGCAGGCTACGATTTTACAACCTGTACAGTGCTGCGACGTTTGTTTGTTCAGTCTGTTCTCTATAATTTCATGGTTTACTTCAAGAACAGACCCTGCCTTTGGCTGCCTATCCGATCAAGACCTGTACCGTCATTACTGTATTTCGAAGTGTGCGTTCTGATGGGTAATAAGAAGCTGGGTACGCATCCAAAGATTTCAGAATGAGCGGGCTGCGTTCATGGTTACTCGGCAGCACTGGTGAGGATTGTGTGAAGGCGTATTAATGTATTGTACGTAGGATCCTTATGCTTGATCGATACTGAGTCCATGGCTGTCTATGCCAACCTTGTTACATGTGTGATCTTCAATCTCAAGGCAAAGTTCGTATTGTCCCCATTTTAAAGTTGCACCGTCGCATCTTCAAATAATCTGTAATATCGCGAAGATGGTTCGTTGAGTAGGGTAGTCCACTCTGCTCGGACTAGTTCCATAGGTGATGTAAGCAGCCAGGGTCCTGGTCAGGCGCCGCCTCGCGAGAGCTTGATTGCGGAGAGAGGTCCAGCAATCGTCACGTCAGGCACACGACTTGCCTCACCACCATTCTGCACACCCCAATTCCACAATCTATTCAATCGACAAACGATAACTTCCAATAAACGAACGAGCAAGCGGACGTTTACTACAATGGCATCCCGCGTCCTCCATCCGATGCTCCGAACCGCTACGAGAGCTCCTACCGTCGCCGCCCGTACTTTCCAGACAAGCGCAGCGCTGAGGCAGGAGGTTGTTACTGCACCTGTCAGGAAGCCTGTTGGTGCTTTCCGTGGAGGGTAAGTGCTTCTCTCTATCATACTGGCATTGCGCCACTTCACACCGGCGCGCTGGAGCTTGGGACAACAACATGTACCTTGCGACGGCGTGACAAGTTCATGGAATCAGAATGGGCTGTAGGGGCTTTTTTTTTGAATACAGACGCGTGACTGATTTGCATAGATTGTTTGGATTCCTTCTCGGTGCGACGACGTCCGGCGCGGGCATGTACTACTATGTCATCGACGAGTATCGCGTTTCGAACCAGCTTTTAACCGAGGATATCTACGTATGTTCCAGCATCCTCTACACACCCGGAGAATTAAGAGAGGAGGATAACAAAGCAATCGCTAACGATGGACAGGCCCTCCAATCTGCGGTACAACGGATAGAAGGCTACGTCAAGACACTGGAGGAGAAGGTTGCCGCCAAGAAGAGATAAACAACGGGTCCAGCCGCTTGCCAAAGAGCATGCACAAAATTCAACAGCACATATGATGAGACGGTGGGTTCTGAGCCTTGAGATGCACGTGTATAGTAGGAAAAGTATCTTTGCTCGATCAGACTGATGTTGCAATGTTCGGGGAGTATGGAAATTATACCACTCAGTTTCTTCCACACTCACAATCACTGTAGCTGCATAGTTTGGCCCCTGCCGTTCGACTACATCAATGTTCTTCCTAGATGTCCACGACCTGTTATGTACTGACCGAACTATGAGCAGAACCCTTAGCCTTCTACCCAAAAACGATCGACAACTCTCGAATCCCGCACGTCGCGTCACGCCGCCGTGGTTGCTGCCTTACCATTGCATAGCTTCTTCCGTTCCGACCACTCCATAGCTCCTTCTGTACGGACTACTGCATAGTTCCTTTTGTCCCAAGGGGGTACGCGTCTCGTCAGCGCTACCCCACGAGATATTAGCATCTGTGCTCAAAAACTTGCGCCCTGTTCCTCAAATTCCCAACAGTTCTCTCTGATCTGCACGCTCACTCTGTTATACGGCGGTAGTCGATACAACTTTGCGCATTCTCCGGCCTTACCTCTCAATGTCTAGGGGGGCACGTCCTACTAATCTTCTGAGTGGCTCTGGACGGCTGTAGAGCTGCCTAAAAATACTGACCATGGTTCTTTGGTCTTTGCCAAGTTCGGAAGTATTGATGGTATTCACGACTACTCGGTGATTGCCATCCGCCCTCATTGTCGACAATGGTTTTGGTGTGGTACCCCATCGTTCTTTCTCTAAGCAACGAATATATGTGAATTGTCAAATAATCAGTGTAACAATGGCAGATAGAGTCTAGCAGATTCACCAGGACAGCGGTCATGAATCGGACTAGCGCACTCGGCCGGAAGTCCATGCGTTATAATCAATCGAGCATGCCACAGTAACGTACGCGAAGCCCTTTACTAATGCCTGGATGTACAGTGCTCTTCCCCAGTCGAAATTACAAGCTGAACCGCCCGCATGAAGCTGAGGCGAATGGTGCTTCGTGTCCCTAGAGTTTAACATGATACCTCCGAGGTCAACATAGAAATCAAGTGGAGCAATCGACAAGAATGATAACAGTACTCGGCTTCTTGTCTCCCTCGCATAAATTCTAGCCCTGGTAGAGGGGGCCGAGAATCTGTGGGGTATGTGGAGAAATACCATGTCGGCTTCTTGAGGGGAGCGGGTTGACACCGAGATTGGATGGTTCAGGGATAGGAAGAGACTCGGGATATTGCGAGATGGAGTGGGGTGAAGTGGGTTGGACAGCTGGAGATGATGGTGACTGTGGAGGTGGCGAAGAGTGCCGGAAAACCCATGGGGCGCAGCAGGCATCGAGGGAGAACGTCTCAAGAAGGGTGATATTCGGATGATCATTTATGGATTCCACGCTCAACACCTAATCGGCTCCAACGGCGGCCTAAATACCACGCTCGAAGATATTCACGCACGAATCTAGCGGTCTACAATGCTAGGAAATGTATCTGTTGCAGCAGATCACGCGTCCTATCTAACTCTCTGTGTATAGTTGTTTAGGAAAAATATCCGTATGCCGCCAATGAACGGCCGCTCTCAAGCTTCAACGCCTATTTTCAAGATCCAACCTGGCGCGTTTCACGCCATTGATCCGTCTTTCTCTAGTCTATCCATGAGCATCTAGTCGATATGCGCGAATGTTAGTCTCATTAGAGTAGTTATTTGGAATCTGTGTCATAAGTTAAGATGCAAGGTATAGGTTGGCGGTCTCATGTGACAAACCTGAAGATCCCAATGCATCTCGGTATATAAAGCTCAGGTATTCTCTCGATTACAGCTTATATTCTCAACCCAAGCCTTTGAACCCAACCCTCAGACCGCGCCTTACGTCTCCCCACACGAGTTATGAAGTTCGTTTCAGCCCCAACTATCACTTTGGCAGCACTGCTAGACCGCGGCCGACATCAACGCGAACAAACTCGTGTAGCCGTAAAGGCCGTTGAATTTTACCTAACCACTCTTGAATCTGAATAGAACCAATAACAGTAAGGTCACTCGAATGGAGCCCACACATGTACGTATCATCATCTTTGTCCTCCTGTCCTAGGTATAATAAAACTCATTCAACATTGCCGTTGGAACCGAACGCGAGATTCCCCACACGGAAGCAGGTCACATGTGCAAAATAGCAAGGATGGTACAAGTTGTAGTCGGCGTCGCCGTGTGCACGGTACAAGCAGATGCTAGGATCAGTGCTAACGCGATAGAGTATGCCGTGGCGTGCACCCAAGAATGACCAAGCCTTTCCTATAGCGCTCGGAGAAGACGCCGGGTGCTACTTCGCGGCCCTCCGCTCGCCTCTTGCTAGCTTACATGCGGCTGTATGCAGGTGCGCAACCATGAGTGCCAATGGCCAAGGAATATACGAGCCTGTGTTGAAGAAGAATGGCAAAATTGAACGATGGAGGTAGTAGGTAGGTGCTGAGGCGTTGCTGCCTGCACTGCAACGTTTCCCAGCCATGTTGATTGGCGCCAAGCGCCTTCGCAGAATTCCCACAGATTTTATCGCCGCCGAGAGAGTTGTATTCGTGAGCTGGTCATCTCTTCCGCCTTCACACTTCCTGTATTTACACAGGGATTCTTCGCATCCTATCATACCTGGGCTTCCTCTCCACCAACATTCCTCTTCTTGGCTCCTCCCGATGCCGCGGTTCCGCCCTTTACCATCTCAAAGTCAACTACCTAGGGACCAGGTGCTTACTGGCCTTATCAGGCGCCGCGATGTTGTGTTATAGACCTGGGTATGCAGCTACTGCAGCACATCAATGGGAATAATGTTTGACAGCATCAAGGCCGTCGTTTGGACATGGTGGACCTTACGAATCGCGCATTGCGGGGTTTACTGTTCCGCCCAGCATGCTTGGTGACGTTACGCTCACTTCTTGGGCGCCAGAATGAGGCCAAGCACAGACTTGTGACATGCATGCGGCTCCCAAGGTTCCCTAAGGCCTTGGCAACGACAAAGGATGACTTCTGCCAGTCCAATCTTATCTTTCCTCTCCATATTTTCTGTGGGCCCATCCCCGGTCCATGAGGGGGGCCAAGTGGAACCTCGGGGTAACAGATTGCGCTCTACCTCACTTTCAGAAGGGATTGGCGTCCGTCACCCAGGAAATGCACCATGTTCGGACCTGTTCAGGTAAAGGCCTTATTGTTGAGGCAAGGTTGGCGGCCTGCCTAATGGACTTGGTGGTACCATGTGCCGCTGATTTAAAGGTAGATATGTAACGTCAGTCCCGCCCGCTGCAGTTGAAACAATCCAAGCCATCTGCACACTCGCACACGTCATGTCCGAAAAGATATCTTCAGACGCGACCGACGCCGCTCACCATGAGCACTCGGGCCTCGATATGAAGCCCGAGAAAGAGTTGACGGACGCGACTGCGCGCCGACAGTCAGTCGCGCTCAACATTGTCGAGAACCCGCTGAGGGTAAGTCTTGAAGCAGCCACAAACTCCAGGTACTCGCGTTTCAAAAACTAACAAGTCTTTTCACCCCAATAGCGGACTACTGAAGCACAGGCTGTCCTTAATGCGCGCGCTTTCGCCGAAGAGCATGGCATGAGCGAGCACGCTGACGTCTTCGGACGAGCCGCTCTGGTTGCACGTGACCCAGAGAGATTCGAGACGATTACTGAGCTCACCGAAGAAGAGCGCGCCGCACTCATTTACGAGAGAGACCACAAATGGCACGGCCCTACTATGTTGTGGTACTCGATTGGCCTCTGTGCTATAGGCGCCGCCACTCAAGGATGGGATCAGACCGGGTCAAACGGTGCCAACTTAGACTTTCCCGAGGAGTTCCACCTTGTTGGTACATCACGCGGCGAATGGATCGTGGGTGTCATTAATGCCATCATCTTCCTGACTGCAGGTCTCATGTGAGTATACGCGATTGCGTTGCCAATCAAGCCCATTCATCTACGAAAATATGGACGTGCAGCAACTAATTTTGTGTTTAGCGGTGCGTTCATTGTTGACCCGCTCAATCACTATTTTGGCCGAAGGGGCGAAATCTTCATCACGGCTGTTATTCTTACTGTGACACCAATCGGTTCGGCATGCGCGCAATCTTGGCAGGGACTGTTCGCCGCCCGTTTCATCATGGGTATAGGTATTGGAGCGAAGAATGCTACGGTTCCGATCTACTCGGCTGAAATGGCTCCGGCTCGAACTCGAGGTGCCCTTGTCATGTTTTGGCAACTTTGGGTGGTCGCTGGTAAGTGGGTCTTATGCCAACTCTGACTTGATACTGATTGCCATGCGCAGGTATATTCTTGGGTTTCTGCGCAAATGTCATTGTTAAAGACACTGGCCATATTGCTTGGCGTCTTCAACTCGGCTCGGCATTTATCCCCTCTTTGGTTCTCGGTATCGGAATCTTCTTTTGCCCTGAGTCGCCTCGTTGGCTGATGAAGCATGGCCAGTTCGCCAAGGGATATCGGTCCATGGCCAGACTGCGCGCTCATCCGATCATTGCCGCAAGAGACTTTTACTACTCATACGTCATCTACAAGGAGGAGCTCGCCGTGGCTCGAGGTGCGGGCTACTTCAGCCGACTTTGGGATTGTTTTGCAGTGCCTAGGATCAGGCGAGCCAACTATGGTGCCTCAACCGTCATGCTTGCTCAACAAATGTGTGGTATCAACAGTAAGTGGCCTACGTCCCCGCAGATAGCTGTTTCAGGCTGACAGAGTTAGTCATCTCTTTCTACAGCTCATCCATCTTTACCGACGTTGGATACACAAAGGAACAGGCCTTATATGCGTCTCTCGGCTATGGCGCTATCCAAGTCGTTGCTACCATTCCCACTTTGTTCCTTATCGATACCAAAGGCCGGAGGACTCTGACTTTGGCGGTTAGTTTCTCTAAAATTTCCGGAGAGGCTTCTACTGACTATCATTGTTAGACCTTCCCTTTTATGTGCTTATTTCTTCTGGCTGGTGGTCTTTCCCTCCTCAAGACGGATGGAAGTCGTGGTGAAAAGATCGGACCAGTAGTACTGTATGTGTGAACGGATTCATGCATCGTTTGATTTACTGACTTCTTAGTTTTATCTACCTGTTCACCATTGCCTATTCGTTAGGCGAAGGGCCTGTAGCCTTCCAGTACTCTGCCGAGGTGTTCCCAACGATCCAACGAGAGCAAGGAATGGCATGGGCGGTTTGCATTAACAATACTTTTGGTATGTTATTAGTGACTTCGACATGAAAAGTGGTCTTGCTAACTATTTCCACAGCTGGTATCCTCAGTTTGACCTTCCCTCGAATGAAGAGTGTCATGACTGCCACTGGTGCTTGTAAGTGACGCATCACCCACAACTCCTTCTAGAGACTCATCACTAACCATTACTGCTCAAGTTGGATTCTACGCCGGCCTCAATCTCATCGCTTGGTTCATGATCTTCTGTTTCGTCCGGGAAACCAAACAGCTGACACTGGAAGAGTTGGATCGTAAGTGATCATTGCCCAATCCTTTTACCAATCGCTGACATGTTTGCGACAGAGGTCTTTTCAGTGCCAACGAAGACATTCATTGGCTATGAACTGAAGATCTGGCTTCCTTACTTCATCAAGCGCCACATTTTCCGACGAAAAATTGAGAAGCCCCCGCCAATCATCGAAAGGCAAGAAACGGTTCAAAGGGCATAGACAGCGCTTGAAAGAGAGGTCTTGAAGTGCATGTGTATGTGATATGAGGGGAGAGCACCTATGCTCAAGTGAGACGGGGACGTGAAAGGAACTCCCTTGCCGCTTCGCAAATTCAAACAACCCTAATTTAGCTTAATAATTAGGAAAAAGGAGAGGGTATAGTAATACATCACACTGCGCTCTTTTAGGCTGCATGTATGATCGAGTAAGATTAACTTTTACATCTTCACAAATACAGTGTCCTCGTTCTCTAAAATACACAGCAAGCCTATTACACCTTTTAGTCCCTACGCCCATCGTAATTTAGCGAGCTTCTAACACATTCAGTCAGTAAGAAGTTTATCTCTTCCATTCTTATCTACTGGAGCTCAGCGCAAACCACAGCGCGCTCATATTCACATCTCAGAATTTCGATTTGAAATGTTGAAAATATGTTGATTACAAATTAGATATTACAATATCTACATAATATTAATAACTCAAAGGAGTATATGCAAAAGTACCATGTAGCCATCATAGACTACTCAGTACACGTCTTGGCATTCTTCGCCGTCTTAGTTGCCCACACCACCACTGTCGTAGTGACCTTATGCACTACTGTTTTCGTTCCCGCCGCAGCAGTGACCGTTTCCGTCGCAATAGCACCACCCTGCGTGATGGTCTGATACTTCGTGATAGCGCTAGCAGGAACAGTCGTCCGGATCGTCGACGTAACATCACCTCCCACCGTGATGTAAACTGTCTGCTGCTCGCCTGTAACGGTTTCCGAATTCGTCTTTGTCTGCAGATTGCTTACAGTGACGGCTTCGCCCGTAATGGTGGACAGTGATGTTTGGGTCACGTATGTCGTGGTGAGAACGAGGGTTGTGGACTTCTTGAGTGTAGTCGTCTTGCCAATTTGGGTAGTTGAGGTGATAGTCTCAGTGTGCGTTGAGCCTGAACCAATCGTGATCGTCTTCACGAATGAAGTCGTTGTCGCGGTTGTAGTGCTGCCAGGCAGAGCGATCGTCTTTGTGCCGGCGACCTGAGTCTGCGTGACATAGGCAGTGGAGCCGGCTCGAGTCGCGGCTGATGTAACAAAGCTGGTAATTGTCGTGCTGAGAGTTAGAGTCGTCGTCGCAGGGCGAGCTGCGCGTGGGATGATAGCTCCGCGGCGAACCATCCGTTGTGCGGCATCGGTCGGGATGCAAGACTTCGTTGTTGTAGATTTCTTAGTAACCGTCTTGTACGAACTTGTGCTGACGGTCACGAGACTCTTGTTTTTAATAGTAGTTGTCTTTGTGCTAGTGGGCTCCACGGAAGTTGTAACTTTGATAGTAGTGGCCTTGTTTCCCTTGCCCTTCGCGGTGACAGTGCTGGTAATTAGGACCGTCGATCCTTGCCTCTCTGTAATTGTGATTGGCTTCTTAGGGGCGGCAGTATACAAAACAGTAACGGTCGTATATTCTTTCATCGTAAAAGTTTGCGCGGCCTTCGTCGTGAATCCACCTTCATTGATAGTCTCCTTGACGATGCTAGTCTTTGTGGCAGCATCTGGGGAAACTGTGCGGCCTTCGTTTTCTGTCACTACGTCGATGTAGGTGGTCTTGACGTCAGGCAATGCGTTAGAGACTGTGGCGGTAGCCTTTTGTATTTGTGTCTTGGTAACGTCCGCTTCAGTTATCGAGACTGTTTCGGTAACCCTAAGAAGCCTCGTTGAAGTGACATCGGCCCCAGAGATCATGGCACTAATAGTGGACTTGACGGTAAATGTGGTAGTAGTATACACAGTGACAGCCGGAATAGAGCTCGAGGAAACGATGCTAGAAAGCGTCGGCACAAGAGATGAGCTAACCCGTGATGAGGTAGAGGTTGGTGTGGCTGAGATGATAGCCGATGAAACAGTGCTGCAAGCCTGCGCCGAGCCAATGCCGACCGCGAAAGGCTGTGTGTCGATGTGATCGAAGTCGATGAAAGCAGTAGAAGCAAAGAAGTTGCCCAGTTGGAACTGGACGACATCGGCATCTGAGAGCTGTTGCGAAAAGCTAGCGCGGTTGCAGTTGTTGGACCCAGGTCCATAATTGTGATATTCTCCGAACAGAACACCGTCCGTGTTAGGGGAAGACTTGCTCCAGACGTTCCAACCGGCGGCACTGATCATGGAATCCAGGTAGCAGTTGACGTACGCGACACGAGCGAAGTTGTTCCATGGACGTCCGAGACCGATGTTGGCGAAAGTACCTGCGCCGACGGCGGGCTTCACTTTGCATTGATCGAACACAAACCCGGCGCTCGTGGTGTTGGTGAGGCGTTTGTGAGCCGTTATGCTAACGTTGTCCTCATTTGGCGAAATGGTCGAGTCCAAGAAGTATCCAGATCCGGGTCCGTAGATGAAATCCACGTTACCCTCGATGTAGGTCTTGAAGGTGAACAAGAAACCCGAAATGCTGAGCGTGTCCTGGTTACCATAGATCTGGCACCCGTACAGTGCAGCAAACTTGCTGCTCTTGACAGCGAAACCAAGCGAGGCAATGTTCTGTTCAGTTCCCCTATTGTTCCTAAAGTTGATATTGAAGGCATGGAAGAAATTGCCAGTCGCATAGACAGTAGCACCGTCCGTATTGCTACCCGTGGTTCCTTGCGTGTCGACACCGCCGTTGAATTGAATCGTGACTTGGTTTTGGGAGTAATCATCCGTTGCGGAAGAGTAACCTTGGAAAATAGTGTGGCCAGACTTGTTGAGAACGAGCTGCTCTTGATAAACACCAGGGTAGATGAAAATGGTTGCGTTTGTCTTGCTCGTGGTTGGTGCAGCATTTAAAGCATCCTGGATCGTCCCATATGTAATGACATTGGTGATTGGTGTCTTGGAGACGATGAGAGCACCGGCAGGAGGTGTTGTACCATTGAAGGTAGAATTCCCAGTGACTGTGGTGTTTATTGGAGCTGGGGCAGTGATCAAAGGCTGTGGAGTCACTATGGAATTCCAAAAAGTCATGTCGATCCACTCGGTAGAGTCCATCACAGATGACAGATGATACAAGTCTGAGGTGAGAAGCGTGGCGTAGCCGAAGGCTGTGCGAGCAGCAGCGTTGCTCTCCCAGTTAGAAGGGCCGGTGTTGTTGAACTCTGCGAAAGTAACATGGTCTGTTCGTGGATCGGTAGCAGACCATATCTTCCAGCCACTTGAGTTGATAGCACTGTCTAGGTAGGAGTTCTTGACGACCACTAGGGCATACTGAGAGTAAGGGCGGCCTAGGTAAACCTTATTGGTAAGATCATCGGTCGCGCCAGGCGCAGTAGTGAACAGGCACTGGTCGAAAATATAGCCACCGATTGCGGAGGAAGATGCTCTGCTGTGAGCAGTGATAGCAGACGACTTGCGCTTAGCACCGATTGTGCAACCCTTGAAATAAGCCTTGGAGTACCCCCAGATGAAATCGATTGCGCCGCCAATGTAGCAGGACTCGTAGTATTGATAACCAGCGGTAGCACCAGTCAGCAAAGTATCTTGCCATCCATCAAATGAGCAGGCATAAAATGCGATATCGTTGCCATAGATCGATGCTGCAAGCGTAACGTAGGAAGCCTGGGAGCCATCGAGGTTATCGCTGTTGATCATGTTGATATTGTAGAGGCTGATCCTATTGGAGGCTGTTGCAAAGGTAGCCGTCTCCGCATCAGAATGACCGACAGGCAAAGGAGAGACGGAGAGACCACGGGAGTAAGTGATTGTGACCTGATTGTCCTTGTATGATTGACCGGGGTTGCCGCTGGTGGAACCAATTATCCTCACTGCACCGGGACGTTGAATTGAAGGGATCTGTTCGGTGTAAGAACCGGGATACATGAAGATAGTCTGGTTAGTAGAATCCTTGGGAAGCGACGCAAGAGCGGCAGTGAGGTTGGTGAAAGTGGCATTATGACTTCCATCTAAGGAAACAACGACAGCACCAACCGGTGGCACAGTACCGCTGTCGGGATGCGCGTTGATTGTGGCAGTGGTGGCAGATCCAGTGATGGTACTGTTGGGGGATGGGGAGGGCGATGTGGAGGGCGATGTTGATGAGGGACCAGTAAGGCTATACGACGGCACATAGTTGTACGCTGTCATATCGAGCCACGTGGTGTCGCCGATCCAAGAAGCAAGCTGATACTTCGTAGCCTGAGATGCCGTCAAATTGGTCGCAAAGCTCGCACGCTGTGTAGAGGCTTGCCATGATCCAGGTCCCGAGTTGTTGAATTCGCCAAACAAGACGCCAGAAGTCTGCGGGTTGGTTGGCGACCATACAGACCAACCGGCGTCCTTGATGTGCTGGTCAATGTACGAGTTCATATAAACAGCGATGGAGAATGCCGAGTATGGGCGACCGAGGTAGCTCAACCCGTACGTACTGCCATAGGTCGAGCTATAGGTGACCTTGCAGGAATCGAACACATAACCACCAGCTGCATCGGCGCTAGCTCGAGACTGGGCGGCGATACATGATCCAGGCGTGTTGGTAACAATCATACATTGATGGAAATAGGCGGCAGAGAAACCCCAGATGAAGTCAACACTGCCCTCAATGTAGCAGTTGCTGAACACCTGTGTGCCCTTATTCGCGAGTAAAGTGTCTTGGAATCCGACAAACGAGCATCCGTATGCCGCAATATTCGCTCCATAGAAGTCAGCAGCTAGAGCAGCAGTGTTTGTTGTTTGTGGGTACGTATTGACAAAGTCAATATTGTACATTGCCAGACCAGAGTTGTCGTAAGTCTTCTTTGCATTGATGACAGGTGTTTGTTCGTTTTGTCCGGCGCTAGTCAGTACACCATTGGATATCTCGATCCTAACTTGATTCTGCGTGTAGTCGTTGGTGAAGCTAGAGGCACCGATCAAAGTAACCTTCCCCTTGCGAGTGATAGAGAGCTGCTCAACATAGGTACCAGCACCGATCTGGATTGTGTATGGCTTGCTATCGTTGGGCAGAGCACTGATCGCGGCTGTCAGATTGCTGTACTCGCAAGGTCCAGGGTTCTTGGAGACTACGAGAGTACCGGAGGCTGCTGCAGCAGAGCATGTCGAGGAGGGGGTCATGGAGCTGAGCGTTGCTGAGCCGGTAGCAGTAGAGTTAGATGAGACTGTAGAGCTGACAGACATCGTCGATGAAGTAGTCGAAGAAGCGGAAGAGGCGACGACAGGCATAACGGAGTTCGAAGCATGCAGAGAAGAGACGACATTCTGGTCAATCCAAGCAAGGGAAGAGCTGCCGAAAGGAGAGAACGCGTTGCCATAGACCTTGTCAATGGTATATTGAGAGACTTGGTCGGCTGTGAGGAGGACGTCATAGCTAGGACGGGAAGCAGCGTTCTGGGAATACGAGCCTGCGCCAGTCGTTCCAAACTCACCATAGAACGATGATGTAGTAGCAGCAGAGGGGTGAATACCTGCGGGAGAAATCAGATACCCCATTGCAGTGTCCCTGTAGATCACCACAGCACCGGCGTTATTGGGAGCTGCCAAGAAGACGCCGGTGTTGGTGTTACCAGGCTTCTGCTGAACGGAGCTAGAGTCGAAGACGACGGTCGAGTTATAGAATGTTCCGCCGACGGCCGCACCCTTGTTATACACGATGCTGGCACTAGAAGACAAGGGGACAATGGTTGATTTGTAGACGTAAGCGGTCGGTACATTGTAGAAAATCTTATCCGAGCCCTCGATGTACGAGTTTGCGAAGAATGCAAGCCCGTATGAAGCGGAGATTGCAGTAGCACCTGGGGAGACAATGGAGCAGCCATAGAATGCGATATTGTCACCTCTCAACGAGAGGACGACCGCAGCCGTCGATGCAGATGTGGTGGCTGAATTGAAAAAGTTGATGTTGCGTAAAGTGACTCCTTTTGCGCTGCTGGTTCCGATAGTGAATGGGATCGAAGGAGACAAGACAGTGACTTGATTCTGGGACCAGTCGGCAGCAGCAGTAGCAGTGGCGCCAACAATAGTGATTGTGTTTGAACCCAGGATTGTGACGGCCTCAGAATAGGTTCCAGGTAGAACAGTAACTGTAGGGATGCCGCTAACCTGAGCTGCACTCACAGCCGCATTAATAGCAGTGAACTGTCCTGAGCCATCTGCAGCAACAGTGATGATAGACTTGGCGCTAGTTGAGGCTGTAGAGCTGGCGGAAGGCGTAGACGTAGAGAGCGCCGAAGATATGAATAAGGAACTCAAAATTGAGCTTGCGGAGGGCGTCGGCGTGGACGACGTAGGCGTAGACGGAGAGGGCGTTGCAGAAGTGAGTGGCGAGCTCAGTACAGAGCTGGTAGCATCAACGGAACTACTCTGAGCAGTAGCAAACCCAAGCAGGGCAGCAACGACGAAAGATCGCATCGTGAATAACGATCTATCCTGAGAGAGTGAGTGACAGAAGTGAAAGAATATTGCTTCAGTCAGGAGATCTTCACTGGGATATATACAGAGTTGGCTCTGGGTCTGGCCCCGTCATACCGATGTCGACGAACTAACACTGTGGCTGACTTTTACGATCCTCCCAACTAGCTGGATCGCCCCGAAATCCATACTGGGCTGAGGTAGGATAAGAACCGAGTGGGTCGCTTTAGACAGGCAAGGGAGGACTGCCAAATCCGGTTAGGTGCCGCAGTACATGATACCTTTCGTTTTTGGTGGATCATATTGATACGATGAGCAATTTTGGCCATGACTTGGAAGAGCGACCAAGCGCCTAGCATGCGGAAGCAGCATTGTGATGAATCTACATTGACGGTAACGGTTGATAGGAATTTAGTGCATCAGCAAGAGATCGCGAGTGAGTATCTCTGAGGTGGTGAGGTCCGCTGATTTCTGCTTGACCAACAACGGAGCAAAAGATTGGATCCGTGTTAGCGTTATCTTGCGTCCACGTTGCCCTACGGGAACGATATGAACTGGAGCCTTGATTTCTAGAACGTCTCGGTGATTTGCGGCTGATTGTAACGGCGCGTTGTCGGAAACACCATGCTGTGATGATTGGTATTGACCACAGGAACATCCGCACCACCTCAAGGCGTATAGGTTGTACCGACATTCATATCATACTGTCGTGGTTTTGTGTGCTTCTCCTAAACCAAGATGCTCGTGACGTATACAATTTAGGATTGGTGGAGATTGTGCTATTTCCCTTGCCATAGTACCGACATGGCAACGGCAAGACGAGTCCGGACGCGACACGCGTGGGAGAATCTCATGGTGGGTCTCTCCCGTCCGTGTTCTGGATGTTGAATCGGTTCACGTTGGCAGACAAGCTTCGAGCGGCCAGGATGAAATAGCGTTGAAAAGCTTGTCTCTAGATCTAGCAGCACGGCACGTTGGTTGTTCAACGACCTAGGGGCATGGGCTAGTCGGCGACTCGGGGGCCAAAAAAGTTCCTCCAATAACGTTTGCCCGTATCGATCTAGACATAGCGCTCCATCGTCAACGATATCGATTATATCTATGTATAGTGTGTGGTGGATCTATGAGGCGTCGTAATGCCGTGGCAATCGAGAGCACGAAGTGGAGACGAGCTTTGCGCTGTCACGAAGAAGCAGTCGGAAAGTCTCGAACAGTTACTTACAAGTTGTGGTATGCATGGGTTTTCGTCGAGGAGAGCTGCGTCAAAGACAAAAAGTAGCGGGGAAATCCACCCACGTGGGTGAGGACCTTCCCGTCCTTTGTGTTGCGTGGCGGAAAATAATTTTGGGAAACCGACGCGGCGGCCAGATCGTAAAAGATCACGGCGCTAGTACTCCTGGAGACTAGACTATGTATTTCTTCGCAACTCCTTACTTCGGGATCGTCTTCACATTTTGGACGTCTTCACGGAGTCAGGGACAGGGTGACGCTGCCCAAAATCGACCCTGACACTGAGCCTTCTTGTATTAGTGCCAATTCTGATCCATCGCTTGCCCCAGTCGAGCTTGACACCACCTGGGTACCCACCTAGATGCTTGTGCGCTTTTGCATCACCCCGTCCTGAAAAAAATGTGAGAGTGAACCGACCAGGAATCTAGAATACCTTGATGGCTACAACCTAACGGAATCTCCCTTCTCATGAGATAGTTGCCCCTCTACACTAACTGTGGCCCAGAAGTCTACAGCCTACTACCAACCCCTTTTGAGCATAAGATCAGCTTTAATAGTTTGGCTTAAGCTGGGGTCTTTGTTGGAACAAAGCGACCAACATAACCTAGGACCACGTGGGGGGGAAACGTGGCTCGGCTGCGGGGAGACAGCAGCGAGTATTGTACATCGCCACTATTGACTACTTCAAGTTGGGCCATCTTTTTCTTCCAGGTGGTGTATGCAAAACTAAATCGTAACAAAGGTTCTGGAAATTAGGGGTGGACAATTTTCCCTTTTCACTACCCACTTGTCCACTTGGTCACACTAGCCTTCTATGCTGCTGCGAAATCACATTGATCCATGAGTGTGGTGACTCGTGAGATATCATCATAGTGTGGACGTAAAACACACCACTTCTGCTGCTACTGTTTATCAGCGGATGACTTGCCCGACCGAGTATCACGCCTGAGTAGCTTCGAATGGCCGCTGTCATGGCGTAGTAAAGATCCAGAACATCTAGGCGCACACAAAGTGTTTACATATTATACATGCTGATAGATATCTATAATACACGTTGCACTTATGCTGTCCGCTCGCTGTGCACCTCTTCATCCTCTTCCTTCTTCGTGGTCTCGTACCTCTTGCCTCGGAAAGCATACACACCCCAATTGCTGCATGTAACATCGTGGGGATCCAGATCGTTGAGGTCCCAGCGCAGACTTCGGAATAGGTTCTCCCCAGGTTCGAGGAGCATGTCCATCTCATTGCCATGCCTCTTGTTCAAGAAGTCGACGTCTTGCTGCATATCCCACGGCGAGTATCCTGTCGCAATGATTGGACATTTCGTCTCCAGGAGCAGGGGTAGTGTCTCTTCCCACTCGTGCATCGAGGCGGGGTTGCCGAAACCAGGATGGAATACCACAAAGCAGTCGAAGTACGGGTCATAGGGGTAGAAATGTCCCTTTTTGTGAATATTTTGATAGTACTCAACGAAGGTACTGATCTTCATCGCATTCGAAATGCGGTCTTCGACGACGGCGCCGAATGGGTTCAAGGGCGTACGCTCGGGCAAAGGGAGCTCCTTCTCGCGATTCGCCATAGACTCGGGCCCGATAAAGTTTATGGAGAATTGAACACGGTGGAAGAGGTAGGCGAGCTGCATCCACGTTTCGCGAGGAAGGGAGGATTCGGCACGAGCACCGAGGATGAAGAGACGCACGGAGGGGGGCGCGAGGCGGACGTTTTTCCAGGAGTCGCCTCCGCCAGTTCGGGGAGGATGAAGGGTATGTCGGAGGGCTATTACACTCACGTTAGTCCTGTCAAGAGATGAGTATTCTTAAGTCTATGATTACTTACCACTGAAGCTCTTGAGCCCCTCGGGCGTCATCCTGCCGTTCTTGCGAATGTTGTATGGACTCAGCTCATTGATGATGCTGGCAATGGTCATTGGGTATGTCAGCAACTTGGTCGCCTGCCGCATCTCCCGGTCGTCGTTGAGAGCGTCGAAATCTCGGGTGTAGAGATAGGTATCCCAGCTCGTCATGTTGACCAGAATCTCCTCCATCTGCGGCTCGGCAAACTGAAACTCCTTGAAGAAGCGCCCACTCCTCAGATCGTGATCATCCTCGTTACTCTGCCTGAGGATATCGCACACCTCCAAATGTGCCTCGTAGTCGTCAGCCCAATGCTCTTCGCAGCAGTAGACGGGTATGCCGCAGTCGGGGCACTCGAAATCGACATGTGCGGGCGGGGCGCCAGTTGACGAGGATTTGCGGGCTTCGAGGTCCATGGGGTTCTTTGCTGCGCGCGTCGGTTGATGCGAAGGATGCGGGCAGTAGGCATGTTGGCGCATGAACGCAGCGCGTTTGCGGATCTGTGGTATGGGCGAGTTTGTGAAGGAATTGAAAAGGTTGTCTTCCGTCAGAAGGAGCTTGCGGCGGATGCCTTCTGGATCGACATATTCATAAGGCTCAAACGGCTTCTCGAGGCTTCGCTGCGGCGTCGTAGAGAGGCTTCTTCGGGGGAGGGCGAGCTTAGTTTGGGCAGGGCCTTTGGTGGAATGATTTCGCTGCGCTGGGCTATGCTGCAAGAGGGGCCGGAGAGCCTGCGACGGCCTCAATTGGGATCGTGAGCTCTTGATGAGGGATAGGCACTGCCTGCACGTATATGAGGGCCTCATCTTCAGCGGCTGGCGTCCAATTGCGGATGAGTAGAAGCTGCGATATCATGGGACGATCAATTCGCGAAAGCTGTTGCGCCTCGGCGAATTGGGCGCCGACGGGCTCGTGCGTCAAGTCAACGCATGCTGACGTGAATACTTACACAATTATTCAGACCCCTTTGTAGTAATATTGTTTTTGGCAGACCTATATTTCCTACGCAGTATTGGAGTACCTAAAGTAGCTTCTGGAACTACATGCATCCTGCAAGTAATGGGACTGCTCATGGTGGATAACACCCTGCCAGCTCTGCAAGGGATGAATAGGACGAATGCTTTGGTATGGAATAATAGGCGAATTATAATAAAAGGCAGACAGCTCATGCGACCTTTCTTCTTATATGCACGACTCTAGGAAGTTTCCAGTCATCGGCCTCCAACATCCATGGTGCCGAGCAATATATCGAGAACACGTAGACCCAGCGCATATTATACCTGGAGTCTTGCTCTGCGCCACAGTGTTTGGCTGTGTCATCAATTTTCGACGACGGTTCCTGCAAGGCTGAGCCATATCGTAATCTTGAGAAAGGAGGCTTAAGACTAGTCTTTCATTCCAATACAGAAGGAACGCGATCGAATCTCATAACACAGCTGACTGAAGATAGCTACACGAGCCGCACACGTCATTCGGGGTTTGTGGGATTGTCTTGATCAATATTGGTCTTATCATCTGTTTCGATACCTGTGCTCCACCCAAAAGAGGCCTGGAATTGTAGGCTATAGCTAGGCGTTCACTCTGTTCGCTCGCTCGTCAATTTTCAAAATCCTACGCCTGGTGGTCATGCTAGCATCAGGCGTCCCACGAGTAGACCAATTGGTTGCGTACGCAAGCTACTTCCCGATAGATCAATACCTGAAAGAGCTCGTAATCCTCCCACTCTGTGAAGCTAGAAACGAGGTATGTTTGCGATCGCATCATCTTCAAGTGAGCCTTATCACTACTTTGGCTGCATGAAATCCTCTCACACTGCGGCCGTTGCGAAATTCTAGGTAAATCAAGGTAAGGTGTGGAGTCGAAGCTGACCCTATGTACTAGAATGCGCCGGACCGCAAGCCTCTAGTCATCTAAAGAGCTGTTCCTCAGGGACAAATTAGCTCACACACCGCGATAGCGAGACCTATCTTCTTTCATTCAATGGTCGTCGACCGGAACCAACATAGCCCTGACAATGATGCCCCACCCTACAGTCCAACGCAGTCCTTGAAAGTTCAGTATTTAGCTACTTAGGAGCAATTTCAAAGCGCCCACTGTAAGTATTGTTTCCAAACCTCATGAAGCCATCGTTGATTTTGTCGCAGTGCTAAAAGAATTAGTTTCTTCCTGCCTGCGATACTTACCATCTCACCGTTTATGTTCCATCATAATAAAGTGCCCACTCCATACAGTATGCATTGAGCTGTCTTGCCAGCTGCGAATACAACACGCGGCTGCCGATTTTATTAGATTCAACAAAATCCTATACGGAAATGTAACTCAATACTGTGAACCGCTCTAATATTGAGTATGGCACATCTACGTTACAAATGTCATCGTCGAATTGTTATACATTTCGAATGCCCAACCCAGCGCTACGATATTAGTTTCTTGACAGCGTCTGAAGGTCGCTTGAGCATGCGTAGATTCATTGCATGTTCTAACGATCGTCCACGGGGCCTAGCAAGTTCAGCTGTACGCCACGTATCATCGAGGCTTACTGACGCTTTAGTACATCGTAAGATGCCCTAAGATGATCTGCATGCTATCTTCTTGCATGAACCTGATTTTCTTGGCCTGTCTCTCACAGCTAGTCCTCCAGAAGTACCTATTATCCAAGTACAGACCTACTATGTTCAATGCCATCCTCGAAGAACTAGTCTCCCATCATCTACACGACAGATGTTCATTAATCTAAAGTCCGGGCAGAGGTTGAGATATGACGGGTGGATTTAAGATGATTGATTGTTGTCTCGTGAAGAGTATGCGTTTCTCAGCTGCAAGATTGACATATATCGAGCTTTGCACGCGAGCTGAAACATTTTCAAGGACACTTCAGCTATTCATACAGATCAGCAACGTCGCAAATCGGCTTAGCTACTTTCGTCTAGAGGGTTTGCTCAACACCATCTTTACGGAATGATCCGGTCGTGTCTCAGGTTCACATTACCTCTTCCGTCAAATCAGCGTTCTTCTCGTAGCACCTAAGGAGTTTTGTCCAAGTCTAGTCTATGATGGGTGTTACTCAACAGTTTCTAGTACCAGTACAGGACAAATGAAAATGTATCGGGGCGCGTACCTCCTGTACGATATCACACATGTCACGCGCCAGATCTTTGGCTTGTTGGCTTTCGAAAATATTCAGATATGATTTGACGCTCCTCAATCCAGCTGAGTGTTACGTCTCCGAAAGAGGGGAAGCTGAAATGTCGAGACCATGGTTGAGACACCAGTATCACGTAGCCGTGACAGGTTCCCCGCACACCACACAGGTATAAGTATCCTGCTTGTTTCCTTCACATCAAACAATCATAGCATAGTACGTACTAGGAACATCAACTTTATACAATCCCAATAGTTCTCCATTTAATTCACCGATAACATGCCTCTCTACCTTGATCCCAACGCATGCTACCGCATCACCTCCGCCAACCGTACCGGTGACCTGCAAGGCGAATCCGCCAGTCTCAACTCGCTCAAAAGCCCTGCCAACACCCTGACCGCCTTGCCAAACAACAACACACCTACGCTAGCCAACATCTCCATGATGGGCCCCTCGGCTGAAAAAGGCCAGCTTTGGGTCTTCCGCTGGGTCGCCGACGTCCAACCCAACGGTTTTATCTGGACGCTGCACAACCTCCATACAGGTCTCACCCATTGCATTGAGCGAAATGCTGACGGGACGCTCAACATTGGCAAGCTCGACAGCAAGGCGAAGGATAACCAGATGTGGTATTTTGAAATTGCGCCGACGGGCAATGCTAAGTGGATGATGCAAGACAGGCAAGGCCAGAATTTCGATGTCAAAAAGGGGTCGTCGCAGGTCAAGGTCTTGCCGTCGAAGGAAGCAGATGGAGGGGAGAAGACGTTGTGGGATTTCAAGTTTGTGCGACCGGCTACTATTGGGCAGAACGGTGAGTTGTCTTGATGAGATAGTGGTTATCAGGTATATATAAACTCGCAGTAGTCCTAGCTTGCAATGAACACTTATGAGCAATGGAAGAATCGCGCGCTCACCATTTTTGGTAGTGCATGTTCATGAGATAGAGAATTATAAGAAAACCGATAAAGGTAAAATAAAGGCAGACTACTCAGCTTGCTTTGTCGCGACGGGAAAAAGGTGATTCCCTTATACAGCCCTGCTAATAAAGTCTGACCAGTGACGATACCATTTGCTCGACCATACGTATCAATCGGATTCGCTACTTCTCCATCGGAATGTGGTTGTTGCGCCAATTATACACACTCCGATACACCATTCTGTACGCCATATGCGCGAACGCCGTGCCCACGAGACCGCCAAAGATGATATCAACAGGATGATGCCACCCATCTCTAATCTTGCTGCTAGCCAGGAGAAATGCAATGCACAACGGCGCAGCAAACACGACAAGTTTCCAATGCTGAATCCTGCCCCGATGACGGCCATCATCTAATTGCTTCTCTTCCACAGCATTTGATTCGATTTTGCTCGCTCCAGTTGTATGTGGAAACCCACTCCGCAGTTCTCGACCGAAGACCTTCAGGTGTGCATTCAACCACAGCGCAAGAAATCCAAAGCCTGCAAAGGCTGCACACGCATGGCCACTTGGGAAACTCATTTGTGCCTCCTTGATCTTTCCTTTCTCCCCAGTGCAGACTTGACTCGCGGTGAAATAAAGGTGATTGCTCGGGCCAGGGGTGTTGAGACCAAGGCGAGAAGGAGGTATAGAGGGAGCGCAGATGGAAAGGAAGTGTGGACGAAGACCTCCGATGAGTATCTTCATGAAGGATTGAAACAGAGTCGCTGTCGCGAGAGCATAGCCGAGACCTATGAGCTGTAGTTTGTCAGTGATGTTCGAGCTTTCGTGGGGAGTCTATGCGACAAGAAGGCATAGGCTCGCTGTTCAAACTCACCGCCGCGTTCCCGTCTCTAAACCGTCTAGTTCCCCACAGAGCAATAGCACCCAGGATCGCCGCTGGGGCACCAAAGCTCACAATAGCACTGGTAAGCGTCGAAACGTACTCGCCCATGTACGGCTGTCCGTACTTGCGTCCAAAGCCGCTGCGCTCGATTCCAGGATAGAGAGGAAAGTACCGTGGCAGCAGCGGCGGGGAGAAGGTGTAGATTAGAAATGATGTGAGAAGACACAGTAGCTGCGTCGCGATGTCGAGCCAATTTCTCCGGAGCCACTGTATGAAAGGTGGACGATCACGGAAGCCGGGAATGAAGGCATCTCGCCGGCGATGTTGTACTGGTGGTTGGGTGGAAGCTATTTCGAGGTCTTTGTTGGCATCGATGAGAGAAGATGAGTTTGGTGGTCGAACGACAGGCGGTGTTTTGGTGACTGCGTCCATGGCTGGCTATTGATGATGAACCAATTTCTGTTGTGGTGAGAATACGCTGCTGTATATGATGTAGACGTCGGTCGCATAAAGACGACAGCACTCGTTTCCTCTTGTATTTGCACAGCCTTATTGTGCAAGTACCTAGGTAAGCGCTTTCAGTGACCGTTGCCAGTTTACTCAATTTGTGTGCTCTGAGTAGGCAAGTACACCCAATGGCTAGTGGGTGGGGATAATGAAGATTGCAGTCGCGTACTGACTATTGGTGCCCCTAGTCTTGCGCAGGTACCTAGGTAGTTTCCATAAGCTAGGGGTCTCGATGACTGACTTGAATGATAGCTTCGATCTTTCAGTGACAACAATATTGCTGCAGATGCCATCTTAGCTCTAACACTGACTAACCGCCCTTCTAAATTCTTATTCATACTACTTTCGCATGACAGTATAGAAGAAGCAACTATAGAGATAGGTCAGCATACCGAAAGGGAGTCGTGGGATCCCCTTGGACCAACTCTTTTAGAAGTTTCATCCACATCGACATGTCGCATACCTTGTTTGAACAAAGACAGAGTCATATCGAGGCACTAAAACAATGCCCAAGACATTGTCTTTCAACTCCACCACGCTGGAACAGTTCTATTCTGTCATGTTAAAGCGAGCGTACAGGTGTGCATACAAACCAGCGAACGACAAATAAATAAGGGACAAACAAAACTCTGACAACTAATTGCGAGAAGAAATCATGGCGAGAGAACATCTTGCACGCACTAACAAGACCAAGGCCATTCAACAAATGACTGCGCTGATCCAGCGACGCCATACCATCCGAAGCAGAAGTCCACACATGTCAGGCCTAAAGATCAAAATTCCGAAAGGAATATGGAACTCTCACGACCCGAACAGTCACAAAGTCACGAAGTCAGGCCCAAGACTGAGGTTGAAAGTGACGCCTTCCACACGCGACAACATTAGTAGAGCAGCGACTCAGCCGCAGCCTATATCTTCTAAAGAGCGCACACACTGCAAGGTGAAGCTCTGGCGATTCCACTACGGCGGTCCGAAGAGAAAGGGGAAGGGGAAATCGGAGAATGAGATCACCTATGAACAGCCGTGCCTCAAACCGACTTGCGCAAATTGCTGGAGGTGGCATTCACAGCTAGTGCAGACGAACCGAGTGACCAAGAGCGAGGGCGACGAGCAGCAAGACGATAGGCCAAACCAAGAGCCGTCCAGTCTGGAGATCGACCCTAGGATCCTGAACGGTACATGGCAGCACTTTCAGGGTCGCCGTGGCAGTGTGGAGAGCGCAAATCAAGAAGTCACCAACGATGGTGGATATGGTAGGACACCGGTGCTTACGCCCATCAAAGCATTCAACTATAAGCAAGGTCAGCCACCACAAGACTTTTCCAAGAATCCACACTCCTGCACGAGCCCGAGTTCCCCGGTTGGATACCTATAACATGTCCTTCCCCACCACCCTATTGATCAGCACCCTTTCCACTAATTCGGAGACAGCGAGGGGAAAGTGGCGCCCCGACCCGAGAATACGACAAACTACGCGCTTAGTCTTCACATCTCATGAGGGAAAACGAAAGTACAAGGCCTTGCTGAAGGAAGATCAGAGGCAGGAGGAAGAGAGGGAGTACGATAGCCCGAGGAGGAAAGAGTAGGGGTAGCGATGTCGTGGTGAAGGACCGCTCGGTGTAATCAGCGCGTGAAATTGGTATTTAAGAGTGATTAGGGGAGGCCTCGTTCAGTAGGGTTGTGAGAAGGTACTTAGGCTGAAGAATAATAAGTTGCGTGTGACTGGTCCTGCCTGATATGGATGAGTCCATTCCGATGTTCGGAATCTCGGAACATGAGTGCGTGACGCAGAAGAACTGTTCTAGCACGTGCCAGGTGATTTGGACCAACGTGAGAATTAATGTAACAAAGGCTCCATACCCGCAGGAAGAGTCTCGAAGGATGTTTCTTACGATTGCACGAGGATATCGTCGCGAATTCGAATTATCCTGGGGCGGGGGCGGAGATACCCCACTTACTCGTCACTCTCTCCTTAGTCATTATGCCAAGCACCTCTTAGAACCCTGCGCTTTCCTCGGATAGCGCATGTCATGCCTCAGTCATCTTCCACCTGCGACTCGATTGTGTATATAGGTCCCATGTCTGCCCCTCCCAATGTTAGACGAGGAGCTCTTCCTACCTGCGACTCTCCTTAACACCGCATATGGTTAGAGTACGGACAAGGCCGCCGGGGAACGCCGCTCTGCGGTGGGCAGCTGGCTGTGGCGAACATTGGACACCACCGTCGATACGCGCATTGCGGCCGAGAAGCATTGCGACGAATGCTGCGGTACGAGAACCAAGCGTTGAATTTCCAGAAGGTGTTCCCCCAGCACCAGTAGCACCACGACGTACTGGGCTGGAGCGCAAAGAGGCCATCAAGAACGCAAAGCCATTTTCCGACTTTTTGACCGACACGTTCAATAGGCAGCATGACTATCTGCGCATCAGTATCACCGAGCGGTGCAATCTGCGATGTCTGTACTGCATGCCAGAAGGTGGGCTTTGACTCTCTGACTGGCGAAGAACACAAACTGATAAAGTGAATAGAGGGCATCCCACTTTCGCCGTCTGCAAACATGCTCACCACGCCGGAGATCTTCTACCTATCGTCGCTCTTCGTATCGCAGGGCGTCACCAAGATCCGCTTGACGGGCGGCGAGCCCACTGTGCGCCGTGACATCGTCCCATTGATGCAGCAGATCGGCAGCCTACGCCCGAAAGGTCTACGAGAACTCGCACTCACAACGAATGGCATTGCATTACACAGAAAGCTCGATGCCATGGTAGAAGCAGGTCTGACAGGAGTCAATCTCAGTCTAGACACGCTAGATCCGTTCCAGTTCCAGATCATGACGAGACGGAAAGGCTTCGACGCCGTCATGCGGTCCATCGATCGCATACTGGAGATGAACAAGCTCGGCGCCAACGTCAAGCTCAAGGTCAACTGCGTAGTCATGCGCGGGCTGAATGAGCGAGAGATTTTGCCTTTTGTCGAAATGGGCCGTGAGAAGGATATCGAAGTGCGCTTCATCGAGTACATGCCTTTTGGTGGAAACAAGTGGAGCGAAAACAAGATGATAAGCTTTCAGGAGATGTTAGACATTATACGGACAAAGTACCCTGGACTCAGGCATATCCCGGGGCACAAGAACGACACCAGCAAGACGTACGAGGTCCCTGGCTTTGTCGGCAGGGTTGGTTTTATTACGAGTATGACCAACGACTTTTGCGGAACATGCAATCGGCTGCGCATAACGAGCGACGGCAATCTCAAAGTGTGTCTGCACGGCAACGACGAGGTCTCACTGCGTGACCTCCTGCGGCAAGGCAACAGCGGCGAACCCATTGATCAAGAAGCATTTGAGCGCATCAGGCAACTCGAAATGGATCGCCACGAAGGTCGCCTGAGTGATGAGACCATCCTTGGGTGGGGCCAACGAGAGCGCGAGCTCCTCGATATGATCGGCATAGCTGTGAAGAAGAAAGCCGAGAAGCATGCTGACTTGAACGACCTCGCGAACATGGAAAATCGACCCATGATTTTAATCGGTGGGTGACGTGGATTTCTTTTCTTCAACTTGGTCAGGTTGGATGCTCTTACGATTCATGGCGGTTATTGCATAGTTGGCGTACGAGCGGTCCTTTCTCCTTGTGAGCCTGCTGCTGTTTTGGACGTAAAATGTCTGGTTATATACACCAATCATATACCCCGTTTTCTCGCACTACGTCTCTCCAAAGCCTGTGATGTACCTTGCTAACCTCGTGCAGACAGGAACGCCTCTTTCGTAAACCCCAGCTTACCATGGCCAATGAACCAACACCAGCCCAAGGGCGCTCACGCGACACCGCTTTCTCTTGGTCGATCCGTTCTCCCTCTCCTCTCCTCTGTATCGCCTTCAATGATCTCGCTCCGAGCATTTTCGACAACCCCTACGCCTGCAGCTAAACATGAGTATCAGACAAAAAATCCGAGGTTGGAGCAGAATGTGTCCTTCAAAAAGGTTAATCAGTTCCTCACTAGGTTTTCGTCCGGGGAAGATACGGAAAGACTGGGGACAAGAGCTCCCGTTGCAAGTGTCAAGAACCTGGCTATAGACACAAGGGAGTTGAGAGAATTTTTGGGTGAGATCGGATTGCCGCAAGCAAGGAAAAGGCTGCTCAAGGGCATCGAGAGTAAGATCCGAGAGCTGGAATCCCGCATCGCTGGCGCAAAATTCTTTGATGTGGCCACAGACCCAGGAGATTGGAAACAATTCAGTGTATCTGCCGATAAAATCATGACCGGGTTGAACCCTAAAAATGAACGGGCAACGAAACGATCGTTGTGGCGAGAGCGGAAGAGGACTTCTGCGCTCTTGAACGAAGGGCAGGTAGACTTCGATGCAGAGTACAAAAAGCTGGAAGATGTACAACAGAAGGAAATCAGTGACATGGAGGCTATTCTTGACATGTATAAAGCGCACGCTGAAACCATCAAGGCCGTCTTGAACGGTGCTGAGGATCTGGAGAAGGTACGGATGCAGAAACGGAGATTGCTAAGCAAGAAGCACGAGTTATCCAAGCAGCTCGAGAAAGAAAAGGAGGAAGCACAATGGGCTAAAACTACCAGACGGTTTATTCCAGCGAAAGAGCGAGAGACTAAGGCGGAATCTTTCGACTTGGGTGATATTTTGGACGATGCATTTATCAAGGCTGGGGGGGCAACAGAGGCAATGCCAGAATTGGATATGGCGACATTTATGCCACAGCCTCCTTCCTATGGTGGCTCGCAACAACTCAAGAGGATATCAGAGTCCAATTCTACCTTCAAGAAGTTCACGGCGAGAACACCAGCTGCAGAGAGGATCTCGGCAATGGGGGGAGGCTTAGGCGGCGATGTGAAGCCAACGACCACGAAAGAGATGGACATGTCCTCTAGGTCAAGCAATGAGGATTCACTTCCATCAGACCTCCACCCTGCTAGTAACTACGACCAAACTGTCCCGACGCCTCAGCGCCAACCGAGTGACAACCTCCGTCTACAAGTACCCCAGTCTGGCCTGATCTCCATTGACCCAGATTTCACCGCAAACTTCGATACCGAAGTCTCAGACCTGCAATCCCAGATCTTGCAATTGCAAGAACGCCTCAAGAGCTCCTATCCGCGCATCGACACACTACCGTTCGACGTATGGACTAGCAATAACCAGAGGACGCTGCGAACGTGGCTGAAGATCCTAGTTACTAGGTGGCAGACGCGCTTCGATGATGCTGGAGGTAGTTCGAACAACGAGGAAGTGAAAACGAGTAGAGTTGATGAAAATGTAAAGGCAGTCCTTGATCAGATGGTCAGAGATCACGATCTGAGCAATGACGCTGCCGAGCGCATGGCGAGGAGGTGGGGTCAAGTCTTTGAGAAGAGGGGTGACATCGGTGGGGATGCGGAGGGCGTGTTGGATTGGGAGGAATTTGATGCTGTGGGAATGGGTTTCTTGAAAGAGGGTGCTGACAGCTATGTTGCCGAAGGGAGGAGGTCAAACAGCAGAGACGCTTCTTTCCGTGCGCAGAACAAGGGGCGTATCGGATTTGGTCAGCTTTCGTACAAGCCGCTCACCCGCCGCCTATACTCGACATCATCCCGCGCAGCATCGGATCCTGAACTATCCAAGGACGCCAAAACTACCACCTCTGGTCCTCAGCAACCCTCGTCTCAGCCCAGCCTACCGCACCTCACATCCACCGGCTCCGCACACATGGTCAGTGTCTCCGCCAAAGCGCACACGGTCCGCACCGCCATCGCCGTCGGCACCGTCTACTTTTCCAACCCAACGCCCCTCTCCCTAATCCGCAGCAACAGCCTGAAAAAAGGCGACGTCCTCTCCGTCTCCCGCATAGCAGGCATCATGGCCGCGAAAAAGTGTCCCGACCTCATCCCGCTGTGCCACCCTATCGCGCTCACGCACGTTGGCATCGAGCTGGACGTTCTCGACGCCAAGCAGAGTGAGGGCATGGGTTTCGGCGGTGTCGCTGTCGAGGCCAAGGTTCAGTGTACGGGTCCTACGGGCGTCGAGATGGAGGCGTTGACTGCTGTTATGGGCGCTACGTTGACTGTTGTGGACATGGTCAAGGCGGTGGATAAGTTCCAGCGCGTGCAGGATGTCCGGGTTGTTTTGAAGGAAGGTGGGAAGAGCGGGACGTGGAGGGAAGAAGGGTGGTGTTCCTTCCAAAGTCCACGCGTTGAGGGATAAAGCGGTGCAAAGGGTACACGGGAGGAAGGGGAGGGATATTGGTGTGTAACGATATTTGGTTGTGCATTGAACGGCGTAAATTTGGAGGGGGATATTCTAGAATACGCATGATGCGATGGCGTTTTCTACGTATAACACCTATCCCAAAGCCCACCGCTTCTCGGGAAGCTCTGGCTCTTTACAAACTCGCTTAATTTACATCTACCATACTTGTCTGCGCCGCAAAAGTCCAAAGCTTGAACACGATCATTTACAATGACGCGGACGAACTCCTCCTCGTCGCGCTTGCACTGTAGCTTCTCGACGTACACTCTCGCCGCAAAAGGCACCGTCCAGGCTGCGGAGTAGCCGTGGGTCTGCTTAGTATCTTGGATAGTCGTATTGGACAGTAATTGAGTGTTGTTGTACAATCCAAGGGCAGCCAGGACCCCACTCATGTCGTTGTCATGGCTGAAGTCCGCATAGACCTTGCGATCAAGAGGGAACGTCGCCGGGTCGGAGTCGAGCGTCTGATTCGTGGTAGTATGGTCATCGACCGGCTTCTCGGTCAGCCGTGCTAGCAGCTCGTTTACATATCCCACTCCCTGCGTGGCACCAAGCGGGTTGCCCATGCCGTAACCGTAGAACTTGCCCAGGGTCTGGAGGTAGTCATACCTATGCCACTCCTTCTCAGTGAACAGAAGGCAGAAGTCTGACATCTTGGCGGTCGGATGCGCAAGGGTGTCGAAGGGACACATGTCCATCAAGTATACTATGGACGTGGCGCTAAGGTTGGTGCCCAGCGCCGAGTTGACGCGGTCCTGGATCGCTGGAACAAAGTGTGTGGCCCATACCTGCTGCGCTCTGTCACCGAGGTCATGACTAGGTCCGCTTTCAAATGCAGGGCAAATGTCGTGCGAGAGCGTGTTATTCCAGGCTGGGCCTTCGGGAATGATCACGTCGATCTTTTCAGGCTCTTTCTTCAGCGACAGCGCGACGCCCTCAAGCCACTTTTCACCCGACTCGACTACGCGGTCCTGTCCTCCAGCGCGCACAAATGGCACGTTCTTCTTGACCAACTTCTCATATCGGCGGTAAAAGTGGGCGCCTGAATTGATCATCTCTTGCCTCCCAGCATCCGTCAACTTATCCGCGCCCAATGTGTATTTGTAGTCCTTCAAGAACTTGAAATTGTCTGGATAGGCTGTGCTGGTATTCTGAATTTCGGCGATCAACAGGGCGTAGGCTATGGATTTGCCAAAGGTCGGGTCGCGGCCGCCATGCCGGGAGAGGACGTTCGCAAAGGTGACCTCACATCCTTTCGGGGGCGCGACATCGATGTCGGAAGGAACAGAGTACCAGAGCGAGTACTGGCCCCAGAACTGTGTGGTTTCCGGGCTGCAGCGGTAGCCATGGTCGATGGTGTCGCAAGTCTCGTTGCGCGACAGGGCGGCCACAAGGCTGGATGGAGTCAGTTGTAGATCGAAAGAGACACTGGTGGTGCTAAGCGAAAGCGCACCTGATGAGGCCATATATCCCGAGGAGACTCCCCATGACCTGCATTGCAAGAGTAGTCCGACTCGTTCTTGATGGCCAATGCTGTCTGGATTTGATGGGCGAAAGCGGCTCCTTTTCGCTCAGCGGGAGGTATGTGTAGTCCTGCGAGCGACTGCCCCGTATCCTATTCCAAGCGCGCGCCATCATATTGCCTCTATATGTGGTGTCCTGTAATAAGGTGGCAACTTGCAAATTGGGCAGGTGGAATAGTGGACTTCAACCGGGGACCTGGCAGGGCTTCATGTCGCGCACGTGCCGGTGGTGCAGTCGAGGGACGTAAAGATTTCTGTATACACACAGGGCCGAGGATGAAACAAGTAGGCGCTGAGAGTGTTGACTGCGCGCGAGATGGGAGCAGTACAACGAGCTGTGAACGTTGGTAGCCATCACGGTGTGCGTCGTCGATGAGGCCTACTAAGGTAGGACAGCCAATAAACTGCGGCAGCTAATAAACCACTTTAACTAAAGTCACCTATTTGCAAAAATAAAGCTATAAAGCTACTTATAAAAGTTAGTATTATAAAATTTTATAAAATATTAGTAAATAAAAACTTATAATTAATTTATATTATTTAAATTTTTTTAAAAAATTAATTTGGCAGTTGCGCGCAGTAGTTTTAAATAAAAGCTGCAATAGCTATAATATATTTAAACTACTATTTTTAGTATTTATAATATAATAATGCTTTACTACATTTAAATTTGCAAAATATAAAATTATTTATTTATATTTATTTACTTTATTATAAAGTTTTTATAAAATTATAGCTTTTTTTTTTTATTACTTTTATGCGCGCGTAGTAGCTTGTTTTTAAACTATTATTATATATTTTTTTATAATATACTTTTTAATAAGCAATTATACTATTTTTATTTTTTTTATAATTTTTTTTTTATATAATATTGCTGTTGCTTTTAGTTTTTTTATTTTTTTTTTTTAAAATTATTTAGTTTTATTTTTATATTATTTTATTATATTGCGCGTATAAGCTTCTTAAATAGTTTTTAAATTTTAAAATATTATAGTATTATAAAACTTTTTATACTATTAAAAATTTAAAAATTTATTTTTACTTTTATACTTTTTTTTAATTAAAAGCGCATTGCAAAAACCTTTATTTTTATAGTAAAAAAATTTATTTTATACTTAAAAAAAATATAGTATAAAGCTTAATTATTTAGCTTTAACTTTTGCTTTATTTTTTATAATAATTTTAAATAAATTATAAAGCTAGTTCTAAATATTTTTTTTATTATTTTTTTTATTTATTAATTTTTAATCTTCTTATTGTAATTATATTTTAAATTATTGCAGTATAATATTTAAGTTAATATTAAGTAGCTTAATACTTATAGCTTTAAATACTTTTTATATATTTATAAAAGTAAATATAGTATTATAAGTAGCCTAAAATAATAAAAAAAAATTACTTTTATTTATAAAAATAAAACTTTAGCTGCAATAAAAGTAGTATAAAAACTTAATTAAATAAATAATTAAAAAAAGTAAAAAAAGCACTATATTTAAAAGTTATAAACTATAAGTTAAATAAAAAAAAAATATTATTAAAAAAAATTTATTAGTATTGTAAAAGTTTATAAAATTAATAATAAAGTAGCTGCTATAGCTATTAAAAATAAAAATTTTATAACTTGCTTATGCTTTGCTTTTTATATGCTAATTAAAAATTTATTTAAGCTAGGCTAAACTAATATTATTATTAGACTATTTAAAAAAATTTATTATAAAAAAAATTTAGTATTTTTTAGCTTTTATATTGTGTAATTAAGTATTATAAAATTTTTTTTTTTTTTTAAAAATTATATTTAGATTTACTACGCTTTTATTTGCATAAATATATACTAAAATTATTATTTATTTTTAATTACTATTTTACAAAGCTACTATAATTTATTTTTATTTTTAAAATTGCTTTAAAAAAACTTATTTAAAGCATAAAGTAATATTAATAAAAAAAAAATTTATTTATATTATAAATATAGCGCGCGTTAATATTATATTTTTAAATTTTTAAATAAAAAAAATTAAAGTATAATTTATAATTATGCTTAGTATTAGTAAAAAGCTGTTTACAATTAATTTTAGTAGTATATTTAAAAATAAAAGTATTATAATATTTTTTAAAAAATTATAAAATTTATTTATTAGAAACTTTTTATTTTAATAATTTAAAGGCGAAATTTTTTATTATAGCTTTTATAAGTAAAAGCTTATAATTAAATAATCCTTGTATATACTACACAAATTTTAATTTTTATTATAAATTAAAATACATGCATTATTAAATTTTTTTTATATTTAATTATATTTTCTTTTAGTACTAATGCGCTAAAGTAATTTAATTAATACTAAATATTTTTGCAGCTGCGCAGTATAAAAATTATTTTTTTAAATTTTATAAATTAATTACTATAATTGCATTTAAAATTAAATTATTAATAATTAATATATTATAATTTAAAAATAACGTATTAAATTTATTTTAATATTAAGGTAGTTTATCGGCTGCCGCAGTTTATCGGCTGTCCCACCTCAGTAACAGGATGACGCAGGATGCCGAGGCTGCCAAGCACACGTCAAATAGAATGGTCAAACTTCATCTTTCTCTTGTCATACCCAGCATTGCGTGGATCGTCTCCTATCCATCCATCTATCCGTCGATACTTTGTGACTTATCTGCTCAGAGACGCCCTTGACGCGCACCTCAGAGCCGGCCCGAAGATGAGTGCGAACGCTACCGATTTCGGACAATGTTGAGGGGCCATGTCACCACCGCCCCGCCAGCAACCGATAGGGGAATTGATTGGACATATCCCCCATGTTCCCATCTTGAACACCCCGTGTTTAGGAACAAGGAGGCTTATCTGTGGAGTTGTGTGTGGCAGCCAACCGGCGAGGGAGGTTGGTGTTAAGCTTTGTCAAGCTTTGAGTCGCTGGCTAGACATGCCTATCATGGAAACGACGTAATGATGGCTTCAATGGCGGAATCGTCTCCGCGTCTCCTCTATAAACTCGTAGAGCCGCTTTCATGCTTTCCAATCTCACCCATACTGCCCGTCGACCTTGTCGGCTGTTACTATTACCATGAAGCCTGCCGAGCCGGGACGAATCGATGATGAAGCCCAACTCGAAGCCTTGGGTCACAAGGGCGAACTCAAGCGCAACTTCAGTCTTCTGTCCATGCTGGGGTTGGCATTCGCTATCCTCAACTCGTGGACAGCGCTTTCGTCATCGCTCAGTGTTGCGTTGCCCAGCGGTGGCTCGACAAGCGTGATTTGGGGCTTACTCACGGCTGGCATCTGTAACTTGGCGTTGGCTGCATCGCTCGCCGAGTTTCTATCAGCATACCCTACCGCTGGCGGACAGTGCGTACATTTCGGTCCTTTGCGAGATACGAGACTAACGAGATATGCAGATATCACTGGGTGGCTGTCATAACTCCTAAGAGATGGGTGCCTCTCGCCTCCTGGATCACTGGCTGGATTAACGTCTCTGGTTGGATTGCCTTGACAACTTCGGGTGGCCTGCTCGCTTCCCAACTCATCTCCGGTCTGATCGCCTTGTTTCATCCGGACTTTGCCCTTCGACCATACCAGGTGTACTTGATCTACGTTGCCTGGACGCTTATTGCCTTCTTTGTCAACGCTTTTCTGAACAGACTGCTGCCGTACATCAACAAAACGGCATTTATCTGGAGCATTGGCGGCTTTGCTATCATTTGCATCACCGTGTTAGCTTGCGCCTCGCCAAATTACGCTTCGGCAGAATTTGTGTTTACCAACTTCATCAACGAGACAGGCTGGCCTGATGGTATTGCCTGGCTCTTGGGATTGCTGCAGGGTGGCTTCGGGCTGACAGGTTTTGATGCTGTCGCGCATATGATTGAGGAGATCCCCAATGCTTCCGTTGAAGGCCCGAAGATTATGATCTACTGTGTCGCCATCGGGACCTGTACTGGCTTTATCTTTTTAATGGTCCTGCTCTTCGTTTCCGGTGGCAATACCGAGGCCATCATCTCTTCATCCACTGGTCCTCTTTTGCAGATCATGCACAACGCGACTAGCAGCCGCGCGGGAGCCACCTGTCTGCTCATGTTTCCACTTGTTTGCATCCTGTTCGCAGAGATCGCCATCATGACCACCAGCTCCCGCATGACCTACGCATTCGCTCGAGATGGCGGCCTTCCAGCCTCAAGAGTCTTCGCAAAGGTACACCCGCGCCTTGGTCAGCCGCTGAATGCTCTGATGCTGTCCGCTGGCCTGACTATCCTATTCGGATTGATCCTGATAGGCTCAAGCAGCGCGTTCAATGCTCTCATCGCCGCGTCAGTTGTTGCCTTGGGTGTGAGTTACGCCATCCCTGTCGCTATTAACGTCTGCCGGGGAAGAAAGATGCTGCCACCGAGGGCTTTTGCTTTACCTACTCCTCTCGGCTGGGCTGCTAATCTGCTTGGTATTGCGTACACAATTGTTACTACCGTGCTCTTCTTGTTTCCACCGGAGCGCCTAGTCACCACTTCGAGCATGAGTATGACATTCATACACCTCGTACAGAGTCACCGGCTAACAGGCACACAGACTACTGCGTTGTTGCATTCGGCATCATCTTGTTCATCAGCACCATACAATGGATCGTGGACGGCCGGAAGAACTTTACTGGACCCAGAACAGACATGGGAATAGAAGTGCTCGAAGCGATGAAAAGTCAAGAGCAGAGCGGCGCCGAGCCTAGACATCCCAAGGTCGCCGGCAAAGAATTTGGTAACAGTGAAGTAATTTAGAGGCCAAATACTCAATATGTCGTCACAATGTCCTCTGACCCATATAAACCTCGCTTCGATCGCTCCTTGTCCCGACTATTAATCGCGAATGGAAGTGGGCACGGGTTCCGTTGAATGATCACGTGCGCACGTCGCAATCCCACCTTTCACTCACTTTCCCTCAAATCGGCACCGCGCGGTGATGTCGCCAAGAGCCCTCCTTTGCACGTGGTAAACTTGCCCTTCGAATCACTTACTTTTGCATTGTCCGCCACCCAACTGCGCATCACACCCACCTCCCCTCGTGGCATCCTGAGACTGCGCATCATGTTCAACCCTTTCCGCCTTCTCAAAGGCCTTTGGACCACACCTACATCCGAGACGAGCCCAAGCCTTGCGGCTACATTGGAGGCGTCTTCCGCTACACAGAGCCCGACTGCCCAAGAAGCTTCCCGCCTTACAAATGCTACGCCGGTGTCTACGACCTTCGTCAACTACCCGGCTATCCGCAAGCTGAAGACCCAACCGGCAACCACGAGTGTTTTCTCTAAACCTACCTTCTCTTCTCACACTATACAATCATCACCAAATCCAATATTCGGTACGGCAGCCCTAGGTGGCGTTGCGCCGCACATCCAGCATCCTCCTTCCGCGCACACAGACGACATTGAGATGCCAGATGCAGACCCAGAATGTCTTCTGAAGGCACCGCCCGAGGAGAGCGACAATTCGTCCCCCTCCACCGACAGCCTAGATGGATCCGATACCCGCCGTGCTACATCTGAAGATGACAACACCGACAAGGTACCGGATGACACTTCTACAGGTACACCTGCTGAGGGCGACAATCGTCCTAAGCTACAGCCAAAGCGCCAGCAAGACCGTCATCACAAGCAGACAGCACCGAAGCTCAAGCGCGATTTTGCCGCCGAGATTGTCTATGAAGTTGGCAGTGAGGACAATCCCCTTCCTAAAGGCTATCTGGGGACATTCCGGGGCACACGTTGGTTCTCACCCGACTACAATGCTTGCCTTGAATGCGGGCAAGCTGGTGAGCATCGACTTGTATGTGGTCATTGGATCAAAAGTGCCGCGCCATGTGGTCTAAATTGCAAGACTGAGAAGCTCGACGAAGCGCCCTTCGTCTGTCCAACCTGCCGCGACATCGTCCAGGATATTCTAAGCAACAAACTCACGGGCACCGAAATAACCAAGTTGAACGGGCTCAAAGTGAAGGACAACTCGTTGTTGATGGGCTATTGTGTGGAGTATGTCACAAAGCGCGTGCCTGAGCTCAAGGCAAATATCACTGAGACGGTTTTCAGCCTTCTACGAAATGATTATGGGCGTATCTGTGAGGCCTCGGATGGTCCAGTACCTGCGAAGGTGCCATCATTTGAGCAGACGATCCGTGATATGCAGGAAGAGCAAGAGCGCAAAGAGCGGGAGCAGTTGGCAAAGGAGAATCCACTTAACAAGCATGATAAGCGCAGATGCGTCTCTGATGACGACCCAAACGTCCAGAACGCGACACAGGCCCCAGGCAGCACGCAAGTTCAAGACGACACCCCGGAAGCTGCACAAAACAGCTCCACATCTTCTAATGGCAACAAGAAGCCCAAGAAGAAGCTCGAAACCCATCGCGAGCCCATATCCTCTCAGACCTGCGGTTCGAAGCGTCCTTCTTCTTCCCCCGATGCCGATACAGGCAGTCCTGTGTCGGCCAACAAGACCAACAAGAAACTCAAGGAGAAGCTCGAAACCGTCCGCGAGCCGATTACTCCACAGACCCGGGGCACAAAGCGCCATTCACTGACATCTACCTACGTAGCCCCTCCCTACTTTACCAAGAAGATCGCTTTGAATACGCCGCCCACGTTTGGAGATGCATCATTCATGGTACCGCACCCCAGCGTAGTGGGTCCGTTGATTAGGAAGCGCGACTCGGCCGTCCACATTGAGACCGGCATCGAGACGGAGGTTAGGAAGCGCCGCCATAGTGCTATAATCCTAAATGGCAAGGACGCGGAACCATCGTTCAATATCTGGAAGCCCCGCGCAGGATTGGAGGAGCCGATTTGGGCTGGAGAAGAGGAACTCTGAATGAGAAGATAAAGCAACGTGGAGAATAGGAGACGGCCCAAATCGAGCAATGTGTTAAGAGATACAAGGGGTGATCATTTAAGAATGAGTTGTATACAACGAAGTGGTTGTGTAATGCTATACTCGAATGTGCAATCTAGAACCCATACTTATGTTCTAGATAGGTTACAATATGTCAGTAGCTCAAGCAAATGACGTTTTAGTTATGACTTTCCACAGTATGCCCGAGATGCACATGACAGAATTACAATCCGTCAGTCAGCAAGGTTCCTGGGTACGCTCGGCTCCGAGTGCTCTCTGCTGACACCCACGAATCTAGTCGCCAACATACACGCCTTGCATAGGTCCGCACCATGCACAGAACTCCAGTTCCCCAGAGTAGCCAACCAGGTCTCTCGCCAATCGCTCGTGATGGAAATGATGCAGACACTACCGCTTTCCAGAAAACATCCCACCGTTTCATACTCATGGCTCATGTCTAGTCGCGAACAATCTCGGTAGACAGGAGTAGTTTAATACATGAATGAAGTCCGAGGTGCGCCTGGTGCGGCGCTGATGTGAGGTTGTGTCTTATTGGCCCAGGACGTTAAGCGAGGGTGTAATGGTGTGCGTCGGGGTCTTACAACAGCCAGACCGCTAGTCATGTACATCAGGTGTTCGTTGCATGGAATTATTTTATCGCGCATCAACGGTGAGTATAGAAAGATGGGTAACTCATCGCCCATTGTGAACTGCGAAAGGTCGATCCTTTATCGCAACTCAGCGTGGGTGGAAAGGGGCGCGCAATCATCTTGTCACGTATTTGATAGGAAAGATAGGTATTGCTAAGTCCTTTTCCTATTCCTGGATATCGATTTTCTAACTACGAAAGTCACTATACATAGATTAGCTAAAAGACGTCCATCCACCCACCATGGCGCGCCTCCGCGTCTGGCTACGTGACCATGTGCTCAACTTCCTGCGCGACCCGCACCCGGAGAAACGCAGCAGTTTCCGAAGAAGCATCATGATCTCAGCACCAGTCCCGCTAGGCTCACTAGCAATTGATCTAACCTCGGACCCACTCCCAACAACCTCTCCATCAGTCCAAGACGGGACAGACCCACACTCACCCCGTCAATCAAGGCCCATGGGCGCAGACCACATCAACCCACAATCTATTCCAACAACCATCATGGAGCACGAGCAGCCACTCGACCTACCTCCGACTTACCTCCCAGAAATCTCAGAAGTCTCCGAAGAACCGGAAGCCATACAACACGCAGAATCCCCCGCGCGCCGGCCAACGAGGAACTTCAGCCGTCGGTTTTCAAGCCGCTTTAGTGCTTTCTCTGGGCATTCGGTTAGCTCGTACGGATCATCCAACGAGGCAAGGAGAATGAGCCAGATGAGTGCGGCTAGTAGTACAATGAGCAAGCCAGATGCGCTTGGAGACGAATGGGTGGGAAATAAACTGAGTCGGAGGTGGAGTGATAGGATGGGTGGGGCGTTGGAAATGTATGGGATGCATACTAGGAACTTCACTCCGTTGGCGATTGCTTGAGTTTGGGTTGGTGTGGGCGTGGCAATCTTTTGGGGGGTTATGCGTGAGGGTTGGGTTTTCTTAAGATTAGTGAATAGCTTTACTTGCGCAATTGGAGAATCCCACAGAGATCCCTCTTTAGTTTTGTTTCAATATACTTATTATGAGCTACAGGACTGTTTACCAATGGACCAATTTCTATGTCTTTGAAACATGGCCATGTCAAAGATGTTGACGTATCAAGGTCCACTTTTCAGAGAAGCAGATTGTAGTATCATTCAATATATACCAGACACTGACTGCTCTAGCCTTGGTCATCTGCCATACTATGGAACTGTATATTGTACTAAGCCGCGCATGCTCGCGACTCTTCCGCCACATAGATCGAAGGTATCGCCAGCGGTATATTAGACCATTTGCAAAACCCTCTCAGTCGAAGCTGACTAGTGAGCACCTCCAGTGTACGGCACCATACCCTCAAACATGCCCACACAGTCATTCAACGCACTCTCATCTGCCAGCAACTCCTTCTTCAGCACGCCCTCCATAAAGCACTTGACCGCATGGTTACCCCACGGCCCGCTACCTCCCAGCCCCTTGCCCTGCACGTGCTTCATCCCACCCTCGTTATGTGCCAATTCGACAATAATGGGCAAGTCTGAAAAGTCGAAGATGTCGGAATTTTGCAGATCGAACTCGGTCGCCGGGCCGGTGAGATGGGACCAAGTAGTAGGCCAGTGGATGTCGTCCTGGCGACGGAAGTTGGCGCGGCCAAAGAAAAAGATGGGTGCTGCGCGGGTTGATGTGTTGAGCAGAGGAGGCGTGCCGGAGAGGTTGATTGAAAAGCGAACGCGCTTATCTGAGAAGCTCAAGCTTGTAGCGACTGTGCCACCCAGGCCATGGCCGACGATGCTGTACGAGGAAGTGTCGAGGGGAGAGCTGAAGCCCAGGAAAGGGAATTGCTGCTTCAGCAGGGAGACGGAACCAAGTTGCGAGAGGGCGAACTTGATGTCTTGGGTACGCATATCAAGGACCTGGGTGACTGTCCCGTTCCACGGATTGATGGGTGAGAGGTTTGAGAGTGCGACGTTCCCGCGGTTGTAGACCGTCGCCAAGGAGCGTTTGCGAGAGTACGGGAACTGGACGATCGAGGCGTCGCCAGGGTGGTCGATGAGCACGACTACGGCGCCATTGGCGCTCATGTAGCGGGCTAGATTGGCGTAGAGAAACCTACTAGTGTCGACATGTGGTTCGAGGATGACGACGGGGTACTTGGACGCGTCGATGTCCATGGTCGCGCCACAGCAGCTCATGTATTCCATCTGCTCAAAGACGCCCTCGGTTGCGTTTAGCAAGAACTGCTGGTCCGCGACTTGAGCGGTCTGGGGTGGCATGTATGAGTTCTGGCACGCATATGAGCAGTACGTCCTATTGACTGGCATGAACAGGCTGAGCATGATCTTCCGGTCTTCGGTCGGCATGTACGGGTCCTTGTGTGCAGTGTCGGTAAGTGAGAATTGAGCGACTGCGACCTCGAATCCATGGGTCTTCGTGTCTGGAGGTGGTATCAAGATGGCGCGGCTGCTCTGAAACAGAGCAAGCAGCACGACCAGTGCGATAGACATTGCCGAAATCATGGTGAGGAGGACAATCGGGATACGTCCCTTGGTGTCGTCAATTAGTAAATTGATGTTGTTGTTGGTGAGTTGCAGGTGCGGAGGTAAGTTGAGGCAGCTGTGTGATCGGAAACTTGCGATCCAGCAAAGTTGAGGAACAAAGGATGAAGCTGAAATATAAGGAAAGGTGATTCCAGACTTGCCTACAAAAACCCGATAGCTCGTTTCACCGTCACGATCCTCTCACCAACCCACGTGCCGTCTAAAAGCGGAACCCTGGGAGCTCGTGACCAAGTACCTAGCGGCGTTTGCTACAATTTCACACAAACCCGGCGTCCAGATGGGTACTTAAGGTCTCCAGCCCTTGCCCCAAAGTGGGTATCTCTAGTTACAACCGAAAGTGGTACGAGATTAAGCGAGGTTACAGATTGGGTTTTTTTTGTAAAGGGTTACCCCTAAATCTACGAACAAAGAAACTTGCTTACTGCATATCTTCACTCTTCTACTCGAAAGAGCAGACTTCGACCGGAAGCTTATGCACTGAAAGTTGCAGCGTGCCGTATTCTCAGTATCCCATATCACCGATTTCTATACCACTCTTGATCCAGACAACTTCCCACATCTTACACTATCCATTATCTTCATTCAACCTCATCCGAAGCCAAGTTTCGTAAACGTCGAAGAAGGTTCCAAAACATCCAGCATGCGGACTCTGACCGCTAGCTTCCTTCTCACTTTCCATCTTCGTCTCCTAAAACTCGCTCGCAGCTCCTGGTCGTTCTATCCCTAGATTGGACAGGCTAGCTGGTGTAGCTTCGTCTACGCCCTGGTCAGCCCTCGCAAAACCGCCTCCAAGTTCTTGATCTTCTGGTTGATGTTAGCAAGGCCTAGGGTCCGGTCGATGTTGACAGTACTTCTAGTCGCGCTCCCCGATGCTCCAGTCCAAGGAATTTCTGAAGGATACTGGCAGAGGGATGTTGTCTGCGGTGAGTGACTGGGAAGTGACTGGGAGTATGGTCGAGTCCAACACCTTGATCCATCCTCGTGGAGAGGTCAGGTAAAGTTTCGAGAGCGTCAGGTTGCCTCGCCCACTCGCGCACGCGATCCTCGTCGCGCGATTGCTTCGCTTCCAAATTCCGCAGCTTCCTTGCGTTCACGTTGTTTCCAAACACATCGTAGTTCGACTAGGCCTTTCTTAGCGAAGCTATCCGCCTTTGCGTAGTCTTCCGAACCTGGCCAATCCAAGACTCGAGCATCTTGGCATGCACGACTTCTTTGGCCTTGGGGGAGAGCTTCGTATCATCGTTGTTGGGCGCTGCCGTGGGCGGTGGTCTGGCCTGATCAGCGAGTGGTGCCGCAGGTGATGGATCTATATACTTCTCCCACACTCTCACCTATCCATCCTATACATCCTGTACACCCTGTACACCCTCATTCTCAAGAAGACTGAGCAGAGTACCGCCGACCCAGCGCTCGTTCGGAGACTCAAACTGTTCCGAAGTCTTGTGCTCAGGCACAGCCAGACTACGGAAAAGTTGCTGCTCACCTTCTTGTGCTTCAGCTTCATTCCCCTGCGCAGGGGTTTCCGCCACTTGGGATGTGATCTTTTGCCAAAGGCTTGCTTGTTCCAGCTCAAGCTTAGCCTCTACTTTGGCGAGGAAGTCGCATGTGCTTCCTGTCTTCGCGTCTGCGATGCTCTGTTTAAGGTCTGCAATCTGCAACACTCGCACATCATATCTTCGGCGTGTCTCCAAGAGGAGCGGGTCGATCGTCACGTTTCCGGGTGTTGCTGATGCTGGTTGGACGACTTCCATATGAGGCTCATCCGCCGCGGGCTCCTTCTGTGTCTGGCCTGGTTTGGAACTCGAAGACTCGCGAGTTTCACCGCCGAACGACCCGGGTCCGCTGTCGTCATGACTGCCGTGACTGTGAGTTGGTGCTGTTTCTACATGTCGTGGGGACGGTGTAGCTTGATTTTGCAAGACAGGTTGCTGCAGTGAGTCATCTGGCTGGTGTTGGGTGTCGTCTTCTTCGGAACATGGTGTCCGCCGAAGCTCCGGCATGTGCTGTGCCATCCTCGAGCAGTATGACTGGTCCCTTCTCTGCTCAGTCTGCATGAGGTCCAGATCGCGTATCATCTGAAGTTTTCGCTCGCTAATCTTTGCAATCTCAAGCCTCAGATCAGCTATTTTCTCGCCCCGCTGCCTGATATGGAGCTCTAGGGCCGCCACTTGCTGATCGAGAGAGCTTCCTTCAAGTGGTGCGTATGTAGGAACATCATCGCTCAGGTCAGATACCTCTGATGCTGTAACTTCCCCGAAATGCTCATCGAGCTCACTGTCCTCATATAAGCGCCGATTCTGAGTCTTTCTCCGCTCCTCCAATCTGGTAGGGACGTCATAGAAATTTCGATTGGCCCGCCACAACCACTCATCAGCCCAATCTGATCCAAGCTCTTGCCACGTCGTGGGAACATCGGCGTGCGTCATCACTCTAATCTCCTCCTTGGTGGTAGCATATGAAGCAACTTGCTGTTTGACCCCTAGGGTGGCTGCTTCATCGGCCATGGCGTTTCCATCGCTTCCTGAGTGACCTTTCACCCAGACGAGCTGGACCCGAATGCCTTGGGCACTTAACCATTCCGCTCGCTCGTACACGGCTTGTAGCGCCATTCTCTCCTTCAACATTGGACCCAGCGTTTCGCACGTCCTATTTCTCAGGCCCTGCAAAATGCACAAAGCATCCGAGAAGATCCTAACCAGCTCGATCCTTGTGCCGCGTTCGACCTCCTTCTTTGCCTTACCCAAACCCGCAGCAATGGCGAAAACCTCCGCGTCTCCGCTGTCTCCAGTGTCTCTTCCAAGTCTATAACTGGCAGTGTACGTGTGTTGGTTGTCCTGCCAGACAACGCCTGCGGCTAGGATTCCCTTTCGAAGAGAACCGTCGACCCAATATACAGCGGCCCGACCCTCTTTCCAAGCTTCTTTGATATCGGATAAGCGAAACGCGTCCGCTTTCCGTGCATCGTCAGCGTCTGGGAGGATTATTTGGCCGGCGAAGGTGCAATCGTCAGGTATGGTTGAAATGAATAGCCTGCGTCTCCTACTCCTCGCCTCACTGTGTAACGTCTGCCATTCCGCGCGGGTGATATGAACTAATTTGAATTGTCCGTGCTTGCGGGTGCGGATTTGAATGCGGATTTTGGGTATAGTCGGCGGCAGTTGAACCTTGAAGTCGTCTTCGTGTAGTAGATGGGCGCGTTCTAGATAGCTTTTAAGACCTGGTCGGACCTTGGCAGTCCTATTTTTCGCCCGTGTCATGTTGTCTCTCTTGTCTGGCGTAATATAAATGGCTTTCTTTGGTCAAGATTGAACGTATTGTCGGTAAACAAAGTGTGCGTGGAGGACGGAGAGCTCATTGCGCGTGGCCACGTGTTGTGCGCTTGGCAGCAAACGACGAGTGCCTAGTCACAGCAACGCCCAATGCAGCAGATACCTAGTTAGGGGCGAGATGCTAGATTGAACTGAGCGTTGTTCTAGTGGAGTTAACCAGTCGAGTGTTTGTTGACCAGTCCCTTGCGAGAGGGACGTGAGAATAATAAAAAAGTTGTAAAGCTCGGAGAGCTCTCTGCAGATGAGGGAAGTGAGCAGTGAGAGAACGCAGAAAGCACGACTGACAACAGCTGCCTCACCAGGTCCAGAAATGTAGTAGTAAAATGGAATCACTAAAAACCGAGGAAAAGAACGACTTGAAAAAGACGAGAAGTAAGTGATGTGAGAGTGAGAGCAACACAAGCAAGAAGAAAAGGACCACCTACACAAGACTGTAAAATCACTACGTCTCCAGAGAGAATACGAGTGCACGCGCACACGGTTAGTATCCTCAGACCTACTCGTTGCACTTGATTCATCATTGGGTATATCTCTTCTCTTCTCTCCTCTTGCACAAGCTCACCCTCCTCCCAACCCACAAGCCTTTATCCACAAACCAAGCCCTCCTTAGGCTCCTCCACAACCTCTCCATTCCCTAAACCCTCCTTCTCCACCCTCCCACCAGGCTCAAGGCCCACAGCCTCGACCTCTCCATCATCCTTTTGCACAGCTTGTTCAGCTTCCTGTTCCAGCTTCTTCTTCTCCTTCTTACTGACCGTCATGCTTCCTTTCTCAATGGCTTCTTTCGGTAGCGGTCGTACGTAGGCCTGGCAGACCCAATAAGGGCGTTTACATCGGGCGACGGTGGCGAGGGAGGACTCGTAAGGGTCTAGTTCTTCTACTGCTGCTTCATTCTCTTCGGTGGTGGTGGGCTTGGGCTCAGAGGTGGTGCTGTTTGTAGTGTTGGCGTGCTCATGCTCGTACTTTGAGATACCCTCCTTGACAGCTTTTTCCGTAAGCGTGAGCACGTTTTCGAACGCATCAATATCACCCGTTCTTGATCGCGCAAGAGCGTCACGGACATTGTGGTGTTCGGCGACGAGTGGTCGTAGGAGGTGGAAGAGATGTGCTTGCATAGCCGTCAGGTTCGGATTCGAGGTCTTTTCTTTCTTCTTCTCAGACTTTGACATCTGCTTCCTCTTCTTCCTTGGTGGGCCGTCCTCCCCTTCTTCCTCTTCCGCTCCGTGCTCTTGCGCTGGTGGCTCTTCGGGATCTCCTGGCATCCATAGCGGTCTTCTTTCTGGTGGTTCCTGGCCCAGTGCATATTTGTGTATAATGTCCAGGTAACGCCTCATCACAGCGTCCATTCTGTACCCGCCCTTCCCGTCTCGTCCGCGCCAGTACTCTCGTCCTTCTTGGCCTGGTAGAGGTGGCTCGGCGAATATGGTTGGATCGTAAAGATTTCCCTCTGCGCTCATGACGCCATCAGCACCTGTTGCTTCTAGACATGCCGCAATATCGTCATGCTGTAGAATATTTCCATTCGCGAAGATAACCGTCTCCTTGGGCAAACTCTCTCTCAGGTGGCGAATCATTGTCCAGTCCGCCAAACCAGTATTGTGACCCTTTTGTTCTCTCCGCCGGCCATGTACGGTGATGATGCTCGCGCCGGCGTCCAGAAGTGTTTTCGCGTATTGCAGTGTCTTTTCCCGCGTCTCGAGAACTCGCATTTTCGCCGTAACGGGGACGTCTAATTCGTCGTGCAGTTTCCGAATCATGCTCGCAATCAAATCCGGTTGCTCTTGCAAGAAGGCGCCGTATTTGCCCCTCTTCGCGATTCCCTGCGGACAGCCCAAGTTCAGGTCCACTGCATCGCAGAAGGGCGCAACATGCCTTGCCGCATTCAGTAGGTCGTTCGGGTCGTTCGAGCAGAACTGCACTGTGAGCGGTCTGTCGAACGAGGGATTTCCATCGAGATGTCTTTCCTCCTCTTGCAATTGTGACATGTGGTACTCGTCCACGGGTGACGGAATTGTGGATTTGAGAGGTTGGAAGTGTGTATCGCGGTAGTTGCTTTTCTCACTGAACATCTTCGAGTGAAACATTGGCGTGTATGCTAGTAGGGCGTTCTGCTGGGTTGGTGGGAGGAAGGAACGTGACAGCATCCGCCATGCCTAGGAGAGCCATGATGTTAGCCAATCAACCTAGATGGGTAGAGGAAAGGAGGGGTTGAGGAGACGTACGAACTCTGACTGTTCGACCATGGGCGCCAATACAAGCTTCGGGCTGCCGATGCTCTCGTAGAAAGCGCGCCCATGCAGTTTCCTCCGTTTCCCATTCTCTTGTGGTACCCCATTACCATTCTGTACTACGGCCGGGGCCATCTTTGCGTGTGCCCCGAGACTTGTCTCAGTCGCTATGACTGCAAAATATCGCCTCAACGATCGCAAAGTCCTCGTGGGGGCAGTTGCGCCCCCGACAGCCTGCAACAGGAGGGAGCGTATGGCGTCGAAGACGTTAATTCATATGCAAACGGCAGGGATCTGGCAAAGGCAATCGGAGGTCGGCTGTTTTCATAAGTCTGGTTATGTCTTGAATAGCCTCATCGCCTTCGAAAAAACGACATTCAGGTCCACAGCTGTAGCCAATCGGAGAACGCCAGCGCTCCGAACATGGTTCAAACTCCACAGTTGTGTTACACCATCATCGATTCCTGCCAGACATGATCTACTTATATGTATATTGCTCTTTTCTTCTCCTTCCTTTTTACTCTCATATACTAGCTGCTCCGTCTTCGCCCCAGGTGGTCCCGTGTTCCAATATATCAACATGGGTAGTACTCAACATGGCCTAGGTGCAAGGGGCATGTACGACATCGCATTGTCCAAATCACTTTGACTCAACAGTTATCACGCCATCAGGGTACTTACAGACGTCACAGTCACAAAGAGGCAATGAGTTTGGTTTTGCAAGTTGAACTGATTTACATTTCAGTAATCACGACGCCCATTACCCGACCGATCCGGCCGCAACACCAATCTATACGCCATGCGAGCCATAGCTCTAAAAGACACAGCAAACGCTAGTAAGCAGCACCTGCCAAATAAAGCCAGACAGCCACCGAAATCACAAAGCATAAAACTCCGACTGTCATGCTTCACCTCGATTCACGTCACTTCGTCCCCGATCCTCGACCGATACCGTCTAGAAGTGGCAATGGAATCGACAATCATTGTTGGATATCTCATCGGCCGTAGCACAGTTGGCATCCGCGATGGGAGGCTACTGCTGTCTATGGATGCCATGAAGCGGCGGAATGAAACGCTGAATCGCATTGAAGGTGGAATGCCACCCATGCGTGAATGCAGGACGCCGATGCTATGCAGGTATGCAGATGCTTCAAAGCAAAATCAATATGTAAAAGGTGGAGAGCCCGGCAGGTCGAGATAGTAGCCGTCCGGATATCATCAAAAGGAGGAAATAAGTGGCAGACAGGTAGGTCTGTCGAATGTTGGAGACGTGCAGGCAGCAGTCGATGCCTGATACACGGAAAGCGTGCTCAGAAGGTGCTCCAATTCCAAGCGCCTTGGAAGCTCTGCGCCAGACTACCCACTCGCTGGTTTTCCGGACGCTTCGCGGGCATTGCGGGTACAGGCGCCTCGATCGCGGCGACGCTGCTACCAGAGCTCTCGCTGTTGGTGCGGCTCGATCGTAGATGCTCCCATTCACGGAATGAACTGTGGCAGCGATCGCAAGCACGGTGCCACAAGCCGTCGGGATGGAATCGTGCTAGCTCGTCGAGCCGAACCTGGTTCGCCGAATGCTGCCAGCAGAAAATGCCACCGCACTTTCTACAGTGATGGCGACGCTGGAAGAAGCCAAATGGTTCCTGGCAAGAGGATGCCGAGCATATCGCAGTGGAGGTATCCGCCTAAATAGAGTCGTCAGTACGATTGGTCAAGAACGGCTGACGATGCGAGAGTTGAAATGAGGCCGAGGTGAAGACTGCGAACGTCGACCCTGCATCGGGTAAGGCTCCTAGTGTGGGGTACACCAAAGCATGTATGTGACCAGATATGAATTGCCGAACATGGAAGAGGAAAAACATCAAAAGCCGACGAACGCGGTTCCGCAATATGGTCGATGTGCAGCGATGTTGATCCTTCGAGTTCCGCATTGCATCTCAACATGTTGAGATGGCGGGCGCGGCGAGGCGCTCAGCATCGGCAACCACGCAGACGGAGATGCCCAGACCCATGCAACGCTAGCGGGATCCACTCCGAAAGTACGTAACAGCGTACCGCGCCAATAGTAGAGGGCACGCGACTAGGGAAGGAAGATGGAGCAAATAAGAAAATGGAAACAACATACCTGCCAGTGGTTGCGCGTAATGGGACCAGTAACTGGAGAGAGTGGGACGTCGTTGTAGAGGCTCTGCATGTCTTCATTGCCGATTTGAGAGACGGGTGTTGCGCTGCCGTCATTCGCGACTTGACGGCAGGCACCGTTGGTAATCCAGCCGTTGTTTGGAGAGCCAACGCCCGAGTCTATTCTCGGTGGTGATTTGCCGCCTGGCTTCTCCGTCCTCCGCAGCGCTGCGGGTATACCGATGGCGGTTCTAGGCTGGTAGATGCCCTGATGGCGGCCGAGGGGCAGTTGTGTAGTCCGCGGCGAGGTGGGCGAGACATTTATGTTTGTGTTGGAGGTCGAGCCGGTGGGGGAATACTGCGCCGACTTGCGGTAGGCGTGGTGTTGATACGCTGGGGGTTGCGGAATAGCGGTTGCGGTGGAGAAGGTCGTGGCCATGTTGGCGGTTGAGGTCGAGGTCGAGGTCGAGGTGAGGAGGTAGAGTGGAGGGGGACGACGAGTTTCTGGCGAGGGGTTTACAGTATCTCCAAGGTGGCTGATAAGGGCGAGGCAGGCGGTGAAGGTGCAGCGGTGGTCGGAGATAGTCGAGGAATGTACCTATCGCAGCAGGCGAGCGGGCGAGCGAGCGCAGCGCAGCGACGACAATGCTGGCAGGCAATCAAGATTGGTGCAGTAGTGCAACCGAGGGCGCTGGCTGACAGGCCTGAAGAGGACGCGTGCGGCTCTGTGTTGGAGTTGAGGTTGGGTGTCAATTGGTAGCTGACACACGGACGGGCGATAAGAGGACGGGAAAGCGGTGATACAGCAGACGAGGCACGCCGGGGCCACAGAGTCGACACCGTCGGAGTAGCTCAGCGACGCATGGTTCAAGATTCAAGATGGAGGGAGGGAGAGAGAGAATATGTGTCGCGTGAGGAGTGCGGAGGAATGCCGGGGGTGAGGCTCTGGGGGCCACGATGAAGTTAAAGCCAGCGTCTTCTTGCAGGTAGTAATTCCCTACAGCGGATTGATGGCGAGCGAGGGTCCGAACTAGCCTCGCCCGAAATGGGACATGGCCGTTTCTTGGCGGGGTTATCATCGGCGCGCAACCGGCCACTTTGATCACTTTTATGGGTAATCACAGAGAGGCGGGCGGGCCTGCGTCCGACTCTTGACACTCTTCTGCGCTCCCACAAAAGCCGTTGCAAGACGTTGCAAGTGCCAGACAATATTCTCCGCGAGTGCCAGCTAACTGCCATGTCGCCAAAAAAGAAATAAACGCCTTCTCGGCTATTGCGCGCCCCTCCCTCCCCCCCAAAGCGAGCGAGCGTTGTCGACAGCCACTCTCTGGCAGCGGCCGCGGTGGTTACATGCCCCACTCCCTTCCTCTTTAGGCCCTGTTATCTCCAGCCAATGGCACGCCGTCGCATTGTCAAGCGCTCGATTCGACGTCTCCGAGGGCCCTCACCGCATCTCGATGGAGGCCGATCGCTGCGTCAGGCGCAGAGCAGGAGATGAGCTATGATGTAGCCAGAGTGCCTGAGCGGCTCTGATCGATCGAGCATCGATGGACAAAGCTGCAGAAGTGGTGGTGGTAGTGGTGGTAGTGGTGGTGGTTGCCACACGGCCACCCAGCCGCGAATGGCGCACTGTCCGCGCTGTGAGAGGCGAGACGTGTGCAACTGGCGGGGCATGCCACTAGCTGATGCAACATGATTATTATTATGGATTATGATTTTTCCTAGGCGCAAACCCTCCGACTGCAAATAGTGATCTGCCCTCCTCCCAGTGGGTCCAGGCCAGAAGGAACCATGCGTCCATTAGATCCATTACGTTCAATCCACCTGCCTGTGCAAAGCGTCCCACCTTCAGTATGACTTTTCAACCATGTCCTCAAGTCAACTTATCCACGGCTTCGACAAATCTTGGCCCTCGGTAGGTAGGCCAGGCATGACGCGGTGGCGCAGGCTGCACCCTGTGGCGTCGGAAAATGCGCCGAGGCTCACATGCCACAGGCGATGCGACTCGATCAACATGCGACTGCTGACAATGCGGGGAAACGCCCTGAATCTGGGGATTAAACATGGTCGTTTGCGTCCCTGATGTATAGTGAATCCATTCTGGATCCATTGGCGGATTCTCTTCGCTCCTCGCCAACAGCGCTCGGGAATAGTAAAAGGGGCGAACATGTCGCCTCTCTCGCCGAAAGCAACCCCTCTGCCTCCGCTTCCATCTGACGATCCGCTCACAGCAGCGCAATGGAAGACCCTACTTGCTATAACCGATGCCATCGTTCCAGCCATCAAACCCATATCCACGGCAAACACGCAGACTGAGATCGCCGTGGCGGACAATGCCTACTCGACCGCTGTGAGCAAGCTGCAAGCATGCACGCCGGCGAACGATCCTGATGCGGAGACGGCGGCCAAAGACTATCTAGACGACTATGCCTCCAAGGATCCGGCGTTTAAGCTGGCCTTGACGAGGATACTCGCCATTTACTTGCCCCAGAGCCAGAAGAATGAGATCACTATGGTCTTGAACATTCTGAACACGAGGGCTGGCTCGTTCGCCCTCACTGGGTACCTTACCCCCATTAGTGAGCAACCCGCCCATATCAGAGAGTCCATCATTCAAAGCTGGGCGACGGCGAGGCTTGGTCTTCTCCGCCAACTACATAAATCTTTGACTGTTCTCACCAAGCAGACATGGATCAAAATCACACCGTCTCTACGCCGCGTGCTAGGTGTTCCGCGCGTACCGATTGGCATGAAGTCTGGCAAAGGGTACGACTATGAGTTCATCCAGTTCCCGCCCGGTGACAAGCCAGAAGTCATCGAAGTAGATGTAGTGATTGTTGGGAGTGGCTGTGGAGGTGCCGTCAGCGCCAAGAATCTGGCAGAAGCTGGTCACAATGTCCTGGTCGTAGAGAAAGCCTATCACTGGACGCCAGATCACTTTCCAATGAGCGAGGCCAATGGCTGGGATCACTTATTTATGAACGGGGCCTTCATATCCTCCGACGACAACTCACTCAACGTAGTAGCTGGACAGTCTTGGGGCGGTGGTGGAACGGTGAACTGGTCTGCTTCTCTCCAGACCCAAGGCTACGTCCGTCGTGAGTGGGCAACCAAAGGCCTACCGTTCTTCACGTCGGCCGAGTTCCAGGAAGCCTTGGATCGCGTGTGTGGCCGTATGGGCGTCTCCACCGAATACATCAAGCAGAACCGCAGCAACGAAATCCTCCTCGAAGGCGCCAGGAAACTAGGCTGGTCTCACAAACCCGTGCCACAGAACACTGGAGGAAACCAACACTGGTGTGCTCATTGTACGTTTGGCTGCGGGTCCTGCGAAAAACAGGGCCCTGTCGTATCTTACCTTCCTGATGCAGCCCACGCAGGCGCAAAGTTTGTTGAAGGTTTCCATGCCGAGAAGATTGTTTTTGCAAGCAAGGGCGGAAAACAGGTTGCTACAGGGGTCCTCGGCACGTGGGTATCTCGTGACATTCACGGCGGCGTCGCTGGCTCACCCTTGACGCGGCGAAAGGTCCTCATCAAGGCCAAACGTGTCATCGTCAGCGCTGGAAGCATGCAGTCGCCCCTCCTTTTACTCCGCTCCGGTTTAAAGAACCCCCAGATTGGACGTAACTTGTACTTGCATCCTGTCACTATGCTTGGCGCCTTCCACAAAGAGGAGATCAAGCCCTGGGAAGGCGCCATCTTGACGTCGGTCGTGAGCGAGTATGAGAACCTAGACGGGAAGGGACACGGCGTAAAGCTGGAGGCTACTAACATGATGCCCTCGTCCTGGCTCATCTGGCTCGACTGGAAAAGTGGACTGCAGTATAAACTCGACGCAGCGCGGATGAAACACATGACAGGCTACATCTCCATCTGCCGCGATCGTGACACTGGTCGTGTATACCCAGATCCCGTCGACGGGAGAGTTAGATTCCAATACTCGACGAGTAAGTTTGACAAAAGACACCTCCTAGAAGGGCTTATCGCGCTCGCGAAGATCCAGTACGTCGAAGGGGCAAGTGAGATGTTTACAATTATACCTGGCATGCGGCCTTTTATCCGCGATCCGTTAACGCCTCCTGGTGAGGGGATCAACGACGAGAAGTTTCAAGCCTGGCTCGATGAGATTAGGGCGCGGGGCTTCCCGACGCCGGAGAATGGATTTGTGTCTGCGCATCAGATGGGGTCGAATCGCATGAGTGCGGTGGAGAGGGACGGTGTTGTTGATCCTGAGGGGAGGGTCTGGGGCACAGAGGGATTATATGTGGCAGATGCAAGCATCTTTCCTAGCGCGAGTGGGGTCAATCCCATGGTTACGAATATGGCGATTAGTGATTGGATTTCGAGGGGCATTGCGAGGGGTTTGGAAGAGAGGCCTCGGCTTTGAGTAGCCTTTGGAGCCGTATAGTGTTGGATAGTATCGCGAAGGTGACGTAAAGTTATGATATCCCATTCAAAGTCTACCGTCCAAAAGGCTTGGTCAGAAGTGGTATAATCACGTTGCTTGGGTTGTTGTGCTGGCTACATTACCGTTACCCAGCTCGACGTTATGATTGAACCCTCTTACTAGCGATATCCACCTACAATAGCAGGTTGTCGGTATGTGTGATTAACACGCTATAGACTAATTAGACGGTTTTTGCAGTTTCAGCACGGGTGCTTGGCCAATCGTTGAACTCGATAGGCGGGACATCAGGGTCCAGCTTGGCGTAAGACACGTCATAGCTAGATATGAGTGGGATGAAATTTCGTTCCAGCCTCACTCGTGGAGACCTCTGAACCCTTTGGAGATCGACAGTTTTACCACCATTATTGGTTTAGACGATATCCTTACACCCGGTTTCACTGTGCGGGACCTAAGGCAACTAACATCGCATGGTTTACCAGCGTTTGCGCAAGGTTGCTATTTAAGAGCGCGTTGCGCCTACTTGGAGCAAGTTGGCTCGGATTGCGCCATTCGAAGAAGACAGCCGCGATTCACTCCTCTTTTCTCCATCACTGAGCACGCATCCAAGTACCTCCTGCCTCCACAAACACCGGAAAGCATCTCACCCCACTACCGAGTACCACACTAGAGCCGAGCCTCGTCTGTCAGCAGCAAAGGCCCTCGCATACAAGTCACAATGGCTAGTGTTCTCAAGGGCGGCTTCGGCTCCTCAAACGGAAACGGGAATAGCAACGGAAATGTCAGTGGCGGCACCGAATTCATCAACACGCTCTCCCCACTCAAAGGCCTCCTCGACGGCTACGACAACACGCTCCCTTGCAGCAAGCAGACCATCGCCGTCCCCCAAACCTTCCAAGATGCCATGGCAGTGCGAGAACAGGTCTACGGCGAGCAAGGCGTACCTCTAGATGCCGAATATGACGAGGACGACGCCCGCAGCTGGCACTGGGTCGCATATGCTTCTGTAGCCACAAGCTCAGGCTCTCCGCCCAAGACTCTGCGCTCAAAGTCGCCTAACACGCCCGCAGACGACGCCCGCCGCGCCTCTGCCACCGCCACACGAGTCCCAGTCGCAACGATCCGTCTGGTACCGCCGCCTCACGGTGCGAACAAGTATGTCGACGAGCATAAGACGGTCGACAAGCACCCTGATGCAGAGCCGGCTGATGAGTCGGAGAAAAAGCACACAGCGGAGCCATACGTCAAGTTAGGGCGGCTTGCCGTGCTGACACCGTACCGGAAACTAGGCCTTAGTAAGCTACTCATCAACGCCGTCTTCGACTTCGCGACGCACAACTCGGAAAAGATATACCGCCCTCCATCGCCAACAGCCCTCGAAATGGCACAGAGGCAGGGTCAGAACAAGGAGAAGGAAATCACCTGGCAAGGCCTGGTTATGATCCACGCACAAGCGGACGTCAAGTACATGTGGGAGAAGCATGGCTTCCGGGAGGAGCTGGTAAATGACAAGGGCGAAGTCGAGATTGCGGCTGAGCCGCGCTGGGTCGAAGAGGGCATTGAGCATGTCGGCATGTGGAAGAGGCTCCAGCTGGTGAAAGAGAAGAGGTTGTCCATATCCCAGGAGGCCTAAATCCATGCCACCACCCCTGGGGAAACGATTTGGAGCTCCTGCTTACCCATCGTTTCTTAGGCACAACGGGAACTTTTGCTCGAGATAGTAACCTCGAGACGAAAAAGACCTATTGCAGGATCTCAACGAAAACGCGCGTCCATTTAAAACGCTTGCGCTTGACGCAACACGATACCCACGGAACACGATTCCGCTCACGTCTCACGTCTTGTATGCCTCTCTTTTCAGGATCTATGATGATTCAACGTCCCTATACCCCCCATTCCCGGTCTAACAACGACGACACGGCTCCACAAATTTAGTCTCATATTGGCTTTAGACTATATTAAATTCATAGAATTGAATTAGAAGTTTGCATCGTCTTCTCTCCACCTCCTATCTGCTTGTTCCCTCATTCTAATTAGTCTGCCCATGTGTCTTGTATAGTCAAGCGTGCTGAGATGCTGTCTATAGGAGAGCATTTATCTACAAGATTTGCATCGCGAAAATCGTTGAGGCGCAATATTATTGAATTGAACTTGAGAGACTGGCTAAAGTCTTCAATTAAATAGATATTAGCTTATGTCAAGGATATAGGAGATATAAAGGAAATTTACCGTACATGTTAAACCACGAAGCCACTAAACCCAAAAACCACCAGACCCATCTCCTACCCCTCCCTACCACACCATATTACTGCCACCTTTTCCGTGTCTATGACGTACATATACCGAACGACCCTGACCAACTGGCTGAGCCCCCATCGCCGCCTTGCAGCCCGCGACCTCATTCCTCCCCACCTTCCCCTCAAGAGCAGTAATAAGCTCTTTCAACGCATTCTCCCTGCGCTCATGGTCGTCTTTGCTCGCTTTGTACAGCGTTGTCCCGTCATCTGCGTCGCATACTTTTGCTCTATATCCTTCTCGCCCGGCCCAGTTCTTGACACTGGATATAATGACTTGGGTTCTGTACCCTCTGCTGGGCTGCCATATCTGTGTCACGAGCGCTGCAGGCCCACACTTAGCTAATCAATGGGGTTGGAATCGGTTGCGTACGGTGGACTACATACTGTCGAGTTTTTGTTTTAGGACAGCGTGTCTCTTTCGTGAAGGCTTTCCGGTCTTGTCCACGAATTCGACAACTAGATTATCTGTCTCTGTGGGCGTCGAGGATACTACGGAGGCTGAGGATGCTATGGAGGCTGAGGACGCTATGGAGGCTGAGGACGCTATAGAGGCTGAGGACGCTATGGAGGCTGAGGATGCTGTGGAGGTTGAGGATGTTACGGAGAGCGAGGATGGGGCGCTTGTTATAGTTGATATCTCGCTTGTGCTTAATGTTGCCTTACTGGTAACTTCGCTCGGTACGGGCAGAGCCTCACTTGGTACAGGCAGAGCCTCAATTAGTACAGGCAAAGCCTTGCTTGGTGTAGGCGGAGCCTCGCTTGGTATAGGCGGATCCTCACTTGGTGTAGGCGGAGCCTCGCTTGGTATAGGTGGATCCTCACTTGGTACAGGCAGAGCCTCGCTAGGGACATTGCTTACTTTATCTGGCTCAGCTCGGGAATCGTTTGACATGATCAACGGAAGCTTTACGGTTTCGTGAATTCGCTGTACCCTCGGTTCGAAAGAGATACTTGGTGAGTTACCCATTCTATGTTAGGTGTTGTGCTTGCTTGCGCGTAGAGGAAGATTATATACTTTATGCTGGATGACTGCGAATCTACGCGTCATGTATGGTATGAGTGTTAACATGAGTCTTTGGTTCTCGTCTAGCAGTTCTGCAGGGACATTATGCATTTGCTGTGAATCGACAAAGTCAAACTCACTTTTTGCTCTACGTCAACGTAATCACAAACATCTCCGCACTCGAAATACTTTCACAGAACCAGCAATAGCTAAACTAAGGCGTAGGCGCTTTGCAAATCCTCTTCTTACTCTACGTTGACATGACGAAGATCGATAGTCAGGCTTTGAGCTAGTATGTGCACCATCTGCTTGGGTAGTCTTACCATAGAGAACATTAGATTTCACCGTGGCGGCTGCCTCTCATATGCTCTAACCATTATTCCCATACCGCTAAGTACTTTCGAGACACAATTTCACGAAATGTTATTATCTTTGTATCGCTCTTCCCTCTCCTAAGTCCGACGACGGGAAGATTTCGTTGTCAATTCTGGTACGGGCTAATTGCTCGATTTTCCCTGCGCGTAAGGACTCAAAATCGAGGTGACTGAATTGGTTGATGACACAACTCTGGAGAAAAACTGTATATGGGAAGACGGTCCGCTAGGTTCGGAGGAAGGCGAATGTTTTACTAATACTATGACAAGTAAGCATTTGGGTGAAGTGGAACTACATGTACCGTAACTAGGTAACACATGAAATTATACACGAGGATGCGCGGGTCCGTACTCCTAGGCGCTACATATGACAAACAGAGTACAAGTTGCGCGAAGCCCACGCTCATGTTGCTAGATTGAGTGATTGAGCTGTGCCACGTCTATGCTCTCACTCACATGACTCTAGTTCTCAACCGTGCATTCTCTTTCATTGGAAGTCAAGCTCTGTACTCATATTTGCTGCAGCCCAGTGACCGCGATAATACGGGAATTAGGTCCTGTAGCGATATACCCCATGGGTTTCTGACGTGGTAAGATTGCGATCTTATCGTAGTGCTATGTGATATGTCACATGTGACATGTAACTAACTTTGATCCTTGTCATACACCATCGACCCAGCTGGACGATACTATCGATCGAAGACAGTTAAAAGGGCCGTCGAAGGACCGATTAGGGGTAGTCTAGCCAAAGGACAGACCGTTAGGAGCTATTGAGTGTTACTGCAGTCCTAATGCAATCGCGTTAGCGACACTCCTCATCACCTAACCTCTATCTAGGATGAGTGTTCCGCGGTGGTCCTTCCGAGCGTGGCCGTGCGATCCTTGATGTGAAATGGGCTACATGAAAAGGCGCCACAAAAATCATACTTCCTAGCAACGTTTCGAAGAGCGCGAAATGGAAGGAAAGAGTTCCTTACGTTGTTGTCAGTCGCTTGTCGGTCGCTGTACCTCAGCCGTACCTCAGCCTTCCCTCAGCCGTACTGTTCGCCCTCCCTCTTCAGGCCATTCTCAGGTCGCAAAACAGTCGCATAGCTTACCGCACGGTGACCGTCAAGATTAATTGGTTGACCATGGATGAAGAGGGAATGGCGTTCGGAAAGAAAGTGTTATTTTAGGATCATGCATGATGCACGTGCCGGGCCGAAACGTCATATTCTCGTACAAGGAACCAGGCGGCTCCGAAGTACCGTTCTGCTGGAAGACGAAATCTGCTCACTGAGAAATCCCAAACCATTCTCGAGGTAACCGTGCGTGACCATGGAAGAGATATATTTCACTGTGTCCGCTATGTGTGCCGAGTCTGCTCCTCGCAATAGAGTTGCAGCCTCGCACTTAAGATCTTAACTCCACCATCCGTGATCGACTTCTTAGGACCCCATAATGGCCACAAAAAGATGGAAAGACTTGCTCTTAACTGCAATCTTCACTGGCATTGCTGCCGCCGCTTCATGTAGTGGCGGTGATTGGGATGTAATCATAGTTGGTACGAAGTCTACTGCCACCACCGACTGGACGAACTTTAGCTGACACCACTAAGGCTCCGGACCAGCAGGCCTCGTGTTATCGGACCGCATGAGTGAAGCGGGCAAGAAAACACTTCTCCTTGAGCAAGGCGGCCCATCATACTATATCACGGGTGGACGCATGCGGCCAGACTGGTTGAACGGCACAGACCTAAGTCGCGTCGACGTACCGGGACTGTACAAATCCATCTTCTCGGTAACGGACGGAAACCTTATATGCGCACCAGACATAGTCAATGGATATCAAGGTTGCACAATTGGCGGAAGTAGTGCAATCAATGCCGGTCTTTTCTTCCAGCCGCCAGCGAGCGACTGGAATCTGTACTTTCCAGAAGGATGGAAGAATATAGATATGCAGTGTGCAATCGAGAAAGTGAGAGCAAAGCAGCCAAGTACTGACAACCCGTCACAAGATGGGAAGCGATATTTGCAGAGTGGATTTGAGGCAGCAAAGAAGTGGATTGTTGATGGTGCCGGTTATAAAGAGGTGGGATTGAACGATGGACCTGAGAACCATAATAAGAGCAAAGTATTTGGCCATCCGGTGTTCAACTATGAAGGTGGTCAGAGGAGTGGACCAGTAAAGACGTACTTGCAGTCTGCTCTTCAACGACCCAACTTTTCGATCCAGACTGGTACCCGAGTCTTACGCGTCATCCGAGACGGCGAAACTGCGACTGGCGTTGACATCCAAAGCAGGGGCGCAAATGGCACTTCTAGTATTTGCATAGCAGAGGGAGGGCAGGTCATTCTCTCCGCCGGTGCGCTTCTCAGCCCTCAGCTGCTCATGTGGTCTGGCATTGGCGACCCCACTATCTTGACTAAGCTCTCCGCAAGTGGACTCGTCAATGTTCCCTCGCAGGACTGGGTCAATAATACCGCCGTCGGGGATAAAGTATTTGACAATCCCAATACTTTTATCGAACTATATTCCGAGTCCATCTCGTCTTACAATTACAACTACAACAGCCCTGTACCTGGAGATCGCGATCTATACCTACAATCGCGCTCGGGTCCATACTCTTTTGGCTCACAAACGGGTGCTTTCTGGGATTTTGTCCAGCAGGGTGATGACCTGGTGGGATGTCAAGGCACAATTGACTCTTCAGGAACTATGGATTATACCAAAAACGGCACCATCACACTCAACGTTTACGGTACATCTGGGCTTCGCTCGTTCGGTCGTGTTAGTCTCGATCCTAAGGGGATTGCACTCCCATCTTCGAACTTCTACTCCAACCCTCTTGATGCTTCGGCAGTAGCTACCTTCATCCACAAAATTTTCCAGGCACTTCCACCGACACTGACGCCTTTAAATATCGCCAAAAACTCGACACTGGAGCAGCTGACTACGTGGATTAGCACATGGAGTCCATATACACTAGGTAATGTGCAGCATTGGAGTAGTAGCTGTAGGTTGGAGACGTGTGTGGACTCGAATACGAAGGTGATTGGCATGCAGAATTTGTTCGTGGTGGACGCGAGTATCGTCGCGCCGTTGACGACAAACCCTGTCATGGGCGTGATGATCGCGGCGGAGAGGGCAGCAGAGAGGATATTAGCTCTGAAAAAGTAAGCACGAGTATATGAGTAGGTTGTAATGAAACCCCTGAACTATTGATTTCAATGTGAGTGGCAAAGCCCTCTTTTTACCAAGATCGTCCGAGCAAATCTTCACCTCTCTTCAAATACTGATCGCCAACGCCATATCCTGCCGCGAATCACCTCAAGATCCCGGTATAGCCTTCCAATTCGTCTGGTTTGATTATATCCTCATCTTCAGCACTGCCAAGCCAGCTCTAACCACGCACTGCCAATCCTGCGAAAGGCAAACGGGAAACTTCTTGCTCAGACAGGACTTTGTCAATAACTACACTCGCCATGCCCCATGCCAGCGTCGCGAATGCTCGGGTGCCACATGTGCATTCACGTAGCGGGGGTCTCGGGGTATATTGATAGATGGGAGGATTGTTGAGAGGTAGCGCATTTGTGACAGTTCAAGAAGAAAATCTGAGCCGGGAACTAATAGCTATAGAGTCACAATGAAGCTAGGTATGTGGGTACTACGATATGTTCAAAGAGATAGAAACTCGGGAAGAAGTTTGAGCGCTGTAAATCCTCCTACGCGCTTCCTTGTCTGACTTTACTATGACGGAAGCTTGATCGCCATCCTGACCTTCAACAAGTCCCCTCTAATAATCTCTTCTTTCTTCTCGATAAATTCTTCCATATCCCAATTGGCACTGACATACCGTCCAGACAGCCATTCTCTCCGTTCTCTCCCTACCCACGCCAGTGTATCCCCCGCAAGCTCAGGACTATCAGTAAGAAGCGCATACAGATGCTCTGGCAAGTTCATCGCCAACTCTGTCCTCACATGGCCCGGGTGCACAGCAATCGCAATCACACCATCTGTACCCTCGCCGTGGTCTTGGCTAATGTACTCGGTGAAGCGCAGACTAGCGAGCTTTGCCGAACCGTATGCAGAGTTATTTTGAAGGGTCATGACAGCTCCAACTGATGAGATGTTTATGACGGTCTTCCAGGACGACTTGAGAAGCAATGGCAAGAAAGCGCGGGTCACTAGATACACGCCCTTGACATTGACCTCCCAGCCGCGCCACCAGTCATCCGGGTCGGAATCTAGGATACTAACACACTTGGATAGGTGGCCTGCATTGTTGATCAGGATATCGAGACGACCATCGAAAATTCCGGAAATCTTTTGAGCTGCGGCTTCGACGCTGTGCCGGTCTGTAACATCAAGAGAGAGAGTGACAATCCTCGGTTCCGGGCGGCCGGCGCTCTTCGCTGCTGCTAGTACTTCTTCCACGACAGGTTCGAGAGGAGAGCGTGCGCCGAGTGCGATCCCGGATGCTCCCGACCTTGCGTAGCTAAGTGCCGCAGCTTTTCCAAGGCCTTTTGATGCGCCAGTGATGAGCACATACTTTCCGTTGAGGTCGTTGTGTGTAGGGTCGATATATGGGTAGGTATCGTGACGTCCAGATGTGAAGTTTACACCTAGGTGCGTGTGAGTTTTAGCCTCAATTACTAGAAGCGATGTAGAGCTTACCAGCGTTGATATACTTCTGTTCTAGATCCTGTGACATCTTGAAAGCGGCCTGCGATGTGGAAGTATATCACTTGTAGAATCTGGGGCGTGGGCGCTTCTTAAATATTCTTTTCTCACAATGGTCGTACAAATTTATTGTCCAGGACATGAGGGTTCACATCACGCGGTTTGCGGGGTATGCATCTCTGGACGCAACTCGCCAGATTTGGCATTCGTAAAATCCTGCATAATAGCTATCCTGTATGCTTCCATAAGAGGTATAACGGACTTTGCCAATCTATGTGAAAATGAAAGCATATGATTTCTTCATGAAGGTGACGTAAATTGTCAATGTTAACACTCAATTATGCTTGAAAGGTGGACCTCAAAGCCAAATTTATCCCTTGATAGTATATATTAGTACCATTTCTGTACAGACATGGACATACTTACCGCAGTCATACCCATTAGTCCCCACACTCCTACCGCCCCACCCACAATGCCCCTGAACGCAGCCTTTCCCTTCACACCCTCTCTTATACACATCCACACATCCACTCCAGTTACCCAAGTTCCTAAGATTGCCATCACGGTATCAACAGCATGGTACTCGCCTTTTAGGTAAAACGCCCACATCATAATACCAATAGCCTGGATCCTGGCTGTCATGAGGATGAAGGGAGATTGGGCATGTGGAGAGTTTGCAATGCGCTGGGGGAGTCCAAAAAGTGTGTTGATAGCATAAGGGGTGTTGAAGTAGGCGGGAAATGACATTAGGGTTGTAGAAGTCATTACGAAGAGGGGGAATATGTGGCGGGGTGGGATCGGAAAGAGCGACATATTAGGAGCTTGGCTTTGGGGATATTGGCAGCTAAGATTTAGCGCAAATCCGTCGGATGAAGGATTATGGGGAATGAGGAGATGACAAAACTTGAAGGAATGGGCGTACTAATATGGATAAAACTTCATCTGCGCTTACGCTTGGCGCACTAGCCCTAGACTGTCAAGATCAGCATCATCGGCCTGATCCACACCATCATAATCCTTTCCACTGACTATTCGAACCCCGCACCTTACTCTGAAGCTATCCTGGGCCCTACTCTCGAGTCGAGTCGTGCCTGTCGGCTGGCTGTACGTAGAAGAGAAAGCAGGCCTCCTTGGGCATGTAAAGACTCTCTAACAAGAATATATCCATCTCAACAACTACTTTATGCCCCAACGTTGCACGATGTTGGCTCAAAAAGTATGGCACAGCCCGACCATTTGGTGTTCCTAGTTATAATCAGCATATAGCCAATGAAACTAAGCACGAGCTCGTGTACGTACCGAGCAAAGCCTTCCCAACCTCCGTATCTAATCTGATGCGGTACCCGGGCCATACCATAGGCCTATCCTTTCCAAGCTCGTGGCATGCACGCCGGATTGCGCGCTGAGTAGTGGTATTCGTAGACGCGTGGATGATAATGTGGTGGAGATTTTCTGCCTTCTCACCAGCACACATTTTCCATTGGCCCCACGTGATATCAGACGAACGCTGGAGTTCGGGCATTTGATCTTCGGGTACAGGTGGAATGCGTTTGGCACCCATGAACTCAGGACCGAATCGTTCGCACTACATAACGATACTATCATTGACGTTGATGACGGTCTCGTATTTGGCTCCCGTGGCGCGGTAGGTCTTATCACCGACTTGATATGTCTGAGGGTCGGGCTCTTTGTTGAACTGGGGAACGTGATGTATATGGTGTGTCACCCAGTCGTTCTGGTTGATGGAGGCACCGATTGCTATTAGAGCTGCCCCAATGCCTTTGTCTTTACGGTCGAGCTCAGGGCCATCTTGCTTGTACATACTGTAGCCCCATTTGTAATATATGTCGGGGAATTCGGTGAAGATAGACTGAGTCGAAGTCGCAGTAGGCTCCATCATGACCCGGAGGAGCCTCTCGCCTCGCTGAACGGACTCGTTCCACTCGAGGTCACTCAGCGGTGGAGGGTCAGTGTGGGGCCGCGAACCCCAGTCATATCGGATTGAAGTAATCGGAACGATTGGATATGTGGACATTTGGACTGAAAATACCTCAATAGCGATATGTTGAGTGTGATGTTTTGCTAGTCTGTAACCGCGGCGAACAGAAGCGTAAATGTGGCAGCCTAGACCTGCCTACCTCTCCGTATATTTCAAGCAACCGAGAGGTACCCTACGACTGCATTGTTATAACGAGGTGCAGGAGGAGAAGTGACAATTGCTCTAGTTTGGGAAGGAACAATAGCCATAAGCTACCGCTGACTGCTTTCGGCAACGAGGCAAGCAAGGTTAGAGACCTTCCAGGGTTGGCAGGCGTAAATCTTGGTAATTCTCCAGGGCTATCGCATACCACTAACCGGAAAGATTTATGTGATCTAGCTGCGCCATCATCTCCTTCTTAGTATCCTCATCCGCCCAGCACATATCCACACCGTTTTTCGCTAGCTTAACCATATCCGCCTTGCTTAGCGCACAGTACGTGTAAACTTTCTGCATATTCCCGTCAATCCAGACATCATGCATGTATGTCGGATCGTCGCTATTGATGCACAGTTTCACGCCCTCATCGATCAGTTTCTTTATCTTGGGGAACAAGGTCTCCGTTGCTTGCCGCCGATGGTACGCATGTGGGCACAGCGTCAAGCCGATGCCTCGCTGTTTCAGAGCGGGAATCAGGTCGGGCTTGTCCAGCACATTAAGACCGTGGTCGATTCGCTCTGTGCCTTGGCCACCGCATACGTCAAATATGGCTTCGCGGACGTGCTCTGCCGCATCTTTTTGATCGACGTCGCAGTGCAACGTCACGTGCAGGCCATCCTCCTTTGCCATGCGGAACCCCTTTTCGAATAGAAGTGGTGGGTTTTCGAACTCGTTTGCCGCGAGTCCCACAGCATGGAACAACCCCTTTCCAGTGCCATCGGGAAGCCTAGCCCAGGGTCGTACAGCTGCATATGCTTCGAGTCCTTCCTGTAGCGGTCTATCGCGAAGGAAGCAGAAGATCCAATTACTCTTAACGCCGTAAGTCTTCGCGCCGTCTTGCTGGGCGCGGAAATATCCGTTCAGAACGGTAGATGCGGAAACTCCACGTTCGGTGTGCGCTTGCGTGTCGAAGAAGGGCTCACAGTACCGAACGTTCATTTCTGCGCAGCGCGCGAAGTACTCCATGCTGAGCTCGTAGAAGTCGTCTTCAGTGATGAGGACCTGGCAACCTGCGAAGTAGGCTTCAAGGAAGGTGGGACGGCCATCGTCACCGTTTACCTCCTTACGGTGGTTGTATGTAACTCTATCTTGGAGGGAGAATTAGTATACTTTTCCGCGATTCAAAGCCATGATGCGATGTGCAACCTACTAGAAGTGGTCAATAGGTGTCTGTATTGCCATAAGGTATAACAAATTACCAAGAATCTAGCAGCTCTTCGTATGTCGCGTATGGAAGCTTGATGTTATTGCGATGTGCCAGTCTCCACCGAAGCGCGGGCGTCAAGGTTCCCTCAATATGCACATGGAGTTCTACTTTGGGTAGATCTCTGATGAACGGGGAGATGTCGAGGCCGTTCATGTTGCGTGTGCGAGAAGAAGTCATCGTTTGAACAGCCTAAATTTTACACTCCTGAGCATTGAGCATGCCGACGTCCCGACGCCGGCAGGTCCTTCATTTTCCGCACTCGTATTCTAGTCTTTGCTCGGCGCCATCCGCTGCGAAGAATATATTTCACGCTTTGCACCGAAGTTTATTGGTCACAATCACGCTCGAGTCATGTTTGAAGCGCGACGGAGTTGGAAAAGCCGATCAGTCGCACAGAAAAGCCGATAGGCATTTGTCACATCGATAAGCACAACGAATCATATCCCTAGGCATCTTCTTAACAGTGGGGTTCCCGTTTTGTGCTTAAATCCGCAGCGGATACCACGCCTGTTGCGATAAGTCATGCCATTCGGTTGTCACGCCAGGCGCCGGTCGCGTAGAGTTTTATATGCCAGGACGGATTCCCTGCAGACTCTGGTATTGCGACAGAAACAGCAAACCTAAACTTGAGATCTGGTGTCGTGGTTTAGGCCAATATGGACTCCTCCAAACAGACCGATGTTGCGGCCACGCAGATACCGCACGAAACAGCTCACCAGCTAGGCATCGATGAAGGCGAGAAAGCGCTCGCAAAGCGTGTGTTACGGAAAATTGACTGGCGCCTCATACCGCTCATGTTCTTTACTTATAATCTGAATTTCATGGACAAAACGATTCTATCGTCTGCTTCTGTATTCGGGTTGCGAGAAGATACTGTATGCATTCGCTTCGTACCAGTTATATCACTACATCAATCTAACAAAATCTACACAGCATTTAAAAGGCCAGCAGTACTCCTGGGTGTCCAGTGTATTCTACTTCGGTTACTTCTTCTGGGAATACCCGACCACATTCCTCATCCCCCGGCTACCCGTGGCCAAGTACCTGGCCATGAATACATTCGTATGGGGTGCTGTCGTCGCACTTACAGCTATCTGTAGCAACTATGGCGGCTTGCTTACTGTGCGCTTCTTCCTTGGTGTGGCGGAGGCTACTATCACGCCAGCGTTTATTTTCATCACAAGCACATGGTTCGTTCATCCTCTCGAACAACTACCGTGCGATTCAAGGTCTTGACGATACGCAGGTACACGCGTGACGAAATCCCAACGCGAACCGGCATCTGGTTCGCCGGAAACTCCATCGGTGGCCTTGTCGCTTCCTTCCTCGCCTTTGGCGTCGGCCACATCTCAGACTCTCTCGCTCCATGGAAATGGATGTATATCATCCTCGGAGTTTTAACCTTTATATGGGGTATTCCGTTGCTCTTATTCCTCCCTGACAGCATTGCGAGCGCCAAATTCTTGACTGAAGAAGAGCGCAAGTACGCCGCAGACCGCGTCGTAATCGCTGGTACAGGACGCACAGCGAACGCCGGATGGAAACTCGACCAAGCGCTCGAATGCCTGATGGATCCGAAGACATGGATGATTTTCAGCATGAGTTTAATGACGCAGATACCGAATGGCGGGACACAGAATTTCGGCAATCTGGTGCTTAAAAGTTTTGGTTTCACAAGCTTAGAGTCCACCCTCCTCGTAATTCCCGCGTCCGTCATCTCAGCCGGGACCATCGCAGGAACGGGATGGATAGCGGGGCGTTTCCGCCAACTGAATTGCATTCTCATCATCTGCGTCGTCATGCCCGCTATCGTTGGTAGTTCGCTGATCTATGTTCGCCCACGGACTTCCTCTGGTGTCCAGCTCTTTGGGTACTTTCTGCTGTCTACGGGCCCTGGCGCGATCCCTCTGCTCCTCTCCCTCGTCGGTGCAAACTACAAAGGTGTAACGAAGAAAATGACAATGACGGCCCTACTCTTCATCGCGTACTGCGCCGGCAATATTGCAGGCCCGCAGTTCTTCCGCGCAAAGGACGCACCGCATTACAACATGGCGTTCAGAGCGATCTTGATCTGTTACTCGCTTGTTGTAGGTATGGCCGTCGTGTTAAGGTTCTATTTGCACTGGATGAACACAAAGAGGGAGCAAGAGGAGGGTGTCAGGGGAAGTGCAGGCGCTGGAGGAGTCGTTGCCGGTGGCAAGATGGTAGACGAAGCTGATGAACGGAATTTGAGCTCTAGAGTAGGCGAGATTGAGCTTCGTGCGGAAGATTATGATGATGTGACGGACTGGAAGACTTTTGGCTTTAGATATCGCCTGTAGGACGACTTCAAATTTAGACGAAGCTAAATGTAACTAACCTGTTTCACAAGCGAGTTAGATGTCTAAGTATAAACGACTACCTAGTTAGCTCCCTAATCATTGGAACTTCGTTAACAAATTTAGTAGATCCAAACTTCCGGACTGTCGTGACCTGCTTGAAGAGTGCTAATGCGAATGCGACAGGGATCGTATAGCGTCACCGTGGAGTTGGAAATAGGCAACTCCGTTAGTCTAATGAGCGGGTAGTCTTACTTCACTGCAAAATTTCTCGGTGCTTCCTATCTTTTCCATCACAATTGTATCGTGATATGAGATGATGTCGAGGGTGTCTCCAAAGGGTCCTCGTATAGATCCATGTTGGACATTGTCTGTCGTGTCTGAGAGATATGCTGGTCCTCGTGCAGTCTCTTCAGTTGCTGGTGTGTGGGTAAGGGTTGCTCTGTCGCCCGTTCAGCCCCGGAACCCCTGTTAATTCCTCTTAGATTGACGGGTTGCAGCAGGCCCTTGTGAGACACATGCAGTCAATAAGAAAACGCAGTGGAATTCTCAACGATAGTCACGATACTAGAAGACGAATTAGCCTCGTCTCCATAAATATCACCTTCCAGTATGCATCGATGTGTCTCATTAGCTACAGCAGACACTCGACTAGGCTGTAAGTTCTCGTGATTCCTCGCCAGAACAATCTCAGACTAAACCCCTCAGCAAAAGTACTCTTAGCAACGGCCAAGACAGAAACTGGAAGCTGAACAATATAACAATCAGTGAATCTGAACGGGTATCTGTCACAGTGAGTGTCCATAGTATGGATCCACATTCTCCAATCAAAACCCCGAAAGAGCACTCCCCATAAAGCGACCATTAGGTTTTGAAGCCTCAACGTGTATCGGTGAGCCAAAGCGGATAAGGACGGTAAGGGCATATTTTAAACGCTATCACAATGAAAGTTCCGCTGACTGTAGCAGATCAGCCCCCCTCTACTCGATCCGATGAGAAAGGCGATTCCTACAATACCTAGCCCATCATCACCAGACGATACCGCTATTCTGAAGGAGCGACTAGTCGCATTGAGCAAGCAGGTGGCAGATCTCGAAGACAGGCTCCGTGCATGCGACATCTACTGTGACGAACTAGATGAGGAAAACGCAAATCTCAGAGAGAAGCTCCATGAACTGCGACGAACAACACAACCAGAAGAACAATATTGAAGAGCTACTCAGTAAACGTCGCCTTGACTGCGAGGAGCTTTGCAGACAAATGAACAAATATGTCTCTGAGAGATACCGGGCTTGTGGAGGACGCAAGACCATCACATGCCAGAACGCTAAACGGTTTCTAGATGAGGTTTTAGGCCTTGATTCAAGATAAAAGTACTAGAGGCTTAGGGCAGAGTCCCTATAAAACTCCTGAAAAGGCGGATGTGAGATTACGTTTCAGTTTTTAAAAACAACCCGTATTGATATCGCTGAGCTAGATGATGGCGAGTAAGCTCTTCGAGCCGCTAATTTCATAGCGTAGTCTTCTTCAGTGTCTTCTCATCGGGAACCGAATGTGGCTGGTTTGAAAGAGCAGTCATAGCGTGAGACTGGGGGAAGACTGTTTCTGCACCTCATAAGAGGATTTCCAAAGCGCCTACGCCCTAGTTGAGCTAACGCTGGTTCTGTGAAAGTACTTTGAGTCTCAGTCTAGATGCACACGTCATTTTTCTCTTGTTCTCAGTCTTTCCGTCTCTCTTTTCTAATCTTTCGGTCCTACTTTCGCTCTTTACGTCTGTCACAATGTGTTTCGCCCACTAAACGTGCGTTATTATTTCAGAGTCGCTCCTTCCACACTCAATACCACTAGTCTAAATCTGCGCTAGCGCTATTGATGTGCCAACGCTCTCATGAGCTCTCCACTCTCACTCACGCCCCCACCTAATCTCAGTCTCAAACAACTCATACTAAATTTCGCTTCGGTATCACACAGAGCGAGCTACATAGCCATATCTGGGCCGGGCGCGATTGCGAGGCGCGGCAAGCTTGTGATCGCCATCTTGTAAACACACTGCAAAAGTAAGCGAGACGGCAATACGTTTTCTCTCGCCTTCTCTCACCTTATCTGAAGTTAAGCTCTTAAGCCTAACTGACCGGTATATATTGCATACAGGACGTTCGCTAACGTTCTTCATGCAGTCTTCCGCGCCTTGTAGTAGACGTTAGTCAGCTCCACGAAGTCAACCTATTTGCTCCCACAAATAATCGAGCAAGTCCCAAGGCCTGGACTACAGCTTCGACAAGTCTACAATGCATTTCGAACGGGACGAACGGGGTGCTTTCGTACCAGTGAGCATAACCGTAGTCAGAATGTCTTGGCCTATGGCTGACACTGTTAGATGGAAACTCTTTACGGCTACAACATCGAAGAAGATATGACGGATCGCTCTTCGGGCGCATATTCCGCAACAATCCGAGCATCCAGACATGAGTCGTTAAACGGCACTACTCTGCCAGTCGCGTCTGCGAGCTCTGATACCAAGTCTGTCCCGACGTCGAGCACACCAACCCGAATCAGTACGAAAGAATTTAGGCGAATGGCAGGCCACGAGGTTGCATCCTTCTATGTCAAGACTATGCGCGAGGTCATTCCTCCTGAGAAATGGTTCAAAACCGAGTCTCTCAAAGCCGACGAGGTGGCCGGGCTCGAGAGGAATTGGGGTGGCAGAACTCCTTTGTCGTTGTGCCCTGGAAAGCTTCTTTTCGGTAGACGCCGACAACAGCTCTCATGGTCTGCTGGGTGCGACAAAATATGGGCCGCAGCAAGGAAGCTGAAGGCGGAAAACGACACGCGAATTATACTTTTCGATGAGAACTTTAGGATCATGGATATTTCCGACTCTCTATCAAACGAAATGGAGTTTGAACCCGCGATAGAGTTGCTTAACATCGAGCCAACTGGAGGAACGAGTTTTGAGATAAATGTTGTGACCTGCGTCCGAGCAGTTCTTGTCCAAGACGGATATATGCCGGGATCTGCATTCAGGCACAGAACCTCGGCAACGCCATATTACCTCAGGGAACTGGTAGTTAGCAAACTAGAGACAGCGTACGCAGCTAACCGAACAAATGGATCTCCGTCTCGGGCCTCCGACTTGCCACTTCGACCGCGGAATACAAGGCATGAGGTGTCCACTCCACCAGTCTCAAGCGGAGTGACGCCATACCAGCAGTCTTTTGGTCGATACTCACAGACTGATGGCTTCCAGCTAGCGACGGCAGCACAACCCTCCACCGTTGATCGTACACGTAAGCGAGTTCTCGAAACTGGTGGGTCATCATCTGCCCGAGAAGTTCGAGCATCCAGTAGCAAGAGACAGAAAACACTGCTTCGGGATCCGCTGTCCCTACTTGACTTCATGGAAAATTCCAGCACCATAGCGACTGACTTCACCGGACGTGCCGAGCTTGAAGAGCAGATACGCACACTAACCGAGAATAATGCCGCGCTGACAGCCTGTGTCAACGAACAAGTTGATAAGCTACACGAGCAGATCGACCAGCTTAAGGAGCAAGTTGACGACCTGAGCAAGAAGAACAAGGCCATCGACACGAAAAATACTGAATTAGCAATGCGCTTAAAGGAGCTTCCTAGCGTGAAGCGCGAGAACAAAGCCCTTGAGAACTTCAAAGCTAAGCATGTCGAGTTCTGCCAGCCTGTTATGCTAGGACTTCTTACGCGCAAGAATATCAAGGACGGGAGCAACGCGGATATTGCTGCACTGGATGCGAAACTTCAGTACACTGAGACATATGGGCTTGATATTGTGGAATAGGAAGGCGATGAGTATGCGGATTTGGAGTGGACGGTGGCTGTTGATCGTTCAGCGCCCACAGGAGACAACAGTGTTGCTGCCGAGGGTAGCACTGGAATGATGTTACTACACAGTCAAGTTGGGAATTCTTTTTCGAGCAATCTTGCAAGGGTTTGCCAATTGTCTGTTAGATGCCAACGCATCTAATATCTGAGATGATGAGTGGCACTCGTTCTTAATATGTGGCGAGGTTCAAGGTGACGGCATGCATCACTGCCGCCTTTCCATTTGACTATAGCTGTAATTGTATCGCGCTTAGTAGCACCATAGCAGTGCACAGTATGGCACTCACGAACACGAATCAACAAGCCATATCATATGGATAGAATCGTGGAATTCATTAGGGCACATTAGCAATTTTCATGAATGCAAGACCCATTCCGCAGCGCCAGTCCGTAACTCCTAATGCAGCGTAGACGATATGAGATAGATACGATTCTCGCTGAAAATATGTACAGGGAGATAGAGGGCCAGGGTGTAACAGGTTAGTAAAATCCTCCGATGCCGTCTTCCGAGTCGGAATCTGAGGAACTCCAGTCGCCCTCCGAGTTCTCCTCTTCACTCGAGATACCAGCCAGCGCCCTCAACTCCGTCGCTTGTAGCGGGTTGCCCAAGCCAATAGAGAGCTGTAGGCCCTCACCCTCGTCGATTGTGTGATAGCTCCACTCGTAGTCGAGGTCCGCGATAGAATGAGGAGCGCTGGGTGCGCCAAAAAGGCACTTGACCTTTAGCAGTTCGACTGCGAGAACAGGTTCTTCAGCCTCTTTGATGTGGCTGCTGTTGTCGAGACTTGATGCCGAGTCCACGCGTCGCACGGGTAGGCGGAACTGCGGGGCCTTGGCCTCGGCTACTAAGCCGTCCTCGATGACAGCACGTTTGAATGAGGGGTTCTTCAACGTTTGGACACCGGTGACGAAGAAGACTGGCTTGTTTTGGTAGGCCATTTTGCGGAGGAAGGATCGAGTTACGCTGTCCTGGCGAAGAGTGTTGAAGACGGCGGCAGGCTTGTGAAGAGTGGTATGAGACATTTCCTCGGCGCTCAGTAGGAGAAGGTTCTCGTGTGAGTAGTGAGGCTGTCCAGATAGCTGAGAGACAAAGCGGGTGGAGGTGAAGCGGCCATATTCGTCATGAGCAACGGTGTCTTCGTACTTTAATTGAACATGTGACTCTTTGTAGGCTGGTGTTGTAGATGGCTTGAGGGAGGCAGAGACTGCGTATAGTGGGTCTGTGACAAGCTGACCCAGTGTGATGGAAGTGGAAGAGAGGGGCGTTGGAAGCACGAGTAGGCGGGACATGTTGACGATCTTGATAATAGAGCTTGTGGGGTTTGGGAAGATGAGAGGGAGTTGGGGGCAAGAGCGTTGTGTGGAAGTGATGCTTTGGTCTTTGGCGTCTTATGATGTTGAGATGCAGGCCTGTCAATGAGTTGCAGCAACGTTAAGATATACCCCTCAAGTTTACATGTCAGCTCATGCTCATGCCCATACACTCAACTATAGTACTATACCCCATGTATCAGATTCGTGCATTAGCAGACGGAGATCCGACATGAAATGCTTGAAACTGGTGTGACATACAGTGGGCTCTACTCGGCTGTCGTCGGTCATGCGGGATTTGTAGGGTTGGATGCGAGTATGCACGCTGTTGCTGCATACGTTTTGATTCCGAAATGTCCCGTAGAATGAGCTTTTTTACTCGATTGGTTGAATGGAATCGGTAGGCGCCCAGTTAGGCAATTTACTGGACATATGAAAGGCGGTCTGAGGGATGTCGGCTGACATGTTCCTGAGGTGGATCGGATCCGGGGTCAAACTGCATGCTCCAGCATGCAAGTTTCCGGATCCGGGGAAGCTATGCCCGAGCTCGATGCAAAGCAAAAAAGGCCTGGATCGCCAACTCTCCGCAGTGGAGAAGAGCGAGACGTATCAAGGAGAAAGAAGTTGGCGCTACTACCTGATATCACCTCACCGACGCCTGTCAGAAGACGCGAAGAGAGTGCTGCGTGGTATGCAGGAACGCGGTAGATGAGAGCCGTCGCAAGAGAACAAGCATAGAGAGATATGAGAAATCTTCTTGGGATGCGGTCAAGATACTTTCTGCTCGATCAGGTCCTAGGGAAGTGGCCACGAGACTGACTTGGTCGTGTCGAGCTGTTGTAATAGACTCAAAGGTTGCGTTGATTCTCGACCGCTGTTCTACTATCAGGCGTGCAAGGCGTTATCGAACGAATCTAGAACCACTTCGGGGATGTCAAGGCTCCATGGAAACTGTGCGTGTACATGGTTCCTATACACTTCACGCTTGGCGTTGCATGGCGGATATTAGGAATGGGTGGGGAATGAGTGGAGCGGGAATTGAGGCTGCCGCCCTTGGTGATCAGATGTGGCGTTGCGTCATTGCGATGCGCCAACAACACGGGAAGCTTTTCGACTGCCCTATATATCCTTCTAGACGCGTCGCATTTGCCACTGTGAACACAACTTGGGTGCTGTTGCCCGCTTGCTATCGAACATGATTGAGACCTTGATGGGCCAGGATGGCCTGGACGCCTGTGGCCATCGCTGCGTCCGGCAGCGCCGGAAAGATAACACTGCCACAGCGGGACGAGCAAGTACCGTAGATGACATGTGCACTTTGTGTCCACAATTCACAGCATCCGTACCTTCATCTATGTCCGTACTAACATGCAAGAGGCAGTAGCAGTAACGGATACCGCTCGTACGCCAACGCGTCGCCAGAATGCGCTGGCCGACATACAATTCGCGTCCGTCCTCGACGAAGACCTTACGCCATCCGAGGACGAGACGCCGGAAGAACAGCGGCTGCAGCTGGAAACTGTCCAGTCGGCCATTGGAGTCAGCATAGGACGGCAGCAGACACGCTTGACCTCGCCAAAGACGCCGGCTGCTGAAAAAGCGGCCGCCTTGGAAGAAACCGACGGCGGCGTGCTGTTTGATGGCTGGGAGGAAGCAGGCGACGGCATAGCAGAAGCGAGCGCGAAATTGCCAGTGAAGGCCGATAGTGAGGGCGAGGATGCTGATATGAGAGGAACTCGGGTGCAGGCACCTAGCAATGACGACAACAGACTACGAGAGTCACAAACTCCCACACGCCTTCCTTCACCGTGGCGCGCCGGCCCCAAGACGTGGAGCGACCACCGAGCGGTCCTCAAAACCCACCTACAAAGCGGACGACGTCGAGCGTCCTCGAGCGGCTCCATGACCGAGGCTATGCGCAAGTATATGCCCTTCAACCTACCGTCGTCCCTATCCAAGACCTACAAAGATCTTCACTTCTCTCTCCCTAGCTTGTCAGTGCTGTCTCTGGATAGTGAGCGGGGTGCAGCCAGCGGTCGAAGACGAGGGACATTTGCCAGTGGTACGCCGTTGGGGAGCATACCGCAGCATGACGGCGGCTACCAATCGACGCTACAACGCCGCAGAAGCGCATCGAGAGGTAGCACCGCCCTGCCACAACACGCCAACACGACACCCATTCCTCAGCACGAGTTTGGTGACGACAGCAGCTCTACAATAGCAGCTCCCCCGCCACCGCGGGAGCCTCGCGGACACGGCCCTAGGTTGCGCCGATCCACCTCGGAAGGCTCATTACTTGTCTACCGCTCCAAGTCCTTTGCCTCTTCCCTCGGTGACGATACCCGCTTCGAGAGTGTTCAAGAACAAGTCAACAGCAGGCTGAAGGCTATTAGAGACAGCTGGCAAGACTCGAACTTCAAACTACCCAGTCCTTCCTTTCCCAACTTCAGTTTTGGTTCCAAGGATGACACGTTCCGGAGCCGCAATGGCAACATAGCTCCCAAGGCGCGAGATGCAGAGGATGGTACCACACATCGAGTGAGCTTTCGTGCAACCATGCCATCATCAGCCTCGCGAAACGTAACGACCAAAACAAAGCGACTACCACCTAGAGACGGCACCACAGACGCCGAGACACATCCTTTCTTCACACAGGCCCTACAAGATCTAGAGGGAGATGTCGTCGTTCTAGGAGGCTATCGCGGATCCGTCTTGCGTTCCGCTGAACACCCCAACCGCCAGCTCTGGGTACCAATCAAGGTCGGCTTGAACTTGCGCAAAGTAGATCTGGAGGTTCCCCTTGATGCCGACGCTGACAAGCGAATGGAAGAGACTATCTACCCCAGCGGCATGCTGACTCACATTGGGCCTGTGGATATCTCGAAACGCCTCCTCAAGCGCCTAAAAGCCTGTGAAAAGGTAAAGGGGGGTAAATTGAGGGTTCACAACTATGGCTATGACTGGCGGCTCTCACCACACTTCCTTAGCCGGCGAATGATTCAGTTCCTTGAATCGTTGCCGTGCAACCAACCTGGCGTCCCCATTGAGAAACGCGGGGCTGTAATCATTGCTCATTCTCTCGGTGGCTTGATTATGCGTCACGCCATCAACCAGCGACCAGAACTAGTGGCAGGCATTGTCTATGCTGGCGTGCCTCAAAGATGCGTCAACATTCTCGGTCCTTTCCGGAACGGTGATGACGTTCTGTTCTCATCTCGCGTCCTGACTGCGCAGGTGAACTTTACCATCCGAACATCGTACGCATTATTACCTCTGGATGGAAAATGTTTCTTCAACAAGCACACAAAAGAAGAGTACCCTGTCGACTTCTTCGACGTCAACACATGGAAGGACTGTCGCTTGTCGCCCTGTATAGCCGCCCCTCTCCCTCGTCCTGAAATGTCTAAAGATAGCAACTTTAGCGTGAGCGGTCTAATGAGTGCAATGTCTCAAGCGTTGCCCACTTTGTCAGGTCGCAAAGGCAGCTTCAGCCTATCCAAAAACTCGCAGTCGAACTCCTCGAACACCCCCAATCCTTCATCTTCCGTCGGTGATGCGGCCAAGGATGTCGCAGATGTGGCCCGTAACGCGGCAGACAAGGTATCAGAGAGCGGTGCGCAAACCGCTGGCATGGAACCCCAAATGACACAAGGCCAACATTCGGCCAACCCAACGGAGACTTCAGAGGAACCAAATCCTGCGTCAGACGTTACAATCCCGTACGACAAAGCTATAGAGTATCTAGCGCGTGTTCTTGCAGAAACCAAAGCGTTTAAACAGGAACTCGCTCATAAGCCCGCACATACCGAGTCGAACTCTTACCCGCCCATCGCTCTCATATACGGGAAGTCCACGCCTACATTGTTCGGTGCCAAGGTCGAGTCCCGCGAAGCCATCAAACGGGCCGACGTGTATGATGAACTTGCGTTCGCGAGTGGAGACGGTGTGGTACTCGCACGAGCCGCTATGGCGCCGGAGGGGTATTCGGTAGTCAAAGGTGGAGTCGTGTCGAGCGATCGCGGCCACGTCACTCTTCTTGGAGACTTGGAGGCTGTAGGACGATGTCTACATGCCGTTGTCCAGGCGAGGAAGAACGGCGTCGGGCTGGGGCAAGCTGGGGTGCTGAATGGTTCGGTCAAGGGGACAAGCGATGGATTGGGTATCCAAGGACCACCCATCACGTCGTGATTGTCATTGACAAGAGAGTACACATAGACGGGCGAAGATACACGGACCTAGACTCTATAAAATCAGACCTGAAAACAATGCTGATGAAAAAAATGAAAAAATTCAATCATTGCCTCAGCTTGTCTAATTTCTCTATGTCTCTTACCTAGGGCGCTAGGCATGGTTCATACTCTACCTTCACCTGGTCTGCCTTCACTTGGTCCGCCTTCGCCGTGGATCTACTATAACTTAGTGGTCTAAGTTACGTTGTATAGCTTCTCTAGTCCTCCACGACCATTGCCTCACCTACTTCTAGTTCTACTTCAGAACATACCAAGTAAAAACAGAAGGATTGCATTGGTCCTAAATCACGCAAGTAGGTCAGGCTGCCTTAGAGCGTTGGAGCAAAGCTAAAATTAGTAGACAATTATTGATACGCCACAATGGCGAACTCCCTGAAGACTTTCACGAAGGCGGAGCTCTTCGAAATACTGGACGCGAAGTGCCCAGATGCGCTGAACAGTTTCCCTCCGCCGGAGGCCTTCGAGTTCGTCACGAAGACACGGGATGGAAAAGATGCCGTCGCGTTGAAGATCGGACACCACGTAACCCAGAGCAACCGCATTGTGAGGAATGAGTTATACTTGGAGGAATACGATACGGCTTCCCAGGCGACTGGGGGAGCGGCTCCACCACCCCGCCTCGGTGAAGTTCGGCTCTTCAATGATCAAGGCCCGTTCACCTATACCTGTTTATATGGCAAGGCGATTAAGAATGAGGAGAGATTACAGAAACTCTACCAGCATCTATTCTACACCACAATTGATGATGCGAAGATGAACATGAAGATCAAGAACGCAAAAGGGTTTCTGGGAACTGAGGTGTTCGGCAAGCTGAACGCAACCGGAATCTTGAGGCCATGGAGCGATACTATCAGAGCACTGTACCGCTTCGTGCTTGTCCACTGCAATCACAAGGAAAACTTCGAGGAGTTCGAGAACGCAAATGGCAATAGACAAGGAGTGAATGCGCTGGTCCGTGGACTGAAGAAGATCGCTGAGCGGACGTCTATCGCAGATGGATCCGAGGACGTGGCTCTTCATGAGGAGGACTATGATGAGGATTCTTGTTGGTTTAGATTCCTAACACGTAATTTATTATATGCCTGACAAGCTAGTCCCTATATAGACTAGCTTACTCTAGTTTTACTTTTTTTTATATATAAATATAGCTTCCCCTTATATATAAACTACTATTAATATAATTTTTTTTTTTTAATTTTATAAATTATAAGCTTTTTTGCGCACTTGCGTGCAGTTTAGCTATAATAAATTATATTTTTTTTGCGCTACTATTGCGTAACTATATTAGTTACTTTTTAATTATAAAATTAATTTTAAAATTATAATATTTATATTAATTTATTTAAATTGCTTAATTATTATATTGCCTAAAAACTACTGCGTTTATTTAATTTATTAAAGCACTACTATATTAAATATAATACAATATTAAATATATTTTTATTTATAATTAATATTAAGCAAGCGCTTAGTAAAAATTTTATTAAATTAACTAATTTTAATAATTTTTATAAATAAAAATATATTTTTAAAAAAATTGCTGCTTAATAAAATTTATTTAATTATTATAATAGCTCTGCAGTTTAATACTTTAAGCTTATTAAGCTTATTTTTTTGCGCACTAAAACTGCGTTTAAAGCTATAATACTATTTTTTAAAAATTAATACTTTTTTTCTAATATTATTACTTTGCCTAGTAATAATAATAATACTACTTAATTTAAGTATAAAGCTAAGCTTAAAATTTATAAGCTTAAGTTTTAATTTTATAATAAATATTATAAAAAATTACTTGCAAAGACGGGACCTAATGTGTTATTAATAGCTTACGTTATTAGTATTTTTTACTGTGTATTATATACTTTTATTTTTAAAATTGCTAAGCAACAAACTTTTAACCCCTAACAATATAACTTTAACTGCTAAAGCGCGGCTTTTTTAACAGCTTTAAGTACATGTCTAAATATCTAGCGTAATATTAGACTGCCGCTAAGCAGCTAACTAATACTAGGCCTTTAGGCAACAAATTAGTAATTATAAAATAGTAATAGTATTACAAACAACAGCAACGCAGACAATAGCAATATAAATAATTTTTCCTGCAACGCAATCTCTCTTGCTCTTCTTCGCCTGCGCTTCCTTTCTATTGCCTAAATTAATTGCTTGCTCCTTTAACCCTCTAAAGTGTCTATTCTACCTAAGTATTTATATAATTTCTACAGCTATAAAAAGCTACTACTTCTAGTTATTAAATTGCTAGTAACTACAATAGCGCAAGAATAATTCCTAATATAGTTAAATAAGCTCTTTATTCTAAAGAGCTGTATAAATAGCTTTAAACTTTTTTTGCTAATTAGTAATAAAGGCCTTTTAGCCCGCAGTTAAACTATAGTAGAAAGTTTATATTTAGCAGCTAACAATAAATATAGCTAATATGTCTAACTTTTTCTAGCAGAACTCTTTTTAGTTAAGACAGTCTAGATTCTTAAAAGAAAGGCAATTAAGTATAAAATACTTTAGCATACTAAAAAGCCTAGTATTTAAGCCTTAAAGAATCTATCTAAGCTTGCTAAAGTACTTAAATGCTTACTTATACTAGTTTAATATGCTAGTCTTGTATAAAAAGCTATCTTAGTATAAAGCATTTTTTGCAACATTTAATAGAACAATAAGGCAAAAGGCAGGATTAAGGAAATTGTTAATAGGCATTATATAAATAGCGTTAGTAGGCATTATATAATTATTAGTAATTAATATAGCTTGCTGCAAGGGCACAGGCAGATAATTATATAAAAAGAAAACGTCCTTTTATATATATATTATATATTTAGAACTACTACTTGCAGCTCCCTACTTTTAACTATTGCAAGTCTTATTGCTAACTATATAAAATACTACAGCCTACAATTCTTATAAGCTAACTTGCTAAATTAAAGCTTTAATTAATATTCTGCATACTGTTACTAATTACTTACTTCTATTTAAAAGATTATTAGTTAAAGCGCAAGCTTATAACTATGCTAAGCTCTTAATACTAGGCTAAAAATTTATTTGTGCTTTTACAATAGACTATAGTAGAAACTTAAAATCTAAGCGCTTAGCATTGCCTAACAAGTTAGTTACTATTAAAATTTAATAGTTACATTACTACAATCTTTAAATAATAACGCATTAGGTCTACTAATAGTAATTGTTAAAGGTTTCTTAATAATTTATTTAGCTAGCCTAGTATTGTGTAAATTTTATTGCCTTAATACTGTAATAAGGTGCTAGGTATAGCACCTAAACTATAGTTTTATACTAACTTTTCTTACTACGTTGTATAATCCGCTCTTGCGTCGACTTTACTTTTATTTATAGAAATAAAAAATTACTTACTGCTTTTTATTTTCTTAAAAATGCTATAGAAAATTATATTTAAAATAAATTTAATAATAAATAAAAAAAAAAGCCTTATACAGCTTAAACTAATATTACTAAAATATACTAAATTTTAAATTTAATTATTATTTACTATACTAAAGCAAAGCTAAATGCTTTTATATTTATAAATTTTTCTACTATTTACCTGCTTTTTGCTAAATTTAAGTACTATTATAAAAATATTAATACTATTAAAGGCATTTTTACTTATACTATTTTAATTTATAAAATTAATAAATTTTTTTTTTTATAATAGTACTATACTTTTATCGACAGCTACAGCGAGAGCAAAGAGGCCCTCTAAGGTCGGTTACAAAAAATCAAGCTGCAAAAATTTGGATTTTTACCTAGGTAGGTAACTAAATTTGGCAAAAAAAAAGAAGAATACAGCTTTTATTATTAGAAACTGCAGGATTTGAACTTAGTTTACTGCATATAATTCGGATATAACTAGGTTATAACTTGGGTTTAACTCAGGTTTAAACTTAGTAATTCGGATTTAATTAGACAATTTATTAAACTTGGCTATATAGTTAACTAAATTATTAAAGTTTTTAGAGCTGTAGAAGCTTTTCCTTAATAGGCTACAATATTCGAATTTAACTACAATTGTATAGCTGCAACAGCAGCTCAGGCCTCTATTTTACTATACTTTTATTAAAATTTAGGACTTTTTTTATTTTAAAAAAAAAATTATTACTTAAAAAACTTAAATAAACTACTAGGACTTTATTACTAAGTATGCTAATAATTATAAAAATACCTAAAATACTACTAAAAATAAATTTAATAATATTATTATTAATATTTATATTAATAGCAATAGCAAAAGTAATAGCAAAAGCAATAGCAATAAAAAAAGCAAAAATAATAATAATAATAAAAATAGTAATTATAATATAAGCAACAGCCTTATATACAGTTACTATAATTATACTAGTTATACTATTAAAACTTATTACTATATTAGCAAGCCTAATACTTTTAAATATACTAAATATAGTAAATTTAAATATATTAAAGCTACTTATTGCAAAAAGCAACAAAATACTAAAAATACTAAAAATACTAAAAGTATAAGCAAAAATTATAATTTTAATTTTATTATTATTAACAATTTCTATCTTAAGCGCATAATTGCAATAGTAACTAATAATTTTAATTTTAATTTTTTTTGTATTTTAAACTTTAAATATATATACTTTATTTCTAATTATTTTTTTATATTTAATATACAATAAAATTATAAATATAAGCTAAAAAATAGGTGCAAGAAAAGCTATTATAAATAGTAATAACTAAAGTATATAAAATTTAAATAAAATTAATAAATTATTTATATAAACTGTATATGCAGTTTTAATACTACTAATTTTATTTAATTATTAAATTTATAATAGTAGTACTTTTTATTATATTATTAATAATTTATCCCTTTTTTCTAAGCTTAAGCCCTATAAAGAAACTATTAAAAAATATAAATAAAAATTTTAATTTAATATTATTAGCGTAAGTAATATTAAATTTATTATTATTAACTTATATCCCGCGAAGACGGGACCTAATATATTATTAATAGCTTATATTATTAGTATTTTTACTATATATTACGTACTTTTATTTTTAGAATTGCTAAGTAATAAACTTCTAATTTTTTAATAATATAACTTTAACTGCTAAAGCGCAGTTTTTTTTAATAGTTTTTAAGTATATATTTAAATATTTAGCATAATATTAAACTATTAAGCAGCTAACTAATACTAGGCCTTTAAGCAATAATAATTATAAAATAATAATAATATTATAAATAATAGCAACGCAGACAATAGCAACGCAAATAACTTTTTTTATAATGCAATTTTTTTTGCTTTTTTTTACCTGCGCTTTTTTTTTATTACCTAAATTAATTGCTTGCTCTTTTAACTTTTTAGAGTATTTATTTTACTTAAGTATTTATATAATTTCTATAATTATAAAAAGCTACTACTTTTAGTTATTAAATTGCTAGTAACTGCAATAGCGCAAAAATAATTCTTAATATAATTAAATAAGCTTTTTATTTTAAAAAGCTATATAAATAGCTTTAAGCTTTTTTTACTAATTAGTAATAAAAGCTTTTTAGCCTGTAGTTAAATTGTAGTAAAAAGTCTATATTTAGTAGCTAATAATAAATATAGCTAATATATTTAATTTTTTTTAGCAAAACTTTTTTTAGTTAAAATAGTCTAGATTTTTAAAAAAAAAATAATTAAGTATAAAGTGCTTTAGCATGCTAAAAAGCTTAATATTTAAGTTTTAAAAAATTTATTTAAGCTTACTAGAGTACTTAAACGCTTATTTATACTAGTTTAATATACTAGTTTTATATAAAAAGCTATTTTAGTATAAAGTATTTTTTATAATATTTAATAAAATAATAGGGCAAAAGGCAGGATTAAGGAAATTATTAATAAGCATTATATAAACGGCGTTAGTAAGTATTATATAATTATTAGTAGTTAATATAGCTTGCTGTAAAAGCATAAAATAATTATATAAAAAAAAAACGTCTTTTTATATATATATTGTATATTTAGAACTGCTGCCTGCGGCTTTTTATTTTTAACTATTACAACTTATTACTAATTATATAAAATACTACAGCTTATAATTCTTGCAAGCTAATTTATTAAATTAGAATTTTAATTAATACTTTGCATACTATTATTAATTACTTATTTTTATTTAAAAAATT